TTATTATTAATTATTTAATAATTATAATTATTTTTATAATATAAAATTATAATTAATATTATTAATAAAATTATAATAAATTTATAAATAAAAGTATTATTAAAGAAGTATTTATTAATTTTATTAAAGTATTATTTAATTATATTAATAAAATAAGAATTATTATAAATATAATAGATAATAAATTAATTTTATTATATTTAAAGAAACTTTTTTATAATTTTATTAAATATAAATTAAAAGACTTTATAATTTATTATAAATATTATTATTTTTATATTAATTTTATTAATAAAAGTATATTTTTAAAAGTATTTTATTTTATTTTATATATTATAATAATATTTATTAATATTAATAATAATAATAATAGTTTATAAAGTAAGGAATAAAGATTAATATTAATTAATATTAATTAAAGAGAGATAAAGGTTAATATTAATTAGTATTAATTAGGGATTAAAAGGGTTATAATATAGTTAATATTAATTAATATTAATTAAAGATTAAAAAATAAATAAATTAATTATTTAATTAAACTTAAAGTTATATTTATTAAAGTTAATAAATTAGTTATTAAAAATATTATAGTAATTAATTTATAAATTAATATATTTATTATTTTTCTTTATTTTAAATTAAAATATATTTAGTTTTTAATATTTTAAAAGTTTATTTTAATAGATATATAATATAAAATAAAGATTAATATAGTATAATATTATTTAAAGTTTTTTAAAGTTAGTTATTAAAATTTTAATTATTTATTAATTAAATACTTTTTTAAATATTAAATTAATTATATTATTTTTATTTTAATTAAATTATATATATTTTAATATATTATTAATTTAATAGAAAGATTTAAAATTTATATAAAATATTATATTTTTAAAAATAATAATAATTAATTATTAAAAGAAATTATATAAATAAAGTTTTAAGATAATAATTAAAACTATTTTATAATTAATAAAAGGAGTTACTTTATAAAGTTAAGTATTTTATAATAGTTATTAAATACTTTATTTATTATTATTTTAATAATATTATTATATTAAATTATATAAAATATATAAATAGTATAATATTATAATTTATTATTTAATTTATTAATAAAGGTAAATAAAAGTTTAATTAAATAACCTTTTAATTATTTATTCTTTATATTTCTTTTAAATATTAATAATTTTTCTATAAAGTTTATAATATTTTATTATATTAAATTTTTAATTATAATATTTTTAAATTATTTTTATAATATACTATTTATAGTATTTTTAATTTATTTTAATATAGTTTTTAATATTTTTATTATTTATAATTAATATTTTAATATTATTAATTACTTTTTTAATATAAATATAATTATTTTTATATTAATATATATATATATAATAAATTATTATATTATAAAATAAATTATTAAAAAAGTTATATAAATAATTTAAGTTTAAAATTTATATTTATAATATTTAATATTAATATTATTTATATAAATTTTAATAAAATAGTAAGTAAAATATTTTAATATTATTATATTAGTTATTATATTTAAATTAATTAATTTTTAAAGTTTTTTAAAGTTATTATTTTAAATTAAATATAATAATTAATTAAAATTATTAATTATAATTTATAAAATATTATATTTTTAAGTATTATAAAATTTATAATAAAATTAATTAATTATTAATATATTTTAATTTAAATAATAAAGTAGTTTTATAACTTAATTATTTTAATTTAATAAAAGGATTAAAAATTTTATTATTATTATTTTAAATTAACTTTAAGCTTTATTTACTTTAATAAAAAAGTTAAAAGATAGTTAATATTAAAAGTATTAAATTAAATAATTTTAATAAATAATTAAAATATAAAAGTTAATATTAATTAATATTAATTTAAATTTTAAAAATAAATAATAATTTTTAAAATAATAATAAATAAAAGGTTAATATTAATTAATATTAATTAGTTTTAAAATATATAATAATTTTTAAAATAAAATAATAATAAATAAAATATTCTTTTTTAATAAAATTTATATTATTTAATATTAATTATTTTTAACTTTTAATTAATAAATTTATTAAAATAAGTTATATATTAATAAATATATTTAACTTTAAATAAAATAAGGATTTTATTAAAGGTTTAATTTTTATCTTTTTATAATAAGTAAATAATATAAAAAAATTTTATACTTTTATTAATAAAGTTTTATTTTTTTAACTTTTTTAATATAAACTTATAGTTTTTAAATTAATAATATTTAATAAATTAAATTTAAATTTATTTTATTATTTTTAAATAAAAATTATTTATTTTTATTTATAATTTTATAAAAAAATATTTATAATTTATAAATAAATTATAATAAATATATTAAATATTTATTTTTAAAAATTTAAAAGTTAAGTTTTATTTTAATATTTAAAACTTTTAAAACTTATTAAAATTTAATATTATAATAAAAATAATTAAATTATTATTTATATTTAAAAATTATTAAATTAAACTTTAATATTTTTAAATAAAATAAAAATATAAAGATTTAATTATTAATTAAATTATTAATATTATTTAATTAATTAAATTTAATTTTTTTAATTTTTATTTAAAATTTTTATTTAATAATATTTTTATTTTTAATTATAATACTTTTTAAATTATTATTTAATATTAAATTTTTAATAGTTTTTAAAAGTATTTTAAAATTTATAATTTATAATTAATAATAATTAACTTTAATTTTTAATTATTTAATTAATTTAATATTAATTAATATAATTTAATAAAGTTTAATTTTTAATAATTTTAAATTAATAATATAAATAATTTTTAAAAGTAATAAAAAAAAAAAAAAGAAAGTAAAAATTTTAAAAAAATTATAAAGGGGAGATAGATATTTATATTCCTTAATAATAAATTTTATTAAATAATTATTTATTTTCTTACTATTTTTACCTTTTTAGGTATAGCTTTAATAGTTTTAACCTTAATTTACTAGCTCTACTCCCCTCCCCCCCCTCTACCCCTATAGGGTGATTAGGGGTGATAGTAGGGGTATAGGTGATGGGTCACCTGTACGCTAAGGCCTGAGATAAGTGCGAATATCCGATCTCTTACTATATGATTAGGGGCTTGTCCGGCATTGTGAAGAAACTGGTCTTCCTGGCATTTCATAGCCAATACATGATCAAAACCAACGATTATCTTCGTGGGGCCTATAACGACCTCGTCTGGAATGCGGCCTGTTCCTTCGCCGGGTTGGACATTGTGAAGCACGATGCCTTCGTCAACTAAACTGCGTTCCGGGTTCGGAAAAGCAGTGCGGCCTCCACTACACCGCGCTCCCATCTCTTCATACCACTTCGGGAAGAAGCACCGGGACGCGGAATGGGACGACGATCTGCCAGTCTGGAAGGTCGTCGACTGGGATTCAGACGTAGAAGAGGAGCTTGACGATCCTAGAGCCCTGGAGCTGCCATGTCGGCAGCCATGGCCTGAGCGCGCCAGAGTCGGCGCAGAGAAAGTTCCAAGAAGCAGTGCGTACTGGCTCGCACACTTGAGCACTTTGCAAATACATGAATGCTATGCACTATTCCAACATGAAGACGCATCTTCAGACAAAGCACAAGGACGTGCCGTACGACTCTTCATTGTACGAGAAGCGAGCCAAGCCTACGACCGGATCAGGCTTTTAAACACATGCACGGGGCACGACATGTCCAGTTGCATTCATTCAAGCCCACGGCAGCGACACGGACACGCATCGGACCACCAGGCCGTGGGTGAAGTATTCCGCCCCTCGGATCATCGTCTGTGGTTGGCAACTCGTACACCTCTCCTGACCGTCCGAATGTCTGACCGTCCGTCGACTGACACGCAGCCCGGACAGTGATGTTTACGGCCGAGTACGGAGTGTACCAGCAGATGTACAATGACTTGACAGATACCCCCGTCCCCTGCGGCATGACCAGCCCAGCCCAGCCCGACGACGGCACCCGGCGGACGGCACCCGGGCAACGCACCCGCCGCCCACCGCTCTTTCGACTGACCCGGAACCGGGCAGCGCCAGCCAGTCCAGCCCCCTGGCCCGGCCGGCGACGAGTCGTGCGCCCCGACAGGCACGCGCATGCACGTCATTGCCACAAGAGCCAGGGCAGCAGCAAATGGGACCCAGGAGCGTGTGGCAGGGCTTGGTGGTGACGGTGCCTCGCGGTGGGAAGATCATGCCACCACCACTGGCAGTCCGTCCAAGCCGTGGGCAAACTCTGTCTGATTGTCAGCGGGGGGTTTCTTGGCCTGTCAGTGAGCGGCATGTTGTGTGTGGACTTCGACCTGCAGGTGAGAGGCTCGGGGACGTTGACAGGATGATGCCTGCTGGCGTGGACGACCTCCCAAAATGCCACTACAATCGAGCCCACGCAGGGCGGCGCCCGCCAGACACCGGCAAGCAGGCCGGTGTTATTAGTCTGCAATGTGCTGCAGCCTGTACGAACCAGGTAGGTTAGACGCATTGAACGTGACAAAACTGCATACAGCTCTTCAGACGAAAACTTCCGCATACCGTTTCGTCGTCACAGGCGGCCTCCGTCTAGCAGCTTAGGTTGACTCCTTCTTTGCATGCCGGGAGAACAGACGGTGAGGCAGAAGGTCAGGAATCCAGGAGCTTGCTGAGTCGTGCCCCCTTGAGGCCGTTGAGGGTACGCTGCCGGCTCGGGCATCAATGCTACCTATCAGACTCCGTGTCAGGTAGATGAGGCAGACCAAGGGACTGGGGCCCCAGTGCATTGTGCCCAAGGATCAGGGATTGAGGTCAGTCCCAAGCTCCAACAGACCGACGACGATCGACGCACGATCGATCGCATACACTCGCCCGAACCAAAACTCGTCCGCCGAGAACAACATGCGAGCACACACCGTGGGCCGTGGCCACGATGGCTTCACAACGTAGACAAGAGGCGGCGTAGAGCAGCGAGGCATAAGATGATGAGGCCCAACACACGAGAGTTTATATTAGCTATTAGTTAAATGAATGCTCTAGGCCACCCGGCGCATCAAGATCCTATGTGACCCCGACACAACCGACAGGCCCAAGAAGCATGCACCGTTTCCATCAATCAACACATCTCGAAACCAAACCTTTCCATCTTTTCGTTTTCCAGACATCATCTTTTTTTGCGGGTTTTGTAGTATATATCCTCTTGCTCCTCTCCGTCGTTCCACCAGCCCCACATGGCTGCCTCCACCCTTCCAAACGACTGTCTTTGGGTATACTTCGGGTATCAAAAACAAAAGACATTGAGTTGCGAACGCGGGAACTCGATACTGCGGACGGAGTCAAAACAAGGAAAGTCGGCCTCCCCCCCGTCGAAAAGTTGCTCCGAGACAAATGGGAATTTCGTTTGGGTATCTCGAAATGCAAATCCGATCCCATACACCCAGGGAGTGGGTATCATAAGTGGTGTGATGCTCCCTTCATGCGACGCCTGTCGTGTCATCGACCTCGCTCTATAGTGTTGTTTCGTCGATCCGTACAGGGCAAGATGTCATGATTGCCCCATGCCGGCTGAGGTTAAATGTTCAGCTTTTTAGGCCGAAGCAGTAACCGCCGGGGTGCTGGCAACGGGAGCGTCCTTGGCGGGCTCGGCCTCCTCGGTGACGGTCTCAGGCTTGGTCTCCTCAGCAGCCTTGGCCTCCTCGGCGGGCTTCGCGGCCTCCTCGGCAGCACCCTCGGCGGGCTTGTCCTCAGCCTTGTCAGCGGGCTTCTCAGCAGCCTTGCCCTTGTTCTGTTTCTTGGGTCAGCAAGTATGCCTATGGGACGTCTGTGCAGACTTTCATCGTGTGAACTGACCTTGATGGTAGCACGGAACTTGGAGAAGGCGTTGGGGCTCTTGGTCTTCTCAGCGTCGGGGGACGCGGCACCCTCCTCAGCAGCAGGGCTGGTGGGGTTGGAAGAGCCGCTCTTCTTGCCCAGGGCGAAGGGGAAGGACGACTTGCGCTTGTCGCTCTTGACCTCCTTCTTCTCGCCGTTGACGGCGGGGGTGGTCTCCGTGGTCTCGACGGGGACGTTGGCGGGGCTGGAGACCTCGGTGCTCAGGGGCTCAACGGTCTCAGGCTTGGGGATGACAGGAGCATCCTCTGAGACGGTGGGAGTGTCCTTGGCCGGGGTGGCGGGAGCGGCCTCCTCAGGCTTCTTCTTGCCGAACGACAGACCACCGAAGAGGCTGCAGACACGTTAGTGATGTGAGCATTGTAGATGAAGGCGCATTCTCGGTCCTGACATACCTGGTGCGCTTGGTGGGCGTGGGCTTCTCGGCAGCCTTGCCCTTGGCCTCCTCGGTGGCGGGGGTCTCGGCAGCGGCAGCGGCCTCGGGCTCCTTGGCAGCCTCGGTAGCGGGCTCCGCAGTCTCGGTGGCGGCGGCAGCGGGGGTCTCGGTGGTGGCGGCAGCGGCCTCAGCAGGGGCCTCAGCGACGGCCTCCTCCTTCTTCTCCTCGGCCTTGACGTCCTTGGCGGCAGAAGACTCGCCCTTCTTGTTACCGCCAAGGAGAGCACCGAAGATAGAGGCGCGCTTCCTGCTAGCGGAGCGCTTGCGCTCGTCCTTCTTGGAGTCAGCAGCCTCCTCCTTGGCCTCCTCCTTGGCCTCTGCCTCGGCAGGGGTCTCGGTGGCAGCCTCAGTGGTGGCAGGGACGGCAGCGCCCTCGACGGCGGGGGTGTCCTCAGTAGCCTTGGGGGCCTCGGTCTCGTCCTTCTTCTCCTCGGCCTTCTCTTCCTTCTTCTCCTCCTTCTTCTCCTCCTTCTTGACGGCGGGGGAGAAGGAAGCGAGGGTGGCCTTGTACTGCTCGGACTCGGTGATGGTGGTGGCGAGCTCCTTGGCCTCGGCGATCCTCAGCTTGATCTGGCTGACCCAGTTGTCACGCTCGGCAGTGTTGCCGGCCTTGAAGGTGTGCTTGTGGCCCTTGGAGGACAGGATGAACTTGTTGGGGCCCTCGACGGTGGGCTCAGCGGCCTCGTGCTGGACGGCGGGTTAGCGGACTGGGTGTGGTGTGTCAGGATGATCAACTCACCAGGGCAATGGCGCTGGTGGGGGCAGTCCTGTCCTGGCCCTTCTCGCTGAAGAACAGCAGACCCTTGCCGGTCTCGCTGGCCCATGCGGCGAGGTGGTGGTCCTTCAGCAGACCGGGGAACTTCTTGGGGTCGACGGCCTCGGAGCCGAACCAGAAGAACTTCTTGGTGTAGATGAAGTTCCTGGCGCACGGTTAGCAACATGTTCGACAAGCTGTCAAGATGTGGCCGGGGCCGTGGAACATACTTGGGGAAGTTGCTGCCCTTGTGCTCGAGCTGGCCGTCCTCGACGGGCTCGGCCTCCTTCTTTGCCTCCTCGGCAGCTGGCGCAGCGGCGGTGGCATCTCCCTCGGCGGCAGGGGTCTCAGTAGCGGGCTCCTTTGTCGCCTCGGTGGTGGCTGCAGTTACATGGTCAGCAAAGGGTGGTTGACAGACGGTCACTTGCATGACGGGGACAGCGAGTTGTGTCGCATACCGGCAGGGGCAGCCTCCTCCTTTGCAGCCTCGACAGGGGCAGTGGTCTCGGCGGTGGTGGTCGCGGGCGTCTCCTCGGCGGGGACGGCGACGGGCTTCTGTTCCTCGGCCATTGTGATTTGGTTTGGGGGTGAGGGAAGGAAACTGGGTATCTCTAAAAACCAAAAACTAGAAAAAAGAACAAAAAGAAGAGGGTGTGTGGAGGCGAGATGGTAGATACAGGGAGTCCCTGACTGATATTGCCTTGAGCTTAAGGGTATTGATATTCCCTTTGTTGCTGACGGAGATTCCAAGACGGAGAGAGGCAGTTGACGGGACGACAACAGTAGAAGTTTGCGGAATCAGGAGAGCGAAGGGATGGGAACTCGGGCTGGGTCGCACTTTATTTGATTTGGGAGGTCTGGGGAGGGAGGTCAGGGAAAGGGTGACTGGGCTCTTTGTATGGGTCAGCCAGGGTCGACATGGGTCACCCAAAATCAACGAATCTTTCTTCCCTGATGAGGGAGCATTGACCACAAGGCCACTTCCCTGCTCGCGACGCCTGGAAATCACAGGGGTCTCAGGGGGTGTGCGGGAGAGGGCAAAACGGTCGTCAGGACGCGGGCCACCGTTGCCGTGCATTTGGGGGAAGCAGGCACACAGGACCGGTACGGAGTACCGAGTACACACTCGACGTCCTCACAAAGGCCATGTACTTGCTGTTCCCGCTGCGCCCATGTACGCACACCTACATCCATCATACACACACAGTTTGCATGCAGTACCACGGGAACATGGAGTGTAATTTCTCCCGACCACGTTAATTTGAGCCCCCCAAAAAGCACAAGCTGTCCTCCGGCCCCCTCACCCACACATTGTCTATAAACGGGCCATGTCCGCCTGGCTGACCTACAGCAACAATCTCTCATCCCCGTGCTGATAGTGGGGTCCACGGGAGCACCTAGTTCAGGAGGAGGGAGGACGAACAAGGGAGGCGATACGGTGCGTTGCGGTACGGTACGGTACGGTACGGCAGAGCATGTGCCTGAAGCGAAGTACCGGCCAGTGCAGGGGTGGGAGGTGCTTGGGAGTGCACCGAGCAGGGGTCCATCCATACCTCATTTCAACTTTTCTGCAACAACGGTACTGTACCGCTGCCATCGCCCACGCATTCTGCCCTCGCTCGACCGCGACGCCTGAGGATAAGTCCTGGCAGCCTGGATGTCTGCAGAGGAAAGGAATGCCTTGCGGGCACTGCAGAGCTTTCCTTGCCCCCCAATCTAAAGACAGCATGACGTTGCCTGGTTCGGAAGCGACGTCACCCGTTGTTGACTTTGAATTTTCCGACGAGGTGAACGACTACACGCCTCCCACGCCCAGGAGAGAAAACAACACACAACCAGAGACGAGGATCGCGATATGAAATGGAGACCACACTGCAGAAAAAAGATTGCCGGCACCAGACAAAAGCCACAAGGGTCTCCACCCTGGTACAGGGTTCCTTCGCGGGATGCTGGTCTAAACGGACTCACCGTGCCAGCCTCTGCACACTGTGTCGGCCTCTACCGGCACCCCAAATCCACCATTGAATTCCTCCTTCTGCCACCTCGCCGAAGCCTCAAGCGCCCTCGTGTTGCCCATTCCATCCCCAGGCAGGCCAGGCCACCACCACCACCGCCGCTGCCCAGGCTGTGACAGCTCCCACACGCAGCAGTTGCTAGCTGCAGCACAGCTCCAGCCGCCACCACCCCCCCCTTCCAGCTACGGGGCTCCATGGCCTCGCCGAATGGCATCTCGCCTGTCTCTGTCGATCTCGCCAACGGCTGATCGCCTCATCAGACCCCACGCCCAACCAGTCGGCCCAGCGCACCCTTTCGAATGGCCGGCTGCCCATCACGGGATGCGCTACTGTGTACTGTACGCACAGAACGATCCTACCACACAACTCGATAGGAGCAGCACAGACACAGAGCCAGACTGGCTGGCTGGCAAGCTGGCAGGCAGGAACAGGCTCGCCGCGGGGCCACCCTCTGTCCTTGCGCTGAAACTACCATCCAGGGCCATTGTACGGAGTACAGTTTACTGGCTACTGAACATCGTCGTATCTGTGCTGCCGACACGGCCAGACTCCAGGGCCACACACGGACGGGACAGAGGGACATGCACCTTACATGCTACCCGGAAACAAGCCGCATCCAGGAGAATTCCTGTACCGAAATCATTGAGCTACTCTTCTGTCCGTTCTAATCTTGGCTTGAGGCCTGAAGCACCGGACGCCCGAGCCCATTCCATTTTCGCGACTGCACTTTGCGAAATCAGACAAAATTTGGGTTGGGCGCCTCGTCGTTGCAGAGCAATCAATTAGGACTCCACTAGACCTGCAAGAGGTATGGGCCGTATGGCAGCGTGGCCCCGGCACCCGCTCCACCGTGTCGCTCGAGCCAGCAGATGGTCTCAAACGGAGACTTTGCCTTAGATTGCATTGCGGACACGGACGCTACTGCTCCACTCCAGATGGCATGTGCTTCTTGCATGTCTGTCCCGGCCACACCTGGCCCTGCGACAGGGTCCCCTGTCCATCAGATTGGGAGGGAAGCCCCTGAACTCAACGCAGGATCGCTGAACTATTGCCCGTCATCGAGGCGGCTTCATTTTATATTGATGCTGTCCCGCCCGACGTACCTCAACAATGCAATGCGGTTGACAGGCGGCTTCCTCTCATGTTGTGCACCGGCAGTGTACGCAGAACACGGCTACAAATACTGAGCATATTCGCCTGCCCTGGATTCGAGGCCTGTTGGCAGGCCTCGAATCGTTGCCCCTCCACCCCCCTCTATCGGCCAAGGCCGCGCACCTCGACAGCTTGACGGCCATCGTTTCCGCCCCCGGACCCATTGATCATCGACCAAATACCGCCAAGAGGATACGATCAGCTCCTGGTCCAAGTACGCAGCTCGAGATTCTTCAACTGAGCCCCTCGCGGTTGTCCTCGATGTGCAGCCCACAATCCTGCTGGCCAATGTGAACCTTCACATGAGAGGCTGCGGTGGCACCTCGAGTAAGCCTCGCAACGTCTAGAATGCTGGACAGATCCTGCTTGGCACGACATTACACTCCACGCCACGCGCCGTACGAATGCACTCGCCATGCGATTACATGCAGCCCGGTAGCTCTTCGTGCGCCGAAACCAACGATTATGCCTGCGTCCCGACCCGAAGATGGAGTGGCATGGCATTCAGCTAGCTCAGCGACTGCGCGGTAGCCATGCGGAGCTGCGTCTGCTTCCAATTCTGTTCGCGAAGGAAATCAACACGGCCTGACGCAGACTACTTCCGGCGGTTGAGATATAAACAATCCGGGCGCGGCTCGCACTGCACCCTGACTTGCGTTTCGAGCTAAATGCGATTGGAAACCATGCAGCTTGAGGGCAGACCGCCAGCAACTTGGCGACCTGTACCTCTTGGCCGCTCGGTTGCATGCTGGATATATGTGCACGGCGGCAGCATCCTGTCTCCAGCCATTTTCCTAAGCCGAAGCTCGAACCCCTGGGTAGAGCCTGGGCTCTGCCCGGCGAGGCGGCCCCAAAAATAGTAGCGATATGGCAACACAACGGACGATCCCTAGAAGACCTGTCAATGCCATCGCATTAACATCCTTCAGGTCTCCAACATATGTGCTGCACACCGCTTTACATCAGATGACGGAGCATCATTGTTATAATCATGCGCTCCCGCATATTTGCCCCCGACTAGCCCCTGAGCTCTGCCGCATAATCGAGAACAAAGTGCTTTGTTAAGAAAGCAACGCAGGTAGGCTCATCACACATTGGACAGCTCTACTATACTAGGTCGTCGCGGCTGGACTTGCCTCAGTGCAATTGTCAGTTGACAGCATTCTGAGACTGCCGCGCCTGTGACCACGGGTGCCAATTGGACGGAGGCAAGCAGCCGTGTCCTCCCGTAGTATTTTGTGCATCGTACTGCAGCCAACCTTCCCAAACATGGCTGAGTTAGCGGTGGTTGCCGCTCCAATGACGCCCAACTTCACAATGAAGGGCGCCACCTTCTACAATGGACTGCGGCTAGAACGACTCGGTTCACACGCTGACCAGCCTCTAAACACACCGACCCGGTGGACACGAGTGGGTGTTGCACATCATCGTAGCACGCCCCGTTTTAGTTTCATCAGTCAGACCGTTCGCTGGCTGGTCATTTGATGGAAACTGATCTCAACACCGAAGAGGAGGTGTCGCTATGTTCAAAGCGATTCTGAGGCACAAGACTTACAATCTCGTTTCCACTTAAAGCCATCCCGAAACATGCCTGCCCCAGCTATAACACAGTATGTTTATAGTTCATGGCGTTCCAGAGGTCTGCCCCCAGCTGAGGTCGACCGAGATCAGGGCTCAGGGCTCGGATTATTAGATAGTGCAGCATTAATGTGCCGTCCGCGTCTTGGCCCGAGGGCTCGTCCTGGTGCACGGCGCCCGGGCTCTCAGTCTATCCCGACTTACGAACTGAGCACACGCCGCCGAGAGGCATGTCCTCCGCTTGCATTATGGCCAATCAATTATAGTGTTTCCCTTTCAGCTTACAAGTTTCACATCTCGCATGATTAAGGCTGCTTGGAGGTCCTCCGCATCCATCGTGTCAGCGCCTCCGGTGTCCAAAGGCTGATCAGGCCATCGCCTCCGCTGCTCTGGTGGTCGTACGACCAAGGGCAGCCAGGCGCTTGTTTGCTCCGTTTTTTTCTCGCCTCAAGCCTCCCGCAGCATGGCTGTGTCCATACTGTGTAAACCTTTTCTTGGGCCCCGGTCGTCATTTGAGTTCGGTGGGGTCGCGGGCCACGGAAGACAGTCCTGGGGGCTGCCCTTGTCCATCTGCGGCCGCCCAATGGCGGCTATCTTGGCCAAATGGGAGTCGCGAAGGGCGGATCGTGCTTATCTGCTTGCGGCTTCGCATCTGATGAAAATCGATGCAACGCGCTGCGGCCATGCAGGCATTGGCTGACAAGTGCCCACCGGTATTTGGCGAGACCCTCAACAGACCAGTTGGCTATATGCAGGTCAAGCCCGGAAAGAGCCACGGCCCCATAACTCGGGGTCTGCGGAGCGAGCTACAGACTCCAGAAGCGCTGCCGAATGTCAAGCAATATACTTCTGATACTCAGTTGGGCGCGCTCTTCGAGTCACAATACGGTGGAGGTGGAGGAGCTGCCACGCAGCACCGGGCCACCTCACAACTGCACGATGACATTGTGACTCGAAGTTTCTCCAGATGCTACCACGTCAACCACCTGCTGTTGAAGGGGACCACAAGCACACTTCCATTCCTCCCCGGCGCGGCAGCAGTCTCTGTTGCTCTCATCCTCCCAGCCCAGCGCCTGTTCCTGCTTGGCCGTTTTGCCAGGAGAGCGATGGGACGGCACCTCGAACCAGAACCCGGCTGTTGGTGTGCAAAAGTAACGTGAGCTGCAGGCCCTTGAAATTACAGCCGCAGATCAACCAGATCTAGACTGGTCTTGGTCCGAAATATCTTCCGGGCACCATAGGGTTGGCTGCTGGTGAAATGAAAGGGAGGCAAAAGACTGCCGGCCTTGACCGCCATTTTTTTTTTAAAAAAAAAAATCTTTTCGCTCCTTACAGATTCAGTGTGTGCAGTATCTACGCCTATCTTGGAACGACAGGTCTGCAGCCTAAGCCCTGGGCAGCAGCAGCGGCGGCAAGTCATGGGAAGTGCCACGGGAAGGGGGCTTGATTATGCTTCTTGATTTGACGGCGGGACAAGGTCACAAGTTTGGCCAGCTGACCCCCTCCACGTTCATGCATGCAGCGCTTTCCCCACCATCATCCCAATCATTGCAGGCCCTGCACGTCGAGGGGACCGATCGCCGCCAACGACCGTTTTACGTTTTCTCCCGGAACGACGACATAATGCCCAAGGTTATTAGGTGACCGAGTACCCGATGGCGCCAACCATGTAGATAAAAACACGGATTTTGCCCCCCTTGTGAACAAGAAAAAAACGCCGTGCCTCCCGGATTTGCTGTCAAGTGACCGCTCAGCCCGTTGGCAGAAAGTCAAGTTTTCGTGTAGATTCGCAAGAAGGCGTGCGTGTCACAAGCCCCCATCCCGACCTCTCGACGCTTCTAGGTCTGGCTAACGTACACACAGTACAGAGCTTGCTCCCTACGTCCCGAGCTAATAGACAGCAAGCTTGACTCGTCACTCGTCATCCCACATGGAGTGATGTCGCCCTGCAGCGCCGCTGCAACCAAGGGGGTGTGCAGCCTGCCCCGTAAACCACCAACCGGATCCGCCCAAGCTTTACGGTTTGGCAGATGGTGGGTTGGATGGCGAGGGTAGCGTGCGACACGGCTCCAAGGCCCAGAAAGGACTTGTTCTGAAATGGATATTACTCTTGCCAAAGTGCCGTTGCTGGACTGCCTGACTGCCTGCTTGTCGGTAAGATGGTGTGGTGGTGTAGTGTTCTGGGCGCCTGCTGGGCAATAAACCGTGGGAACCGGCGGCAACCCTGTCGCCGTCGTCGTCGTCGTGACCACAGCCCCAGGGCCCCAGAACGCCCTACGACGTTATCGGCCGCCTCGGTAGGGCTTCGACAGGTGCACCCTTGCACCGATCGAGGTCATCCGACGGCCTGTTTCTTTCCGCAGGCGAACCATGAGCACTCATCTATTTTCTTCCTGGCTCACTCCGACCCGGCTGTGATGCCATAGCGTTCATCTTTTGAATACCGTTTGCCAATGGCAAGCGGGAGTGTTATCTCTCGACATGAGAAGGCGGCCCGTCCTAAAGCGGCCCCCGCTCCGTTGACCGATCCGTCCCTGCACAGACCGTATTGCACCTTCGAAATCGGACCCGTCCGAGAAAGAAAGGGAAACGGCCGGCTTTGTTGTATTTACCTATTCTTTTCTCAACCGCCCCCCCCCCTTCCACCCCAGGGCTTTGATATTGTCCAGCTTGTCTGTATCACGCGCTCCTCGTGGAGAGTTCCGCCAAGGTTGCTATTACTTGAGAAGCACATTCCGTCACTCTTTTCCTTGATTTCCGGCCCCGGGATCGGACCAGGAGAACGGCGGGGTGGGGCGAGAATCGGTGGGTTGGGGGTGGTGGTGGTGGTGCCACTATTTCGGGGAAGTGTAGGCGGCCATGTGACAACCTGCCAAGTCGAGAGCAACGGGCGCACCAGACATGCAGGCCTAGTCATGGTTCATTCTTCAGGGGGTAGGACTGCCGCTACCGAGCAGCTTCGAAAGGTGTAGCAGGTGTAGCGTGGTGGTGTCTCGGTAAGACATGGGGGGTCTCAATGGTCGTCATTGCGTGCTTCATGGGCAGGGTCTGGATGATGATTTAGGTGATGGACACGCTTTTGCTACCGGGCTTCGAGGTGGGCTTCTGCCACTGACTCTGTTCCTGTCAGTCTGATAATTTTCAAGACCTCAAAGGAGTTCCTCGTGCATATGGTCGGTCACCTTTGTGGTCCTTACCTAGATGGTATCCCTAGGAAACAATGACACCATCCTTTGTGACGATCCAGCCACATGCCGTGTGTGCCGGCTCAACTCCGGGCTGCCGCTAGGATCAGTCTGCCCATTTTCTGTTCAAGAAACCACTGATGATGTTACCCATGTATGTCCCTGATGAAGTCGAGTCTGTTGCCTCGTCTTTGCACATCTCCTTGAGCTGGCTCTGGTTGGCCATCTCTCCTCGGTACTGTGTGGGTGGAATTCATTCCTTTTATGGCTCTTGTCTTCAGGTATCATGTCCTTAGTACTCGCTTTCGTTCCTCCATATCAACAAACAGTCCTCGGTTCGAGGCTGGGCCACAGATTCTGCCAGAAAACAGACTGGCCCGGCCCGGCCCGGCAAGACCTTCACTCAGATCTCTGCTTGTCACTGTTACTGTAGGATCGTCCATGGCATGCTTGAGGAATCGATGGTGTTTCTTGAACGGTCTGTGGTGGTATCTCGTGCCTGTTGAGATTCAGGGGCGTATGTCAGTGCTTTGGGCTTGGTGCTGATAATCTCCCTTACTCCTCTGAGCAGAGGTCATTCGGTAGACACCATTCTGAGGCCAAGAGCGTGTGCTCAGCCAGTAATGTCTCTGTGAACAAGAGATGACATTTGAAATGAGGGTGTCCTGCTGTACAGACCTTGTCAAAGGTGATCCTGGGAACTCCTAGGATACTTGGGAGCGAGTGGTGTTCCTTTGGGCCTGGGTCTGAAGCATGCAGCTGTTTGTCAAAATTTCAACCTGGCATTTCTCAGGGGTCTGGGTCTCAAATCAAGCTCTGTTTGACAACAAACATTGAATCAGCTACCCCAGGCCCAACCGTTGGCCCTCTGTACTTGGGTAAGTGAGAGTGATTCATAAATACTCATCCGGTCTATGATGTAACCTACTTGATCTGGCAAAGCACACTGCTGTCCTGCAGTCTGGGATTGATTTCTAAGAGAGCAATGAAGGAGAGGAAAGCACAACAGACTCATTTAGAGGGGTCACCGGTGATTCATTCCCGGGTTTGTAGCCATGTTTATGACAATGAGGCTCAACGATGAAGCCGTCCATAGCCTTCTAAGGTTCCCTCAGCTAAATTCGGGCAAGGGATGTGTTCATGAATCCTCTTCATTCATATAAGCTTGCTAGATAAGAACTCTAGCGGCCAAGATACACAAATGGGTTTTTATCTTATCTGAACCCTTCAGCAAGACTCCAGCTGTGATGATCAAAGAAGCTATCAACAACAAACATCTGGCTACTCTAACTACCCTACCTACCCTAGGGTACCAGTCTATAAGCACTGCTGGTCAACACTGTTAAGAGTTGCCGCAAGTACCCGGGCCTTGGAACCGTCATCTGCACAAGACCGCCCTTGGGCTTTATCGTTCTGTCATCATGGATATCATGAGCTTCCAGGGATGCTGCCCCAATACCGGGCCACGAAGCTTGATCTCTTTCCTCAACTCAGCAAGCAAGTACTCTCACCTCCTCGAAGATCCTGTCAAGCGCCCGGAAGTCCAGATGTGTTCTGACATATTACAGGAGAGTAGCAAGCTTGTTTGGGTTAGAACTAATGTCGAAGACAGAGCTGGTGGCCAGTGCTCAACAATATGACTATAATGATGATGCATGTTCTGTTCTATTGGCGAAGATTGAGAAGCACTTCCCAAGCCGAAGGCAGTGTTGTCCCTCCACTGGAGCATTACGTTTTCCTTCTTGTTCAAAGCAGTTGATTGGTTGGTCCCGGATCTCGACGCGTTTGCTCTGTTCCAGTGGTTCAACTGTGACTGGGTGCCCAGGGCCTCGGCAAACGGTGTTCCCTCGAGGCTATTTCGTCATGAGAAAACAATCTCCAGATCCACAATAACAATAGAGCTACCCTTGATCAACCGAATCCTGATTCCCAGGGAGCCATGGCCTCCGGGAAGATTTAAACCCACCGCCGCTGTCCCATAACTCGGTTCTTGTCCGCAATCCTTCCATCAACAACAACGAAGGAGACCTCTGGTTTGGTGCCTCCTTCGAGGAAGCTTATTTGCCATCGACCTTGTCCTTTCTTCGTCCTTTCGAGCATCCACAAAGCTTGACACCTAGCACTGAGTGGCCATCATACATTCTGTTGAACCCCCTGAAGAGATCTCGGCACGCAGTGATTCAACTTCCTCCAGTATCACGGCTGTTGGTATTTAGAGCCTCTATCGAGCACTATTGCTTGATTCTACTATCCGAGAGTAGCATAGCAAGGTACCGGTACGTGGGATACTTCTCTTATTCTACTGCCTGCTGCAGAAGATGCCTTACACTCCATGGCCCTGTCATCAAGCCCTTCGTCATCTGCCAATGTATCTTCCCTTTCTCCCACCCCCACCACCCTCGTTTGCACAGCCGTTGTCCGGCCGGACTGATAATCCGTTGGTCCGGAGTCAGAATTCCATCCACTCAGCCCTGCAGCCCTGTTTGTTCAAAGCCGAGTGCCCCAGACTTCCCAATCTTCCGGACTCTCGTCTGCAGAATCTGCACTGTTCCTCATCCTGCCCCTGACAAGCAGCCGGCTTTGTGTTTTGAGCAACCCAGACACAAGAATTGGAAACTTCCTTTTTCACAAACACCTGAGATCCTCTTGCTTTGGTAAACAGTTGAGCTTTCCTGCGTACCCGCCCTCATTCCTGCGTACCCGCCCTCAGTCCTGCGTACCCGCCCTCAGTCTTGTCTCAGAGACAGGTTCCCGCTGATTCAAGAAACAGGCGAGTTCCCTCTTCCCTCTCTTTCCCCTTGCCCTCTCTTTCCCCTTGCCCTCTCTTTCCCCTTGCCCTTTCTTTCCCCCTTGCCCTTTTCCCTTTCCCCTCTCCAAGTCAACATCAGCAGGACTTGGAGCGTATGACCAACGGGATCATCGGAACAGTCCAGACGCACACATTGCCTCACCTATCTTCCCTCCCCTCGAGAGATTTGGATTCAGCGGTGGCGAAAATTCATATCAGCTTCATTTCCATACCTCGGCTTCTCCGTCGGTACATAAAACAAGTGTTCCGGAAGTCAGGCAGGCCCATCTCCACGGCTGCGGTGTGCTTGAGCCTGCGGGTCCACAGCCTAGAAGTCTCTAACGCTGTAGCGGACTAGTTTCTAAGCATCTCATCCCGCTCTCATCTGCTGACATCGAAGCAGCAACCATGAACGGAACTCGCGCCAACCGGCGTAAGCACGAGTACCGTGGAGGCCAGTGGACCAGAGACCTCCTCACGGGCGAGGAGAAGGAGCTTTCGCGCCCGGAGTACTCCATTGGAGCCAAAGACAGGGGCCGGGTCCTCCCCTTCGATGAGACCGGCGTTCCTTACACCAAGAACTACATCAACAACAAGGAGGCCTTTGACGCGCTTGACAAGGCCCGATTCGAGACCGAGGTGCCCCTGTGGCCTCGTAACAAGGATGGAACCCGTCAGACCTTTGCTGACCTCCAGAAGAACATGAAACTGTCCGGAGATGGTGCGAAGGACGCGGCTGAGGCAAAGGTACTGAACACCTTCTACCCTCACCAGGCCGGAGGACTGTTCTGCTCGGTAAGTGTTAGCTGTGTTCCCAAGGGTTATGTGGACCGCCCAAGACTCGTCAATTTGAAATGTTCGATGGGCTACGTACACGATGGCTCATAGTATTGACACAATTAGGCGCCATTTTGCAAGGGCGAGAGGGCCTTTCGCTCCGAGTCCGCCGAGTCTGATCCGAACGAGGACCTGCTTGTTTGTCAGGCTCTGGGCATCAGCGAGCTCCGCTCGCGTATCATGAACAACCTGTCTTACCACGACATCGGAAGCCTCCAGGGCACCTGCACCAACGTGGCGAACCAGGTCATGGGTACCCCGGTAAGTTGTCTGGCCACAACCACGATGTATTATGCTAATGGGGCCTAGGCGCTCTGGGACATGTCTCACGGAGGATGCAACTACAGCGAGTTTACTGCGGAAGAGTTCGAGGTCTTGAAGGAGTGTGGAGATGCTGAGAAGGATGACCAGCAGGGCAACAACGAGGTAAGGATGCTCTATATCTTTGACACATTATATTCGTGTTGATTGTGGACTTCCCCACACATGATGGCACTGACACTGACCCAATTTAGTTTCTTATGATCAGCCCAACACACATGGGCTACGACGAGGGACACGGCCTCCGGGACTACCCAAACAACGTGGCCCAGGTCCAAAGCGTGCTGATCATGGGCAGAGGCCTCCATCTCAGGGGTCACACTATCAAGCGGGTGTGCTTCAACCGAGTGAACTTCTTCGACTCGGGCGTCTTCGGCACCTATCTCGACTTGATGCCGAACCTGGAGCGGGCCGACATCACCAACTGTGACCTGATCCGCTACCACCACGTCCCTTACCTTCTTGACATCGTCAAGGCCTACAACAAGAGGCACGGTCACAAACTGTTGTTTGATGTCTCTCCGAGGTACAACTATGGACCCCTGTGGGAGAACGGCAAGCGGAAGGATGGTTGGTCCGATGGTTACGATGTGGTCAAGGAGGACAGGCAGGGTACCTACGGTCTGACTTACAGCAACCCGGGCGTCAGGATCCCGCCGGCCGTGGTGAAGGTCTACATCTACGATATTGCGCCGCGCATGAAGCGTAAGTTATCAGACCCAAGCCAAGACGGCCTCTCCATCTTAGTACTGACCTTTAATGTCTCGTCTCAGAGTCCGGCCAGATGCACATGATGGAGAGCAACGCCCTGTTCCGACGCTTCCTCGAGAAGCTCCCGCTCCACAGCAAGGCGGTGCCTCGCATGGAGGCCGTCGCCGAGCACAAGGAGTACCTCAAGCGGCTCTTCGCCAAGGGCAAGATCAGCGAGGACGACAAGGCCAGGCTGCAGATCCGCTGCACCTTTGCGGAGCGGGACGCCATATTCGGGGACGAGGGCCACATCCAGCTGTACGAGGACGGCATCCGGTCGACGACCGAGAAGGGCACCCCGTTCCGCTACGGCCTGTGGGGCGACACGGCCAACTGCGCCGACTGCAAGACGCACCTGGCGCTGATGTACTGCACGACCGGCTACGCCTGCGACGGCTGCCAGATGGCCGCGGCCGTGTCCCGCGACGACTACCACTGGAAGAAGCTCAAGTCGGAGGCCACTCAGTACCTCGGCTGCCACCACGAGGACGACGACCCCATCGTGCCGCTGGGCAAGACCAACATCGACTTCAGCGTCCTCCGCGACGCGCGCGGCAACTCGCGCATCCAGCGGCTGAGCGACTTCGAGAACCTGCTCGCGGTCGAGGTGCCCAAGATCCGGAGGATGATGAACCACGCCCGCAAGATGGACATCCGCGGGTACACGGGGCTCAACATCCCCGACCTCGTCGTCCAGAAGAGACACCGGTGCGACCGCGTCCCGGACAACAACGACACCCAGCGGGACCTCCTGCGCCTGGTGTACTACCGTCATGCCGTCCCTCTCGAGGTGATGCAGAAGTTCCCCAACGGAAGGACTGACAGGATGGTGGGCCAGTTCTAGAGGAGGCCATGGACTGGGCAACACAATTTTGGGGTGCTGGGCCCTGAGCAGCTCGTGAGGGTCTGCTTGGTCGAAAAAGACTTGGGGGGGCGCTTTCTTTTTTTTGGGCGGTGGTCCTATAGATAGGGCTACCTGGGTGCTTCGTGACTTGACTCGCAGAGAGTAGCGGAAATCAAAGCGTTGCACTTACTTATTAAACTATTCCCCGTGCTGACTGTGAAAGGGAGGGTCAATTTGGTTTATTGTGCGAATATGTCACATGTATCATTACAGTGACACAGCCGTGATGCTCAAAAGAGCCCAAACATCATCGTGGGAGCGCATATCACGTGGTCACCTTTCGAATCTGCCTAGAGAAGGTTGTTTCACGGGAGGCCAACCCCCAGGTCCCTATCCCGTGGCAGGCTGCCCCATGGCAGGTCTCCGGAACGAGGTTATCCTGCCCCATATGGCAGATGTTACCCGAGCAGAGCTCAGCAGAGCTCAGCAGAGCTCGTCCTCTGTGAGCCTTGACACCTGCAATACGAGGTGCCTCAGAAATAGATTGATGCAAGGGCAACCTCGCATATCTTTTGCAGGGCTGGATCGTTTTCAAGGATCAGATCGGTGTTCATATAGAGACACCGTATTATAACGCGTGACGTTGTTTATTAGGCGTGAGAATTATATGGGCCAAGCAAGCTACATAAATGTCAACTGGTACACTCATTTACATTCTAATGTATTAAAAGTACACTAATAACATATAAATATTACACACTATTAAACTCCCTATATAACTATTATTAAAATAATATATTATATTTACTTTATAAATATAAGTCTAATAAAATTAAGTATAATATTTATAATAAAAGTATATTATTACTAATTATATACTTTTTTATTTAATTAAAAAGTTAGAATAATAAATTTAAAAGACTTACTTCTTAGTAGTTTATAAGTACTATACTATCACTACCTCCTTTAAAGCTTTTATAAAGCTTTAAACTTTTAAAAATAGATTATATTTATAAAAACTTAAAATTTAATAATATAATAAAGTAAGTAATTTATAATTTAATAATAAAAGATATTAAGTATATTTATTTAAAGTTATTAATTAAATAAAGGTTTATTTAATTACTTTAAGTTATATATAACTTTTTTTTATATAAAAGCTTTATTAAAATTAAAAAACTTTTAAATATAAAGAGCTTAAACTTATACCTTTAATAAAACTTATTATTATAATAAAATATATTACTATTAGTTATATACTCTTTTATTTAATTAAAAGATTAGAATAATAAATTTAAAAGACTTACTTTCTAATAGTTTATAAGTACTGTACTATTATTATATTAAAAGAAAAGTATTTTTAATATTATAAAAGTTTTTATATTTAATTTAAAGTTTTTATAAAATAATTAATATTTAAATAATATTATTTATATACTTATTTATATAATATAATATTTCTTAAATTTAAATATACGTTTTATATATTAAAATATTTTTAATTATAATTATTAAATTATATTATTTTATTAATTTATAATTATTATTTATTAAATAATATATATTTAAATTATATTTTAAATAATATTTTAAATTTAAAATAAATATAAATAATATTTTAATTAAAAGTATTTTATTTATATATAAACTTTATATTATTTATATTACTTTTTTAAATATTTAAAATATTTTAAATAAAACTTTTAATTTAAATCTTTTTATAATTAAACTTTTTAAAATAATATAAAAAAAAGTTTTAAAATCTTAAGAATATTCTCTTTTCTTTAATATTATTTATTAGTTTATTAAACTTAAATTAATAAAGTTAACTATTTATATATATAACTTTAAGTGTGTGTGATAATTATGTGCTATTAGTGTACTTTTAATACCTTGGAATGCAAACGAGTGTAGCAGGGGGGTGAAGCTCGGACCACATCGGCCAATTCGATTTTCGTGAGGGACGTGCATTTCTCCAGACAGCTTCAAACAGCCACTGCCCACCAGCATCCAGCGGCCCCAGACTGGCCATCCAACCCGGGCCCTCAATGCCTCGTCAAGCAGTGCGTGTCGTCCTCGGACGCAGCGCAAAGGCAGCCTCGACACCCAGACTGCGCCCCTTCTCGACCACCCCGAAGCGCCGCGACGATGACGCGAGCAAGCCACCGACCCGCCGCGACCGCTCCGTCGCAGCAGCCTCAGCCATCGGCGCCCTGAGCCGGCCCTCACAACCCTCCCAGCGCCCCGAGGGCTCCTCGCCCGCGCCCCAGAGGAAGACCCTCATCACTCGGGAACCCTCGGCCACCCCCCACTCGGCCGCCCTCGGCGCGCGGCTGGGTGCAAACGTCGTCAGCGTCCGAAGCCTGCCGAAGAGACGCGAGGGGAACGACTCCGGGCCCGCGGTGTTCCGCAGACTGAACTTCAGAAAGGACGGCTCCGGTGGCCCACAGGGCTCCCAGCGTCCGCAGGCTGGGCAGCCGGGCGCCAGTGTCGTGCGCGGTGGCTTCACACCGGGGCCCAACGGCCCTCGGTTCGCACGCCCCCCGGCCTTCAGGGGACAACAAGCAGGCGGGCCAGGGTCTCGCTTCGGAGCGGCTGGCGGCAAGCGGCCACCTTTCAAGCGGGGCGGCGGCGGCGCGAGGAAGAAGAGGGACGACGAGAAGAAGAAGGAGAGAGAGCAGGCGAAAGCGACGGGCATGAAGGGGCTGTCCGAGGAGACCCAGGCGTACGCGCGCGAACAGGAGGTCGGCGGCCCGGAGGTGGTGTACACGCCGTCTGTCACCCTCGAGTCGCTCGTCGGGTGGGGGCCGGCGGTGGCCACCAACACGGCGCTGGGGCAGGCCGACATGGCGGCCCGGAGCATCAAGACCCTCGGCGGCGGGCGGGGCACCGACGAGGGGGAGCAGTCGTTCAAGATCGCCGACGTGAAGAAGCGGCTCAGCGCGAACAAGCCCGTCTACTTCGCCAGTATCGAGCAGAAGAGGGCGCTGATCGAGACCCTGGCGCCCGCGAGGGCGGAGAAGATGCTCAAGGCGTTCATGCAGGCCAGAGTCGACCAGTGCCGGTTGTCCAGTGGTGAAAACTGGGGGGCCTCTGTGGCCAGTCTCAAGGCATGGGCCACCGAGTATGCCTCGAGCGAGGAGGGCAAGGAGATGGTGGATGTGGGCTTGATCGAGAGCGGTGCGACACCTGAGAAGTGGCTCAAGCTGGTGTCTGCGTTCAATGCCGTCTCCTGGATGGACGGCGAGGCGGCAAGGTTCAAGACGCAAAACTCGGAGAAGACAAAGGAGGCGGTTCACAAGTTCGTCCTCAAGGGAGAGCACCCCGAGGTCAAGTACGCCGAGGACGTGTACAGCAAGCTGGCAACATACCACGCCCAGGGCTCTACGTACACCATCGCCGACGGCGCCAAGTTCGACGAGAAGATTAGGAAGCTGATCAAGGTGGCGCCCCCGGTCAGACAGGCTGCCCCCAAGGCGGCCGCCCCATAAAGGCGAAATTTACGGCATGAACAGTAGGGAGAAAGAGGCAAGAGATTGTACAAATACAGTAGAATATACAAAAGTCCTGGTCATCGGGTGTCTATATCAATCGTAGCATGCGCTGTGCCTGTGGCATACACCGCTACAGCCGCGTCTGCCTCTTCTCCATCTGGGCGACGATCTGCTTCTGGGCGCGGTCGATGTGCTCGATCTTCTTGTCCTGCAGCTCCTTGACCTTCTTGTCGAGGGCCTTGGCGTCGTCCTTGGTAATGTGGTTGTCCTTGCGCCAGGCGGCGTGTTTCAGCTTCCTGGCGGCCATGACGGCGCGGATGGCGTCGCGCCAGGCGGTGATCTCTGCGCGGAGGCGGCGCAGCTGCTCGTCGGGGTTCTCGGGCTCGACGCGCAGGGTGAGCTCGAGGTCGTTGTCCGGGTCGCGCTGGGGCTGCTGGTTGAAGTCGGGGCTGTTCTGGACGGCGGACATGACGGGCTTGACGTACTCGGCGTCGCTGACGAGGATGGAGACGCTGCGGCCGCCGCGGTGGACGACCTGGGCCAGCTCGCGCAGCGGCCAGGTCTGCGGCGACTCGCGGTCGGGCCGCACGCGCAGCTGGCCCAGCACGTCCGGGTTGAAGCGCCCGCCGACCCTGAACTCGTGCAGCCGCTTGTCGAAGCGCTCGTCCACGCGCGCGTAGTCGGCCTCGACGTCGGACAGGTCCAGGGCGGCGTCGAGGTCGAAGGCGTTCTCGGCTTGCTGCGCTGCCTTCTCCTTGGCGCGGCCCCGCGACGGCGCTGCTGCTGCCTCGCCGTCCTCATCCTCCTCGGCGCCCCTCTCCTCCTCCCGCGCTGCTGATCGCTTGTTGGCCCTCTTCTCCTTGCTCTTCTTGCCGTCCAGCACGGCGGTCTGGGAGAAGCATCTTGAGGGGGTGAACCGTGTGCGCGGCAGGATCGTGGGGCGGGCAGGGGAGCTCGTGGCCACGGCGGCGACTGTTCTGGCCGAGACGGTTGTCCTGGGGTGGGCTTTGTTAGCTTGGGATTTGCCAATTGGCCGGGCAGGGGCATTGTACCTCGAGCAGAGGACAACTCCATCGTGTGTGCACTGTCGCAGTGCGATCTGGGCTCTGTTAAGCCCTCTCATGGCTGCTGTATTAATTTGTTCTTGAGAGGGCGTGTCGCACTACACAGCAGCTCCCACAGTACTGTAGAAAGATCTTGAGCACCTTCGCGTTGCTTGGCCCCGCGTGGACCACCCAAACACCACACACCCAACCCTGCCAATTACCTAGGTACGCAGCGATCCCTGGCCTTTACCGCCTTTACCTTTACCTTTACCTTTACTTTACCGTACCTGCAAATATCGACGAAACACCAGGTAAAATGGAATAATGAGAAGGGGTTACTGCACTGCTAGAACAAATTTCTTTATTAGCCACTTCAAGAGACAGCCGGGATTATTCCTGCCGCCACGATCTGCATCGATTCGTCGTCCGCTATCTTGGGCGACAACTCGTCCCAAAAAGCATCAACAGCACCTCAATTTGTGGTGTTATAACATGTCAAATTCCATTCAAAGTCAAGAACTGTCAATCTTTTCCCGGCCACCATTCTCTCTCCCTTCTAACCCTATACGTATAGATACCCGTCGCCGCCCGTCCATCACCACCCACTCCTTCATCGCCCAACACCAGCTGCATCTTCATCATCATCGTGCCGCGGATACTTGTGTATCGTCCTCACGGCGTGCAGCAGCTCCCTGCTGAGCACGGGGGGCACCCTCCCGTCGCCCGTCAGCGTCCCCAGCCCGGCCAGCCGGTACAGGTACCCCAGCCACCTGAACGAGTCCTCGCCCACCCGCCCGGGCTCGCTCTCGATGTCGTGGAACCTGTGGCCCGTCGCCCTGGCCCACGCCGCCCTCTCCTCCTCCCAACGCCTCTGCTCGCGCGCCGGCGGCAGCGGGACGGCGTTGCGCCCGCTGAAGACACGCGCCACCGCCACCGCCTGGTACTCGAAGCTGCGGAACGTGAGGCCCTTCTCGATGCCCACCGCCGCCAGCGTCGGCAGGTCGTGGAAGAAGGTGTGCCAGTAGTTGTTGACCAGCTTGCCCGCCTCGTAGTCGTACATGGCCCGCCCGTTGGCCCCCGAGTTCCAGAACGGGAACGACGGCCGGTACCCCGTCGCGTATATGATCTTGTCCACGTCGCCCCCGCCCAGCGTCGTCCCGTCCTCGAACTCGATCGTCCCGTCGCCGTGGTACCGCGTTATGATGGGCTTCCACTCGATCCCCCGCCGCGGCCTGTCGCCCTCGAAGCGGCCCCTGTGCCGCCGGGAGCTGTACACTGGCAGCTGCGCCGTCTTGGTCAGCTCGTTGAAGATGTCTGAGCCCGAGGCCGAGTTGCCGATCGTAAGGACCTTCTGGCCCGAGTACACCGTTGGCGAGCGGTAGTATTTCGAGTGGACCACCCGACCCGGATACTTCTTGGTATACTCCTCCAGTCCGTCAACGTGTGGGATCTGTCTTCTGTCAGCTCTGGCGCAAGGAGACGCAGCTGCACGAGTTGGGCCCAACCCACGTATGGTACTGAGTAGTGCCCGTTGGCGATGACAAGTGCATCAAACTCTTCCGTCCACCACACATCCACTCGCCGCAGCGCATCGTGTTTCCGCAGCGTCAACTTCCACCCGTCGAGACCTGACCCCGAAGGCGGTGATGGAATCCGGGTGACATCCTCGACAGTGGTGCTCAGCACAAGATGTTCGTCCAGCTCATGCGTTGCCACATAATTTTCCAGATACTGCCGAGGGACATGGTGCGGTGGGAACGGGCCATATGCAAATCGTGCGTCAGAGAAGCACATCGCTATATCAGGCACATTTGTTCTGTCATTCACGTGAGACTCTAGACATTTATGGTTTTTACTTCTCTTCCTGCTTACGTCAAGGAGTTATAGACTGGCGTCTTGGAGTACCGTTCCTGCACAACTGGCGCCGTGACGGCGGGAAGCTGGCCAGGAATCTGCACAGGTGGATCGATCTGCGGAGGCAGCTTTCCTGGATTTATGGGCAGTTCCGGCCCCGGTGAGGCATCGAATATCCTAATTCATGTTAATAAGAGTTCACTCATGAGGGATGATTCCGGCCACACCGAAGAAACTCACCATGTTCCGCCTGCAGTTTCCCGACGCTCAAAAATCCGAATCCGGTCGAAATAATTCTCTGCCTTGAGGGCAGCTGCCGTAATAGTCCCTACCACCAGCTATCAGCCCATGTGCCACCACCAGGAACAACATTTGAAGGGTGGAGCTCTTTGACGAGCACAACCTTGGTGCTAGGTACTTACCCGAGGCGCCAGCCCCGATGATGGCCACTGACTTGATCGGTTTCTCGGCGCCCATGATTCACGGCGAGGCTGATTCAGAACCCTGTGTTTCCGTGTCGTGTTATTTAGGGAAAAGGTAGATCATCATCCTGACCGTTTATCGCGCCTGCGGAGACGGAGAGACCGTTCAAGTTGGGCCACACGCCGTCACGCGCTCGTCATTTAGCACGCGATGTCGACATCTCGGTATCACGTGTCTTCATGGCGGCAAGTTGCATCTCACCAACCTAATGACCAATGGCATTTTCTGGGAGGTGTACCTCATAGATAAGCCACATACTGGATTAGAATCACTCCATTTGAGTCCGGCATGATGAACGGGCGTTGGTTTGCTGACTGGCTGTCGAGATGTCGTCAACTGGCGAACGGCCTGTGCCGGCAACACTAAACTTAAATTCGGGTCGGCCTCGGATTCGCATCTCAAATGTTTGCATCGGTAGTCAAAATCCTGGTTAGCCGCCGTTTAATTCTGCAAGTGTCAGACTAGAATGCACCGAGTCTTCGCATTGCTCAAGTGTCTGAAGATAGCGATACTTTATTGGTAGAGCTCGGCAACAGGATCAGAAGGATGACATACTGAAGTACTCGCAAATCATTTTAGCTAGTAATTATGCCAGGCTGGTTTGACTTAATTTGAATGAAGAACTGAGGAGTCTGAAACACAAAATTCACCATTGCACATGAAACATGGATTCAAGATGATCAGCACGATTCCAAGGAATGATGTGGTTCTACACTCTGGACAATATCCAGGTGATGTTATGTATTCCAACTCAAACGCTACCATGGAGCAGTTTTTATAATGCAAGCGCTAATAACAATATTTTACAGTGAAGTCGCCATAACACCAGGCACTATATGACATTGCATCAACCCCATCCGCGCTTAGGCGCCAAAGGTGAACTCAGGGATCTCAAAGGTGCCGATCTCCCAGGTCTTGCCGCCGTCGCTGGTGGTCATGTCGCCGGTGACGCCCTCGCCCAGGTACATGGTCCTGTCGTAGCTGGCATCGGCCGAGTCGAGGATGATCTTGGCGTCGGTCCACTTGTGGGCGGGCACGGTGCCGCAGTCCTCCGCCGCGCACTCGACGGCGGAGCCCCAGCCCTGCGCCTTGCCGCTGCTGGTCGAGAGGGTCGAGACCACCTCGCCGTTGATGCTGACCGTCTGGGTGTAGTTGCCGCTGGCGTCGTCCAACTTGTCTGTTTGGAGGGGAGCATGGTTAGTATCGATGTGTGTCTTTGCTGGCGCTTTTTCCGGCCGAACATGGCCCGGGGCTTGCTTACAGTGCATGGTCACCTCGTCACCGGGGTGGGCCTGAGTGGGGGTATCGTCCTGGACGACGGTCTGGCCCTTGCCCTCGCCGAGGGAGACAAGGGTGTAGGCGAAGATGGACCAGGTGTCGGACTTGTAGTTGTCCGAGATGGACTGGATCAGGTCGCCGTTGGAGGTGCCCATGCCGACCCAGAGGGAAGCGTCGCCCTGGTTGTTGGAGGGGACGTCGGGGAGGACGAGGGTGGCGGTGGACTCCCGGATGAAGGTAGAGTCGGCGACAGGGCCGGTGGAGAAGGCAGGGCCCATGGCAGCGTTGACCGACACAGCGGCGGCCGCGATGGCAGAGATGGTACGGAGAGCGGAAGACATATTGGTATGTGTTGTGTGTAAAATCTGGTATTGCTGGTACTGCCGGCAGTGAACGAGAGACAATGAATAGAAACGAAAAACTTAGGAGTCTGGATGAGATGCTTGCTGACACAAAAACAATGCTGTGAAGACCAAGTCGACTTGCACATACTACTTATATCACAATTAAAATACCCCACTACGTCAGTCTTCACCATATACGACCGAGTGCTCGAATCGCAAGCGATGCCCCATGATGAGACTTGACTAAAGCCGGGCCCATGGGGCCACGAGTTGCCTCCACCGGGACTTGTATTAAACAAGCTCATTAGCTTCGGAGCCTCATTGTGGGGGTCGATCAGCCGGTCCCATTCCCGATGTGGTGTTTCATTCATTTCCGCCGCCCTCTTGGCGACCAACCCGCACGCTCGAAACGTTTGTGGGGCATGGCTCCAGATGTCTGATTGAAACAGCCCTCCCCTGGGTTCTCCTTCAATTTTTAGGCCTGCACTTGATCTCCACCAATGGGCCGGGCGAAGCAGGCGGTGATAGCCGGGCCACGGAGAATTCTCCTGCGGCCGCCAATTGATGATGACAAAATTATCCGACGAATCCCGGGGTAATTCGTCAGCCTCGCGCTCTTTCATTACCTACTTTGGCATTTGGCAGACCCTGCCCCTTTTCTGAGAGGATGATGTGGTACCCATTCGGCCCTCGACTCCGAACACGAATTCATGTCAAGATCTCCTGAGAAACAACACACCTAGTCCTTGCAAATGGAGTTGGAATGGATTGTAGTCGTAACGTTACTCGTCGGCCAGAGTCCATGACTACTTACTGCCCTACCGATGTCAGTTTCAACGTCCATCCAACCAATCATCTGTGACTGGGTCGGGTCTTGGAAAGTCCCTGAAAACAAGCCAGCAACACGCGTTTCCGGGCCAAGAGCCTCGCTTTTCGTATTCATCTGCCTATATGATCTCGAAATGGCCTCAGGTCGCCCAATCCTCTCCCAGTACCACTTTGTTGTCTCGTCCTTTTCAGGAACCCATCCAATGCCAGCCCGACGAAGCCCCCTTTTGAGCTTCATCGTATCACCATCAGCCATTGAAATTGCTGTCTGTGTGATTGGTAGCGTGTGACGACTCACTGCCCCTGAGCTTGCTACGGAATCATGAAGTCTTAATATCGACAGGTACCACTTAAGAATCAATTGATTCCACGTAGAAGGGCAGACATTCTATAGGGTAACCTACGAAATACACTTTCAATGAAAAGATTAGTACAAAGAGTGATATGCAAGAAGATTATGTATACGTTGGCAGCAACCTACTTATTTTCCGGGATGGCATCTTTGAGGCCGGCCACTAGAAATGATGGGAGGCAGGCACACAAGCGACATATCCTCGAAAATCAAGTCCCCGACTGTTTTTCTTCCTGGAAAATGTGACTTTATCACTATAAAATTGAGGGTGATTATGCCTAGCACGTAAGATATCAAACCAAGTGGCGCTCACAAGGGCGTCATAGTCTGCCCTAGGGTCGATAAGAGGGAAGTGGTTGCGTTTCTAATTGCCATACATGTATTTGTCGCCTTCAATTGGTAAACACTCAACATCGACAACGGGAAAACTCGCCCAGTCCTCCGCGACATCGAGGATTCCGGCATCAATGAAGAACATGCTATTAACGTAGAGCGAGTTCCCTATCTCCACCGAGGCCACCACTGTCCCAAACTTCGCTACCTCGTCCGTCTCATTGATCGAAACTTGGCCGATATACCGCACAGAGACCAAGCTGTCGTTGATGGCCGAGACGGCAGTGGCTGCCTCTGAGTTATCAGAACAGAGACGCACCTGACGGTCGTATTGCTTCCCGCGTAATGGCAATACGGGTCTAGAGCGATGGGTCTAGATGCTGCTAGTACGGGACGGAGTCAGTCATATTGAATATTGATACATCGTAAACGTGCGCTTTGGCCAATGCTGTCTTAGGGGGTGATTTCTATGACTCGAGCGGACACCAATCTCGAGGTAAATTCCGCAAGCCGGAAATGAGGCTCAGAGTAGCAGGTGCTTGTCGCTACGATCGCTTTGAATCGATCCTTGTAGCATATGACGAGTGTATCTTGATTCACCAGGTCAAAATAAGATGCGGGAAGACCCATTCGTTTACGCCTCAGATGTTGGACGATGGAAACCTTGGAAGGGAGCCCAAGCTTTGCACGTAGGACATAGCGCAACTTGCAAAATCTGAGACTCACGCGCCTTTATTCATTCCATAAGCATGTCTGAGAAATTTTGTGCCGAAAATTGAAACTCTGCCAGTGCCCTCCGAGGATGGGTCTCAGGTAGCTCCGGCTGTAGTCCACGGGTCGGCGATGTCGGGTCCCGACCAAGTCACGTCCATGATGCCCACAGAACACCTGTAACTAGTAGTGAAGGTTAAGGTCTAGACTGAAAGCTTTCTCTATAAGTGTAAATGTTTGATATGGAGGGTCGCTTGTACAGCAACTTTTGCAGTGAGTTGACTCCATCCAGAGTGACCCTAGTATGCCACGGTTACACCATTACACACGAGGTGTTGCGCTCGAGGATGAATCGAAAGCTTTGCCATCGAAGTGCTCCTCATGGATCGAAGTCGCCATAGAACCTTCAACAGATAGCGTCTCCTCTTCTTGAGAGTCTGTGACCTTCCACGCACTCCATGTGGCCATCGGCGCGGACACGAACCATACAACAGCAGCAACAATCAGATTTGTCATGAGAGACGCTGACTTCGAGGCACCCACAGCATAGCTGAAGGTTGACCCGAGTGATTCCCCGCTTCGCAAGAGAGAGGATGTCAAGGCCAGCGTTTCGAAGTGTGTGTCGTAAGTGCCGAGGAGCCAATACATCCATGTGCCGACTGCTTCGTAACCGACTCTAAAGTATATGCTGTTAGTGGGCTGCTAATGCTAGACGCTACCAAATGAGACTCACCTATACAGCAAGTATGCGCATAGACCCCGTGCATAGCCCGGGGATGACCAGTCAAAGACAGCGTCTTCTTTCTGGTAGTCGGCCTGGTTGATGAATTGGTAGATCCATCCAGCGACGTAGATCACCGCGATTATAGTCCACATGGCCCTCGAGCGGGTAGAGCGGCGGAGATACTTCGAATCAAGGAACCAACCGACAACGAAGTTGACAATGATCCCAACAATGGTGACAATAAACCCTGCGAGTGTGCGCCCCCGGACCGAAAAATATGCGGCGAGGTAGTTGCCGTTGTAGGTTTGTCCCCATTGTGCCGTAATGAAGATTGGCACCAGCATGTAGATGTGCTTGGTCTTACAGACTGCCCAAAAGTCCTTGAAACCTTGCTTGAATGTGGTTTTACTCGAACGAGCTGTAGGCTTGGTTCCATCCCTGCGGAGGAGCTTTTCGGGAGAGGACAAGAGCAACGAGAGGGGAAGACCCGCACACGTTAGCCCAACCAGAACAAGATATGTGGTGGGACTGATGCTCCCCGCCTCATCCTTGCTCGTATTAAGGCCAAGCTGTATGCAGCTGGCGATGAGCGAGCCGATCTTGTTGAGGGCGAGCCAGATGGCCACGCACCAGCCTCGGCGGGAGGCTTCTGGATAGCCAACGGCGATGGCTCCCTCAGCCGTCCAAAGGGCCGCAGCCGAGAAACCACACGTAGCTGCTCCAAATATGAGAAACCACTGCGTTCCGTAGACGGTATTTGTATACAAGGCAGCGCAATATGGCACGTAGCCGATCGTTCCGAACACAAGCACCCATTTGAGACTGTACCGATTGCCGAAAACTGCGCAAATTGGAGAGAAGACGACCATGATAGCGAATGTCACCACATTGGCTGACATAGTGTCAGCTGGGATTCAAAGGGTTTGAAATCTGCAGTACTTACCGGCATTGACCACATATGGTTCTGCTTGTCCACCAGCTCCAAGGTCTGCATCGTTTCAGTAAATGCCCATGTGTCACACTCCGGCAGGTGGAACTCACTGTTCAACGCGACCCAGATACCAGGTTGGGTAAAGCTAACCAACCCGAGTATGATAGCCTGGAACGTGGTCCCTCGGTAAAACCGGCGAAGGCGCTCGGAAGCGCCTCCATGATATGCTCCTATATCTTCGGAAGTCATGATCTGAAGGGCCAATGGTCAAGTTCCTATGGATTCTCGCAGATCAAAAACAACGGAACAACAATGCCTTGGGGCATTTCTGGAACCGTGATTTGGCTACACGGAACAGTTAAGAAGACGGGAGATTTATCTGGCTGTCGTGCGGCGATGGCATCATGGGACACTCGAAGCTCGTGCGTGTAGGCTCCTGTGGATCACTTGAACTATCTCTTGTGGATCTTTCCAGGGCTCTGGATCAAATCAGTCGTTTACAATGCAAGTGCTATTACATGGATGAGGGCGGACGACCATCTTCACGGCTACGTTTGAGTGTAACGTACCAGGGGAATGCCTGCCATACCAGTATTCTGCATGCCTCGGAATAACTTTCTGCTGCGTATTCACCGCGTGCATGACAGCGTTCCAGAGTGCCGTATCCTACATGCATCAGAAAGTAAGCATGGCCATAAGGGTGCTTCAGGGTAAGATCCAAGGTATACGAAAAGGGAAATAACTGTTGGCTGTATCATCCAAGGACAATTGCACTTCAACATAGGTCGACGCAATATTAAAGGCGTCTAGTACAGCCCGAAAGACTAACTCTAGCATTCTTTCAATGTGCTGGAGCTCTCTTGGTATGTGGTTTTTTTTAGAACAACAACGACACCTGGGCATGGAACATACCGAATCTCCCGTGTCCAGTGTAGAACTTCGAGCCATTGATGCTTCATGGAGAAGAACAATTGGCTTACTATGTAGTATATTTTGATTATGGTCTATTCGAGGGTCGGGGACACACAGCATTGAGAAAAGGAACTAATGCAGGCGCTTAAATTACGTGATTTTGTTTCATGCTAAACAGGCAAGCAGATATTCGCTCGGGCGCCGAAGTAACCTATCGACCACCAAGAATGATACCGTCGGCCAGCTGAGCCTGTCTTATTCGAATTATGTGTGAACGTCCCTCTACCTAAAGCCCAATTCGTGCATTAAAAACACATTCTTTCAAACCTAATAGAAATAAAATCAGTCCTGATATACATTGTCTGTGAGCCAAGTAAGTGTTGTGAAAGTGATGAATAGCGGCATCGAACTCCGGTACTCGCCGGGCCCTTGAGCACGCCATCTCTCGCCATCTGTCCCACCCTAACACGTCTTCCAGCCTTCGACTGGGCACAACGCAAGGAATGCTAGGCCACCTGCAAAGGTTTGATGTAATTTCTGACTTTTCATTCGGTAATTCCCGTCTTTCTCCGACGATATCAACGTGCGATTGCGGCCCTTCCATCGGCGAGTTGACGTCTATTTCATGTCACGTGAAACCCCTCCCAGTACATGAGCAAATCTCGGAGGCTACTCCGCTCCGGTTATTCAGGTTGTAGAAGATCCCAGAATACGTTCACTGCACCTACGTACGATTCTTTAAAATACTTTACGTGTATGGGGATTAAAAACGAACCCACTAAAATACTTCTCGAAAAGGCGGAAGGTGCACAATCAAGATGGCAGAGTCCAACGGGAACAACTCTTCGCGACCATGGATCATGAACGCATTCGTCATGAGTGCACCGGGTCACCTGGCCCCTGGTAAGCCAAGTCTCAGGCCGGCACACGTACATGATACTCACTGACCAACTCAAAGGTCTTTGGCGGCATCCCGATCAGGGCGAGCTCACTGTGGAGCACTGGGTGAAGCTGGCAAAGCTGCTGGAGGAGGCAAAGTTCCACGGCGTATTCTTCGCAGACGTGCTGGGCATATATGATGTGTACAAGGGGCCATCGAACAACGGGCCGGCGCTTCAGAGCGCTGCGCAGATCCCCATTGGGGATCCTAGGTATACACAGACAGTGGGCCGCCTCGCGTGGAAGACCTTGCTAAAATTGTCGCAGCCTTCTCATCTCTGCCATGGCACATGCGACGAACTCGCTCTCCTTCGGCGTGACCGCTTCGACGACGTACGAGAACCCTTACGCCCTGGCGAGAAAGTTCGCCACGCTGGACCACATCAGCAAGGGCCGGGTGGGATGGAACATTGTGACTTCCTACCTGGACAGTGCGGCGAAGAGCTACGGCCTAGAAGAGCAGATACCGCATGACGAGCGATATGTGAGGGCGGATGAATTCATGCAGGTTGTTTACAAGCTCCTTGAGGGCTCCTGGCAGGAAGGAGCCGTGGTGAAGGACAAAAAGGCTGGCATTTATGTGAACCCGGACGCGGTCAAGCGCATCGACCACAAGGGGTGCGAGGAACCCCGTGTGTGTGATGTCGGAGCGAACATTGACATGGTTGCAGAAAGTATTACCAATGTGCTGGTCCCAGTCTGCTAGACCCATCTCCACAACGTACGCCATTCTTGTTACAAGCTGGAGCATCAGCGTAAGTGGCCCGGCTGATACCCTTGAGAAGGGCATTGCTGAACAGATGACAGGTCTGGGCAGAAGTTCGCTGCAACTCATAGCGAGGCAATGTTCCTGCCGGGCTTGATCCCAGAGAAGACGCGCAAGATTGTTGACGATACCAAGTAAGCATCCTGGATGTTGGATGTGTATGCATGTGAGCAGCAGCTGACCAGCGTTGTAGAGCAATACTCGTCCAGCAGGGGAGGAAGCCTGACAGTGTCCGTTTCCTCACCGGAATATTCATCGTGGTGGACGAGACAGACGAGAAGGCGCAGGCAAAGTTCCAAGACCTGCTCCAGTACGCAGACCTGGAAGGCACCGCAGCGCTATTTGGGGGCTGGGCAGCAACGGACCTGGCAAACTTCACCGATGATGAGGACTTTGCGTTCAGCGGGCCGGGCGCGATCCAGTCCATGATCAAGGCGTGGACAGACACCGTCCCCGGGACAGAAGGACTCAAGTGGACCAAGCGCAGGGTCCTCGAGCAGCTCGCCATATCCGGGGCCCACGCGAAGGCGGTTGGGAGTCCTAAGACGGTTGCGGACATCCTGCAGCGCTGGATCACAGAGGCCGGGATCGACGGGTTCAACTTGAGCTATGCGACTACTCCTGGTACCTTTGAGGATATGATCAAGTACCTCTGGCCAGAACTCAGGGCGCGGGGCGTGCTTCAGGAGGACTATCCTGTCCCGGGAGGGAGCATGCGCGAGACGTTCTTGGCTGATGGACAAGGCCCTCGTGTTCGGGCGGATCATCCTGCGGCTGCATATACATGGAAATGATGAGAGCTAGTACTGCCTCTAAGCAGGAAATTTAAATCCATTAAACAGATAAAATGTCTATACCTTATATGATAGCTAGGGATTGTTAGGAGGTGATATAGGGAAGGTGTATCCTTGAAGGAAATGGATTGGAGTGTAAAGCGGACACCTTAACCACTGGGCCATCGGAGCGTTTTAACACTAGAAACAGCTTTGTTGGCCCAGTGGTTAAGGCGTCCGCTTTACAACAAGTGATTAGTACTTAAACGCGGAAGATCACAGGTTCGATCCCTGTACGAAGCAATTTTGTATTTTTGCATCTAGAAGCGCGCCTAGACACTCCCCAGCCTTTTTGGATGTTTCTTATCGACTTAATATTCATTAATGTTCAATAGTAATTATATTCATCTATGGCTTTGGAAGTGTACGGTAAAGAAACGTAGTGGCCCACCACTTTCAACAAGGAGAGCATATAAACATGAACACGAAATTTAGATGATATTGCATGCTACTCCACCTTGCGCTAACCCTAGACTACTGACAAGATGATGCTTGACTGACTTTAATTAGACTTTTCCGGAACACCACAGCCAACTCCCAACCTCAACCCGACCCCTCCCAGCCCTAGATCTTCTGATTAGGCCCAGCAATCAGCATCTTGATAGCCTGGCCCTCCTTGGCCTTCTCAAAGGCCTCGAGCGCGTTCTCAAAGGGCACGGTCTGCGAGATGAGCTTCTTGGCGTCGATCTTGCCGCTGGCGACCAGCTCGACGGCGAGCTTGTAGTCGCCGCTGCCGTAGCGGAAGCAGCCGTGGGCGGTGGCCTCCTTGACGGCGAAGGCCATGATGGGGAAGGTGATGTCGGCCTTGCCCATGCCGCCCTGGACGTAGTGGCCGCCGTTCTTGAGGACGTGGACGGCGGCCTGGATGCTGGGCTCGGCGCCGGTGGCGTCGATGACGACGTCGGCGCCGTCGGGCAGGCCGCACTCGCGCTTGATGTTGTCGGCGTTCTCCTCGGCGGGGATGCGCTGGGACAGGTAGGTGTGGGTGGCGGCGAAGTCCCGGGCGAACTCGAGCTTTGAGGGGACGATGTCGACGCTGACGACGGTGGAGGCGCCAAAGGCCTTTGCGACGGCGGCGCAGAGCAGGCCGACGGGGCCGGCGCCCATGACGACGACGGACTGGCCGGGGTAGAGCTGGGCCATGCGGGCGATGTGGACGCCGACGGCGAGGGGCTCGATGAGGGCGCCCTCCTGCAGGGACATGTTGTCGGGCAGCTTGTAGCAGAAGTCCTCGGGGGCGGCCCAGAAGCCGGTCAGGGTGCCGTTGACGGGCGGGGTGGCGGCGAACTGCATGCCGGGGCAGAGGTTGTACTTGCCCGACAGGCAGCTGGGGCACCTGCGGCAGGGGTAGCCGGGCTCGACGGCGACGCGGTCGCCGACCTTGAGGGTGGTGACGGCGTCGCCGACCTGGGCGATGACGCCGGCGGACTCGTGGCCCAGGACCATGGGCTCGTTCAGCGAGAACTTGCCGATGCCGCCATGCTGCCAGTAGTGGACGTCCGAGCCGCAGATGCCCGTGTATGCGATGGCGACGAGCACGTCGTTGGGCGAGGTGAGCTTGGGCACGGGGCGGTCCTCGAAGGAGACGTCCTTGACCTTGTTGAGGACGAATGACTTGTTCTGTGAGGCGAGGCGAGGCGTGAGCTGAGCTGCTGTCGTCGGCGTCATGCGAGGGAGGGGCAAGAAAGGTGCGTCTGAGGTTGTGTACTTACAGATTTGCCCTCCATTTTGAACAGTACTTGAGTGTATGAGGGGGGTCAAGAGGTCAAGACAAGTCGCGAATGTGAAGAGAGAGAAGACAATTGGCGCGTGATGCAATGGTGACGAAGGGCAGATGACGAAGACGACAGAAAGGAAGCATTAGACAGTCCACCAGGGAGACAAGAAAAAATAGGGGCACCCAGCCAGTATATCAAGGGCAGCACTACGGCAGATAAGAAGTCCAGACTCGCGCGGTTGCGTAACGTGTAAATCTTTCGAGGATCGTGACCCCTCATCTCCAAGACCCCAACGGACGAGACGAGCTCTGTTGGAGCAACTGTACGGTACTACTCCGTAACTAACTGCTGGCGCGGGGCAGCTCCTGGGTCCTGGGTCCTGGGAACGTCCCCACCGCCGTCAGCTGCCCCCAGGCAGGCACCCCCCTAGAACCAGCCGTGCCCCTTCGAAAAACCCATCCAGCCCAACGGCCCAGATTTACCCAGCCATTTACCCGCACCAATCGTTGACAGCCGCCCCGAGCTGCCCCAAGCCCGCCCCGGCCGCACCAGCGGTCGAGTCTCGCCCGCCAGCCCGCCCGAAAAGGTGGACAAGGCCCCGACGTCACCCGACAGCGCTGGGCCACTGTGGTGTTTATCAGCGCATGAAATCGCGAGCGGGTAATTGGGCTGGCTCATCACGGATCAATACGAGGACCTCGGCCGAGTCGACGGGCGGACGGGTCAATCCCTTTTCTTTGCGTTCCTTTTTTTTTGAATGCTTTGAGCAGGCAGCACGAGCATCGAGAACACGGGTCTGTCTCCAGCTGGACAGAAAATGGATCTAAGATGAGTTTGTTCGAATGCGCTGGGATGGAGATTTGCCAATCCAGGAGTGCCTTGCACCGCCGCGGCTAGACTTGATGCATCGTGAGAGGTCGCTCGCTGGCAGAGGATGGGCGAGTCACGGCTCAGGACCACGTTTTTGAGCTGAAGCAATTGTGCTGGAAATAGGTGCACGATTTTGCAATGTTGATAGTGAGATAGAGTGAGCCTAATTATGCCATGATTTAAACAGCTTTGCGTTGAGGTCACCACTGCCACAATTGTTCATGGGAACCTTGAGGCTAGCACCAGCGTCTGCCCGCCACAAATCCTGACATTGGATTACCACTACACCCGCCATGCAACTCGAGCTCAAACAGCTCACGGCGTATCGAATAGACAAATCCTTCAAAAGTATGTCTGACCCGGTTGCAAGAGCAGCAGTCTCTCGAGCTCAGAGACACACACAGTGTCAAGAGGCTTCAGTGGAAATACGAGGAAGCGATGGTACACCTGTAGGTTCGTCTGAACAAATAATGGCGAACGAGATGCTCGGCAGTAGAAGAGTTTTCAAGATGATGAGAAGGCAAAGGGCTTCAAGGGTCGCTGCGAGCATCGGTCAACTCATCATGAGAACTTGAGCCGTGGAATACCGGTCTTTGTGATTGTATCATCTCTTGGAATTTGTCGCATATAATATTGCGCGAAAACCGCAAAGGAACGTCTCACAACACTACCTAAAGCACCGTCGTTTCTGACTACTACTACGAACCGGAGGTCTGATCAACGGTGGTAATAAACGGCCCCGTTCCATCCATCTGCCCAAGAACAGCCTCCATCAGTTCCTTAGGGTCCCACTGATCCCTCTCTCTCATCCGCTTGTGCACAAACCATTCCATGAGATCCTTCACCTGCTGCGGTAGCAGCCCGAGTCTGTCACGGTAATCGCCCCACTCGCCACCATGTTCACGGTCAATCTCATCCCAGTACCACCCATCAAATTCTTCCCTGTCCCACCTGTATGTGAAGTTCCACAGGTACTCGCTCCGCTGTGCCGCCCAGCGCTTTGTCATGCCGTCATAAAGGGGAGTGGGTATCGAATCTTTGTCCTGGATGCTGAGACGTGAGACTTGCTCTGCGACGCCGTCGCTGTGGTGATAGGACTGCGGATCGCCATTCAGCGTCGATTTTATCCGCTCCCTATAGAATTCCCGCTCCTGCTGCTGCAGTGCACGCATGAACATCAGCCGGTTGTTTTCGATGTCCTTCGCCAGTTCAAAGTCAATGCGATGGCTGTTTTTTGACAGGTCCTCTTTGCCTTGGACCTGTCCGTCTTGGTCCTGAGCCCCAGTGTCTTTGATATTTCCCTCTTCGCTCCCAATGTTCTCCTTGCGGGCTAATCTGATGTCAAAATTTTCAAGCACAGCCCCTGGGTCCCGGTCCATGATGACCCAAAACGGGGGGTCGTAGATATAGGACTCGGGCGCAAAGTACACAAATTCCCAGTCGATCACGCCCTGGACGTCACCTTGGTCGTTGCAAAGGACATTATGCGGCCTAAAGTCATCGCACCAGAGCCGGAATGACTCCTTCGTTTCTTCTGACGCGGATCCATCGTCTTCCGGACGCTGTGGGAGTCTGCGGTTCTTGGCCAGCTGGCGGAAGAGATACCGCGCCACGAAGCTGTCGCGAATGTCCTCCTCGTCCTTCTCGGGGTCTGTGTCGTAGAGGAGCCCGGCGATGTACGTCTCTGCAATGGATATGTGCCATTGTCGAGATGTCGAGATCGTTTTGGCAGTAGTGATATCCGGGGCGAAGAGAGATTCGGGGACATGATACGACGTGATCTGGTTGCTCAGGAGGAATGACTTGGGGGCCCCGCCTGGGACGCCGCGGCCGTCCACGACATCGAGGGCAGAGATGCTTGGTGAATGGAGCTGAGATAGCTGGATGTGTACATTTGCTAGCTGGCGGAACAAGTGGTCCTTGATCAGGTTGACGTCTCCCCCCAGTTCCGGCCGTTGGACAAGCTCCGGCTCAGCCAGGAGAGTGCCCATGTCGTAGGAATGGGGGATAAACTCCACGACCATAAAGGGCAGATCAAGCCCTGTGGGGTTGTCGGCGGCCGATCCCCAGTGGTATACACGAGGCACACGTATGGTGGTGTGCTCTGCAACATGGAGCATCGTTGCGACCTCTGCGCGGGCCTTTTCCTCGGGGAACGCTACCAGGCCAGGGATCGGCACGCGAAACATGGCAATCTACACTTCTCAGTAAGGGCTTTTCAGTGCATTGAAACGGGTCTTTCCTTGATGTCTACGGCTTTGAAATGATGGATGGCTTGTATCACAACCACGGCATTTGAGGAGCTGAACTCACACTTGGACCGGCCGACTCATCGTAGAAGTTGAATGCGATGCTAAGATTATAGGACCCATAGTACCATCGATTCTCACCAGTGGGCATCCCTGGATGGTATTTCTTGACAAGGGCGAGGATCCGGTCTCGAAGACCCGTGGAAAGGTCGTCGAACTGCTCTCGAGTTTGATCTAGCCACGTGTCTCGCAGTAGGTTTCTGTGCCGTGCTGAAGAGTTTGATGGCGCCGCAGAACCTCCTGGGCCGGACACTGAGCCTGAAGGCGAAGGAGGAGGCAGGCCGTGGCTGCCTGACGGAGCGATGGTAGCATCGCGGCTCCCGTTGGGAATAAACTCGGGCATTGCGTTCTGCCGGTGCCCCTGACGCTGCTTGCTCACGTGCGATCTTTCAGATGCCTCGAATTCCGCAGATGCCTCTAGGGCGCAAAGACGCGCGCCGTTTAATTATAAGGTGGCCTCGAGTGCACAAAAAAAAAGTTGTGGTGCTGACGCAGGATTCCAATGATGCAGTCCCTGCGACTGTGCCGTATGCATGTTGTAGAGTTTACTAATTCCGGGGGAGGATTTGGCCTGCCTCGAGGGTCGAGGGCACATCTTGGCCCTGTCAGTACAGGGAGCTTTGCGAAACAGGCCAGGCCTCTCCGCCAGCGGCCGTTGGAGTCCGCTGTGCGTCACAAAAGACACTCTTCCGAAAGTCTCGGGCGCTTCACACCGGGGTCGTCATAACTCTGTCTATTCTCGGTACACGACTGTTCTGAACTCACTGAAGGGGCCAATTGTTCTCAAGAAATGTAAGCATACAGTTTGGATTCATCTAGTTATGCGTATCATAGGAGCAGGTAGGATGCCTAATAATAAGTAGGCTCGAGAAGACGAGGACACAGCACAGTTCCTGTTGGCCATGGGCTAGAGGGCAAACTGTCAGAACTATAGGTATAACAAAGTCAGAACTGTGTGCAGCGTGGCAAAAAGATGACGGCGGGAAGCCTCCATTTCTCCATGGCTGTACGTTGTATTGAGTGCCGGCTTCGAGCCCTCGGCGCCGCGAAGGCCAAGGTAAGCACGCCACCACCGTCATCCCTGAAGTTGCTCTCATGTTTCTTTTTTAGGTAAACTTCAGCCTGTCATACAACTGGCGGCGACTGGCCCGTTGCGGACCAGAAGCCACACATCAATGATGCAACTGATTTCAGATGAGGGATTCAGGTCATTGCTCGCCTTTTCTTGCAGGCAGCAGAGTCGCAGTGGACCTGTCCTAATTCGATCATGCAGAGGCGTATACGAGCGGTTATGCCTCGGAAATAGATGTGATGGAGCTAGCCCATGGTGTTTCAACCATGATTATGGCCCATACTACGGCACGCTCCATATGGCTGCGAGCTGACGTCCCTCCGGATGGTCCGCTGGGCTGCCCAAGGCCGTCACCCAGCCGTCGCAATCGTGATCTCAGACCTCGTCCTGGGAGCATTTGAGGACGCGTAGGTGTATACAGACTCCTGAGATAGTAATATCTTGGTCTCGTCGTACCCAGATCCTGCATCATCTGAGTCGCCATCCTGTCGGGGCCGTTTCTGCTTCAGCCTCCATGTTGGCCTCGCATTGTGGATATGAATAGCTCTGACATTTTGTTGCTTAATAGCAAGCACCAACCAGATATAAAACGAGGTTGGTCAGGTCCATCCTAGATTCGATATTTCCACCAGCCATCATCACCAATTCCTCTTGTTTGCCATACACGTTTCTTCAGCTCGAGCAGCGGGCCTCTCGACTTCGTCTCTTAGCATTTTGATTCTTTCAAAGAACTTGCCGTAAATATGAGCTCCTCAAGGCGCAGCAACGCGAGTGGCCGCCGCCCCAGTCACAGCGCCTCCTCGTCCGGGTCCAGCAACGTCTCATCGATCCAAGAGATCGCGCGCCCGAGCACCAGCGCCGGCCCGCGGATGCAGACGAGCAACACCCAGTTTTATTCCCAGCCCGGCGGGGTGGCGGACGTCCAGAACGTCGACCGCGTCAACCGCAACCCTTCGTCGGCGAGCATCCCGCCATACACCTCGGCGCGCCCCCCAACCTACCACTCTCAGGAAAGCTCCGGCGGCCCCCGCCCAGCCAGCAGCGGCAGCGGCAGCGGCGGGCGCGCTGGTACGCACGTTTCCGACCCTCCGAGCTACCACTCGCGCACCTCGAGTCAGCAGGCGCAGGGACAAGTCTATGGCCAGCAGCCGCAGCAGTATCAACAGCCTCAGCAACAGAGGCCTGCGCAGCCTGCGCAGCAGCAGAGACCCGCCCAGCAGCAGCAGCTGGCGGTGCCTCAGCAGCGGCAGGGTTTCCGTCAGCGCACTTCTGAGAGACTCAGGAACTTGTTGCGTCGACCCCGCGACCGCAACTAGATACCTAGAGGCCCTTGACTGCTGTGCCCCTGAGGGAAGAGGTTCGAAGCTGAAGGGACATACTCGAAGTCGGCGTTTACATTTAGTTTTGCTGGACTTGAACGTGACTAGCTCTACCCAGGTAGGCAGAGCTGCCTCTCTCTCGTCTATGCACACAAGATTGTGGCGTTGCTGGACCAACGCTACATGCACGTTCCTTTCAGGGAGGCAAGGATATAGCTTGGAATGGATTGGTTGTTGAATGGGTGCATGTGGGTGGTTGCTTTGCGATAGCCATGAGCCTGGTAGTTTGCTCGAGTTCACTCCTTTATAAATAGTATACCACACTTTCATTAAAATGAGCGGGGCCGTTTCCTTTTCCCAGTGATCTGAAATATGTTACAATCCTCCGAGAGAGTCGAAAAATGGGCTGAATTCTCATTCTCACCGCTCGAATTCGAGTCCAGTGTCGGCATCTTGGACATTCTACCACCTCCGTCTTCGGTGTAGCCTTATAATGCGTGTCTATCCTTAGCGCGGCCTCGACCTCGTCAAGATTTAGGACAGGGTATTTCTCAAAACCTATAGACAGGTCCAAGGTTGAATGGGTTATAAATCAGTACGACATTGTTGTAATGGTTTTCTCATATTCCCTGATACCCCGGCCGGCGGGATCACTGTCAATCATCCAAGCCCCCAACACGGGGGACCTGGTTGTGCCGTCCTGCTTCATGAACTCCGGGAGTAAACGCAAGCTCCTGAATGACAAGTCCGGGGTTCCTGGTGGTTCAATCCTCTTGATCCGCCCTGTTTCCATCTGCGACTATCTTCCCGTCGGCTTCAGGGGTTCTATCAAAACACTCCCGAGCGAGAATGGGCCTACGACAACATTTTGTGAAAGGCTCTGGCTACTCGCCATCAAAACATGTCGGTAATAGCCATCTTAATCTCGGGTAATCCTTGAAAAATGTCCCACATTACCGCCTAGACTATGTTATTAGCTAAAAGCATTCGGTATGGGGCCTTGATCCAGGGGCCAGCGCAAAAACGAATTGTTTAAATCACCAAGCCAATTTTCTCTTTCCCCGACTAAAGCATACTAGGGTTAAAAGAGTTATTTCACGGGAAAGAACATTAAAACGGGATATCAAGTACACAATCCCAGACTTTTTATCCCTTCCACGCGCAAATCCACGCACACATTTCCACGCGGCCTAGGAAAGTTTTCCGGAACATAATACGTGAAGAGTAGGCTAATGCAGCACATAATCCAACATATTGCTTGGAAGAATCAAGGTCCTTGTCTGATACTGTAATGGTATTTGAAACAGTAGAAACGTCTTTGTGGGCAATGACCGCACGATCTAAGAACGCATGTAGTAGGCTTCTCCAGCGCGAGACTCAAATGATACCTATGTATGTAAGATTGGAGTAAGAGGCTCCCGTTGATCATTTCGAATCGTTTGGTCAACATTGTGTCAACAAGCTCCTTGGGGGCCCGTTTGCTGACAATGCATGGCCATCCAGCTGGTCCTCTGTACGATTCAGAAAGTTGACAGAATTCTCTCATGGTTTTGTCAACTTCATAACATGTTCACATACTGATCACAAGCCACATATAAAATGTGCATGAGAATAGGATTGCCAGCTGGGTCGTTTGGATGGGTCATTTGAACTACACGGGTTTCCTAAAGTCAGGCTCGAATAGGAGGACATACTACACTCCTATGCTAGAAGGATAGTGAGCACTTAAGGTGGTCTATGAAATTATTTATAGTACCCTTTTAGCTTACTTTTATATATATCTTTTTAATTAAGTCGATAGTTTAAAGACTTTTACTTAAGTTTAACCTTTATTATATTTTAAAGTTAATAAACTTTAATTTAAATTAATTTAAATACTAAATATATTAAAATCTATTTATATTTTAAAAGTAATTATATATATTAAAAGTAATATTTTTAATAAAATATTATTATAAAATAACTTTTATTTACTTTTAAATATATTAAATATTTCTTTAAATTAAAAATTAATTTAATTTTAATTATATATAAAACTTATATTAATATTATATATTATTAATAATATATAAATTATAAACTATTTATATTTTTTAATTTTATTATTAAATTAAAATAAATAATTAAAATTTTTAAAAAATAAAATATAATATATCTTTTAAAAATTAATTTAATTAAATTTATTATAAACTATTTATATTTTTTTAATTCTATTATTAAGCTAAAAATAAATAATTAAAATTCTAAAGAAATAAAATATAATATATCTTTTAAAAATTAATTTAATTAAATTTATTATATAACACTTTTTATAATAACTTTATAATTATTTATAATACTATCTATTATTAAAAAACACCTTTCTATATTAGTACGCTAGGCTATACCTAGTCGGTTCGGGCCGGCACTATTAGCCTATTAAAGGTTAAAGTTATTACGAACTATAGGCTGCCTAGTCTTAATACTATTAAGTACTATATATAAGGTCATTATATAACTTAGGTATAAGTTAGTTAAAATAGATGAAAATAAAGCTACTATTCCCTTAAGGGATATATATAAGTTCTAACTCTATTTAAGTAAATACTTATCTAGTAAACTTAAAAGATTATTAGCTCTATAAATAAAACCACTTAAAAGTAGTTACTTAGCCTACTACACTATTAAACTAAGAGATAACTAGGTAAGGTAACTATATTTTATTATTTAGGTTTATAATTCTAATAGCTCTATTATAAATAGAAGAAGAAATAGTTATTAATAATTAAATTTATAATTATATAAAGATAGATCTTTACTTTAAAGAGAAGTTATTAATATTTAAGATAGTTAATATATTTTTAAAAAAGTTAAGAGATTATAAGTTTAATTTAAAGGAAATTAAAATCTATAAGAATCTTAAACTTAAGTTTAAGAGCTCTCTTTTAGATTTAACTCTTTTAAAAAGAAAAATATTAAAAAGGTTTAAAAAAGGCTTAAATAAAGCTAGAAACTAAATAAGGTTATAATAATATAATATAGTTAAATAAAAACTAATTATAAAATTATAATTATAAATCTTTTAACTTTATATTTAAAAGGAATTAAATTTATTATATAAAACTTTTATAATAACTTTATAATTATTTATAATATTATTTATTATTAAAAATATTTTTATATTAATATATTAAGTAATATTTAATTAATTTAAATTAATATTATTAACTTATTAAAAGTTAAAGTTATTATAAATTATAAATTATTTAATTTAATATTAATAAATATTATATATAAATATTAAATTTACTATATAATTTAAGCTATATATAAATATTAGTTAATTAAAATAAATAAAAATAAAGTTATTATTCCTTTAAAAGTTTTAACTCTACTATTAGGGCTATAGGCTAAATGCCTATAGGACTAACTAGTAGGTTTATATACTCTACTTATTTTATTAGCTTAAGTGGCCTCTATACCTCTTACGATGCGGGATTGTAGCTTTGCTGCCTCCCCTATACTATTTCTTAGGTAATTCTAGTTTTAAATTAATAATTCTTTATAAATAATTTGAGCCTTCTTTTACTATAAGTTATGAGGACTGTTTTATTTACTTTATAAATAAATATTTATTAAGTAAAACTATTTAAAAATAGTTACTTAACTTATTATACTATTAAATTAAAAAATAATTAAATAAAATAAATATATTTTATTATTTAAGTTTATAATTTTAATAATTAAAAGAAGAAATAGTTATTAATAATTAAATTTATAATTATATAAAGATAAATTTTTACTTTAAAAAAAAGTTATTAATATTTAAAATAATTAATATATTTTTAAAAAAGTTAAAAGATTATAAACTTAATTTAAAGAAAATTAAAATTTATAAGAATTTTAAATTTAAACTTAAAAATTTTAATTTAATATTTATATTTATAAAAATAAAAATATTTATATAATTTAAAAAAAAAAAACTATAATAGCTTTAACCTTTAACGCGCCGGTTCGAACTAGTACGACCTAGTGTACTAATATAGAAAGGTATCTTCTAATAATAAACAATATTATAAATAATTATAAAGTTACTATAAAAAGTCTTATATAATAAACTTAACTAAGTTAATCTTTAAAAAATATATTATATTTTATTCTTTTAAAACCCTAACTATTTATTTTTAACTTAATAATAGAATTAAAAAAATATAAATAGTTTATATAATTTAAAAAAAGGTTTAAATTAAGTTAAATTAAGTTATAATAAAAGAAATTAATTAAATAAAAATTAATTAAAAAATTATAATTATAAATCTTTTAACCTTATATTAAAAAGAGTTATTAATAATATATTAAACTTTTTAATTAAAAGAATATAATAATTTATAAGAATAGAAATTTATATACTTTTAATTAAAAGGCACGTATTTATCTACTAATTAAGAAGTATAGAATATAAAATAACTTCTTCTTAAAGGGCTAGCTAAAGTAAAAAAGGTGAGCCTTAAAGTGTGAAATATAGTAAAAGGTTATAAATAAAGTTAGTAAATATAACTTAAGTTTTAAAGGATTAACTTACTCTATTTATAATCTTTTAATTATAAAAAAGGTTTATTTATTAAAGTTATAAAAACTTTAAAGTTTTATACTTTAATTAATTAAATAGTAAAGAAAGTATATACTTTTTAATTAAAAGTATATAAATTTCTATTCTTTAATTTATTTATTATTTAATATTTAATAATATAAATTATTAATAATTTTAATTTATTAATTTTATTTAATAATATATTATTATATAATAAAAATATAACTTTATTATAATATTTTATATTTTAATAATAAAATTTAAATAATTATAATATTAATAAAAATAAAAATAATTATTTATAATTTATTAAATTTTATTAAATTTATTAATTTATATAAAATATTTAAAAGTATAATAAAGTAATAATAATAATAAATTAATAAAAGTTTAATAAAGTTTTTAATTATTTAATTATTTAAATATATAAATTTATAATAATATTATTATATAATTATAAAACTAATCTTTATAACGAATAATAAAAAAATAATTAAAAATTATAATTCTATATTTTAAGTATTATTAAAGTTTAATTACTTAAATAATTAAATATTAAATATATAGACCTATTAGTTAATCTTATAAATAATTACCCCTAAGCCTTAACATACTATTAAAACTATATTGAAACCCGCTCAGAACGTGCAGCTGGTACATGTAGTTTTAAAAATGCTAAAAAAGGTAAAAGAAGAGGCGATTGTCGCCGGGAATTGAGCCCGACGTGGGGGTCGAACCCACAACCTTGAGATGTAATCTCTGTCAGAATCGTGAGGCTATTCAGACCCTCACGAGGTCCTTAAGAGTCTCACGCTCTACCGATTGAGCTAGCCGGGCGTCTGTTAAGACGCTGGATCGTTGAGGAAGGAGCGACCGTGAAGTTTATAATTAGAAATTGCGTAAAATTTAGGAAGGAACATATAATAAGTTTATTTTCTTAAACATTTTCTAAAAAATATTAAGTATAAATAAAACTATATTTAAAAAGTTAAAATTATAATATTTTTAAATAATATTTATTTATTATTAATATATTTATTTTATTATTATTATTAATAATATTTTAAATTAATAATTCTTTATTATTAATTATAAAAATTATTTTAAAATTAATATTTTAAAATTAATATATTAATTTTTTTTATCCTTTTATATATAAATATAACCTATGTTTTACTTTATTATTAACTTAAAATCTATAAATAAGTCCTTTAAGATATACACACTAGATTTACTAGGCTTGTTAAGAGTAGCATGCCTTAATACTGGTGGGGGGCCTAGTAGGCGGATTTCCATGGCATTGCTGGGGTGAGACTGATCTGACAACATGATGTGTCTCAAGGAAATCAGTCGAGAGCCCAGGATGGTAGTCTAGAGGACGGGGGCCGCTGTCTATTACCGCTGGCAGCTGCCAGACTATGGCTCGATGGAATTGATCCCCTGGAGCAGACAAGGAGATAGTCATTCTATTTGCATGGGCTGAGGGCCGTAACTATCGACCTGCTTTTCCATGGCCTAAGATAACATACCCTCCTCATGCGTGGACATGAGTAATGAAGCGGGCGCCGCTCGAGCGTCTTGGAGCAGCAACTGCGGATGACGTTGGACTGTCAGAGGGCAAGGGAGGATGCCCAGCAGACCCGGGGCAGGTAGGGCGGCCGGGCAGAGCAGGGAGTGAGCTCCTAGCTGAGGGGTTGGGCCCCTACATACTTCCCTTTTGGGCACGCATGTTCTCAGTGATTGGCCTGGAAGCTAGGGCTGGATCTCCCCGGGCCCCCCACCTGGGCGTTGAGGCGAACGCATATGCAGGGCCACGACCGACATGCAGGAGCATTTACACTAGCACGGTCGGCGAGAGTGAAAAATGTACGTTATTTAAATCCTCATCAGGCGCGCCAATGCTGATACGAGCCCTCGGTATGCAGAGTTTTCTGACTACCTAGGTATGATTGCTCCCATCCATGGGTTCTTCCGTCATGATTATTGAATTCGGTGAGAAGAATGCCTTTCTCATCATCCCGAGGTCCATTTCTATTTCGTAGCTGTACTAACTCATCTGGATCGAACTCGGTGCCCGAAGAGGAAAAAAAGCCCCCAAGGCCCCTCACAGCGGCGTCAGACGACTTGGTTAGGATCCATAAATCGTCCCACCCCTCCTTCACGTCAGCGCCTCAGCGCTTAGTATTCGTCGATAGGCGACGGGAGAGGAACCGGTGTCACATTTTTGAGGCAGCCAGTCGGTGTGATAGTGATGATTCCCCAGCCGGTCTGGCAGTTGGTGCACACTGTCTCGGTGGGACAGACAGTCGTCGTGGTGGGCGACACAGCCATCCTCGGGCAGCCGCATTCCAACGTCACAGCCGCTGAGAACGGGGCGAGCATCTGTCAGCTCGGGCCTATAAACACTCCACGTGGGGCAGCCCCCGCCCAAGAAGCAAATCCTTGCCTTGGGGGCCAGCAGTCAACTGGTAAGTCGGGGTGATAGACGTACCATCAGCAAAGCACAGTCCGGCGTTCGTGCACGTTGTGGGACAGCCTGTTGTCGCTGTAACTGTAGCTGTCGGGCGGAACGTGCAGAACGCAGGAAGTCTGGTGGTGACTACATCCTGACGAGCTTCAAGTTCGATAGGGTTGGCTGCCACCAGTGTGCTGTATCTTGTCAGTCCCTTGGTCATGGACATGGGCAGGGTCGACTCACCTCGACAGCAAAGCGACTACGGCTGTGAGAGACTTCATGTTGGCGAGTGGTGGGTGCAACGTACCACGTTGTAGTAGGTTTAATAAGTCGGTGTCTTGAAGGCACTGAGGAGAGATAGAGCTGAGGGCCTGAAATTTATATATTCGTTGTTCTTCTTGGACTGCCACCAACACATTTATATATTCTTTTCTGGGCCAGACTGCTGCGGGGAGTCTCAAGAAACTCCGACGCGAAGCCAAAGCATCACGCCGATTCGGATGTCGGGTCTGACGAGGGAGTCTCGCCAAGAAATACATCCCCCCAGAGGCTGTACACAGGTACATCTCTACATGCATTGTGTCGGACCACTGCGGGTACTCAAGTAGGTACTAGTAGCCTTGATAGTCCTCGACCAGATTGTAAATTTATTCCTTAGTTTCCTAGTTAGACATAGCTTAATCTAGGTTTTAGGTCTAAGGTAAAGGGGCTAATTAAAACCTATTAATTAAAGAATAAATATTAACTAAACTAAAGGGTGATTAAATATTAATAAATAATATAATAGTTTTACTTTTACTTTATAAATTTAAAATAGTTTTAAGTTTAGCGCACTGAACCTTTTAAATAAAAACCCTTAATATATTTAAAGTTAATAACTAAAGTCTTAATCTTATCTAGCATCCGTGACTAAACTAATTCTGACTAATTTCAACCCTGTCCTCGACCTAGATATCTGGCCCCCAATATCTTTGTTCGGAAGCCGGGCGCAGACCCTGGCCTGTACCCGCCTTGGCCCGCCTTGGCTGGAGGGAAAATTTCTGTTGAACACAAGACTAATACGAGATGTTTCCTCTGGAGAGGATATGCAGTCTCCTTCACCTGTCAGCCCATGGGCCTTCTATTGGTCCCACTACGTGAAGAGGAATCGACTGTTCAGCTGCTTCAGGACACCGGTGACACTAGGGGTCTCGGCTGAGGGGTCTCTGGTCAGACCTTCTTGCGCACGGCAGACCGCTTTTTTCCGCTTCTGAGCATCAAGGGAGGCGCGTGTAGTGAGCACAATGTCTTGGGTATGAGACACTCGCCCAGCTGCCATGGCCTATGACGACGCCTCTGAGCATTTGGCATCAGCTGACCTCACGTGTGACGATCTAGTCAACCTTGGAAAGGACCTTGACATGCCTCTGAATCGTGAATCTTGTGATTGCCTAAGCGCATTGTACATACAGTGGCCTACCATCTTCGCGACCAAGCATGGCCTGCCATGTCAAGTATGCTGTCGCGCCTGTTGAAGAGGTCGATCATCTACGGTACCTAGGGTAGGTACGTTATGTCCGTAGCACATCTACATGTTAGAAGGGCTGCGTCACAGAAGATCGTTCGAAAGAAATGACGCTGTCGGTAACCAAGCCGGAAGGCCGGGCTTTGCCTGCTAAGGAAATTAAGTAGATAGCGCATCCTCGGAAGGTAATCTGACCGGAACTTATTCCGTAGGGGAATAGGTGCCCACCGCGCTAGATTGTACCCTCCACTGTGAGGGTAAAGTGAAACCGCAGGAGGCTATACGTTGGATGTGATGTTGCAGATGGTAGTTCCACCGCAGCATGTCCCACAGAAGTTTTGCCCAGCAGGAGCTTATCGCTCAACATCTAAGCAGCCCGGCACAGAGTACTGGTGTACCGCACCAGAATCGCACCGACTGATAGAACCGCCTTGGGGACCGTCTCGCATCAAAATCGGCTTCTCACCGAATCCTATTCGCCAAAGTGGCTTCGCTTCTTATTCCGTATACGTGGTTTCGCTTCTATTCCGTATACGTCCGGGGATATACATGGCGCCTTCATACGGTGGTAGGCGCCCAAGACCTAGCGCTTAAAAAGGACATGAATGATGTCGATAACTATGGTTATAATACGATAGGTGCTTATGGACTCAGCCTTACGACGCACAGACAAGGCTAAGGGGTACCGTCTTGACGACGGCGTTGACTAGACCGCCGCGATGCTATGGGCCAAAGAGCGGTGCCTTCGTTATTAATACCCGTGGTTTCGCTCCCAGACTAATCGTTTGTAAAATGCCGTTCCTTTTGAAAATGACACCATACTTGTATGAGCACTTTGTATGAAGGCGCCGTTTGTGGCTTCGGACGTACACGAAACAGAAACGAAACCAGTTATATTGGTAAATGGAAGGTGACTAGAGAGATTTTCGTGATTTTGGTTTCTTCTAATAACAGTTGATAAGACCGCAGCCTGAGTAACTTTAAAAACATCAGCGAGGGCTTATGGACCAAGCACTGGTAATACCGGATCATAGACATGCCTAAGCAGACTGATGCGGCCGCTCGCAGTGAGTACAGCCAAGATATGAGTTACAGTCCTTTCTCACGACCGACCTCTGCGAGTCACCCATGTAGATGACTCGAGTTGTTGGTCTGGGGAGTATATATATCCAAGGACCTTCGATCCATTTGAACTACGATCTCATCTATTCCACGTCAAATTTCACACCACCATCAGCAGATAGTTAATGCAGACGGACATTCGCATTTGTTTTCAGATATTTCCTATCAGTGGAGAAATTCCAAAGCATCATGCCACCGAGACCCTGGCCATGTACTCCTAAGCCCCGACCGTAAGTTGCGATGATAAAGTTCCTCCCTTTTCGACGATGCTTTTGTTACAAGTAAATGCTAATCAGTCGCAGCCCTTCGCCTTCTCCACCACCTTGTCCACATCAGAGGACATAAGGAGAATTGGAAAGGAAAACATCATGACGTGGAACTTGGGTAAATAGCTGCTTTTGCTTCTATTTCGTATACGTCTGATGACATACATGGCGCCCTCTTGGATAACTAGATGGAATTATATCTAGATAGCTCATAACAGCTTACATACTTTTGCCTCGTTGAGCCAAGTCAAACATCCACCCTTGTGATTATCATTATTGTCTTGAATGTATTGATTTGGTATTGACTCGTGCCGTGGACCTGCATGCGTCGTCGCGCACGCTTGTGCTCAGGGATGCTCTGCACTATAGTGGTGATGACATGAAGCTGCCTAGCTTTGTGCAAGATTTATATAGAATTGTAAAGTGTCATTTTCCTTCTCCACGTGTACACGCTCGAGATATATCGGTTATAAAAAAACAGTTCCAGATGGGGTTGCAGTGTGTGAGGTATTGTGGATAGCTGGAGGCCGTGGCTGGTCTACTCTCCATCTCGGCTGTGTGCTCGCAGATAACAACGGGCTTCTGATACGCTTTAGTTAGTGATTAGTGCTTCCTACATTCAACTGGGGTCAATCAAAGTGGTCTGCCAGCATGTTTCCAAGTCTCAAGTACTCATCAACGGGAATGGCATATTGCACATCAAACATTCGCCAGCGACATGACAGTTGCTCTTCACGAACAGGCCCGTCCTACTCATCACCTTCCAGATCGTCCGATACAGAATCCGCATCCGTTGTGGTCTTCATCCTCTTGCCCTCGATGGCATAGTGATGACCCTTGGTGCATCCAGGAGCTGTGCCCACCTGGTCACAGCAGTCCCAGGTGAAGCCTTCTGGGTACTCCTCCCGCATTTCCTTGGTGTCTATCGTTCCATGGCATCTCTCGTCGTGGTCGGCCCAAAAGTCGTCGTCATCGTCACCTAGCTCCAGCTCCCCTGAAGATTGCGCTGGTCAGCAAGACTCGGAGTTTGTGGCTGTGCTGCTGTATTTTGAAGCCCGAAGCACACTTGCCGTGGTGATAGGTGCAAGCCTTGGAACTGTTGGATTCCTCGCTAAAGGTCTCCCCGCAGCGGACGCATATGAAGAATTGGTCCGAGGCCTTCCTCTTCTCGCCAGTCTTCGCAGCATTTGCCTCGGCAGCTCTGAGTTGCTTGAAGTGGGCTGCAAACTTCTTCTCGATCGACGCGTCCTTACATAGCGCGAAGACAATGGCGCGGAGCTCATCCGCAGAGGCTTCCTGTACAAGATCCATATCTTTGGGTTGCTGACGGTGGTAAGGGCACTCACGGGGCGTCAAAAAGGACGTCTTGGCATGTTTGACGCGACCTGGACGCGTCGAGCACCATTTTACGTCACAATTCTTGGTGTGCACTGTGGGGAAACTCCCGGGGTACTACAGTAGAAGGTGTCCCCGCTGCCCCGATCGTCTGCCCAAGCGTGGACCTCGGGACTCGGGAGTCTTTTTTTTCACGCCTACAGCTCTCGACCGCCCGCGGCTCCAGAGCGCGCAGACCAGCACCCAGCCAGGCAGATTTGCTGCGGTCGAGATGACCTCGTCGATAGCCCGTCGCAAGGCACGCATCCCCGGCGACTATAACATCAATACTGTGGTACCGAAATAACGCACATTGAAATGCATGCATTAGGCCACACCACCACGCGATAAGGCGGCAGGACGGCTTGCAGCAACGTTACCAGGTCCGTGCTTGGTACCGAGGCATGCCGAAGACTACTAGGCCGAGCGTGGACGGGGTTGCTGTGCAGCGATACGCAGCTCCATCGTATCTCGATTTGCAGTGAAGCATCCCGGCAGCCCGGCAGAGTTGCTCGGCAGAAATATGAGGTCGACGCGTTCCCGACACGAGGTCCAACGGGGTGCCATAGGGCTGCAGAGAGAGCAGGACGTGGCGAAAAAGTCCTCCCAAAGAATCTGTCTAGTTCGCGTTTTACACGGATTGTCGAGGTTTTAGCTGCGGCTATGTGTTTAATGCGCGAGAATTTCGGTGCGTCGGGGGCGTTTCGGTCTGAACTTCTGAGCGCTCAGGATCCTCGAGCCACCTGGGCAGGAGAGGGAGGCATGGTGCTTATTAGCAATCGCTTACATGATATCAGAGCGCGAAAGCAAGCCACCACGTGGAAGCCATCGATCCTACAAGATGGCCGGTAACCGATTGGGCCATAAGTGCGAGCCTGCAGATCCCCATCGTACTGTGTAGTATCACTGCCCACGCCAGAGCCACACTCTAAATGTGCTATATGCTCCGCTTCAGCCCCGGGGAAGCCTTATCTGTCGCCGAGGATCGTCTTGAATCATGGGACGAATCTCCATTGCGCAGAGGGCAGAAGCCGTGAAACATGAAGCGCTCCATCCGCAACATGGGGGACGCGGGACCCGGAACGAGGACTCAAAACGCACTGCGGGCGGGATGAGCAGCCCCTACCTGGTACGCAGTACTGGTCCTCCAGGTGCCGGTTTGCAAAGTTCAGGCCCTTGGCGGCGATCACGAACGAGAGCGGCCGGCACCAGACATCCATCGTCACCAGCAGGCGATCAGGATGGCCGGTGCATTAGCGGCGGCGATGCTTGAAACGTAAGCCACGACAGTCGCATTCGTTAAGGCGGCTGCGATTCGTGGACACCGTAGATCTGTTCAATGTTTAAAAAGCGGCCTGCTCAGGACACAGGCTGGGAAAATCGCAAGCTTTCCTTATTCGGTATGCCCTCGCCGTGGGCCGGGCTAAGCCCAAAGCTGGATGGCCTCTGCGTACCTGGGCCCGACAGGGTGGCCTGGGTCACCGCGGATCAAGGCGATTGGTATGGCTGTCGTCGTTGACTCCTGCAAGGCCCAATAGCGTCCCGGGTCGAGTGCTAGAACTCCAGTCTGGGCCGGCCTAGTTTGGCGTCTATTAGGTGCCGAGGTGCCTGGGCTGCCAGGGTCGGGCAGTAGTGAGGATATTCCACCGAACTCGGGAGCAGTCGGCCCCTGCCACCCCACAAACTATATGCTGCAATCATACACATCGTGCTGCACTACTGTGGTATAGGCAGTCCGAACATTCCAAGTTTGCGAAACAATGCTCGGCGGGGACAGGGTGTCTCCTTGCTCGCAAGCCATCTCGAAGGCGGAACCAATCCACCCTGGCCAAGGATTAAAGCTTCTTTGCACCATGGCTGCTGTTCCACCTATGTGTCTGGGGGAAGGCCATGCGAATATAGGTTGTGATGATGCCCATCCCATTTCCGTCACGCCAGCCTCGTTCGTCATTCCACAACAACTACTACACTCTCTCACATAACTTCACCTGTCAAGCCCGCCTCCCCTTGTCTCCGTCCTCCTCCCCGGATCCTACGGTTGCAGCTTGCGGTCCGCAGTTCCAGCTTGAGGCGAACCACCACATACGCATCCGATGTTCGCAAAGGTACTTCTCTCAGGCCTCGTCGCCGCGGCGGCGGCCCAGACCACCAACTCAAGCTCACAGGCCTGCGTCTCGGGCAACGCAGTGCACATGATCGTGGCGCGGGCCTCCCTCGAGCCGCCAGGTTTCGGTATCCTCCAGAACATCTCGACCCGCGTGATAGAGCAGCTGCCAGGGTCCAATGCTGAGGCCGTCGTGTATCCCGCCACGCTGGACGGCTACCAGAACTCGGAGGGCCAGGGAGTCGCTGCCATGACGCAGCTGGTCAACAACTACGCCCAGGCGTGCCCGAACAGCAGGATGGTCCTCATGGGGTACTCGCAGGGCGCACAGGTCACGGCCGACACGGTCTGTGGCTCCAATATCGCCGGGTTCGCCCAGACGCAGGCAGTATCGACGGCAGTCACTGATAAAGTTGCCGCGATCGTGTTGATGGGCGATCCTACGCACCTTGTGGGCCAGCCATTCAACGAGGGCACTGCGACAAGGAACGGGGTGAGTCACAGAATATCGGGAGTGGCAGCTGGACGATGACTGACTGATGATGAACAGACCTTCCCTCGGGTAGATAGTTCCGGCTGTGCCCCAGTGGCCAGCAAGATGGTCTCGTTCTGCAACGCGGACGACACGTTCTGCGACTCGGGCAACAACATCACCGTGCATCTCTCCTACGTCCAGGACAACGGAACCTCCGCGGTCAACTTCATCACCGAGAAGGTCAAGGGCGGGTCCGGCAGCAGCAATAGTTCGGGCTCTACCTCGGGGACAGGTGTCGTGACGGTCAACCCCGCCCCGCGAGCGGTGGCAGCTCCGGCTGGATTTGCTATTTTGGCTGGAACCGCGGGGATGCTGGTAGCTTAAGTCACCATATTTTGGTGAAGGCGGCCTCTATCTGGCCGCAATGGAGCTGTCATGCCACGGCGGAGATCTACCAGCGTCGACACCATTGCTGACCTCGCCATCCCCTTAATACTCTGGCTGAATTACTATTTGCTCGTGCACCATGCTCACCATGTATATATGGATATTTGGGCAGCCACCATGTCTGGACACATGGGTTGTCACGATCTGCTTTTACTGTATAAACGCAACGACATACTGCACAGCCGAGTGTGAATAGGATTCGCATATTGACCCGAATATACGCTCCACATTGTACATACAAACACATCTCGTCAAATAAACAGCGCTGAGAAGGCTTCAAATGTTTCTGCCGTGTATCACAGTCATCTCGCAGCCGATGTGATCATCTTAGTGTCTCTACTTGATGTTAAAATTACATGGACCTGACTGGGATGAAGCATGGTAATTCAGGCGCTAGGCCAACACTGGCAGCAAGTGAGAGTTTGATGGAGCATATACTTACACCTAGCTAATTTCCCGCGGTGTCCCCACGTCTTCGAGGACCTAAGTGATGCCCAACAGATAGTCATCATAGTTGATAGCAGAGAAACTCAAGCTTCCCAGTGCCATAAACTGCAATTCTGTGATCTAATTATTGTAACATTAGTCTGTAGCCTGTAGTCTGCAGTTACAGTTACGGCATCCTAGCAACGACAGAGTCTAGAAGGACGGGTATAACTAGGTCACTGGTCTAGAGTTTTATCGCCTCACCTTCCGCTATACGCGCAAGTCCAGACTTGGGCCATAAAAGCCCGTGGTAGCGTCGGTAGACTGCCTGGCGAGATCGACTGAGGAAGTATAGGAAGCGACATCCGTTAGACCCTCTTGGAATGGAAGAAGTCCATTCTCACCAGGACAAAATAAAGTGTGATGTTTGTTTCCCGGACCCGGGCGACCGGTCTACTTGGCATCCCGGCCGAGGCGCTGGCCGCACATATGCAGGGCCCTTGACCACATGAAAATGAAGTGTATGAAAGCTTTCCCGCGTATTCTGTTCTTGGCCGTCGTCATATTCTGCCCCCTGCGCTAATGCCTGGCAGCCTGAACCTGGCCACAGCCTGCCGAGGTGTGTTAGCCGAAAGGGGAATCACGGCGCCTGACGAACGTCTCCCGACGAAGGCATTCTGTTTGTACAACAGCTCAACGGGCACAATCAATTAGAATATATGGACCAAACATGCGCCGGCTCAGGTACAACGTCGCTGTGTCGTTGGATGGCTTCATCGCGCCTCCAGATGGGTCGGCGGACTGGATCGTGCACGACGACTCGATCGACTTCGACTCGCTCTACGCCGAGTTTGGGACGTTCATCCTCGGCCGCAAGACGTGGGAGTCTATGGTGAGCCTCGGGGACCAGAACCCCCTAGCCGGGAGGCCGAAGGAAAATGTGGTAGTTGTGACCAGCCGGATGAAGCCGGAAACATGGCCGGATGTGTCTGTCGTCGAGCCGGGAGCGGCAGTCGAATACATCACCACGCTCAAGGCTGGCGATGGCCAGGACATCTGGCTTTTGGGGGGAAGTCAGCTAGCTGGCTTGTGCATGCAGGCAGGGCTTGTGGACACGGTCGAGACGGCTATCATGCCTGTCCTGCTGGCGGGTGGAGTTGGGCTTGTGGGATTGAGACCGGAGGCGGTTGGCTCGACAGGCTTCAGACTCGGGCTGGTCAACACGCAGAGACTCGAGCAGAGCGGTATTTTGATGTGCAAGTACCATGTCATTGGCGCAGAAAGAGACAGCCTATGAACAATCCGGAGGGTTTGGGCGTGAAGGCGCCGTGTAGTCCGTTCGACTGGTTTTTAAGGGCGTGTAGCTTCCAAAGTTTGCGATGAAGGAGGCTCAGGTGGATTGAAAGCAGCAGGGGGGAGGCGTGACCCAGATTGTACTAGAAAATCGCTTTCAGACTTAGTGCATTTTCATGTCAAATGTGTCCCGACTCCGAGCAGGCCATCTTGAACAGTGCAAATTGACAAGTTTCTTAACTATGAATAGTGAGCATGGGAAGCCCGTATTTATAGACAATGGAGCGTAACAATGGTGGGGCGCACTGCTATGGATAAAATGCGATTTGAAAACACGGTTTGGAGCTGAGTGGATGGCTCCGCAGAGTACAAGGCTGTAACGGTGCTTCTGTCAGAGCAAGTGACCAAGTTTGGAAACCGAACCGCTTGCTTGCCTCCCTCAGGTGGTTTCGTTCTTAATCCACATACATCCCGAAGGCGTGCGGTCCCTCACATATAGATGGTAAACACTCAAGGGCCCAGGTTTCTCCTTTTACTTATTTATAGAAACATGTAAAGGAACCCCTTAGCCTTGTCTGTGTGTCGCAAGGCTCAGACCACATGCACCTATCATACTTTAACTAAAGTTATAGACACAGTAATATTCTTTTAAATGAAATTAGTTATTTAAAAAAAGGTAGTTTCGTTTTTAATCCCTATATATATAAAATGTATATAGTGCCTTTATATAATAATAAATATTTAAAACTTAATATTTAAAGAAATATAATATTAATAATAATAGAAAGAGAATATAATATATAAATATATAATTAAACTTTATATTATATAAATAAAGTTAAAAGATATTATTTTTAATAATATTATATTAAAATTATTAATATAAATAATTTAAAGGTTAATTTACTATAATATTAAAGTTAAAGTTAATAAAATAGTTATATAATAAAATTAAAATAGTTTTTAAAATAGTTTTTATAAAAGAAGAATTTTATAATATAAGACTTAATAAACTAACTTTTTCTATTAATATATTTAATAGTTATTTAAATTTACTCTTATAAAATAAACTAAATATATTATAATCTCTATTTTAAATATATAACTATTAATAGAATAATAATATTATAATAGTAAACTTATTTAAAAGCCTTTTATATAAATTTTATAAAAGATTAAAACTTTTTAAAAATTAAGTAAAGTTTATTTATTATATATTAAATAAATATTATATAAGGAAAGTAGAAGTTTAAATACTTAAAACTAAATTTTCCTTTTAAATATACTATTTTATTATTAAGGATTTATTTACTTTTATATAATATATAAGGAATATAATAAAAGAGGGAGCTTTATAAAGAAAGTTAGTAACTTTATTATATATAAATAAGTTTAAAAGTATATATTAAGTAATTATTAACTTTATATTTAAAGTATAAACTAATAATTAATTTAAAAGTTAAGAAAATAATAAATAGATAAATAGTTAAATAAAAAATATAATATAGCTAAAGCCTTATTTAAAGAAAAAAATTAAAAAATGCTAATAATAGTTGAAGAGGGCTGTGCCTAGGCACGTGGCCGCTAAGGCAGCCTCGTTGCATATAGATAAAACTACTTATTAAGCGTAGCGAGGAGTTATCTTAAAGCGAAGCGGAAGAGCAACAATAAGTAAAGCTTTCTCTATTACTATATAATTTAATGAAATATTTCATATATTAGATTGGTTAGAATCCAAATCTCATATATAGATTAGTTAATTAATATATTTTTATATATATTGTATGTACTTAAGGAGTTATTGTTAAAGAAGGAGTAGCTCCCGCTCCTGCCTAGCTCCAGCCCTAGGAAAGCTCCCTTTCGCTTCACCTTTAGGACAACTCCTCGCTACGCTTATATTCCTTAGCCGAATGAAGCCTTTGGGTACACGTATTTAAAGTAAGTAGTAGGTAAGGCTAGGACGCATCGTGCCCGACGGCGCCGGGCGCCGGCGACTAGAATCGTAAAATTGATCGAAATTATACTGCACACAGAATTTAAACGTGAATGGTTCTCCTAGAAGCTCGAAACTTTTCATCTCATAACATTACCACTTATTGCTTCATCGCCTCCTCTCTCCTCGATTTATCTCACCTTATAACATTTGAACCTATTGCCTCACTGCCTCTGGATTCCCAAGCTCTTGCTTCTCATCCTCCCACCTCAATAACGTCACCATGGACGCAGTCTTGGATCGCCTAGGCTTAGTGACCCCTGAGCGCGCCCTTCAATTGGCGATGAATGCGGTTATCGCAGGGATACAAAACGGGAATGGCGATGGCGACAACACTCGCGTTTGCGTGGTCTGCATCGGGGAATTCGGCCCGGATAACATGGCGCGACTCCCCTGTGACCACAACTTCTGCCAAGGATGTCTCCGAGAGACGTTCAAGATGGCCCTCACCGATGAGCGTCTTATTCCTGTGCGGTGCTGCCAGCAGAATATGCTCGACGCAGAGCCCCGGGTTCAGGCTCTCTTGGGCCCTCAGCTCGTGGCCCAGTACCGGGATAAGAAGGTCGAGGCGGAAACCCCGAACAGGACGTACTGCCACAAGCCCAAGTGCTCCGCCTTCATCCCACCCCAGCACATCGTGAGCGAGATCGCAACCTGCCCTAGGTGTCGGGCGACGACGTGCTCCTCTTGCAAGGCGGCCACCCACAAGGGCACCGACTGCCCTGTCGACGAGGCGGCCCAGAAGCTGTTGGATGTGGCAAAGAAGGAAGGCTGGAAGCAGTGTCACGCTTGCAAAACGGTCATCGAGCTCAAGCAAGGTTGCAACCACATGAGTAAGTCCATAACCACCCTCGTACCCAGTAACTGCAACTCGAGAGCCCCAAATACTAACAGTCCGTCACACAGCTTGTCGATGTGGCGCCGAATTCTGCTACGTCTGTGGCAAGGTCTGGAAGCAAAAAGGCCAGCCAGGCGCATGCGCATGCGACCTGTTCCACGAGGCGACCCTCCGCCGCCAGGCCCAGCGGGAGGCAGCGGCCCGCGGAGAGGGGCCTCCTGAACATGAGCTTCAGAATGAAGTGCTGGGCGACCTCCTCGACGCCGCATGGGATGCCCCGCAGAACGCAGCGAGGCCCCACCGTCAGCCCCAGGATGCCGGGATCCCTTGGGGGCTGGGGGAGCTGTGGCGGGACGAGGTTGATGCGGTGCTTGTGGCACAGCACGAGCGCGAGGAGCGCGCACGAGAGGAGCGCGCACGAGAGACGCGCGAGCGCATGGCGCGTATGGTACAGCAGCAGCGCCAGCGTGAGCTGCGTGAGCTGCGTGAGGCACTGGAGTATCTCGGGACTGAGGAGCGTCTGATACAGGTGGAGCTCGAGATTCAGGAGCGTGATGCACAGCAGCATCTCGGGATTCAGGAGCGTGCGGCACGGCTCCAGCACGAGCGCGAGCGCGAGAGGCGTGCACGACTGGCGCGCCAGCATAGGGCGCATGTGATACAGCAGCGGCAGCGTGAGCGGCGAATGGCAGAGGAGCGGCGCGAGCGTGAGCGGCGAATGGCAGAGGAGCGGCGCGAGCGTGAGGAGCGTATGGCACAGGTGTGGCGCCAGCGTGAGGAGCGTATGGCACAGCAGCGGCGCGAGCGTGAGGAGCGTATGCGTATGGCACAGCAGCAGCGCGAGCGTGAGGGGCGTATGCGTATGGAACAGCAGCAGCGCGAGCGCGAGCGCGAGCGCACCGGGGGGAACCGACCCTGTTGGCACACCAGGATGATGAGGAGGGGCGGCGCAGACACCTGCCAGGATTGCGGCCGCCACTCGCCGCGATCTACCATGGAGTGTCTGGACTGCAACATCCAGGTCTGCTTCGGGTGCAGGCACAGCCGTCTCCTGCGCGGCCCTCGTCTGAGGTGATCAGGGAATTCCGAGGTGGCTGGCTGTCTGTTGTAAAATCCACGACTATCATCATGGCGCTCGTTGTCGGCCGCAAGAGTCGGAGCCGACGCCTCCTGGGCCAAGAGACCTGGATTAGAAGGAAGGGGAAGAAGAGGGCCATTGAGCACCAAGAAATGATTGTTGTCTGTGCGGATGAAGCTTGGATATCCGAGATGTATTGCGTTATCTTCTAATACTTTGCCTTACACCACGTAGCATCAATACCAACAAGTTAAGAATCGTCCCTTCCCCTCGCCGCGTGAAATCTTGCCATTCGATACAGCTACACTCTATGTCCCGAGCCGACCACGAGCGTACAAGTACACATAACCCTGGCTAGGAGTCGGGTCCCTGGCCGCCATACAAGGCGAGCATGTCGCCCGCCGCAAAGACCTGGCTGATGAACTCGTCTGCCTCGCAGATGACCCTCACGCTCTGCTCCACGCTGGGGGAGCGCGGGCCCCCGGACACCTGCTGCCAGCTCGTCAGCAGCCTCCGCAGGTGGTCGCCGGCCGTGAGGAGGTCGGGCCCGATGACGCCGCGCAGGGACGGGACCCTCGATGCTGCGAGGAGGACGAGCATCGCCCCGGCCATACTGCGAGATAATGGTCAGTAAAAAGAAGACTCCTGAGCAGCTAGGTCACGGTGCAGGGAAACAACTTACGATAACGAACAGATCCACGTGTCCACCAACACGGTATGCGCAAACCCCCGCAGGTTCAGGATATGCAACAGGCACGCCTCCAGGCACGCGCGGCACCCGCTGAGGACGTCAGGGCTCGGCTTGTGCACGCTCAGCCCGTCGCCGCCGGACCCGCTCCCGCTCAGCATCCACATCAGGTACGGCCGGTAGATGACGCTGCGGCAGGTGAGGTACCGCTGGCGGAGGAAGCCTCCGGCCTCGGTCTGCGTGGGGCGGGTGTCGACGGTGAAGCCGAACGCGGCGGGCAGGACGTCGCGCCACTCGTCGAGCTGGTGGTTCAGCTCGGCGACGACGTAGGGGAAGCGCGCGGCGTCGAGGCTCGCGCCGGTGCCCCTCGCGTAGAGCAGCTGGTGCACGCGGTTGAGCAGCCGGCGCATCGAGATGCACGCCAGGAAGTACAGCGAGCTCTGCTCCTCGACGGCGGGGCGGCGGTGCGTCGAGTAGGCCCCCGGGAGCGGGATGCTCGACTCGATGCGCGCGATCCCGGACTGCGGGAGGGCCGACAGCTCGGCCAGGTAGTCGCTCTCCAGGACGTAGCAGGACCAGAAGATGCGGCGGATGCGCTCGGCGTCCTCGGCCGTGTCGCCCGCGGGCGGGTAGGACAGCAAGAGGAGGCACTTTGCCGACGCGGCGTTGATGTACTCCCACGCCTGCAGGGGCCGGCGCAGGGAGGCGAAGTACATGGCCACGAAGAACAGGCACTGCGTCGCCGTGGACCCGACGTCCATGTGCACGACGTGGAGGCGCCGCAGCGCGTGGTCAAAGTACAGGTCGCCCATCTCGCGGCGCTGGGCACGCTGCTTCAGGTCGTCGTCCGAGAGCGCCGCGGAGGCCTGGGGCGGAGCGTGCGCCAGGCCTGCTATCGCCTGGCTCGCGCAGCCGAGGGCCATGGTCAGGAAGGCCAGGCAGGCCTCGACGCTCTGCTCCTCGGCCACGCCGGCGTTGAAGCACTTGACGGTCAGGCGCACCTTCTCCAGCTGGTGGCGCGACATGGTGGGGTACCAGAAGTTGACGCCGTGCTGGAAGGCGTCGAGGATGGAGTCCATCTCGTCGTCGGTGACGAAGGGGTACATGATGGTCGAGGAGCGCATCTTGATGGGCGGGCGGGACTGCTCCAGCTCGAAGATGGAGACGTAGTCGCTGCGCAGGGAGGGGAAGACGTCGAAGTGTGGCCACTGCAGGACGGACTCGGTGGTAGAGGTGTGCATCGAGTCGAGCACGGCGTTGTCGAAGCCGTTCTGGCCATTTGGTTGTTGGCCGTTGTGGCCGTTGTGGCCGTGCTGGCCATGCTGGCTTGGCTTGAAGTCCGGAGGAGGCTGGTGCGCGGTCTCACTTATTGGAGTCCGCGGCGGGCAAGCGGTGCGGTATGCGTGAGCCTCGGTGACTGGCGATTCCTCGAACAAGGGGCTGCCGGAGTGAGGGCCAGGCTGTGAGAAGAAAGACGGCCGCCGTTCAGATAGGGGTGAGGCGATCTGCCGTCATGTCAGTCAGAGGCACTGGTCCCAAGTGCAGAAGAGGCTGGCAGGTGGGAGGTACTGACGACACTGGCATTCAGGTCATGGAGGAACTTCTCTACGCGAAGGACGCCTTCTAGGATGAGATCACTCTTGCCTCGTCTGAATTTTCGAGCTGGTCAGCCTTATGCCATGACCTGGATCATCCCCAGGGAAGAGGCATGGAGCTCACGAGTTGGCTTCGGAACCGTACGTGCAGTCCTGCTCCGAGACGGAACAGGATGTACACGGATTGTTACCGTCGCATCTGGCAGTCGACCACGGTCAGCACCCTGTCCTGACGGGAACTCCACCCCCGACGCGTCGAGTACTGTGCACTTCACGTCGCGGCTTCCAGCGGTGAGCCGAACCTTATTTTCCGCGCCCGACAAATGTCGCACTGGCAAAGTGGTCAGCTATTGTAGAGAGGCATGGGATGGTCGAGGGAGGGACTCACGGCATGGGAAGTCCTTAATCTCTTTCTGGAAGGCTGTTCGGACCGTTCTGATGACGGCGCAAGGTCCTTGTCATCATCCATCGACGCGGCGAGGATCTGGGCCCAGGTATCGACCACTTTAATGGGTTCAATGGGTTCAATGGCTCTGGCTGTGTGTAAAGTGACGGCTACAGGATACGGATCTCAGCCTCGGTAGTGCTCAGCAGCCTCGGATCGACCCGAGGCGGACCGGTAGGCATAGGCACGTAGAGACGCAGACGCAGACGCATAGCAGGTCAACAAGTCATGTGAGGTACAAGCAGGCAAGCAGAGAGGTTGGGATGCAAATGCAGCTGCTGGGGCCGGGCCTGGACCTGGACCTGGACCTGGACCTGCAGAAAAGAGATGCGAGAAGGGAGAGGGAAGGTTGCAGTGGAGATAAGCAAAGCATAAAAAAGGGCATGGGAGAGAAGATCGATCAGCAGAGCCCAAAAAAAACCTGGTCCGAGTTCCTGGTTCTGGCATCTGTCAGTTTTTTATCCTGAGCGAAAAAAGAGAAGCTCAATTGGAGTCTGACCTCGGAATGGCAGAGAAAACGCGGGGAAATTGCGGGGATGGCATGAGGCGTGTCAGGGCATGGAATCCCAAAAAAAGGGGGGCAGCATCCAGGGGAAATGGGCAGGTGTGCTAGGTACTGTGTAGGTGTGCCTGCCTATATGTCAGGGCAGTCCATCCTGGGCCGGATCACATACCTAATCCTTCTCTCGATAGCATCCATTATCTGGCCCGTCCTTCTTCCTGTTGCACCCACCCAGGCCAGGCTCCGCACCCACCGTCTGACAAGCATGATGGGTCTGGTGACTGTCGGAAACAGGGCATTACCGCAATGTCAGGCAACCTGGCTTGCCTGGTTCAACAAGGCCGCCCGGCCCAAGCTTTTTCATCGGTCCTTTTAAGGGCGGCTTGTTTTCGATTTGCCATGCGCACCAATGGTCTGGTTCCTCCGGTGCGACCTGGGAGCCTATCGAGCTGCCACTTACGGAATAGAGACCTCCACCACAACACATGGTTCCCTCCGCATTGCCGCTTGCCGCTCGCCGCCTGCCCGTTGCCAGATCTCTGGGATCTAACGGGCGAGCTATCGTTTAGCCAAGGTCCCGTCCGTCCTCTTTTGACATTTGTTTCTCATTGCAACACTCTTTTGACTTGACAAGACATGCTTCCGTGTGTGTAATCCACTCAACCCAGCCGCCCAAAACCAAGATGGAAGTTGAATCCATGGTATCATTCCCGATTCCCGTGACCAACCAGCCCGCCTCCGGACCCAAAAACACCGTCACCCCAAACCGGGGGCCATTCTTTCGCTCGCTCGCCCGGCCCATGCATCGACGACCACTTATGCTGTTGAAATGCCACAACTAAATGCCACAACTAATCCCCAGTTCAAGACGCTAAGACGCCACACAGCCCTTTTTTAAACTCCCACACCCCCCTCCTCCCCCTTTCGAAATCACCTGGACTGTTGGGAGCCCGGCTCATCTAAGGCTCGCCCCAGATCTCGTCGGCGATCTGCCTCACCAGGGCCAGCTTCTTCTTCTCGTCCTCGAGGCTGAGCGGGTACCCGGACTCGTGGGTGCTGAAGCCGCACTGGGGGCTGACGGCGATCTGCTTGAGGGCCTCCTCCTTGGACTGGCCTGTGCCCTCGGCCACGTACTCGGCGGCCTTGTATATGCGCCTCTTCATCTCCTCCTTGTCCTCGAGCTCGCGCAGCTTGGTGCTGATGACGCCCACCACCACGTTGCGCTCCTTGGGGAGGTACTTGAGCGGCTCGAACCCGCCCGCGCGCTCCGTGTCGTACTCGAGGTAGAAGGTGTCGACCTTGAGGTCGCGGAACAGCTTGGACGCGATGATGTCGTACGCGCCCTCGGCGAAGTGGCGCCCGCCGATGAAGTTGCCCCGGCACAGGTGCACGCCCGTGTGCATGTCCGCGGGGACCTTGGAGATGCTGTCGTTGTAGAGCTTGATGTACGCGTCCAGCAGGTCGTCCACCTCGCCCACGTTGTCCTTGTCCTCGGCCCAGCCCTGGCGGAACTTTTGGGAGCAGAAGTCTGTTTGCGCGTGTCAGCTCGGCAGAGGGGCCGCAATCTGGATCATTGGCTGCATCAACCCGGGCTCACTCACATGCCAGGCCAGGGTCGTCGAACTGCACGTTCCTCAGCCCTGCCTTGTACAGCAGGTCCAGCTCGGCCTGGTAGACCTTGGCGACGTCGGCGAAGTAGTCGGCGTCGCTCGCATAGACGCCCTCCTTCCAGGCCTTGCCCTGCTTGTAGCGCATGTGGAACCAGGCGGGGGTGATGATGGTCAGCTTGATGTCGGCCCACCTCTCCTTGGGCAGGGCGGCCTGGATCAGCCTGAGCTCGTGCAGGTTGCTGTGGCTCTTGTCGGCGCTGTGGCTCAGCTTGGAGCCGGCGATGACGCTGTCGCCGGGCATGACCTTGCGCTCCTTCTCGATGAGCGAGACGACGTCCGGGTGGTAGAGGCGGAACATGCTGGCGTCGGCCTCCTGCAGGGCCACGGTGCCCTCGAACTCGTCCCACATCTTGCCCCAGAAGCGGGTGCGGTTGAACTCGCCCGAGGTGACGGCGCGGAAGCCCAGGTCGGCCTGCAGCTTGACCACGTCGGCCACCGCCTGCTTCTCCAGGTCGGGCAGGCCGGCCTCGTCGGGCGTCTTGCCCTGGCGGATGGCCTCTCGGGCATCCAGGAGGGGCTGGGGCCGGAGGAGCGAGCCCATGTGCTCGGCGCGGAAGGGAGGGGCCATGCTGGGTGGAGGGTGGAGGGTACTTGATCTGCTTGGGTGGTTTGGTTTGGTCTGCGGGGTGACGGCCGTTGCAGGTGTTTCACAAGGCAGGTTGGTGTCTTAATCTACCCGGGAGGAATTCCAGAGGATAGAGTTGGACCCAAGACGTCAGTCTTGGGTCTTGGGTCCGATCTAGCAGATTTCTTTCGGCACTCTCGAACCAACAGGCGCAGCGGTGGCAGCGGTGGTCAGTAATGATGCCGAGAGACCATCGCTAGTGCGGGGAACAGTGGGCATGCAGAGGCAAATGGTTGGAGAAGCTGGAGTCTGGACAAGCTTTTGCCTGGGTCCGGCTTCGCTGACCTCGATCCTCCTCGCTCGCCATCCGAGCTGCTGACAACGCCGCCATTTTGCTATTCAATTGCCAATTGAAAGAGTACCTAAGCTCGCTTTCAAGATATTATTATGAGGATCCTGCAGGGTCGCTCGCCCACATATTCCACCATGCAGCGCCCAAGACGATAGGCCAATGGTAGCAGGTCCCACATCGGATTTAGGGGTCTAATCCCGTCCCCATCTGTGGAGCTCACTCAATCGATATCGGCCACGGGTACTTGGTACTTCTAGACCCTGATTATCCCCAGCTATGTAATAGTTGACATAGCAATGGCCCACTGCAAATTTTGCAGAGACACAGACTTCTGGCGGAGAGCAGAGAGCAGACTTCACCAACCAACAGATGGATCGAAAGCAACCATGATTTGGATCTGCGGTCGCCCCTGGGCTTGCTTGGCGAGGTGAACCTCACCGTGCTTGGCCATCGCTGCCATCCCAAACGAAGGATACCCATGTCAGCGATGCTTGATGTTGAGCCGATACTCAGTGTGTCATCAGCGACTCTTGCACGACCTCTGAGCTCCCCGACAGCATTTTTGACGCGTGGTCCCTTGGTCCTGCAAGCCGCTTGGGTATTTGTTCGTAGCCCTCGAACGGTTGACCAGATGCCCCACAAGCTTCTGTCTTGCTGTTACTTACTCGCTGTGGAACATCAATCGGGAACCTTGTTACCCAAGATCTTGAATCCTGAGCTTAATTCAAGGTCCTGCCTCGTCTAGCAATGATGGACGGCGTTGTCCAAGGACACCTGAGCCTCGTCACTCTGTGTTGCGTCTACAGACTGCCCGAGGACTTGCCACATTCCAAGACGCCACTGTATGGTGGTAGATTTATATGCACACACTCAGAACACAATGAGACTCCACGGAGACCAGAACGGCCCGAGGTATGTCGGCCGCGTACCATCAACCACAGGCAAAGTATTTACGCTGATTATCACCAAGCCCCGGAACCCAAGTGGGCACGATGCGCCCCTAATTTTCGCGCTGACGCAACTTGATTGAACTCATGCACCCCGTGCGGGGACGAGATCTGAGTCAAGTATTGGCAGCCAGCCCCCAGGCACCCAAGCACCGGCGCTCCGGCACAAGAGGTTCCCTGGCTTGCCTGGGCGCTCGGGAGCTACCGACATTTTGGGACGTGTGCGTCCTCGCGTCCGGGGAACCGATTACCCCCTGGGGAACCTTCCCCACAAAACCCCCGTGGGGAATCTCAGGGCCAGGGCTGCCAGGTCACGACGCGGGAGGAGGTTGCAAGGAAGCCTGGTAAATGTTTTCCCCAGTCGCCATCGCGTTCGTCACCAGCTCCCCCCTAATCCGTGCCAATATCGGACCGATCTGTTTGTTATATCCCATCGAAACATTTTGTGGCCCCGTCGTGCCCAAGACTATAAATATGAAGTCAAGGAGCGTGCTCTGTGTCCTTGGCGAGTTCATCCCAGGTTGAGGCTTCTCTGCTGTCAGCTCAAACCTTTGGCCATATAGTCTGTCTCCCCAAAGACACGCATATATCATCATGGCTTTCAGCTGGAAATGCGTTGCTTCCATGGTGGTGGCCCACCTGGCCGCCCTCGCCCAGGCCCAGGGCGAAGCCCCTCTCACCGTCCAGACAACGGTCGGCGAGGTGACCGGCTTCATCAATGAGACTGCCCCGGCCGTCCGTCAGTTCCTGGGTCTCCCATTTGCCGAGCCTCCCGTGGGATCCCTCCGTTTCCTGCCTCCCGTCCCCGCCAAGGACGCCGGCCCGATCAACGCCAACACCTACGCCCCGGCCTGCAAGCAGCAGCGAAGCAGCAGCACGAGCCTGTACACCGAGGTCCTCACCCAGTTCCTCATCAACGGGCCCGACTCCGAGGACTGCCTGTACGTCAACGTGTACGCGCCCCTCAACCCCGTCGAGGAGAGCCTCCCCGTCTTCATCTACATCCCCGGCGGCGGCTTCACCTCGGGCGGGTCCAACTCGCTCTACAAGATCCCCGACCAGTGGATCCAGCGGACCCAGTCGCACGTCGTCGTCATCATGCAGTACCGCGTCAACGCCTTCGGCTTCCCCAACGGCGCCGCCGCCCACGAGAACGTAGGCCTCCTGGACCAGCGCCTGGCCGTCGAGTGGACGCGGGACAACGTGGCCGCCTTCGGCGGTGACCCCGAGCGCATGGTCCTCTGGGGCCAGTCCGCCGGCGGCATGTCCTCCTCCGTGTACGGCTACGGCTACCCCGAGGACCCCATCGTGGCGGCCACCATCTCGGACTCGGGCGCCGCGTCGCCCTCGAACCTGGGCCGCCAGCCCGGCAACTACACCACCTTCAGCACCCTTGCCGGCCTCGTCGGCTGCGGCGGTCTGGCTGACGACGCCGCTGCGGAGCTCGAGTGTGTGCAGGCGGTGGACGCGAACACGCTGCAGGACTACATCTCCAACACCTCGACCATCAGCTTTACGCCCGTGATGGACAACGTCACCTCCTTCTCCAACACGACGGATCGCATGGCCCAAGGCCTGGTGGCCAAGATCGTAAGTACTTTGCTAGCAATTAGGTCCTATACGTGTTATACTAATCTTTGGACTTTGCGTAGCCTGCTATTGTTGGGCACAATGCCAACGAGGGTGCGTCTTCTGGGGTATTCAACGAGGCAACCGGCCCTACTCAGGCGACAAAGGACGGCTTCCAAGCAGCGATTGGCTGCCCAGTTGTCAAGGAAGCGAGGTGAGTGGTTGTGATGTCCCGGTAAAGTCCTGGCTTTTCCTTTGCTGACCACAATTTCTCTCCGTAGCAACCGCGCGAGGTTCGGTCTTCCAACTTACCGCTACTTCTACGAGGGCAACTTCACCAACATCTCCCCCTTGCCGTGGGTTGGTGCCGCACACAGCTGTAAGTACTATACTCTATAAGCCGCAGGTAGAGGATGCCCTCAGAAGCTGACTGATCCCCCCAGCTGAGCTCCCACTCCTCTTCGGGACGCACTACGAGTACCGTGGAAACTCGACCGAGTTTGAATGGGAGACGAGCTACGGCATGGAGGCACTCTGGCTCTCGTTCGCCGCCAACTCCTCGGCCGACCCCACTGACGGCGTCTCGGTTACGTGGCCCAAGTACAGCGAAGACACGGATTCCTTGGCGGTCTTTGCTGCGGATGACACCTGGGTCCAGTTCTCCGATGGCAGCTTCGGTGCCGGAGTACAGTGCTCTTCTTGATTCGAGATGTCGAGTTGAGGTTCCTAGCATATATCCGACAATTTAATGATATGAATCACCTTTCTTATTGTACATATATAACCCAGCGTCGCGAGTGAGTGGTCGATATTGGAGCCTCTTAGTGCGACTCATTAGGCTGTGCACCCTACTTTTGCAAACGAAAGGGGATGCTAAATGAACAAAGAACGCAGTGGTGATGCGTGCTGACACAATCGTTACCCAGACCATGGAATGTATTACATCTGTCCCCTATCTCTCACATGTATTGATACTAGAAAGTGATCTGCATTTTCCCGTCATTGCTCACGGCCCACCGATCGAGACACTTGCCGTAGTTTGCCTTTGCGAGGTATGGATGGCTTCTGACCAAGTTCTCACTCATTCCAAGGTTCCGCGCCGAAACTCTCATCCAAGTTCATACACCGAAGAAGTTCCTCAAAAGAGAACATGCTGTGGGCCCCAACCCCTCGCCTTCGAATTCACCGTTGTCTAACATGCCATCGGCCATGGGAATTCTGGACCATTTCATCATGGTCAGGAACGACCTTCCCCTGTCGTCTGTCCGGTGGATGTCGGCCCCGAACTCGAGAAGAAGACGGAGGGCGTCCGGATTCGCGGGTTTCCATTTGTCGGCCATGTCGAGAAAGTACAACAGTGGCGGGCGAACACAGTGGTCTCCAGAGTTGGGGTCCGCGCCCTTCGCCAGTAGGACCTGGAGGGCCTCGGGCCATTCCAGAGCAAGATGGATGTAGCTCAGGGCCCGCGGGTCTTTTGGGAGCAGCGGCAGCGGCAGGTGCTCCAGGATCAGCTCCAGGGGACGGGGCAGTGTCTCGTCGGCGTTGGGCTTACAAGAACATCGGATGAGTCGATGGTTGTGCAACTCCGTGATCGCTCTCGTGAATGCTGTTGGGTATCCGGTATCGGGCATATAGGCACTGTGCCCGTCAGACTTATGGGTAACTTCGTATACATAAGCACTCCAGTCTTTGTTTAAGGGTGCCATATGTGGGTCAGCTCCATGAAGCAGTAGGAACCTCACCATGGGGCGACATCCACAGGCGACGGCACAAGATAGGGGAGTCTCCCACCAGGAATCGAATCCGTTCACCTGTGCGCCTTTCTCTAGCAGGAGCTGAGCAATAGGGACAGGTGAGTGGTACCTGCAGGCAACCTGGAGCAGCCGAGAAGCAGCATTGTTCCCTGGAGAGTCGAATTCCGGCCTCGCAAGCAAATTCTTAATGATCCTGGACTCACCACGTCCTAGAGTTTTGTAGTTCTTAAGGGCCACCTTGAGAACCTCGGAGGGCGTAGTGCGGCCAGGAAAGAGGTCGATGATCGAATCAATGTGCTTCATATCTCTCGAGTAAATGCCAGCTTTGATGCTCTCCTCCAGTCGTTCGTCCGATAACTCGAGAACTGCCCCATACCTTGCCAGGATGCGACACTCGTCAAAGCAGCGATTGTTAAACGAGCGTGTGATCTGGTCGCGAACGTATATATGTCCATAGGGCGCCACCAAGGCATGCTGGAGAATGAATCCCATGATGGTAGCATCGCCCTCGTCCACAGAAAGTCTCAGCGCCATATCCAATGCGCAATTTCCACTCTTGGATCGCATATCTGGACGGGCCCCGTATCGGAGCAGCAAGTCGACTTTGTTTGCTGGCGTGGCCCAGAAATTGCGTCCACCTTCGGCGAGCAGCAGGTATATCGCATTCTTTTGCATGCTGTCCACAGCATTCACGTCTGCGCCGAGCTCGAGAAGGACTTGGAGCGTATGCAGACGTGACCCGCGCTGGGCTGCAGCGGCTGCGAGAGGTGTAACCTCCTGAAACGATGGTACACGCTCATCGATGTTCACTCCCATAGCGACAAGCCGGCGCAGAAAGTCTTCTCGACGTTTTTCCCAAATGGCAGGGTCGGCTGATCGATGCTGCGGCGGGAAACACCCACATGGCCGTGTAGAAATACGCAAGAGAATGGCCGCCCTTTCAGTACTTGAAATATCATAACTTGCGCCCTCAGCCAGAAGCACGACGGCCCCGTCAAAGAAGCCCATCAAGCAGGCCGTCCGCAACGGTGTTCTGCCGCCTGGTTCTAAGATGTCCAGAGAGGCTCCGAGATGGATCAACATCTTCAGGGCTTGCAGATTATCTGGAGATGAACAGGCATGATGCAGGGCAAAAAAGCCGTCACTGTCAGGCTCATCCACACCAACCATCCCATTGCGGACAAGGAACTCGATAGCCGCGATGTTATTGCGACGAGCGGCTGTGTGGAAAATATTCGTGCTGGGAAATGGCCCGCGTTCAGGACTCTGAATCAAGGCACCATGAGATATGAGCAGCTTTGCCGTCGATGTATTGCCGCTGCAAATGGATATATGTAGGGGGCTCCAAGCGTGTGGCCCGTGGCTCCCGCTGTTGTAAGCGTTGTAAATGTTATCATCATCGTCGTCAAAGTCTCCGATGTGCCCAGCGTACCCTAACCTGGGTTCACATTGGCAGACGTGCTGTGCCAATGACTCAATTCTAGCACCGTTCCTTAAAAGCCATTTGACTGCTGCATTTTGTCCAAACTTGGCGGCGATATGAAGAGGGGAAAAGCCTGTGCTGCTGTATAGTCTGTGCTGCGGAAAGGAATCAAGGCGGCGGACAACAGTGGCCAGTCGTGAGCCGCTGGTGTCGTTGATCTCAGCTCCGTAGGACCGCATCCTCTCGAGCGTGTTGATATGGCCATGTTCAGCAGCCCAGAACATGGCGCTGTTGCCCGCTTCCTTCACACTATATCGCAGGAGTACTCGAGTCGCCAGGTCATTCAGGCGGCGGTTCGACCGGGCGAGACGCGCCTTGTCTGGCACATCACACGCCTCGGCAATCAGGATGATGACCTCGTCTGGAAGGCTGGACAGAGAGCTCATGATGGACGTTTTGCAAGGCTTGTGATTGGTCGTTACTGCGCAAGTGCGAGAAGGATTTTTCTCTGATGTGTGCTGCAGAAGAGGCGGAGTTGGATGTCAGGCGGGAGCGTACCCGAGAATTGATCTCTACCCCTCCCTTTACTTTTTTTGTGCGTTACACAAAGATCCACCCAACTACAAGTCCTGTCAACCAACGAGTTAGCCAAAGAAGAATGACCTCCGACTGTGGTAGTATTCCTCGCTTCAAGTACTAGAACATACATTGTGCTTCGGTCTTTTATGCAGGGCCATATGCCTCCCCTGTTACTAGGTCTAGTTTCGAATATTATTCGCAACCGAGACCAAGGACTTCGTAGTTCCAGCCTATTGCTTCACATGAAGCGAACGCCTATTCTTAATCTCAGGGCCATTCTATTCGTTGAGGTTCAGGCAGTGATGGAACTTAAAGGCATAATTACCCAGTGAGCCCTTATCAATGACTTATGAAATCGATCTTATGGTTTTGAAGGAATACATTGCCAGAATAGTAAGAGTATGGCATCACGAGCAGCCGCACCAGATGCATGCTGATCATACTTCTATGTACAGTCCCGGCCCATGTCTGGTATCATGCACAGACTACCTGGGGGGCAGGCCTTCCCTACCCCCCTACACTAAGGGCATAGGGGGTGCTAAAATTCCGCAACGGCTAAAATCCCATAATACTCATACCTACCTATTTTTACTATTTTTTCCTATAAAAATCTACTTTTTAATTAAATATATTTTTTTAATTAAATTTTATATAAAAAAAAGTTAAATATATTTAAAATTCTTATTTTATAAAAATTAATAATAAAATATTTTTAAATTCTTAGGGTTAGGGTTTAAGATTTTAATTTTTTTAATTAAAGATTTTTAAAATTAATATATTAACTTAATTAAATTATATTATTAAAAATAAAAATAATATAATATTATAAAATTATTTACTTTATATAAATAATATTTAAAAATTAGAATCTAATTATAAAAAATTAAAAGTTAAAGTTTTAAAAGATTTATAATATTAAAAATATTATAAAAATAAAATATAATAACCTTAATTTTAAAAAAACTTTTAAAAATATTATTTATATATACTAAATAATTTTAAAAATATTCTAATATTTTTACTTTTTAATAATATAATTCATTTAAATAAATATACTAATTTTAAAAAACCCTTAACTAAAAAAACTAAAATCTTAAACTCTAATCTTAAAAATTTAAAAATATTTTATTATTAATCTTTATAAAATAAGAATTTTAAGGATATTTACTTTTTTATAATATAAAATTTAATAAAGGAAATATATTTAATTAAAAAGTAGACTTTTATAGAGAAAAGTAGTGAAAATAGGTGGGTATAGGTGTTGCGAGGTTTTGGCCGTTGCGGGTTTTTGGCACCCACTCCGCCAGGAGTGGGTAAGTGGAAGCCGAGGCCCACGGGTATCTTACTAAGAAATAAGCTTTCTAACAGGAGACGAAATGTCTTGTATCTCTATAATGATGCTTTTAGACATCAGATGAGCAGGGGTGATGCTTCATCCCATTGCACCAAGGAACAGCATGCATGTATCATGGAGGTATCGAATTCAAAATTCCTCGTTTTAAAGTCTGTTTTCTAACTGATGTGTGCTGAGATGACAGCACCTCCCGGGATGTCGCGCCGTTGAGCCAGCACTTGACATCTAGAGGTCATCGGGAACACAGGCCAGGATGTCAACACGCCGACATCTGGGGTTTGCCATCCCCGGAGGCGGCTCCGTTGGGGGCTCCCGGGGCTTCGAGCGTCCCATCGCCGATGTCTCCATACTTGGCGACACTTTTATTCGATGTGTATGTGTGATATTTGACTTGGCCAACAGCGTCGCCGCCATGGCCCAAGGCGAAGGTGGGCGCGGTGGGGGATGATAGAATGAACCATGTCATGATGCTTGCCATTGTCTTGCTTGTTTGATGTATCAACGCTGTCCATTGGATTCGGAGGTTTCGAAAGTTTGCTACTTGGAATTCCAACGTCTTCAAATTTCATTTTGTCGTTAAAAGTTTACACTAAGCACATCAAAGAAGTCTGAGGACTAATTGCATTCTATGAGTTCATGTATAGAACCGGAACAATAGTAAGTGCCCTGCATGGAGAAGGCAATACATCTTTCAAGATGTACGAAACGAGTTTCCCCACGCTTATATACATAAGTATTTAAGCACCGTTCGCCAACCTCCAGCAGACATTAATGACTGCGCTAGTTGCCAGAACATGGCTCACCGTACGAGGAGGTGCGATGTTAGCCAAGTAACTAACATAGTACAAGCCCGTCTTCAACAACACATGCAACCCCAGCAAATTCGCAATGTGCGTGTCAGCAGGCGCCAGGCTCTGTGCCAGCGACGCCGCGATGGCAAACCCGGCAAAGTTCTCCATCAGGTTGTAGTGAGCGGACCGCATGCGCAGCGGCAGCCCGTCCAGCGTGTGGACGTGTTTCCGTGGCGTGTTATTGTCCAGTCCCTCGCGGCGGCCCATGGCCTGGCCCGCTGCCGAGATTGCGCCGGACGCCCCGAACGTGATGAACACGTAGATCGCCGTGAGGGCTGGGATGGTGCGGCCTGGAGCTACGCCGCCGGGGAAGACCTCGAGGACTCGCTCGAGGATGCCATGGAACACGCCATCTGCTTTGGTGATGCTGGAGGTAATGGGGACGCCTATGAGATACGCTGCTGCGAAGCCGCTGATGGCGGCACCAGATGGATTGACGCTGTATGCCTGTGTCAGTATCACAGGTGCGCCGAGGAGCTAATATTGCTGAACTTACATCGCCTCATTGCGGGCGACTTGATCCACTTTCTCTGATGCTGTTTTGGGTGGCATCGTAAGATCTAGCTTAGAAAGGTGTGTTTGGTGTTGATTTGAAGCCGATATCAATAAAGATGATGGGAAGAGGAGAACACGAGGATCTCTATTCGAATGACATCATACTTTTGGGGTTGATCTTTACCTCGGCATCATAAGAATGCCATCAAGTGTTGACTAAGAGTCAGACCCTCCTTGTTACATAAGGCACTCGCTCGGACTGAATACTTAAGTAATTGAAACCTCTGTGCTTACCGGGAATAGGGTTCCCAATGTACTACTAGTACACAGGTTTGTAAACATTTGAAAGCCGAAATTGAAATACTCATCGGATTCAGCTTCCCTCCTCCACCAGTATCACATACCTAGGTACACTGCGCCAAAGATGCAGCCAAATGGTCAAATCTTCTAAACGTTACTGGACAGCCACCGTGACTTGCTGGCTTTGTGCCGGGTGGTTCTTTATATTGGATTGTGAAATTCATTCTGTGAGAAGCTGACCTTGAGCTATGGAAAGTCATTCCGGAAGATGTTGATCAATTGGACGATCGTGTCACAGAAAGGCCCATGGGTATATGCACTTGGGACGAGACATTCAGTAGCGGCAGATTATATTTGAGATTGCCAGTATGATGAAGCCGACATTGTCATTCGCGCTTCACTCCATCCATGCATGTGCTCAGGAATGCAGGCTCGAAGATACTGTGAATCAGGTGGTGTGGAGTTCCTAGCCCGAGCCGAGAAAAGGTTGAATTTAATCGATTGGACACATCATCGTAACATTATCGTAGAGTAAATGGCAATACTGGATCTCCTGGATCAATGGAGAAGTTCATCTTCCCAACTAGACTCGCATGTCCTCGAACCCTTGGTATACAAGCCGGTGCACCATCCTTGATGGGGCTTTGCTCCTCAGATACAATTTCTCCCTCAAATGTTGATCCTATAATGGATCTATGTATGAGCTTCGACCGTCCAGCCCCTACTCTTCCCTCAGCTAACAGCATCGCCAGCCTTGCACAAGTCCCAGAGCCACAGGGAGATCGATCGATCTGCCCATCGGCGAAGACAGTAACGTTTGTCTGTCTCACGGGATCCGCACTCTTGTCGTCCTCGTCAAAAAAGATGACGCCGTAACAGGCCCTTGCACCCAGGGCTTTTTTGACCTCCCTTCCCAGCGCAACAAACTCATTTGCATTCTTCGGCTCGACCCTCAGGCCGAGTTGAGCTGCGTCGACAGTGGCGTAGACTGCGCCACCAAAAGCCAAGCCGGCAATGATACTGACGCCCCGCGAGGGGACATCCACCGACAACCCCTTCTCTAGCTGGTAACTGGCCACGTTGACAAAGTCCGCATGGACAGGTTTCCCATCCTTGACAAAAACATTAGCAACAACCCGGCCAGATGGGACATCGACAACAACATCTACAGTCCCATCCGCCCCCTGTGGAGCCTCTACCAGCCCTTTCGTGACGGCCCAGTACCCCAGCGCGATCGTCCCATGGCCACACGCGGTGGAGAATCCCTCAGCGTTCCAGAAGAGCACACCAAAGTGCGCGCCGGAGTCGTTGGGCGGGGTGATGAAGCCTCCGTACATGTCCGAGTGACCTCGAGGCTCCAGGCATAGTTGCTGGCGGAGAATGTTGAGAGGATGGTCGGGGTTCTTGAGTATCGTGAGGCGGCGTTCCGCCACAGAGGGAGCATTGGGAAGTGCGTTTATGGGGAGCTCGGCGACGATGCGGAAGGGCTCGCCTGCGGTGTGCCAGTCTTCAGTCTGGATCCAGTATGGAGAGGACATGACGCTTGGTCACGCGGAGTGAAGAGGTAACAGTTCTGATCGAATTTAGTCACTCGGGTATTCACACTTAATGTCGTTGTCTCTCCTTGGGCTTTTGAACAGCTTGAGCATTGTTCTAATGACATGGCTAGCATCAGCGGAGGCAAAGCCATGATGAGGAGAAACTCTAATACTCCGATCTCGGCCGGTACGTCACATACCTGAGGCTCCTCATAAACGTAGAGATTCGAAGTGCTCTGATACCACATAGACTCATAATCGCATACCGGGCACAACCGCGAAGGTCTCAGTCGTTCCCAGGGCCGTATCGCAAGTGCTTGATATTGTTCGAGGTTATATCGGCGCTGCGAATATACGTCTTGATCCTCGAAGTAATCTTGGTTCCCCCTTTATCGCCTGACACGTTCTTGACGCATTCTAGATGACGACCTGTTCCTAGCTTACATAGCACAAAACATATCTCGCAGAGCCATAATACATCTCAAACTTTCAGCCATAATACAACGACTATTTCGAAGAGTCCTCCAGAGCATCTGCCATGTCCCCAAGGGTTTCAAATTTCCAGTCGTACACCTCCGGACTCCGATTTCCCATAATGGCACCTGGCCTGACTATCCAGCAGGAGCTCATGCCCATCTTCTTCGCAGGGTGATGATCGTGATACTGACTCTGCGCCGTCTGGAGAATCTGCTCCTTCGGCACGCCCAATTTCTCGGCGGTCTCCTTGATCATATACTTGAAGTTCTCAAGGTCCGGCTTATAAGACCCAACATCTTGAGCGGTGATGACCAGATCGAATTTGACGCCCTCTAGAGGACCACTGTTGCTGCGAGCGAACGACTCGTGGTCGACGTTTGAGAGCACCACTAGCTTGAAATGACTCTTCAGCCGCTTCAGCGCCGCGACAGTATCTGGAAACGCAGGCCAAGACCCCACAGAGGCCCCAAACGCGTTGCTTTGTTCTGGGGAAGGCTTTGCTAGGCCCAGCTTGGCTGCAATCTGAGGGTGGATGGCGGCCAAGATCTCGTGATACTTTAGATCCGGAGTGGTGGCCTGCTGCGTCCGCTCGCATTCGTGAATCACGTCGAGAAGCTTCTCTCTGCTGAAGGTTGCGTTGTTGGCATCAAGAAGGGGCTGGAGGTTGGATATGATGCCTGTCTCCCAATCTATCAAGGTGCCGTACACGTCGAAGCATAGGACCTTGAAATCGGTAAGGTGCGCCATGATCTGAATTCTGGGCACAAGAATGGGCGGGCGCTTTGATCGTGAACGGTGGACTGTTGCATATATTTCAGCCTCCTTGGCTCCTTAGCCTGTCAGTGATTCGGAGATGGAGGCCGCAAATACGCAATATTTGGAGTGATTGTGTACAAATAAAGAGCTCAGGCTCTCCGCAGACGCAACAGATCCATCCCGCCTGACGTTGGGCCGGGTACAGACCGGGCCGGGACCCCCTGGAGCCGGGGCATGCCCCCGAAATCTCGGCATGGCCCGCTCCATGCACAGTGGATTGCATCACTGCTGCTTGGCCCTGATCAGCCCTAAGTCATGGGACTTTGGCGCGGCGTTCACAACATTGGGCTAACTCGGCAAGCGCCTTCCAGTGTGTACTTGGCTTAACCGAACGTTTGAATGAGACCGCATTGGCGGGTATTACTCAGAATTGTCTTGGGTATCTTGTTGAAAGGGTGTCTCGAGTGTTTGCATTGCCTGTCCAGGCCTGCTCGTGGGAGTACATGTCCGCTTTTCGCAACAGCAAGAAAAGTCTTACTCTACTCTACCAAAAGTGTCACCTGCCAGTGGTCCAACCGGGGACTCGGACGGCTGCGACGATGGACATGACAGGTCTCCCTGTGGATGCTCCTCGAGCTGCAGCCACCCGACTTCGTTTTGCCGACGTAGGCTGGCCCTATTCAACAGGTGGCTCTTGCATGGTGCTAACTTCGTATTGCATAACTAGGTTGCCGTCACAGCGACAGCCAACGAATTCAAAGGAATATACCGCGGCAAGCAATACCATCCCGCAGATTTTCCCAACACACTCGATCGGGCGCTGAGCGCCGGAGTGGAAAAGGTCATTTTGACGGGCATGAGTCTGCAGGACGTGTCCACGAACCTTGAAATCGCACGGTCTCGTCCAGCGGGTTCATGCTTTTTCACCATAGGCGTCCACCCATATCATGCCGCCGAGCCTTTGGCCGAGGGCCCCTCGTATCTCGAAAAGCTCAAAGAAGCCGTTGAGACGAATCTTCACCAAGATCGACGACATCTGGCTGCATATGGCGAACTCGGGCTGGACTACGATCGTCTCAATCTTGCGGATAAGCAGACACAACTCGCGACGTTCAAGGCGCAGCTGGACATGTTCGTGGCCAATCGATGGGATCTGCCGCTGTTCCTGCATTGTCGTAACGCATTTGAAGATTTTGTTGAAGTGATGAGTTCCTACGCGGACGTGCTGCCTTGCCGTGGTCTGGTTCATAGCTTCGTGGGTTCTCGAGAACAAATGGAGAAGCTAGTCTCAATGAACCTCGACGTGAGCGTCAACGGCTTCAGTTTTCAGACCCGCGAGAGCTTAGACATGGTTGCTGCGATTCCACTCACGCACCTCCAAATCGAAACTGATGCTCCTTGGGGGGAGCTCAAGCCCAGTTCCGAGGTGGTGAAGAGGTATCTGACCAACCTGCCTCCGCTGCCAGCGAGTAAGAAGAGGGATAAATGGGAAGCCGGTAGTATGGTCAAGGAGAGGAATGAGTCCTGCACGCTTGCCAGAATTGCTTACATCGTGGCTGGACTAAAAGGCATCAGTGTAGGGGAGGTAGCAGGAGCGGCGTGGGAAAACAGCGCGAAGATGTTCAGACTATCTGAAGAATAACATGTATGGAACTCTAACCCATGTCCAATGGACTGTTCTCACTAGGCTTCACAGTAGACTTATTTCCATACAGTACACTTCCCTCAGTGTACTGGGTGTAGTGAGTGGCCACCCTATATACTGTCCGAGTCTCACTGTAACAGACGGTATACTAATGATTGAGCTTAGTATTGGGACAATCAACCCAACCCGGGCTCAGCATGAAATATTGCTATCCTGGAAATCCGGATGAGGCTCAGACAATACCATCGTAAATGCCGCCCCACAATTTCTACCCTTCCGAATCCTTAGTCAAGGCGGCACTGTTGATCTTATCGCTGGCTTGCAAAATCTTCCTCGGATCTGGTGGCCTCCAATTCAGCAATACGTCTCGCTCCAGCCATCTCGGCCGTCTTGGCTGGTTGTTCAAGCTCGGCCTGTGCGGAATGCTCATGGTCTCGGTGCGGCGAGTGTGAGATCCGGGATGACGTTTCCTTCCCCTTGTCGGTGCCCGCTTGTGCATTCATTCGTCTCCTTCGTCTTAACAGAAACCATACCATAAACGCGACGAGTAAGGCCACAACACCGCCAATGGCGATCCCAATGGTCGAGCCTACGGTAAGTGTCCCACTAGGCGTCTTGCTGACTGGGATTTCTGTTCCTCTAGCTGTGTAAGTAGCAGTAGTACTGCTTGGTGCAGAGGTCGGCGCGTCGGCTCGGTCCGTAGATCTCCAGTTGATCTGGATCATTGGTGCCCAGGCAGTCAGCGTTTCGATCGTGGTAATGGACATGGTAGGGATATTGTCCCCCGTCCCCGTTGGGGTGTTTGTTGTTATCTGGGAGGCGACGAGTGGGAAAGTCTGCATGAATGAGATCATGTCTCCTTTCGAATCGCACGTTGCCATCATCATAACGGTCGAGGTAGTCGTGAGCCCACAACTTGCTCCCCATCCGGGAGTATTGAAGCACGTGTACCCACTGAACGGATAGTTGCGGTTAGCCCAAAGCGTCTACTCGGGCAGGCTAGGCAAATGCAATCCACTGGGAGTCAACGTACGTCGGACAGCAACCCACTGCAGTCTCGCCATCCACCATTGAAAATTGCACTGCCCAGTTGTTGCTGCCCGCGGCAGTAGCAGTGCATGCACTGTTGTAGCCGTGAGGACAGACAAGGCCAGGAGAGTAGAATCCCCACCCTTTGAAAGGCAGAGATGGATACGACGCACCCTGTGTTGTCGGTGGCCAACATTGGGTTGCGTCAATCTAAAAGGTCAGAAATCCTCGAGCTCGGGTCAACTGGGATGTGAGGTCACCCGTGGACCATGATGATGGGATTCTCTCGCTCTCGATGGGGTCCCAAACTTACCATGGCGTCGTTACCAACACAAGCTTGGCCACGCCATCCAGCCCTGGAACACCACTGAGCGGCGGACACACAAAAGTTCTCGCAGGATGTTGGAGGTGTAAATGTTGTGGTTAGCGGACCTAGAATTGTCCTTGATTGGTTCACAGCCTGAGGGACGAGGGGAGTTGTCATAGTATCAAGATTACCCAAAGCGCAAGAGCTTGGGACAAAGACCTGGATGTTTCGAGTGATTCTACACAAGTAAAGTCCAATGACAGACCTATTCAGTGGATCGAAAGCCTTTGAAGGTTTGAGACGTCTGCGTATAAAGTTTGGGAATCGAAGTCATGAATATTCGTTGCCGTCAGCACATAATCTCGAAGAAGAGGGGATCCGAGTAACCCGCATGGAAACAGCAGGAGACACACAACTGCTTCAAGTTAGGTGGTACAAGGCTACAGACAAGGGGCCAAAGACGCTCAGTCCTCGCGGAGCTGAATCGTGCAGGCCGAAACTCGCACCATGTCCTCGTCAACAAGTTCAGTGGTCTAAGACATAAGAAGCTGCGAGGCCATTTATATCCACCTATACGCGCAGGATTGCTGTTGGATGGGTCAGGTGTCTCAAAACAGTCCAAGGCCATGCCGTATTTGATGGGAATAACCGAGGACTTTTCTGCAACAGAAGCGCTATGCCGTTGGGACTCGACCGATGACTGATGGCATGTTTGGGCAAAGGCCCAGTAATGTCGTTGACGCTTACAACTCGTTTTTCTCTCCTATGAGTCCATACCTGCAGGAAACTAAACTGCAATGTGTACCATGGTCTGTATTTAGGCATCGACTACCAATGTGGCCAGATGGGGAGCTGGCCAGAGCCGAGTTCAGGGGCCTTACCTGGGCAGTCACTTCTAGGCTAATGTACCTTCTTGTGTGAGGATATTGGAACGATGACAGCTATGAAAGCTACTAGTATTAGGCACAAGTATTATATGAAGGCGCCATGCATGTCTTCAGACGTGTGGGGAACCGAAGCGAAACCAGTCAAGGTCCAATTCCTCACCACTCCACCCTCGAGAGCCGGACATAGCACTGAGTAGGCTCCCGAGCAAACTTCTGAACGGAATCATACGAGCTCAGCTCAGGAGGACACGGCCTCAGCTCAAAGTGCCAAACCGCAAGCGCAATCTGGATCCGCAGCGCCTGCAGCGCAAGCCTCCTCCCATAACACCCCCTCGGGCCCGCGCCGAACGGCAACGACGGCCCAGCCATAGGATCGAAGACCACCACGCCGTCCCCGGCCGACCTGAGCCAGCGCTCAGGCTTGAAAGCACCAATGTCCGCATCATCCCACACGCCCGTCAGCCCCTTGTTGGCATCGGCCGCACCACCACCACCGCCACCCCTCCGCGCCCCGGGGGCACGCAGCCCGTCCGGCTCGACAGGCCGGTTCGGCGCGAGGTAGCCCGCCCCGTTGGCCATGAGGAAGACGTTGGTGCCGCGCGGGACGACCCTCCCCAGCACGGGGGCGTCGCACATCGCCCGCCGCACCACGAACGCGATCGACCCGGCGTGCCGCAGGACCTCCTCCACCACGGCGTCGAGGTACGCGACGTGCGAGCCCGCCAGCTCGGCGTAGGACGGCGTCGCGGCGCCCGGGAACGCGGCCCGCAGCTCGGCCCGCAGCCGGTCCTGCGCGCCCGGGTTGTCCGCGAGGTACTTGACGCTCCACGCCATCGTCGTCGCCGTCGTGTCGTGGCCCGCCATCAGGAACCCCGTGAACTCGTCCACGACGGCGCGGCTGTGGTACTCTGGCCTGCGGCCCTCCTTGGCGGCCGTGTCGCGCTCGCGGAGGAGGACCGAGTGCAGCGCGCTGCGGGCTTGAGGGCTCTTGTTGTCGCCGCTGTTTTTGTTGCTGCTGGCCGCCGCCGCCGCCGCCGATGCCGGGTCGACGCGGGGGATGCACTCGTCGATCTTGCGGCCGACGTACTCCTCCTTGACGGCGATGGCCCGCCTCATATAGGGGAACCTGCGCGACACCCACGCCGTGAGGGCCGGCGCGGGAGAGAGCTGGTTCTCCGTGATGGACATGCATATCGTGATGATGGCGGCCGAGATGGGCGGCACGATGTCCTCGGTCTCCGGGAACGGCACCGGCTCGCCGGTGGAGGACGCCTCCAGCCCGGGCGGCGGCGTCCAATTCTGCATCTCACGCAGGCGCTGGAGCGTGACGTTCTCCTCCTCGGCCAGCCCAAACAACGCCGCGAGGATGGCATCCAGCGCGAGATAGGTGAGGTCGTGGTGGGCTGAGAATGGCCTGCCGGCCGCCATGTCGCACTTGATGCCCCAGACGCGGATCATCTCCTCGGTGGCCCGGTACATCTCGGGGGCGCTGACCTCCTGGATGAAGGTCGGGGCCATGAGGTGGTTGATGAGCGCGCGGTTCCTCTTGAACTGGACGTCGCTGCTGAGCTTGTGTGAGTGCTGGCCGGGGATGATCCCGCCGATGACCTCGCCAAAAAAGGGCGCCCGGTCGAACTCGCGGTTGCGCCGGAGGAGAATGTCCTGGCTTTCAAAGGGGTCTGTGATCACGACCCATGGGTACGAGAAGGGCTTGATAAATACTTGCACGATGGGGCTTTTGTGTCGGTCAGTAAGCGAGGTGAGCCAGCACTTCAGTGGGTTAGCAGAATGATCATGCTAGGGTTCTGGCGGCTTGCTCAAAGCCAGACCCATCCGGAGACTTACAAAGATTCGCTTTGTACGCTTGACGTAGCCCATCATCTCGGGCACGTCGCCAAGAAGCTGCCCCGCCGCATCGCGATTATACGGGATGTCTGGCAAAGGCTTGGGTAGAGCAGCACGGTAGGCAACATAGAGTAAGGCAAGGACCAATGGCAATATGAAAACACCATATGCGGACATGATTGCAGCCATGGTGCGCGTTGGACGGAAGACGAAGTTGCTAGGTGGAAACGTTTCAAGCAACACACGATGCGGCCGAGTCGCTGAGCAGGTTGACTATTTGGACATCGAGAACTTTGCCGAGATAATGCATAGATAATGCATACAATAAGCAGGGCACTGCCGGGATCTCCAAGGCAGCTTACTAGTGCTGATGCAGAGTGAGCCGTCCTCGCCGAGCGGAAGATGCATTCATTCTGAATCATATTCATTCTACCACGTGCCTATATCCAAGCGATGAGAAGTCCTGCTTTTGCCTAAATGCGCGTGGTGCTACCTACAACCCAACACTCTCTAGCACGAATCCGAAGCTGACCTCCTCGCACTTTACAAGCAGGTCCTCCCTCACGCCGGGACCACAGGCGGCCGTGCCAACACCAGCGACCTGATAGTCCAGCCTGAGCAGCGTGGCGTCCTCCTCGACCAGGTCGGGCGGGTGCCTCGCGCTCTGGATCGTCTCGGCCGAGTGGTTGCTCGCCACCCAGCTGAAGCCGCCCTCGAAGCCCTGCGCCACCGCCCTGACGCCGGCGTCGTGCGTGTTCGTGAGGGTCACGTACCGTGCCTCCATGCGGTTGGCGTTCTCCTGGGGAACCTCGTATGGTGTCTGCAGGTCCTTCACCGAGTCGGCCGTCCAGACGCCAGTACGCTGTGAGTCCTTCTTGTCTGGGTAGCTCTCCCCGGGGCCGAGGCCGAACCACTTGACCTTGTCGAGCTTCTTGCTCAGGCGGAGGTTCAGCCCTGCCCGGGGCACGTGTGTGGGCTTGGCGCCCGTGGGCTTGGCGCTCTTGACGTCGATAGATAGGGATCCGGTGTTGGTGATGGTATACTCAATATGGCACTCGTATCCCCAAGCCAGGATTGGTGGTGTGACGAAGATGTGTGACTTCAGGATGGCCTTGTTGGGGTCAGAAGTATCCACAGTGAACGAGCGGCCTTGGCTTTCCATCACATCCACGCCGAAGCGCTGCCAGTACGGTAGCTCGCCAGGAACGTCGTTGTCTGTGGCAGGGCGCCAGAAGGATGGCGTGATGGCAACCCCGGTGGTGGGGTCAGCTTCGAGTATAGACACGCCGTTGACGGCCCAGGAGGTTGGAGCTCCGCGGGCGCGATCGAATGTGAAGTTGTAGTTGGGGCCAGAAACATTGACCTTTGCGCCGGTCGAGGTGACCTTGACGGGAGACGACATCTTGTTGAGGGCCAGAGCCGTTGTTGGGGAGGCCGCCTTGGATACCTGCCACTGCTTCCAGGCAATCTCATGGCCTGCGGCTGCCCAAGGTGTATCATCGCGGAGGGTCAGTGATACGGTCACAAACACCTCCTTGTTGCTCTTGTACTTGGACAACGGCCCGCTCAGATCAATCTCGCCCTTCTTGCCTGCCTTGATGTCAGGGATTTCAAGCTTCCCAGATGCAAGGAGCTTAGATCTATGACGGCTGTTAGCGGAATACTCTATCTAGGCGAATGGCAATGTCACTTACTCCTCCCCAAACTCCTCCACCTTGTAGGAGGCGACGAGGTGTTTGAGGTCGATGAAGTCGTAGTAGTTCTTCAGAGTAAGCTTCTGACCGTTGACAGAAAAACCAACCGGCTGAATGACCTTCTTGTACTCGGTCAGGCCAGGTGTAGGCTCATGGGTGCTGAACAACAGCCCATCCATGACGAATGTGCCATCATTGGGGACATCTCCAAAGTCGCCTCCGTAGGCGTAGTAGCCACCCTTGCCGGTGCCATCGCCCTCCTCCTTCCAAAGGCCGTGGTTTGCCCACTCCCAGATGAAGCCACCCTGGAGGCGGGGGTTCGTTCGGAAGAGCTCTTCGTAGTCTTCGAGCCAGCCAGGACCGTTGCCCATGGCGTGTCCGTACTCGCAAAGGACAACAGGCTTCTCATACTTGCCATCCTTGACACCCTCGTTGTTAACAAGTCTCTGGAGCCGCTCAACCGGGGGATACATGTAGCTGTACATGTCGGCCGTCTCTGCGTGCACGTCACCCTCATAGTGGATGAGGCGGCCTGGGTCGACCTTCTTGCCGTACTCGTACATGGCCTTGTGGTTTTGGCCGTAGAAAGCCTCGTTGCCAAGACTCCACACGATGACGGATGCATGGTTCTTGTCACGTTGGACAAGATCGCGCATGCGGTCCACGTATGCCTCCTTCCAGGCTGGGTTGTCAGTTGTGAACTTGGCGGCTATGGGGAAGGTGAGCTTCTTGCGCTCCTCGTAGTCCTGGCCCTCAGGGATATCCTGGGGCCTCGCAACGGCGTCGTAGAAACCGTGGCATTCCAGGTCAGCCTCGTCCATGACCCAGAGGCCAAGCTCATCGCACATGTCCAGGATCTTGGGGTGGGATGGGTAGTGAGAGCAGCGGAGAGCGTTGATGTTGTATGTCTTCATGATAAGCAGATCACGCTTGATGAAATCAAGTGGAACAGCCCGGCCAAAGTGGGGGTGGTGCTCGTGCCTGTTGACACCACGCAGGCGGATAGGGGTACCATTGACGGTCATGAGCCCGTTGATAAGCTCGACCTTGCGGAAGCCGACTCTTTGCGTTACGGTGTATGGCTTAGAGGAGGAGGTGCTGAGGGCCAGCTCCACGTTGTAGAGGTATGGCGACTCGGCGGTCCACTTCTGGGGGTTGCTGACGGGTATGGAGACGTCGATTTTGGATGAGCCTGTCCCCACAGAGACCTCTTTCGTCTCAATGACCTTGCCACCCTCCTTGTCCAGCTCCGAGATTGTAAGCTTCAGGGTGGCCTTCTCCTTGCTGAGCACGTCGACTGTAGCCTCCAGCGTGGCGTTCTCGTAGTTGGAGTCGAGGTCTGTTCGTAGGAACCAGTCGTCGATTCTGGAATCGGCGGGGAAGGCGATCAGGTGGACGTCTCGAAAGATGCCTGTTCAGGGATCAGCAAGAGGTTCTCAATGGATCCTCGGAGTAGATGTAATTACCAGAAAGCCACCATTGGTCCTGGTCCTCGATATATGTGCCGTCTGACCATTGGTAGACGCGCACGAAGACCTCATTTGTGCCGTCCCTGACGACATACTCGGAGATGTCGAACTCATGCGGGTTCCTCGACCCCTGAGCATAGCCGACCAGCGCACCATTGACAAAGACATGGTAGGCGCTGTCTACACCGTCAAAGCGCAGTCTGAGCTGGGCATTTGAGTCCCAGGTGTTTGGCACGTGGAACGACCTCCTGTACGTGCCCGTAGGATTGTCTGTGGGCACATACGGAGGGCAGACGGGGATGGGGAACTGGACGTTGGTGTACCAGGGCTTGCCGTGGCCCTGGAGCTGCCAGTGGCCAGGCACGTTCTGCTTTCCCCAGGCGGTGGTTTCGCCAGCCTCTGGCTCGGGGGCCTCGAGCGGGTTGGGGGCATAGTGGAAGTCCCAACTGCCGTTGAGCAGCAGAGACGTCTCTGGGATGTGGTAAGAGCGGGCGGGAAGGCAGTTGCGCCTGAAGACGGCTTCGTTGATGTAGTCGGGCCTGTCTTTGTCCTCCTGGAGAGGAATGCCGCGGGGAGCCATCCTGAAGTTCTGTCCCATTGAGGTCTCGCCACGAGATTGGGAGCTAGAGAGGGTGAGAGAGAGGAGTGCCCAGGTGGGGGGGGCAGCAGGGGATGGGCGAGCAAGGCGAGCTTTATCTACCGGTAGAGTAGAGCTTCACCGGCAGTGACACGAGCGCTGGCTAGCTCTGGCTAAAGCTGCAGTGACCCAGTGACGGAGCAGTGGCCCAATGATGGAGCAGTCAACACGACAATGTATGCAGTGGCCACGAGAATAGAGTGGCAGTCGAAGGTGGAGGGCGGACCTCGGCCGAGATGATCACGCTTCTGCTTGGACGAGGAGGCCGATATATGCTACTCTGCAGGGACCGACAAGCCAACAAGTCCACAATTATGCATGGGTGCCGTCAGCGATTGGAACCCGCACATGCATGGAATGCCTGTTTCCGTTTCTGAGCAAACAAGTCGGTACACAGTAGTGGTGAAGATGTCCTGTTCTCGTCGGGATCGGGCGGGCAATTCTCGGTTGAATAGGCCAAGCTATCTGGTTGAGTGACCTCAGTGTGGAACTTTTTTTTGCTCCTTCCTCTGCTCGGACCTGGCAAGAGCAGGAAGCAGCTGCGCACATGTTGTTTGTGCCTGATTGATGGCGGGGTCCCTCACTCCAATTGAGCTCGTGCTGCCTCGCTCCATCCTACCCCGCATTCTCCACAGCCGGACTCATGCTCGGTTGTCCAAGCAGATACACAGTAGCAGAATTACCAGCACAGACATTTGTTCACATGCAGCCCTGGGGCCAAAATACTTGATGCATTCCAGTAAAGAAAAGCTCGGTCAGCCAGAGTCGCAGCCGCATCCTGCCAGATGGTCACGAGGGAGATCTAACCGTGGCAAGGCACTGACCCCGAGAGAAAAAGATCCTTGGAGTGCTGCGAAAAGATTCAGGTACTGAAAGTTGGAGGCTAGCATGATGTATCTACCCATGTTAATTGTTTGTAACAGTACATGGGAGAAACATCTTCAACCATAGGATCCTGACGGGGAAGACGGAGCCGAGCTTTGGGGCAGAAGTGGGTCCTCAGCCAACCCCAACCTGACCCCAGATCAGCCCAGGGCCGGCCAGTCTGTCAGTCTGTGCGTGGTTCTGACGAATCTCACCCGACATACCGAGCTGCCTACCTTCATTTGCACGAGCTAGCATTTACCCGCACCTCTCTCGAGCCTCGAGCCAGACTGCCCCGGACTGCCCTGGACTGCCTGACTGCCAGACGGCGCTGGAACCTCCCCTTGCTCCCCTGCCAGGCGATACCTGGCCCTGCCTGGCTAACTCGTTGAGAGCCGAGACCAAAACGAGGCCAATGGGCCGTCCGGAGCCGACCTCCAACAAGCGCGCCTCGTACTGCATGGTACTCAGAACAAGGGTCCGCACCACGCCAGGCTGCCCCATCTCCGGCCACATCGCATGTCTCTTGCCCATGGGGCCGCAGGGGCGCCATGTGCCCACCAATGGCAGCAATGCGGGGGATCCACGAACCAGCCTTTGTATGCATCTCCGTCCACATGCCCATGTTGTAGGCCCGGAGCGGACCAGTTCTTGGGTTGACCACCACTTTCTGGGGTAGTATGTGCCTTGTTGTCGGTCGCCTGTCTTTTCTAACGTTGCACTGTCGCGTTGTAGTACACATATAAAGTTATGCATCTCGCCTCCACCCCTCCTCTCGTCTCCCAGCCTCTCGGGTCACGAAACGTTGGGTGGACTTGAACCTGTTCCAACTGTTCCCAATCTGCCACTGAGATAGACAGAGATACTACTCAGCCAGCCATGGCGACCATTGACGAAAAGCCTACGGGCGTCCAGAGTGTCGACCACCATGACGATGTCGCGAACGTCGACCACGCTGTTCACATCGCCCATGAGACCGAGGGCAAGATCTCTCCTTGGACGTGGAACATGTTCCGCCTCTACCTGGTCCTCGCCGTTGCTTACCTCTGCGGGTATGTCTGTCCTCACTCTAGATAAGAGACATCGCTGACATACCTCTAGCTGCTTGAATGGCTATGACGGGTCGCTTATGGGTGGTTTGAATGGAATGAAGGCTTATCAGACATACTTCAACATGTTAGCCCCCCCCCACCTCTCTATCTATGTTTTTGGTGCCTAGCAATATCCATTTTGACAAGAAATACTGATCATGTCCGGGATTTAAAGGACTGGGGAAGGATCCTCAACCGGTCTCGTTTTCGCCATGTACAACATTGGTTCGGTGGCCGCTGTCTTCCTCACCGGCCCCGCGAATGATCTGCTCGGACGCCGCGCCGGCATGTTCATCGGTGCCGCCATTGTTGTCATCGGAACATGCGTCCAGGCTCCGTCAACCACCTCGGGACAGTTCCTCGGCGGTCGATTCGTCCTTGGTTTCGGTGTCAGCTTCTGCTGCGTCTCCGCCCCAACATATGTCAGCGAGATGGCGCACCCGGCCTTCCGTGGCACCTTGACAGGACTCTACAACTGCACCTGGTATATCGGAAGTATCATTGCCTCTTGGGTCGTCTATGGCTGTGCATTTATCCCCGACCACACCAAGGCGTGGAGAATCCCCATCTGGTGCCAGATGATTACTTCTGGGTTTGTCGTGCTGTTCGCCTTCTTCCTGCCCGAGTCGCCTCGCTGGCTCATTGCCCGTGACAGGCACGAGGAGGCGGCCGCAGTCCTGACCAAGTACCACGGCGAGGGCGACCCGAACCACCCCTACGTGCAGCTCCAGATGAAGGAGATGGCCAACCAGATCTCCAGCGAGGCATCCGACAAGAAGTGGTGGGACTACCACGAGCTGTGGGACACCCACTCGGCCCGCAGGCGTCTCATTTGTGTCCTCGGTATGGCTTGCTTCGGTCAACTCAGCGGTAACTCTCTGTCGAGCTACTACCTGCCCACCATGCTTGTCAACGCCGGCATCAAGGAGCAACACAAGGTCCTGGCGCTGAACGGTATTAACCCTGTGCTCTGCTTCTTCGGGGCTTGTCTTGGTGCTCGCATGACCGATGTTGTGGGACGACGGCCTCTGCTGCTGTACTCGATCGTCTTCTCCTCCTTCTGTTTCGCCATCCTCACTGGTACCTCCAAGTTATCTATCGACCAGCCAGACAATGTCGCCGCCGCCAACACCACCGTCGCCTTTATCTTTATCTTCGGCATTGTCTTCTCATTCGGTTGGACGCCCCTTCAGAGCATGTACATCGCCGAGACTCTGCCCACGAGCACCCGCGCCAAGGGAACCGCCGTCGGTAACTTTGCCTCTGCCGTCTCCAGCACCATCATCCAGTACAGCTCCGGGCCGGCCTTCGAGAAGATTGGCTTTTACTTCTACATCGTCTTCATCTTCTGGGACCTGTTCGAGGGCGCCTTCATGTACTTCTTCTTCCCCGAGACCAAGGGCCGTACTCTTGAGGAGCTCGAGGAAGTCTTCTCCGCGCCGAACCCTGTCAAGAAGTCTCTTGAGAAGAGAAGCGCCCAGACTGTGATGAACACGATGAATGTGCAGGCCGATGATAAGGAGGTTTACGTTTAATGAGCGGCGTAGGTTTATAATCAAGGGCCTAGTGCCATCCTGGGAGAGCCGCCTCAGCACATTCGATGCTTAGAGACAGACATCCATACTTCGCCCACACATATATGTGTGTAACATGGCTTAGAAAAAAACTTCCAAACTCGCACCATGTTCACAAAGCCCGTGAAACGTAAGAGAACTGATTGTCTTTGTGGACATACGCAATCGTGCCGGACGCGAGGAATGGTTGTCTTACATCAGATCTGGGTTGAACCCTGGGACATTAATCCGAAGAACAGTCATCCGTCATAAGTTCCTTGGCCAACAGCCACGGCCATCGGATCTTGGCGTCAGAATTGTTCCAAATCCGACGCCCACACAAAGCCGATGCAGTCGCGCTCCGAGCCGTGCTTAGCTCCACCGGCCCGCGTGGGCTGGATTGGCCCCCGACGCCGTTCCTTCGTCGGCTTTACGACCACCACGCTTCTCGCTCTCTTTGTGCTACGTGCAGGGACGCGGGAAATACAGCTCGTTGATCAGCATTCGGGACGTGGCAATGGCGGCTCTTCGGGGATCCTGTTGAGCCACAGCCACCTTCGCCCTGGAGATAACGGATGACCTAATGCGCGTGAGCTGAGACCGGTGAGTGTCATGGGTGGGGGCGCCGGGTGGGATATAAGACATGTAGTTCTTGCTCTGCTCAAGATGGCTTCACTTGAGCACCTCATCACAGACCTGCCATTCATATACTCCAACAATTTGCGTTGTAGAGCACACCATACCTACTATCAGACACATTGCCATAAACCAAGCACGCCGTGCAAGCCGACCCCTATTCTAACCAAAAAAAAAGCAACAAAAACCATGTCCCTCGCAGGCAAAGTCATCATCGTCACCGGCGGCTCAAAGGGCATCGGGCGGTCCATCTCGCACCGCCTGGCCCAGGACGGCGCCTCGGTCGTCGTGAACTTCTCAAGGGACGCCTCGGCTGCGGAAGAGGTGGTGAAGGCCATCGGGGGCCCGGACAGGGCGCTCGCGGTCCAGGCGGACGTCGGGTCCGTGGCCGGCGTCGAGAAGCTCGTCGCCGCGACGCTGGAGCGCTTCGGCCGCGTCGACGTCGTCATCCCCAACGCGGGCATCATGCCCATGCGGGCCACGGCCAACACGACCGAGGAGGACTTTGACAGGGCGTTCGCGCTGAACGTGAAGGGGCCTTATTTCCTTGCACAGGTTTGGCTTGCCCCCACTTACGTCCGTCTTTCCCATGTGGACCACTCATACTGACGCACCGACAGAAGGCAGCTGCGCACATGTCGCCTGGCGGCCGCATCATCTTCGTCAGCACCGGCATCGCCAAGGCTAGTACTGTTGCGCCGCCGTACCTGTTGTACGGCGCGACCAAGGGCGCGGTCGAGCAGATGACGCGGATCATGGCCAAGGACCTGGCTGCCAAGGGTATCAACGTCAATGCTGTCGCGCCCGGGCCGACTGGGACTGAGCTCTTCTTTGAGGGGAAGAGCGAGGCTATGATTGAGGGCATCAAGAAGGCTAGCCCCTTCGGCCGGCTCGGGAAGCCAGATGATATTGCAAGTGTGGTTGCCTTCCTGAGCGGCAAGGACAGCGCGTGGGTTGCTGGACAGGTCATCCATGTGAACGGGGCAGCGTTTGTTTGATGGGGGCGATGTCGATGAGAAGGTGCAGCACAATTCATCCGGATAGAGTCTTAAAATGAAATAGAAAATGGAATATAGACAGTCTACAGGTAAATTCTAGTGGTAGTCTACGAAGTAAGATCGCTGAAATGCTTCAGTCAATGCTCGCGGCCGGCCGCACCTGTTCAATGGTCCGTCCCATAATCATCAGCCTCTATCCTCGTAGTCATTGCCATCACCGACCCGGCCACCCCCCTTGTTCCGATTAACACGCATCGGCGGCCCCCTTCTTGCCCCCAGCGGCAGCTCCAGCAGCTGACAGCGCCTCGCCGACTATGGGTACTCCGGCCGCCGACGTTATGGCCCCGGCGATCTGGAGCCCCTTGGATGCCCCGTCACCGCCGTCGCCCCCGTCGTCACCGTCCTTGTCTGCCTTGTCGGCCTTGTCACCGCCCTTGTCTCCCTTCTTACCGTCCTTCGGGGCCCGCTTACATGCCGCGGCCTTCGCGCCACCTGCTGCCTTGGCACCACCCGCTGCCTTCGCACTTGCAGCCTTTGCACCTGCAGCCTTCGCACCACCTGCACCTCCTGCACCTCCACCCAGGGCACCGAGGGCCCCCAGGCCGCCGAGGCCGCCAAGGGCTCCGCCGCCGAGGCCACCGCCAGCGGCCGAGAGCGCGCTGCCGACCTGTTTTGCGCCGGCGGCTGATGTGATGCCGCCTGCTAGGCTAAGGGCGGCGCCGACTATGCCTCGAGCATTATTTTGTGGATGCTCTGAGGATTGTGACGCGCTTCTGGGGGTGACGGGTCAGCATTGCTTCAAATATTTAGACTGTTTGTACACAGGGGCGAGGAGGTACATACATCGGTGCGGCTGAGGTCGTGAAGGCCAGGGAGAGGAGGAGGGCTGCGGTTCCTGTTGCGAGTCTCATTTTGGCTGGTGGAAGGTATTGAGGAGTTGTGTGTTTGAGTGTGTGCGATTGATGGTATTCAGTGGGCTCTGTGCTTTGATGTGCAATTGATTGTAGTTTGTTGTTGTCTGACCTGAGGTGAATTGGATCCTTCTTATATCCCAGATGCGGCATTTCCATCTTTCATGAAAAGCTCCAAGATGAGAGTATCGACTTCCTTTTTTTATCCAACGCATGCGAAGGAACAAATCGACCCTCGCATCGCCCATGAGCTCACGGCAAGCCAAGCGTGTCTCTTTTGACATCCAATCTTCAACACATTCGCCAAACTTTGGAGCGTTGTTTCCACGGTTCGGACGACGTTCGTGACATCTGCAGCATTCGGCTCCGCCCGAAGCACACATACAGAAGGCTTCCAGAACGAGCGTTTACCCAGGCGACCTATGCCATTTTTGGACTGCTTCGGTATCAATTGGGCAATGACGGGAACTTTCTCGAAAGGAGCTTCCCAAATGGGCTGGCCATGCGCGGCGCGGATTACTTCAGTACCTAGGCGGCCTAATGACGTTTCAAGGTTCGTCCCAAGGCATGTGCCGGACCCGCGTTTTCGGGTCCAGGCTTCGGCCATCGCGCTGTCAGATATACTGTCAAGGCCATGATTGGCTGGGCCGAGGCTTGTTTTCACCAAGAGCAGAGCATATACAACATTGAGTTAGCCTTGGTACGTGGGAATCCCATCAGCATTTTGTCCATCAAACCTTTGCCGTGCATGTGAGTACCGAGGTAGTCATGGCCAATCCCCATGACGACATATAACTCGAGTTGCAATGATGTAGGCCGTTCGTGCAACAATTTCACATCAGAAGGAGCTTTAGCATTACCTTGGGTCTTGCACGCTTCTGTGGGAAACGAACATTACTCAAGGGTGTGTCCCGAGGTCTGCTACGCGGCCTCCCCGGCGGCATCTAGTCACTGTAGCCCGATTGAGGAGTAGTTCTGAAGCCGAGATTCTCCATGGTGGTCGAATCAACCAAGTGGGGCGTCGGCTACGAATGGGTTGGCGACAACTTGGGCTCCTTGTGTCGACGATCAACGGCGCTGTCGGGATGGTGCTACCTGGCCTTGTCTGTGCTTGATAAGGCTGAGGCCACGTGCCCCTAGCGTATTGGCATTGTACGTGCGTTCTCTAAACCCCGGGTCTTTGAGTGTTTATCACCAGTTGACCGAATGAAGACGCCGTGTATGGCTTCGGACGTGTAAATAATAGAGACGAAACCAGGAGGAAGTGTCGGCAAAGCCGACGTATAAAGAAGCAGATGAAAAATGAGTGCCTGATCTAGAAGATTCCGAAGGAAATCACTGAGGCTCCCTTCGTGGAAACGCTGGTACGACGATAGTGTGTTTTATGTGACGCTGGAATAGCCGCCCCACCCCAAGCGCTCCTATCAGCCGAGTTCTCACCAGGACAATTGAGATGTCACTTGGGCTTTTCAAAGTAGTGGCTCACTAAATCGTACGGATTTGGCAAGTAGGTCTGCCTAAGGAAGGCAAAAAGGAAGGAAGGTTGCACTTCGAGCCCTTGGGCAGAAGGTGTAGGTGTGGCAGTCTTATCGATAAGGGGACCCCTTGCCACCCATCATCCCATGCATGCCCTTCACTGTGCACAAAGAAGAGGTGAAGCTCTTGAGCCTTACTCGAAATTATCAAATTGAAATAATAGGTATTATAGTTAAGAAAAGAAGGAAGCATGACATGAAGATTCTAATAAGTCTCAGTCTGAGCACGAGCAGCTAAGGGCCTTGAAAGCTACAAGTAGTCTATGTCGCTTCACAGTGTGGTACCGGGCGTTTGAGGACACATACAAACTGTTGAGAGCCAAGTCTGTCAACTTGAAATTCTGGTCTTCCTCTGTGCAAGAAATCATTGGATTCATGCCAGGGTGCGTGAAGATATCTACTACTACAACTAACTCAATCATGGAATGACTAAACAGCCATCTACGAGTACGAAACACCTACCCTTCCATGAAACAACCGCCTATAGGATAGTTTATCTGAGGAAACTTCTACTAAAAATATCCTTTTTCTGCTCTGTAAGCTGTATCAAGAATGGTGGTCATTGGGGCCGAACGGGCTTCGCCGACACTTATCGCCGGCTCATCTTGTACGCGTGATTCAGCCACCGTGAAACAACTTAAGGGATCGTGTAGCAAACGGCATCGAGCAAGATCACTTCAAGTCCAATATGAAAGTCTGGTTTGAACCGAGGTAGTGTATTCATTGCCCAAATATGCCAGTCACATCTTCAGAGCGTGAACAGCTCAAGTGAGGCTGTCCTATCACCTTGAAGTGAAAAATAGTTACATGAAAAGCCCGAGAACCCCGTCATCCCAATTCAGCAATGCGCCTTCTTGATGATGCAGCGAGTCACCCCGGTATTACCTGCCTGGGGCGGCGGAGAGTGGTTGAGAGAAAAGGATGCTTGTCAACCAAGGACTAAAACCTTAGTTCGGCTTCTCGCCGCCCTGAGGGAAGCCGGGGAAGCCAGAGCCCTCACCACCGAAGCCGCCTGTGGGCCTAGGTCCGAAGCCTGATGTCTCGGTTAGTGGTTATGATGACACTATATAGGATGACAGACGACTTACCACCAGTGGGCCTCTGACCACCGAATCCGGGGAAGCCACCCGTAGGCCTAGGTCCGAAGCCTGACGTCTCGGTCAGCGTTTGTGATGACATGATATAATGTTAGAGACGACTTACCAGTGGGCCTCTCACCGCCGAAACCACCCTCGGCTCCACCCTCGGACCCGGGAGGGCAAGAGGGCTTAGGGCCGCGGGTGAAGGTCTGGAAGCCAGACGGGGCGCCGTCACCGAACTGGCGCTTGGCGTAGCTTGAGTCGCCGAAGCCGCCATTGCCGAAGCCCTCCGTAGGCAGAGGACCCTCCGCACCGCCGAAGCCTTACGTCTCGGTTAGCGTTTATATTAACATTATATTGTATGTATAACTTACCACCTGTGGGCCTCTCGCCCCCGAAGCCCCCGGTAGGACGAGGTCGGCCGCCGCCGTGGTGCCTGGAACCTTCTCCCCCGAAACCACCAGTCGGGAAGCCGGGGAACCCAGTGGGAAAGGCGCCAGGACCACCGGAGTGGTGAGGGTGATGTCCAGCGCCTGGAAAGCCTTGGCCGAAGCCCGGGCCGCCGGTCCCAGATGGGAAAGGAATCGCATCAGTGCCAGTGGGGAAGGGGAAGGGCTGCTCCTGGTCCTGAGCGGCAACCATTGAGAGGAAGATAGCAGCGATAAGGGGGGTGATCTTGACCATCTTGACTGATTTTATTTTGCTTGAATTTGAAGATTCGAAGTGATTTGCTGGTTGAGACGTTGGAAGAAAGGCGTTTTGAAAGTTCGACTTGCGAATGAATGTCTGGTCTGGACCGACAAAGAAAGAATCTGAAGACTGGCTTCTGAAAATGACTGGAAGGAAATCGAAGTTTGGGCTGAAGAGCGGGATGAGGAATGAGAACAAACAGACCTGTCGACGTCGAGAGTGAGGCTCTTATATTCTGTCTGGAGCCAGCAGTCAACCGTGGGATCAAGCAGCGGTCTCCCGCCTACCTGGGCGCATGCAGCCTCGTGCCGCTCCCGCAATTCTAGACCTTGGCGATTCTATTTTGCCTCTAATTTCCTCGAAACAACCCGCGAGCCCGCGAGGGATAATATCATATCGGGGGTGGGTCCTCAACTACCGCGATGGGGCCAGCGGGTATCCATCGGAGCTGCAGGAGGTAGGGAAAGTGACGTGAGCAGACCTAGGTTGACCCTGCAGAGATCCGGCCTGCTGCCATCATCTCCGTTGAGCACATCTCACCCCTGACTCTGTCTGACCTCTCACCCCTCTCTATCTGCTGGCGACTTTCGAACCTTGCATGTCGACATCCATGGATGCCAAGATGAATTTTCAAGATCGCCCAGTCGAATAACCCGGTTCACGTTGCATTGATCGAAACATCTGCATTGCTGCCGACATTGTGTACAGGCTGGCACAATAAATATGCCATGACATGGTTCATCGGACATGGAAATAGGAAACCCGTGCGACTATCCATGGATGTCTGCAAGGGATTGACGGCAGCGTACCAAGGTAACGAACGGTGCCGAGGGGCCCCCAGGCCCAAGGCAAGGGTTCGCAGGTGCAAAGGTTGAAACATGCTTATCCGCAATCTGGGCCGATGTGGTGACGAAGCTTCGCGTCCATCTTCATTTGTTTTGAAACACGGACGTTCGGGTGGCGGGTCGGGCGACCTGGCAGCTGCCTGGGCTCTTCAGTGGCTTGAGTGGCTCGTTGACGAGTCGTTGCAGCACGAGCTGGCTGCGGCGGTCCCTCGGGGCCCGCAATTTATGCAGTGAAGCTAGCGATTGTATGATTCGAGCTCGGATCAGGACGTGGTCAGCCCGGTCGGACAATGATGGAATTGTGGGGAGGCGTACGTGTGCCGATGGGCGCAATTGGTGGAAGTGCGCGCAAGCGACGGGAGCTCAGGATGGAACATTTGAAAGGAGAGACCTGGGGATTCGCGTCAAGTATTGATTGAACTTTAGAATAAATGGAAGTGATGGATTATAGTGTAGTGTATCTGAGACTGACAGCCCTCGAGAGCCAGGATCAGGGAGACAGGCAGTCGCCTGCAATGCTGCTGGGATGATGTTGGCAGGCGCCAAGAGCGCTTGAGGCTCCCAGCTCCTTGGTTTCCAAGGGCCAAGGTTGGCACTCCCGCAGCTATCACTCAACCACTGTCCGGATGAACTGGCCGTGGCATGCGAACACGGAGCTGGCAGCGCGGCGATCAGCTTGGCCGTTCAGCTGTTTCATGTTTCTACACGTGTGTCTCTGCATGTGACCACCCCTATACTGTGGTACACGAGCACGTGTGGGACAAAATCGCCGAGCAGCGCGAGTCGGACGGAGCCGGGGATTTTACTTGACCCAGAACAACCCACAACCTGAAAGGCTGGAGTGTGCGCCCAAATACTCCGTACCGGAAGCGAGGCCGTGGCCGCCAAGACCGCCAAGGTCAATTACCACGAGGCTCTACTCTACTTAGGTACGGAATAGAAAGAGCGCGCGTGGACGCATTCTACCTCTGTAAGTCGCGCCTTCTCGATGTGCCCGCGACTCACACCCCTGGGCACTCAAGGGTAGCCAGCTCGTTTCATGCCTAACTTTAGAACACTCAGATGTATTCCCTCAAATACGGACTGTCATGGAAGCAGGTATTCAAAATTTCAGTCTCAGACTTGACGCATACATAATGATGACTACGCCTTGCAGTTGCTGAGGTGAGGTGAATTCATCATCATCAAGCGGATAACTAGCTGCGGAGCCATACACCGACCAACATGTAAGGCGGCCCAGCCCCTCATACCCACCTGGGCAGACCCATCCTCAGCATAATCTACAATAGCAGATACAACTAGCCTCATATTTTCTTCCTAAGTAATTCAATTTCTAATCCTTATAAATATATATTATATCTATAGTACTTTTATAAGGTTATAATTATTAAAAAGCTAATATTTTTATATAATAAAGTTATAAGTATATTAGTAATATTTTTAAATTATTATACTATAAATATTATTTCTAATATTAATATTAATTAAAACTATTAAAATAAGTAGCTTAAAAGCTAGTCTATTATAGAAATAGAGTAACAGGGAGTGGAGTCATTATATAGCGAGACTATAATACCTATAGTCTCTAACGATGGTCAGCACAACCGACCTACCCTCAGGTTATATATAACTACTGACGCAAATGCCGTGGTGTCCACCGGTAGCACTGTGCTACACGAGGCGATGTTTAGCACGCACATGGAGGCGTACCGTGCGATGAACGGCCGCACACCTGCAGTCAAGCACGCGACATCTGGAATCACCCGCGTAGGTCATGAGATCAGCGATCGCCCACAAACTACATCGTGATGGCGACGGGAAGAACTAAGACATACTAGTATAAGGGCGCGGTCAAGTGCTGGGGTGTCACCGAGTCGGTGTAGCCCAGCGCCCAGACCAGCGTGGGGTACCTAGGTAGAAGCTGTTGAGGGTGAAGCTCCACTCCACGGTCGTCATCATGCCGACGTAGAAAGGCCAGGGGGTGGACGTCGTAAGCGCACTCCACGAGCTTCGTGCGAGGTTGAGCCCGTGTCGGTTCTTCTTCGAATCGCCGATGTCAAACCCGTCCGCCTCGAACCGATCCTAGCCAGCCTTTTCTCCATTGGCGTGAACCTGAGGCAGGTCTCAGAGCAGTTGACCAGGACGAACGGGGTAACCAGCGCAACGGCTGCAGTGTCAAAGTCGTCGACGAAAAAAAGAGCCAGCGAGTCCCGGCGAACATAGGAGCGCTGACGTATCGTGAAGGGCACAGCAGGGGCAGTAACGTGTTGGAAAGTGGCTAGAAGATCATGTAGCTGATCTGGAACATGTTCAATGCCAGGCTGGAATCGGTTTCCCTGAGCCCCATGTCGTCGTCGAACGTTGATATTACTGCCATCCTGGCGTTGCCGAGGCTGGGCTGGTCCATGTACTGCAAGGGTTATTCTCGGACGTTGCTGTTAGCCGGGTGGTTTCAGTATTGTCGGACGAGATTTAGATGTGTGTTTTCGCGCACTGCGATGGGTTCAAGTGGCGCTGAGATTATGAAAGAATGGGCGAGTACCTGCCAGGGGGCTTCTCAACGCCATGAACGTGCTTGGTAATGGTCACGACTCCGCGATGCATACCATAGGGTACTCTTTTTATCTTTTTGCTTTTCAATGCCCGTTACTATGGAATGGATGAGGCAGTGGATGCCTTGCACTGTTTATACGTTAACAGCATGTGACAGGCTTCCATGCCGCATGCCTCGCGAGGTCTATCTACGGAATCTAGGCTTGATGTCAGAAGATGACTGGAAGCTGTTGGGGAACCAGTTGACGCCGCATTATGATTGCGGAGCCAACCAACTGCTCATCAACCCTGCGACTAAGTTGATGTCGGCGTGCAACTCTTTAGATATTCTCCTTGCGTCCTGCAAACCTGCAGCACGGGCCGAAGAGATGCCCAAACCCATGGACTTGCCTTCTTGGGTATCTGATTGGACCTGAATACAACCCTCACATCTCAAATGCAGACAGGAGTGAAGCCCTCGAAGCCCGTGTTTGATCTTCTCAAGATCTGATGGCTCTGATCTTCAATGGCGTTGAGTGTGGACTGATTCAGAGTGTGAGGTCGATCTCGGCGGTTGGCTTACCCTAGGAGGGGAAATGCCTATCTGGTAGACTCTCCTTGAAGCAGAACTACCAAGAGCTGATAACCGAGGGGTAAAGCTCCTTCAAATACTGATGCGAAGGACTTTGCTGATTTCTACGGAATGCGGTGGCAATCTGGAGGACAAGGCCCTGCTCAGGTTGACTGGGGGCTTTTCGCAGGAGCTCCATGAATGTTGCAGGTCTCTCGGCAAATAAGAAAAGAGTGGCGTTCAGGTTGATCCCGATTACCTCGCTGGTTTCCTGCACTGGTTAGGCGAGATAAGGGGCACCTAGGTGAGCGCGATGACGAGGAAATCGTCGAGCAGGTTGTCAACACTGAGGCTGCTCAACTCTTTGTGGAGTGGCATCACAAACAGTCGAGTGTAAATCTCGAACTGCACTATACGGGCCATCCAATTCGGCGGTTGCTCGCACTAGAGTACACAGAATTCATGACCTGCAAAGACTCGATTGGCTTGATGCAAAGAGCGGTGTCCCCAAGGGACATTGGTTCGAAGGCTGTGTGGTGCCTGGTTGTCCTCTGCCCCTACTCCTTTGGAAAGTCTAATCTTCCAAGTATCTGCCAGTTTGACTGTGTCTTTCCCATCGGGAGGGAAGCCATAGGGACTTGTTACAGCAAGAAGATAAGGGGAAAATGACGAGGAGCATGTTCACCTTGGTATGAGCCATGACCGGGGAGTTTAGATGTTCTGGCGTTGTGTGCCCAGGTGAGTGAGTACACTGGAAGTTGGGCCCATGGTACGGGAAAAGAATCAATGAAAACCACTTTGTGCCATTGCATTTTTCTACTTAAGGGATCTTCTTTGTATACTAGGTGTTGAACAGCGTATCCGGGTAGTGTGAATGGTCTAGGAGACTGTTTCGCTACTTCCAAGAGAACTCTCCGAGGCCCTCGTGCTTACCTTGCCCGGCTGCAGCCCTACTGAATGGGCAACGGTGCAGACAGCTTATTATTACAATAGGAAACCAGTCCTCTGCTCAACATTCGGTGCGCCAATTTCTGTCAGTACCATTTCGCCTTTCTCTTTGTCGTTATTACCTCACCGAATAGTCCTAGTGCAATAGACTCGAGGGTGCATCCTATCAACATCGAAGGATCGAAATCCTACAGCATTAGGAGTTAGCAATCAAAGATCGGAGAACTATATTGATAGGAATCCAAAAAATACAGGGCCATGAGGTGGTTATTTCCTGTCTCAAAACCTCCAACTTGTGTGCATTGAAGGCTCTGTGGCATAGATGGGAAACGGGGTAGGGTCTGTTTGGTGGGGACGGGGTGTCAAAATAAGTTGTATCCAGAAGCTGCTTACCAACATAAAGGCGTCCAACATCTCCGTGAAATCCGAAAGATCCATCTCGCCAGGAGTTGATCGAAATAGTAACAAGCGTATGGATAGCAGGTATACTAAGGATTCCAGCCTGGTGGGTCAGTGATCAACGAGTTCCAGGACCTGCTATGCGCTCTGAAGATCACTTCCAGATCCTAGCCTTGAAGCTGGGCAAAGCTTGGCTATTATGTGAGGCTAATCTTTCTAGATAATGAAGCTCACGGCCCGTTGGCTTTGTCCCAATCTGAAAGGGCAAGAACCAAAAATGTTCACACTATGGACATTCGGGTCGGGCAATTGTCTGCCGTCCATTGAGTCCCGTCCCGGCGTCCCGGGACACGTTCTAGATCTCGATGGCCATTATTCACAATAGAGAACTGTCAATCAGGCTACCAGTACTCGCATATTCGTCCTCAAAAAAAAATGATTATGGACGGCGCAATCTCAACTCATCAACCCGCCTAGCGCGTACTACACCAAGCAGGCTTCGGGCGAGGGGGTATGACATACGTCAAGTTGTGTGATGTGGATTACTGAGTGTGGCGCCCTAGCTGCCAATGTTTCCGACCCCACAGGTACCCGTAGCAGCGCAGCTTGGAGCGTGGCTTTCTGCGGAGACGCAATCTTGCTTATTCTCTGCGTTCGGTCCATCTCGTGCCGGCAGGGACCGGGGCACTTGGGTAAATCACGTATTATCGTGCGTGTTAAGTTCATCCCGCGTTGGTCTCTCTACCGCGCAGACTGATGGACAAGAGAAAATACGCAATGGACTCATCAACGGGTGAACCGGTCCCACGGACATCGTTGACGTTGTGACCAGCGGTGATGATCCGTAGGGCGCTTTGACAAATCCCGAGTTCCTCAAGTCAGCTGGCGGGCCGCCTTAATGCAAAGCGATCTCGTCCGAACCCCGCAGATCACCCTGCAGTGCGCGCGTGTCGACTTGAGCTTGGGCAATAGGGTTACACCTCCACCAGCCAAAATTCAAGGTTCAACGTCGCGTCGGAGACAGAATTGGTCGAAACCCCCTGGAAGTTGTGATGACTTTTGCTTTCGGCAGCGGGAATCTCTAGCCCGTCGAGCGCGCCCCCCCCCTGGTGGGCCTGGCTTGTAAACTAACGGACCGCCCTGTCCGCGTGTCGTGTGCTACTAATTTTGATGTGATGATGAGGGGGAGTCGTGCATTAGTTCTAGAAGCTTTTATAAATGGCAAAGCCTATGCGTTGTATTCCTCGAGGTGACGCGGTCCCGGCCAGGAGATGTTTATCTCGACATCGTCTTTATCAGCCAAGAAGCAGCCATGTTCGCGACTTACGCTGTCTGCGTGGTAGCAGGGCTGTCTTCCGCAATTGGGAGTGTAGTTCCCCGTATCCGCCAGGAAAACACGTCCTCACCCACGGTGTCTTTGGACTATGCCACCTACCAAGGTGTCAGGCTCCAAGCTGGAGTGGACCAGTATCTGGGCATGCGCTACGCGGCTGCACCAGTGGGCGACCTGAGATTCCGTGGACCAAAAGACCCTAAGACAGAGTCAGGTGTCCAGGATGCGTCGAGCGTCAGTATATCGTCCGGGCTTTCCACAGCCGGTCCTGGCATCCCAGCTGACAAAGACTGTCACTCAGTTTGGCCCTATCTGTGTAGGAGCCGACCAGAAAGAGTCAGGGACGCGAACAGAGGACTGTCTATTTGTGAACGTGTTCACGCCGTCAGATGCTACTCCAAAGTCGAAGCTCCCGGTCTGGGTTTACATCCAGGGCGGCGGATATGCGGTTGATGCGCAGGCCAACTATAACGGCACCGGTGTTGTGCTGCATTCGGGTATCCACAACGGCACGGAGATGGTGTGTCAGTCGGACTACAACCTTGTCTTCGTCAACTTCAACTACCGTGTCGGCGCATTGGGCTTCTTGGCCAGCGAGGAACTCCAGGAAGACGGCGACCTGAATGTGGGATTACTGGATCAGAGGAAGCTGCTATACTGGGTCAAGGACAATATTGCCAAGGTAAGAAAGCCTGAAATGAATTTACATGAGTCACATACTCACTCATATTGTGATTTCAGTTCGGAGGGGACCCAGACCACGTCGTGATTCATGGATCTTCTGCTGGTGGCGGCTCAGTGGCACATCATCTGACCGCTTATGATGGCGAGGACAAAGGACTTTTCGTTGGTGGTGCACCACAGTCTCCCTTCTGGCCCACGCAACGAAACCTGAGCGAGCTGGAATTCCAATACAAGCGTTTCGTGGCCGACACGGGCTGTTCTAACGCAACTAATGCTTTGGCATGTCTTCGCTCAGCTGACCTGGCCACCATCCAGGCGGCCAGCGTCACCCTGCCCTGGCCGGAAGCCGGCAACGACCCAAGGCCTCTCTGGTACTGGCTGCCAGTTACAACTGGACCCGGCACGCTGGTTCCCGCCAACCTTTACGACTCCTTCGAATCAGGCAAGTTTATCAAGGTGCCCTTACTGATCGGTGACGACACAGACGAGGGCACCGTCTTCGCATACAACGCCTCCACTCCGGAAGATGTGTCACGATTCTTCAAGAACAACTATCCGCTCCTCGACCAAGCTGAATTGGATCAGGTCAATGAGGCATATCCGCTTACCACTCCCCTGCCGAACCACGCAGCTTACTTCCCCTCTGCCGCAGCAGCATACGGAGACGGCACGTTCACATGCCCAGGGAACACAATGGCCGAAACAATGTCGAAGTTCTACGAGCCAGGAAAAGTGTGGAACTACCGGTACAATGTCATCGACCCCGGGAATGTCGCCGCAGGCCTGGGAGTGACTCACACATTTGAGACGGCTGCGGTGTTCGGCCCAGGCTACGTGGACAATGTCCCGGCCAGCTATTATACAACCAACGCCAACATTGTGCCTGTGGTCATGAACTACTACATTAGTTTCATCAGGGCATTGGATCCGAATGTCTATAGGTATCCGGGAACACCGGTGTGGGAGACGTGGGGGGACTTTGGAGGGGGCAGGGGATTCAGGTTGAAGTTTGAAACGAATGACACCGTTATGGAAGAAGTACCGCAGCAGCTTGCCGACCGTTGCGCGTTGTGGAAGGATTTGAGCAATGCGATGGAGGTATAACACACAGAAAAGATATAAGACCCTGAATCATTATAAGAATAGTAACCCGGCGCGATTGAAGCTTATAACCTTGTTTGTGGTTCAGAATCCCCCAGCAATTCCGTGTCGTTCTTTGTTTAAGGTTTCGATCCGTGACAGCGCGTACCTGGCAGAAGGTGGGTTTTCGGATGAATGCGCCCCTGGCGGGGGTGCAAACAAGATCCAATCGTCTTAATTACCCGGGGGGCAGGCCTTCCCTACCCCCCTACACCAAGGGTATAGGGGGTGCCAAAATTCCGCAACAGCCAAAATCCCGCAACACCCATACCTATCTATTTTCACTACTTTTCCCTATTAAAATCTACTTTTTAATTAAATATATTTCCTTAATTAAATTTTATATAAAAAAAAGTTAAATAAATTTAAAATTTTTATTTTATAAAGATTAATAATAAAATATTTTTAAATTTTTAGGGTTAAAGTTTAAAATTTTAGTTTTTTTAATTAAAGGTTTTTTAAAATTAGTATATTAACTTAATTAAATTATATTATTAAAAAATAAAAATAATAGAATATTATAGAAATTATTTACTTTATATAAATAATATTTAAAAATTAGAATCTAATTATAAAAGATTAAAAGTTAAAGTTTTAAAAGAGATTTATAATATTAAAAATATTATAAAAAATAGAATATAATAACCTTAATTTTAAAAGACTTTTAAAAATATTATTTATATATATTAAATAATTTTAAGAATATTTTAATATTTTTACTTTTTAATAATATAATTTATTTAAATAAATATATTAATTTTAAAAAACCTTTAACTAAAAAAACTAAAATTTTAAACCCTAACCCTAAAAATTTAAAAATATTTTATTATTAATCTTTATAAAATAACAATTTTAAAAATATTTATTTTTTTATAATATAAAATTTAATAAAAAAAATATACTTAATTAAAAAGTAGACTTTTATAGAGAAAAGTAGTGAAAATAGGTGGGTATAGGTGTTGCGAGGTTTTGGCCGTTGCGGGTTTTTGGCACCCACTCCGCCAGGAGTGGGTAAGTGGAAGCCGAGGCCCACGGGTACGAAGAAATGCACCCCTGAGTCAAGTGGGCTCGGATGAGACCACCGCCGCTGTCACCCAAGGCAGCCCAAGGCCGACCCTCCCAACCTCTCCATTGAACAGCCGTAGCGGTATTTGTGGAGCCGCAAGGCCAGCCTGCCAGCTCATCGACGATTGTTGCACAAGTGGAAAGTGGACCCTGAGTCAAATGAATTCAAATCCATTAAATCCAGGTTTGCGGTTACTGGCATCCAAACATGTAACAGTAAACTTGGACGTTGCGCCTGTCTCGCCTAGGGTTCCACAAGCGAGTATTATGCAGGCGTCCGTTGCTCGTTCATGTCGGGCAGAGGTGCATGGAGTGAGGGACTGAGGTGCATATCAAGCAGGTCACCCTCCCAAGGTTTGAGACCGCTGATCTGTGTTCGGAGGGTCGAAGAATTTTGCCTTTTCCTTACAGCCAATAATTACAGTCGCCATTATGGCCCATCATATTCGCCAAGTGCCTGTCGACATCCAGTCCCGCATCTTTCACGAGCTTGAGCAGGCCTCTAAGTTCAAATCCAAGTCCAAGTCCAAGTCAAGCGGGACTACTCATCATGTCAGGGAGATATCACCACCAGCTGTGGACCGGTCTATACGTGTGACTGAGAGCTTCAACGACAAAGAAGCTTTACTTCTTACCCTACAACATGGGAAGCATCTCGTCGAGGACCTGACTTTCTGCGTCAGACTCAAGGAACTAGACAAGCAGGACAGCCGCATCGGTCCTGGCAAGCCTGGTGTCACAACGGCTGCCCAGGAGATTCTCAGTGGCACGCACACGCCCAACCTGGGGAGGATCAACCTCGAGTACGACTTCGAGTTGGGAAATGCAGATGGAAACTCCGTCGAGCCGGACGTGAGGGCGTTCGAGCAGCCGCGGGACGAGGAGGCCCTGCTGCAGCTCGAGCACGACCAGACATGGAGGCGACTGTTGGCCGATACCTGGAGCGCGATGGCCGCGAACCACACCGCCACTCACCTGTCCATCAAGTCATTGGTACCAGCGTGGTCGTCCGCGTTTCACTCCGCCGAGTTCCGCCGGTTCCTTGCCCGACTGGAGGTCCTGGACCTCCACGTCTCTGGGATGAAGAACGGCCACCGCAGCATCAACACGGTGCCGGCGTACAACGACTCCCTGCAGTCGCTGCTCAAGGTGTATTTCCTGCACGCCAGCTCCGTCAAGCGGCTCTCGCTGCACGCCTCCCAGACGGCGCCGCTGGGCGCCCGCGGGAACTACCACATCCCGCTTTCGCTGAAGGCAACCCAGCTGCCGGCGCTGGAGCACCTGTCCCTCAAGAACTGCTTCGCCGGCTTCGAGCTGGCGCACTTCATCAACGGGCACGCGGGCACGCTCAAGACGGTCGAGCTGCGCAACTGCTACTCGTACCGCAGCACGCACGACGCCGTCGACTCGGGCGGCGGCATGCAGTGGGCGCGCTTCTTCGCGCTCATCAACAGGCCCGGGATGGCGCTGCGCCGCCTGGTCATCTCGGACGACCACATCCCCCTCACGATCGACGACGCGCGGCTCGACAAGTACGACCCCGACACGGCCAACGAGCCCAGCGACGTGAAGAACGTACGACGTGCGCAGCGGCGGGACCCGAAGAAGAGGCTGTTCCTGTACGCGTACCTGCGGGACTACTCGGGCGAGCTGTGGATGAACAAGGACGCCATCGTCACGGCGTTTGAGAACGGCGACGATCAGGTGGCATACGATGAGCTGATGGCGAGGGTGGAGGGGAACGCTGCGAGTGAGGCCTTTGGGGCGGATGACTGTATCATCGCCGAGCTCGAGTGATCATTTGCGAAAGATAAGATGGGCATGCCGCGAGAAGAGGACGGGGCAAGTTTCTTTGCCTACCATGTACGATAAATGACGAATTAGTGATACCAGCTGCGTTTCCTTTCCGGCTTTAGCAACCGAGCATCATCCTGTATCTAATATCAGCCACGCATTACAGCAGAAAAAGAGTTTGTTGACATCAATGATTCCCATCTGCTCGGCACGAGGTCTCGATCCTGACTGACTCTTCGCCCGTCTCTCCACCGAATTCAGGGGCACCAAGACACAAAGTGGAGCAACGTCACCGATGTCACGTACCAGGCAGCCCAAGCCGGCCTGGGGCCTTCCCCAAATCTGCATTAATTTCCACCACGACGGGGAATCCCCACACTGATTAGCGGTGCATTGTAACCATCACCCTCACTATCGACCGACTTGATAACGGCGGATCCCAGCGCACCCAGCTGCTATGCTCATTGTGGAGTCCTCGGCCAGTTCGGCCAGGCTATCAACTGACCAAAGATCAATTCAGAGCTTCACTGCTGATTAGCTGCCGCGCCGGGCAGGGCAGTGTGTTGGTTCGGAGATGATGTCGGCTTGGGAGAATCCTGTACCGGTATCTATCTCTTTTTAGCGCTGCCGGTCATCACCCGGACCTGCCATCCTGCCCCTTGGTCTTCCCCAACGCGTTGAAGCGCCGTTGTACTTATCACGGGCGCCAAGGGGGTCCATCATCACCGCCCCATGCCCATGCCTAGCATGTACATTGCGGGGAAAGCGCTTGTCATGACCAAGGCCTCGGGGTGGATGTCGTCTGCCCATGTGAGGGAAAAAGAATGTAGTATAAAGAGAGAGGGACGGCAGCGCCAAGGCTTCACCTGAAAATGGAGGTCCAGGCCGACTTCTCTCTCGCTTTCCATTGGGACCAAGAAGGGGACTGACCGTCAAGATGCTGTGGTCTCGCGCGATCCTCGGAGGCGCCCTCGCCGTGAGCGGCGCGTCCGCCTTCACGGGCAACACGACCAACTACATCAACGACCTGTTCGACCAGTCCATGAGCTTCCTCGACCAGATCTATGACCCCACCGCCGGCTACCTGTGGTACTTCTACTACCCTCTCGCCGCCGGAAAGCACGAGACCCGGTCGACCGTTTGGTATGCCGCCGGTCTGCTGCGCCGGAATGAAGGGGACGATGTGGACAATGCCGTCAAGATCATCACGAGTGTCATTGGTGACCAGCAGAAGAACGTCAGCGCTCAATGGTAGGAAGACTGCCCCAGGAAGTCCCGGTTGATACGGCGCAATGCCCACGACGGCTTCACATCTGCCGGCAGTATCCATATACTGACGCTTCCGGCGAGTAGGTTCGGAGACTACACCAAGTATCCCGAGGAGCCCACAGTCGGCACGGACTGGTACCCTGAGAAGGTACGGACGGCCATCCCCGTCCCAGATCCCCACAGACGAACCAATGCTGACCGGGTGACAACCCCCCAACAGATCTACAACTCCTGGGACCCCAACTGGCGCGGCTTCATCGGCACGACCCTGATCGTGATCTACGAGGAGTTCGGCGACCTGCTGCCGGAGGACACGCGCACGCTGATCCTCGAGTCCATGCGCAACAACACCATCGGCGACAGCTACCGCGTGGGCGGCGTGGACGGCGACAACCTGTACCCGGCGTACTCGAACCCGTCCATCATGCGCGCGGTGGCGTCGGGCTGGACGGGCCGCAAGCTCAACGAGAGCAACATGACGGCCGCCGGCGAGATGTACGCGCGCGAGGTGCTGGACCTGTTCGACCGCAACAACACGCTCTCCGAGTTCAACTCGGCCACCTACGCGGGCATCAGCCTGTTCGCGCTGACGCTGTGGGCCAAGTACATGCCGGGCGAGGGCGAGGCGGACGCGTCCGTGATGGGCGAGAACGGCGCCCGCATGATCGCCGACATCTGGACCACCATCGGCGACATGTACAACGCCAACCTGCGCAACGTCGCCGGGCCCTGGGACCGCACCTACGGCTGGGACATGAACCTGTACATCGGCATCCTCAACGCCTACATCTGGTCCATCGTCGGCGCCGACCGCGCCCCGGGCATCAACACCGTCAGCAAGGGCGGCCGCACGCCGGCATGGGCCACCACGCACGCCGACGACTTCGAGATCGCGCCCCTGCTCGCGGCGCTGATGCCCTACCACCACACGCTGATCCCCGACGACGTCGCCAAGAAGCTGGCCGCGTTCCCGGGGGAGCACACGTACTCCGCGTCCGCGCTGTCGCCGCCGTGGGACCTGGCGCAGCGCAACATCACGACCTGGCTCGGCGAGAACCTCACCATCGGCGCCGAGAGCTTCGACCAGACCGTCGTGGGCGGCGCGTCCATCAACCAGCAGCAGTGGGCGCCCGCGGTCGCGCAGTGGCTGCGGGCCGATGGCAGCGTCGGGTGGTTCTCGTACTGGGCCACCGAGTCGGCCATGCAGGTCGACGTGCAGCCGTACAGGCTCGCGCTGACGTACCCCAAGGGCAACGAGAGCAGCGTCTTCACCTTCATCATCGGGTCGAACCCGCTTGGGCAGAAGCGGAACGTGGTGGAGTGGGGCGATGTGATGGGCCTGAACGTCAACGTCAGCGGGACCGTGGATCTGAAGCACGAGGTTGCCTTCTGCGGTCTCGAGGGTGGTTCATGCGACAGCGTCCACGGTTTCGAGTTCTGGAACTTCACGTACGTGATGCCCGCTGGGAGCACGGAGACGCCGAGCATCGTGTTGGACCTCGAGCTGCTGTAATCATCGGCGGGATTGTATTAGGGGCAGGGTTATAGATGTATATCTTTGTAGAACGCTGTGCAAACTCAAACTGTACATACACCCATCGAGAGAGCACCTCTACTCGCTCTTCAGGCTCCCCACCGTCTTCAGCTGTCCCTTGGCCTGACGGCTGGCAACTTCCTGCGGGACGTATTTCAGTGGTCGATACTCGGGGTTCCACATCTGCTCACGGATCCACTCCTTGAGGTCGCCGTCGTTCTCAGGAATGCCCTTCTCCGTGGCCAGGCCGTCCTTCACCGCGGCGCGGATGACTTTGCTCGCGACATTGACGCTGACGTCCCGCACAATGTCCACACCAGGCAGCAGTGGCGCTGTGTTGTCCTCAAGAGCGGGTGACATTTCTGCAACTGCCTCCACCGCTGCGACCAACATCTTGTCAGTGACCAGCTTCGCCCTAGAGAGCACCGCGCCTAACCCTATCCCAGGGAAGACCACGCTGTTGTTGCACTCTGCGACCTTGATCGTGACTTCCTTGCCATCTTTGCCCCACGGGCCCTTGACGGGTTCAAACGGGGAGCCGGTGGCGACCAGGGCACGGCCGTCGGTCCACTTGAGTATGTCCTTCGGGACGGCTTCGTGTAACCGGGTTGGGTTGGAAAGTGGCATTATGATGGGGCGGTCGACGTGAGACGCCATCTCCTTGACGACATCCTCGGTGAAGGATCCTGGTTTTGTCGAGGTGCCGATCAGAACGTTTGGCTTCACTTCCTTGATTACCGCCAGCAGGTCAGTGGACTTGCCATCCCACTCCTCCTTGCTCCTAGCAAACATTTTCTGGGCCTTGTTGAGGGGAGTCACGGCTGTGAGCAAGCCAGGCTTGTCAATGAGCCTGAGTAAGTGGTGTCAGCTTAGAACCGTGGTCACGTTTGGGCACAGGATGAAGGGAAAATCATACCAGAGCTGCTTCGCTGCGTCCTCCTTGCTGATTCCGCTTTCTGTGACGATTGCGTCTCGAATTTGATCAGCAATACCACAGCCAGCTGAACCAGAGCCGAATATGACCACGCGCATGTCGCTCATCTTCTGCTTCGAAACATGTAGGCCGGACATGATCGCAGCCAATGTTACACAGCCAGTTCCCTGGACATCGTCGTTGAAGCAGGGCAACTCAGGGCTGTACCTGTCGAGAAGGCGCCGTGCTGCAAGAGCAAGATCAGCAACCACTGCAAACAGCAGGAAAAGCGTGGAGAAGACTCGCCATTGTCGAGTCCAAAGTCCTCAAAGTGGATGTATGCGCGAGGGTAGAGCTTGCGGGCCGACTGGACGAACGAGTCGACAAACTTATCATATCGCTCACCCCGGACGCGCTTCGACCGTAGGCCGAGGTACAGGTCGTCATTTAGGAGGTCTTCATTGTCTGTACCGCAGTCCAGGACCACTGGGAGAGTCCGGTTCGGGTGGACGCCAGCACAAAGCGTGGTCAGGACAAGTTTCGCTATCGAGATGAGGATACCACCAACACCCTGATCACCGATGCCCAAGATTTCCTCGCCGTCTGGTCATGGTTCAGCTATCGGTCTCGAGAGGAGCGGGCTAGAGATGAGCTGGGCATACCGGTAACGACGATGTAGTCGATGTCCTCTGGTCGGCCCCACTGTGCAAGATCATCGTGGACGCGGTCGGCGTCGTTGATGTTCAGGAAGCAGCCCTCGGGACGCCGGAACAGACGTGAGTAATTCTGGATGGCGTCTCCTTCTGTTGGCGTATAAATGATGCTGAACATCTCCTCTAGGTGATCATTAAGAAGCTATCGCCTGTGATTAGAGGCTGATCAACAACCACGAGCCCTGTGTGACCTGGCCATACCTTGTAGAACAACACCTCATTCTGCTCCTTCATGGACGTCATGAAGGTGTTCTTGGCCAAATCATCTGGGCGCGTGGAGTATTGCTGGTAGGCACGGCGGGCTTGCTGCTCCAGGGTCTGGACGCTCTGGGGGAGAAGACCGGTAAGGTTGAAGGCCTGGCGCTCCTCCTTGGTGTGCGCAGAACCCTTGTTGAAGAAGGGGTGGTTCAGCAGAGTGGTGCCAGTGAGGGCACACTCGAGGGGCCCGGATGTGCTGAGAGGCAGATCTCCATACTTGGAGGTCTCCTCTTGAGGCGCCATCTCTGGGGAATCGGAGGAGTGGAAGGGTTCCAAGGTTCTGTTTAACTCTTCACATGGACTTCAAAGGGGCTAGCAAACTTGTACGAAATGCTACGTGCGAAGCAGCACTTGAGGATTTGGGGGAATCACAGGAGACACAGATAAGTTGCAGGTGGAAGCCAGAAGGCGAGTTGCATTGCCAAGAGATCAATAAATGCTCAAGAAGATGCAAGCCAGATCCACTCGACACGGTGTGTCAACCAGAGGGGCAGACATGTCGTCGGACTTGTTTGGGAGAGAGCGGCCTAGAACAAACCGTGACGTCACGGGCAGTGGTGCGTGTGTGGCCGGGCGGCCGTAATCCGCTCGACTGTGCGTGGCTAACAGCAAACCGGGAAGCTTGTTTGTTCTAGCTGATTGCTGCAGAAACACAATCTCTCCAACAACAAGCCTGGGGGGACATCATGATAGCCCTGCCGTGCTGGCTGCGCTTGGCTGCATCTGATTCGCAAGGTGGCATCGCACTCCTCCTTCTCGGCCGATCCTGCACCACATCGGCTGGACCCCCACGGGAACCACCAGTTGACGTGTTGCTGACGGACTACGGAGCTGACTGACAAGAGGGCCCCTGACTGCAAGTCTGGCCTGGAATGCGTAGATGTAGGAGCTCTAGGAGCCTCGCCCGGGTGGAAGAAGATGCCCACAGACGAGGACTATGATGGTCCAGTAAAAGATTGTTCTTGCAGTTGTTCCGAGCTTGACCATCCCGAAGGACGATCATGCCCGGGCCCGATATGCCGGCTTCCTCAATGGCCCCGACGCAAAACGCGTCAAGACCGAGAGGCCGCCCCGAAGGACGACTCGTCGAGATTGGTGGGAGTAGACGGCTCGAACAGGCTGCTTATTTACATGGTAAAGAGAAGACACCTACCTGTCCTGAAACGAATTACAAATGCTTATCGTGCACTTGAACATTGTGTTTAGTTGATCATGCCTGCCATTTTGTGACAAAGGTCGTGCAACTTTGGTGAGAGAGGGAGAGCTCGTTGAAAATTGAGAGAGTTGAGATTTGCAAGCTCGCTAACGAGCTTGGACCAGCCCCACATTGTACCTAGGTACAGCAAATACCACCTGGCGCCAGCCGAGACCAGCTGTTCCTCTTATCCATCCGATAAGACGACCACCTCCCCTTCAAAGGCAATCCTTTGGACCTGGCCGGCATATGGTGTCTCCGTCCGAATCTCGAAGCCTTTCGGTCTCATCCAGTAGCCATGCGTCCGATATCACCTTGAAGCTCAGTGATCCATTGACTGCCCTGAAGACAAGCCCCTTGCGCTTTGGCCGCTGGCCCTCGTGCTTGTCGTGTAACACGAAGCTGTCGCCTGCTGCCTTCGCCACCAGCTCGTCCATGTTCTCCGCGAATGCTGACAACCTTATCCGCCGAGAAATGGTCGGGACCAGGTCGAAAGTGTGGTTCAGTCTGTTCCGCCATATTTCAGAATCTCGACTGTTGAACCGTCTGAGGCCGGGTTCGGAAATAGAATGCACGTAGAATCGGCGACCACTGATCTCGTGAGAATTGCCCGAGATCCCCACGCCACAGAGAACCCCAGACAGGACCATGTCTTTGGTATAATACGGATCTTTACTTAGCGCATCGATAAGGCCTTGGCTTCTCAAAGCCGCCCAACTGCTCGAGTCCTTGGTCTCTTCGTAGTCATGGTCTCCAATACTGATGCCCACTCCAGACCTCTTGAGAAGGAGCCCATTGCTGTCACCCACGAGCATTCCAGGAAGGTCCTTGTAATTCCCATCCTCAGTGGCCTTGTAGGCCATGATCGGAATTCCATCGAGGAGCTCGGTAATCTCAAATTCCTTGTCTCCGTGTGTCTGCCAGAGTTTGGGCAAGTTCAAGTTCTGGGCTCGCTTGAGTTTGTTATCGGGAAGGAAACAGGGCGGTCGTCCCAGATCGCGCCCTCCATCTGAGCGGTCTCGAAAGTTCTCAGCGGCTGCTTTTTGGATGACAAAGCCATAGGACTCGTGTAGTCTCACTTACAGAATGTGGTCCATCTCTGGACATTGAAGTTGTCTGTAAAGTCAAACTTCAACATCTCTGCGTCAATTCTCTTTGCGCGATCAGGGCCGTCCGAGTCGCACTCGTCTTCTATCATTTCCTTGACCAAGAGAACCTCCTCGAAATCGTCCTTACAAAAGACCATGCCCTGTGAAACGTGGCCGTCTATCATGACGGTTTGGACGACCCAGCCCGTTTTCCCATAAAGGTCGGCGCGTAAATGCGATGAACGGTACGGCACGAAGCGGTTATCGTCAAATGGAAGGAAACTGTCAATTTCGAAGTAGAGGACCATCTGATTCAAGAAAAACTGGCCCCAGGGTACGACAATTGGCCAGCCTCCCACCATGGCGACCTCGAAACTGTCGCTGGAGGTGAGACGCTCGAGCCGGGAAATGTGTCGCAGCGAGACGAGCTTGTGCGGGGGAGTCTTTGAAGGAGACATGGCCGCGCTGGGATCTAGGTAGCTCCGGAATATGGTACCGGCCGTTAGCCGTCTCCAGGGAGAGGATTTGATGTGTCCTGTTTATGCCCAGTTCAAGTCTTTCCGGTGTGCCAAAATCGACCTTGAGCAAGAAACCGAGGAGGTTTGAGTGAGAGCGGAATGGCTCAGAAGCAACATCCTATGCTCGAGTGGACTGAATATCTATCAAAAGCACTTCTGCGTTGTCTGCGTCCCAGGGCTTCAAATAATCAGCTGTAATACAATAACATTTGGGCCCATCTCAATTTACGCAATCGGCGCGCAAAGGACCATGTGGTTTGAAATTCAGAACATATCTGAGTTGTGAAACGGAGGAATGAAATGCTGCAAGCTTCTCTGGGCAGACTCTCTAGTCATCTCTTTCAACTTTAGAATGTTGTCTTGCCGTCAGGCAGCGAAATCACTTTGTCACTGCCCCTCGGGGACTGCAGCCTGTCACGTTTAATTGCTAAACAACTTGGAACATGATAATGATACAGTTGTGAATAATGGACTCGCCCAAGCCGTTGTCCTCAACAATGTTTCAGCAGTATTTGGCCACCACCAACTCCATGAAGTTGACATTGGCCGGCCACCTTTTTTGGAAGTCTTCAGGGCTAAGCACAACTTCTCTGAAAGGCCCAACTTCTAGACGAGATTGCCTAGCCCGTTCGACCGCCGCATTTTCATCCTCTTGCAGTGGAATCATCTGATCCTGGAACATCCAACATATCTCCTCAATGTCTCTGCGAGAGTCCGGGTCGCCAGGGATTAGCTCGGGGCCCCAGATGCCAGCCCGTGATCTCAACTTGAACGGCGGCTCCACCGTCTCGAGCCACTCCTGCAGCTCCTCCCCGATCTTCTCGTAGTACCCGTCCTTGCTCATGCCGGGAGGTGGTGTGAGTGGCTGCTCTCCATCCCAGCTCCGGCCGACCGGGGGCTCCTCACGTATCCATGCGCGCCCCAAGATGACGGAGATGAGCTCGAGGTTTGGCAGGACGTTAGCGGTGCCCAGGCGCGACAGGAGCCTGGCGAACCGCGGCCACTGGGCGTTGCAGAGGCACCTCGACTCCAGTGCCAGGTGTTTGATCTCCATGAAGGGCCCTGTCTCTACCGGATCGTGGATGCTGTTGTACAGCTGGTCGATTGTCTTGGAAGAGAGGTAGGCGGCGTCAATCTGAGGGTCGAACTGCCGACAGGGAACTTGGACACGCTCGCCGCGCCTAGTCCTCGCCCACGTCAAGGACATCTTGCGCCTGGTGTGATCCCTCGACTCCCGGCACAAGTGCAGGATCGAGGGAAGAGGAACTATGACCCTCCAACAAGGGTCTTCTGAGTCGTAGGCATCCCCGTACTGAAGGTCTTGCTCGTGGAAGAAGTAGATCCCAGGTGAGACACTAGCCAGGGCGAGGTCCCAAACCTGTTCCCGGAGCTCCGGGGGTAGTAGGTCGAACGGACGATGAGAGCACTCCACGCCAGCTTCGGTAACGTCGCCTGTTGGTCGTCTGGACTTGGAGCTATAGCCGGCGGCGGCGGCGGTCTGTTCCGCGGAAGTGGTGTCCCTCTTCCCACGGCCAGAGTCGAGCGTGAGATCCCTCATCTTGTTCGTCATGGCTGAGATACGGGTCGTCATCGTCAATGTAGCCATTTTGCTTGGTGTCGTGTCTTGGGTTACTGCAGAGGCGTCGGTGCTCGTCATGTCGAGACTCCCAATCGAGGGCGCGGAGGTTTATTATAAGACACCGTTTCAGCGGTGCCTTCGAGACAACATGAATGTCGTCGACTTCGGCTTCTTGGCACGTTGGGGACTTAGAAAGGCGATTGGCTAGAACGAAGTTCCTCAACGCAGTGGGACCCTGCTTGGGGCTACTTCGTCGTTTCAGCTTTTTGGGATGACTGCAACATCAACACCAGGCCACCTAGGCTAGCTCTAATTGGGGCACACCTTATACTCGGGCTTCTGTGTTTCTGCTCAAGGCACATTTCTGCAGCAGTATCAGTCGCCACTCGCCCACTTCTTTTCTTAAACCGCAGCTTCTGCATTTCAGACGAACATCATGTATGAGCTCCGACGACTGTGAGCGGGGTTGCCTCGAAAGGTCTGGCCCGGCAGATGACTTGAATTATTCAGCCGATGAGTGATGACCCGCATACCAGCAATGGATCATAGAATGAGGTGGAAAGCCCTGGAGGCAGATTCGACTGCACAGCCTGACCCATACTTAGCCCTGGAGGCATGTACCCCTGCGGTAGGCAACTCCCGTGAGCACTGGCAGCCGCATCTAAATTCAGGATGGCAGGTCAGAAGCAAAATACCACCAATCAATTTATAAACCTGCAAAGTCAGGGATTCTCCTCGGCGTCATTGACATCTGTGAGGCCGAGATGGTCTACATGCCTAGGTGTCTGGCATGTGCTGGCACATGCCTTGAAATGCGGTCCACAACCACGGTACCCAAACCGACCACCACACGTGATAGCTACCTAGGTACTTAACAATCGTTCTCTAAGTTCTCTAAGGCAAGCAGCTTATTCTATGGTTCTCAGAGGGTAGGCAGGCGGGTTCGTGCATCTACCCTAGGGTACTCCTCAAAGCATTCCAGAGAAGCAAACTAGCCGAAGCTAGGAGAAATTGTACCACGTGATGACCTGCTCAGACAAAACACACACACGTTTGGACAATTATCTACTTAAGTAGTTATCCATGAGTAAATCCTCTGCATTGAGTACCTAGGTAGGCCGAGTTCTAAAGTTGAGAAACGGCAACTTGCAAGAGATCAAAAACAAGCAAGCCGGGCAGAAAAGGATAGAACCCCATGTCTATACGGTATCAATTGACGTGAGCATGTAAATTCACTGGCGTTTGCCTCAAGGATGTTGCGTGACTCCAGGTACAATACCTAAGTCAGGTTGCCTACATAGTCCTGCGGACAGATTGTACATTTTACAAGCTCAGTCCTGCTTTGAGACCCTGAGCGCTGGCTACCTAGGTAAACAACCTTTCCAAAGATTTCAAAGTTGTCAGCAGTTCACAGTATGCACATTGAAGTCTATGCTGTAATATCTGTGATGCGGTCCACGATACCATTTTCGTGATTGCCCAAGTGGTTAAGTCAGCCGCGCCGCACTGGCAGCCTCTTAGGTCCTAAGCGGTACCTGGTGGACAAGCCTCACGGTACCTTTCCCAACTGCCCAACAGTGATCAGGCAGTCGTGCGTACTGTAGCCCCTGACTGAGAGGCAGCGTCGCAATGGCGTGGTGGGTGCTTCATGCGTGCTGGAACTATTTCGCCCTGCAGCGTGCCTCCGGCCAACCACGACCGGCGGTTACTCGTGCCGCTGTCTCGGAAAAACGAAGTTAGCCACCCCCTGTTTTATTACCCCTACAAAAATTTATACACTCACTTTATATATATATTTCTATTCATTTTTTCTTTAAAATAAAATTAAAAAATGTTATTTTACTTAAAATTATATAAATTATAAGTATAAAAAAATGTAATTAATTTTTTTAAAATAGATTTAAAGGGTTAATTTTATAAGTAAATTTAGAGAGTAGGCTTAGAGAGTAGGTCTAAAGGGTGTGTGAAATAAGTTTGTAAATTTTTGTAGGGGTAATAAAATAGGGGGGGGGGCTAACTCTGTTTTTCCGAGACAGCGCTTCACCTGGGGTCACACTTAAGGTTAGTTTGAGTTCGTAGAATGCATATTCCCTTTTCACCAATGCCTGCTGAGACACCCGCGATGTATGCGATGCTGGTATGCGGTGTCTTTGCAGTGATTGGTATTAGGTGAGGTCCGAGTGACGCGGGCTGCGAACAAGGAAAAAAGGTCGTTAGACGCTGACCAGTATCGACTCATCGATTGCCTTTTCCTGACTATCGTTCTTCTTTGGACCTTATTTCTCCTCAATAGAGCTGTGACCCAAGCACTAATCCAGTCATCGCCCCATGTGCGCCTTGTAAAATACTCTCAACTACATATATTGAGAAATCTATAATACCCCATGACCGAGCTTCTCAGGGTGCACGGAAGCGTCAATCCATCGCGCTTAAAGGTTCATGCCATCTCCAGACTGTCCCGGTCGGAATCCGCCGCCGTAAGAATTGTCGTAACCTTGCCCGTGTAGCGCAAGTAATCACCTTCAATCAAGGGCATTAGAGACGATTTCCAAATGTTTTGACCGGTTCTGTGCGTGTGGTAGACCGTAGTAGCCAGCAATGCGCCCATCATTGCTTCAAGAACAACGGATAGAGTTAGCCACGGCCAATTGATTTGGATGTAGGTCTCGTCAATATAGGCTGTCCCGTTGACAACCTCCGAATTGGGACCAGACATCATCAGATTCGATATTCCGGTGGCCATGTTCTGCAGAGTCTCCGTGACATTCGGTCTGGTATACAGGACCTGGAGTAATGCATTTTCGACAGTCATACCAAACTCAAGCCCGCTCCTCGGAGTCGATGCAGCCAAAACGTTGAAGAGCGCGTTGAAAATGTCCCTTTGGTCTATGAAGTTTGTAACAAAGGTATTATTCCCAGGGAAATCGTTGCCATCTGGGACTGAAAGCGTTGAATGTCCGCCGTATTTGTCATCCTCTGCTGAGACCAGGGTGAACGGGAACATGGTCCTCTTGCCAGGCTGCAGAGTGCCGTTGATTATGGCCCATTCAGACAAACGATGTGCACAGAGCGAAAACTTGCACTCATATGCCTGCAGAGCGTTCATCCATTGTGGATCGTATCCGTGGTCAGCACCCCACTGGGTCTGGCTGAACAAGACAAGGCCAAGATGCATGACGGTAGTCGTGTTGACAGTCGAGTCTGCCATGCTGAGGCTTGTGTTTACCTTCGTATTGGAACTCACCCCGGACTGGATGATGGCGTCCAAGGCACCCAGCTCGAAGCCGGATGGAGTCGTGAAATTGCAACGATGTGAAGGGCCCCAAAGCGGTGTTGCCGATACATACTGCTCGCAAGACCTCGACGTATCATTCGTGACGTCGGTGCAGTGTGAGCAGATTCCTAGCGTAGTGAGGTCTGGGAAACTGCAGTTCGATACCGAGCAAGAAAAGGGAGGGGAATACACTTGGTCGAACACGCCGGAAATGGCTGCCTGGGACAGCAGTGGGTCACGTGTGATCTCTAATTCGGGAACAAAAAAGAAAGTCAGAAGAGAAATCTTGATGACAGACTTGCCAAGAAGCCATCATCAGTGCAGTCCGCTGCCCACTTACCTGGATCGTATGCGCCCTGCCAACCATAGTCATACACCTGAGACCTCTTCACGTACGCATTTCCAGCTACCTCCGTTTGCCTGGACGGAAAAGAGATGATCTGCTGAGCAAACGGATCAAGCGCCACCGCAGCGATTGTGAGAGCGCAACCAACGTAGGTCAGAAAGCCCAAGGAGCCGTACTTTCTCCCTGCCCAAAAGAAGGCTGCAGAGCCTAATGGCCCACGACTAGCATCGTCGAAGGTTTGCATGTGCTCTGGTCTGTTTTGATCAGCGAATGCCAAAGGCAATGTGGCAGAACATAGGGACTAACCTTGCTGTTTTTCTTACTGCATGTAACCATTTCAACTGACTGATACTTTCACCCACGGGCAGCATCATTGCCGCCTTGCCCAATGTGGACAAGGCGGAAATCACAGTATTTGGTTGAAGGGCAATTCGAGACGTCCACGAAGAGAGTAGCAATCCGTTTATATTGCTCAGCGTGATGATGACACTGAATAGGAATGCCACGCTCAATAACCCACAAAGCAGCTCCTTCCACCACCCTTTGCGGCAGGAGTGGAGGGGAGCAGAGGTCTCTCCACAGGGTGGCAGTGGCAACGAGTCGCGGCTTTGGCTCCCATGGCTCACGAAGGATGCCGACCCCGAGCTGCGCAGCTGTTGTCGCGCCGAAGATCGGGATGATACACTGTACCGCGTGCCTTGATCACCAATCGAGCATTGAACCCTACCAGATATATCTGATGGTATGGAAGGTGTTGGATCCCTGGTCTGATCGGGGTAGTGAGGACGACTAATCTGCCTTGTGTTCTGACCCACAGTATTTTCAGGTGTCGGAAATGTGAGATCTTGTAATGAAGATTCGAGTCCTGCCATTATGACGTCCAGAGAAGAAGTTCATACAGACTATACAATGTCCGAGATGAATCCAAATAACAAGCGAGATAAGTTGATACAGCACCTCTAATTTCCAAATGTCATCTCTTATAACTATCACTTGCTCAGACGAGGCCTGAGCTGATCCGGGCAGTCAGGCAGTAAGCATGGGGGCCAAGCACCGACAGAGACACATCAGTTACACAGCATTCAGCACAACTCAACCAGCGTCATAGTGCAGCGGCTTGGGTCCACTGCGCCTTCGGACATGCACATCACATACCACTTTGAACAAATTCCTAGCATTTGATTCGATAATTGGGGCATTTAATTTTCTGTTTGGCGCAACCAATGCGCTCGTTTTGCACATTGACTCTAAATTTGGATAGATTTCCAATGTGATACTAAGTACCTAAGCCTTCTAACTGAACCCATATATGTAGTACCTCGGTATTAGTGCTTGAGCAAGGCAGACCATACATATGGCAGGCGTAAGATCCTTTACCAGCGATTGTGATCCTGGTTGGCTTGGGGTCTAAGACAGCGTAACACGAATTAGGCAGAGACTGTGATCGACAAGGGTGTCCTTCAGTCGTGCCGTATGATTGCTGAGTTCTTGTCACAGTTTGCCTAGCGTCATGATTGTTGCACCCACGATGCAGTGCGTCGAGAGCCGTTTGGCAGGATGAAACAGTGGCAAGGCGGAGCCTTTTGCGCAGGGTAAGCTGCAACTGGACAAGAGGGATTTGCGTGTCGGCACTGTCCGGTATCTCACAGTGAGGCTATTCCTGCACCCTTGAGCCCCGGAAATGTTCTGATTGCGTCCTGATCGACCTATAACTAACAAACAAAGTCTGATTCAAATTATAAACTATAGATTAGAGGTTATTAATCTTATTTTTATCTTTTTCTTTAAAGCTTTAACTATATTATAATTTTCTTTATATTATATCCTACCTTTTAATTTAAATAATTATTTATAATAATATTTAAAAAGTTTAATTATTTAATTAATATTAATAAATTAAACTTATTAAAAGATTATAATAATTAATTATATAGTTAATTATTTTAATAGTTTATAAATATATATTATTATAAAAAAGTTTATAAAAGTTATTAATATAAAATATTAAGTAAAAATAAATAAATATATAAATAAAAATTATAATAAATATAAAAATATTAAATTTAAAAATATTAAATTTAAAAATATAAAATATAAAATATAAATATATAAACTTTTTTTATTAATTTATAAGAAATATTTTAAAAAATAATTATAAAACTTATTTTTAAAAAATAATTAATAAAGTTACTTTAAATAATAATAAATATAAAATAAATAATAATATTATAAAAGTAAAGTAATTAAAAAGGAATAATAAAAAAATAGTTAAATTATACTTATAAATATATTTTAAGTATAGAAAGTATATAAAATAAGTAAGCCCTACTTAGAAGAACTTCTCTCCTAAATCAATCAACTTAATTCTACTACACTATACACTCGATTCCGTGACACCTTCTGCAGAGTTAGCAGAAGCGGCAGTGGATGAGAGCATTTCCACAGAGTAGAACTGGTCGAGATCTCTAATGAGGCATGCGGGGCTCAAATTGAGCAAGAATTACAACTAGGCTTTTGAAGCATCTAAGTCCTTAAAAATAAAGTAGCCTCTGTTTGCTAAGCTTAGTAGAAGTAGCTATTCTAGGCTGAGGGAGGAGGAGATCAGACCAGCAACAGGTGAGATGCTAAGCTGAAATGACCACCAACAAATTAGACACAATTGGGCAAAAAAACAAAAATTCCCTGGCTGGAAAGTGACCACAACGGGCTTTGAACCCAGAGTCAGTCCGTTCTAACTGGGGCCCCTGCACGACGAAACAGAGTCCCCAAGTTAGCGGTAGGCTGAAGTGTTCAACTACACCAGGCGGTCGTTGACACGTTGTTGTTTCCCTGGCATAAGCCCTTATGTACCTAGGTACCTAGGTAGTTATGGTTTCCCATGCCTGGTCGCAAGCACATTCACTTGTCGCAGCTGTGACTTGGCCGAGCACCAAGCCCCATTCTCGCAAACCGCCAGCAGAAAAGCATCAATCAATTGCGTAGAATGAGGGACCTTCGCGTATTTGACCCCCTTCAAGCCACTGAAGACCCAATGATCATGACATCCCTAGGGTAGGGACAGAGGCGAGACCTTACAGCACCCTTTCGGTGCTCTCACCTCAACGAGTCCCTGTCGCTGCCGATGCACAGTTGCGGGCTCCAATGGAATGCCCAGCTCACATTCAAAGTACAGTTCTGTTTTGAACCGCTCCTCGTGACACGTTAAAGTAAGTCCTGGTCTTAAAGAACGGCCCCACTGTGGCCGAATGGACGCCCCAAGACGCCGAGCCTTGATTGATGGCACTGCCTCCTGTCTCCAGCACCTGCATTAATGAGATTGTACTACGCCTCCGTCTTCTGTCGTTTGCAAAACCGGCAACTTTTGTGCTCAAAATTGTTTGAAACGGGAGGGCTTCCGCAAACGCAGGACTTCATCTGTATACCCACCTTCCTGGCTGCAGTGGTTCGTTGAAGCGATCACACCCTCAGTGAATGAGACTGGCCAGAGCACGAACGAACAAACAAACAAACAAACAAACGAAAGCCAGACTTCAGGACACAACGTAAAGTTGCCTTCACTTCGACAGGAGAGTTCCTGCCCCACACAGGGTTTCCTACCCCGCCAGCCAGGTCGTCCGAATTACCCAAGCTTGCACTCGACCTGAGCGCAAACGTCAAGGGACACCACAAGTCAGTTCTTCGACGTCCTTGGAGAGGTTAGCTTCCCGCATCCCTCAATCAGCAAAAAGAGCGCCATGACCTGCGCCAGCCTCCGACTCGACATGGCTGCGTAGTTGTCCAAAATGGAGGAACTCCCAATCCTCATCGACGACCTCGAGGTAGGCAAGGTGGTCATCCGATCAGAAGCCGCTCAAGCAATCCAGTCTGCGAGAGATGCGGATTCCAACATCTCCAGCGTCGACGAACACGCCCAGTTCTGTGCTTTCAGCGATGGCAGCCACCGTGACGGTCGAGGTGGCGTAGGCATGGTTTACAGGAGACAGTGGCTACCTGATCGATGGGCTGCCGATCAAACTGACAAGCATCCAAACGGACTCGGAGCCTTTGTCAAGCAAATCTTCCTGTCATACTGTGATCCAGACAATACATGCACTCAACGCCGAGAGCATTTGTTCTCCTACGGCTTCAATTGCGATTGCCCGCTCTGCGTGGCTGAGGACACTATTCCCGCAATACTGAACAAGCGTGCCGAACTGATCGAGGAGTCCAACAACTTCATTACAACAAGTTTGGCTTCCGCAGACCTCTCCAAACTCTCTGAGACTACCATTTGCGCCGCAGAAGAATTCCGGCGACAACTAGAGGGTACATGCCGTGAGGCGAAATACCACCATCTTCCGCGGCTGGAGTGCGTCCCCTTCTCATACTGGCCATGTCTAGTGAATGGAACGCCGGAGGAGAAACTCACGAGGGCGCTCAACGCGCTGAGGAATTACTGGTACTTCGTCCAGATCGGCAATAGTGTCAGGATCGATCGTTCGACAGCCGTTCCGCTCGGACCGGCGATAACGATCGCATTGGTAGCCACTACTGCAAGCTTACAATTGGGCAAGACTGAGGTCGCCTCGCAGCTCCAAAATCCCCGCAAGGAGATATACATCATTATTCACGGTTTTGAGAGCGGCCGGGGCTTGGAGGATATGGACCGCGACTTCGGCATCTGACGCTGAATTCTTTGCGTACCTCAAGATCCATTCTAGTTTGTCATTGGAGATTAAAGATCACAGTGTGCACTGTGGTAAATTTCTGATCTTAAAGTCCTTTCAATTGCGTTTTTGAAATAAGAAATAGATGTACAGCCTAGAATTTCCTTGTTTCTGATTCAACCAGTAAACATGTGTTCCTAGTGTCGCTAATTAAGTTGACATGAAAACTCCAAATTCAAGAAATAGCCGCCTTCGTTTCAGTAGCACAATCCTGGGCAGCAGGCGGAGCCTGACCGGCGATGGCTTCCACTCCACATGGGTACCGAAGATCTATGACAGGCTGCGCTGGGGTCAACGAGGCAACTTTCGCGCCAGTTCCCGAAGGACACGTCGCCGTGCCCGTGACGGAGTCAAGTGTGCAGGACTCATCTATTCCGTATTGGCATTGAGAGTCATTGATGTTCCTCAGTTCGTAGTTTTCGGCCACCCAATTATCACCCTCGGCAATACACTTGTTGACCTGATTAGGACTCAGCGCCATGAAAGACATCTTGCCGGTGTCAGACGTGATGATGTCTGCACATTCCTTCATGTCAACGACCTCGTAGTCCACATCGAGTGCCCCGCCGGCATCAGGGTTCAGAAGGGCGGGCGATGCCGTCGCGGAAGTGCCGTATGCTAGGTACTGGTACGTGTCGAAAGAAATATCATGAGCTCCACCCGAGACGTCCAAATGAAGCACGGTACGAGAACGGGAGCCGTGTGTGAGTTTGATGCACATGCCTGAGCAGTCTGGCCAGTAGGGCCAATAAGCCATGCGGTTCACGTCAATCTTGCAGCCGTGGACACCGATAGTCGAACTAAATGCATCATGGGGTGTGACTTTGACGGCTCCAGATGGAGAGAGCGACAGTGCATTAACACATGTGGACAAAGCCGTAAGGATTGTGGGAAGCCGAAGCATAGCGATAATAGATCCTGTTTGGTGTAAAAAGGAGTGGATGCCACCTTCGTGGGGCTTGTGGTAGACCAAAATGCAGGTAAGGAGTGTCAGGAATGACGATCACATGGAGGAATTGTCCTGGCGATTTACTCGTGGAAATAGTCCTCCCTTTTATTGAAATGTGAGCACATTCTGAGATTGAGAAATCACCGGTGGGGGCGGACCCTCGGGACCTTATTCATTGTTCTGGGTGGCTCGGAAATGGCCTCGGCCAACATGATATGCCCCTACTCTGGCGCCATCTGAATCCTTGCGACCCGGTCAGCAAAGAGGCCAAGTCAACACTTTTCTTTGCCGTGTCCTTCTTTGGGCCTGCATTTCAACCAACCATTTGACGATTGGTCTTGGCCAACCCATTTCTTCATTGTGCGGCAGGCCACAAAACAAAGGCCCGGCCCAGGGCCGCGTTCTCGGCCACGACTGATGTTTCCCGACGTGATCAAGATGAGCAAGTGCGCAGATGTAGCCAACAAGTTTGAATATCATTGGTTCAAGTAGTGCTAATGTGAAACAGGATCGAGACCCTGTGCCAACAACTGGGAGGCCCTCCTCGTCTCCCACAAAGAAAGATAAACGTTCTCAGATCAGAACAGCAACACTCAGATCAGAACTGCTGCACTCAGATCCCTCTAACCAGTGTATGTACAAGAAACGGTCGATGAAGAAGCAGAGCAGTCAGTCAAAACCTCGTTGTTCTGTTTGATGTCAATTATCGTGGCTCCAGTGACGCCAACAGTGGTGCCGCTCTTGACAGCCGATGCGCCCGTGAAAGAGACCGTGCCAAAGTCTGCAAACGGCACCAGGGTGCAGCTATTGGCGGAGCTGCATTCCGAGAAATCCTCGACGATCCATTCGGCATTGGTCTCGCACAGATCGCCATCGGCCACATTAGTGAAAGTCTGCGTCACAGTCTTTCCAGTAGTCAGGTTTTGGATGACAGCAGTGCCGGAAGTCTTGGAAGTGGCCGTGACTGTCATCTTGATGGAGTCACCAGCGGAGATGGTGATTCCGGAGAAGGTGTCTAGTACCGTCTTAGAACCTCACAACCTCTCAAAGTTCAAAGATCTCATGACTTACACGCATAGTCCGGGTACCACTCATACCAGGCATCATAGGACACACTGGAGCCATCAACGTACCAGTCAATTCCCGTCTGGAGAATTGCAGTCTGGCAAGTGTCTCCGTCGATACCGACCCACTATTTGGACCTCTGTCAGTACAATCTTTTACGGCTTATGAATTCAATGACTTACGGCAGAACCCGCAGACTCAACGCTGCTGCTGGAGCTCCCAGTGAGCGTGGGGACGGTGACGGTACCTGTCACCTGGGTAAAGCCCGTTGAGATCAGGACCGCACCCGCCCAGTTGCTAGAGTACTCAGCGTTGGTCTCGTTGGTTACTCCCTCAATAGGTTCAGAGGTAATCAACGGCTGAGAGGAACGGGTGGCCCCAGTGGAAGATCGCCGAGCAAGCTGACGAGCTTCACGCCTCTCACGACGCTGCTCGGTGAATCGTGCACCGATAACGGCCTCAGCACACAGAGCAGCCGTGATAATGGGAGTGAACTTCATTGTGACTGTCAAGACAGATTATCGGTGACAAGATGCAAGAAAGGGGACAGAAAATGTTGTAAGCGAATGAAGAGCTGCGAGGTGAGTGCTGTCGATAAAAATGCCCACTCCAGAACACATGGGATCATGGACCATTATATACACAAGGCCACCGTCCATGAGGGTGATGGAGACATCGTGATCTTTACTGTCCCAGCAGAGCGGCTCATGCCTTAGCATACAACATGCCAAGTGTAGCTGCACTCATCTGAGGAGATAAAAGTCCCAGGGGAACTAAGCATGCCTATACCGCGGACAATTCTGCCTACAAACCGGTCGGTCGGACGCGAGAAACAAGGATTAGATGAACTTCGGATCCGCAAAACTTCGAAGGAGGCCGGATACAGACAGATGCAACCTGAACCACCTTCCAAGTTGGAGCACGATCTCCGTGTGAGCAGGTATTCCTTCTTTGTGCCTTGGAATTGCCGCTGGCCTTATCACTCGCCTGGTGTCATCGTGTGTGTGTCAGGTGAGCGTACCTAGGTGCAGATGGCTACCTGCTATCCGGCTTGACCTCGGGAGCGGGGCAGGGGTCCAGATGTCACAGACCGGCGGAGATGCCGCTCGAGCCCACGATCGGATATCGGAGGCGGCTGATCTCATTTCAAAAGAACAAGCATTTGTATGCGCTCCCCGGATTGCTTGTCGTATGTGGCGGTGCGGCCAGTTTAATCAGACAGTAAACTGTTGGCACGCCCTTTGCGCAACGCATCCCGATGGACCTGTCTGATTGATGAGAGTCGGCTGTTAACAAGTTGCTCGTCATCAATAGCTGCGTGAAGTGAAAGCAAAACCTTCAACTTGAAGTTGCCACGAGGGTAAGGCATAGCAGAAAGCATGCAGCGAGGATGTGGCTGTTGCTGGTGTCTCCTTACCCACATGTCCAGGTATGGTTTTGTAAGTAATACAACCCCTGGCGCACGCCCTGTCACCTCACACTATGGTAGCATTTAGGATCTCCCGGCACTTATGGGCTGCTACTTACTCCGCTTAGGTGCTGCTATCAAGACAACCAGGATGGTATTCGGTGGACAAGTGGCACGACTGGCGGTCTGTGTTGCATCGTCCACTGGCACCGAACGATACATTTTCAAAGTCGACGGGACCTCGGGAGGGACATGAAGCCCCGACGGTGATATCTCGTCATTGCAAAATGATGTTCAGGGCACCTGGGATGCACTGTTCCCCCGGAATCTGCTACTGTGCAATGGAACCCCCACCCCCAGGACTCCGGTTGGTCTTCCTTTCTGGACTGGTGTGAGGCACCTAACCTCACATCACGTCGTCCGACGGCGGACCGAATGCATACAGGGTCTTCCCTTAATTCTTGTGGTGCAGGCACTGCTAAATCATCTGATGTAACCTTCCCACCAGCCAGTTGTCCCCCCTTACACGGTTTAAATGGCTACCCACGTTTTAGAGATGTAACGCTACAAAACAAGCTTTTTTGCGCCTGTTGGTATTCCTCTGTTGGTATTTCTCTGTCAGTCCGCACAGACCTAAAACCTGCCCAAGGGATCCTTTCCCGACCTCTCAGATGTCGGTCCGCAGTACGAGTTAGTGGAAACCCCTGCGCACTGAAAGCCGTAGCTGTAGCGGCACGAATGTTTCTGGGGTCAAATACCTCAGAAGAGTCTGACAGAAGAGTTAGACAGACTTCTAAAGTTCGGCATGACTTACATGGGAACCTAAAGGGCCCCCCCGGGGGGGGGGGGGGAGAAAGAGATCTGACTTATCGATTTGGCCACAGCCCTCGGTCATAGAAAGAAACGTATGAAATACGGCTGGATCCTGGGAAAATAGCTTGCAGCGGCAATCAGAATGGGGTTCAAACATGGTGGTGGTGCATGAGACACGAGGTGACTGGGCGCCACATACCTAGGTAGCCTGCTGATAGCAGCAATAGCATCGCCCCCGGATTCCATACCTAAGTAGCATCCACAGCAGCTCACAAGTCTGGCAGATACAGCATTGGAGTAGGGGCCACGCCAACCTCCTGCTTATCTCAAAAAGCCTTCCCCCAAACCCGTCGTCAGACCTAAATGGAAGTGGAGCGAAAGCCCTCATGCATCGAGACCCTCGCAATTCTGAATGCACATGTGAGCGACTACCTAGGTACCTAGGTACCTCACCAGACACACCCATGTAAACCATTGACAATGCGGCTCTTGTGTCGTTCCCTTCGATCCATCAAAACCCCGGGAGCTTCGATCCAAGCCATTACGGCGACCCGATGCTACCTACTATCGAGGACCCATAATATACCTTGGCTAGAGCCGCTATCGCCTGGGCAAAGCTTGAAAAGCTTGGTCGCCAGACCAAGCAACGTGATGCAAAGGGGCAGGGGGGCGCTTCATTTTACTGCAACCATCACCCTGCTACCTAGGTAATAAAAGCCGAATATCTGGTCCTCTAAAACAACACGCCTCTCCATTTCGGAATAGTCTCCTGAGGTCAGATGTTGAGGGCTGCCAAAGAAGTCGTGCCCGGCGTGGGATCTGTTGCTGGAGCTGTTCTTCCATTAACAAACGATCTATGCATGCAATGCTGGGCGAAACTTGAAATGAGGGAGATGAGCTATAGATTCCACATACCTGTCGGACCGATAAGCGATTAAGTCATCGGTTCAATGCAGGTAATGGCCATCCTTTACAGCCTCCTATCACTCAATCGTTGCTTCTTATTCTGTATCCAACATGGTGGTGAATTGGAAATGTGAAGAGACCATCGATGTGGATATCATTCCCCTAGAACTTCTAGAGCGACGCACCCTGATCATTGCATTGTTAATTTTGTCGAAATTGTTCAAAATTGAGCAATATAGCCTCTAATCATAATCATTCAAACTCAAAGGCTCAGATTTTCGGCATATTGCGATTAGCCCCTGCATTCTCGCTGTAATCAGTTGTTTCGAGGTCCATGGAGGGTGCGGCCGGTCAACTTCCCATCTCTCCTCCTCAGCACATAAAACCCTGTGACTGACTAATTTGCTTCAGCAAAGCATAATATAAGAGCCTTCGTTCTATGAAAGAGCATGTATTACGCACAGATAGTTGAAGTGAAACCAAAGCCTTAGTCGCCTGATTATGCGCCTCAGAAAGTGCTGCAAAGTGTTCGTGTGTATGGCTAGTTAGAGCGCATGATGAGATTCCTTCCGTTCCGGAAGTGCCAGACTCGCAACGAGATACCTCACACAACATCTTCTTCGATATGGCCATTCGGAGCCAAGCTTAGCTCTCCTAGTATTACTGTGCCCACATTCTTTTGAGGTAACATTCATTTCGTCTAAGCGAGAGTAGATAGCCATCGCAACGCTTTCTGCTGTCAGCCATTTCGTGCCAGCAAGACTATGAGGACTTAGCTAATAACTTTGATGGAATTATATTCCACAACGCATCATTGCTGCAGGTCGCAGGCAACTGAATATCACTTGTCTCATCGGTGTCCGCTCAATACAACTGGAGTCTATACCATCAACAGGGTTTAGGCGTGCAGCGGAGGAGTTGATGCAGCACGACAGTATACTGAGTATCAGATAGGAGACTTCATTATAAAAAGAAATTGCTGTAAGATGCTTTGCTAGAGTGCTCTGATAGATATTCAGGTATTCAGCTCAGTTTGTACGCATCAAGTCCAATCCCTATTTTTGCTACTCTGCTCCACCGAACGATTCTATACCCGCCTGTCTCGATGCACCATTTGCTTCGCAACCGGCCACACATCTAATTAAGCATTGGGATGCAGTCCAATGGCGACGGTTGACCCAGGGGTGTAAACTTGAAATGTCTTGGAAATTTATTGTCGAGACAGTCGATGACGACACGCAACCCCCGCTGTCCACTTACCGAAGTGGAGGACAAGAGAGTTCACGTATCAAGGTCGCATGCCCAGGTGTGCAACAACCCCCGCTTTCCGACCGACAGTTCTATTTTCCTCACTGCACAATCTCAGGAACCCTTGGCCCGCGATCTCGGAACGAAGGTCTATACCCGGAGGCCAAGCGAAAGATATTCTCATACATTCATGAAAATTCATCTTCACCGAGGCTGCTCCATTTGACGAGCTCATAGAACGGCCCGGGGTATCATCGATAAACCTGTCATCGCCTTGTCCATCAGGGTTGCTTTTGCTGGGTACGGACTCTTTCTATATAAATTTCTCTAGTAAGCGGGAACGTGGCTACTTACTTAAGTAAGTATTAGCTAGCGAGATCGCGAGCTATCATAGTCTGCGCATACCGGAAGACTATACCATGAGAAAATCTCGTTCTAACAATGAGTCCCGCTTCAACCACTGATGCTACCAACGGAACTGATCCAGCCACCAAGGCCCGATACGGCAATCCTTTGCCCTCTTCATGGATCCCCCTTAACGAGAAGCCTTGCGGTACGCCCACTCGGCGCCTTCGGATTGTCACCATTGGCGCCGCTGTGGCAGGGATGGGTTTCGCCTACAAGTTACAACAAGAGCACAAGCTAACCACTGGATGCGTCAACGGATTGGATGGTTCACTGGTGGATCATACGATTTACGAAGCGCATAAAGACATCGGTGGCACATGGCTAGTGAACACATATCCTGGTGTGGCGTGCGATGTTCCAGCGCATGTTTATGCCTTTCCCTTCGAGGTCAGTGTGTCTTTCAACCTCCAAGGCTGGCAGTTGCCTGGTCGACATTCAAATTTTCTCGCGGAGAGTTTCGCCCTTGGGTAGACTGACAATGTTTTAGCCTAACCCCACCTGGAGCTCTTTTTACGCCAGCGGTGAGGAAGTGCTAGCATATTTCAAACGGACAGTGGCCAAATACAATCTCGACCGGGATGTGAAGCTGAACCACAAAGTCGAGCATGCCAGATTCGACGAGGCAGAGGGACGATGGCATCTTAAAGTCCGACGAATGGACACAAGCGAGGTGATTGACGACGTCTGTGACGTGCTCGTATCCGCCACGGGCTTCCTTTCGCACTGGCATTGGCCTTCGATACCAGGTCTCGACGATTTCCAAGGCCACCTCGCGCACAGCGCAGGCTGGGACTCACAGGGCGAATATGACTACAACGGCAAGAGGATCGGAATCATCGGAAACGGGAGCTCCGCCATCCAGATCATGCCGCGGCTGGCCCCTGGGGCAGCACACCTGGTCAACTTTATCCGGCACCCGACCTGGATCACGGCTGGGCTGGGCTCGGCTGCCATCGACGGTGCTGCGAACTACACCTACACAGATGCCGAGAAGCGAGAGTTTATCGAGAACCCAGAGAGTCTGAAGCAGTACCGGAAGCGACTGCAGCAGGCGACCAACGAGGGCTTCGAGATGTTTGTGAAGGGCAGTCAAGCACAGAAGGAAGCGTACGAGGCTACATCCCAAGCCATGCTAGACCGCCTTGGAGGCGACCAAGAGCTTGCGAAGAAGCTGATCCCGGACTGGGAGGTGGGTTGCCGCCGTGCGACGCCAGGACCAGGATATCTGGAGGCTTTCACGAGAGACAACGTCTCCATTGTCAGCGACAGCATCGAGCGCATCACAACATCCGGAATCCGGACCCACAGTGGAGAGGAGTTTGAGTTGGATGCCATCGTCTGCGCCACGGGCTTTGATGTGAGCCATCGGCCACCGTGGCCACTGATCGGACGGTCAGGTATCAGCCTTTCGGAGCACTGGAAGGAAGAGCCATATTCATATTTGAGTCTGATGGCGGCCGGTTTCCCAAACTTCTTCATGTTTGGTGGTCCGAATAGCCCGGTGGGCCATGGAAGCTTGATGAGCCAGTTACAGTGGAGCGCGGAATGGATGTGCAAGTGGGTGAAGAAGATGGCTTGTGAGGATATCAAGTAGGTCACCAAGTGCCGCCATGGCTACCCCTTCCAATCATGCCGCCGCAGGATACGACCGATTTGCTGACCAGGCTGATGCAAAGGTTTATTGACCCTAAGCCAGAGGTGGTGGAAGAGTTCAATGCCTACGCAGACGAGATCATGCAGACGTTGGTGTGGTCTGGTGGCTGCAGGTCATGGTACAAGAATCATCGGGTCGACGGACGGGTCACAGCTGTCTGGGCTGGAAGTGCGATCACATACTACGAGATGATCCAAGACCTGCGGCCTGAAGACTTCGATATTGTATACAGATCGAGAAATAGGTTCAGATTCATGGGTAACGGTAGGGCTGCCATGGAGAGTACCCCAGGAGCTGATCTGGCGTTCTATATATACAAGTAGAGCGCTTGAGAGGCAGTGGGTGAAAACAAGATCAAGCTGCACCTGGAAGAAGCATGGTAAGGTTGCCGAAGGCTCATCAGAAATGCGTCTAAGCGTAACACTCAATAAATGTAGACCGACATACAACGAATTGACTGTAGACTGTCCATGGTGTCCAACAACCTTTCACCGGTCCTCGCGCCTCGGAGGGCACGGCGGAGGATGGAGAGGTCTTCGGCAATGGGTAATTACAGGCACTGGATGGAGCTTGTACTCGCCTCGCACAAGCTGAGTGCACTTTGATGTTGATCTGGGGCGAGCCAAGGCCGTCAGTGTCCAGGGTCTGCTGCACAAGTCTGGAGAAGTGAATACGGACACATTTGATGAAGATCATCTGAGTGAGTGCCTAGAACTCTTTTTCTATCGGTTTTCTTCCATTACTTAGAAACATTCCATGGGATTTGTTGTATCTACCCGTCTGGACCAGACTCCATATTTATAATTCAACAATGAGAAGCTCGAATCCGCCCGTCATCTCGTTAACTACGCATCCATCCTCTGTTCTCCAAGTCAATCCATCACCCGTCGAGCTCACATGATCCCTTCTCACCCATGATGTTGACAAAGTACCCGCACGTGCCATGTCGCATTTCCAAAGATGCAGACAGTCCAGTTGGTGAGGTACGAGAGTCTCTGTCCGGTCAATCCTCTTTCTTCGTTTGTGAAAGGATAGAATAAGGTACAAAAGACTCGCTAAAACTTCGGTACAGTGTCGAGATGTCCGTCGTGTTGTTTCGAGGCAAGCCGTAAATTCCACTGCGGCAGTTTCAATTGCATTGACTCTGGCGGTCAGGCGGTGGAGGGGCAAGTATCAGCCTGCGTTTGGAAGTTCCTTGCGGAGGAGGAGAAGTGGCCTGGGCGGGAAGATGATGATGATGCCGCTGTAAATAAGCTCCATTGGCAAGCGCTATGTTGTTGTCGGCAAAGGAATGATCAGGGTCGGTGTCAAGAGGCGCAGATGAACTGGGCTGGTAGCATTCATGAGTCGATGGTGTCCCTGGTGATCATCATGGCGCTTTCGAATGTTCAGTGTTCGCATGGGGGAGAGAGCTCCTGCGGTCCCAGAGGACCAGCGGAGGATGCCGACTCGATCCGCCATGGCGAGAACATTTGAAGTGCTTCCGGTTGTCCAGTATTCGCATGGGGGAGAGAGCTCCCGCGGTCCTTCAGAGGACCAGCGGAGGATGCCGACTCGATCCACCATGGCGAAAACAAGCGCCTTTTCCAGTTTGCCCCCTTGTTTTAGGAGACGATTGCCTTTGGTCAATATTCCACGACCGCCAAGACAGGACGTGGCCAGACACAGTAATCGAACGAATTGGGGACCAGCCGTATCTATGCCGCTTCAAAGGTCGTCGCCCTCGCCGGTACTGCTGTCATAGTCGCTGTCTCTCCCGTCGGCATTATCGCTGTCTGTAGGAGGGTGCCTCGATATGTACCGAGCGCAGGCCCTGCCCATAGCTCTCTTGAGGGCCGCCTCTTCGCGTTCATCCAGCCTGCTGCAAGCGATTTCGGGGAGCTTCACGAGCATATCGTCGTCAAACCAGTCCCTGAAGACCTCGCAGAGGGCGGTTTGTGAGAGGGTGTCCTTCCTCTCGTACTCCCGCTCGAATTCTTCCAGACTGGTCTCTTGGATCTCGCGCTGTAGTATCCCGTCCAGGATGATCTTGGCCTCATCCTTCTGGGCGGTCTTTGTGAACCGCGTGTCGGGGTACATGATCCTGGATGCCATCCGCGGTACGGTCTTGTAGACCATCCTTCGCATCATAGTGATGGCGTAGGCCTGGTTGTAGCGAAGACCGTTATCAACTCTTGGGTAGCCGTCGTCGGCAGCAGGGGCAGTAGCGGTAGATGGAGCCGCAGTAGAGGAATCTGCAACAGGGGGGTCTATCTCGATAGAGGGCAAGGCCACATCAGCGGCAGCATGCTCAGAATGAAGTTGTGCCGAGGGATATGGCGGAGGTGAGTCAAGAATGGAGGAAGGTGTGGAGGCAGAAGCAGCGCGAGCACTGCGGCTGAAGTGGTTGGCAAAGTCGTACTCAGTATCGACATTGGGATCCTTGTCGCTGCCAACCTCGTAGGTATTCTGTTGCGACGGCGAGGCCTTTGTGGCCGGTGGCGCAGACAGGGAAAACTCTTGGCCGAAGAAACTGACAGTGGCCGGCATGGGCGCTGCAGTGTAAGCAGCGATACTTGCCGATGGCTCGTTGTTCTGGTTAGGGCGCTCCGTTGGAGATTGAGCGCCTGGGTCGCTCGCCCTCAACTTCTCAAGCAAAGGTTGAGCCTTTGAGAGGATGGATTGGAGGTGAGCGACGTCCAACTTCGAGGAGGCAGCAATACCCTTGCCAAGATCCGTGGACTGGGGTCCGATCGATTGAGCCGCCTTGTCTAAGCTCCCAATGCTGGTAGGGGCAAGGGGGGTTGAGGCTGCTCGCGGGCCTGGGGTAGAGACGGCAGGAGAGTCCTGTGTGACGGGGCGAGAGGGGGATGAGCTCTGCTGAGGAGCACTCGTGGGCACAGGCGCTGTCGGTATGACAGGGTAGGGCGCGATGTTCGAGGACCAATCGGCACCGATGGCAAATGGTCTACTGTAGGCGTTTGCTATGTCGTTGGCGACGGCCTCCATGGGGTTCCTGTCGTGAATCCACTGGGCTTTAGTCTCGTGACCGATGAACATGCTGAACGTGGTTGAAACCTTCGAGTTCGACTTGTCGGGGTCTGAGATATGCACCGAAGGCGTGAGCTGGATGATATTCTCCAAGTCACGCTTGAACTTCGCAGCCTTCATCTCAGCCTCGGTCTCGGCCCAGGATTTGACCTTCTGCCATCGCGGGGCCAGCTTCACAGGCCACGGCCACTGGATTGGCTTGAAAACCATAGCAGCACTGGTCCTGGTCTCCTCCCATGTGCGAATTTCCTCCCAACCCGGAGCGACCTTCGTCGTCGATATGCAGTCTGGTTGCTTGAAGATTGAGGCAGGAGAGGGAGTAGCCTGCGAAGCTGCCTGTGTCTCAGCAGCCTGAGCCGTAGTGGGCAGGGCAGCTTGAGTCGTCTGAAGGGGTCTCGCAGGCTCCGTCTGCGGGTTTGTGGGCTGAGTGCTGACCGGAGCCAGGCTACTCTCGGGCTGAGTGAAGGTGGCAGCAGTCATGGGGGGAGTGGCAGGGGGTGTAAGTTGCTGCGGAGTGGTGGCGGGCAGGAGGGTGAATGGGATGGCCCCATTCTTGGCTGGTGAATTCGGAACAGCCGCTGCCTGGGCAGGCGCCTGCTGGGGATTGCCGGCAGCCTTCAAGGTGAAGGGGATCGTGCCATTCTTTGGCGGCGTGTCAGGAATAGCGGCAGGGGGAGTAGGTTGCTGCAGAGTGGTGGCGGGCACCAGAGTAAATGGGATGGCTCCATTCTTGGCTGGTGCATTGGGAACAGCCGCTGCTTGGGCAGGCGCCTGCTGGGGGTTGCTGGCAGCCTTCAAGGTAAAGGGGATCGTGCCATTCTTCCGCGGAGTATCAGGAATAGTGGCACCTTGAGCAGGCTGCTGCTGCTGCTGCTGCTGCTGCTGGGTGGCGGGCGCCTGCTGGGTATTGCCGGCAGCCTTCAAGGTGAAGGGGATCGCGCCATTCTTCTTCGGCGGCGTGCCAGGAATAGTCGCAGCTCGAGCAGGCTGCTGCTGCTGATACTGCTGCTGATACTGCTGCTGCTGCTGCTGCTGCTTCTGAGCGGCGGCGGCGGCGGCTTGCGCAGTGAAAGCAGCAGGCTGGCTGCTGGTTGCCATGGAGGGCGTCCTCTTGACACCGTCCATCTGCCCCGAGTAATCGGGCAGCGGAGCAAAGGCGTTGTTGGCAGGGGTTGGTGTTTGGGCAATCGTCTGGTAGAATGACGAGCCCGCCGTCGCGGGGGTCGAGGCTGGCTGCGCAAACACGCTTGGAGGGGTCAAGGGGGTCGAGGTGAAGGAATTCGAGGTCGAGGAGAAGATCCAGGAAGCATCGGAACCGACGTCGGTCATGTCGGTGTCCGCTTCGTCAATTTCCATCTCCATGTTGACATCGCCCTTGGAGTCAAGATCCATCTCCCCCGCCGAGTAAACGGCAGCTCGGGTGATATAGGCTTTCATCGCGTTGCGAGCCCGCTGCTTGTCACTCTTGGACGAGAACTTCTAGTTCCTGCTCAAGAGAGTGACGAGGGCGGAACTCAATTTGCGTAGCTATTGTTTGCACGTTCTGGTTAGCCGACCTGACAGTAGAAGGGAGACGCAGTCAGAGTAGTGTCTGTCTTGCCTTGGATTGACCCCGAGCGAGATTAGTAGGAGGCGCGCGGGCCTGGTTGGCGACGATCTTGATGGCCATCGCAGATTTGTCTCTGGCGCCGAATCTCGCGAGATTACGACCCTTGATCTTGGCCCTCAGGCGGTGGTCCCGACCGTGCTTGGTGGCGGACGACGAAGCATCGCCGCCGAAGCCGTTGCCGCGACCGAGGCGAGGGTACTGGGCATTGCCCTGAGCGTGGGGGAAAGAAGCCATCATCTTGTCAATGGTACGAGCGGGAAAACTGAAGGAGGGGGGTTGGGGATGGGCGCAAGGTGCAGGACGATTGGGGTTTGTTTTTTTCTTCGAGATCGATTGACTGATTGATCAATCGAAGAGGAACAGGTGAGGTGGATGTGCTGATCAGATCTTGAAATTCAGAAGAAGAAGACAGTGGATGTAGGTACAGTTGGTGTGAAAAGACAAGCAGCAGTCGAAGGTTGGATGGAGGGTGGAGGGTGGAGGGTGGACGACGGTGGGATGTGGGTTGTGGATGGAAGGTTGGGAGCTGCCTCTCGAAGCCTGCAGGGAATCAATCCAAGTGCGAAAGATGGGACCGAGCTTTGGACTGCCCCGCAGCTTGATCTCAATTCAATGTTGTCCACGGAGGTACCTAGGTATGCAACAAGTTGGGCTACGTCTGGTAACTGTCCCAACGATGAGCCCCGTGAATGTGTTGATTCACCATTCAGATAGGCAACGAGGCGGCTGTCAACAAGGGTGCCAACCAATCAGGATAACTATTCGTAGTGACTTTTCAGTGAGTTGATGCCGAGTCTTCTCAAGCTTCAGGGAAGCTTTGTAGGGTCTCGCTGCCGAGTCTGTCAACGCTGCAGTGGTCGTCTCAAGCTTCCGTCAGCACTTGAGACCATTGCTGGCTGGAGTTTCGTAGCCCGTTGTTGAGAACCTTCGATCTTATGATCAAGCTGTTGCCAGACTCGACGTCAAAGCAATGCGTTTCCCCTCCCTTCAGCTCGACCTCGCCGAGTCAACCCAATTGCCCACGTGACTTCGATTCACGGTGTCGTGTCTGCCAGCCAAAAATCTCGCCCTGTTTGCTTGCTCACTCGTTCGTAGGCGCGGCCTCCAGCTGGAAATCAGCTTGGCCACTGGCACCTTGTGACCCCCATTAGCAAAGAGCAGCATTCGACACCTGACCTCCAGGCTGTCCAGCTTGGCAATCTGCCCCCCGTCCAGCAAAACGTGGACCGTCCAGGCACATAAACAACCCTTTCAGTCCAAGGCATGTCATAACAGTTTCGTTGATGAATAGGGTACCGATCTGTGGAGGTTGACCTGGCTTCTGAGATTCCGTAACAATATCTTCCCAAAGAGCTCTGTGTGCTGACAATACTCTAGAACATGCGGCACACTCGGAGCTGTATGCCCCGCTCAAAAAGAAGATGCCAGTGAATAGAAAGCCCGAGCATGCTCGGCGTCGGCACACGAAACTCTCATGGCGCATCGAACTCAGCCGCCTCAGTCCTAGAGGCAGAGCTCCCAGAGCGCCATCTGAAAGACGCCAGGGCCGCGTTACGTATAGCGCGCGCGGCGGCCAGCGTAGCATCGGTATCGGACATCGCCATCCCAGATCCCACGGCGGGTCTATCCGAAGCAGCATCCAAGATGCTTTTCTCCAGAGAGGCGCGAGCTGATGGTGGCTCTGCCATCGGTCGAAAGCCAAGCTCAGACGGCAAATCGGGGTAAAAGCGCCTGGGGATTGTATCGAGGCTTTCTATCCCGTATGATTCTTTAAGAAACAACGTTTGAAATAAATATTTTGAGTCACTACTTTGTGTCAGAGATGTAGTATGACAGGACAACGAAGCTGATGGCTGCGGTGCCCTTGGTTTGCTGCTCGAGTTGAGTATGCGCCGCACCAAGACTCTGAACTGTCGGAATGGTCCGGTCATGGTGACGTCTCAGGATGTCATTGAATTCCTGAATGAGACGGAAACAATTCTCACAGCCTAGAACTTTGCCGGACTGAAGCTTTGGGTTTCGTTGACAAGTCGGTATTGATAGAAGGGAAGCAATCGGCACCTGGGGAGTGGTGGTCTACTCACTGGTTTCTCATTCTGTTCATTTCAAATTTCATGGACAGGCAATACACCCACTCTTTTTTCTAATATAACCGGCCGCCGCCCTGATGTCGCCTGGTTGTTTAGCGACGATACTAGCACAACTGGTTGATGCATTGGCGGGAGCCGGCTCGTCGACGGCTCTATGGCGGCTCAACACTTGTACTGCCTGACATCAGTGGCAGTAGGCTGCTACATACCTACTTTTCGGCGTAAATCGAGGACATAAAATTCATTTCAACTGGCAGTGTCTGTTCTACTCGAGTTCTGGCTGAGTTTCAAGCATGGCGTTAGACTGTTGCTGCTCCTTCTCGGTGCCGCTTGACTCACCCATGGTTTCCAGATAGCATGCTGCATTCAACGTTGTCTCAGTAATGCCCCCTGACCACAATTTTTAGCACAGAATATAATTGTGGAAAGGATTTGGTTGGACGAGCATCATTGGTTGAAGACCTGCCCAGGTGTTCTCATAGCATTCGCATGACGATTGGTCTTGGAGATCTCTGAAAGGTCCTCCGTCGTCTTCTTTGTTGGCAGCACAATCCTTTTGTGCTAACTAATAAGCGGCTCCACGAGTACATCACCAAGTCCTTTGCTCCATCCCCCCAGATATGACCATTTCAGTCTAATAAAAGCTTTGAGCAGTGCCCAAAAGGCCTCTTGAAGGAGGGGTAGCATGGCGGGCACCAGTAGTATTCACCGCATTTAACTAAAGATTTGTGGAGACGGAATTGGAGATCTGTCGGTATCGTTTTGAGCCGAGGCTAATGACTTGGCTTTTCTGATTTAAAAGTGTAGCTTGTCTTGTCAATTCAAACTCATGACTTTCTGGCCGATGTGGGGATCAATTGATTCGAACTCCAAACTTCCCATTCCGTGTACGTGTGTACGAACGAAAGGTCCAGGAAGCCGTGTCTCGCCTTATTACTCCAGACGAAACCACATGAGATCGGAGAGGCCATCATGCTTTTCAAATCTTCACATCCAGATATAAGTGGTCGGTGCCATGCATTCTAAGCAGTGTTCTAGCAACTAACAAGACGGTCCTCAGTGCCGGCGAATTAGACTATATGGGAGTGGCTTTTCCACTCGCCACAGTCCCCCTTATCCAAACCTGAAAATACCAGCACTGGAGGCTTTACGGATGTGCACACGAAGGAGAAGCTCACACACGGAGACATCAAGCGGCTTTCCACATCTCTGTCTGTGGCTTTGACAGGTCGCTTCGGTCTGCGCGAAGGTGATGTGATTCTCTTGTACAGCAAAAACACGATTTGGTATCCGGTCGTGACTCTGTCTGCAGCTCGACTCGGGGCTATAGCTTGTGGCGTCTCACCAGAGTACAATGTCGAGGAGCTCTCATACAGTCTGAGGATCAGCCGGGCCAAGTGCATCTTCACCAGTCTCAACGGCCTGGCTAACGCACTGGAGTCGGCCAAGCAATGCAACATTCCTCAAGAGAAGGTGGTTCTCCTCGAACGTTCTGAGTCAAGTCAGGAGAACATCCGAGGTCTGATCCGAAAGGGATCATCACGAAACAGGGCACTTCAAGCTCAGCCTTTTCAAATTCCGAGGGGCAAAACAAACGCCGACATTTGCGGATTCCTCTGCTTCAGCAGCGGAACCACAGGTCTTCCCAAGGCTGTAATGATTTCGCATGCAAACGTGATTGCCCAGTGTCTCCAGGTACAACAGATTACTCCAAGAAATCATACAAAGATTCTTGCCGCCCTTCCATTCTATCACATCACTGGTATCGTGCATCAACTCCACCTTCCAATGCGGTTGAATGCAGAGGTATTTGTCTTACCAAGCTTCAACCTCGACACGCTCTTGAAGACAGTCTCAACTTACGGAGTGAAGGAACTCCTCATTGTGCCTCCAATCCTCATCCAACTAGTCCAAGGCCAAGCAGACCTGGCAAAATACGACCTCTCCCGAATCGAACGCTTCTCTTCTGGCGCTGCACCCTTATCAAAGGAGATCCTGAACCTGCTCGAACAAAAGTTCCCTGGAACTGGATTTAAACAAGCATACGGCATGACCGAGTCGTGCTCGGCCATCACGTCTCACCCGCCCTCAAAATATGCATACAAGTTTGCAGACAAGGTTGGGATGCTGGTCGCCTCGACTGAGGTGAAAATTGTTCACCCTGACACAGGAGCGGAGTGCGACGTCAACGAAGCTGGGGAGATTTGGGCGCGCGGACCTCAGGTGGCCATGGGCTACCTCGGAAACCCCAAGGCAATTGCTGAAACGTTTGACAACGACGGTTTCTTGCACACAGGTGATATCGGAAAGTTCGACGACCAAGGCATGCTTTCCGTCGTTGACCGAATCAAGGACATGATCAAAGTCAACGGCATTGGGGTCGCGCCCGCAGAGCTGGAAAATGTCCTCTTGGGCCACCCTGCAGTAAGCGATGCTGCAGTGTGCGGAATCCCGGATCACCGAGCTGGGGAACGGCCCAAGGCATTCGTGGTTTTGAAGTCTTCCGTGCGGGAAAATGCCGAAGTGGCGGATCAACTCATGCAACATGTGAAAAGCCGAAAGGCAAGGCACAAGTGGATTGCGGAAATTGAAATTGTTCCCAGTATACCGAAGAGCGCATCGGGAAAGATACTTCGACGCCAGCTCAGCACCAGACCAGGGCAGAAAGACGCGGTTTTCCGCGACGGGTCACTTAAGGCGAAGATGTAGGTAATAACTTAATATCTCAATGCTACTTCATGGTATTTTCGTGGAGCTCTTTCAAATTCAGCCAAAATTTACTCGGTTGGGTGAAAATTACTAGCCCCCTTTTTCAGGTGTCACCCAAGTATCAGATTCACATGTTATAATCGCTCTGTGTAGTCTCATTTTATATTGAGTGCGCATTTATAAAAGCCGCTGGCCTCACTTACCTAGGTAGACCCGGTCCCCCCCTGATAGAGCATCCAGGCTTTCCATAAATGAAAAGAAGTCATCTTTATCCCACAACTGCTGTACGAAGACGTCTCCAGCACTCTTGTTTCAGCGCAAGATGCTCATCCGTTGTTCTCATGACGGCGCTCTTATTCTCAACTGCTCGGCGAAGCAAGTAAGCCAAGCATTCCCCCAGTGTCCCCCATGTAGAGCACTTTATCACCGTTGGCCGAGGCAATCCATCGATCTTGTGCTGAAGCAATGAGAAACTAACAGCATCAGACATGCCGTGCAACTGGGCAAAGGCGACAGGGACAGTTGGAAGACCATTCTTCATGCGATCCTGGTGGAGGTTGAGCGCCTCGGTCAAACTCTCCTTGTTGTGGCTGCACAACAGGAGTTTAACAGACGGGAACGCCACCGAGTCTGGCCCAGGCCGGCCGACATTGCCGAGCTGACGCTTGAGAGCGCCTTGAGCGATGCTGTTGTAGGACTGGTCGGTATCCTCCTTGGTATCGTGGATGAATGATCTCTCCTCTGAGAGAATGTAAGCCCCTCTGACAACCTTAAGACCCAATGTAAAGCCGCCCTTATGGGCCGCAGTCAGGTGCTCCACGACGTTCCTAGGTGTCTTCTTCAGATACGCCTGGTACGTGTTATACACCACGGCAGTCCCGTCCTGGTTGAACTTGCGCATGAGCTCGAGCGTCACGTTGTCGATGGACACCTGATAATCCTGAGATTCCGCGTCGACAATCATGCTGATGTTGCGCTTCTTGCACTCCATACACAGTTCATCCAGAACCTCGAGCATCTGACTCGGAAGAGTCTCGTCCGCCGCTAGAGCCGCGGTAACCGCTCGCCCCGCGCCAGTAAGCCTAGGCATTGTCCAGTCAGGCATCATCCCAGACAGTAGAATAGAGTCCACACTCACTTGAACGCGATATAGTCTCCAGAGCCCACGGAGTCGATCGTCTCCATAATGCCGACTTTCCAGCGATCAATCTCGGCATCTCGTCCACCTTCTAGCTTGGCAGCCGTCGCACCATCGCCATGTAGAGATTCTTTGCCATATGTGAGGATGATAGCTTCAAATCCAAGACTCTTGAGTCTCTGCGCGCACTGCTTGGTCTCGATGGGATTTTCGCCAGCACAAAACTGATCGTAAAACGTAGGCTTAAGGATTTTGCGCAGGATAGGGTTTCTGTCGACGTCTAAAAATCGGCCGCCGAAAGGTTTGCACAAGAAGGAGAGCGTATGGAGTGCCGGTGTCAAAAGGAGAGAATTGGAAGAGATTGTGGAAATCAATAATGACCGGAGAAGGTCTCTCGTTGTGAGAATGGAAAGGGGGTATCTCTGCCTGAAGGTCTGCGTCTGACTGTCTGCGAATCCATCAAGTTGAGGAGACCTTATCGCTGCTTGCCGGGCCGCTGTTGACTGGCTTGAGTGCAGGCGAGCAAAGGGGAGGCAGCCCAACTTGTTGGTGAATATGCAGGTGTGCAAGACAAGTCCCCTTCCCGCTGGGAATAGAGCAATTTTCGAGGATGCCCCCATTCTCAAGTGTTTCTGTTTAGGAATTAGCAAAGGAGAATGAAGAAGTTAGATCTCCGTCCGAGTGATTCGGTGGATGTTCGTGATACCATGAGTCGCCATGATAAACAAAGATGTCTTGATATCGCGGGGTTATCATGGCGTAGCGCACTTACACCACACGTGCATGCTCCGATGCTATGCGAGCGGTAGCAGCTTGTTGATCTAGTTAGTGCGGGGAACCGCTGTGTGACAACCAATCTCAATGTATGCTGATCTATGGCCGGCCGAAAGAGGAGATATTGCCTTCAGTACCTGCCTATTAGAGATAAGACGGGACGTGAACTGTCTGTCTTCCGGGGCGATACCGGAAGTTCCAAGGTTGACACTGACAAGTGCTCCCGTGAAGGGCAGCACCAGATAGTCGCTGCATTCATGTGCATGATAGCACACGACCACTTTGCAGCATTATGCGATCAGGATGATGCACAGTCTGAAGGCATCGATGTAAGCATACATGTTGAACCCAGGCGCTGGTCAGAATCGAGCCACCTCGTTTCTTGAGCAGGGTGTATGAACTCGGTACACTGGACAAGATAGTAAAGATGAGCTCAGATGCAGCAGGACAATTCATTTCCGAGCTTGGTTTTCGAGTCCCCATTTGCCTCCCCTCAAAGACAGCTGTGTCATGGCAACCGTTTATCAGGCAGCTTGCGCGCTGTGTCCGGATATGTCAGTCACAGCTCGGTATTGGTCAGTTGACCTAAGTATTGATAGCCAAAAGTCAATGCGACAGGCTTTTTCAATGTGATCTCAGGGCGCACATAGTCCATGCCCAAATGCTCGCCTACCTAGGTACCTAGGTACTAAGTACCCAGGTAACACTTGGGAAGCCACCATGATTTGCCCCAGAACATTTGCATGGAGTAGTAAGAACTGACCGCCACCATGTGCATGCTCCCATACTGCTCAATCTGCCTAGTCTGCCTGTGTCAGCAGGATGCCTGGACCTCGCGGGGATTTGCCACTCCGGCGAGGTATATGACGGGCTGTCTCCCCCATTCTCTGCAGGGTACTAATTTTTTGAACTTTGGCACCTTGTAAGTATCAATCCAGCCTCAAGGCATACCAAACTCGCTCTGGTGGAATCCAGAAGTGCGTCGTGGGTTTGCACCAATCGGGACTTGTATCGGCTGACGGAGTGGCTGACAGCTCGCGCTCCTCCGGTCAGCCGGGCGCCCTCCGGCCGCCAAGGAAGTGTCAGCAATATTGGATTAGGACCAAACGCTGTCAATGTCAATTTTCAGGGTTTGGTGTAAATGCTGCACGGTGCTCAATGCGGGCTGCCATAACCTGTGACGCCATAAAGTTCATGCTCCGCACTTTCCAGGGTAGGACTGGACACCAATTCACATCGTGTCCGGGACATTGCTCCGTAAATACAAGTACCATCTTTTCGGTCTCCATATTCTGATCGGAACATTCGCATCATCGCCGATCTCGACCATCATGGATGCTCAGTTGTTGACTGTGCTGCAGTTGACGGCATGGAGCAGCGTTCTGAGCAAGATCCTTGACTGGCTGTGTTCATTCCTCCCGGGATTCGACAACGATGAGCTATACCCTCTGCACGCTTTCGACGATACCAGAGAGAACAGGAAGATAATATCATGGACTCTCCGCTTCGATAGCGTCCTTGACGCGGACCAGCTTCACCTCTCCCTTGTCAAACTCATCGATCGCCCTGGATGGAGGAAAATGGGTGGCCGGCTGGCGAAGGATAAGAGCGGAAAACTGGAGATCCAAGTGCCGGAAAGATTCACTTACGACCGACCGGCGGTCCGATTCACAAATGAAGAATTTGACCTCGACATTGAAGAAGAGCCTCGCGTATGGAAACTTCCAAGGGGCGACAATACAGGAAGACCGTCGCTACACGACGGCCCTCCGGCCTTCCGATACCTCACTAAGCATCCTGATATGCCGACTAAGTTCTCAGAATACGTGGGCAAAGATGAGCCTATGATGTCCATGCATATCGCCTCATTCAACGACGGCACACTTGTCACTTTGACCTGGCCTGGTGTTGTGTCGGATATGATGGGGATGCATGGGCTCATCCAGGCCTGGTGTGAAGTCCTCGGAGGCCGTGAAGACAACGTTCCGGAGGTCATGGGGGCACACAAGGACCCGATGAGATCCCTCGGACGACTGAAACTGAGGGAAGACTATGTATTCGCTGGAGCTCATCTGCAAGGTCTCCAACTCCTGCAGAGTATGTTCCACTTGGTCATGGACAAGTGGGCACATGGCGAGATGGAGTCCAAAACACTTTGCATTCCTGCTCCATCCATGGCCAAATTGAAACGGGAAGCTGGCGTATCCTCGAGTAGCGAGAAGTCACTCATAAGCGAAGGTGACATCTTGGCGTCCTGGCTGGCGAGACAAGCCTGCTCTATCCTGCCGATTTCCTCCGACCGGCCGGTGACCGTTTCGATCCCGTTTGAGGCGCGGTCGAGACTGCCCATGGTATTTCCCCAACAAACAGACATGGAAAAAGAAAGCTGGGGAGAGACATGTCGACCAAATCCCGTCTATCTCGGCAACGCCACATTCAACGCTCACCTCCACATTCCAGGTTCTGCCCTTCTCAGCGCGCCCATAGGAGAGGTCGCCTACGCAACTCGTGCCGCTATCCTTCGGCAGACAACAGAATCACAAATCAAGGCTGGCTCACGCGAGATCCGCCGTCAGCAGGAAGAAGCAAGTGGCTTCATGGGCAAGATGAGACTGCCACTCAAGTACACCACGCCTGACAGCATGATGGTTACGGTGTCAAATTGGAGCAAAATGAATGTCTTTGATGCGTTCGACTTCTCACCTGCGGTTATCAACAAGAACATAGGTGTTGCTGCCGGGGGTATGACTGGCCTCAAGGCGGGCAAGCCGACATATAACCACATGGATGTGCTAAGGCCGTCGGTGGGTGACCGGAACAAATTTCATATCTCTGGAAAGGATCATCACGGGAACACGTGGGTTACAGGAAGAATGTCAGCTGCTGGATGGGAGGCCCTGAGAGAGGAGTTGGCCTGGTTATAGAAAGCACTAGGTAATGTTGAAACAGGTGCGTGGCATTGCCCACAGTGCTGGAGAGATGTGAGATCATGTATTTGGAAGCAAGCTATTGTGAAACGGGCCCGTTACACACTATTTATTGAAGGAAGCAAAACATTGAAACCAGCTTTGGCGTCAGGGCGTTGTCATTCTCCTTTCTTCAAGTCTAGAATGCCATCAGTTGACAGTTCTCAATATAATCACTTGGCAACTGGCGAATAAACTGGCCGAGTCCACGGAGTTCTGATCCGATCCTATTCATTGTTTTTGACAACCCTCTCTCCCACAACCCAGGCAATTACTTCTATTATTACTAGGGCCGGAACACAAGGGCCGGGTCTGCTTGCTCGCATGGCCTCAATACATACCTTAAGGTATCGAGTTGTATTTCCTCAGCTTTATCCAAGAATTCCATTATTTCGAATCAAGAGTCGTCATGGCCCACCTCTGCCGTCTTGGCCTATGTGGAAATATTTTCCCCATTTCTAGGCAAGTGGTCGAAAAAAGCGACCAGACACGGTTAGCAAGAGAAGACAAAGACTTGTAGTTCTGTTGAAATAAAATCGATTATCTGAATTCTGATAAACCCATAGAGACCCCTGAAAAGACTAGGGACAATGCTAATTTGTTCATATGACGGCAATTGCTCATGATGATCGAACCCTAGAGACCGGTCTGACTGGACTAGACACCTCTGAGAATGTCCAGCGTCGCAAGACGGAAGTCCCCGCTCGTTACCTGCAAGCTATGTTCGTGTCTGTATTTCTCTTTTTCTGTCAGATAATGACCAATTAGGACTACAGAATTCTGGTCAGCCGATAGTCGCCACCCTCGCTGCTTACGCGTGAGTTCGGCGACCTCTCGGCACTAGAGCCGAGTGTTGTCAGCCCCGATGTCAGCGTCGGGCCGCCGATTTGGCCACGTGCTGTATTATATGCAGAATGATAAATCTTGAGTCTTCTTTCCTGTGCATAGAGCCTGTATCACTCAGAGTAGGCTGCATACAGGAGCCACCACAGGAGCCAACCTTGGAAGATGTCACAGAGGTTCAGCACGGACGATGTTGCGGCGCACAACACGCCCGACTCACTATGGATCATCATCGAGCAAAATGTCTACGATGTGACTGAGTTTCAGAAGGATCACCCAGGTCAGCTCCAAATTGCCCTCAATGATCTCCCCATCGCTTGTTCCGCTTCGTAACAGAGACGGGTGACAGGCGGAAAGAAAATCCTTCAGAAATTCGCGGGCAAGGACGTGTCCAAGCAATTTCGAAAATTCCACACTGAGGCCTCGAGCATCCTGCTCGACTACAAAGACGATTTGCAGCTTGGCAGCCTCGACGTTGAGGAGAAAACTGAGCTGCCGCCGACGGTGCAGACGGTGCCGGAAATAGCACAGCCACTGACCGCCACGGCTTGACGGAGATCACAGCCAATGAAGAGGTGGTCGGACACCAGCTCAGGCACAGTCCTGTCCTCTTCACAGATATGAGCTCCTCGTTCATTTCCTTCGTGTACAGTGAGACACGAAGGGGATGGACAGGGGCAGCAGGAGGAGAGCCCGAGAGGTCAGTGCTAGCCGAGACCCGCTCAGATACTAGTCTAGGGCTGATCGGTCCCTTGAAAATTGGGCAATTGGGTCGCTTTTTCAGATTGGGTGGGTCAAGGGTCCATTGTGTCATCGGGATTGGCATGCAGCAAGCGTGAGAGCGGAGAACACCACGACGGCCGAAGTCAAGGGCCAGATGGGCGGCCCAAGCTGGTGGAGGAAGGGACTGTTTCTCCTGGGCATTATCGAGTATTTCGTGTCGGGAAAAGGATAAAAGATGATCGATTATGCTTTCGGCCTGTAAAAGAGCAGTCGCATTGGGATCAGCAAGCACGGTCATACGAGAGTGTTCAGTCCCCTGAAACTTTAAATATACTGGAAATTGTTGAGGGTACAACCTCATTACAGTAGTGCAACCTTTTGCAAGTGGAGCTGCGGAAGCTTTCCGGCTCCAATCGTGGAGTGCATATGCAGCTTCGAGCTTACTTTGGGCGATAAGAGCTACGATAAGGAACCCCCTGTTGCTTGTGCGGTAGGAGAGGTAGGGAAGTGGTGTGTTTCAACCTCGACTTGTCAACAATCCCCCCTTCGTTGTTACCAGACAACAAAAACAAACAACACAGCAGCAGCAGCCACGCCTCCCACCATAGTCCAGCGCCAGCACATCCATTCACTCTTTCACATACCCGTTGTAAAATGGCTGACGCGACAAACGTGGGCGCCTCCAAGCCGGAGGAGACCAAGGTGGAGGACACTGGCAACAAGGTCGACGCGCCACCTGCATCTGAGACACCAGCCCAGGCTGACCAGGCCCTGCCCGTCGAGGCCCCGGCTGAGCCTTCACCGGCTGCCACCGCCACCGCCACCGAGGAGAAAGCCACCACGGCTGAGGCGCCCAAGGAGGACGCTGCTGGTGCTACCGAGTCTGCCGCTCCCGCTCCCGCTCCCGCTCCCGCTCCCGCTCCGGTGGCTACGGAGGCTAAGGCGGATGAAGCCAAGCCCGCCGAGGAGGACAAGAAGGAGGCATCCAAGGGCGAGGTTGAGGGTGACACCGAGACCAAGCCCGCCGCTGACGAGGCTGCTGCGGCCACCGAGAAGGAGCCCGCGGCCGCGGCCAAAGAAGCGACCCCAAAGAAGACCCCCTTCGAGGAGTTTGACGCTAAGGTCGCCGAGATCGTGGGTGAGGTCGGTCACGATGAGATGTGGGGGGTCAAGCTTGTCACTCCTGCCGCGTCCCACGTCCCCACCCAGATCGTCATCCAGAAGTTCCTCAATGCCAATGACGGCGACCTGGCCAAGGCGATTGACCAATTCAAGGGCGCGCTCAAGTTCCGCAAGGATAAGCAGCCCCTCGAGCTGATGAAGAAGTCTTTCAGCTCCGCCAAGTTTGCCGATCTTGGTGCTGTCACGGTGTACCCCGTCAAGGACAGCAGTCTGCCCGAGGTCTTCACATGGAACCTGTACGGAAATGTGAAGGGGAAGATCGAGGAGGCATTCACACCACTAGATGAGTATGTGTAACCGAGGCCTACGGAGATCCAGCGTCACACAGCACATGCAATGATAGGGCTGACTTACCCCGGCAGGTTCATGGACTACCGGATCGCCCTGCAGGAGCTCGGCATCCAACAGCTCAAGCTCTCGGAGGCAACTGAGCCAATCACTGCCGAGAATGATCCCTACAAGATCATGCAGGTGCACGACTACAAGAATGTGTCGTTCTTGCGCCGTCCTCCAGCGGTCAAGGCCGCCAGTGATGAAGTGATCAAGAAGTTTTCTCTGGCATACCCTGAGCTGCTGAAGGCAAGACCCCAATCCGCCATCGTACGATATTCTTATGGACTCGGCTAACAAATGTGGCTGAGCAGGAGAAATTCTTCGTCAACGTCCCTGCCGTCATGGGCTGGATGTATGCAGTCATCAAAGTGTTCATCGCCCCGAAGACGGCCAAGAAATTCCACCCAATGGCCAACGGCGCCAACCTGGCTGCTGAGTTCAAGACCAGCGGGCTGGACGAGAAACAGCTGCCCAAGGAGTACGGTGGTGAGGGCGGATCCGGTGACGGCAAGATGAAGGATATCCCCGGCTTGGTCAATGAGCTGAAGTTCGAGTAGACAGAAGGATGAGTAGGTCTTGGCCCTCAAGGCCCCCGGTGCTCATCTGATGGATTTCTGCCATTATTGCATCATCAATCAGTTTTAATAGCGATCAAGACGGTCTAAATCCATTTCTCTCATGTATCAGTCATTAATATCCGCGCCATTACGGGAAATCGGGCTGCGAATCTCTGGTTTTGGTGCATATTTGAATATTTAACCTTGAAGATATCGTACTTAGCATGTACCGGTACTTCACTAGGTCGGAGAGTTATTGGGAAGCAATTTGACATTATGTATTAACCTCAGAATCTGTACTGGCAGCCTCTCCACAACCACAGCGCCCTGACTCCTGGAAATGTTACAGTTATTACTAATAATAAGAAAAAAGACCCTGTATCCTAGATAACTTTAGAGCAGTCCGTCAAATCATTCAGGTTATTCACACCCAACAAGCTCATCCTAAAGTATGCAGGTGCATATGCCTAATCACATAAGTCAGTAATGAACCAAGCAATTGCCATGTAGGACAGAGGACAGAGGACAAAGACTTACCGCCTCCCAAGCTCCCTGGTCCTTTGCAAACGTCTGCCACGTCCCGGAAGTCTCGGAGTCGTTGGCGAGGCTGATGTCGCTCTGGAACTTGAACACTCCATCAGGAGTATCAGGGCTAGCCGTCTCGCCGTAGTAGTTGTTGTCCCAGATACCGTCCGTGGTGTCCTGGCTCTTGCCTGCCTGCGACGGGTCGACATTCTGCTGCTGGCTGACGGTGTGCGCACCGATAAGGGCAACCAGGTCGCCAGCAGTGAACGTCTTGGCCTCAAACAGCGCGATGTTGGTCTGCGCGTCGGCAAAGGGGCTGGGGATAAGACCCGCAGGCGGCAGCGCATTGTTGTCGACGCGCCCGACGTAGGCCTTGATGCGCGGGCCACCGGGGCACGCGGCCGTGGCGGCGATGGCGTTCATCTGGATCAGGTCGGCCATGGTGATGTTGTACTGCTTGTACTGGTCGAACCACGCCTGCGTCTGCGCGGCGATGCCCTGCAGCCCGCGGTTCTCGATGCGGCCGAGCTCCTCCGCGTTGAGGACCACGCTGCCGTCGGCGCCGCCGCTCGGCAGCGACGACTGCCAGGCCGCGGCGTCGTGGAAGCCCAGGCGGATCGCGCCCCGGGCCGCCGCGGAGCACCCGTCTCCGTCTGAGAAGCTCCCGCGGATGTCGTCCATGATGTGGCTCCACTTGCAGCAGGTGTCTGCTGCGCACTCGGGCGAGTCGATGTCACCGGGGGCGTTGTAGTCGCCCCCGTCCGCCAGGGCATCCAGGAGGCCTGTGAGGATGGAGGAGATCTCGGCGCCGACTGCGCTGAGTGTGCTGGTTGCCTCGTCTAGGAGGTCTCCTAGTAGGGATGTTGATCTTGTTGCGAGGACAGGTGTGTTGCGCAGATCTGCGAAGAGCTCTCTGCTGGCATGATGATAGGGGCTGGCGCTCACCACGGAGCTGGCCAAGAGGATAGGCAGGAGAGAGTGCATTGTGAACAAGGTGATGATGGCCTCACTCGGTGAGGTACGGGATATTAAGATATAGATGTCTTCGGGTGATTTGGAGGGGAAGTGACAGTGGATTCTGACCAGTTGCAGATATACGAACGAGAGGAAGGACAATGAACGACGAGGATGATGAGTGTGATATTCCAAGGCAAGCGAGTCCAGACTTATATGAACGTTGACGACGAGGAGGAATATTATATCCATTTCATGACAGCCACAAGCACAGCCATCCCTCCCATCCGATAATCAGGCAACATTGTATCCATGGCCCGGACGGGAGCCAGACCGCCACGAAACCCCTTGGAGCTTTGGGCACATGAGCATGTCGGGCTGTCAAGATGGCCAATGAATCATCCGAAGAATTAAAACACCAGACTAAAGATCACAAAACTTTTCTGAAGGCGCCGACACTAAGTCCAGATACAGTATCTTACCTGAGAGACTCCCCTCGTGGGATTCACACCGGCGCCGGACGTGTCCCGGTGATGTGTTTGCTGGCAAAACTTCGCAGTAAGTTGTCGATAGTCGCTCGTTGCTACTGCAGAGTTGACACCTTGGCGTGGTGTTGTCGCGCCACAGCTGAGGCAGACACCGCCGACTCCATTGGCCGGTCCGAGGGGAGGGACAGGGTTTCTAACAAGGCATGAGCATCTGATGCAAGGACTCTGACCTGAAGACCATCTCATTCCATGACAGCTCTTCCCGGGGGCAGGCATACGGCGAGTACCTAGGTACGGAGGCCACCTGCAACGATGCGACGGCAACATGCGCTTCTTCATCCCACTCCATCCCTCCCCCTCGTAAAGGCAGCACCGCAGCACTAGCTGCTGCAGGACCCGGCAACACGGTCGCTCGACAGGCTAGTGCGTGCTTCGGACGTCCGCTGGCGCGGCCGACGCTGCCAATGAGACAGGCTGCCGTCAGCCGCAGCGTGCCAGTCGTGCCCACACGCTGCCCCCCAGGGTGCCAACGCTACTGTGCTTAGGGTCTCTCTCAGATGCCGGCGCCGGTGGGCGGTCACGGCAGGACGCCTTGTGCGGCGGGAGGGGCGGAGGGAGGCCAGGGTTGCCATTGTTCGAAACGCACAGCTTCACCCAAGATATGAGGTTTCTTGTCGTACGGTGATGCTCGTGGGCGCAGAGGGCGTGATCTGCAGCAGGGTGGAACAAGCCACGGTGTGTGTGCCCCCCACACCTGTGAACCTGTTGTTTCCGGGCTGGTGAGGATCCGGGGGACTGGTGCGGGTGCAGATCGTGGCTTAGCCACCGTGTACTGAGGCTCCAGGGCTCGTGTGTTTGGGACCGTGAGCATCTGGCACATAGATAGCAATCCGAGCTATGTATCAGGGCCTGGGGTAGCCCAGACCTGGCCCTCCCAGCTAAACTTACAGCGCTTACTCAGACCGTGCCTGGGCAGTAGTGGTCGAGTAAGCCCATACCTACGGCCCAGCTACTGTATGAAGGACCACCAGGGCCCAGGGGTTATCATGGGGTTGTCGATCACGCCGAGCTTGAATTTAAGGTGGTGATGCTGACAAGAGGCTTAACGGGCCTGGATACGATGTCGCATCTCTGCGTTTGGGCCTCGACGCTTTTCTCCGCCCGGAAGCAGGCTGCACAATTATGCGCTGGCCGTGCTCCGTGGTCCTCTGCATGGGTGTTCTATTTTGATGACATTTGCGCTGTGACTCTGCACTTGTCATGTCGTGGTAAGATTGAATTTCATCGTATTCCAACACAGCACGGATGACGAAGGAAGACGACGCGTCTTTGATTAAAGGAGCAAGACGTTGCTGTTGCGGTACGTGATTGATATAAAATATCCATAGGTCCCTTGCCAAGAGATCGGATCACCCACCCTGTCGCGCAGGAAAATCTCCGAGCGGCACTATGAAGCACAGCGTATGTGGCTAGAGAATGCAGGAAAACGCGGTACCGAGTGTTCGTCTCGTCTTCCTGATCAAAGACTGTGCATGATCCCGCCACTCCCGGAGCACGCCAAGTAATCATTCCAACATGTAGCAGAACGTTCGATTACCTACACACATATAAAAAAGATTCGCTAGAGTGCCCAGGTGCTGTTAGGTTATTTGCCGCCAACAGTGATGTACTAGTGTGTCCATCGTCGGTAATCAAATTGTTTACCGCCAAAACGGTGCTCGTATCACTCATTAAGAATTAAGGCTGCGCCCTTAAACTTATTTATATTGGCCGAGCGGCCCAGGAAATTCCCTCGCTTCAATTTCTCTTTCGACTTGGGGACTGCCTCAAGGTTCCTGCGCACCATGGGCGTGAGAATATGCCTGGGCGAGATACAGGTGACACGGATGCTCCCCGTTTCATCTTTTCGCGGAGGGCTCCACTCCATTTAACTAAAGACCGGGCGAGTTAGATGACTGCAGCCATCGAGCTGCTGTACACGGGAGAGACAAGACTTTTGTTGGCCACGAGCTCGGACATGCTCGCAGCGAGGGATGTGCTTCCCTTGGATTTGCTAAAGCATCTGGCGTGCAGCCGAGCTCGCCGTCATCAAGACTCCGGTATAGTTAATTGACAGCCAGCACGCGCGCCACGTCGTCCGCCTGGTAACAAGTACTCAGTGGCAGTTGCAGGGTGAACAACACCAACAGCAATCGCACCACCTCGTCCCTTAATTTCCTCGGTAATGGCCGTGATTAGTCTTATCGTGACATCTTGTTGCGAAGCGATGGAATAAGAATGCAAAAGTGATCTCAAGGATCCTCACAAGATGACGCAGTAGCAGTGATGGGTATAATGCGAACTGAGCAAAATATCGGAGGGATTGGGAGGTCGACAGGTGGGAGTCAAAAACCTCTAGACAATACCCCTGGGCAGTGAGCACTTGAGAGTGAGGTCTATTGGAGACTGGGCGCCATCACCACGCCCTCGTCCTCTTCCACGACCCCTATCAGCCATTTTGGGGGATGGCGGTGTCCCGAGGTCTGTCAAAATAGAGTGCAAGGCACACAAGCAGGTGGGCTGGATTTTGAACAGCTCGCAGCACACACAACTCGAGATAGCGATAGTCAAGCAAGTGTGTATGATTGCATCCTCGACAGCAGATTCTCTTCACTGCATTAAATACATGTGGCTTCTCGGCAAGCCTTCGTGTTCGCACTGCGAATCCTTTACCCATTCAGCCCTCTCGTCCTTCCAAAATTCCGGGCTTGTATATTATACCCCGGTCTCCTCACCATGTTGATCGGCTCTGCCTTGCTCCTGATGTCCCCTTGCTTCACCCGCTTCCACCGTACTGCGCCTTCCAATCCTCGGCCCGCTTCGCATCAAATTTCGGGAAGAGGGATTGCGCCTCGCCGAGCCGATGTCCTTTTTGTATACAGTCAGAGTCGAAAGTGTCAGGAATAGACAGGACTGGCTCCGGCTCCACGCCCAACTGTCTGGTGATCGACTCGGCGGTGTCCGGTAGGAACGGCTGCAAGATAGCAGCAAGGAGTCGGATGATATTGACGCAGACCGTAAAGTAAGCCGCCCTCTCTTCCTTGTCGGCTTTGTCGACTTTGAAAGCCTGCGTAGCCAATTTGTTGCCAGCGTCGGATATACTGAGAGCGTCATCCAACGCCGCGCGCAGCTCGACTGCCTCAAGGTGACGGAGGTAGGAGCTGAAGAGACTGTTGACCTTTTCCTTGCAGCTTTCCACCTTTCCGTCCGAATCGCGGAGCCCCGAGCCGTCAGGTACGACGCCGTCGTACCCCTTGGGCTCAGGGTTGTTCACAAACTTGACAACGCGGTTGACGAAGTTGCCCAGATTGTCGCTGAGTAGGCTGTTGTTCTCCTTGACAAACTCGTCCCATTTGAACTCGGTGTCTTTGTGCTCTGGACGATGATAAAGGAGGTAAAACCGCCAGACATCGGCCTTGATCCCGCTCGCCTTTGCCTGGTCGCCGAAGACACCAATGCGTTTTGACTTGGAGAACTTGGTCCCCTCATATTGCAGGTACTCCGTCGCACAGAGAGAGTGCACCTTTGTCCAGTTGTCCCCGGTTGCGATTAGAGTGGCCGGGAAGAAGATGGAGTGGAAGAAGATGTTGTCCTTGCCGATAAAGTGGTAAAGCTGGACATCATCCGGGTTCTGTGGTTGCCACCAATCCCGCCAGTGGTCTGTGTGCTCTGCGGTGATTGATACGTATCCGATCGGGGCATCTAACCAGTTGTATATCACCTTGTTTTCGTAACCAGGCACGTTTGTAGGGATCCGGGTGCCAAATTTGATGTCGCGTGTGATGCTGCGCTCTTTTAGCCCCTTCTTGAGCACGCCCCGGGTTTGACTAGTCGCGTTGCTAGACCACTGCTGCTCCGATTCGCGAACGAAGTCCTCCACTTGTGGCTGCAACTTGTCCAGCCTGAAGAAAAGATGCCCCGTGTCCCGCTGGACGGGCGTGGCTCCACATCCGTTCAAGTTACAACGAGGATTCTTGAGCTCAATAGCGTCTTCAAATGAGCCGCATGAGTCACACTCGTCGCCCCTAGCGCCTTTTCCGCAATGGGGACAGTCGCCAACGACGTATCGATCTGCGAGGAACCGCTGGTGGGCTTCGCAGTACAGCCTTGTTGTTATCCGCTCGTCCAGGTGTCCATTCTCGTAGATTCTCGAAAAGATCTGCTGCGTGATCTGAGTTTGATTCTCAGTCGTGGTCCTTCCGAACTTGTTGAAACTGATATTGAACCACTGGTAGATGTCCGCATGGATTTTGCGGAAACGGTTGCAGAGCTCCTCCGGCGTGCAGCGCTCACGCGCCGCCGCGATCTCCGTGGCAGTGCCGTACTCGTCCGTGCCGCCAATGAAGAGCGTGTTGAGGCCACGGGCCCGACAGAAACGAGCGTAGACATCGGCAGAGAGACAGGAGCCGATAATGTTTCCGAGGTGCGGCACGTCGTTGACATATGGTAGGGCGCTGGTAATGAGGACATTTCGGCTCCCGGGTTTGGTTCGGCTCCCGGATGGGGGAGCCGAGATTGAGGTATCGCCTGATGATGAAAGCATTGTTGGCAGGCTATGAATGAGTCTTAATACAACTTGACGATTGTGCGATGAAAATGTTCTTGCAGTTGTGATGGGTATGGTGTGCCACAAGTAGACTTGGATTTTTGATGTAGGAAATTTGTGCTTATTTTGGTAGTTACGAGGAAAGTGTTTTCAGGACTGGGTCACAAATGTTTCGGGAAGTGAGCACCCTTTTATGACTCTTCACTAGTTATTTCCTTCAATTCTTGAAAAGTAGCACGGCCTAGGTACTTAGTGCTTGATAGGTCTACAACTAGGTTGAACCGGTTTCTGGAGATGGCTCCGATATTAAACACAAGAAAGAGACTGATTTAGTCTTGGGCTTTAGCGGTTCTAAACACTGCCAGTGGAGCACTGGGAGAAATCCACGGCCCGACACAGGTAATTTGACAGGGCTTGTCAAGTTCCTACCACGATCAGTTGACCTAAAGTTGGATCAGCGGCTTTTTGTCCAACAAGAAAAAAGCAGGACCCCTTAGCCTGACGGCCTTTGTGTTAGAAGCTCAACCCATACATCATACTAGCAAGTCCAAGAAGTATGTCAGAGTGATTTTAGCCTCGCCATATGACTGCTCTGCCGGCTTTCTAGTGAGCGGCGCCGTCGGGAGCGATGCCTTCCAGCCTTGTCTATGCGGCACGAGGCTGAGCCACGTGCCCACATACTGTATTCTCTTTCCACTGTTATTGGCACTGTGTTGTTTTTTTAAGAAAAAACGCTAGGTCTTGAGCGTTTACCACTGTATGAAGGCGCCACATACATTATATATGTATGGGGATTAAAAACGAAACCACCCTATGTCAGAGTGAAGCATAACCGTTTATGTCTAAATTCCTAACTGAGTTGTGATGCTCGTGGCCTTGGCCTTCTCGCCTGGGCTGCCCGCCGCGCACTTCTCTTATCGGCATCGGAGGCTGGCTGTCGGTGCTTCTGCTGCCTCGGCAGAATCCATTCTTACAGATTAGTGACATGCCAATATAGGTGATTGTTTTTAGCCGCTCGACAAACAGGTAGGTTGGAAATAGGATACAGTGAATCACTAGATCTTGAAATCCGTATACACATGTACCTGGGTACCTAGGTAGTCAAATGGCCTCGTGGCAAACCAGGCAGCGTTTGATGCAAGATTACAAAGGTGCCGTTGCAATTAAGTCGCTGGGGCGTGCAGGCAGGTCCACGCTGGATGTGGGGCCCCCAGGTCCCAGGCGGGCGGCAAGCTGTTCGGAGCAAATGTCCCGCAGCTACCCTGGTAGCTCTAGGCTAGGCGGTGAAGCAAGAAGCAGCAGTTGACGGAGTGAAAGTCGGCAGAATCGCGCCAACACCTCGGGCGGCTTGGTCAGTCTCAGGGATCTGCAGCGGCAGAGGCACGCGAGTGTACCATCACGTCGCTCTGCGAACTCACGAGCTCAGCGGCCTCGTACCTTCTGCGTCCTGCGTTTGAACACAACTGCCACGAACCTAGTGCACAACCAAACAAGCAAGCGAAAGAGGCGAGCCTTACGATGGACCGTCCCCGTCGGCATCCTCAATCCGATTGCGACTCGACTGGCCTCTAGAGGAGGCAGCACGACGAACACCCGCATCAGGACGCAGCAAGAGCTGGATCGGAGGGTCTGCAACTTGGGAACGAGTCAAGCTCTTGGATAGGCAACGTCGTCATGTACAACAAGGACAAGATCATGCGGAAGCTCCTTGGCAAGGCTGCCGTCGAGTCGTCGCCGTCCTCGTCCCTCGCAGCAGACAACAATCCCAACCTCGGCGTCACATCTGCCCCATTCACACCCGCCACAAACTTGCGACCAAGCGTTTCGCAAGATGCTGCGTACAATGCCGGCGTGCCCATTGACTGCATCGATCGGTCTCCCGACGGCCAGAGCGCCATTCTCGCGGGGAGGCACATACTGAAGACGGTCAAGCTCAATGGAAATACGATCCAAGACGGCATCGACATTCGTGCTGCCATCCTGGCTCAGCCTTTCATGAAGAACTCAGTCAATTCGAGCTCAGATCAACTATCAATCAAGGACGTCAAGTGGTTGCGGGGCAGAGGCGACACCACCATCTTTACGGCATGCGCCAGTGGCAAGATCTTCCAATATGACCTGACACGCCTTGGCGGAGGAGCTGACGGAGCGCCCATGGAGGTCATACAAATGAGGGAGGACTCGCGACAGATCAACACCCTGGACATCAATCCGCGATCATCCTATCTTCTCGCTGGAAGCCAGGACGGCATCGTGCGCTGCTTCGATATCATGAATCCTGTCCGGACCCACACCGGCCACCTCAGCTTCAGGGCAGTACAGGCGTTCAAGTGCAACGCTGGCGGCGTCCAATGTATAAAGTGGTCCCCACACGCAGACGGGGCTTGGTCTTTTGCCTGCGGCACAGACCAGGGCGTCGTACTGAAATGGGACATTCGAAAGGCAACGGCCCCCGTACTGAGGATCAACGCCCACGACAAGGCTTGTTCCACTCTTGCTTGGCATCCAGATGGCGACCACATCGTCAGCGGTGGTTGGGATAACAAATGCCATGTTTGGGACGCATCCACAAAGGCTGACAAGAGGCAGAAGCCCAAATGGACCATCAGCACTCCGGCGCCCGTGTCTGATGTGGCGTGGCGACCTGGAACGTGGTCTGCCACTGCTCAGGGCAAGAGGGCAGCACAGCTAGCAGTCTCATACGAGGGTGGCAGCCATGGTCGTAATGGCATCAATGCATGCCACGTATGGGATCTCGCCAGGCCTACAATGCCTTTCAAGGAGGTCTCGAAATTTGACGCTTCGCCTAGCGCACTCCTATGGCATGACCAGGACCTCCTTTGGACCGCTGGCCAAGACGGCTTGTTCAACCAGTTCGATATTGCCTATGCCCGGAAAGTCGTTGACCGCACTACGATGTCCGTCGTGGCCTTCTCGTCTCGTGGGGATGTGGTCACTTTTCTTGATGAGCGCCCTCAGGTGCGGCGACCTCACCGGCCCGTGGTGTCCGCGGAGATGCTGCCGAACCGTGCCTCTTACACCTCCACTCCCACAGTCCCAATGCTCAGCATCAGCCGTAGTGACTCGGAAGATGAAGTCGCTGGAAACTTTTTGGGGGCAAGACGAGCGAGGCCAAAACACAGGCGAGCTCCTACCAGCAGCCGTTCCGTCCAGGCGCTTAGCACCACCCCACCCGGAGGACCGGACTCGCCGGTGATGGCTCTCGAGCAGTCAATCAAGGCTTCTGGCCTTTTCAGATCTCAGCAAGCTATGACTATTGGCCGAGCCCCATCTGCGGCGAATGTCAATGTGTACGAGTATCTCTCCTCCCACTATCTCGAGACAATCCATGATCTCTTGCCTTACAAGCGCGGGGCAGAGTCATTGGATCTCCGTATCCAAGCCATTCTTGGCCGCTATTCCAAGGCCGCGGAAATGGTCGGCCAGTTCCGTCTATCTCAAGTTTGGAAGGCACTGGCATTCGCCATGAGCCTGTTGCTGGAGAGGAGGGCACAGCACCACCTCGATCGGCGGACCGGTGAGTTGGAAAGGTCCAATAAGGCGATGGCAAAACTGCTGTCGAAGTCGCCTGCCACTTTAAAAGGGATTGATGAGATACCCAAGCTTGGTCAGGTTCAACTGGCCCAGTCTGGATTGACAGAGCCGGAAGCAGCATTTGGGGGCGGTCTCAAGCATCCTGCGAGCGTTGAGCGATCAAGCCATCTTCGCTCGTTGCTGTCGGAGGAATTCGAGAGCACATCTCAGACAGCTACCCCGCTCGCTCGACCTGTAGACGGTGGGAATGAAAGCGGCATCGAGGCAATCGATCACATCCGCGAGCTTGAAGACCACCATTTTGAGTATGGGAAGAAGCTCACCCCCGTGCAGGAGGGCGAGAGCTTCACACTCCCTCCGCCGGTCAGACGACCCGCTCAACGACAGCGACTCGATTCGGAACCGCTCTCTACCTTCAGTCATGATAGCGACACCCATGCAAGCACGGAGGGGTATGATTTCTATGATACGGACGCTATCAGTCAGGCGATTGATGTACCGGGCGCGAAGCCGAAATCGGATCAGGTGCCACCACTAGGTACTCCAAGCAGCGCGAGAAGGGCTGTCACGAGGCACGACTCAGACGAGTCCTTTGGGCAGATGTTCTCGATCTCGAGCGGAAGCAGGCAAACCACAGGCCTGACTGCGTCCTCCTCAGGTTCTATGCAGCGTCGGACACATAGAATTACGGGTGTAATGCCCTCCAATCCGCAGCTTGCTCGCAGCGCCAGCACGGGGGAATATGAAAGCAGAATCAGGGGAGCAAAATTGGAATCCACCGGCACTCCGAAGCTTCAGCATCGAACCTCCGCTCCGGCCGGACCTGATGATGGCGCCGTGACGCAGTCTACCGACGAAGACCATATGATTACTCAAACAACCATGGACAGCATCGATTCGGGAAGAGGTGATTCACATCCTAGGCCTGATAGCTACCCGCAGTACACGTCCCAGACCGTTTCGCTTGGCGTGAGCCCTTTGGATTCGTTCGAATTTAGTCAAGACCCAGAACAGCCGCAAGAGACAGATTATCTGCCATGGTCAGACGATCCACGGTATCCACATCCTATCGCTTGGGAAGATGATGCACCTCCACGCCCTAGTCCTCTCGACCCATACAAGCTCGTATCCCGAGCAGTCAAATTCGAGGCCACAAAGTCGGCACTCAACGCATCAGCCATGGTCCTTCTTCTACGGCCGCTGGTGTCCGACGTCAACGATGTCATAGATGCTTTTCAGGCTGCTGCAATCATCAAACAGCAACATTCCCGTCTCATGGGAATGAAACTGTTCCCACAGGCAGCTCTTCTTAGAAATCTTTGCATCAAAGGCTGGCCTGGTGGGCCACTCCAGCAATGGGGCGAAGACTACCCAGCGGTGTTTAGGCCCGCACAGTCCAACAACAAGGCTGCATTCCTGTGTCAAGACTGCCATAAACCAAGAGAGATCGATCGGCGCAACATGGAGACGCAGTCGGCCAATCAAATTTGGCGATGTGAACGATGTAGCTCAGTCATGGCTGCATGCGCCATATGCCGCCATCGCGAAACACCAGAGACCGCCAGTGAAGCGACCGAGATCTCTCCTGAACTGCTACGCACAGTAGTTGATGGGCAAGGCGACGAAGCTCTTATGTCAACCTGGTGGTATTGTCACGGATGTGGACACGGCGGACATGCGTCGTGTCTCGCAGGATGGCACACCGAGGTCGTCGATGATGAAGCCTCGTCATTTGATGATGGTCCCGAAGGACTCTACTCGGATGGCTGCTGTCCGTTCGATGGATGTGGACACGCCTGTCTTCCTGGAAAATACCGTGCCGAAAACAACGTGGCTAGGACAGAGCAAGTATCACGTGCTGTGAGGGAAGTCAATCGGAATGTTTCACACGCGAGCGGGACTGCATCGCCACGATTTGGAGCAGGGCGCTACAGTACTGGAGCACTAGACGAACTTGCCCAGCGAGTTGGCAGGCGACGGACTGGTGAGACGAGTCTTGAGGGCAGCATCCACGACCTCAACGAAGTACCGCAAAGCAAAGCTGTGGAATCCGTCCGAGACAGCCTAGCAAGCGGCCATGCGAGTCCCATGGGCGGCCTAGGCAGGGCTACGAGCGCAATTCATCTCGGGCCCAGCAGTGAGAGACCGAATACATCTGCGGCGAGCATACTGAGTTCCAGCCCTGGCAGAGGCGGCGGCATCAGCGGCGACAGGGAGCGCAGGAAGAGCGTGAAGTTTGCAGGCAGTGCTACGGTCGTCTCAGCGGATGACGGAACGCCAAGGAGACAGTAGAATTGTCGACTGGCGCCATCGAGATCAGTGCTCAAGCACGCATCGCTGCTGAAGTACTGTGTCCGCAAGCACCGCAATCCAGACAGGTCCGGCTGGCTGCGGTGGATCGTGGGCAGTGGACAGGCAGAAGTCAACAGACGGAGGAAGGACAAGGACCTGCTGAGGCGGGCAGATCTGAGGAAGCGGGAGACGGAGAACGCTTCTCGTAACAGCAACTCGGGACCTGTCCATCCCAATGGTGTGGCGGGAGGCTACTGGCAAGAAGTGATCCGTTGGCAAGGATGGGATGAATGGGAGGAAGAACAGCGGGCTGTCGACCCGGAGGATGAGGAGGAATGATGCATTTTCCAGCACATACGTCACAAATGTGGAAGTGTGATATGGACTCAACGTGCCGCAGTGCACGACGGTAGAGGAGGAGAGTATAGCGATGATGTCTTCAAGGCCTGATAAGATACCCACTGACACAATAATTTAAAACTATTTATTACACGTGTTTTCCCTCGCTTGTTCCTCCTATACGATTTCGTTTTCCACTACTCATCCAAGGGACTTCAACAACTTGTTGTGGGTATACAAGTTGTACATCAGCTTCCGGTTCAGCTTTCCGAAGATGTCTACGCAGCTGTCAGCTCACCATGCACACCTAACTCATCAAAAGTAGCGGACGGTACTTACACATCGGGATACAGAGTGCAATCAGGACAAGCGAGACGATGCCGAAGACCCTGAACACCTCACCGCCACCAGCCTCGCCCGCCCAGGTGTTGATGAAGGTCGAGAAGGCGTAAAAGAGGAAGTTCTTCAACATCATTTGAAGCACAAAGACTTCTGTCGACTGTCTCGGGAAGGAATCGCTGGACAGACCATTAGTTTGGACCTCGTGAGAAACACGACACGCACCGCGGCCTGACTTACAGGATGTACAACCCGGCCGATGTCGAAGGCACAGAGATCCCAAAGCAAGCGCAGCCGTGACAGAAAGCACCCAAAAGGTACCCGTCCGGCCTCGGGTTCTCCACGACCCACATGAACAGGAACCACCCGAGACCGCAGAACAGCGCGCCGAGGATGTTGACGGGGATGCGGAACTCAGCCTCGTACACGCCGCGGTTGGCGCGCGCCAGGGCCCTGGCGGACCAGTCGCACAGGGGCCCCACAAAGACGGCGAGGACGCCCCCCACGAACGCGCCGGCCCAAAAGTAGCCGTTCTGGGCGACGTTGAGGTTGTAAGGCGGCACGGACCAGATCTGCGAGAGGATGTAGGCGGAGACCACGAAGAAGGCTACGAGGACGGCGCTGACCATCAGGATCCAGAAGACTGCGGGGTTGATCAGGTGCACAAAGATCTCGGAAAGCAGGTGTGGGATCGACTTGTTAGTGTAGTTTGTCCGCTCCCACGGGGTAAGGGTCTTCACGAAGGACCTCCTGGGGGTCCGGGGCTGAGCCGTGCTGCTGGTCGTAGGGACCTTTTCGGCCTGGTGCTCCCAGGTCTTCTCGGCCCCGTCGGTGCCGGCCTGCACATCCTGCGTCGTGTCCGCGGACCGGGGCGCTGCTGCAGCGCGGACAAATTGAGTCTCCGGGAGCAGGAAGACCGTTGCCAGGAGCCCGACGATGTCGAAGGGCAGCTCGGCCACGAAGAGGTTCTGGTACCCGTGGTTCTGGAACATGACGCCGCTGATTATGGAGACCATCGAGGCCATGCACGCCAGGGAGCAGACGATCACCGCCGTGCGCCACCCGCGCTCGTGCAGGTAGAACATGTCCCCGACGGCGGCGAGGGACAGGCTCTCCCATGCTGTGACGCCGAGGCCCTGGACCAGGCGGCCTGCGAGGAGGGTGTGGTAGTTGTTCTGCTGGGAGCCGACGATGCAGATGATGGTCCCCAGGGTGCCTGTTGTGGCGGCGAAGAGGAACTGTGGGCGTTTTCCATATTTCTGGGCGAGGACGGAGACGAGTGGTCTATACGGAGGCTGTCAGGTCCCACTCCTATGCACCCACTAATTATTGTCTTCCTACTCACCCCAAAGCGGCAACAAGTAAGAGCTGGTAGCCTGAGAGCTCGGCGACCTCGGTCAGAGTCACGCCCAGTATCGGCGCGAGCGCAAAGGTGGCTGGGGCTATGATGGGCCCTGGCAGGATAGCAAAGATAATGGCGTTGGCGAAAATGACAAAAAATGCGGCCTCTTTCTGCCACCGCGGCCAGAGCTGTGGAGGACGTCAGCACGAAGGATAAGAAGGCGATGTATTTAGAAATCATACCAAGGGATCGTTTAGGTCAGTTTTCGATGGTTGAGGAATGAGGATTGTTTCCACGCCCTGTGAGTAGTTAGTTGGCTTTAACCCTTGGGAGGCTTGCGAGGACATTTAGTTGAACACTTGGGCTCATACCCGGTACGTGATCTTTTCCAAGTGGTCGTCGTCCACTTCAGCTTCTACACCCGCGCGACTACCGCCAATAAGTATTTCTGTGCCCGGTATCTGCCCACCATCCTTCAATTCCGTATCGATGATTCCGAAAGGCATTTTCGACTGGGACTGGCCACGGCCTGACTATTCTCTCCGCGGAGATCGTAAGACATCTGCAGAGGGATGCCGACGTGGTCTGTCCAGGGGACTTAAATCACAGACCTACAATGCTACCACAGTTCCGGATCAATTATGGAACCGCCGTCCGGGAATTCAATGCTACTTCGCGAGCGGCTGGACACATGTGAGTACCGCTCCCCGCACCAAGGGGGTTTCGGAGAGGTCAATCATCCTCACCATGGGCGTCTTGGCCCCTTCTTACTCCACATTCTATACCCTTGTCTCCCCGTGGGGAATCTTTCTGCCAGGCACTAGCTATCTGGTAGCGATTTAGGAACAATATACCCGGCTGATTATCTATGGTGGCGGGAGCCTGCCCTCACTTCGGCAGTCAAGTCATCATGGTTTGGAAAGTCTGCCTAAGTAGGCTTGGCGTCAGGCATAAGAGTGCCCCGAAAGTCAGAACGGGAATTTCTCCCTTTCATTCCGAGGTATGCTGGCATTTAGAGATAGGTTACCTTCAACCAAATGACCACTCTGGGAGCTGCATATGTGACACAACTTGAAGACGTTGGGAAGTCTGCTCTTTCGGGACGGCCTTATGCAGTGAGGTTCTTGGTGAATATCATTCGCAACTGGTATCGTGTCTTTTCCGCATATATCCGAAAACACATGTACCGTGCATAATGAAATGAGAACTGTTTTGCATAGCATTGTGCACATTGAGAACCCAGTGACTCAAGCGATTTCAGAGCACCCACTTCCGAGCAGAAATCTTATCTTTCAAGAACCTCCGTATACCAGCTCTTGCGACGGCTTCAATGTCCATCTCACAAAGACGCACGAGGCAATCCATCTTCTTTCCAGGAAGGACTTTGGGGGCGTCAACCAACTCACATTGCGTCTGGATCTGGGCATGAAATCTTAGCCACTAAACCTCTGCCAATGGAGATAGGATCTCGATCTGATCAACTTGATGACATCGAAAAAGCACCAGTGGGCTATTTCTTGGAGATACAAAAAGTGAAGTTTGATGAAATTGCCGCTCCACGACAAGCAAGCAAGACTTCTGAGGCAGTTGGAAATTCTCCCGACAAGGTCGAGAGAGACGGGCAGCACATGGACGAGGAAGAGAGCGAGATCGGTTTGAAACTCGCAATGGAAAGTCCGGAGTGTCTATTTAACCACCTGGGCATGGACGGCCTTTCCTTCACAGTGCTGTCGAGATTTCAGATGAAAACAGCCTCGCTACACTGCCAGCCGAGATGGCACATGTGCAGTCGAACGCCCTTGTCCAATCCTGGCTGGACGCACCAGCAGAGCTAAATCACTCGTCGAAGGAATCAACATCAACACGAAAAAGGTTCACGGGGAATCCATCGGAATAAGACCCTAGAAATACCACAGCACTCATGTTCGCTGCAACCAAGAAGCTGAAGATTGTGGCTAAGGCCACCCTTGGGCGCGTTAAACGGTGACTCCATCAACGAAGTCAATGGCGAACTCTTAGAAGGCGGAACTGCGCTGAATTATGCCCGTGATCTGGGAACAGTTGCTATTTGGGTTGAGAGAAAGATTGCAACCCACTGACAAGAATCCTTGATGGCAGGACTGCGCTGCATGTAGCAATCGACCTGAAGAATCAGAGAATTGCCCGATATCTACTAGTAGTAGAGCTCACAAGGCATTGTCAAGTGAAAGCAAGTCATTTTGACAACGGCCATATGTCCCTTCTTGCCACAGTATGCAAAGTCATATTTTTTGTCAGTATTTTCTGAGGCTTTTGCCAAATGCCCACATTTTATTAACATAGAGCATGATAAATACTGTAAGGCTCTACTTTCTTGGGCTTATAATTATGGACACCCTGATTGTCTAACTGTTGGTAGTCTACATATGTAGCCCGTCCGAGAACATTAAAATCAGAACGAAGGAGCATCTTCTTTGCGGCCGAGGTGTGTAGGCATCCGTTCAGCGATGGTTTTCTTCAGATGCCAGGGTCAAATTGATATAGAACCCTGCTTCATGTTGACCTTAAACGTTGATCAGGTTTTATGAGCGCTCTCGTACCCTTGGGTAGTATGTCCGTTGATGGTGGCTGCGAGGAAAGGCATATCTTGACTCCAAGAACATTCTCTCCCGTAATGGTAAAGTGGCGGATAATTCATCTCAGTTGATTCAATTAGGTCGGCAGGCCTGTCTCCATGTATCCTGTCGTGACAGGCGTTGCGGCATTCCGGCTGTCTAGCCTTGGAATACACATGGTGAGGCACGCAGTGGGCGACCGCTATATCTCTCGCCGAGAAATGTTGGACTTTGATGAGAGGGACTATAAATTAGATAAAGGTATTGCCCCGTAATTGAAACCCACCACTCCCTCGGCTATGGAAGAAGACGAAGTGCTCGCAGAGGATACAGCGATGCGCCTGCCGATGATGCCATCACCGCCGACCTGGAGAAGGAGCTGTTGCTCCAGCCTTTTCTCGACCGGTGTGGCTGAGCTGCCATGTCTGGGAATGGTGAAGCTCTCCAGTTCCTTGCACTCGGCACGGGGGACTGTCAAGTCTCCGGTTGAGCTTGGCTCATGGTCAGCGGGTCCCGCAGAGTCTCTGCCAGGTGGCACACTCACAAGATAGTCAAATTCAGGTCGTGATGCATGCAGCTGGTTATGGATGGGGTAAATCGAACATGCGTAGCCACAGGGCTCCTGTGGTCATTTGCGTTGAAGAAAAGGAGCTGGCCGGCCAAGCTCGCTGGGTCTGGTTCCTGGGCGACGCCGCTGTCCTCGACCACAGCGAGAGCCCCGTAGCGTTTGGGGTCCTGTAGGTCTCTCTCACTTCCGCCACACATCGTGACTGATCTGGCGGAGTAATGATGATTTGCTTGTGACAGACCTCGAGACAAAGATCAAGGAAAGCCTGGACTCAATGTATGTCCTCTCCAACTGCAGGGGTTTGGTAGTAAAAGGCCGGGTCATGATTTCGTTTCAATTTTGGAATTATGACCTGGCGGTCAAAATGTACAAGTATCTCGGTTCTTCTGTCTTTTTAGTCTACACTTGAGCGGTCAGTTTGCGGGCAGGTTGAATCCGGGCAGCCATCCGGGTGCGCACTGGTCCGCACCAAGCGAAGAACGTGCTTGTTGCACCCCTGAGGACCCTTTTGTCCACCCAGGAAAAGGTTGGGTGGGGCACAAGCACGTATATGCCATTGTGGCCAAGACTTCCACAACCTCAAGATATTGAGCAAGTTTCCTTGGGTGCCACATTGTCTTGAGCAAGTTTCGTGGGGCTTCTCACCACTGCCCAAATACAGGCTCATCATAGTGGGCACCCAGGTACCCAAGTACTTAAGTACTTGGGTACGGAGTACAACCATGTCCGCCACATTCGGGTTAGGGGGGAACGCTCGGACTCTGGAATGCACGTGGCGTGTCCAACAGGGCGTGCGTTTCTCCTCTCGTTGACATGCTCGGCCGTCCATTTACGCGTTTGGCTGGCATCGTCACAACCACACACCCTCTGGGCGTCTCTTTGCAACCCCTGGCAGCCCTGGCCCCTCTGACAATATGGCCGAATCTCCTATCAGGGACAAAGATATGGCCTCGGGGTCTTCGCCCTCGACCGCCTTGTTCACCAGCCCCGGAGATGACCAAGATAGTGCCAATGGGAGCCCTCGTGCCGCGAGTCCTGCTGCTGCGAGCCCCCGTGCGGCCAACCGCCAGCCCGCTCCACCGAGGATGCTTCCTCCTCCTCATGGACGGCGGTTCCCCACTGAGGAAACTGCCGAGGCATTCCTCAAGCACTTCTCGATCAGTGCAGGCTACAAGATTGTCCGCAAGCGAAGCGCTGGCAAGGGCAAAGACGGCAAGATCATCGCTTACGAGTGTCATCTCAGCGGCCACCCCCGTGGTGGTAGAACAAAGAAGATTGGCTGTCCCTTTCGCATCAGTCTCGACTGTCTGAAAAGAACAAACTACGAATATGAGATCAACTCTATGGGCGTCCGCCAGCACAACCACGGCCCGGACGTCAAGGACCGTAAGTACAGAATATCTAGATACTTGTATGACACCACCTTCCAGCGAGCCGAGCACACCATTGCTTTGCTTTGTAACGGCTCTCCCAATCCGAGGCCATTCCAGCAGGGCCAGCTGCGATTCGGGCTTGGCGTGACCCGTTATGTACCTGGTGTTGGGTCATGCACCATCCATGCCATGAGCAAGTTGAGAGGACCCGGATGGCCCCAGAGTCCAAAGCTACCCAGACTCCTTCGACGCCGCACATCTGCTCGCTCCTCTCAAGTGCTCTTGTCTCCTCCCTGTTCCCTTCCGTCATTCTCACCGTGCACTGTTACCTCCTCTGCTCCTCAGGCGCAAAGGCACTACTTGTTTGAGGTCTTTCTATCCGTGACAAGCTCTTGTAAAATAGAGAAGAAAGGCTGAATAGGTCTCAACAGCTCCTAGACCAAGACGTCCTCCTCCACCCCAACGTCTCACAATAACAATGTCTGTGAACACCTACTTTCTGCCGGCCCTGCCGTATGCCTACGATGTGAGTGGCAGATCAATTCTTCTACAGTGATCTCTTGCCTTTTTCCAAATATACTCCGTTCCACCCTTAGCCTCCTGGGCTTCATGTTTGATATGATTGTCACAAGTATGGAAAACTAAGACAGCGTCGGCGACAAAGGCCCTCGAGCCCAGCATCTCCAAGCAGATCATGGAGCTTCACCACTCGAAGCACCACCAGGCCTACGTCACAAACCTCAACAAGGCCCTCTTCGACCTAGCGGCCGCCGTCCAGACCAACGACATCGACAAGCAGATCACATTACAGTCAGCCATCAACTTCAACGGCGGCGGCCACATCAACCACTCCCTGTTCTGGCAGAACCTGGCCCCCGCGTCCAGCCCGGAGGCGTCGCGGCCTGACGAGTCGGCGCCGTCCCTCCTTGCCGAGATTGCGCAGACCTGGGGCAGCCTGGATGCCTTCAAGCAGTCATTCTCTGCCAAGCTGCTGACCATCCAGGGCAGCGGCTGGGGCTGGCTCGTCAAGGTCGCGGGGCCTGGAGACAGGAAGCCCCTCCAGATCGTGACGACAAAGGATCAGGACCCCGTGCCTAACAGCTTCGTCCCTGTTCTTGGCGTGGACATGTGGGAACACGCCTACTACTTGCAGGTGAGCAGTCATTCATCCACAACCATCATCATTTTCGAGTCTGGTCTCCTAGGCAGTCTCGATCTGCCCGGTGGATTTCATCTAACCCTCTCGTGGCAGTATCTTAACGGCAAGGCGGCGTACGTGGAGAATATCTGGAAGATCATCAACTGGCGGACGGCCGAGGAGAGGTTTCTCGGCGCCCGCGCAGATGCCTTCAAGGTGCTTCAGGCCTCTTTGGGCTCCGGCCAGTCTCTATGATCCGGCTCTTCTTCACTTGTTGCTGAGTGCTGTGGCCAGACGTACGTCAGAGATGTGTTTTAGGCTCGATTCAGCCATTGCGGCATTTGTGCCGATGAAGGCTTCCTTCTCTGGACGGGGATCAGTGAGAGGATCGACGGTGGAAAAAGTCCACAGCATGAACGTGACAGTTTTCAGAACCCTGCATTAAACAAGGTCTTCTGTAGCAGAGCCAATGTATTGAGGCGCTTCATGTACTACAGAACTCCGGCGCAACTGTGTACTATCATCAAGCTCTTCACTTGTACACATGACCATCTGTTTTGAAAATCGAATTGAATGTGCCTGTCTCAAACCCCTGAGATCTCTTTAGTTTCGGCCCCCTCTCTGATGCTCTGTCTACTATGCGGGTCTCTAGTACACTATACAGCGCCCTATCTACTATGCGGGTCTCTAGTACACTACACAGCGCCCTGTCTACTATGCGGGTCTGTAGCACACTACACAGCGCCCTGTCTACTATGCGGGTCTGTAGCACACTACACAGCGCCCTGTCTACTATGCGGGTCTGTAGCACACTACACAGCGCCCTGTCTACTATGCGGGTCTGTAGCACACTACACAGCGCCCAGAGTACTTCTCTACCCAAGTCTTTCTCTGCTGAGTGCAGCTGCTTGTAAGCTTGAGATGCCCACTTTTATTTAGTGTTGCCAGTCTCGAATTCTGATGCCTCCAACTACATATCATTTACATCATCGAGGCGGACAGACTCAACTTGCTCTCCAAGCTTTGTGAACGGTTGGAAGCACACAACTTGGGTTATGAAAACCCGGAATCTTGTACTGTTGAACATGGTGGTCAAGGCTGAGTGCATCTCTAGTTTCGCAACTTTCACATTGGTCTTTGTTGCGTGGAGTGCTGTTGTTCCCTGGTCCTAGTTCTGGAGGGCCTGCCAGCTTCGCTACAGACCAGTCTAAATTTGTAATACCTAATTACATAGGTGTGATTTAAGTAATATAATGATGTGATCTCATTTTCTCAGTTGTTCTCATTGTTTGCAATGCAAGCTGAGCCTTGTGAGGAGCTGTGTGGGCACTGTTTGCTAGTCCACACGTGCCGAGCAAAATCACGACTCCAAGCTTTGACTGACTTAGGTAGGAACTATGGATCGTGAGATCACCTGGGTACCTGGGTACAGCCTGTGGGGCCAGGCCCTACACACCAGAACGACATTGGCCCATTTCAGTAGCTCCCTGGTGACCAAGCACCCACCTGTTCAGACCTCCGGGCCCGTCTTCCAAGAAACCCACCCACCACAATTCCAAATTTGCAAAAACCGGTTGCCACGGAGTTTTCAAAATACTTGTGCGGAACCAGATCTCTCCCATGAAGCAAACCCGATCGACCCAGAGCCCTCGAAGACGGTAGACACCACCAGCCAACCGGCCCCAGCTGTCGGCGGTAAGTGATGCCCTCCCCTTTCCTCTCCTACAGAAAGGAACCGTGGCAAAGGTGGTTTGGAGAAGATCCCACATCACTGGCCTCGCCCTGAAGTTACGAAACACCACAGATCACGTCCACACACGCTCGCACCTGGGAGGATTTGCCACAGCTGACACGCTCCACGAGCAGACTGCCCGACTTCCTCCACCAACTTCCTCTATCAACTTCCTCAATCACAGCCGTACTCTACACAGGATCAGTAGAATCACTCTGATCCCATACCAGCACTCATCAAGCCCCATCATCACTTTGTGAACGCTTCACAGGTTCAGCCTACACCCTTCACGATGTCTGCGTCACAGCCCGCCCCAGCGCCCCAAGCGCCCCAGCAGGGAGATAACAATGCTCGTATCTCGCAGGCCTTGCAGGCCATCTGGCGCAACCACTGGGGTAATATCATCGACCTTTTCGCGCCAAACCTTGCCGCATCCCTTCGAGACCAGGTTCTCAACGAGCTCACCGCCAAGCGGTATGAGTGGTCAGGGAACCAGTTTTACCGAGGTGTGATCGGGATTGACAAGATCAAGGAGGCGGACCTTCGAAAATTAAAGCAGTGGATGTACGGTGATCAGGACACGACCGATGCGACCTGGCGAGACACCCTACTCGGCAAGCCCGAGGAGGAGAGAAAGGTACCATGGGTAGCCAGAGAGAAGCTGGTTGCTCTTAATGTCTTCTTTGCGGCTATGAAGGCAGACCACAACGGTCGCACTGGCAGAGTGCAGAGCAAGTCCTCATTCATCGACCAATGCAAGCTCAACTTTCTGCTGTCCCCTGAAGTTGAGGTCGACGAGGATCCCTACTGGGCTGGCTTCCTTGAAGAGGTTGCTAAAGACCCTGACCAGACCAACCTCTATGACACCGTCGTCGAACAGATGCGCATCAAGGAAGAGGATGCAATGATGGAAGAGGACCTGGAGGGTGAGGATATCAAGATGGAGGAGGACGTCGAGGACGTCAAGATGGAGTCGCTAGAGGAGGCGGTGCGTCGCCTTCAGCAGGAGAACGACGCGCTGCGCCGTGAGATTAAATCAAGGGAGTAGCGACCTTCCACGACTGGATTGCATTTCAGTCAATCGCTGTGGGGCGAGTTTCGAAACAACCATGAGAGGGGGGCAGACCGAGTTGCAACTGTCCCATCTACTTGGGGTTTCACGGCGAGTACACGAGTTGAGGAAACACCGACTGAGGTGACAGCATGGGTCGATCTCTTGCGCGAGGGCAAATCCTTTTCTCATTATCAGTCTGTGTTTACGGGAGGAATCACGGCAGGAGTTCTTGCGGCAGGAGTTCTTACGGCAATTCGTACGGCACGAGTTCTTACGGCACGAGTTCTTACAGCACGAGGTTTTACGGCACGAGTTCGTACGGCACGAGTTCGTACGGCACGAGTTCTTACGGCAGGATCGCTCACGGCAGGAGTTCTTGCGGCCGGATACCGCGTTGGAGGGTATCATGCAGATGGTTTTCTCATAAAAGGCCCATCAAATTGGGAAGTAATGGCAGTTTCATCACATGGATGTGATGATGTGATCGGGCAATGAACCCCCGAGTGGACACTGAAGAATGTAAAATTAGCTTCTCGTAACTTTCAAACAATTCATACGAGTTCAGTCACACCGCTGTAGTCTCTAGTAGAAGCCCTCGAAGGTATCGATCTTCTCCTTCCCAACCTCCTTCACAGCCTCGGCAATGATGTCCTCTCCCCCAACAACGTCAAATGCAAGCCCAACGGTCTCATCATTCTTGATGACCTCAACAACAACCCTGGCGACGTCCTGCCTCTTGATCATCCTTCCCAGATGCACCTTCCCAGCGCTCACAAACCCATCCCCAGGGTCATTGCTCAGCCCTCCCGGCCTCACCATGGTGTAGTGCAGCCCCCTCTTGTCATTGCCCGTCCTCAGCTCCTTGTCAGCCTCAAACTTGGCCTTCATAAAGTCCGCGATACCTTTCCACACGCCATCGCTCTGCTTCCTGTCATCATCATTGTACCAGTCCGGCACGGGCCTGTTCTCCCGGTCCCGCAGGTCCAGCGCGCTGATGCTCACGAGCCTCTTTCCCGCGTCGCCGGCCTGCGACGAGATGCCCAGGGCGTCGAAGATCTTGACGGCGGCCCTGTGGTCCACGGCGTCGATGCGGTCGGGCGGGGAGCCGTAGCCCGCGCCGGCGGCCCAGACGACCACGTCGGGCTTCACGCGGCTCAGGGTCCCCAGGAGCTCGGGCACGGTGGCCTTCTCGACGTCCTGGACGATGGGCTGCGTCCCGAGCTTCTGCAGCTCGCCTGACTGGTCCGGGTTGCGGATGAGGCTGTAGACGGTGTATGCTGTGGGCTCCTTCTCCGCTACGAGGATCTTGGTGATCTCCAGGGCCACCTTGCCGTGGCCGCCCACGATGAGTACGGTCTTCATGGTCAATTGAGTCTCTTGCTTGTGTCAGCTTGGCTAGAGAGTGAGGGGATTTGAGAATGCTGTGCAATCTGTGGATACGGAGCAGAGAACACTACTATGTAGTTGATGAACTGCTGTGAATGCCGGGATGTTCGTAGAGGCCGAGAGCTTGGGGAGTGATGTCACTGACTCCACAGGTAGTCACCTAACGTGGTCGAATTTGAGACCTTGTCTGACTTTAGGATTAGATGTAGTAACCCGCACCGAGGATGGCTTCTTGCAAATGCTTTGTCTCCTGTAAGGCATCCTGGACTTCATTGTGTCCAGCAGCACTGGGTCGATACAAGGTGCCCAGGCCTTCCAATGGATGAAGATAGCGCTGTACATAGAAACAGAGACGCCAAGCGCTCCGTTTCAAACAACGTCAACTCTGCATGGCTACAGTATGTTTTGCTGGGACCCAGTGTAATCCACGCCTAGTCTTACGATGTGGGACAGATTCGGATCTGACCAAGATGGATTGCCGGGACCCACGAGCCTAATGCCACCACCTGCCCAGGTGGGCACGTCTCGCATCAGAAAAGCCAACAATGGCAGGCATAATGTCCAATAGACGCGTGTAGGTGAGTTGTTCCAGAGGTTGCAGCCTGCGACGACTTGTTTCAGGAGCTGTTGCAACCCACCTAATTGTTAACTAAATCAGGCTGCCGTCCTGTGGGAATCAATCCCATCTTAATCGTCAGCGACAGTTGCTGGCCACAATGCCGTGTCTCCTTCATGCGGGTCACGATATAGATGCATTTGCGAAACTTGGCACGCCAGTACAAGTGTTGTTTCATGAGAAGAGCATTTCTTTCTCGGTCCTCGTTCACACTGGCTGTTGAATGAGGCCAACAACAAACTTCTCTAAATACGAGTGTGGCTTCGCCTGTGGGTGCCTATTCCCAAGGATGCTGATTCGTTGGCCATATTCTGACCGCAGCGGGGCCCTCGAATCACTGCACCCCCTGCATGTGCTAATGAGCCGTCACTAATTTTGTGGCGCAGGTTAAAGAAACTTGATGGTCGTTTCGAGCTACCAACAGCAACTTGGGAACATTTTATCTTCTCGTCGTCCGCCGCCATCGAAACTACCTAGTTACTCATGGTGCTCCTCGAGCCAACAGAGTCATGGACTCCGTGAGCCTCGCCCAGCTCGAGCGCCCACGCCAGCTGTACAAGAACCTGTCTCCAAACAAGAGGGTTATCCGACTCTTACGGCTGCTGCCCGGCCGGCCGGAAGAACCCAGAATATGCTGCGAGCTACACGAACGTTCCTTGTTGGATGCCGTGGGGCGTTACAAAGCACTCTCCTACGTCTGGGGTCGGGAATACATAGGGTACGCAGACGACGAGCATGCCGTGTATTGCAACGGTATCAAGGTCCGCGTCACGCTGAACTTGTATTCGGCTCTCCACAGTCTAAGGGATGTCACGGCCATCTCGACGATGTGGATCGATTCCCTCTGCATCGACCAGTCGAACGAGAGAGAGCGCTCCCATCAGGTCGGAATTATGCGCGACATATATGCGTACAGCACGGAGGTGATCATTTGGCTCGGGACAGGCGGGCCGGAGACTACCAAGACTGAGTGGGGCGACATTCGCTTCTTCGGCGATGAAAGAGACACGCCCAAGATTGATTCACACCTTGGAAAACTTTGGAGGGGACAACTGGAGCTGCCAGACGATAGCCAGGATATCTTCGGGGCGTTTTGTGTTTTTTCAATGTTGGCCCAGGGACTCCCCGCCTCCAGGATCTGGTACCTCAAGAACTTGACCTATTCTGCCCCAATAGTTCGTGGGATTATGGCTCTACTGGTCGAGCCTTGGGTATGTACATCATTCTCTAAGGGCCGGCCGTACGGGTGGTACTGATGCCTCTTGACTTCGCAGTGGAGCCGAATTTGGGTGGTCCAGGAAACTGTGGTGTCGACCCATGCCCTCGTCTACTACAAAAACATATCTATGCCGTGGCATGCTTTTTCGAGAGCGTCTCTGTGTTATGTATCGGGCAAGTTCACCGAGCAGCTGGGGTCTGCGCCCTCTCAGACATATGGTCCTGCCCTGGCCAATTTTCACCAACTGGTCGACGCGATCGACATGCCTAGAAGAGCCTGGAACCATTTCGATCCATCTTCACTCCTTCCGCTCTTGAGAAAGTTCCGCACTAGATACGCAAGCGACCAGCGAGATAAAGTCTTTGCCCTGATCGGCTTGGTCAGTCTCTGGGGCCAAGACCAGCCCCTGGCCCCCGATTACGAAAAGCGGCTGAGCAGGGTGTACTGGGAAACGACAAGGCACCTCATACGGAGCTCCGGGTCACTCGCAGTGCTTGCTGGCACCACTGCCAGTGCTGCACAAATCAATGCCGGCTTCCCGACCTGGTTGACGGACTGGAGCTACCGGCCTGCTTCTAACGAGGCAGACCGACTCAACAGCCACCGCTTTTACCAAGCGTCTGGAGGATCAATGGACGGTGTTAGCGTTCATGGTCAGACACTCCTTGAGACAAAAGGGTACTGTCTCGACACTATCGACACTGTACAAGGCTTCAACGATTCTCTGGGAGAAAATCTAGACGCATGGTTTCTGGAATGGGAGCCTTTCTTCTCTCAGCCTCAATACAAACATGGGGGAACGGTGCGAGACGCCTTCTGGAGAACCATGTGTGGCGATGTGATATACGTTCCCGAGGCGAGGACTGAGCGGGACAAGTTCAGAAGAGCAAGGGCCTCAGACGTTAAGGCCTTTGAGCATTGGCGTCGAGTTGACAAGTCTGCGAACCGCCGGACCTCGATCATTGGCGGCACGTGGCAAGACTTGGTGAGCCCCGAGCAGCAGGCGGCTCACAAGATACGCAACGACTTTAAGCTGGCGGTCGAGTGCGCCTCAAAGGGGAGGCACTTCTTCATCACGACGGGGGGGCGATTAGGCACTGGCCCGCCAACTCTGAAACAGGGTGACTCCGTATATATAATGCACGGTAGTAATGTCCCCCTGATCCTGCGCAAGACACTCACGTCCAGGCAGTGCCGAGGCAAGGTCGTGGAGAAACTGGTGCCCTCCACTAATGAGGCCGAGGCCATGGGACGCACGGCGGACCAGGAGGGCGCGAACAGGGCGGCTTATCGAGAAGTGTCGAGGTTCTCAAGGTGCAGTGAGGTTCATAAAGAGTGTTACAGACTCATTGGTGACGCGTATGTCCATGGAGTCATGGATGGAAACAAGATCTTGGATTGCGTGAGGACGATCGAGACTGTCTATCTTGTATGATGGTCCGGGAGCATGACGTACCAGTAGCAAGGTGGCTTCAATGAAAGTTAAAACCACAAACTTGAAGTAGGCCAAAGCCGTCTACCTACAAACGGACCCCAAGGCTCTTGTGCCCGCTGTTTTGAAATAATGAAAAAACTGCAGCTGCATGCCCAATGCCTCTGCACAGAACCATCCAGCTTCTTGTGTTGAGCACGACCGCGCAAGTACCACTTCGATCTCAATTGTGACTTGTGTTCACTCAGCAACAATTCTGCATACTTGGGTGATCAACCGGCTCGTGTTCCAGCTGTACGACGGCCGACTTCCAGCCGGTCAAAATTTCAGCCTGATTGAGTTGCCCTCCTGTTCCCTCGTTCACTTCAACAAGATTTTGCCCAAGTGTCAACACTTACTTTACGCCTTCAACGCTGCCTTATCAGCCTGAGGCTGTGAGCTTGCAGTACCTCCACCGTACCCTAGGGTACTTCAGTCACCGTTCAATGGTCCAGAAGCAACCAAGCAAACGACCAAAACCAAATCTTCGTCCGTCTCACTCGACGGTGATACAATGCGCTTGCCTTGAGCGATCTCCCCCATCAACTTCCACCCTGGTCAGCAAGTAGCTACAGCCTGCAGCGTCTGGAGCTGTCAAACAGCGGGGCGCCTCTCCAGAGTGAGTCCAAACACCTCCCAATAACAGACTCGCCCTAGTCTGCCCAGCGACCACGAAATCTTTTAACGAGGTTCAACCAACTCATACATCCTTGCTCTAGTATCGCTTGGCATACCCAACCTCATCGCCGTTAAGGCACACCAAGATGGCCGACGATGGCATCACGGACGAGGCCGGCACGGGACAAAAGCAGCTTGTCATCTCAAGCGGAAATACGGTGAGTTTTCTACCAAGGGCTGACACCCATCGCGAGTCCTGCACGTTTCAGCTGTTGAGGTTGCTGACGATATCTTTCGATTGAAAAAGGCATTCGAGTTCCTCAAGCTGCCCCCCGAGATCCGCAACAAAATCTATTGGAATGCTCTGGTAAAGAATCACGACTGTCACTTTTTCTTCCAGCCACCGCTCACTCGCGTCAACAAACAAATCCGCTCTGAGTCGCTCCCGGTACTCTATGGCAACAACAAGTTCAGCGTTTGCCTTTTCGAGGGTTTCCTCTCTGACTTTCCGTGGAAATTCCCAGAACTTCGAAAGCGCTGGGACACACCGCCGCAGATACCGGCGGTGTCCACTGTGTCAAGCTTTGCCTACATCACCAGGCTTGATATCAGACATGAGTTCTGGGATGGAGAATACCCAGGGAGCTGTGTCTTCATCGACGTCTGCATGAGGGACAAGGAGCCAAACTGCCCTGGTTTGCAAAATCATCGCAAGAGGGACATGAAGCCAGTCTGCGCTGGTTTGCGTAATCGTCTCATGATTAGGCGACCTGAATCGGGTTGGGAGTCCCGTGTAGAGATTGTCTCGATCTGCATTCACCTCTTGTCGCACAGCGCAAGCTTGTTGGAGTGGCATGGGGACAATCCCTTGTTTCAACCGGTCTTGGACTATATGGTGGAGGTGATGGAATCCTTGTTCTTCATCGCAGAGAAGTGCCCTGCGGCGGCAAACTGGGTCTGGTTGGTGGTCGAGGCAAGTGATATCGACTATCCATACACTGAATACGATGATGTATTCGATGAGGACCTCTGGATTCCAATGTGGTTTTATCTAGAGGGCCACTATGATTCAGAGGGATACATTCCAGGAGAATCTGATTTTGAAGAGGGAGATGACTGAGCCATTTGGACATGATGACCATTGACAGGCTCATGTTTCGGGGCAGCGAGGGCCGATCTTGAAGCAAATGCTTCGTAGCAATTGATCGATCTAGTTTAGAGACAAATCGTCCTACTCAGGCTGCATGAGGAGACAGAGAGGCAGCTAGGTCGATGAGGGCTGCCCCAGTTCTCGGTGGCCTGCCCTCGGGTAGTTAGCTCTGACTTGCACTTCAATCACGCTAATACAGTCAGCTCCCAATCCTTCTTGAACGCAGTCCTGTTAGGATTTCTCAATAATTGTGCCTGTGGTTGCCTGCTTGCCAACTCTTTCGTTTCGTATATTCACATTCAACAGTCTCGAGTGCGAGCTGATTGTCTCTCTCGAAACTGGTTGCTCTTGGGTCCCGTGCGTACCAGTTCCGTACCAGGATAAGCTGGGCAAGTCTTGCACTAGAATCTCCTCTTCCGATCATCCTTGGGCCTGTCTGCCTGTAAGTCCAATTTCATGTGTACTTACTTATCTTGCAACTCATCTCATCACCAATTGCTAACATAGAACAAATGTAGCTCTCAAGACCGGCCTACTACCTAAAGGCAAATGCCCTCACCACTGTTGCCTTCACATGCGATTGGCTCTGATGTTAATTTGGGTGCTGCAACCCCAGGTTCTTCAACCAGGTTCACCCTTCCAATGTAAACCCACCAATCTCCATGTCTCTGGCCAACCAATCCTTGGCACCCTTCTTCAAGTAGCGGGCCCCTCAATGACTCAATGCAGACTTTCCAGGCAATCTCCTAGCGCATGGAACTCTGCCATCTAGTCTTGCCTAAATTGAGCACTCCTCCAGATCCAGAACAGGAAAGCTTGTCAGGGGGTCATCTTCCTGTCGGACAAATTTTGCCCATCCAGAATTCAGAGCTGCCACCACTATTCCTTTTGTAGCATGTCCCTGACGCGGAGAGAACTCGAAGTAGTAAGTGAGACTGCCCGAAAGCGATTGAAATCGGATGCTTCAATGCCGGCAGTTGCCTTCGCTTGGGTTGGTGCCCAGTTTTGTGGGTTGATTTTACCTTCAGTGGGATTCCGGATGCAGCAGGTGTGAAGTAGCGTTGCGGCCTAGGAGGAACAGACGTTGAACGTAACTGAGCCCATGAAACAACTATAAACCCAGGATTATATAGGTCTTCCCTATAGGCGCGGCTTGTTTTCATCCCCTAAACTAACGCCAGCGTCACATCAATGACAGCATTTCGGTGCCTTTCCGAAACGGAAGAATTCATATATCTGTTGTCGGAGAGACGTCGCCCTGGTCCTTCACCTCCACCCGTCCATCCGCCATTTTAAAGCAACCCCAAATTCCTACCATGCCCTACGTCTGTTCAGCAATTGAGTGAATAGGAGGACTGTAGTAGGCGGATACGGAGCGTCCAACTCCGATAATGTTCCCCTGAATCAGCTACGTAACGTAGTCACTGACATCAGTGGAGTTCAATATGCCCATTTCGAAGCCGAATGGTATCCTAAGTTTCTCATAATGATAAATACCTGCCAAGCCTGCCCAAAATTGTGGCGAGCTGCTCATGAGCTGTCACCGGTCTTTACTCAACCCAGCAGATACCCCATCATTTGACAGCCTCACTCATCTGATCCCCAAGTCTCTGTACTCACACAACCATGAAGTCTCTCTTGCTTGCCGTATTACCTGTTGCCTCTGCAGCGGCCATTGAGCCTCGCCAGGGCAACTACTTTAGCTTCGGCAACTTCTTCTCGACCGGCGGCGTCGCGGCCAACACGTTCATCCGCCGGGCCACCACCACGCTCGTCCTGCCGGCTCTGAACAGCCCCCACGATGGCAATCTTGGCCTGTGGCCCGGTATGGGCACCAAGTTCGACAGCGGAGCCGATGGCCACCTCGTCCAGGGTCTAGCCATCTCCACTGTGGGCTATGGGTAAGCTCGGATCGACTGGTGTACTGGTGTACTGCCTGGCTGTCATGTAACTCACACGCTCAGATCCCCATGCAACCTTGCTGCCAACGAGGTCAAGTGGTGCGTCGTTGCAAGCACATATGACGGTACGGCCCTCACTCAATTCCACGTGGAGCTCTAGAGATTCTCATCCATCCTCAGGAAACCAACATGATGGCACTCCCTACAAGGCCAACCCAGGCGATCGCGTCACATACGACTGTAAGTTCCGCCGGTGACTCTTTGAGCAGATGTCAGATAACTCACATCTCAGCAGACTTGGTCAACGGAGCAAACATTGACCAGACGGTCTCGGTCAATGGACAGGTCGTTTCGACCCTGTCCTGGCGTACGTATATCCTTCTCGAGCTTTGGAAACCATGGTCCTGACTCTTCTTGACACATAGCAAGCGGCAAGGGCGCAGGCTGGGGCACAGGTAAGTTGAACTTGTCCACATTAAAACCCATCTAGAGCCTGCCGGCTGATCATCTGTGTTCCAATAGCAATGGAGTGCCAGGCGGCCAAGTGTGGTACCGTCCCCGAGCACCACTACTACAACACAACAATCCTCATGGACGGCACCGACCCAAATTACAAGAACACCGTCTCGACCAATGGTGCTTCAGGAAGCCTGGTCACCAGTGACGGTGGCAAGACCTGGACCGCTGCTGACATCAAGATCAACCAGTACACTTGTAAGATCACTTTTCACCTTTTACGGATCCCCGTCTTTCATGTTTTGGAATGTTCTAGAACACAACACTTGAGGACCCGTAGCAGGACTAACTTCACCACTAGATGTTTAAAAGGTCGCTGGATGCCCGGGATATGTAGTGGTCAAGGGGTCTCTGTTTTTTTTGCTCCAAATGCACTCCTGAAGTGGCTCTGTTTTGGCAGAGAATTGTGTATAAGGCACTTATGGTAGGAACTGGCTGTATATAAGAAAACCAATGTACATCTTTGTGCCAATTGTGATAACCAGTATTTACCAATTTGCTGCCTAGGGTGCTAAACAAGGTGGACTTGCTTACTATGCGATTAGTATTCGGCTCCACGACCGTCCCTTAACCTACAAGTACCCTTGGTTCCGGGCTTCTGGCCTAGGTCTAATCTTTGGCTTACACATGAGCACCTCACAACATATTTGCACTTCTTATTATCTTACTGAACGGTCTCGGTGGTTCAGATCCGACTTTTGACCAGGCGACGCTGATAGTATGGGACCTTTGATCATCTAGAGACTCCCGCATCCTGTACACTAATAAATCATACTTTTCGTGCTTATCCGGCTTGATGTGGACGACCGCGAGGCGTTGTATCATGATCAAAGACCGACTGACGCTCCAGCCGTACATCGGGACTGCTGAAACTCGAGCTTGGGTCCCGGGGCAGACGGTTCAGCTGCAGAATAGTCTCCGTAGGCTACGCCAATTCAAGAGCAATGCTAAGAGTGAGCCGCATGCACCAACCCCGCCCGGCAAACTGACAACCACCATGTTTTAGATACGTACTGACTCGTCCATCTATCATGGATGAGACTCGGCCCTGCCAGCAAGTGAGGCTTCGGGACAACTAGTTGTTCATCTGTTTGGGAGAGAATTGTTTCCGATCGCGTCAAGTCACCGGTCAAAAAGCTGTGGCAGTTCTGAAGTCCCACACAATGGCGTCCCCAATCTTCACACTCGCCCTCTCCCTCCTCTCCATCCTACTCACCTACCGCTACCTCCTCTATCCCCTCCTAATATCACCACTGAGCAAGGTGCCCCCAGCCCACTGGACCGCGCCCATCTCGCCGCTATGGATCCTCTACACCCGCCGCCGCCGGAACGAGAACGCCACCATCCACGCCCTCCACCAGCGCCTAGGCCCGCTAGTCCGCCTCGGCCCCAACGAGATCTCGGTGAACTGCGTCGACGGCGGGGTGCGGACCATCTACGGCGGCGGGTTCGAGAAGGGCGACTGGTACGGCGTGTTCAACAACTACGGCAAGGCCAACATCTTCTCGTCGCTGCGGCGCGGGGAGCACAGCGCGCGCAAGCGCATGCTGAGCAACGTCTACGCCAAGTCGACGGTCCAGTCGAGCGCCGCGCTGCACGGCATCGCCGAGGCCGTGCTGTGCGGCCGCATGCTGCCCCGGCTGCACGAATCCGGGGACGCCGTCGAGGCGTACGAGCTCTTCTCGGGCGTGGCGATGGACGCCGTCACGGGGTACTGCTTCGGGCTGGCGCAGGGCAGCGACTTCACGCGGGACCCGGCGCGCTGCAGGGCGTGGGTCGTCGGCTACAAGGCGCGGCAGGCGTACATCTTCTGGCCGCAGGAGATGCCGCGGCTGACGGCGCTCGCGGGGCTGCTGGGGCTGAGGCGCTGGCTCGTCCCGCGGTGGGTCGACGCCGCCAACGACGGCATCGCGGCGTGGGTGCTGGGGCTGTGCGACGCGGCGGAGGCGGCCCGCGGCGGCAGGGACAGGGCGGACCCGAGGGACAGGGCGACCGTGTTCAACCAGCTGCGGGGCATGCTCAGGAAGTCCCGCGGCCGCGGCGACGACGCCCCGCTGGAAGGGGACGAGCGGCTCGAGATCGCATCCGAGCTCATGGATCAGGTGCTCGCCGGGTTCGACACCACGGGCATCACCATGACGTACCTGGCGTGGCAGCTGTCCAAGCCCGAGAACAGGGGCGTCCAGCGGGCGCTGCGGGAGGAGCTCAGGGCGGCCGGGGCGGTGTGGGCGGCGGCGGCGGCGGACGACGACAAGGGCGGACAAGAAGGAGGGGTGGCGGGCAGCCGTGGGCCAGCCAGCCCCAGCCCCGACTTCAAGACCCTCGACAGCCTGCCGCTGCTGCACGCCGTCGTGATGGAGTCCCTGCGGCTGCACGCCGCGATCCCGGGCTGCCAGCCGCGCGTCACGCCCCAGGGAGCAGTGCTGGGGCCGGCGGCGGCGGACTGGAGCGTCGGGGGCCTGCCCGCCGGCGTGCGCGTCAACTCGTACGCGTACGCGCTGCACCTCAACGCCGAGGTCTTCCCGCAGCCCGAGAGGTGGGACCCGTCGCGGTGGCTGGATGATGATGGTGCCCGCGGCGGCGGGGAGAAGGCGAGGTGGTTCTGGGCGTTTGGGAGCGGCGGGCGGATGTGCATTGGGTCCCACCTGGCTGTGGTGGATATGAAGAGTATCGTGGCTGCGATCTGGGGGAATTTTGAGACTGGGATTGTCGATGATGCTGGGATGATACCCAAAGGTGGGTATACGTGTGAGCCGTTGGGGTCACCCGAGGGCAACTATTTGTTGTTGAGCTTCACGCCAGCAGACGAGGTTGTGGCATCTTGATTAGCATTGATATGGATGCGGAAGAAATCTTGTACCTGGTCCGAAAATATATCGCAGGCAGGCAGGCACCGGGCATAATGAATCCAGTCGCATAGGTACTCATCGCATTTGGGGTATCTTAAAACGCTATACAACACACCTGGATGACTCTTCTCACTTCCCGACACGCTCGCGCATACCTTTAGTACGCAGCGTGAGCCTGCCAAAGTCCGCCTCGAAAGGCATGCCGACATCAGAGATCTCAGGCACCTTCGAGCCGTCATCCCCGGGCGCCTGACCACGCAGCTCCTTCATCTTCCTCCTCGCCTCGTCGCCCGCCGACCGCCCGCCGGCAGGCAGGTCGCTGTCGACGCTCCCGCGGCGGCTGGACATGACACTGTCTGCATCGTCGGGCACGCTTACCCCGCGGCTCCTCATGATGCCCGCGCGCAGGCCCCTGACGCCGCCCTTGGTCCGCTCGGGGAGCTCGTCGTTGCCCGCGCTGCAGACGTAGAGCAGGTACTTGAGGTTCGGCAGGGTGTGGCGGATGTCCATGACCTTGAGCCCCTGGGCGGCGCAGAGCGTCTCGATGTCCTTGTTGAGGATGAACCACCCGTAGTCGAAGCGGAACTGCGCCGCCGAGCCGCCCCGCGGCATGTACAGCGGGAAGTCGCGGGTCGAGTCCTGGATGATGGAGATGTCGTCCGTGATGTAGCTGCGGCTGCCGCAGTAGGTGATTGGGTACGGCAGCGGCACGCCCAGGTAGAACTGTAGGTGGTGTGTCAGCAGGGCGACGTGGCCCAGCGCCGCGGACAGGGCGTCCTCTTCTGCGCCGCTCACCACTGCGCTGCCGTAGTCCTCGGCGTTGGGGAGGGCGATGCCGAGGATCTGGAACTGCAGCGGTTTCCCGTTGGGCACGGGCTCGATCCTGAATATGGTGTTGAGGTCCTCGCAGATGCGGCGCCGCTGCCCGCGGATGTCATCCGTCACCTTGGCGGACCGTTGCTTGTCGGCAGAGAGCTTGTCCAGCGCGCTCTCCATGTCTTGGTCGGTCTTCTCCATAAGCGACCTGCCCTGAGCCATTTTCTCGCGACGGCTGGCAATGGACGCCTGCAACCTCTCGGCCTGATCTGACGAGTTCTTGACCGCCTTCTGCTCGGCAGACACAAACTTCTGAACCAAGTTTAACCTCTGCCCGGCCTGATCGAGCTCGGTCCGCTCGTCATGATTACCGGCGATCATGTCGTTGATCTGCTGCTTGAGTGTCTCCTGAGTGGCCATCGCATCTTGGATGGAGCGCTCGAGGGTGGACAGGCGCATGAGGGCATTGTAAGAGGACGTCGGCTGGGGCTGGCCCTGCCTCGGAGAGAAGGACTTTTGAGGCAGCTCGAGGGTATAGATGCCATCGGTGAGGTGGAAGACCAGGCAGTTGGGCGGGAAATGGGTCCCGATGGTGCTTCCGAGGAAGTTGAGGGCGCGCAGGTCCACGAGCTCTTCGAGGTGCAGCGACCATGTGCCATGCCGCCTCGCCCAGAGCCTGACCGTCACCTGGGGCAGCCGAAGGGTTGGGGAGCAGATATCCTGGGACAGCTCGAAGAACCGGAAATCAAAGTTCTGTGAGCCGCAGTGTCAGCACCCGCGGCAATTTCTTCCTGGCAGACATTGTGTCCAGGGGCGCAGGCGTACCACCGATCGTTCGACAAGTTCGCTGATATACACAGGCTCGTCCTCGTCCTCGGCATGCAGGGTGAAGAAGGAGTCGGCGACCCGGCCCTCGATCGTGAGCTCGAGCCTCCTCTGGCGCGTGACGGGGCTCGCGCTGCCGAGGTTTGTGCTCCTCCTCCGGGCAGTGGACGGGCGCAGGCTCTCGGTGGAGGCGGAGTGGTGCAGGCCGGCATGCTCGCGGAGGGAGGCGACCTTGTCGGGCGAGTGCTTAACCGCCGAGTCGTCGGCCGTCTTGCCCCTGGGGCGGTCGAAGCTCAGGTTGCGCAGGAAGATGCCGCGCAGGTGGCGGAGGCGGCGGTTCTGGGGCAGCAGGAGGGGTCGGGTCGTTTCTGCCATTGCCGTGGCGAGGGCAGCTTCGAGCAGCGAGGAACATCGATGGCAGGTGGATGCAGCGGCAAGCTATCAAGCTATCATCAATTGTCGTCACTGCGGTGGTAGAGTGGCCCAAGATGGAGCTCCCAATAATGCTAGTAAGCCTGAGCTGGGGCCATTGGAGAGCTCCCACTCAGTCCTGCGGGGGGAGTTGGGGAGTTCAGAGGAGCTAGCCCCTGGGGAGCTCTAGCGTCAGACCGTCACGTGTGGGTCCGCCAGGCCTTGTGGGGCTTCTGCTCTCAGGCCTGGGTTCGCATGGAGCTGTCTGTATCCATCTGGAGCAGGTTCATGAGCCCGACCATTCATTGTCTGGCATGTCTTTCACTTGTGTTTGATATTTACATGCTTATGTTTACATATCTTGTACATCTCTCAAATGACCCAGGCCATTGATCATACTGACCTGCATCTGACAGGTGATCCCAATGCATTGCTGGTGTGACCATTCCCGCCCAACACATGCCACCTCCTCCTGCAAAAGGACATGTGTCGTACGTCGCCGCTAGGATTCGACCCAGGGGCCGTTCTTCCGAGGCAGATTCCTCGCATTCGCCAGCCAGCGGTCTTCTCAAAACATCACGTCGAGACTCAAATCCCAACTACCGCACCTGTAATGTCGATTTTGCACGCGGTCGACAGGCTTGGTCTCCAGACGCGCCGTCAGCGTCGATACAGACAATATCGCTAGACCCATGTTGTGGACGTGGTGGCGCTTCAAGGCTGGGTCTAGCTCGCTCCCAAGTGGCCAGCTGGAACCGCATGTGGCGTGTGAGACTGTGGTGCCAATTTGGTGACCGACCGTTGGACTGCATCTTTTGCGCCTCATGAAATTTTTTTTCTTTCTTTTGAAACTCGGCTGCAGGGCTGCCTGCGAATCACCCAGGCTCCGTTGGGTGAGGCCTCTTGGACATGCGTATCTTCTTGCGCACCCTGCCCTCTCGGCACTCGCGCTGGCCTCTTCGTTGTATCCTCTCGGTCCTGAATGGCCATTAGCGAAAGAAACACAACCTCACTGGCCCGTCGCAACTTACTTGATCCGAGCTACAATCCTGATCTCCTGGAGGTGCGGATCATCCTCCCCGTTGTCGCCGCTGTTGACCTCCAGCTCCACCCGGAAAGGCGAGCTCGAATGCTTGGTGTTGGCGGCGGCGGCGGTGGCACCAGCGGCAGCGGCAGCACACTGCCCGCCGTCTTTCATGAGAATGTCTTCATGATGGCCACGGTTCTGGCATGACGGTGATGATGATAATGTCGAGTGCCCGTCGGTCGGCCACTTGTTGGAGAAGTGGTGGTGCTCATCCCCGCGCATCATGAATGCGATGCGCTCGTGCCGCTGCTGCTCGTGGCAGAAGAGCTCGAGGGGGGTCTCGAGCTTTTTCACTGCCGACTTTTGCGTGCAGGCCATGACTCCCGACAGCCCTCCCGACAACGTGACGGGGAGGTGGCTGGATCATCAGGTCAGCGTCGTGTAACGCGAAGAGCGGTCTTTTTGTAACCTGATGGGGCAATAATACGGGTGGGCTGCTCGGGCTTACCGCCAATCCTTATCCTGGGCTGCCTGGGCTGCCTGGGCTGCCTGGGCCCTCTCGCTCTCGCTCTCCTCCAGCCTAGTGGGCTCGACTTCGCGCCGGCCGCCGCCGTGTGCGGCGCCTTGCCGCCCTGTCTCAGTGCTCCGGTCACCCATCGCTCGCACAGCGTCCTCCCCGGAATACCTGCGCAGGACGGGACGCAGTGTCGAGGAGAGAGTGACTGGAGCACAACGTCTGCCTGTTGTTGCAGTTTCCACGAGAGCTGAGGCTGACAGAGTCTCACCCCGTCTGCGGGTGGGTCATTCTCCGCACGACCACGGGGGAAGAGCTGAGCGGAACTCAAAAAGAAGAGGACCCGACGCTCTGGGTGCCGATGTCTCTGTCGTGGGCGGGGGTTGGTCGAAAGGGCGATCCTCGAGCCGGGAGCTAATACACACAGACACACACACAACACGACACTATCAGCTTACGGAGTGGGGGGAGGATTTGCGTAGCGGGACCCGACAGTCTGGGTCGGCCTGCATGCAGGCTCGATGCAGGTAAGATCAATGGTTATGTGACCAGCCTGCGTCTCTCCCCCATCCCAGATTGGGTCGAGCGGTGGCGGCGCAGCAAGCTGAGCTGAAAAAAAAAAAAAAAAGAAGCATGGGAAAGAAAGAGAGGAGAGACGACGGGCAAAGAAGGAGGGTCAAACCCCGACAAGCAGCCGACAAGCAGGGCCGCCGAGACAATCAAGCTTGCAAGCCTACGGCAGTCCACGCTGGCCCATGCCGGATTCCCGGGATGGCGTCACAGCGTATGGATTCCTAGTGTCTTGGTCTCGCCCACGCCATGTAACGCTGTGTCTTCCTGCCCGACCCAGGCCAATGGGTGGTGCCGCTGTGCGCTGTCTGGCTGTCCGCACCGCCTCGGGCACGCACCGACCTGTTCTTTCTTTTGCCTTGGCCCTTGCAAGCCCCTCGTGCTCCGTACTGCGCGTGTGGACCCATGGTTGCGGCTCGTTTCTGCAGCCCGCGAGAAAGCGGCGTCGGTGTGTGTGCGCTGTCCCGCTGTCTATGCGCTATCACCCGCGCGTCACCTGTTGCGGACCGTCTCGCTACGGGGGAAAAGACGGACAAAGCAAGCATGCCTGGCATGCTGGTTCTAGATCCCGCCTGCTGCGCTAGATCAGCACCCCACGAAGCGGCCGGGACGCGGGATGGCCCTGCGCTGTGACAGCACGGGTGCGTGTTACTGCGTGATAATCACTCGTTTCCGTCAATGCTTCACCTGTCTGCCGCATGGGTGAGATCCTCCTGCACAAGGCTGCATCGTGGCGGATGCAGGACTGGCCAATCTACTCCCAATCGCCGGCCTGTTTTTTTGGTCTGTTTTTTGGCCATGCAACATGCAAGTAAAACAGGTAAAACAGGCAGGTCGTGTTGCCCCTGTGAACTATTTGGAAAACATTTTCCCACCCCGCCCCTTAATACGATACCCAGACGCTTATGCCACAACTAGCTGCATTTTGTTGTTGTTTTTTTCACTGACCACTGGTCCTCGGGCATTTCCCCGACAGCACTTGCATGGGTTCGCTGTTCTTAGCAGGTCGCCTTGCCCGGCCGAGGTACCAATTCTGTGCCCCTATCTATATCTCAGGAGAAGAAACATCAACGGACGCTAGTGGCATCATTGATATCAATAATGGGTTGAAATATAGAACAGTGGTAAAAGTACGAGGGATCCTCCATTAATGAGGCATGCATTCACTTATCACCCGTCAACCAACCCAACCCCTTTTACTACGTGGCTGAAAGTTCCTCCTCGGTCAGCAGCCTCGAAACGGCCTCGATATCCGCCGCCGTCGCATTCCTCTGATCAGCAGTGCCGTAATACTCAGCAGTCTGTATGACCCTGACGCCCGGGTTGGGCGCAATAACATCCGTCGGCCCACGGTGCGCCCTGCCCAGACCACCACCGGGCAGCGTGCCCAGCTTCGGGTAGTACGGCGCCTCGTTGTCGGTGAGCTGGATGTCCCTGCACGTCTCGAACCGCACCCTCTCAAAGTCCCGGAAGAAGCCATCATAGCGCGCGTCCATCGCCTGCGCGAGCGACACGAGCGCCGTGCCGTCGCCCGGGTCCAGCTGCGCCCAGGGGTCCCTGCACCGGTCCCCCTCGCACGACTTGGTCACCATGAGCAGCGCGTTCAGCCGGTTAGCGACCTGCCTCGCGGCCTCGGACTCGGGCCCGGACGGCGCCGAGGAGCCGGCGCCGCGCGCGAGGTTGGTCAGCTCGTACGGGTCCGCCGTGACGTTGTACAGCTCCGTCTCGCCGCTGCACCACACCGCGTACGCCCAGCTCTGCTCCTCGCCGACGGTGCGGATCGTCTTGTACGTGTTGTTGTAGAAGGGCGCGCCCAGCGACGCCGCGCTGGGCGCCTCGACCCCCACCAGGCCCCAGTACTCCACGTTGATGCTCTCCTTGCCGTTGCTGTTGCCCCTGCCGGCGTCGTTGTACGAGTTGGGCGCGTGCCACTGCCCCAGGAGGGAGCGGCCGTCGAAGAACGAGGGCCACCTGGACCTGTCGAGGCCCGCGATCTCGAGGAAGGTCGGCGCGAGGTCGAGGTGCAACCCTGGGGTTGTTGATGTCACGCCCTCTGGGACGCCGGGCCCGCGCACTACGAAGGGGATGTTGACGTCCTCGTTGTAGAAGAGGGACTTGCCGCCGGGCACGCGGTGCTGGCCGAGGTGGTAGCCATTGTCTGATGTGTAGATGACTGCAGCCGCGTTAGGGGTGAACATTTGGCTGTCTGGGAATTTCATGGCTTAAAAGACCTACTGTAGGTGTTGTTGAGGACTCCCTTCTCCTCGAGCATCGTGATGACGTCCTCAACAATCTCATCCACGCCCTGCAGGGCTTGGAGCCGCGACCTGTACACAAAGTCCGCGAAGTTGATTGCTGACTCGTTCATGGGCGATAGCCATCTTACCCATCCGGACTTCCCATCTTGATGCTCATCCGCCGGGTTGAAGTTGGGAGGGTGAGGCGCTGTAACATCTGCGAACTGGTTAAAATGTCGCTTCTGTGGAATCGGCCTGCAAACCTGATGTCAGTCCGTGAACAGGCGTTGGAGAAGTTCGAGGACAACTCAGACCTGTGCGAAGGTCCTTTTTGCTGGAAGGCAATGTGGGGCGTGAAAGGTGTAATCCCAAGGAAAAAAGGCTGAGAATGGTTGGTAAGATAGTCCAAGCGATCGAGCCTGGTGCCTGTCAGGATCGATCACGGATAGGCTTCCTCTCGAGGAATTTAATACTTACGCCTTGATTCGCGTGATATCAGTCTGGTGCCAGCCGGGGTAATATGTTGGGCGTTCGCCGTTCTTAGAGAACACGGGCACATTATAGCTATTTGATTCTTTGTCAGCAACTCTGTCTACCGACTCGAAACCTACCCTGCTACTGGACAGATGCTCGAAAGGGAACACTGGTGTTCGATATCGAATCAGTCAAAACATACTCATCAATGTAGGGTTCCAGCTGGCAACTAGTTAGCAACGGCTAAAGCCTCATGCACAATTTGCTGCATGCAGAAGTGGTGAACTCACAACACAGTCAGCATGGTCCCACCCTTTTAACGTGACATTGTAATTAGAGATTCCATAACCGTTCATTATTTTACCGACATCTGCAATCAAATCGTCGGTTAGTCACTGGCTTCCCCGCCTGCGAACACCAAAATACCTGCAGACTTACACTCCGTTCTGTACCCTGCCTCTTTCAGCCAGTGCGGCAGATAGTTCTCATCTTGGCCCGAGAGAACCCATTTGTTGTATGCGCCACTGCAAATTCCTTAGTAAGATTTTCTAGAGATACTACTACACCAAGAATACCACTTACCCCGGCTTAACCACGTTTGTGATGTTCGTGTTGTGCACCTGCTGCCCTCGGAGCAACGACGACCGGCTTGGGCAGCAGAGGGCTTGCGTGGTATAATGGTTGCTGAACTCCACACCCTTACCGACTAGCTCCCTCTGCACCACAGGCATATAGTCCAAGGAACCCAGCCGCTTGTCCTGGTCATCCGTCATGATAAACACGATGTTGGGGCCCGAGGCAGCCTGGGCACGGCCTGCACGCGTCAACAGGCCGGCAAGCAAGCCCACGGCCAGGATGACAGATGCAGACATTATGATTATGATGATCCAGGCCTTTTTGGATAACGACTTGCGAGTGCAGGCGGCAGGGGGTTCCTTGGGGGGCCCAATCTCCTGTGACGAGCTATCTTGGGGACCGGAGTCGTTGGGCTGTGCCGCTGCGTCCTCTTGTGCTAAAGGGCTTGCGGACCTGCCCGGTTCTGTCGACGCTGCCGCTGCTGGCCTGTTCCTCGAGAAGAAACCAGAGAACGTGCCGTAGCTGTTCTTAAATGCTTTGCCCACCTCCATCTTGGGCGCGGGCTTGGCTTTGCCGTATGGTGGTAGTAGTGCGCCCCCGGGTGATCTCCACTCGATATTGCTTTGTCGGCCGTGCTCTCTAGCCGACTGCTAGGCGATGGTGCGACTTGACGTGAGGAGTGCGGCACGCAATTCTGCAGGTTCGTGACGATGATACTGTAGGGTCAGGAAACATCGACACTCAAAGGTGAACAGGAGCCACATCAGAGTTTAGGGTGGATATCAGCTGTGGACCAAAATGATATCTACTGTAGATAGTCAGGGGACCGGGAGATCGACAGTGATCCCCCTGGTCAGGGTCCCCTTCGTTGGCTATACTCGAGACGCTCCTCTGACTGCGCGGTCTTCTGGCTTGTGATTTGTGGCTTACGGAATTAACGCCTGCCCCCATAGCCGCCCATGATTGGATTCGGATTGAGCATTTGCCTCGCGGCTCGTTTTGTGTTTCGAGATCGCTGAAAATTCAAGTGTACCCAGCCCGTCGGCCCAATCACTTACACGACAAAGGTTTGGAGGGCTTGCAGGCTCCCGAGGTCCCGAGCCGGGGAGCCACACTGCAATATCGAGCAACAAGCACAAGTCCCTGGCAGCTTGACGTTCTGGCCTGTCTAGCTTTAAGCCCTACTGCAGTTGGTGTCATCCTAGGCACGTCATCCAGGTCAGGTCGGCAGTCGACTTAGGGATCGACACAACCCCGCCGCCGTTGGTGGGGAAATGACATGGTTTGTAGCGAGTCAAACATAAGTGAAAGAGACCGACTTCCAGTGTGTTTCTGGGGGGTGTGGGGTGTCACTGGGCACCTCTGGAATAAAAGCCTGCTGTGCACGAAATAGATTCGAACGGGGATGCGGGTGTCAGCCAAGGTATGGTCGTCTTATGCTGTGGTGCCTAAACCGCGGAGTCTACCTAAGTAGGTACCCAGGTTGGTGTCCGTCATGCTCAAGAAGCCTATCATATTGGCATTCCTAGGTAATATTGTTGTCACATAGCACTTGAGCATTCTCAGCAAAAGACCGAATATTTCTAAACACATTAAAATCATTACTTCACGTTCTTCATGGTACAATCCAGACAAAGCAGTGACTGGTTATATGTCTCTTGTGTGGCCGGAAGTTGGGGAAATCGTTGAATGCTCAAGTCTCCGGCGACGCCGTTCCTGTGCACCTGTGCACAATCGTCAACCAGGCTGGTCTTGAGTCACCGACAATTTGAAACACTTGCGCACACACACGGCGTCGACCTCGAAGCGACGAAGCGAAGGTCTGATTTCTTGATACCAAAAATTTCTAAATCACCACTGCGAAACCGAATAAAAGAAACTGTCCCACTTGAACTAGAAGCAAAAATCGAAACATCCGCCAGTGGTCTCAGCTCACCAACATCTCAGGGCGACCCCTGAACCTGGCCGATGACGGTGCCGATAAGGTTCTCCGCGATCATCGCACCAGGCCAGCTGAACCAGGTCTTGGAGGTGCACAATCCCGTCTCGATATCCACGGCCTCGGAGAACGTTCCATCAAACTGGGCCGAGCCCTGAATCTGCCTCCACGCCTTGTCTTCTCTCACTCTATCCCTGACCATCTGCGCAAACTTCCACTCCTGAAAGAACCCAAGAGTCCACGGGCCAGGGGTGTGGTCGCTTCCAAGACCGTGGAACGGCTCAGTCCCAGTTCCCGCGTAAGCCCTGTTCACTGACTCGGGATCTGGATTTGGCGTAAAGGCCCACAACATGGTACACTCCCATAATTTCCTCAGATATTGCTCTTGACCTCTGTCGCCTCCGTCGCTCTTCAGGAAGCCCCAGTCTCGGGCGTACAATGTCGGCAGGTCGTTGCTGTCGTGGTAGTAGCGAAGCCGCTCTGGATCGTTCAGGCCTCTGGAAGGGTCAAGTCCATACGCGAACACGGCTTTTCCATTTATTTGACTGATAAAGTGCTTCAGGATATTCTCTCTGATCACCACTGTGACTGGCTCCAGTTGAGCCTGAAGGAGCACCAGGTCAGGGGCCTCTGAATCTGGGAATTCGGGACGCGAGAGAAGGCAATCAAGCTTGCGAAGTGTGTACCAGAGCAAGATGTTGCTTGAGAGAAGGAATGGATATTCCTCGGAATCATCATCGGCTGAGGTCTCTTCTGTAGCGAAAAGATTTGTCTTCGTGTCAGGATCTGTCTCGCTGTCATGACCTTTCGGGGTGTCTTGTCGAGACAAGACGTCCTGAAGGATGTTCTTGAAAGGGTTGCTCGTCAGGATGGACTTGACAACGTCTGTGGTTCCAGGCCTGCTCTGATAGCGTTCGAAGTATTCGCACAGTTCCAGGAATGGATAACACTGCGTATCTAGCTGATATACTTCTGCATCTTTGGGTAGGCCATTGACCAGATACGAGCGTCGCCAAAAGTGACGCACCTTTCCTTTGATCTCGATGCTCGTAGTGGCTATCTTGAAAAGCCAGGTAAGATGGTTTGTCAGCGCTTGGTGGATTTTCGTTTCATATTGGCCTGCCAATTCATCGTTGTTCGGCAGTAGTTCTGCCAATCTTTGTCCATCCAGCTTCATCAGGAGCCTCATCTGCCAGTAATTATCTCGAGGCCAACCGAGATTCAAAGCAAAGTGGTCAGCGATACAACAAGTCCCATCGCCCTGAGGGCCTGATACCGGTACGCAGCAGCACCCGAGGATGTAGTTGACGTTAGTCCAGAGAATTGCGCTCTCTGTTGTGTCGGTGGAGTCCCAATTGCAGCCTTCGAGTTCTGCCAAGTGACGATTCATGATGTCGCTCGGGTTGGATATGCCATCTCGATGGGAGAAAAGCTTATCATCACCAACGTCGACTGCGTTAGCGACTGCCGCGAAAGAGTTGAGGTAATGTCCCTCAGAGCCGTTGCCTGGATGGAACGAAACGATGAGCTTCAGAGTTTCATTGGGACGCAGTGATATCACTTGAGTCGATCTTCGGGCAGACCGGATTGGAGGTTGGTTCTGCACTCCTGGCTCTGGAAAAAGCGAATCATCCACGTCGATATACTGTGCGGTCGTCTGATTGTAGAACATGGCGTGAGCCAAAATCCAGCCCCCCAGACTTGGGTTCCTGACACCCAGCACCTTAGATCCCTTTTCGCCGGGATGCAACTGTAGCTCGTTCTTAGGACCAGGCATTTCGACAGCTCCCCGGTCGGTCAGTTGCCCGTACCCAGCTCTAGACACAGCAAATTCCAAGTCAAGCGCCACCGGAACTTGTCGCTCGATGTTGTCCATGTTTGTGACCTTGCTCGCATGGGTTATACTCCCATCATCGTGGACTTTCAAGACTGTCTGCACAAATAACGAACCGCCGTCGTACTCGAATTGCGCGTGGCTGCCCATACTGTTCCCGACGTGTCTCATCACTACTGGGCCCTGGACCCCACCAAAGGCTAGACCAAGTCCGTTACGCTGCTCAATAAGCAGTTTCTCGGGGTTCTTGCGAAACTCCCGAACATATTCGCGGTTTTCCCTTTCACGATGGTTGAATTGAGCCCACGGGGCTGCTACCATGATCCCATACTTGCTCCGAGCATCCAGGGGCGCGCTAATCTGGTAGATTTGGCCCAATGGATTCGCAGATACTGTGAAACCGTTGGCTCCGATGTCGACAGTCTTGCGAGGCCATTGGCCCGGTCGGAATGTTTGCTTTCTGAGCTGATCGTTTGCTGAGGTGGACATTTTCCTAGACTGAACCAATTGGATATCTCAAAAAGCTGTTTAATAGAGTTCTCAAGTGCTGGATTGCTTTTTGACTTTCACTGATGAGTGAGAGACAAGCCCAAGAAGTCTGGAGCCTGTACTTGAGGCTGTAGTTATACACAGCATCGAGATTGACTCACACACGGCCAGGAGGTATTGATATCATTCTCTTTGTTTAGCATCAGCGGACCAGAGTGAATGACACATATTCACACCTTGACAACGGTCAGATGTCCCAAGTGACAGTGATTGCTCTTTGTGGAAACCACTGTCAACATGCGTCCTTGGGTGCAACAACTGATTTGTACCACAGTGGTACCAACGTCCTGTAGTGAATCGGCAACGGCCAATTATAGCCTGACATATCTAATAACTGAGAACAAAGAAAGATTGGTGATGTCAGCATACATGTATCATGGGACATTACAATTGGTGTTCAAGTCATGTGTAGTCCAGTAACTAACACGCACCAGTGGCAACCTTCAGACCACACACAGTTTTTGTTGGGTTTCAGCTTTGGAATCGGATGGAAATGCAAATATTGCCACGTATTTCCAGTTTTCGTCACACCATATCTTCTTTGATATCATCTTGATCTGTGTGGTTAAGTAACTGTGGGGACATCAAGTGATCCAACGGCCCAATGTACTAGTATGAATCATCTGAATCATGGATCAGAGTCACTGCATAAGCATGTTGACAGTTCTTTATCCCACATAATCTCTCTCAGATATTCTGATCATGAGAGCCTGTTCATTCAAGCTGTGCTTCTTGTCTTTCTTTATTCGAAAGTTCCTTGGCATTGTGTTTGTTGATAGGCAAGGGCCAGCCTTTTGGCTGCCTTTGTGGGACTTTCAAATTCCATTTAGCAGGGATTACTTCGAGACCATTTAGATATTCATTCTTGTCTTCTCATAATAAGGCTACTCATTTCGACAGTCTAATGTAACGTTGCCGTTTGTAAGAAATCTCGCTATCTAGGTACCTAGGTACAGTTGAGGTGATCTGTGTGGTTGCCACGGGGCCTTCGCTACGTGCTCCTGATTTAGTTTTCTACTGTTTTTGTTATTGTGACTTCTTATGAAGAAAAGCGCAGGGAATTTAAGAGTCAAGTACTTTATGAAGGTGTTGCACACTGGCTTACATTTACGGGAATTGAGAATGGACCCAATGCCAGAAAAGGAAGTCAAAGATTGCTGCAAAATGTTACATGTAGACCCAAGGACGTCATTTTTGGCAATATATCATTTTATTTTACTTTTATCAAACTAATAATAGCGACCGACTTTCCTCCAAACTATTATCAATGGCCATAGTCGAGCAAATACTGGCAAGAAGCCAAAGATAACAGCGAGAAGTAATAAGCATAATGAAGAATTCGACAATGCGCCAGCTTCCAACACCTTTTAAATCAGACATTACATCACAGGACAATCTAGTACACAGTATAGGCCACCACCTCTTAGACCGCAACAGGTTTCGAGCTTGGGGGCTCCTCTTCCTCCATCATGGGCTGCAAGCTCGTGGGCGTCATAGGCGTCATTGGCCCGACCTGAGAAAGCGGGCGCTTCGAGCTTCCTCCCCAGGAAAATGAGAAGCTAGGAACGGTAGGGCTAGAGCCAGAGCTCTTGTCCTCCTCACTGCCACCAGATGACACGGACAAGTTTCGGAACTTGGTCAGAGCAGCACCCATCGAGGCACCGCTGATCGAGAGGCGGACAGAGCCCGGGCGGGAGTTGCCAGCGCTCTTGTTAGAGAGCTGGTAAGCGGTGTTCATGACGAAGTTGTTGTAGTCCTCCTCGCTGTCAAACAAGCTCGATGCCACGCTCGCCCGGCGCAGGTTGTCGGCGCTGCCATGGGAAAGTCCGGAGAGAGTGGACATCCGCCGGAGGACCTCGTAGCCGCCTGGGTTTGCTTGGGCCCAATTGAAGACATCCTCGCACATGTCTTGAAGGTCGAACTCGGCCTTCCAGTCAAGTTCCGTCGAAGCCTTGTCGGGCGATGCGGTCACGGTGCCCAGGTCGCCAGGTCGAGCGGCATCGACGGTGAAGGGGACAGAAGTACCGGCTGCTGTTGAGAAGGCTTTGATAATCTCAAGCACGGAGTAGCCCCTGCCGGTGCCCAGGTTGTAAGCGTGGTAGTTGGCTCCAGGTACTTGGTTGGGAAACGTCGGTGAAGTTGGGGATTGGCTTGGCGACTTGTCGACAGGGTTTTCCATGATATCGGAGACAGCCTTTCGCAGAGCTGCAAGATGTCCCTTGGCGAGATCAGACACGTGGATGTAGTCCCTGACGCCCGTTCCATCCGCCGTGTCATAGTTGGAACCGAACACGTGCACCCTGCTGCGACGCCGTGCGTATGCCTGCATGATGACTGGGACGATGTTGTTGGGGGTACCCTTGGGGTCTTCGCCGATGAGACCACTTGGGTGAGCTCCAGTCGGGTTGAAGTATCGCAGGGAGGTGGCGTGGAAGTGGGGGTGGGCGATACAGAAGTCATTGATGATCTCCTCGGAAATCCACTTTGATCGTCCGTATGGGTTGGTCAGGAGACCGCCGCCTGTACCTTTTCCTGCAACTTGAACGGTGTCCTCCGTAATGCCGGCCTCGTGGCCCGCTCCGTAAACGACAGCGCTAGATGAGAAAATGAATGTGTTGATATTGTTCCGCTCGATGGCGCGGAGGATCACCAAGAGACCCGTAATGTTGCTGTCATAGTAGTCAAGTGGCTTGGAGATAGACTCTCCAACCGCCTTCAAGGCAGCAAAATGAATGACAGAGACTATCTTTCCGTGAGTCTCGGGGTGATTAGTCAAGGGAGTGGTCTGCGTTCTTCTTGTAGTGTCGATCTTGTACTCCAGCATTGGGTACGCCTTCTTGGCCACCATTGCTGCAACATCGATGGGGAGCAGCTCTGGTTCGAGAGCGGCTTTAGCATTTTGCCAGAATGAGAAGACTGCATTGACGCTTGGCGCGTCCCGGATATCCACCTTGTGGAAAAGAATGGGGGGGACGACCCGAGAGGTCTCTCCGCACCTCTCGTACTCCTTTGTCACGATGTGATGCACGCGACAGAGTGACTCAAGGTGACTGTTGCAGAGATTGTCAATGACAACCACCGCAAAACCAGCAGTGAGCAGCTCCAGCACCGTGTGCGACCCGATATAGCCAGCGCCGCCAGTTACCAGACAGATCGGGAATCCCGCCGCTGTTGCCTTGGACTTGTCAGCGTTGATGCGGAACGTCTGGTGGTGTACCGACTTCGGCAGAGCCGATGACTTGTTAGTGTTGGGGCTGAGAGAGCTCATGGTGTATGATAATGGACTTTTTTTTTTGTGTTTTTTTGACTGCTGTCTGGCAGGGGGCAAGATTCAGAGTAGAACGAATGGATGAGTTGTCAGAATGAATGAGTTTTGAACAAACGATTGTAAAGTGAATGAATGGGCTAAACCCCTGTCAGATGCAGTAAACGATTGTATAAAGCGGGTGGATTGTGGATCTGTCAAACAGCGGGAGACGGGAACCAAGACGGGTCGCGCCGTCTTAATATACAACAAAGAACGGTAGGCGCGATCTGCCCCTTTTCCTCTCCATCCATAGACATTTCTTTGTTGTCTGCCGAGGACCGAGGGTCGGTAGCGCCGCTATCGCGTAGTGTACTCACATTCGGTGCTTCGCGGATGGGCTGACGCTGTAGTCTAACTTGAATGTCAATTGGACTAATCCGGGACGTCTGGATGCCGAGGCAGCTTGCACGGGCTTCGAACTTGGAGTCTTTGGTGCTTGGACTTAGGCATGTCTCACTCCGTCCAAGTGGTCGGCCGCTTTCGTACTGGCTCGCTTCTTTGCGAGTCTGGGCCCACGGGATCCATAACTATTGAACCATCACATGCTCTAGGAAGATGCGAATCCGCCGAGGGCTTCTATTCCTGACCTCTCCGAGGCTCGTGGCACGCAGACTGTGGGCTCGGATTCATGGCTAACAGCAGATCCGAGGGCATCCCTTGGCTTGGGGACGAACAAGAGCTTAGCTCGAAGCCCCATTCTAGCAAGCAGAAGCCAAGTATGAGGCAACTTGGAAGTCGAGTTTCTAAAGTACAACTCATTATCGTTGCGGGCCCTGGATCGACTCGTTCTTCTGTATGCAGGTGACCAGAGCTGAGTACTTACGCAGGGTTGAAAATTCCCTTATGGACACCCATGTCTTAATAATAACTAGACAAATTTAGTGCCAGGGAAATCATGTTGTATCAATCGCGGGACAGAGCAACGAAGTAAGATCTGGGACCATACCTACATATGTAAATAAAAACCAGAGCGTAGGCTTTTTCGTCCCAATCGACTTTGGATCAACCAATTTTTAGTCCATGCATTTTTTCCAAGTAAACTGTGGCCCGAAATTTCAACGGAGTGATAAACACCAATTCCCGAAATCTGCCTTGAATATTTCAGCAAGAATTGACTCAAATTTTCTTATCCACAGAGTTGTTCCTCCAGTTACCGAGAAACAAAAAGGCTCTCAAACTTTCTGTTGTTCAGGATAGCACTTTTAGAATGAGGATCCCCAAAGGTTGTGCTGTCCCTTGCGTGCATCCTGTGCCAAACCACTTGTAGAAGTGAATTTATTAATTTCGATAAAAATGCAAGTTGAGCCACATAAGAACTGAGGAAATTTAACTCTTTATGTATAAGAATTATTGATTCTTGGGTTGATTGCAAGCGGAACAATACTACCTAGGTAGTATTTGCATTGGGTTACTGCTCGGAGATGTCACGAGATAGCCATTTGCTCCCAGTCACGTGGTTTCGTTTTTAATCCCTATATATATAAAATATACATAGCGCCTTTATATAGTAGTAAACACTTAAGACCTAATATTTAAAGAAATATAGTATTAATAATAATGGAAAGAGAATATAGTATATTTATAAGTATATAGTTAAACCTTATATTATATAGATAAAGTTAGAAGGTATTACTCTTAATAATACCGCATTAAAAAGTTAATAAAGTAGTTATATAATAAGATTAAAATAGTTTCTTAAAATAGCCCTTATAAAAAAAAGAATCTTATAATATAAGACCTAATAAGCTAACTTTTCTCTATTAATATACTTATTATATAACTACTTAAATCTATCTTTATTAGGTAAGCTAGTATAGTTTTTATTCTAAGTATATAACTAATAGAATAATAATACTATAATAATAAATTTATTTAAAAAAAGTCTTCCTATATAAATTCTATAAAAAGATTAAAACCTTTTTAAAAAGTTAAGTAGAATTTATTTACTATATTTTAAATAAATACTATATAAGGAAAGTAAAAGTCTAGATACTTAAAAATTAAATCTTCCTCCTTTAAATATACTACTTTATTATTAAAAATTTATTTACTTCTATATAATATATAAAAAATATAGTAGAAGAAAGAGCCCTATAAGGGAAGCTAATAACTCTATTATATATAGATAAGTTTAAGGGTATATATTAAATAATTATTAACTTTATACTTAAAGTACGAGCTAATGGTTAGTTTAAAAGTTGAGAAGACGACGAATAGATAAATAGTTAAATAAAAAATACAATGTGGTTGAAGCCTGCTCCCAGTCACATAATCCTGCTTTTGAGTCAATCATGTACTCCATAATTACATAATTAGCATCAGTCAGCTTCCCCGCGCAGAAAGGCGATTCGCCAAGCCTCCATTACGTATACTGCGGAATTGAGCTTGGTGGTTGGCCATCAGCGTTGCCTGAAAGTTGAAGACACTTCACGTTTCTCTTACTCCTACGTCACTACCACGAGACAATCAACCACAACACGCAGAACACGACAATCAACACCCCTAATCTTACGAAGCATGTCAACTCACGGCGGACAGATCGCAGATAACGCTGCGGGACTGAAAATCGAAGTAATCGACAGGGCCGAAGATCTGACTGGCGGATTTGAATGCGCAGCTAAGTGCTTTGGGGATCAAATCAACGATGCAGTGTGGACGGCTATGAACCCTGGCTGGAACACAGCCGAGGGCAAGGCGGCGGGAGCAGCTCGAGTGGTAGACCGATGGAAGTCCACAACTACGAACAAGGATGGAAAACCGAACACAGTGTTCTTGAAGGCAACACTGCCTGACCCGCAACAAGCAGATCGCCGCATACTTGTTGGCTTTGCCATCTGGGCGCAACTGTCGATGGTTGATGGATACGGCGATAAACCATCCACCGACCTCAGCATGAGCCTAGACCTGGAGGCGCTCTATCCCGGCAATGCAGAGGAACAGCGATTCTTGAGCCAGGCGTTCGCTTCCCTGCTCAAGAAGCGCGTGGAAACGGTCATCTCAAAGGAAGGCGCAAACCCCCCAGCAACTTTTGTACTGGATCTCTGCGCTGTTGACCCGGCCTTCCAGCGCAGAGGTATCGCGCTCAAGTTGGTGCAATGGGGTTTGGAAGAGGCCAAGATACGTGGATTGGAGGCGACAACGGAAGCTTCAGCCATGGGACGGCATGTCTATTCAAAACTGGGGTTCAAGCCCGTGTCAGATGTCGAGTATGTGATTGACGAGGATGTTATCAAGGGCCGCACCATGCCACCAAACCTGTTTATGCGCACGGGTGGAGTAGCATAAAACCATGATCAAGATACAACCGGGGCAAGCGAGGGCCTGGTGTCTTCGGTTCGCTACAGAAAGGAGAGGGGGGTAGGAAGGCACCGCCCAGGCGTGTATGACAGCGGAAGCACACGGAATAGAAGCGAAAAGAGAGAAGAAAAAAAAAAAGAAAAAGGGCGGGGGCGTTGTATATACATCCGGTTTTAGATGGCCTTTCCATGGCCCCAATTCCCGGTAATCACAAACAGCTTCAATGCAAAGCTTGGAAAGCTTCCTGCCTCGCTCTTGACGAAGACATCGTTACAGCGTCCAAGCAGTGGCATTCTGCCCCGACAACGATTCTGCCAATTCTCCAAACATCTGTAAACACACAGTAAATCTGAGTCAAAGACGGAAGTCAAATAGCATCGCTTTGCTCGTCTGAAGCGGTAATTATTTTGAGCCACCTACTAGTAAGCATTTGGTCCATTGTTGAGATGCCTTCAACTCAACGAAATCCATGCGTATGCAGATAGAGAACCAATTGTGCGGCATCTTTAAAGGTGTTGCGAGCCTATTCTTCAGAAAGAATATTACTGGCCTGGCACTGTTCTCGGTTGGGTGCCCGGGCGGTGTTCCCCTCACTGAGAAGACCTGGTCATCTGACATGGCGCGATTATAATCCACAATGACGAGCCACTCAGGCGAACTCACCCTCACAAAACCAAGTTTGCCATCACAAGAACCCCAACTCCTCAAACTCAACAGCTCAGACCATTCAGCACCTCTGGCCAAAGCGAAGCACTAGTGCTAGTAAAAGTTGCGGTCATGGCCTCGGCAGTTGTGCATCCGGTTGCCTCGGCATTTTCGACTCCGAAAGCCGTGGCGCCGCCGGGGCAGCCGGACATCTCGTACGCTCCGGACTACGGAAAGTACCAAGCCCGCGCCGCACGGAGGCTGCAAGCCGGAAACCTGCCCACATCCGTTCCGGACGGGTTTCCCGAAAGGCTAGAGGGCGATCTGGTTTGGGAGGGTGACACTCTAGCGGACACATACGACTGGACATATGTCCTCAGCGACAGCCAGCTGGCCGAGATTGACCAGGCTGTGAAGCACTTCAAATGTCAGTCAGGAGCTCGTCAGGCCAATCTGAGCCTCACACATGATGATGCTCTGCTAACGGTTCATCAGCGCTCGGACTTCCCATCTCGCATGTAGCTAAGGACACTTTTCCCCTTCCTCAGTTGCATTCGGAACTTCGGCGGCTCTCCCACGAGCTGCACTTTGGCCATGGTTTCTTCGTCCTCCGAGGATTAAGGGTCGATGAGCACACTCGAGAAGAGAACGTAATCATCTATACAGGCCTTTCAGCACACATTGCCCCTCAGCGCGGTCGACAGGATCAGTACAGCCCCTATGACGGCAGCCCGGCAGACGTCGTGCTCACACATATCAAGGATCTCAGTAACTTGCCCGAGATGAAGGGCAATATTGGCTCGCCGGCGTACACGACTGACAAACAAGTATTCCATACGGACTCGGGGGACATCGTGAGCCTATTCGCCCTCGAGACCGCGCTCGAGGGCGGTGCAAGCAAGCTGGCATCAACTTGGCGGGTGTACAATGAACTTGCAGCCAACCGCCCCGACTTGATACATACCCTCAGCCAACCATGGGATATGGAAGTGTAAGCAATTTCAATCTGGAACCATCCAGTTCATCCATGGTGCTACTAACACGGGTACACTCAGGTTTGAGAAGAACGCCAAGAAGAAGTACGCGGAGAGACCGTTGTTGTTCCACCATGCTGCAACTGAGAGCACGCCAGAGCGGGTATCTCTTCAGTACGGGAGGCGATATTTCGTAGGGTTTGGCCAGCTCCCACGAAACCCGGACATCCCACCTATCACTGAGGCACAGGCCGAAGCCCTTGATGCACTTCACTTCCTGGGAGAGAAATTCTGTGTCAATACCCACTTCGAAAAGGGCGACATCCAATATGTGAACAATGTCGCAATATTCCACGCCAGAGACGGTTTTGTCGATGGTGGGGAGAAGCGGTATGTCTACCTATCTTCTGAGCCTGGCTAAGTTTCCCTGGTGACACGAACCCTACTGACGTGTATCAGACGCCACCTTCTGCGCTTGTGGCTGAGGGATCCAGAGTATGCTTGGAAAACACCTGAGGTTATCGAGTGGAGGTGGAAACAACTTTACGAAGGTGTCAGCCCAGAGAAGGAGATCTTGCCGCTGGAGCCTTTCGTGCGCAATGCTGGCAAGGGGCGTTGAGGAACATGTGTACTCCGATTATGGTGCAACCTCTATGTGAAAATACTTTATCACATAAAAGCATGAGCCACACCAAATTAACAGACTGAGAATAAAAACCTCAAATTTTCAAGCCAGGGTTACAAAGCGGTGAATACATACACTGTCTGAAGCCATCTTACCTAGGTAAGCTCCCTAGGTATCCATTGATGGGTCCCAACCACTAATTGGTTGAATTAAACGAGGATGACATTGCACTGTTGCCTCTCGTTCTGCGAGGCTTGTTTGTTTGGGGAGAACAAAAAATAACACGAATGAAGCCACAACACGAAGAAGTAAACTTTAATTGGAAGAAAGTGGCCCCGTCTACTATTCCGAGAGAGTAAGTTCAGACCCAGGCAATTTTCAATGAGTGTCTCCAGTGCAGTGAACGGGGTCCTACCTCGGTATGTTAGGCGGTCAATGTCTTGGCAAGGCCTTCCAAACCATTGACCGATGTTTGAGAATAGCTGGTGAAGTTGTAACGAGATGAAATGGGGTTGGGGATCATGTGGGCAAAGGACGGATGTCAACCGAATTTGACAGCCAAGTTCGTTTGGTTAGAGATCGCCCCGGAAGTGCAAGAGCTGCAGTGAACGTGTGCTCGTGTGGTTTCTCGAAGGGAAGATATGTGGGCATTATCTCCACCAATGGCCCAGGGGTGTGCGTCGTTTCTGACCGCGCGAGCTCGAGATCCACTCTTGCACCCGGATTGAAAACTACCGACATGCGCATAGGGACTGCACTGTCCTAATTTGGTGGACCGTTCCGGCACTCGTGCGGACTTTGCAGCCGAAGTTATCAGGTCCTCTTGGTTGATGGTCCCCATTGTCCGCCGACCAAGCGCCAAGGTTTCCGTCAGCCAGGTGGCGGAGATAAGTACCCAGTTCAGGCCCTCGAACTGTTATGCTCCGTTCTTATTTGGCACCCCTTTCCCGGTAGCTTGGCCTTTAAGCTTCCCGTCTTGAGAGTTTATTGGATGGATACGAACTTGACAGAACCATACCTGCCATGTTCGTCAGGTCTCAGCTGTTGTTCAAAGGGGTGTCACCGCATTTAGAAGTTCATGGATTGCGATGCGAAATTGGTGATGGATCTTGTAGAAGCACTCCGGCCCGGGCGCGCCGGGCGACAACAACGAATATAAGTCGCTGCTCCTGGTCCATGTAGCCATCTGCTTGAAGTCACGAGGCTCTTGAAGCACTGTCTACTGTGTAGCACGCCGCCTAGACAAGCCTCAAGATGCTCCTCTTCGCCCTGTGCTGGTCCCTCTTTGCCTCCGCCGCCTTCGCGGCTTTTGGCTACACCGACCAAGGAACTTATTGGACCATCGATTCCGGATCGAATCTTGTCATCCAGGTCAGCAAGACCAATGGCGACATCACCTCCATGAAATACAAGGTCAGTGAGACCACGCGCCGGTCCTCAAAGGCCCGGCCCGTCTTAGCATTCGAGTCGTGATCTAATCGACGCATGATATATGCAGGGTGTCGAATACAACGGCTATGATGGAAAGAACACCCATGTCGAGTCTGGACTTGGGGCCAGCACGGTCACTATTCAGCAGTTCACCGACCCTGCCTACATCATCAAGGTCTCAGTCACGTACGGAACGTTGAAGCACTACCTGTTCGTCAGATACAAGAACGACAATGTCTACATTTTCACGAACAAAGCCGATGCCTCTGTCACTGTCCATCGATACATCGTTCGCATGAAGGGAGGAAGTTTCTCCTATAGTAAAAGTGACACGGATTACTATCCAGATGGCTCATCGTTTATCGAGGCTTCGGACGTCTCGGGTCTAAGCGATGGAACCACTTGGTCTAAGCACTACAACGGAGGCCTATACGGCCGTGTCAAGGACTGTACGTGGATGCCACCTCCACGAAATGTCTAGACTCTCTACTAACAATTCTCAGTTGATTACGTTGGAGTGTCCAAGTCTGGCGTGGGCGTTTATATGATCCGGTCGAACCACGAGAAGGCATCGGGCGGCCCTTTCTTTCGCTCCCTCCAGCGCCGTGCCGACTCTGGTGGCGAGGACCTCTACGACATCTATTATTACAACATGGGGCACACTGATCCTGAGCGATTTGGCCTGCAAGGCCCTTCCGTCCTGTCATTTACCGACGGCTCGGGCCCCAACACCGCTCTCTTCGCCCGAAACGCTGACTGGGGTTGGTTCGATAACTTGGGCATCGACGGCTGGGTCCCTGCTTCAGGCCGCGGCTCTGTGGCCGGAGTGGGGTTGTCCAACATGAAATCTGGCCGCGCATATACAGTAGGCCTGTCGAACGCGAACGCCCAATATTGGGCTCTGGCGGCCGCGTCTGGTGGTGCTTGGCAGATCACTAAGGCCCTTCCCGGAACATACACCCTGACAGTGTACAAGGATGAGCTGGAGGTCTACACCGGAAGCGCAACCATCACTGCCGGAGGAAAGGCCGCTCTGAATACCATTACGCTCGTTGATCCAAGCGACCGGGCAACAATCTGGCGCATCGGTGACTGGGACGGGACACCAGGCGGCTTTTTGAACTTCGAGACAACTCCCTGGAAGCCGACCTACATGCACCCGTCCGACAGCCGCATCGCATCATGGGACGTCGGCAACTTCATCGTCGGCACCACGCCGGCATCGAGTTTCCCGTCTTACATCTGGCAGGACGTAAACAATGGCCATGTGATATACTTCCGCTTGAATGCCGAGCAGCTTACTCAAGCACACACAGTTCGGATCGGGATCACGGAGGCGTACATAGGCGGCCGTCCTCAGATCACGGTAAACAGCTGGATGAGCAAGATACCGGCGGCCACTACGCAGGCGTCAACGAGGTCCCTTACGGTTGGAACATACCGTGGGAACAACGCTGTCCTGGAGTACACTGTGCCTGCATCTGCATGGCTGACATCTACCAGCGACTGGCAGGCTCTGACGATCAATGTCGTGACGGGTAGTACGGGGACCAAGTACCTCAGTGGTGGGATTTCTATAGATTGTGTTGAGTTGTTATAGGATAGAAACAGCGTGCAGAGGTGATGTGTTTTCAGTCGTCTCCTATTATAATCAATATCATGTCATGCGGTGGATCAAGAAGGATGCAGCATGTCTTTTCCATGGCCAAGGGAGTTTGGTGAAGCCTCCAGGCGCATATACGCTTTACTTTCACCACGCAAAAAGTCTTTATCTCAACTGATAGGGCCGCTAATCATGATCATGTGGCAAGAATGTGTTCACTAGTCTAGAGCTACCTGAATCCCAGCCGTCGGTGAGGTCGCGTCTGTCCACCACGTGTGGGCAGTTGAAATCGCTGCAGACCTGGGCATATAGCTAGCATCACTTTTAAAAATTATAGTATATGTTACAGGTGTCTGACTAGTCGTCCTCGTGTGCTGTAATAATAGCCCTACTATCCGCACTGTAGGGTCAAAAAATGGTTGCGAAGGTTGTACAATCTCTGTGATGCCAGACCTCTAGTGAGCGGCGCCGTCGGGAGCGATGCCTTCCAGTCTGTCTGTGCGGCACAAGACCCGAGGCGGAGCCACGTGCCCACGTACCGTATCCTCTTTCCACTGTCATTAGCACTATTCTTTTTTTTAAACACTGGGTATTGAGCGTTTACCACTGTATGAAGGCGCCACATACATTTTATATGTATGGCCATTAAAAACGGAAGCACTCTCAGACCTCCTGTGTAAACTTCACAGGCACCAAACATAGACGCAGCTCCCCTTGAGTCCTGCCGTGTCATTAAACTACCTACCTACTTGAGCGACACATTATATTAAGTTGGCTACATTTTCATGAATCCCCCGGGATCCCTTCTAATCGATTCCTTAGCCTATTTGAGATTTGTCTTTCGTGCCTTTGTGCTAGTGTATAATACCAGCAGACTTAGCCGCTAAATGTGGACGGCGTGCCACTAGGGGTGCATTTTCAGCAATAATCATTTCCAGCAAAAATGAAATGGAAGTCCCAAAACTTTTTAATGGAGGTACACAGAAGCATTTATCTACCTGCCAAAACCAACTTTCCCGGTTGTTCTTCTGCTGCCAAATGTCAAGCAAAACTCCTTGCTTCAAGCGGACTCAGATGCAAAGTCGCCACAACGAGAATCATAAAACCCCCTGGGCCGAAAATTCAGAGTCGCAAATATGGTGAGTGACATTTACAATATCTCTTGCCTTGCCGAATGCAATTTTTTCTGACAGCAATTCCAGGCCGAACAACCGCCCACACAGACACCCCACAGGACCGTGTGGATTGATCCCCGCGGCAATCTCACACTCGTCGTAGGCCCGGGAAATGTCAAAATGATGGTTGACGCCAATGCGTTACGACGCGTCTCGAAAATTTTCGGCGTAATGCTATTTGGGTCCTACCTGGAAGCGAAACAGACAGCAGACTGGGCTGTCGAGCTTCCCGAGGACGACCCAGAAGCCCTCGAAGTCGTTTTCAACGCCGCCCATGGGAATATCGGAAGGCTTCCGCTCGAATTAGAACTTGACTCACTTTTCCAGTTGGCTGTAACAGCAGATAAGTATCTCATGGTGGATGTGTTGCGTGGACCAATATCATCCCGCTGGACGTGTCTCAGTCATCCCGGAGGCCTGTGGAATCTTGACATGGGCAGGACAAGCTACCAGGATCTTCAGAGACTCTGTGTCATAACCTATTTCGGCTCAAAGGAGCAACTCAAGCACATCCTCGTCGGTTTAATATACAAGGCCGATACCGATCCAGAAGGCAGACTCATATTCACAACTATGAGCAATGGGGACGAGGATGATAACCCTGAAAAGGGCTTTGAAGGTGACTCTGAGCAACAGATCAGAGAATGGAAAGAATTCGTCCCGTTGCCGCAGATTATCATTGGTGAGTCGTTCAAATTTAGTGGAAATCAGGTGGTGACGCTGACAAACGGCTACTACAGATTTCGTGCGCGTCAACAGACAAAGGGAGGTCACAGGTCTGCTCCACCGTCTGAATAAAGTTGCCGAATCTTACATATCCGACACTACTGCTATGATGACAACACTTAAAAATCGTTCGACAGCACTTGGAATCATGGTACGGTGTCTTGTTAAAGAGGGTGTATGGTCTGCAGCTGGCACGAACGCTGAGACCTGTAGCATGTCCGTCGCGAATCTTGACCGCGTCACAGAGGAGCTCCGAGCAACTATCAACACCCAAGTTTTCAATTACAGGTATTCGACAACGGCAACATATCCCATCGAACTCCCTGCACCACTCGGCGACACATGGCGGCAGCGCCTGGAGAACAATCTGGAAGGTTTAGATGTCATGGTGGCTCGACTTTCCACAGAACTAGGTGCAAGATGCAAGAATGGATATCTTAGGATATGACCAAACGTGGGTATCAGCTGCCCGTGGAATGCACGTGTTCCTGGTTCGATATTGTTCAACAAGTTGTCCTGCATGGCTTAGCACTGTTTCTCAATGGGTCTTCGCCATGTTTTGGAGTGTTTCAAACGTCTTTTGGTCTGAGATTAGGTGGTAGGATAAAGGCTTGTGGCTATTCCAGGGAGTTGGGGGCGGGGGGGCTTTTGGTATGTGGGGGAAATATCGATCTTTATTCATATACGCCATCCAACCAGAACTAGAATGTTCCCACTCAAGTTATGCTCCGGTGACAATGTTTGTGTGTGAGCGCCGGAAAACATTCGGCCTCCGTCTTTCGAGAATCAGTATCCTACATCTGGCTTCAGTAGCTTGAGAGTTTGAGGTATCGATACTCGCATATTGAGGCCAAAGCCACTAATTCTGCCCGAGCTTTGCCCGTGCAGTCGTTTCTTCTTCTAGAGCTGATCTATGTGTATTGTCTGCACAGAGCGCATTGGATATCCCTTGTGGGAGGCTCCCGTCTAAATGCTAACTAAGAAGGCGATATAGGGGACCTCCCTCCGTAGCCTGTAACCACTGACCTAGCTTTTCCCAACTTCGAGTTCCACCCATTCCAGCAAAATCTTAAGAAGTGGCCTCCGGCACAAGGCCTGCCCGCGGTGCGCTGAGCTAGGAAAGACCCCTCCAGAGGAAGCTGAGGGTGTACACAGGTATAACCTGAGGTAACTTGATGTCGAGGTTCTGCACTAGGGGATGGTCTTCCTTAAGCCTCCCCGTGTCGTCCATGATCTCATTCGCCCGGCGCACGCTCCTTTCGTCCGTTTCTTGGTCCGTTTCTTGGCCCGTTTCTTGGTCCGTGTCTTCGTCCATGTCTTGGTTCATGTATTCGACTGACGTGTGTTTGTGAATGATACTGTCGACAGTTCGGAGAAGGAAATATGCCTCCGGGGAGACAAGGCGCTGCTCATATGACTGATCTTCCACATTCCATGCCATGTACTTTCTCTTCTCTCTCTTATTTTCACCTGCCCTCGTGCTGTCCAAAGCTGTCTCCAACCAGCTTTCGAAGCTGTAGTCGCCGTCGATAATAGGGCATGTCTCACTCCGACGCCACTCGTTCCACAACTTGAGGTATTTGGTCAAAGCAACAGTGTCGTCAAGGCGAATGACTCTGCCACGCTCTCCAGGCCGTGGAGAGATATCCAGTCCCATGTTCGTGTCGTAATCTTGGTCCTTCAGGATGAAAGAGAATGACCTGATGCTGAGGAGGACCTCTGTGTGGCGCTTTAAACAGGTCCGGTAAACGTACTCGAGGTCTCTCGGATGCCAGCCAAATCGGTCGCCCTGAAGCACAAGGTGCGTGGTGGCAGACCTTTCGATCCCGGTGAAGTCGATTAAGTCATTCTGCCTGTGTTCTGTCAGCGGACAGAGCCACCACATGTCAAGCACCAAGGTGTCGAGCTTGCTACTGAACCAAGTCCGCACGCACACCTCAGCCTTGTTTGGAACGTCATAATTTATGCCCGGGTTCACCACAGGGTGGCCCCTCCAGCAACGGCCGTCGTAGTGCGTGCCCCTCCAGCAATGGCCGTCGTGGTGCTCCCTCCATGCCGTGACCATAGACCCAAACTCTTTCGCAACGAGGCGCGCTTCGCGGCACGCACGCCCCATGGGCGGATAAGGCACGCAATCTGTGGGCCTGAGGACCGTTGACATGAAGACGGTTCGGGGAAGGGCGAACACCCACACGTTCCTGCGAAGCTCCCAGGGTAGTTGCAAGAAATAATGAAAAGCGGTGGCAGGAACGGACTGGTCGGCGCGTTTGTACGGTGGCATCGGGACCAGCTGGGTGTCGCCGCAGACTTTGTCGCCATCTGAACCTTGCTCAGTCAGTACTTGCTGGGCTGGGCTTCAAGCTGCACAGTTGCATCAAAGTCTGATGAGATGGGGGTGTGGGATGGCACTTACCATGGTGATCAGTGGAGCCGCCTGACTGTTTGCCGCCATCCATCTTGCCTTCGTCGGCCATGACTTTCGAGACGAGAGCGCCCGAAGTCGATCTCAGGGTTCCTTCGCAGTGGGACAGGTTGCTACTGGGAAAGGGCACACCCAACAACGGAATTGAAGAATCAGACCTGTATGGGCTGAAATGAATGATAAGGGCACTGCCTGTAGGTTTCCCTCGTGGTGGCGGAATCTGGGGTGACTGAAATAGAGCCTGGGGTCAACTGGTGGAGACGGTGGAATGGCGGGTAAAAGGCTTGTGCGCGATCCCCAGGTAGGCGTGGTGGTTGGTGTGTCTTGTTTCGTGTCGCTGTGAGAACATTGAAGTTGCCTCAAGCTGCCCAGCTAGGTAGGTAAGAAGAGTTCTTCCCTTGGTTGGAAGTCGATGTCGAGCAGTTTGTTGTGGAGTTGTTTGGTGCCGTTCCAAGGTTGTCACCGCCTGGCCAAGGGGAAGGCGGAGCCCACGTCTAAACTTGAAGGTTTCGGCCTTTGCTCATTCATACCAGTTGACCTGGCACGACCCAGTTACTGAAACTACGTAGATGGACAGCCTCTGAATCGGGCGTGTCGTGAAGTCACTACACACGGCCATAGGGGGTCTAATACAGAAGCCTGGTTCATTGATGTAACTGCTCAAGTGCGGGAAACAGGTAAACCTTCCGCAGTGAATCTTTTCAATCATCATGTATCCTTCTGGACTCCAGTTGTCAACAATGCTACCAATTTCATAATTCCCACAAGTCTGCTCTGTCGTGATACCTTGAGTACCGATTCTCGACACTGGGGCTTCCAATGTACCCTGTTATCCAGTCATCCAGCCATCCAGGATGATACACATGCATGTGATTGCGTACGCTTCCGCCATCTTGCGGCACTGCAGGCCTGCTTTCCCGCAGTCTACATGTCCAAGTCCATCTCCTCGTCATCCGAGTCATAGTCCATCTCCTCGTCATCCAAGTCGTAGTCCATCTCAGAATCCTTGGCCGAGCGAGCCAAGATCTCGTCGTAGTACGAGGCAGGCTTCGACTGCTTATTCTCCCAATACCACTTCACATGGGTATCCCGATCCATGTCGTCGGACCATTTAGTGCCCATGGTCGGCGCGACATCGTGAGCGGCGTCGCCGGTGTTGGTGGGCGCCATCACAGCCTCTTTCGCATTGGTCTTGTTTGCGCCGTCCAGAATATCGGGCGCGCGGGGTCGGATGGTGAGCGGGGTGTTGCCGAAGTCCTCCGCAAAGCTAGGACAAACGTCACCGTCGGTGGCAAAGGGCTTCTCGACCTTGACGCGCTTGGCCCTGTGGGCCTCATTGTCAGTGGCCTCATAATCGTTGTCGGTGGGCTCGTAACCGGCCTCAGAGGCATCAGTGTCGTCGCTGTCGTTGAAACACTCGGTCATGCCTGTGTAAGAAGCCATGAGGAGGGTGGCTTCATCAGAGTATTGGTCCTCCTTGAGAGCAGAAGCTCCGCCGCTCATCATAGATGCGACCTCAATCACACGGTTGAATCCGTCGATCGCTTTAGCCGCCTCGCAATCGCGGGCATGGAACATCTTACGCTGATTCTCCAGATCGTCATCAATGTCCTGGAGCTTCTTGCCCTGCTTGTTCAGATCATTCGCGCGGGCCTGTAAAATCTCATCTTGCTTCTCCAGACAATTCTCGCGGGCCTGGAGCATCTTAGCGGCGAAGCGAGAAACAGTATTGTCAGAAGCAGTCTCGAGAAAGGTGCCCATCTTGGGGAGGCGCCAGAAAGCCGCAAGGTCCTGTCCGTGGTAGCCAGCACTGCGCACGATATTCGCAGCATTGGAGAAAAGCTGCGCAATGCCGAGATCGAAGGCAGCCCTGGTGGCATTCGTTCCCTCCTTCTTGTGCTTGCGGTCGAACTTGATCATGATCTTGGTCGACATCATCGGGGGAAGGATGCGAAGCTCGTTGTTGGTCTTGCCGTCGGATTTGTCGTCCTCATCCTCGGACGGCTTTAGAGTGTTAAAAAATATGATTTCAGTTCCTGGTTTCCAGATTGAACACGAGTTTGATTACCTTCCAGAAGCTGTAGTGCATGCCGTTCTTCGGGAGCATCTTGAACATGTGCTTGTTGTGGCTCTTCAGAGCCGTTCCTGGTTTGACCATCTTTTCTGAATGAGCTGGCTCTGCATGGTCAGAAGATTGATTGGTTTGTAGTGGCAGATGGTAGATCAGGATACTGGTACAATGAAAAATGGGAGGTTGAAGGATGAGAAGTTGGGGGATGAGAGGTTGGGGGATGAGAGGTTGCAGGATGGAAGACTGACCTTGTTTTCATGCGAAGATAGGAGATGGTAAGATGGGCGACAGTAAGATGGGAGGTGGCAGATGTGAGAGATGAGGTGTGTTGACGTTACGGAGCGGGTAAGGTAAAAGCTTGGAAAGGCGGGTCCAATGTTGTTGACGGAAAACCCAAGTTTACAGATAAAACGCTTGAAATCATGGACTCACAAAAGCACAGTCCCTTGGAGGTAACCCACAGGGCGCTGTCCAAGAATTCAGTGGAGGGTACCTAGGTACCTAGGTGGGCAATCCTGGGTGTGTTTGCGCTGCGCAAGGTTACTGCACAAGGGATCACCTTTTATGATGATTACTCGGGAGATAATTGTCTGTTACTGGCAATGAAAACGCGTCTATGCCCAGCAGGGATCGCTTCAGATGTTGTGGTATGTTTTCTGACGCGTAGTGCTGGGGTGACATCTGGAGGCTGGTGTCAACACGTGGACACCCCCGTTTCCCCCACCCTCGACTCGACTTGACTCCCCTTGATAAGTTCATCTCAACAAGATCTGATCAGCAAGTGCACTTGGCCTAGTGGTTTAATTCTCAGTTAAATTACGAAGGTCTGGGTTCAACTCCCAAGCACAGCTACGGAGCCACTCCAAAATTGTAGGACCGTCCGCGAGGACATCTTTGTGCCTACACCTGGTTGCTTTGTACTTCTGGAGTGGCGCTATCTACTAACATCTAGGTCATTCAAGTGGTTGGAGGTCGGTGCATATTTTTTTTGCGTCTTTCCTGCCCACTTTCCCATCCTCTTCCTCAAACAAGGGAAGGAAGGTTCAATCTTTTGCTTGATCTGCAGCACCAGACTCCCTTGACACATTGCTCCACCTCACGTACATCAATGACAGCTGATCGTACATAAAGGCTTTTCACAATCTCTCGCAACTCTGCGTGAAACTTGTACCCCCTCCGCCTCAAGGAAACGCTCTCGTATTGGGGTTTACCTGGCCGTTGGTCACTGACGCAGCCACAACCAGATTGAAGATCTTACCAGCTGCCATTGACATCAGCGTATGACAGCATGTGGGCATATCCTCGAGCGATTCTTTTCTGTAGCCATGGCGATTTGTTTCATCCGGCCTCTCTGTCCACAACTGAACAGCCAGGCAATTAAGCTTGTGGAGTGATGACACCTCAAATTAGGGAATCCATCAGCCTCATCTTTACCAGTCTGACGGAAGTACAGCTCGCACTGCATGTGAGACCTGCCGGCCAATTTGGAAAGGAAGGGCTCATCAACAACAAATTCGGCAGCTGCGCCTGTATCAAGTGCATGGATCTATGGCACGGGTATCTCTCAAGAAGTCTGCTGCGACCTGCTTCATCGGAGGCCGCCGCTGGGCGTGGCTTGCCTCGCCTGTCACCCGCGATAGAGGCCAAGGAGTACCGCCAGCCGCTGAAAAAGCTTTGCGCCTCTGTCGACGCACTTCAAACCAAGGTCCACGAGTACTCAACGTGTTATAGGAAGGGGCAGGGGGCATGCTCTCTGCCTCAGCTCGTCGGACGCAAGGCCGTGGAGGATCTCGTCAATCGAGGCCTGCAGGCTCCACCCAGCGCCACGTGAAGGCAGGCGCAGGGGCACCCACCTCCTTATGATTGCTCTAGGACGGTATGTAAATCGAAATTCTAGAGTAGAAGAATGCATCGAGGCCCAGCCTGCTATTCGTAGCTTCGCTTCTAGATTTGGGGCATCCATGGATGGCTTCCTTGTCGAGGCATGACGTCGGTCGGGTTAGGGTTCTGTGTAAGTGACTAGGACCGGGGCCTTCTGAGCTTGGCACGCCCAGTGCCCCACAGCGGAGTGCTTGTAGCTTACTTCCCTCGGCAATCCAGCACGCACAGACCCGTGTGTTTTGCCGCGGCCCCCCCCCCCCCAGTCCGTAGCCACGCCCTGGGCCCCTGATTGCAAGACTCCCTTCCATTCCATTTCCTTAGAGCATTTTCCCTTATGAAGTCACCTAGTAGGATCCTTTCCTAGGGAGTTCCTCCACAGTGCGCTATCTCAGAGGGAATGATCCTTTGGGAGGTGTGCATTACAGGTAGTCCCCTAAGGGTTTGTCCCTATGAGGTTGTGCTGTTGCGGCAAGGCGCACAGCCTCCCCTTGCCTAATGGAGTACCTAAGTACCTAGCTTGGTATGAGGCCAGGCCCCTGGGAGGATTGCGCATGTGAGAACTGTCCAGGTGGCCCGCCGAGAGGGCGTTACTCACTGAGGGGGCGGTTCCCCAGGCATTGCTTCCCAGGTAAGGTTCAACTGTAGGTGCCTGACGGCCTCTCCTGGGGTTGGACGATGCTATTTTCCACGTCTGCAACTCGAAGGCCAGCGACATCGACCATGAATTGGTGCCTACTGCTGCGAAATCTAAAGCAATAACCCGATGCCTTCTCGCATGCCGGACTTCATTCAGCCTGTTCGGCGGGGAGCTACCACAAAATACTTGAGGGGTGGAAACGCGGGCTTGTTTGGGCCAAATTGATTTCCGAATGCAGACAATGATGCGAGAGAGTTCTACGCACAGCCTGATGTAGCATACCTGACTACCTATGCAGGTACGGTGATAACATTAGAAGTACAGCCCTGGGAGTTATGCTTCCATCGAATGCCGCCTGGATTCCTTGCATCTGAGACCTCGGCTACGTCGAATCTGCTGGCTCCAACTCGGTGGCCACAATGCGATCAGTGGCCGCAACGGCGCGAGGCCCTGTCTAGGAGTGATTACCACTCCCATTTGCCTTTCCGCCGAGCTCAGACTCCGCCTCCTTCGCCGTGTTGGCAGCAGCAGCCTCCTTCGCCGCCTTGGCAGCAACATATGCCTCCTTGATCAGCCTCGCCAGCTCCGCCAGCTGCCGGATGTGGGCCTCGGTCTGCTTCACCGCCCTCTCGAGGTTGTAGCCGAAGTTGGCCATTCTCATCTGCTTTCCGCGGAAGTCGTCGATCTTGTTGATATGAGCATTGACGACCGCAATCATGGCCATGATGTTGTGGGGGCCTCTGTGGTGGAAGAAAGGGCTGCTGAATTGGCCGATGAGGTTCTCGACGGACAGGGTGCAGCTGTCGCAGGCTTTGTAGACGTCGAGCTGTAACTTCAGGTCTGCGGGGCGCTGGCGCCGGTCGTTGAGGAAGACCTGCTGTTGTCTGACCTGCCATCGCGTTCAATTGTTAGCACTCCCAATCAGACCCGTTGGGGCGAGACGGCGGTGGAGGCTGGGTGCGACACACCTGGTTCAAAGTCTTCGTGATATTATCGTACATTGAAGAGAAACAGCGCTCGCGTTGCCACGCATCTGGGGTCCAGATCTTAATTCGATGTGGAGGGGTATTCTGGCGCTCGAGGGCAGGTCGAGTAGGAGGGGCAAAAGCTCGCGCAGGGTCGTCGGGCTGGCCAGACGCGTCCAACACGTCGGGCTTGACAGGCACCTCGGTCTTGTTGGGCTTGCTGGGCTTGCTGGGCTTGCTGGGCTCGTCTGGCAAGTCGGTCATGGATTGATCGCATGGGCTGGAAGCCTGTCTCTCGGTCTTGTCAACTTCCATCTTGTCAGGCTTGTCATTGTCAGCCTTGCTTCCGCCGGTGTCCGCCATGGTGTCGCCGAGCATTCTGGGGGACGGCGCGTGCGAGCCTGTTGTCGTGTTGGACGTTGTTGGCGATATGCTGGAGCGGGCTGAGTAGTACTTCTCCAATCGCATGGATTTCTGGTCGGCTTGACGAGGTGGTGGTAGCCTTTGGCCAGAGGTCGGTGTTGTTGCGGCCTGGGGCTTGCGGCGACGCCAAAAACCACCTGGCCGCTCGTGGCGGGACTGCGCCTGCCCCATGAGTACCGTTTGGCTGGCCGGGCGCTCTTTTCCCAATAGCCTAGCCCCACCAGCGTGAACAAAACGGTTGAAGAAACGTTGATGGACACGTTTCAACCACCTGAACCCGCAATCCACTGGATGGGATGGTCGAGAAGCCCCTTGGATCAGGTCGGTTATGTCGGTGCAGAATGTAGTTTGGGTAGGTATGGCTAATGAAATGAACCGCCAGGCTTTGGGTTCTTCCAGCGCTTGATCCGGTCCAGGCAAAAGCAATGGAATGTTCCGGACTTCACTTGCCGTCAAGCGGGCTCCACGATAGTGACAGTCAGTGGTCGCTTGCCCTGGTAGCACATGCAGGGGACACTTCCACATTAGCCACAGTCCAGCCGTTCACTGTGATGCTCCCAGCATATAAGCACATCTGGAGAAGACAGTGACCTGGAACTAACCCATCACGAAGACGGCTCATGTTCTGTACTAGTAGTGCTCCAGGGGCGTGTGTTTGATATCCCTCCCCTACATCACCTAATCACCCTGTTGTGCCGGCATTGCCATCAATGATAGAAGTTAGGGACAAACAAAGATGCATGAAAGGGGTCTTAGGACTTCGGAGAAGCTGTATCCTTCCTTTCAGCTGCTTTCTCAGCCTGTCTCTCATTGTCACTATGATTTGTTTCAGAGAGAATGCTGGCCCACTCCACCATTTCTCTTGCATGAAACTGAGGCATCTTTCTTGCCAAGAATCATATCTATCAGCGGGCACTAGTTTCCAACAAGTAGGCTATACCTTCTCCAGCCAATAGCTCAAATACATTTGACCCTCATAGGGTTGCAATTTCTGCTCCTCCGGCTCTTCATATGTACTCAGTACCAGTTTCATAGCCTCGCTGTCCTTCCGATTTATCCCAAATGGTTGTACAGAGTCTGTATAGTTCAGGGCTATAACTGCCACCTTCTCACCGTATCTCTTGCGGTAGATGAATGTCTCATTGTTGTCAGGCTCGAGTAGCTCGAACGAGCCGTAGATGAGAACGTCTCGGTGCTCTTTCCGAAGCGCCAGTGCCTTTTTGTAAAAGCTCAGGACACTGTTAGCGTCGCCTCTCTGCTTTTCAACGTTGACCTCCGGGCAACAGTCATGGGCGCGCATCCAGGGCGTCGCAGCTGGCATTGTGAAGCCGCCATGCGGCGTTGCATCCCACTGCATCGGCAGCCGAGCATGGTCGCGGGCCATTATTTGCAGGCCCTTCATAATTCGATCCTTTCTTGTTGGGTCGGCTCCTGAATCAGACAGTCTCACGGCTTCTGCGTAGTGGCCCGCCGCTTCCACGTCTTTGTACTCGTCGATCGGCCACTCCCTCGGCGCATTGATCATCCCTATTTCTTGGCCTTGGTAAAGGAACAGTGTGCCAGTTTGGCCAATGAGACTCAACGCCAACATCTTTGCAGATTTCTCACGCCACTCGGGGCTGTCATTTCCAAACCGGGAGATGCTGCGGCCGTTGTCGTGGTTTTCGTTGAACACGGTCGTCCACCCATCCGTGTTCTCGATAAACGTCTGCCATTTCTCGACAATCCTTTTCATTTCTGAAAGTCTCCAGGGTTCGTAGTCATATTTCCCATCAAACCCATTTCCCTGGCCGAGATGGGTGAAGTCGAATTGGAAAACCATGCTGAGCTCCCGCGCCGCGGTCGAGACATACTCCAGAACACCTTCCGGGTCCGGGGTAAGGGAAAGCTCCCCGACCGTCACGAGCGGCCCATGATCGAAGGTCTGATACTTATCCAGCACCTCCCGCTTCATCTCCTTGCAAAACTCGTGGATCCTCGGGCCATTGCACCAGAACTGCGGCGCTGCTTGGAAGTAATTGTTTGGGTCTGTGATGGGCGCATCCACAAAGGGAAGAACTTTGCTGTACTTGTTCACAGTATCGACCCTGAAACCGTCTATGCCTTTGTCTAGCCAGAATCGCATAGCGCTCTGATAAATAGCTTTGCGGCACTCTTCGTTGTCCCAGTTAAGGTCCGGCTGTTCTGGTGCGTAGAGATGAAGATAGTACTCTTGGGTATGCTCGTCCCAAGTCCAAGTGCCGCCAGCGAAATAGCTTCGATAATTTGTCGGCGGCAGTCTGTTGCCTTTTTCATCATAACGAGCCGGCCTCCAGAAGTACCAGTCTCTTTTTGGGTTGTCTTTCGACGATCTCGATTCCTTGAACCATGCATGCTCAACCGAGGTATGATTGACCACGAGGTCTAGAATGAGCTTCATGTTCCGTTCGTGGCAGCCTTTTACCAACTTCTCGACATCTTCGACAGTGCCATAGGGCGCATAGACTGCTTCGTAATCAGAAATGTCATATCCCATGTCTACCTGTGGGCTCTCGAACATTGGCGATAGCCAGACGACGTCGACTCCAAGCTCCTCCAGGTAGTCCAGCTTGGATATCAGACCGTGAATATCTCCCCAACCGTCCCCATTAGAGTCCTTGAAGCTGGCCGGGTAGACCTAGCAGACCATGTCAGCGGTCGGTTGCGCATATCCTCGCGTCGAGGGGAATCGCTCACTTGATAGATGCATGCATCTTTCCACCATACGCGCTCATGCGCCGTGATGCCAACTTCATGCGACATGATCGCCAGACGAAAAATAACGTGCTGGGGGATCTCTTCGACAGGCCCCGGCGAGTGCTTTGAGAGGACGGATTCCCTGCCGTGCTTCCAAGGTGAAAGCTGATGACCTTTCAAAGTTTGTATTTTCTTGACTAACACATTTGGTGGGCTGTCCTTGGTCGGCGGGTAGCGAATGTTCGGAGCGCCGACCACGGACAGTCAAGCAGGACGAGGGTCGTGTGGAGACCGCCAAACCCCTCTCGTAATGCAGGCAAAGAGCTGGGCTCGGCATGCTAATAAGTCTGACAGCTGGCGGAGCATTCTGCCCTTGGCAAAATGGCGGGCGCCCCTGGTCTGCTGCCCCATCTACAGGCAGTCAGCCCGGGGTAGAATGTGTGTATACAAGCATTTCGAAATAAGAAAAAGCCCTTTGAGATCATCATCAAAGCCAAGACTGCGCAGCTACATGGTCTCGTCGGGCCGACAAGAGAGCGGCATTAGAGCACGCCACAGTCAACAAGTGTGCACTAGCTGGTTACTCAACCTGGTGTGCCAAGTCGCTGAGAATGGTCGCGGTGACCCATGCACCATGCCTCCATCCTAGCGCTGATGATGCTTGCCGGCAGTGGTCTGCCAAGCAGCGGAGGAGGGTCATTTGCTGGTCGCGGCCGTTGAACACTTCCTGTTTAGGACCTCATGACTGGCAACGGGCGCCGTGCAATTGACCGAGCCGCCCTCTATGGCTCGCTTACTTTCATGTTGTACCGCATTCCGGACCGGAGTGGGACAGCGACAGACCTACTAGTGCATTGCAGGTTCTGTCAAATATGGGGTAGGAAGATGGATGGTGAGATGTATTAGAGACAGGCAGCTTAATCGGCTTCTTCCGTTCCTCGATTCATCTAATCTTGAGAAACAACACATCGTTACCCAACATGTCGAGTCAACATGCGTCCGCTGGACATGCGCTTGATAGCATTTCCAAGCCCACCGCGGACCAGAATTCCGTCATGGGAGCCGAGACCATCATCAAGCCCAATGTCCAGGCTCAACATGCCGCCACGGAGGAAAAGACCATGTCTCTTGGCCAGGCACTCAAGCTATATCCGAAGGCCATCGGATGGTCAGTGCTACTCTCCTCGACCCTGATCATGGAAGGTTACGATCTCGCGCTGCTCGGTTCGCTCTATGCCTCTCCGCAGTTCAACATGAAGTATGGAGTCTGGAACGACTCGACCGGGGAGTACGCAGTGCCGGCCCCGTGGCAGTCCGCGCTTTCCAACGGCGCCCGCGCCGGCGAAGTCATTGGTCTCCTCGTCAATGGCATTGCATCTGACCGTTTTGGCTACCGCAAAACCATGATTGCTTCTTTGATGGCCATGATTGCATGCGTCTTCACAATATTCTTCGCACCCAACATCCAAATCCTCGTCCTCGGAGAGGTGCTCTGCGGCATACCATGGGGTGTGTTCCAAACTCTAAGCACAGCGTACGCGTCTGAAGTCAGCCCAGTCATTCTGAGGCCATATCTCACAACCTTCGTCAACATGTGCTGGGTGATGGGTCAATTCATCGCTGCGGGTGTCAACCGTGCCTCTGTCACCCGCGATGACCAGTGGGCTTATAAGATCCCCTTCGCAATCCAGTGGGTCTGGCCACCACTAATTCTGGCCGGGGTTATCTTTGCTCCAGAGAGGTATGTAATTAGAAGTACCGCCGATCCTAATGTTCCCATCTAACATCCTAAAAGTCCCTGGTGGCATGTTCGACAGGGCGACAACCAAGGTGCTAAGAGAGCGCTGCTACGACTGACGTCGAAAAACAATCCGGATTTTGACCCGGACGAGACCATTGCCATGATAGAGCATACCAATGAACTGGAGAAATCTCTCAAGGCGGGAACGACTTACTGGGATTGCTTGAAAGGAGTCGACCTTCGGCGGACTGAGATCGTCTGCATTCTTTGGGTCGGCCAGACACTTACAGGACAAAATTTGATGTAGGCCAAATCCATCCCATCCACATTTCCGCCATACTGATTCTAAACTCTTGCAGGGGATATTTCTCCTATTTCATGTCACAAGCCGGAATGGATACAATCCACTCGTTCGATTTGAGTCTCGCCCAGATGGCACTGGGCCTGATCGGGACAGCAGGCTCTTGGTACCTAATGTCGAGGGTTGGTCGCAGGACCATCCATCTCTGTGGTGTCGCCATGCTCTTCTCTATTCTACTCATCGTCGGCTGCATTTCCTTCGCCGGCACCAACGCATCTCTCTGGGCTACTGGCGCCATGCTCATCACCTTCACCTTCTTCTACGACTTTACGGTCGGGCCCGTTACCTACTCTCTCATCTCTGAGCTGTCTTCGACCCGCCTGAAAGCCAAGACCATCGTGTTGGCCCGCTCGCTCTACAACATCAGCAACATAGTCGTCAATGTACTGACCAACTACCAGCTTAGCAAGACATCGTGGAACTGGGGCGCCCGGACGGCCTTTTTCTGGGCAGGTACTTGCGGTTGCGTTCTTGTGTGGGTATACTTTCGCCTCCCTGAGCCTCGAGGCAGGACTTATGGGGAACTGGACTTACTTTTCGAACACCGTGTGCCAGCTCGCAAGTTCAAGAGCACCACCGTTGATCCATATGGTCAGGGAGCGTCATCTGTGATCAAGGCAAATTTTGAGGACAAAGAGTGACATTCATTTATGTGGTTTCGCTTCTAATCCATATACATCCGAGGACATACATGGCGCCTTTATACGGTGGTAAGCACTTAAGACCTAGCGCTTGGAAAGAATACGATGTCGATAAAAATAGTTATAATACGATAGGTGCTTGTGGCCTGAGCCTTACGACGCACAGACAAGGCTAAGGGGCACCGTCTTGACGACGGCGTTGACTAGAACGCCTGACATTCACATATGCGAGAAGTGTCATCAAAACGACCCTTAATTAAGCCCAGGTCGAAACAATTCCCCTTATTGTACACCCTAAAACCGATCGTGTAAAGCTTGAAGGCTCCTGTGAAGTAATTTAAAGGGTTCAATGACGCAGATTTTAATCTCGTCATTTTCAGAGCACGGGTCAAATATGACTGGTCCATGGTTAGAGTCATGTGGCTCGAGACGATATAAACCCAGCCATGGAGCATTTGAAGTACAGGTGGATTACCGGTAACTAGTCGAAGAATATCATGAAGTGATATTCGATGTCCGCCCCACGTTTTTCGTATGGAAGAAATTTGAACGACGAAACCCGCAAACGCGTCTGGTTCATATAATGATTCTCCTCCACGATCCGTTTTGAAAGCCGACAGAGCTTCGCGTGGCACATCCCCCGCGCACGGACAGTGAGCGATTTCATGTCCTCAACACCGTTCATTGCGAGATACACACTTCGTTTGAGTTTCTTAGAGTCTTTTCTTCTACTTCGCAAAATAACAGCTTCCGAATTGACTCAATCCGGCGATTGAGGCAAAAGCACCAAAAGCTCAGAATGACTTGATCGGCGCGCGGCTTAGTGTGATCGGGTCGGTCATCGTATGTCATATAAATCCTTTGAATGACTCTGCAAAAACACTTGCACGTCAGCTATGCGCGTGTCTCAAAGGAGCCCTGGAGTTTTCGCCAGCCAACCTTGTGGAAGTGGCACTTGCAGCTAGTTCGCCTGAGTGGGTGCTCAGACTTCGGTCTCGGAGAGGTATCGTGCACGCAGAACTTACAGCTGAGCAGAATCGTGGTCCGGGACGCCAAATTGTGCAATGACAGCCCCCTTCGCACCTGGACAACTGGTCTGGTAGAACTGCATCTCACTGCCGGAAGTGGGATGCCAAGCTGAACTTGGACCCAAAACATCGTAACCATAGTCCTGCAATGTTCTGACCCCAGGGTACGGTGGTAGCTCTGACAGTCCGTACCTAGGTAACTATCACGTCGTTGGGGCCTCGGCATTCCCGAAGGTTCCTCGTCACTGTGTGTGTGACACATAGTAGAAGTAGGAGCCGACTGAGGTGATGAAAGTAGTAAAATATCAACAAAGCGGCTTACAAGGCTGAATCGGCTGGTCGGATTCTTGCTATGCCTTCCGCTGCCGACTTCTGTAGCCCAAGACTTGCCATTCTTGTCCAACACGTGCTATCAGGGTGCACCCAAGCGGTTTTGACATTTTGAAGTTAGAACACCACGAAAGGAGATCGCTGCGCCAATTAAAACATGCGAAATAAACCTGCTGAAGTGATTCACACTTGCCCCATGACTAAACAAAGGCCGTGAATGGCACGAATCGGGGCAGACTGGACCAACAGGGTCCTTAGAGTGAGGCAACAAAGACCTATGTTTACGCTGGGATCCGGCTTCCTCCCCATGTCAGGCGGTTAGTTTCGTTCTCAGTCTGTATATCCGAAGGTGCATGCGTTCACTTTATTAATGAGAACGGAGATTCACAGGGCAAAAAACGGAGAGTACAGAGCAAGAAGTACCACCAGCCAATTAGAGAGCTTTATTCAACCTTACCTCACTACCTACACCACCCTAATTAAATACTTTTTATACCCTAACCTACAGACCTACCAATCTACAAAAAGGAGACTCAAAAAGAGATTCAGGTACTTAAGGACTTACTAAAACACCCTAAACAACAATAAGAAAAGTAGCAGCAAGCCACTAAAGTAGAAGAAGCAATAGGTATATAGAAGTAATAAGGGTAAGTAGAAGCGATAAAAATAGTATTTATATAGAGTAATAGATATATAAGTATATATTCTTACCTATACCTATATATTAAAATACTAGAATTTATAAGAAATCTAATATTTAAAGGTATAAATAGTTAGGTTATTAATTAGAAAAATTAACTATTAAAAAGTATTTATAAAAGTATAGTTTTAACTATTTATAAAGTTTATTTATATAATTAAACTATAAATTTATATTATTTCTTTTAAATAAATTATTCTTAATCTATTTATATAAATTATATCTTTTAATAATATTAGTTAGAATACTTTTAAAATTTTATTCTTTTCTTTATAATTTATTAAATTTACTTTTATTAATTAAATTAAAATAATATAATAATAATATACTTTAAGGTTTAAATTTTAATTTAAATTAATTTAAAAGGTTATTAAAATAAAAGAAAATATATAATATTTCTATTTTAATAAAAGTTTAGTTTTATTATAATAAAAGGTTTAAATTTAAATTTTAATTTAAATAATTTTTATTTTTAAATTATTTTATTTTAATTTAAAGTTTAATTATTAAATTTAATTAAATTATTTAAATTTAAAAGTTTTGTATAATTAATAAAATATTAATAAATAAATAATAATAGTTAATAATAATTAATAAAATTTATTAATTAAAGTAGTTATTTAATTTATTTTAATTATATTAATTTAATAAGTTTTTTAAAAATATTATTTTATTAATATATTATAAACTTTTATAAAATATTTATTATTAATATATATTAGAAAAAATTTATATTATTATATTTATTTTAAAATTTTTTATTAAAGTTTTAAAGAATATAAATATTTTTAATATAATAAATAGTAATTATTTATAAATTATTATAAAAGTTTATATTTATATATTTATTAATATATTTATAATATTTAATTATTTAAAATAAAAATATAAAGGAAAGCTTTATTTTTAAAAAAGATATAAATTTAATTTTTAATATTTTAAATTTAATTATATAATTCATATAATTAATATTTTATAATTAATTATTAACTATTTATAAAACTTTCTTTTTTATTTTATAAATTTTTATATATATATAATATATAATTTAAAAATTAAAAGGTATTATTTAAAAAATAAAAGCTATAATTATAAAACTTTAATATATAATTATATAATATAACTATTTATTAAATTAAGGTTTAAATATTATAATTAAAATTAATTAACTATTTATAAAAATTACTTTTTTAAATTATTATTTATTTTTAACTTTATTATTTTCTTTTAATTTATTAAATATAATTAAATATAAATAGAAATTATAATAATAATATTAACTTATAATAATTTTACTTATAAAGTAATTTATATTATTTAAAATTTATTTTTTAAGGTTTTAAAATATTAATAATTTTTTTATTAATATAAATATAACTTTATAAATTATATTAAATATAACTTTAATTTTAATTTAATTAATAATATATTTAATTATTATAAAAATAGAAACTTTATTTATAAATATAAAGTTAATTATTTAATAAATTAAAGGTATTAATAATATAATTAAATTAAAGTTAAAAAGTATTAAATAAAAGATTTTATTAATTAATACTTTATATTTTATAATTATTTATTATATAATAAGAGTAATTTCTAAATATTAATATTTTTAAATATTTTATAAATACTATTTTTAATTATAGTATAATTATAATTAAAATAGAATTTCTTAATAATTATTAATAAGTTATTAAACTTAAAAATTAAAAAGAAGAGTTATTAAAAGATAATTTTTATTTTATAAAAGAATCTTTTAAAATATTAATAAAGTTAGATTTTATATAAATAATTATTTAAAAAAAATAAAATATTTTTTATTTATTTAAATTAAATAATTTTAAAATTAACTTTTTATAAAAATATTTATAAATTATTTATAAATTTACTTTATTAAGTTAATATAATTTATAAATTTATTTTAATAAATTTCTTTTTTATTTAAAAAATAAAATATTTTTTATTTATTTAAATTAAATAATTTTAAAATTAACTTTTTTATAAAAATATTTATAAATTATTTATAAATTTACTTTATTAAGTTAATATAATTTATAAATTTATTTTAATAAATTTCTTTTTTATTTAAAATAAAAGTAATATTTTAAAAATTATATTTTTAAATAAATAAAATAAATAATTTATAAAAATATTAATTTTTAATATAATATATAATATAAATTTTATAATACTTTATAATATTTAAAAATATATAATTTAAAGGAATTAATTTATTTTAATATTAATAATTTTTAAAATTTATAGTTTATTAAAATTATAATTTTAATATTTTAAATTTAATAAAATTAATATTATAAAGTTAATAAAATTCTAAATAATTCTTATTTTTAAATAAAATATTATATTTATATATTAATAAACTTTTAAAAATATAAAATTAAATATAAAATAAAATTCTAATTATAAAGGTAAAATTATAAAAATAATATTAATATAATATTTATTTATATTAAATTTAATTATAAAAATAACTATTAAATAAAAGTTTTTATAATTAAAAGTAATAATAATATTTTTAATTTTATATTATTATTTTTATATTTTTTAAAAATATAAGAATTTAGTTTTTGTTATTAATATAGTTTATAAAAATATTAATTTACTTAAAGTAGTTATTTATTAAGTTATAAAAGTATTTAATAATATTAATAAAATTATAAACTTTAATTATAATTATTAATATAAAATAATTATAAATAATAATAACTTTTATTAAATTAATAATAATATTTTTTAAGATAAAAGTTAAGAAAACTTTTATTTAATAAATAAATTAGTTTTAAATATATTTAAAATAAAATTATAAATTATTAATTAAATAAATATAATTAATATATATTTATAAAGTTAATTTATAATATTTATTTAAATAGTAATATTATTTATTAAATTATATATAAATTTATAAAGTTTATAAAAACTTTTTAATAAACTTTTAAAATATAGTTAAGGTATTATAAAAGTTAAATAATATTATTAATTATTTATATAAATTAAATAATATAATAAAAGTAATTTCTTTTATAGTTTTAAAGTTTAATTAAATATATTAAAAGTTATTTTTAAATTTATAAAAGTATATTATTTATAGTTTATTATATATTAAATTTAATTTATAATATTAAATATAAAATATATATATTTTTAATATAATTATTTAATTAATAATAATTATAATAAAAATATTAAATAATTTATTTAAGTTAAGTTTCTTTTATATATAATTATAGGCTTTTAAATATAAAATAGAAAAATAAAATTAAAAACTTTTATTTTTATAAATAAATATATTTTTATAAACTTTAATAAAATTATATATAATTTATTTTATAAGGAATTAAATTATTTAAAAGAAATAAAAGGTATATAATTATTTATATTAATATAATAAATAGTTTTTAATAAAATATTTATATAATATTATTTTATTAAATAAATTAAAAACTTTTAAAGTATATTTTTAATATAAATAATAATTTAAAAGTTATTTATAAAAATATTTAAATATTATTTTAAAAATAAAAAAGGTTTTAATATTTAAAATATAATTTTTATAATTAAAAACTCTAACTTATATATTTTAAAAATATTAATTTAAATTAATTAAAAAATAAATAAATAAAGGGTTTTATTTTATATATAATATATTATTTATTAATAAAAATTATTTTATAAAAATATAAAATCCTTTAAAAGTTTATTAATTATAATAAATTTTATAATAATAAAAATATTTTTATAATTAAAAGTTAATATTATTAATATTATTTATTTATATAAAGTTTATAAATAAATATAATTAAAGTTATATTATTAAAGATTTAAAATAATAATAAATTTAAAAGTTATAATTAAAAAATATAAAAATTATAATTATTAATAAATTAAATATAAAAGGTTATAAAATACTTTTATATTTTTATAAAATAGTTTATTATAAAAAAATAAAGGATTATTAATATTTATTTTTATATAAAAGGTATTTTAATAACTTTAATCCTTAAAGTAAATATTATTAAAGATTTCTTTTAAAAGTTATTAATATTATTATTATCTTTTATATAAAAATAAAGTTATAATATTTTTCTTTTATTTAAAATTATTTTTAATAAAGTAAATTTAAGTATTTCTTTTAAGAATTTATTTTAAAGTAACCTTAATTAATTATTTTATTATATTAATTTATAATTATATTATATAATTAATTAAATAAATTAAATTATTTATTATTATAAAAACTTTTTAAAAGTAATATTTTAATTAATTAATAAATTATAAATATTTTTAAAAAATAAGTTTAACTTTATAATTTTTATTTAATAATTTTATTTATTATAATTAAAGTAAATATTATTTTTAAAATTATAATAATATAAAATTAATATTAATTATTAATATATTATAAATTAAGTCTTTAAAGGTAGGGTAAATAGTTTATTTATTAATTTATAAATTAAAAATTATTAATTATATTAAAATAATATTAATTAATTTAAATTATATAACTTTTAACTTTTAATAATACTTTAATTAATTTTTATATAATAAAAAGGTAATTATATTATAAAATTAAACTATTATTTTAAAATAATAAAGATTTTATTTAATTATTTTATTAATATAAACTTTAATATATTTAATAAGTTTTTATAATTATTATAATTATTAAATAAAATAATTTATTAATAATTTTAATATAAATATTTAATTAATTAATAAAGATTTTTTAAATAAAATAATATAAATTATTATAAATTATTACTATAATAATAAAAGTTTAAAAACTTTTAAAAATATTAAGTAAAGTTAATATATAATTTATTTTTATAAAATAAAAAAGTTAAAAGAATATAATTTAAAAATAAAGAATATTATATTAATTTAAAATTTATATAATTATTTTTATAAAAATAAATTAATTTAATTTATTAGTAAATATTTATTTAATAAAATTATTAAAGTTATTTAATAATTTTATAAAACTTTATTTAATTATAATTTATAAAAATTATAAAAGTATAAAGTTAAATTTATACCTTTTAATTTATTAAAATAAAAGTATTTATAATATTAAGTTAAAGGTTTTTAAAAGGAAACTTTTATATTAAAAGGCTTTAAAAATTAAATTTATTAAATAAAATTATTATAAAAAAGCTTTTATAAATAAATCTTTATTAATATAATAAACTTTTATAAAAATTATATAATTAATATTAAAAGTTAATTATATTATTTTTATATTAATTTTAAAAGTTTAAAATTATTAAAAGTTTATTATTAAAAGGTATAAATTTATTAAAATAATAATTTTATTTATTTTATTTAATATAATAAAACTATATTTTATTAAAATATATAATAATTAAATTAAACCTTTAATTAATATAATTATTTTAAATAATATAAGTTATTTTAATAACTTTAAGTTTAATATTATATTTTTATTTAATTTTTAAGTTATTATTTATAATTTTTATTAAATTATAAAAATAAGTATTTAAAGTATTAAAAGTTTATAAACTTAATATATTAATTAATAAACTTTAAAGTATTTTTTAATTATAAATTTATTAATAAAAACTTATAATTAATAGATATTTTAAAAAAATTATTAATAAATTAACTTTATTAAATATTATAAAATATTAAATAAAAAATTAATTAAAATAAAAAATTAATATAAAATAATAAAATTAATATTTATTAATATATTTTTAATTTAATTATAAATTAATTATATTAATAATAATAATATAAAAAATATAATATTTATTATTAAAACTTTTAATTAATTTAAAATTATTTATTTATAAATAATAATTATTAATAAATAGATATTATTATTATTTAATTTAATAAATAAAGTTTTTTTATAATTATTATTATCATTAAAGGTAATTTAGTTTTATATAGTTAAGGTATAAATATTTATTTTAAATTAAGTAATAGTTAAATTAATAATTATTTAAAATATATTTAATAGTTTTAAAGTTAATTATAATTATTTTTATTAAATATAAAAGTAAAATAAAGTTTTTAATAAAAATAATTATTTTTATATATTTTTATTTATATTTATATATTAAAATATTAAAATTTATAAGGAATTTAATATTTAAAAATATAAATAGTTAAGTTATTAATTAAAAGAATTAATTATTAAAGAGTACCTATAAAAATATAGTTTTAACTACCTATAGGGCTTACTTATATAACTAGACTATAGATCCATATAAATATAAAGTAGTTAATAACTATATATTATTATTTTATATAGTAGATTAGTAGTGTAAATTAAGGTTGGCGCACTGGGGGTACATGTTGCCCTATACCCTCCGTTTTTTGCCCTGCGAATCTCCGTTCTCTTATTAATAGAGCATCAAAAAGCCCTTCCTTCATTCCATCCTGCAAGTTGCATGGTGTGTGAGCCGAAAAGTACTGGGCCAGACTGATACTTACTGCAGCGAAACCCTTTCTCGACAGCCAGTCTAGCGCCCGTGCCGCAATATTTGTAGACAACTTGAATATGGCCATGGTGTTGCATATCTTCATCGCTCAATACACATTTTGTCACGCGGAACCCGTGGTTGGGAAAGACACCCATCTTGATACTTAATTACCTCGTTACCTAAACAGATATCAGGAGCATACCTAGGTACTAGTAGCAAGCCTCACTTTTGGTTGTAATGGGCACAAATGCACATTTAGACCAACTTAATACCGGGTATTCAATTTGACAGCAATCTCGGCAGCATTCAGATTCTTCAAGTTTTCATAACCTTGTTACTTTGTGATCAGTCGACAAGCGAAGTAGACATGCTCACACGCGTCATTCAAAACTTTAGAATGTGTGAAACTAAGCATGTATATTAGAGCCTGTAGTAAAGTCGGTTCAGGCTTTGGGGCAAGTACCTGATTTTTAGAGAGCACGCCACTTCATTGAACCCGGGAACATACTAAATAATCACCTGGGTCGATTTGAAACACAATTTTACTTCCAAAGTACAGACGCACTGTGATGATGGGACCCTAGTCCGGTACCGACCTCTTCGAGGGAAACTTGGAAGTGCCAGCATCTTACGACACAAAATCATAGAGACTGCTCGTTCTTACGATAATGTCATTATGATATCCGTTAGGGGTTGAAGCCCCGGCTGTACGAAAGTCTTCCCAGACACTTCCAGGGCAGTTGTCATGATAGGTAAAGAAGGTGTTTGCACACGAGGTTGGTGAGAACGACCAGAGGATCCACATGATCCACTTCGGACGTGCTCTCACCCACAGGTCAGGTACCTGCTTGGCCAAGGCACGTCATTTCATCTTGTTGCAGATAGTACACAAAAGGCTGCAAGGTGTTAACCAGGTTAATCACACTTGATCGCCATAGCAGGGTAAACCGTTGGTAGTGAAATCAAACTCAGTCCTTCCGAATTGATGCACAGCATCGCCGGATGCGGGAGTAGTTTGTTTGTAACCCTCTGTAATGAAGATGGCAGTCATTGGTGCAGGAATGCGGGGACGAAGCCAGGTACGCGCTCTGTATTGACTTCGGCCCGCGTCGGAGCTCATACTATTAGACGCGCAGTATATTGCCAAGGTCTGCTTCTTACAGGGGCACTGGAATTGGTGCGCGTATAGGTCTGTCTTGGCTGCCCGTGCTCTATGTGGGTCTGACGGAACAGTTGAGTGACACATGATCACGAGAACTTGGACCGCCGGTGTTATGTTGTCCGGGCTCCCCAATGCGACCTCGGGACTTTAAAGTGATGCATATGTTTATGGTATATAAGCACGACTATGTGAGAAAAAGGCGTCGACGTGGGTGAAAAGGCACTGGTACACATTCTGGACCGCCCTCGTCGAGAAGGTTGTGCACACCCCAGACACCCAACATGCATTTGTTACGGACCGCCTTCCTCGGCCTTGTGGGCCTGTTGACACTGCAAGTCACAGCCACACCAACACCGTCGATTGAGGAGCGCCAAACAGCAACTATCTCTAATCGGGTCATCTTCTCTCCCCCGACGAATGCTGGATGGGTCGACCCGCGAGTTTTGTACGCTCGGGCGGTTCAACTGAAGTCTGGAGCTCTGATCGCTACCTGGGAGAATTATTCTCCTGAACCCCCGGCTGTCTACTTTCCCATCTTTAGGTCGACAGATGGTGGTTCAACGTGGGCTGAGATTGGTCGAGTTCAGGACACCGTCAACGGTTGGGGCTTGCGATACCAGCCTTACTTGTACGAGTTGCCCAGTGCCATCGGAAGGTTTCCTGCCGGCACTCTACTCCTTGCTGGCAACAGCATTCCAACGGACCTCAGCAAGACCAAGATCGATGTCTATGCCAGCACCGATGGTGGCGTGAGCTGGTCTTTTGCTAGCAGTGTAGCAGCTGGAGGTGAAGCCCGGCCGAACAACGGGTTGACTCCTGTTTGGGAACCTCTGCTCATGTGAGTCTTACGAGTTCTTCTCTTCACAAAATGAGTTCATGCCCCAGGGGACAAGACTGACTGACACGTTGGTAGGGTTTATAACAACCAGCTGGTTTGCTACTATGCCGATCAGCGCGACTCAAGGAATGGACAGAAGCTTTCGCACCAGATAACTACCGACCTAGTTTCTTGGAGTGCCCCAGTTGACGACGTGAGAGATGCAAGTAACTACGAAGCGCGCCCCGGAATGCCAGCCGTTGTCAAGCTTCCCAACAACAACTATATCTTCGCCTATGAGATGTGCGGAACCGATGGCTGCCGTGTGCACTACCGGATCACTAGCAACCCACTCAACGTCGCTGCCGCCACCGATTTCACGCTGAGATCCACGGCCGGAACTGTACCCACTAGCTCGCCATATGTGGTCTGGTCCAGCGTCGGAGGGGCCAACGGCACAATTATCCTCAGCGGCGGAAGTCAGTCGGCTATCTTCACGAACAGAGCGCTGGGTGCGTCGAACGCGTGGATTCAGTACAACACTCCACAGCCCAACGCGTACTCTCGCGGGCTGGCCCTCTTCCAGAATGATGCCAACAAGCTTGCTATTATTGGGGGAGGCTGGCTGCCACCGAGCAGCACCAACCAGGTCAGCATCAGCGTTATTGACATTGGAGCTACGATTGGGGCCTGATTTGAGTTGGGAGCTTGGGATCCGGGGACAACCCATGACACAGCGACTTGAGTTGGGAAAGTCTGACAGGGGTGGCTACACCACTGCTGCAAGCATAGTCAAACTTGAACATACCTAGGTAGCAAACAATCCATCATCAGTCGCGCGCATGAGGACATCGGATTTTGGTCGTAAGTAGTGGTAACTATTGTAGCCATTGCGTTTGTGAAAATACTGGCGTAAGCCATTTGAGGTATCGTCATAATGTGGAATGGCACGGCACCCTGTTTCGTGCATAAGGCAGCGTGCATCTGACATTCCCTACCATAGGGACCATGCGTTTGCTTGTCTGGGAGGATGCAAGTCAGCATCCGTCATACGCGTGAGAGTGGCGCAGTTCTGTCACTAGCCTACCTGGGTCGACCACGCTACACTGAGGAGGCCTCTAGCTTATCAGTGTGACCTCAGCTGAGGCAGCCTGTAAGGCACCTGAAAGTAATCCAACTGCTTCTCTATATTCAGGCCTGCATTATTTAACCACGTCGCCGTCAGACTTGGCCCCTCCGAGGTCTTCCTCCCGCCAGCGAAACGCTTTACACAAAAGTACAACCATAAGCCTAATATACATCACAGCCAGCATGCAGATCCCGTATAATCAATATGCCCAGCCTCAGGACCCGCGCAGCCCATCCCCATATGCGCCTTCTTCCCCCTATCAGCAACAGAGTGGGCCTTATGAGGCTCCGCAGCAACCACCCTACGGATCTCCGGGTGGCCCTCCGCCGTCGTATAATCAGTATGCGCTGCCAAGCAACCAACCATATCCTCACCAGTCGCAACCGAGCTACTCTGGACACCAGTCACCCTACCAGGACTCACAGTCTCCTCCTCCCCAAGGCTATCAATACAGCGCACCAGCTCAGCAACAGTACGCATCTCCACCACCAAGTCACTCCCCGTACCAGCGAGAGCCACCAAGCCACCCACAGGGCTCACCGTCTCAGAGCGAATATGGCGCAGCTGCAAGCTATATGAACCCGGGCCAGCCGGATGACCAAGAGCGCGGAGTAATGGGTGCCCTAGCCGGCGGCGCGGCCGGAGCATGGGCGGGCCACAAGGTGAACCACGGCTTCCTGGGTGCTCTGGGCGGCGCATTTGCGGGTCACAAGCTGCAGGACGCCATCAGCGACCACAACAAGCAAAAGAAGGAGGAGAAGAAGCAATCCCACTCGCCCCGGCCACAGCAGCACGCACAACAGCCGCCGCCGCCTTCGCACTCCCCAAGGCCGCACTACGCGGGCAACTTCTCCGCCTCGTCTAGTCAGATGAACATCGACGGGGACTACGACCTCATCGCCTCGTGCAGGCGCATGGACGGGAGCCAGAGGTTGACTTCCATCAGCCTGAACAACTGCCTGACGAATACTGATGGGCATTTCCGGTGGGCCAAGGGTGGCAACTTTGGCGCCTCGGCCAGGAACGTGCGCCTTATTGACGGTGGTCGGACTCTGGAGGCTGAGCTCAGGAATTGTGGTGGCGGCTGGGTGTGGGACCGTATCGCGCTGGATGAGAAGATTTCGAACCGCAATGGGGACTTGGTGATGTTGTGAGAATCGACGATGAATCACTGAGCCAAGGGGCTGCCGCAGTGGTCGACAACTCTGTGAATGGCACTCTCCAGGAAATTTAGGGTGATCATGAAAGTGATTTTCTTAAAGTCTACCCCGTCGGTCTACCTCCATGCCAGGCTCTGCGGATTCCCGTTGACACTTAGCCGTCGAACTCTCTGCTCACAAGGCTGGTTGTTCAGGAAAAGATACGCCATACTGTCAATTTGGATATGATATGAAATCAGGATGGCCATGCAGCTTGATGGAGGTGCTTCATCATCGCCATCTTCGCTCGTGTTTAAGTGGACCGTCCGTCGAGCAATGCACACATCATGACACGCGTGGTCTTATCTACGCCGGGCACTCTAATAAGTCTCCAACTTCAAGGTCATGTCACAAGACTCTCATGTCAGCCAGCCAGCCAGCCAGCCAGTGTAACCTTATCTCCACTGGGGTACCCTATCAATCCGACGTGCCAAGCGTCATGTTCCGAGCCATGCCTATGGGCACGATGATAGCGTAGCGGCAACTCTACTTGATCGTCTTCCCCACTGTCCACTGTCCACAATGTACGGGGGTCCGGAAACTACCGTCATTTCATCAGCTGTATCATGGCTGCCCCAAACCCGATGGCTGGTAGCCACCAGCGGCATGTCTCGTCATCAGAGGCGGCGTGTTACCACTCGGCTCAGCTAGGTGCGTACCAATGTGCTGCATCGGAAGACCGCTGGTAACCACTCACAGGGCGTACCAGGGAGCTTTACGAACGCCCTAGTTGAGCTGGCTATATTGCCGATTCCAGGATGCGGGCCTTCCTCACGACAGAGCCAGGGTCGTGTGAGGGGGGACTGGACCATCTATCGGAGCTTGATCTGAGACAGGACATTAGCCCACAGCTTGATAGGTCAAGATAAGGCTTATCTCTTCCACACACTCTCCCGAATATTCATATAAGGAAGGGGCTTGTTAGCTTGGTGCGTATATGAACTTGTAGAGTCTGCGTGACTCTTTGTTGCCCCAGGTAGCCCCTTCTCGACCTAAACGTAGTGTTCACAGCCTTGAAAAGGTTTTCCAGGGCCTGGGTAACGATCGAGTCTTTTGTGGTGGAAACAACATCCGAAAGATGCATTCGTTTGAGAATGCCGATTCAGAAAAGAAAGCTGCCATCTTGCAGCCCTCGAGCGGCGAGGAAGATGGTCAACCGCCGGTGGCTCTCGGGACAGTCACGGAACTTCACGACCTGACCGTCCTAGGCTATAAACCCGAGCTTCGCCGCAACCGGTCCATGTTTACATTGCTCTTCCAGTCATTAGCCATTGCAGCGGTCAGTACCAGCCATATGTGACGCCGTTTGTCCATGCTGCCGCTGACCGGGAACACAGATTCCGTACGGCTTCGGCGGACCCCTCATATCTGCCATCTATGGCGGTGGTGAGTGTTCAAGCTTCAGACTAGGCCGTTCAACCTCATGCTAAACCCTTTTTCAGGTCAACTCCCAATGTTCCTCGGATGGGTGGTCGTTCTAATCGTCGATGAATGCGTGGCTTTATCCCTCGGAGAATTCGCGTCCAAATACCCAACGTCTGCTGGGCCTTACTACTGGTCTTTCCAGCTGGCAAGTCCTAGTGTGCGAACGGTCTTGTCGTTCATTACCGGTAGGTTTCTTCTATGACCCAGAACCAGTCCAGCATTCCCTCGATTTGAGCCTGGAAACAAAGACCCCGATTTTCCAATTAACAACAACATGATGACTAGGATGGACTTGGCTCATTGGAAACTGGACGATCACGCTGAGCGTCAACTTCGGGTTCGCCTCTTTAATCGCTGCGACCGTCGCGCTTTACCATCCAGACTGGACGCCAGAGTCATGGCAGCTGCTTCTGATATTCTACGCCATCTGCTTGATCACATTTGCCATTGTTGCTTACGGGAATAAACTGCTCCCCATGGTCGACACCATTTGTGCCGCGTTTACAGCACTCAGCATCCTGATCACCTTGATCTGCCTGTCAGCAAAGGCCTCAGTCGGTAGGCACTCAGCGAGAGACACCTTGGTGAGGCATTCCTGACATATCCTGGAAACCCCGGTGGGGCTAATCAGCTGGTAGGGGTATTATGATACATCTCTCTCCGGCTGGGGAGGATTTTCATTCTTCATCGGCATGCTGCCCGCGGCATACACGTGAGCATTTCCCTAGTTTCTTGAGACTCAACCAGAACCGCAGAATAACAAGCGTACAGATTCTCGGCTATCGGCATGATCACATCAATGGCGGAAGAATGCGGCGACCCCACGACAAAGCTGCCAAAGGCCATCTCGCTCTGCGTTCCCGTCGGGGGGATCGCCGGCCTCTTCTTCATTATCCCTATTTGCGCGACTCTGCCGCCGTTGGAAGACATCCTGGGTGCACCGGTTGGGCAGGCACTGCCGTACATTTTTGGAGTGGTCATGGACTCGCCCGGCGGCGGGCTTGGCCTCACGTTCCTCGTCCTGGTGATCACGCTGTTCTGTTCCATTTCCATTACGGTAGCTGCATCCCGATGCACGTGGGCATTCGCGCGCGACAAGGCTCTGCCATTGTCACGGCTTTGGTCTCAGGTTGATACTCGGCACGGCACGCCCATTTGGGCTCTGGTACTGGTGAGATCACTTCCAGACACATACATGATCATCGTGTTGCTCTCTTGAGCAAGAGAATCGTACTAATCCTGCACAATGACCACAGACCACAATTGTACAAATGCTGCTCGGACTAATCAATCTCGGATCATCGTCTGCTTTCTTGGCCTTTGTCTCGGTTGGAGTCATCTCCTTGGCCGTGTCGTATGGGATTCCTATCTCTATCTCACTCTTCCACCGCCGCAGAGATGTCAATGGCGCACGGTGGACCATGGGAAGCACTGTCGGCTGGGTCGTCAATATCATCGCCCTTCTGTGGATTGCTTTTGAGATGATTCTGTTTTCAATGCCAACTGTGCTTCCGGTCACGGAAGCGTCAATGAACTACGCGATTGTGGTTTTCTTTGGCTTTATGGCCATCAGTGCGGCATGGTATGCAGTTCATGCCCGGAAAGGTAAGCATACTACTGCAGATCCTTTTTTGTCCTTTGCTAACACGACTTACTCCAGTGTATAAGGGACCGCCAGAGTCAGATGGATTGGTCGTGGCTCCTTAAAGCACTCTAATTACCTAGGTATAATGTGGAGCCGTCACATTGAAACTCCCCCTCACTGCATCAAAGCGCGCTCCACACAAAGTTGCCTTTAGGCGCCACGTCTTGTCAAAAATGTTGGACGTAGACTTTCTGTAGCATAAATCTATTTGCTGGCGGTTCTTAAGATGCGCCTTGTCCGTCTTCTTCGTCGCCATCGAGGTCATCCATGTGCTCCCTAGCCCAAGGACTTCTCTCCCGAAGCAGTCTGCCATGTCTGCTCCACACAAAAGGGATCGGCACCAGTATCACTGCAAGACCAGCGAGAAGCGTTCCTGCCCATTGGTAGCCCATTTTAGTGAATAGACCGTGCGCAAAGAGAGGGAAGGCCGCGCCGAAGAGATTGCGAATAAGCCCAATACCAGCTAGTGCGGAAGCTGAATAGACCTTGTATGAGTCCTCTGTGTATGTGAACGTCCTGTTCATCGTCAGTGACTGCTCCCTTGCATCAAAAAATGTGGATCATTTGGAACTTGGAGAACCAGATACTGCAAGTCGTAGAGTCTTACATGAGAATGAGAGTGTAAAAGCTGAATCCCCATAGAGCCGATGCTAGAACAGGGAAAATTGGGTGGATATGAGGGCTAGTTGTCAAAGCAAAGAGAAGCAAAGACACCGGGAATACTATTTTCATAGAGTCAGCAGGACAGCCTCGGTCTCATTGGAAATAAGCGCAATATTGGACTCACAGATAGCAGCAATTTTTGGCAGCAACCCAACTCGCGCCTCTGGGACATTCTTGCCACCGGATTCCTCGACACGTCTCTGATAGTGTCTCTCCTGCCAAATATTCGCAATGGGGCCGAGACTGATACCAACGACGAGGCCGAGGAAGCAAATGCCCACACCTATTGCGTCGAAGCCGTGGCCCTGGCCAAAGACCAGGGCAAACGCGGTGTTGAAAAGGAAGCTGAGGCCGTAGAGATACCCATTGTAGAGAGCAGCGCACACAATGATAAGCTCTGTAGCGAGAAACCTGAAAGGTCTGGCAAGGGTGACGGTGAAGAGATCTTTCACGCTCCTTTGCTTCAGGTTCTCAGGGACATCGATACTTGCCTCGTCGCTGTTGTGCTTGCGTTCATGTTCGACTCGTCTGGCGAGAATTATGCTGTGACGGGTCTCTCCACAGTATATGAGTGATGCTGTCATGAAGACCCATAAGCTGCCACAGATGGCAAGCAAGGCCCAGAAGACATCTCGCCAGCCCCTGTGGTGGGCCACAAAGGACATCATGAAGAAGCCAGACGGAGACCCGCAGGTAGCCGCCCAGAGGTACAAGGACATGGCGGGACCGGTATCATGAGGATGATAGAGATCTGCAATGGTCCCGCCAAAATTTGCTGATTCATTTCAGTAACTCTGTCTCAAGTGTCGCGTTCGAGATATTTCAATCCTTACCAATGGTCACGGAAGCAAAGTAGCCTGACAGCAGCCTCACCGGTAGGAACACTGCAAGATTTGGGGCCACAGCTGATGCCGCAAGGAGGCATAGGTAAACGAAGTAAGAGTAAATGTAGACCGGCCGTCTTCCATAGTACTGCGAGATCCTTAGCTGTGAACGAAGCAGCGTTGACACTGTCGCCGTGGACAAACCTCGGAAAGGGGGGCCAATGTCATCTGAAAAGTGTACACATGTTAGCCTCCTGCTTCTGAATTCAAAACAGCACATTTACTGACAGGTCCAAATGCCAGCCCCAGTACGTAGGCGGATAGCCCCAAAGTTCCCATACCCGGTGGCAGTCCAAAGTCCTCGGCAAACTTTTTGCTGGCGGGCGAGAATCCAGAGGCACCCCAGCTGACCGACAAATCGATGAGGAGGATGGGACCAATCATTAGCCATTTCTTGGAGCGCGGCCAGTTCCGGGGGTCTTCTGGGTCTCCAGGAGAGAAATGCACAACCGTCGTCGCATGATGTTGGCTGCCATAGTCCCTGCGTTGGCTTGCCGAGCCCAGCAGCGGCTGTTGTACGGAGAGTGTCTGGTCTGCCATCTTCTGTGAGATTGTTGAACTCAAGTGCTGCCACCGAGAGAATGTCTGGAAATGTCTCAAATAAGCGGGGCAGACTCTTCCAAAATGCCACAGCGAAACGTTGCACTACCTCTGACGAGGCCTGGTGTTTAGAAGACACCCCTCATGCGCTCTTATCATGGGGTGGAGCTGCCGCGGTCACGCCTTCGACGACGTTTTGAGATAAGCGACGATTCCACAGCAGAAGCTAGAGCAGAAGCTAGCTGAACGGTGATCACAGCGCCCTGCTCGTTTAACTGTAAATCGCCTGTATAGCTGGGCTGCATGGGACGGTCAAAGCTACCTCGACATAGATGATGCAGTGGAAATAAAGACCTCCCTACTATTAATAACGCAAGATATTTGTTGACTCGCTGATGCTGGCTTCCGAGGTGGTCAAGTGACCCGTACTAGCACATGACGTCGGAGATGGGAGGGACAAGCAGGGACGTCCGAACCCGGACCCTGCCTTGTTAGCACCTGTAGGCGAAGGACCCGACCAGCGTGATGCGAATTCATGTCCAGGTCGGAGAACACCGCCTCGTGCGTCTGAACATGTCTACATTATGAGCAATGAATTAATATCTGAACATGATCTGACGTGGCGAAGGTCACCAAATAGCAGTTATGCTCAAGCGACACAGAAACAACCCATGCCGCGGCCTTCACCAGAGACCAACAGGCCTTCAATGTTCCTCGAACGAGGATTTCAGAAAAATGAATCTATACGTCTAGTTGCCAGCGTCACTTGATGAACACTCATGGTTTCCACGTCGGTGCATAATTCAATGTCAATTTTGTATAGTTTAGGCTAATACGATCGTCAATTTTGGCATGATAGCGTGCTCAAGTGCTGGTATCGACCTGGGCGCCACAACAAAGCCCTCCTTCCACCGTCCTCACATCGTGCGTAAGTATGTTATAATTAAGCGCCGTTGACTATAATTACAAGTTTCCATCACAGGCCCAAATTGATATGGACAACGTTCCAGAGCCATAATGCAAGGTGGCAGACTTCATCCAAAGCAATTAGAGGCTTCAAAAGACAACCAGACTCGCATCAGTCAATTGCGTCCTCAAAAGCAGACTAGTAGTAAAGTGCAATCGCCAGAGATAAACGCAGGACTAATGTCAAATTTTTAATCGTTTCTCATCCGGGCTTATTATACTTTTCCCCCATCACGAGCACCTCGTGTTGTGGCTGCTACTCAAATTATCACCCAAACTCAAATCGTACCGGAAGAGTTCCCTGGCCATTATTAATAGCATATCATAGTACGGCCCAGAAAGAGCAACCCACATCGAGGAATACCACGTCGCCTTGTTCTCATTTCACTGCAGCCTGCGACGAATCTGCTACCAAAGGTGCCAAGTCGAGACATTTGCTCTCGATGGCGCTTCCATCCCAGTAAGAATAGGGGAATGGTATGAGCTATCGTCGACTCGATAGGGTGGTTGAGTCGCTCCATGATGCTTGCTGCGGCCCCAGGCACTGGTGAGATTACCGAACCAAATGGCAAGGCCGCGATCATCTGTTCTTTATAACTAAAATATCGATTTATTTCACAAGCCCTCTTGCTTGAAGAACAGCCATGACATATATTTGGAACATTATAAGTGACGCTCATAAATATCATCATGCGATTGGAACTCGTGGCTCTGCTGTCTGACCTGTTATTCGACCTTCTTTCGCACCATATTCCGCATCGTTATGAGGCAAGATCGGTAGTTCTGGTGAGTTTTTGGAATATCGAGGACCTCTTCAGTCCATGACGCTGTAATAAAAGGACACAGGAACACCTGGTGCGCACAATTTCACTTTGACCGCTACTTATGTCTTTTGTACTGCTTGCAGTGGTCAGTCAGCTGTTTCTTTCCATGACAATAAGGCCTTGCCCGACTGGTCTCTTGGTTGATGGTATCCCGTATACTGCCCTTTTCCAAGCATGATGTTAGCTGTTGAATTTGTAAATAGAGCTGAACCTATTGTATCTTGATCACAGTCATAGAAACTGTTGGTCTTTTTAAACGCTGGGTCTTGTTACCACGGTATGAGGGTGCCATGTATGTCTTCGGATGTATATGGAATAGAAGCGAAACCACATACGGAATAGAAGCGATACAACTTATCGACATTGTATGTTTTTAAAATGCTTAGTCTTTAAGCTTTAACCACTGTATGAAAGCGCCGCGTATGGCTCCGGACATATACGGAATAGAAACGAAACCAGGTGAAGGGGGCTGGGATGCCAGTACCAAAGATATAATTCCATGCAGGTGTTGAATCGCATGTACTCAAGTGTAATAAGATCATATACTCTGTAGCATCATTCGAATTGGTACCCATATATGTACTAAATGTGTACTAAAGGAAAAGCTGAACGGCATCCTCAAAATTGGAGCGACCAGACTCCTCGCTCGGTATGAGGAACAGCTTCCGACGGACACCATTTATCAGCACCCCTATTTCCACGGGACAGCTAGTCTGAGGGTACAGCCTCGTCGGCTGTACCAAGCCAGCAAGGTCGTCTTCAAGGCCCAAAGTCTGGAAGCCGTGTCTCCCAAACCGCGACATACATTCTTCGTGTAATGACTCCCACTGAGCCAACCAACTCGACACCTCAGCGGGTTCAAGGTGGCCTGCTACTCGTAACGAATCCCAGCTCGCGAGTAGAGTCTTTCTGTCTTCTTTGCCGTGTATTTCCACCAAAGCAGCAGCAAAAACACTGGCGGCAAAGACGAGTACGTCCAAGAGACCAGATTCCCTTTGCAATTTATAGACGTCTTGCAATAGGCCACCAACTTGGGCAAGAGGCCCTTGTATATTCTTCTCCTGTACCATCTGCGTCAGTCGAGACAGGTATAAACGCAGTGCTCGACATTGTGATGAGAACAAAAGGGCGCGTGGGACAAGAAAGCAGAGCTCGGCGAAAGATGTGATGTCGTCTCTAACATGATACTGTATTTGGTCGAAAGTTCTTTCCATAGACTGCCATCCGAGCCTTGCGTCACAATCTAAAGCATTGAGTGCTTCAAATACACCATCCAGTAACCTGGGGCCGGAGCTGTTCCTGAGAAGGCTGAACTTGCATGATGGAGATGGTCTGGGAGAGTGGGTAGAAGTATGGGTATGGGACTCCAAAAGTTGCTTAATGGCCGTGAATACAGTTGCTTTTTGATGGAAGTCCTTGAAATCCAAGGAAAATAAGTTGCACCGCGTCAAATCAGCCCTGGAAGAAGTGCGCTGTTCTTCTTGTCTTCGGTCGTCTTTCCCCGGTGGCTCACAGATCCCGAGCTGGGACGGGGCAAGCGCAGGTTCTCGACACTTGGGCTGCTTCTCTCTTCGTTGGGATTTCGTTGTATATTTGTACCAACCCCAAAGCCGAAAACGTCTTTTGTACATCTTCTCGCTGAGGGTGGTCAGCAACCTATCTTACAATGTTGCCCAGACAATGGCAGTCGAGACTCACGTTGCAGTAAAGCCATGCCGTTCTCGCATGCAGGCCATGGTGGCGGTGAGAGTTTGATTCTCATTCAAATAAATATGCTCAATAGTAGGCTTCTTCTCGTCCCATTCCGTCTCTTTAGGTGCTGCTTGCTTGGTGGCCAATGGATCTTCAATTGCTTGAAGTGCCATAGGCCCAGTAGGAGGATCAGTAATCCATGAGTGAAGGACGTCCATGTCAAATATCTCAGAAACCCCCTGATCGAAGCCTAGTTGCTCAAGGCAAAGTGAGTCCATTTCGACGAGACGCGCAGTGCTGTACAGGTTATATGACGGCTTGTGAGCGGACAGGATACGAGGGCGTCCGGATTGGAACAATTACGAAGGTCTTGACAATTCTTATGAGGAGACTGGATTACAAGGCAACTATCCCCCGACCGTCAGATTTAAGTGCGCCCAGAAATGCCACCAATACCCCGCCTATTGAGGCTTTCTGGCACATGCATACCTGTTTCTGCAAGGACTTTTCAGGGCTTTTCCGTAAGCCAATGGTATCAAAAGTCTTCATGCACCGCCATTGCGCTATGCCTAATGTCGCAGGCTGTGTCACTCCGTTCTGCGCAAGCAAAAGGACCCCTGCAAGGCACACTGTTTGCTTCAGGTGCGGAGCTTCGAAGCCTTTCAAATGGCTTCGTGGAGACCGAACATCTTCGCAGTATCTACTCTCGCAGTATCTACTCTCGCAGTATCTACTCTCCGGGAATGGATCCCAAGTACATATGTCCTATTCATACAGTCCAGGTGAATGACAGGCAGTAGGCTCGGAGTTGCGCTGCTAGGCTATGGATGGAATAGATTCTGGGACTGCTCGTCACATGAGTACTAAGTAGTCAGTGACGAGTATCCACTGGCGTCAGTATCCACCCGCGTACCCAAGTGTTCATAGATCTTGTCTTTGGTGGGATTGATCGATTTGAATAGTGTGCCCTCGTATATGCATTCCGGGTTTGACTATTTCTCATATTGTTAGTCAGATTAGGTACGTGACCAATGCTTAGGGCCATGATTGAGGTTTGTGCATAGAATTGGTGCTGTTTTCTTCTATTGAATAGCGGAAAGAGGTTGTCTATGATTTCAAGATGACTGCGCACCTAACCACATGGACTTAGAAATCTTTCCTCAGTAGTTTCTCATACGACCACCTTGCCAGCTGCACGCACTTGGCGTCAACCGCTCTGTACGTGAGGTCTGACAGCCAAATCGCCACAGGCCACCACAAGAATGCCGCCATCGCAATACCCAAAACCCACTTCTCATTGGTATCTGATCCAGTGAAGGCCAAACACCTGTGGGCCAGGGCAGACCCCAAGGTCCAAAGGAGAGGGCCATGCACCAGGTATAAGGAATAAGATATTCTGCCCAAGTATTGTGAGAAGGAATTGGTGAAAATAATCTGCAGAAAAGACGCATGGTCTACAACTACCACCATGAGGATTGCGCCCACGTGAGTGTAAACAGTGTCGATGGGGTGATATTCGTACACGCTGAGGAGCCACAGCGCGATGATGAAGAGCGAAATGCCCGTGATTCGTCCCAAGAGGCGGGAGCCGGAAAGCGCTCTTGCTATCCTCGAGACGATCCCCCGAGGCACCCGTGCCCAGATAGGTAGGACAGCGGCCTCGCCTGACACCGCATTTTTGGCTCGCTGCGCGCGGTAGTCCTCGATTTCGAAACGTAGATCACATATGAGCATGCCTGACAGGAACAGGAACAGCGCCCAGTAGTACCAGAAGTACTCGAAATATATGATCAGCGCGAATGCGAATGCCATCCTGACTCGGTTTCTGACTCGGCTGAAGGCGGCAAGGAACATGAAGACGACCATCGAGCTGTTGAATTCTATCGGTAGCGTCCACAGGTTAGGATCGTACGGATTAATGACCCTCCGCGGCACCCCGCCCATGGCATGCTCCTGGCCGATCGGGTCGGTGTTCTGGATCTCAGCCATGGCATAGTGGATCATCTGGTCGTGGAGGTTGAGGGCGTGGGGCGGTTCCCTCGACGGCTGGGCGGTCCCGGGTAAGCCCTGGCCCTGTGGATCGTACCAGTTCAGCTGGGTCATCAGGGCTGAGAAGACTGTGATGACGGCTGCGGGCATGAACAGCCTGGGATGGCGGCGGAAGAAGGCTGAAGCGAGCGCAGAACCGACGTCTGCGAAGCGGCCCTGGTGCATGAGCTTCAGGGGCTTGTACGAGATGGCGTATCCAGACACGATGAAGAACATGGCCACGTGTGGTGGACCAGTGACGAGGAGGCGGATTATTGGCATCTTCAGGATCTCGAATGAGCCGGGTTCTAATTCCAAACGTTATTGGTATTGTGTCTTTTTTCAATTTTTGTTCCAGAACGCGAGGTCTTTGGCTGCACATGCCTTCGGATGTGTACAGATCAAGAACAAAACAACCCACCTAATTTGTAGTGCATTTCCACGGCGAACCAGAGGAGACTTGAGTGGTATATCGCAACGCAAAGGGCCGAGACCCCTCTCATTCCATCTAGTGAATCGTAAGTATAGTTGATTTTCCTCCGTAGTTGGCGCTGGGACTCACCCAGCCATGCTGTTGAATGGAGCTTTTTGGGCTCGGCGGGACCAGATCGAAGGAAACTTGGGACGAGCAGTTGCAGGAAGCCTACCACTAATCTGCTTCGCAGAAAGCCTGGGACGAATGCCAAGAGACAGCCTACAGCCCTCCGCGTTGTCTTGCTGGCGCCCAGAGAGCGTGCAACTGGTTTCCCATCTTGGAATAGAATCTCTTCCTCGGAGCCATCCAAATCCTTCAGTTCCTCGATGTCTTCGTGTGGGATGTACGGTGGGAAGTCATCTCGCTCGTGTGACGTGTGATCTGGCCTGTCGAACATGTTGACGTGGAAAGAATCAACATATAAATTTCAGGGACACCGGCTTCATCACCCTCGTACCGGTGGCTTGCATAGAAATTCGGATCAAGTACGAAGCACCACCTGATGGGGCAGCAAAGGGACATATGGGGATGGCTTGTATATAACGGGCCGGCAGTGGCGCCTCGATGAATCAAGCGTTGGATTGGCCGTTGAACTAACCGTTGAAAGGGAAACAGCATGATGCCGGTTGGAATTAGAGACAACGTGGTGTTGTTTCACATTGTGTGGTTGGTGTCTTGCTGCTGTGATTGCCAGATGCCAAGGCATCCCTCCTCCTGACCTGGTGTCAACGGCAGGTTGAACCGTATTCGTGGTGTATGACCGATCCACAAGAATCCGAGACAGGAAGGGACTTACTGCCATGACTCTGCCCCTGGTTTGATCGGTCGCCGAATGTTCACGAATCTTGTGCGAGTGACCGACCAAGATTGATTCCCGACAGTTTGAGGCCATTGATTCGCGTTCAATCCAGGTTCAGAAGCGTGGAATGCTGTTCAAGAATGAGCACGCGGGTGAAACACAGCAAGGGGGGCGGTGGAATGCGACTCGCCACATCCGGCCGCCATGAAGCTTGATTACATAGGTAACTACAAGGGATGGCGATCTATTTCTCCCTTGAGTCCTAGTCGAAGATGTGGTATTTCACAGACGAGATGCTCATAGAGAGAAAGAAAAAAGTCAAATTGAAGCCTTCCGCATGCAGACGCCAGAACTCGACCATTCTCATTATCCGGAGAACTGGACGCAAAAGCAGCATGTGTCGAGTTCCACCAGACACATCGGGACAACTATGGTGCCCTTACAATTTGTTTGCATTAAATGAACTAGCGTTTCAACAATAGACCTGTCATAAGATTGAAAGGGCGGAGGGGGGATTTAGATGCTGGAAGACATAACTAGGGGCTCAAGGGTTGGTTCGCTCGCCCTGAACAACGAGGTCGCTACAGATGACGGCCGTTGAAAGAGCAAGCAAAAACAATATCCTTTTTGAGTGAGTGAGAGTTGAGATTGCGATCTCACTGCGGACTGCTCAGGTCTCGACCATCACCGCTCGAGTATCGGTGAAGCCGCCACGCCGCCTCCATTTACCTGGCAAGACCCAAGCATGTGGGAACGTCGTGGGTCAAAAGAATCCCTAACCACTCCACTCATACCATGTGCTATATGGGTACGGCCACCTCTGCCAGTTCCGAATGAATCAGGCCCATGGTGATACAGAAACTGCTCCACGGGTACATCGCCCCAAACGCCACGCATAGGATAACACAACTCGGAGTCAGGCAGGCTGATAATTACACGCGGCCTCTGCTTAACAGACCGTTCCAGACATATAAGCTGGTCGCGCATACCGCCCAAAAGGTCTCTTGAGTTGCCCTCGACCCAGATAAAAGAAAGCTGAGCTCCACCGACCGAACTCCTGGCCGCGGAGCGGCGAGTAACGACAGCATGTCGTCCTGCCGCATATGGAAGTGGCTGAGGCGAGCCCAGGTCTCAACGGGGAAGATTGCATGCAATCCTCGACGGGCTTGTCGACAGAATCAGTCGCAAGTCTGAAGTGCTCGAGTCCTGGCGCTTCCGCCACCTGGGCAGCGTCCGCCGCAGGTAGCCGCAGGGAAAAGCTCGCCAGCCCTGGTTCTCGATTCCGTCAACTTCCAGGGCAAGTTCGAGGTGCCAGTAGTTGGGTTGCCGGAGAGCGGAGGCCAGATACAAAGTTGCGCTGCTCAGTGCACACCTCGTCGAAGGTCTGGGCATTCAGGCCGGCAGAAGTATCAGCTCTAAACCCTCGAAAGCATTAAAGTGTGAACTGATTGTCCTGTATCGGGCCTAATAAGGCCATGCCCCAATCATTACCATCATTCAGCCAGAGACCTGGATCCAGGGAATCAAACATCTCGTTGGCCCACATGCCGTCGAATTGCCATGGTGTTGCTGTCGAATCCGGTGGCCAGACGCCTTGCTCAGCGATTTCCATTTGCTTCTGAAATGCAGCGATCTCCACATTGGAGAAGGGCTGCTGTCCACCAGCGACAGCATTCTGGCCCTGCGCTGTCGAAACGTCGGCTCCTGCTTGCGCTCCTGGGGTCTGCTTCGCGGGATCGGCGGTTCGCATTGCCGGCATACCACCGACAGCTACAATTTCAGCCCATTTCTCCAGTTTGGCACGGGTGATCAAGACTTTCTTCGAATAGAGGTACCACACGTCATTGTGCCATGCGTCACCTGCGCGGCTCTCTGTGAGCTCTTGGTGTACCTGTTCACAGCGCTCTGCCAGGCTTGAAAGTATGCCGATGATGTCAATGTTGAGGCCTGGCTGCATGTGAAGCTTGGTCCTGAGGGAAGCAATGACACCTGTTATAGTCGGGTCAGAAACCTCGCGGAACTGAGAGGCTGATATCTGTGTTGGGTCGGTGATGGGCGGCGGAAGCTTCGTCAGGTTGGAGCCTCGGCTCGCTGTTGATGAGTCCGTTGATCTAGATGCGGTCTCGTTTCTTGTTTGGGATGGGTTGAGAGGGGCAAGACCGGCGCCAAATGTGCTTTGAGGGGACGGCACCGCCGAAGGATCCCACAGGATCTTCTGCGGAACCAAGATGTCTTGAGTCGTGTTTCCTCTCCGAGCTTTGCCCGGACCTAAGAGTTTTGCCCATCGAGCAAGCATTGTCATCGCATAGACGACTTCGAGAAGTACGAACATTGGCATAGAAGTATAGAAGTCTGTGGGCATCTCGAACCATTTCTCGAAGAAGCCCTTGAGTGCGTATTGGGCACGATACAGAGCATCGAGAGACGATGAGCCATTGAGTGCGACAGAGTTGAGTGAATCCTCTAGCTTCTTCAGACTTTCCGTATCGATCGGTGGTGGCTCGTTCAGGTGAAGGGTAACAAACGCGAATTTGACCTCAAGCAATCCTGGAACGACGCCGAACATTGTCAGTCTCTTCTTCGGCGTGTCTCTGGAGACGGCGGAACCTACTGTTACCAGCCAAGCTGGCAGGCAATGATGACTGAAGCCTACCAATCTCGCCGTGGAAGGCAACTTGGTAGGCTGCCGGAGGCGCTTTGAGACAGCTCGAAATTTCGTCATCGTCATCCTCTTGGGACGCCCAATTATGTATCCGCTCGGTGAGGCGTTGTACCTTGACAAGATGCACCAGCAACAGATCCGACTCGTACTCGGACATCCTCTCCAGATCCTCAAGACACTGTCTCGTGTGCTTCGAAAACCTCATAGGCAGCGCCTTCATCAAACCAGTAGCAACCCTAAGCAGCTACATGTCAGCACACTTCAATGTTGTCGTCCAGTCTACCCACCCGTGGAGCAAACTTACGACGAGCTCAGCAACCAGACACCTAGTATTGCCCGTCTGTCTTCATTGGTCGTTAGGTTAGGTGTAGTTGGATTCAAAACCATTACGTTGGACCTCTCCTGAATTTCCGGTGATCTGTTCAGCCCCAGGTCGGCCAGCAAGGCCTGAGCCAGATGTAGGAGGTTGTTGAGCTGAGCGTGCATGAGGCAGTGGTTTTGGTACCAGGCTAACATCACTAGTATCCCCTGCAGAAGGTCCATTGAACGGTTCGACTCGACCATCATCTCATTCGCCAGTTGCTGAGTCAAGGTGAACATCTGCCCACGCATTGAGCTCACATCCGATATGGAGGCGGCCATCCGGATGGCAGAGAACAAGAAGGGGCGCTCAGTCTTGAGGCGCTCTGGAGTCATGTCTGGCGGGAATACCACAAAGGGGAAGACGGGCATGAGGTCTTTCTGGTAGATTGCTAACAGCTCCTTGTCTGAACGTGTCTGGAGAGGCACGTCGCTGGCTTGGGCTCGACAAATGCATCGTGGAGGGGCATGCTTGTTCCAAGACTGGGAAACGCGGGTGACATTCGATGTAGCATTAGAGTCCGGAGAAGGCCCTTGTGATGAGCCTAGTGTCATTCCAGTGTCAGCGAACGAAGAGAGTGTGACGTTAAAGGACTTGATGTACGCACCAGGCTCATCCTCATGCTGGGACGACGAGCTTTGTCTGGTCCTCGATCCATTCGATGGGAACTCCCCTGAGGCTGAGGCCCGGAGGAGGTCGACGAGTCCATTTAGCCGTTCCTCAAGTTGTAAGGTTTTCCTGGAAGCGGTGTCAGACGGCACGCTCGTGCTCGCCAAGTATTAAATCACAGAATGGCTGACTTACGAAGCCTTGGGTGTTCGCTTCTTGCGGGGCAGATGGACCTGCCCTGTACAGTCCTTGCCCAGGCGCCTGCATCTGTTAAGTTGTTAGTAATCAACGGGGAATGAATGGTAGTAGATATAGTGGACTGGGATTTCAGAGCTGCATCAGAAGGAGGACTGCCATCACCTGTCACATGGAACACCCGGCTCATCACTGCTGCGGAGACATTTGGCCTGTAGAACACACGTGTGGATCAGCAGCTGCCAAGTGTCTGGCCCCTGGAGACGGGGCCCGGAAAGGGACGGGTGCAGTAACAAGGTAGCTCGCTGGGTGGGTTTCTCTCTCACCTTGGCGGTCGCGCACACAGCACAGGCGCTGCCCCATTTCCCCTGCTGGCCCTTATTCAGGCCGCCTGCCGAGGACAGCGCAGAAACAGGCTCAACACTCCGGCGGTTCATGACTTCGGACGGCCTTTTCGACACTCAAGCTGGAGAATAGGGGCAGGAGATTGTCATACGCGATCGTTGACATGTGCATTTGTGAGGAAGCATGTGTCAGATGAGGGTAGCGTGAGGTCAAAGTCCGAAGGATCAGTGCCCGGAGTTTCCGTCAAACTCCGTTCCTCCGGGTCGCCATGTTCGGGAAGGCGTGCAATTATTATTAATCCACAGTAATACACAGCAGCAGTTTGTGAGATGTTTGTACGGTCATTGCTTATGACTACCTAGGTAATGTGTACGCAATTCAAGTTGTGTACTGAAGGAAGGGAGCTGTAGAAATTCCCTCTACTGTCTGTCATATCCTGCCTTTTCACGCAGGTCTCAAGTCGAAACCGACACAAAGGTAGGTTGTGCTCCAAGATGTCTCATGCCTAGTCGGCCATCAGACATTGGGGTCAGCTTTTCTCATAACAATATTCTTCCCCTCATGTCTGCAGCCCAAGTGCAGAACGTAAGCTTCCAGTTGTGGGAAACCCAAGCCAGACAGACCACAAGTGGCAGTTGTTGCGTGCAATTAATCATCCTCCACGAATGCCCTACCCTCAGTACATCTCCCAGTCCATGTCGAGGACCTCCCGGACGAGAGTTTCGGCCCAATCATCACCGCCAATCTCAGCACCCTCGCCATTAACAACACCGAAGTTGACCATCTGTCGGCCCTGCAGCTTGCTGGTCAGCCGAATGGCCCGCTGCTCCGCGGCGAACTGGTCAATGTGCCTCTGGGGGTCCCCCGACAGGTAGCGAGTCGCCAGGCCATAAGCCTCGAGGAACTGCTCAACTCCCAGCAGCATTCCCGTATCGTCACGAAGCTGCTTGTTGAGCTCACGGCAGGCCTCGGTCGCCTGCTTCTTGTGCGCGATCCACTGGTCAAGCCGAGCCGCGGCCTCGGCCCTCCACCGCGAGGCTGCCTGTGGTCCCTGGCTGATGATGTGGTCCGGCGCGATGATCTCGTGCTGCTGCAGGTAGATCAGGCTGTCGGGGGCTTGCACCGTGTACTCGGGCGGTGTCTTGCCGTTCTCCGCCCACCAGTCGCGACCGCACTGCTTGTACATGTAGGCGAGTGACATGTCGTGGACAGTCTGCATGTCCTCTTCCGGGACGCACCAGAGGCGCACGTCCACGGCGCGTTGGCCATTGGAACCCAGGGTGATGTCTGTCCAGAGGCCGTCGATCTCTCCGAAGGTGGACATGTTTGCTCCGTTCAGCCACTCGAGACTAATTCGGGCCTCGTCTCCATCCAGATGGTCGAGGGCAGTGTTCGCGAGGCAGAAGTCCCTGTCAGCACACTTGATGAGCACCGTCTTCAGGTTCGGGTCGTTGGCTGCGGCGAGGCTGATCATGCTGAGAGCGATGTAGAGGGCCTCGAGCTTCGCATTCTTCTCGGTCGCGTCGACCAAGGAGACGGTGTTCCAGGGCGACATGGGGTGGAAGAAGACAGCAGCGCCGGCTTGCTGCCCCTCATAGACGATGCTGTCGATGGCAAGGACGAGCGTGGTGGGGTCGGCTTGCAGACGTCCGGTGGAGGGGTCAACACCTTGAAGGTGGAGGGCCTGCTTGTCGGGGTTGAACGAAACCAGAGACTTCATGTCGAGCGCTCGGTGCTTCAGGCTGTTCTTTGGGTCGAACAGACGAATCAGGGGCTCGTTGTAGGCGTCAAGCGCAAATCCGTCGCTGCAGGGAGTCTGGACGAAATCGTGAGAGTCAGGGATATCATCAGGGCCATCGGTCTGGCACATGAGTTGGTTGCACTCGTTTCTGCCTCGCTTCACTGGCGAGCTGCTGTCGGTGACTTTCAGTGCCGCGGGGGTGAATGGGGTTGCGGGCGAAGCTCGAGTGAAGACAGATTCACCATCGTCGAAGATGGAGTCGTCGTCATCGTCGCTGTCCTGCAACACGGGTGACATGGTCGGGGTCTGGGGGGCATCGAGTGTCTTGTGATCCATTGGAGCACCATCCAGCTGAGAGCTGCGATTGACCTTGTCGCCGGGGCCGTCAAGGCTGTCGAGCCCATGGGAAGCTGCGAACTCCAGGAGTCGCTCCTTCACCTCATCAACAGTCGACTCCTCAAAATCGGCCATCGCCTGGAGCGTCTGCTCGCTGAAATTGTCAAACATGTGCGCTCGCATCTCGTCGGTAATGCGAAAGCACCCCATGATGGCTATGAAGGCACGGCTGTCGCTAAGTGAGTGTGAGATGAGTGATTGATGAGATTGATGAGAAACGATGAGTGGAGGTCGAGGATGGCTTGAGATTGAAGTGAGTGGTGCGAAGGGTTTCCAGTACAGGGAGCTGAGCGTGGCAGGGCTTCCTTCTGAGTTGTTTGAGGACAGATTGACGGCGATGGTAGGTTACAATCAACAGTGGAGGTAGCTTCGTCAAATTCGTGGTTGGGATTTTACAGAGCAGAGACGGACCAACTCTGGCTTGGGCCAAAGATTTTATTTATATCCATGCCAAATTCATCTGATCTTGTATTGTGGGTTTACACAATGGATCGCACAATCGCACTCGAAAAACGGGAGGGTTCACCCTACACCAATGGGAAAACATGCTTCGTGAAAACCTCCTACATAACAGCCTCTCAAAGGACAAACTCCTAGATGATGAACTTCTGGAGGACAACCTGTTTTAAGAGAACCTCACACAGCACCCGCCACCAGACAGCCTCCTACTGGACACATGCGGCCTCCCACCTAGGTACAGAGTAAACAACGGCTTTAATTTCAACATGAGCACCTCCTTTTCGCAGTCAAACTTTGTACGGCTGTGTCGTCTGTTCTTTTGTGGGTCCGAGTCCCTGATCTCTTGTACAGTGGCTGGGTGAAGCCGTTGACTGACCAACCAGAGCTCTGGAAACCAAACACTTTTCAAGTTTTCAAGTTTTCAAGTTTTCAGCAGTCACTAGCAAAACACAGTTATCTCTGACTGGCTCGCTCAAAACCAATTGTCTTGACTTCCGATGCCTGGCCAATGGTGTCCAGGTCTGTGATTGTAACCATTGGTGGGCGGCATCCGCCTCCTGCTGGCTGTCCCACAGCCTTGGAAGTGCTTGTGAAGTGCAGACTCACGGCGAAGGTTGGATACACATCCTGCTTGGCACAAGTGGGAAGTTATCAGGACAGGTAGCGAAGGGGGCCAGGCAGACGGCGAGAAAATTGTCAGGTCTGAGAAGAAGCACCCAATAATCTGCCACACGAACCTGCGCAACCAGGCGCGCCTTGATCCTTATGAGGAAATATTCTGCCTGATTGGCTTCAACTTTTCCAAACCAGATTAGCACCGGCCTTATGCTCAAGTGCCAGCACCTTCATATGAATTGATGGAGCCATCCTGGTGTGGTCTCTGCCCCAGATTGGCGCTTGCGAGGTTGGCCGCGTTCGTCTTGGCCAATTTGTATGGCCTGAGGTCTCAGCAGGCATCATACGTACTTACTTAAGTAGCGATATTTGATCAGAAATGCTTGTTTGGAGAAAGCCACCCAACAACCAACTTAGTACCGACACGGACACTTGCTGGTATCATGGCCAACGTCTGTCAACTTGAACATCCAGAGCCACAAGCCTGGTATCGCTGTGAATTGTAGTGGGTGTCAACTGCATTAATGAAGGCCTTTTGACCATTGGCGGTGCCCCCCTCCAACTCCTGTTCCACCTCTACGACCAGCCCCAAATGACGACTTTGATCTCGGCGCCATCTGCGTCAGGTGTGGTCGTTTTAGGAAGGAGGGCAAATAGCAGACACATTCTCGGCTCTCCGCCCATGCGGCGAGGAGGTCGAACGGCTAGATTGAACTCCGCACTGTTGTGTGCGTGAACAGCCCCCCCCTCTTATATGACAGCACGCCTCGAACCTCTTTTTGTAGAAGTGGCACCAATCTCACACTTGCACTAGGAAATGCACGTTGGGGAGTGTGTCCAGTCGTCGCATGGGACAAGAACAATGCTACGTGGCCCTCCAGCGCGAGATCGTTTCAGCCAGAGTGGTAGCATCGGGGTTATTGGAACGCCAGAACGCCAGCGGAAGACGGAATTCATCTATTGATCATCGATCGCCCTGGATGTCGCATGGGATCTCGCGCCCTCCCGTGCCAGTGGCTGTTGGGGCCGGCTCGCGACAAAAGCTTGTCCCAGATAAGCTTCCCTGCAAGCACTGCAAGCACCCCCACCTGAGCAAGACACGCTGCAGCGCCGTACGCATGCCCGCCCATCCTTGGAAGTTTACCCTGGATGGATTTTCCCGGTCGAGCCCAAGTCCCACGGAACCATCGAGCCGTTTGTTCACCTGCACCGGGATCCTCCGCAGATAAGGGACCCGAGCCAGATCCGAGCCTGAGGTGACTCTGACACTGGCTCAAACCTTGACTGCAGGGTCCCGTGAGAGCCCAGCCCGATGGTCGAATGGCTATTGGGAAATACTAGTCGTCAGCAGAGGGGTTGTAGTGTTGTGTGGTATTCGACATGCCTATTGCGGCCAAGTCAGGTATCTCAACAACATTTTGATATCCCTCCTGTCAGCCTGTATCTTGGCGGCGTTGCGGCAGTTGCAACAGAGTATCACCGTCATCTATTCCGGGCTGATCTGCCGATCCTTGTCCGTAGCATCGTATTCGAGTGCTATCAGGCCATCCTCCTCGCCACAAGGTGACACGAGGCGTGCCGTATTATTCCCCCCCCCCCTAATATCTTCACCTGCTTCTTTCTTCGTCGACCTCCAAGGTTCCCGGATCAACCCCCAACCAAAAGATGGGCGACGGCGTGCTGGAAAAGGCTGACCACAGCAACAATGGCTCCACTAGCCTAGAGAAGCGCAGCGCCGAGGTGGGCGAGCTGCGCACACGCCCAGTCGCGTTCCGGCCGCAGGACCGCCTCCTCCACGACCCCAAGGTGAGCTTTGAGGAGTACATGTACTACGCAGCGCTGTCGCGCGCCGAGGAGGACGCGAGCGCCGCGTCGAGGCCCAAGCTGGGCATCGTGGACGTCCTGCTGCCCTCCAAGAACGGCGGCATCCGCGAGCTCAAGGGGTCCGCGACGAGCAGCAGCGAGGCCATCCGCGAGCTGAACCTGAGTGACCCCAAGGTCCGCGCGACCATCTCGGACGAGGAGTGGACCAATGCGAGCCGTGCTCTGAGGACTGCGACAGCCGCGGCGTGTTTTTATCTCATCACTACTGATATCCTCGGCCCTTATGGTGTCGGCTTCGCCTTGGGGACCATGGGCTGGGGCCAGGGGTTTGGTCTTTATACGATCTTCGGGGCGTGTGCCGGGATGTGAGTGAACGAGCACGTCTCTTAGAGCTCATGGTGGCCAGCATCTTACATGCCCCGTGTACCTACGCTTCTGCTGACAACAGGCTGATGCAGCTCTGGATACCTCCTCTGGAAGGTCTTCCTCCACGTCGACAGCTACGAGTTCCCCGCAAAGAACTACGGCGACCTCGCCTACCGCATCTACGGGCCATGGTTCCGCTGGCTCGTCAACGTCATCCAGGGCGTCCAGCTCCTGCTCTCGGTCGGCAACATCATCATCCAGAACGGCCAGTCCATCTCGCAGGTGTCCAAGTTCCGGCTGTGCTACAGCGTCTGCTGCCTCATCTGGGCGCTCGTCGGCTACGTGATGGGCCAGATCAGGACGCTCAACCGCTTCACGTGGCTGGCCAACTGGGCCGTGTTCATCAACCTGACCGTCATGTTCATCTCGATGGGCGTCATGGCGCACAGCGAGCCCAACTACGATGCCGCGCAGGCCGGCGGCGCGGGGGCCGCGCTCGGCGGCGCGTCGGTTGCGCCTCTTGACGACGGCTCGTACCCGCCTATCCAGCGGTACGGCGGGGTGCCGCCGTCCAGCAACGGGTTCATCGGCGGCGTGGTCGGGCTGATGCAGGGCGTGTATGCGTACGCCGGGGCGCAGCTGTTCATCGAGTTCCTGGCCGAGCTGCAGCGCCCGCGGGACTTCCTCAAGGTCATGTGGGCCTCGCAGTTCTTTATCTACGCCGTGTACATGATCTATGGGTCTTATGTGTATTACTTCCAGGGCCAGTATGCCAACAGCGTGAGTGCTGACTGCCCTCCCGTGCCCTCCAGGGCTGCCACTAACCAGCTTCCCCCAGGTCTCGTACTACGGCCTGTCCCCGTACAGCTGGCAGACAGCCTGCAACCTGCTGGGCGTCCTCAGCGGCCTGATCGCCGCGGTGCTGTACGGCAACATCGGGATCAAGGTCATATACAACAACGTCCTGATCGAGTTCTTCAACTTCCCGCCCCTGACGACGCGCAAGGGCAAGCACTGCTGGGCCGCCGTGGTCCCCATCTACTGGTCCATCGCCTACCTCATCGCGGCCGCGATCCCCTTCTTCTTCGGGCTGGTCGGGCTGACGGCCGCCCTGTTCTTCGTCCAGTTCACCTACACCTTCCCCGCGCTGCTGGGGCTGGGCTTCATCGTGCAGAAGGAGGCGATGCGGGGCGAGCCGGCCTTCGACCCCTACACGGGCGAGGTGCAGCGCCGCGACTCGGGGCTGAGGAGGTGGGTTCGGGGGTACTGTGGTCGGTACTGGTGGGCTTGCGTCTTGTTGACGTTGTATGCGCTCGGCTCGCTTGTTGTCAGTGGCGTGGGGACTTACTCGTCGATCGAGTCGCTGATCGCGGCGTTCAAGACCCCTCAGATAAATGCGTTTGTTTGTCGGTCGCCGTTGGCTGGGTAGAGGCGCTTGCATGGCATTGGGTCAATGGGTCAGACTCTGCATGACGAGTGTCATGGTCTTATTGGGTCTTGGAAGACCTCTAGACGGGAAGGAACAATGCTGCAGTCTAGAGTCAGAGTCTTGTACTACAGCGTTGGGGGACAGTACAATACCATGCTAGACAGGTTTGAAGAAAGAACAAGATTAAATGTGTACTCCATCTGTGTCTGACGTTGCTCAGTGCAAACGGGCCTGAGGCAGGTGGTGAATGAACCTTCAGATACGGCAGCCACGGGGCTCAAAGCTTCGTCTAGCGCAGCGAGGGCAAGAAACAATCGATGCCAGTAGCAACAGCCCACCGGCTGCACATCTGCTGTGGAAACTTTGGGGACACTGAAGGGTGACGTAAGCCAAACGGCCGACGTACTTGCCTTGCCTGAGACTTTATGGAAGCTGCAGTCAACTCAGAAGCCTCTCTCCTACCTTGGTACTAAGACCCAGTCCACACGCACGGCGGATCTGGAGCTGTCCCCTCTGATCCACCACTGCGACAGGCGACAGCGTCAAACTCAACAGCCTGTCCCGACACGACTTACTCGCACCCCGTCACAAACCCGCCGAGATCTTTGTTTGCTGGCTTGGAACTCATCTTTACCAACTTTGAAGCTGCCTGTTCAACAAGATGCTGCTCTGACTCGCCCATCACTTGTCATGTCGCGCACGTCTGGTCTGTGACTATCACCAGAGTGGTAAGCCTCCCTACTTTGGCAACATTGCCATTGATTTCTTTTCTTGATGTGGTGGTCGAGATTATTCGAGCACAGATTTCATACCCAGTGGCATCAGATCACACATGTCTAGTGTTGGATTTTAGACAATGAAAAATGCTGACATATGCCATCAGAGGCCATTACGAAGTTAGGCGGTTCTCGCCACAGCACGACCATGGCGTCCACGGTCGATACCTCGCCCCTTGATCCAGGTGGAGGAGAAACTCTCGAGCACTTCCACTGTTTCCCTGACCTGCCTCCTGAGATTCGTATTGAAATCTGGCAAAAGGCGTACAGGGCACTCCACTACAGCCCAGTCTACCGGTTTCGTTTGAAGTTCTCGCAGGCCCAGGACACTGGAGAAGAAGAGAAGCCCAAAGCCTTTCTCGTGCCACTGGAAGAGGTCGGATACCTCACCAGGGAGCTTCGCAGTCTGCGAAGGGTGAACTCAGAAGCCCTATTGGAGGGCGACCGCTTCTTCGGCCGCTCCATCTATAGTGGCTGTGGCTACTTACGTTTCAATCAGACCGACAAAGGCGACACCACCGATATCTGTTCTCCCATCAACCTGCCATGGAGAGGCATGTGCGACTTGTTTTGCTTTGTTGACTTGACTGAATCTGATGTGCTGCGTTTAAAAGAGGCGGACACGTCCTTGATCGACCATGTTTTCAGCCAAGTTGAAGCAGTTGGACTCGGTCTTGACAGGACTCTTGAAGCCGGAGACCAATTTTTCGAGCCTTTCGCAGATTTTCTTTCACTGTTCCGTCAATTACAGCATGCAAGCCTTGTGAGTGACCTGCTCATGTCCGAGGCTGATCTCGACAACATCTGCGACGACATCCGATCCGACTATCTATTGTCATCCTGGTCTGGCTGGGATGGAATGGTTCCCGAGGGGGTCTTCGGCTCTGATTGTGAGGATGCCAACATCGTCACCAAGGATCAGCATCTGGAGGTACTAGCCGACTTCACTGATGCTATGTACGACTGGGGTGAAACCTTCCCAAAGAGCGCAAGTGCTCTCTTGAGGACATCATACGGAATGATGTTCAGAACAAAAGAGTGCTTGGACTTCCTGCTATGGAGTGACGATGTGTTGGATGACATTACCGAAGAACAGGGATTGCTCGATGAGTTTTTCAGTGATGATGCCTCTGGCGAGCTGTTCAGTGAGGACTTTGAAGAGCCCAGCGAGGAGGATGAGGGTGTCTGATAACCGATTGATTGGCGGTTGCCAAGACCTTCAGGAGTTTTGCTAGAGTTTACGGCAGTTCAAGCAAGTGAAAGTCGTGTCTTGCTCTACCTGACAGCAGGCGATTGAAGGCCAGGTTCGCGGAAATAATTGTTTTCTCAAGTAGGGAGAAAAATACATCTGCAGCCTTACAATACAAGTGGTCGCTCTCAAACATGGACATTGGTAGCAGCATCACCAAAGACCTTCCAGCAGTGATCCATGCGATTGCGTACCAGATTGACACGAGCCTCAATATCGCGACCTAGGGGGAGGTTCGGCTCCCCCTCCTTACCTGTCCCGAGTCCCTCACCCGTGACTACCTCATAAACTACCTTGGCTCCTTTCGACGTGTCCCCATCTGGAACATACTTGCCTCCGTGCATAAACTCCAGAGCCTTGCCGACAGCTGTTCCGTCATAATCTTCACCCAGCGACACTTTACCAGTTCCAAGGGACGAGGAGAAAGCTGTGTTGAATCCACCCAGATATACAGTGAGAGTGCGCACGTTGAATTCTGCAACTTCCTTAGCTAGAACTTTTGTGAGTCCTGTTGTCTGATGTCAGTCCCTTCGTTTCGTAGCGACGGGGCTCTCTCAGGTGGTTCAAGCGCACCATCGAAAGCAGCCTTGGACGCGGAGTAGACCCCCATGCTCTCCCGCCCCTCCAGGCTCGCCCCGGTGCTGATGTTGACGATGACCCCGAAGCGCCGCCTGCGCATGTGCGGCAGCGCCGCCCTGGTCAGCCTGTACGGCCCAAAGAAGACCGTCTCGAACTGCGCGCGCGCCTCGTCCTCGGTGACGATCTCGGCCGCCTGGAGCAGGGCGGCGCCCGCGTTGTTGACGAGCACGTCGACCGCCGTGCCCCCTGCCTCCAGGCCGTCGATGACGCCCGCATTGCCCCAGTCGTCCAGGTCGAGCGGCAGCCAGCGCCCGCCGTTGGCCTCGACCTCCCGCACCAGCTCGGGGGTCCTGGCTGGGCTGCGCGACGTCGCGATCACCTTGTGCCCGTTTGCCTGGGCGTGCCGTGCGATGGCGAGGCCGAAGCCTGAGGAGCAGCCTGTTATGAGCCATGTTAGGGGCCGGGCGGGCGTGGAGAAGGTGTAGTTGTCCATGGGGATGATGGGCATGGTTGTTGAGGTCATTGTGGGAATGAATTGAGGATTGGATTTTGTCTGACTGACTAGGACTCGAGGACCGTGTTGTGTGCCTGAATGAGAGGCTGGAGCGACGATGGGATATACGTTGAGTATCTGCTCGGTATTAGTGGGCGGACTTAAGCAAAGCAACTTCTGCCTTTGAAACTGGTGGAACGGCCATAACCGTGAAGCGGCCGCACCACGGACCTATGCTCTGAATGTCGGGTTTAGTGATTTTGAGGTAAACAAGAGTCTTGATCTTAACATCTTCGTCCCACTGGTCTAGTGTGGTGGATGATACATCTTGGTCCCAAATTCATGATCTACGCTTGTCTCTCAGCTCAACCCACTCGTCCTCCAGCATGGAATACAGCAACACGTCCCACCACTTCCTCTCGTGCCAGTGACATTTCCTGAAGCGCCCCTCAGGAACAAACCCCAGCTTCTCATACAAGTGCTGCGCCCGCTCGTTGAACTCGACGCACCCCAGGCTGACGGCGTGCAGGTTGGCCCGCGTGAACGCCCAGTCAAGCGCCCAGTTGATGGCCTCGGAGCCATACCCCTTGTCGCGGTACCCCGAGATGACGGAGACGCTCATCACCGCCAGCCGGTGGTGATGCCGGTACATGGAGCCGCTCTCATCGTCGAGGTGCGGCACGCCGATGGGGGTCGGCTTGGGCTTGCTGGCCACGGCGGCGGCAGCACCTGCATGTGGCGCCGCTGACGTGCTGTCTTGGGCTGATGAGGGGCCCGTCTCCGCCTGGTCTGCAGGCAGCTGCTCGGATGTTGGCTGTGGGGGCAGGCATATCAGCACGCCCAGGAGGTCCTTGCGGATGCCGTCGAGGATCTCGTCGCTCCGGGCCTTGGTCTGCGGCCGGAGAAGGCTCGAGTCGGCGTAGGCGCGCCCCACGGGGTCGCTCTCGAAGCGCTCGTAGAACCAGTCCTTGATCTCATCTGTGTCTGGGATGGCCGTGTAGACCAGCCTCTCGGACTGGAAGGCGGCTGCTAGATTGCTCGTCATGGTGGGTGCTGTGTTCCTTCTGGTCTGATTTGGCAGCGTTGAAGTGAAGGGGGCGATGTGGGGGTTGGCCGGAATGCAGGGAACGGAGCCTGTTTATCTATCCTTCAAGTCTAACACCATCTAGGTAGGTGATCTAGGAGGTTGTATCCTCCAATGCGTGCCGAGAGCGTAGCGCAGTCTAGTGAGTCACAGCGAGACCTGGTGTGGCGTTTTGGCGACTGCGGCTGAGCGCTGCATTAATTAGCACTGAGGACTCACCGGCAAGCAAGCTCGAGCAATTGCTTTTGGAAGGCCATGATGGTAGAACACACGGCAGAGATAGGTCTGGCACTTAGCGGCGTCGCCGACTGGTGGCATCTTTTATCAGCCACGGGAGAGGGAAGGAAATGTACAATTAAGGTTACCTCAGGATCCAGCGACGGTGCATGTCGCGGCCTCCGTATAACGCAACGTTCTAGGCGACCTGGAATCAATCTAGTTGGTACAAGTAGAGCTTCTATAACATTTCGTCCAAAGAAACGCCTTTGAAAAGTCCTGGGCGTCTTCAGCACAAAAGACGTGATCACCCTGGGTCGTCTCCCATGCCATATTTCCCTGGCTAAACACTTAAACTTTTAAAACAGACACGTGGAGTACAGCTTCTTCTCCTGAAGCATTTGTGACTTGTGCGCTTCCTTCTGGACACAGCTTGAACATCCCGTGAGTTCCGATCAAGAAAGGCATGTTGCCCTCCAACTCCACCATGACTTTCCCCGCCGCCACCGAACAGAGACGCAGACTCCGAGGGTCTGCATCGAGACTAAGCGAGCTATCCATCGGGAGCGAGTGAATCTTGAACGTGAAAACATTGTCAATCTTGGTGACTCTCTCGGCGGTCGCTTCCAAGCTGGTCACTCCCGAGCCGGTCTCACCCAGTTTGGGTTGCTCTTTTGATTCAGAGACAGGGCCTGCTTTAAGTCGAATGCGTTTTATCCTCCCAGCTGGTCGGCCCAGTAAGTCTTGAACGTTGCACTTGTGTGGTAAGCCCCTCTTGCACGCGCAGTTCGTGCAGCACACAGTTCCATTTGTCGTCTCACCTGCGGCGGCCTTACTGATAGCGACGCACTTCTTGAAAGGACCACGGTCCAGGCTGCAGGAGTTGCATGGCACTGGCGCTTCCTCGCCGGTCATATGGACAATCAGAAGCCGGACCTTTTTCGGTTGGTCAGCGACAAATCTGAGACCTGGCCTCAAGATTATGTCGCGGGTCCGAGGGGTAGAGAGAAGAGCCGCAAAATGGCCTCTCTTGGGTGGATAGAACGGTCTGCCAGGGAGGAACTTTCGAATCAGTCGGCAGTTCTCTTTCGTCGCATTGCGAGACGCGTTGGAAACCTCGTCTTGTTTGCTGATCTTGTCGAGCCGCAGGCTGCGAGCTGTGTTGCCTTCTGGTTCTGGATAGTCAGGCGAACTCGAGCCACTTGTCAGAGGCACAGGTGGCGAGGAAAGGTGTTTCTGGGCATCCTGATCTGGCGATATATGTAAGAGCTCACGGTGCGCAGAACCCGAGGCTTCATCCGGGGACAGTCCCAGAAAGCCCGGGTGTAGCATCAACTCATCTACTGTGCTCAATTCGCCTGACTCGGGCGCAGTATTTGAACGCATTTTATTCTGGCTTGCCATTAACCATTGATCTTTTTGCTGCGCACTAAAACCCGTCTTCGGTGGTCGAGGCCGGATCATTGGCGGACCATTTAGGGGCAACGGGTTCTTCGATTCGACCAAAGCAGGGCGATGAGCCCCGTCCCCAGCATCGTGGTACTTTCCAAGTATCGTGAAGGTGCCGTCGCAGTTGTCATTCAGCCGGCAGGAATGGTGGCCCGCCTGAGACGGGTCATTAGCCAAATCTCCACTCACACATCGCTCTAGACGGTTACCCAACGTACAATAAAATGTGAGCCGAGTCGCTTCTGACTCTGGAAACATGTTCTACATGAGCGAATGGGACAGATCCAATCGAAGCCTTGGATGCCAGAAAACTCATATTTTGCCGGGAGGAGGCATCCACGGGTACTCATCAACGACCCTGAATCATCTGTTCAGTGTAGTTAGGCCGCGTCCACGTCAAGAATAATCACAAATGAACCTACCAGGCCACTGGGAGTAACCCCTGAGATCGGTTGCCATTTCCGTGTCGGCAGGGATCTTGACCTGAGGCTTCTCCTTCGTCAAGTCTGCCGTCCTTGCCCTATCGGTAGCTCGTGTTGTCTTTGGTGGAATTTTAGTATTGCATCCAATGGGCAGTGATTGTTTTCTTTCGCCTCCGATGTGCTTTTTATGACAGCGCAGTCGCTTAGATCGCCTTGTTGCAAGTCTTTCTGGCTCGTTGGAGCTCCCCCTTTTCTTGCTCCCATCACTTCGGAGCGATCCACTGAATCTTTGTGGGTTGCTCGATAGACGTGATGATCGGCGTTGTCGGTCTGGCGGTCTGTAGTCCGGACTGTGAAGGGGCGATGCGAGCCTCTTCGTAGCGATAAGCTTTCCATCTTGATTCCTAGACTGTGTCTTGGGCAGTGGCTTGATTAGTTCAGCTCCTGCTCTCCCATAGTTTGGACGTGATGCTGTCTGAAGCATTGAAGAGCTTTTCTCCCGAAAGAGAAACACTTTCTTGGAGCCTCCGGTCATGCTTCGATAATGAATGAACTGGGTCTTGCGGGAGCTGGGATCAGATGATGTCCTCTTATTGCGTGTAAAGTTCTCAACATCTTTTGCCCTTTTCAGAAAGAAGCTGTTGTCAGATTGACTGCGTATTGCTCGTATTGTGGAAGATCGGCCCAAAAAGGTCATCTTGCTTTTCGCGACATTGACTGCAAGATGGGAATGATCTCGTTCTCCGACACTGCCTTGGGGTACACGAGGTGCTGTAGTCGCAGAATGGGAGACAAATCTCGTATCTTGGGAACGGTAGTTGTCCGAATTGATCCCCGGACGTGATGAAGATTCAATCTTCTGGTGAGATTCGGTTAGCTTTGGCCCCAATGTTCCCTTGGACTGAGGTTTGGATATGAGCTCCTTCCGTTTCTTGTGAGCATTTGCGAGTCGTCGAAGGCAATCAGCGCCTTGATCAAGTGTCCCTTTTGGTGCCTCCTCCCGGATCCTGTTGATGTCTTCTGCCACACTTGTAAAAGCACTTTGATACCGCGTGCGACGCTGTAGGATCACCTTGCGTTCTTTTGCAGCACCGACTTCATCTTTTTTCACCTCTTCCCTGGCTGCGTCACCGCGTTTCTCATGGTAGCGTTGTCGAGCAGGGCTTTCACGTTGGCTGATTTGCGTCATTGTGTCTTTCGTCAGGACTAAACGTCGAGAGCGGCGACTTCGTTCTTCGCTGAGGATTCTTGATTTTGTCTTTTTCAGGGTGAGTTTCTTCCAAGCGGCTTTCTCCGTGGATAGATCCATTCCCTTCGCTTTTCTCCTCAAATGCTGAGTGGACCGAGCCACGAGCACATTACTCATGTAATTGATGCCTGTCGACTTTGGAAATCGTAATATTAGTTGTCATAGTCAATGGTGATACGTCTGCTGCGATTGATGCATACTCACAATATGTTAGGCTGAGCTCATGAAAGCTTATCGTGGGTAGACGCGCCGCGCTGCAGGCTTTGTTTACCAACCACTCAGGAACGTCCACCCCAGTTGCGTTGATCTACCTGTCTCGTAGTGACTCAGCCAAGTTGAAATGCGATCGAGTAACTGTCAACGAGCCGACATGTGTGTTCGAGGTGCTTCTTACTAGAATGGCAGACCGGTGAAACCCAGGCACGAGCGACGGTTTGACGCGTCAGGTGGGGCGATCGGGTAAAAATGGCATTAATGTCTGGAAGGGAAGAATGCTAATTTGAAGGTCCGCACGAGCGTCAAGTGATAGTCGCAAGGCAAGAGGCGTAGGAGTTGTCAACTGTCAACCCCATTGTATGCAATGCAACGCGATTCTGTGGGCAATGTTGGATTAAACTGCCCATGTGAGCAGTGGCCAAGTCTTCGGTTGTGGTCTGGTGACTTCGAGCTCCTTTCCCCCCCGAGTTGAGACTTAAACACCAAATTCAGGCTCATTTTTGAAAGTCACAAGAGCCCCACAAACTATTTTTTACTCGAGTATATCAATCATTCTCAAAGCTCGAGGAGCCGGGCTACTGCGCGCCCCTAGACACGAGGCTGGAACCTTCGAAGGTTGTTTAATGTCGCTCATAGTAACCGGCGCAACATGAGACCGACCATCCACATGGAGTAGAGGGGATATTGTGCCCTATTTCCCACCACATGTCAATTTATCATCAGCGTTGCTCTACAGTTCGTGCTATAGGAGATGAATGTACAAGACAAAAAGAAACCTTGAATATCATGATAGGGAAAAAAAGTAAATGCTGTATTCTATTCTTTTCCTTGAAGCCGCCACGCCGTTAGAGCTTTGCAGATCGTCAAGATGCCTTTTCGCCAAATGCTTGAAGCAAGTGTTGTTCCACCAGCATCCGAGTCAGCTCAGGCCGGGCTCCTACTGCCTTTGTCAGTACATTGCTTTCGGGTAAGTGAAAAAATTACTCTAAATCGTAGTCTTGGCCGCATGCCGAAGAAGTTATTCTCAATATTTTTCAGAAGCTCAAGAAGCCATGTTGACATGAATGCCGATTCCCAAGAATGAGCAGTTCTACCTATCCTCTTGTGGGATGACCTCCTATAGCATAACTTCCCACGGGACAGTTCCCTGTCAGGCGTCGTATGGGACAGCCTATTCTGCCTCTCATTTAGTTTGCGGTCAGATCGCAAGGATCGTAACTCCGATATACACAGCATGCGCCAAGTTTTGTTGAAGCAGTGAACTGTTGAACGAGTCAAATTTGTTGTATCCTCGTATGAGCTATATGCGAGAGGCTGTAATGCTATATACGTTTGAAGCTTAATTCCTCGCCTCCAAGAGGCCATTTCCCATCTCCGTGCCTCATAAGCAAGTAATCATATGAGCAATTTACATGGTACCGAACCCAGCAGAGCCGGACAGTCCGGTGACGGAGGAGACGTCGCCAGCCTTGGCGATGTCGTCGGCGCCGCTGAACTTGTCGAGAACGGAGCTGTCGGTCATCTCGAACTTGCCAGAGTTGTCGTAGCTGTTGGAGACGCAATCACGGCCGAGCGCGCTGGAGCAGGCGCTCTCCATGGAGGAGTCGTTGACGACGTAGGCCGTGGTGGCATCGCCGTCCTCGTAGATGGTGGCCACGTCACCAAAGACGTTGCCCTCAGCCAGGACATAGGCGCCCTCGCCGATCTCGAAGCCGTGACCGCTGGACTCGTGCCACTGTGAGAAAGTACTGATTAGCTTTGTTCGGGTAAATTCGAGGGCTCGTTGAATGAGACTCACGTAGTTGTTCACGGCGTGCAGGACGGTGTTGCCTGCGAGCTTGGGGGCACGGCCGGAGAAGTGGTGGACGTAGTTGTTCTTGAAGGTGATCTGGTCGCTGGCGCCAGTGAAGTACAGGTTCCAGTAATGATAACCATCACATGTAGCAGAGTATTCCGACTCTCCGTCAATGTTGCTGTTAGTGATGCTGACACGACCGGAAGCATCCTCGCCCAGGACGATGTGCTGGCGGGCGATGTGGTCGGTGGTGACGTGATCGATCCAGATCAGGTCGGTACCGGCTAGGGTGATAGCGTCACCTCCCCAGACGTACTGAGGGTTCAGCTCGGTGATGCGGATGTTCTGGATGATGACGTTCTTCACGCCGTTGGCCATGCGGAGACCTTTGCCCTTGATAACTCCAGAGGTGCCAGAGCCAAGGATGGTCTTGTCCGAGGTGACCTCAATGGGGGTCAAACCCGCCTTGTCATATGTGACCTCGACGGTAGGGGCATCGGCCTGGTAGTTGTCGCACCAGCCGTCCTTGTTGATGGCCTGCTGGCAACCAGAGCCAGTTCCCCAGGGAGCACATCCAGACTCGGTGGCGGTACCCTCAGTTCCGGTGAAGTCGAAGGTCTTGGTAAGGACGATGACGCGAGCCTCGTCGTCGGTTAGGTACTTGACACTGAAGGGGAAGTCAGCATCCAGCAAGAACACAAAGATGGCAGTCTTATAAAACTTACAGCTCATCAGTCGTGGAAGGGGTGACAGCAGCGGCATCACCACCACCAGTGACCGAGGCAGCGAACCCTTCAGGGGTTCCGGAGACGGTTGGTGTGGCGGCCTGCGCCAGGGCAGCAAAGCCCGCAGCAATGATGGGTGCGGAGTGCATCTTGGTAATTTTGGTGGAGTGGGTATAAAAAGAGTGGTGAATTGGGAGACCCAGAAAAAGAATGACTGCCAGCGACGAAGAAAATACTCGGAAACCTGCGAGGCGTGATGAATGATGATCAGAGATGATGTGTCTGGAGTGAAGATGGGCAACCCATATAAATAGGGTGAGAATCTGTGGAATTCATCACCGCAAATGTCCTCATCACATCCAATCTGGGTTGAAACAGACGTACAGTACTTTGCATGGAAACATTCTGTGATGGATCTGCATGACCCTATAGATCCTCGGTGCTGGTATTTGGTATAGGCCTTTCTTATATCCTCTACTACCCACTTTTATTTAGGCCTTTCTTATATCCTCTACTACCCACTTTTTCTATAACCCTAATAAGGGGCCTTTAGTTAGCTATACCCCTTTAAATAAAATATATAGTATTTATTATAATATTAAGTTTACTTTAATATTCTCTTTAATAATTATTATTAAAAATTAATTATAATTAAAAAAAGTTATATTAAATATAACTTTAAGTATATTATTAAGTTTATATATAGTTTTTATTTATTAATAAAAAAAATAAATTAATTATTATTATTAAATTAACTTATAGGTAATTAATAGTTTATAATATAAAAATAAAGATATAATTATTATATTAAAATATATTTAATTTATATATTTAAGTTATTATTAATTAATTAGTTATTAAAAAAGTATTAAAGGTTAATTTACCCTTTAAAAAAGGTATTATAGGTATTATTTATATTACTTACTTCTTAAGATTAATAAAATAGTTTATTAAACTATTAATTATTTATAAAGTATAAATATAAAGAGTATTATAATTAGTTAATTATAAAATATTAATAATAAAATTTTAAAATATAAAGTTATAAATTAATTAATTATATATATATAATTATATTTAACTTAATAATAAATATAATAATTAATATATTAATTATAATAACTTTATAAATTTTATTTTTATTAATTTTATTAAAAGTTTTTATAAATAAACCTTTATTATTATAAGTTTTTAATATTTATAAAATATTATAAAAGTACTTTTATAACTATTTAAAGTAGTTAAATTAATTATTTTATAAATTAGTTTAATAAAAATTAATAAAAAGTATTTTTAAAGGATCTACCTAATTTAATATTAATTATTAAAATTAATAATTAATAATTTATTCATTATTATTTTTATTAAAAATCCTTAATAATAAAACCTTTATTAATTAAAGAATTTTTAAAGTTATTATAGGGTTATTTAATCTTTTTTAAAAATTTTAATAAATAATTATATAGCTTATAGAGAAATTAATTTACTTTTAAAATTATACTTTTATTAAAGGTTTATATAAATAATTCTTATAAAATATTATTTTTATAAAAATACCTAAAGGTTTAAATATTAACTTTATAAAAATAGACTTATTATAATCTTTTATTATTTTATTTTATTAATTTATTTAATAATTTATTATTAAAACTTAATAATAAATATTTTAAGATTTTAAAATAAAAATAATAATATATAGTTTTATATAGAAATAATAGGTTATAATAAATTAACTATTATAAGTATTATAAGTAAGATTAATAGGTCTATACCTATATATAAACTACTTAACTTAGTTAGTAAGTCTAATTAACCTAACTAAATACTTTACTATCTAACTAAATAGACTTTTAATTAATATTAATATATACTATTTTAACTACTTTTATATATAAGCTAAACTAATTAATACTAATTAATTATTAACTAGTTTTAATAATAAAGCTAAAAATAGTTAATTACTTTAAAATAGTTAAATTTTTATAAATTTTTATTATTAAAGTAATTATATTAAAGCTATAAAGCCTTTAAAGTCTAGATATTAATTAGTTATTAAAAAAAAAATCTCTTTCTCTTTCTCTTTTTTATAACTATACCCTCTATTAAAAAACTTTATAAAGCTATTAATTTAATAAAGGTTTAATTAAATATAAATAGAGTCCTTAAATCCCTTTATTACTTTATATATTTTATTATATTTTAAGAAACTATAATTATTTTTAAAGACTTAAGATCTACTTATAGAGCTTTTTTTATTATTAAGCTTTTATTTATACTTTAATAATACCTTAAAAAAAATTATAAATATTTTTAAAGACTTAAAATCTATTTACTTTTCTCCCTTAATGATTAAATAAAATACCTTTACTAACTAAATCTATAAGTAACTTATTATTATAATAACCTCCCTTATAGCTTATAAAAAATACTCCTTTTATTAAGAAACCTATTAAGAAAGAAGACTTTATATAATAGTTTAAAATAATAAATAAATAAGTAAATAGAAATCTCTTTTATAATAACCTTTTAAATATTATTTAAGAAACCCTAAATATAAATAATAGTTTTATAAATTAAATAACTAACTATATAGATAAAATAATAATATATTTACTATATAAAAATTATACTTAATATAACTTAACTAAATAATTAATTAAATAACCCCTACCTAAATAACTAATTATAATTAAACCCTTATTTAAATAACTATTAAAATAAACCCTACTTTCTAATAACTATTAAATAGCTATTAGATAACTTAATAATTTAATTAACTATATAAACTAAAAGAAAAAAAAAGAAACTATTAAAAACTAACTAACTAAGTATAGCTATAATTAATAACTACCTAATAAATAACTTAATAAGTGATTAATTAATTAGTAATTTAAACTTAATTTTATTTATTAAAGTAATTTAAATTTAAGTAATTTAAATAATTTATAAAATATTAATTTAAAGCGTTTTTATAGTATTTAAATTAAATAAATTATAATTATATATTTAATAATAATTCTAAGTAATTTAATAATTTAATTTAAAAACTATTTTATTAATAAAATAAAGCTCTTTAATTAGCTAAAAGGAAGATTTTAGAAAACTAAAAGATACTAATATAGAAATAATAGACTATAATAAATTAGCTACTATAGGTACTATAAGTAAGATTAGTAGGTCTATACCTATATATAAACTACTTAGTTTAATTAATAGGTCTAATTAACCTAACTAAATACTTTACTATCTAACTAAATAGATTTCTAACTAACACTAATATATACTATTTTAACTACTTTTATATATAAGCTAAGCTAATTAATATTTTAAGTAATATTTAAATTTTAATATTATTTAACCTTTTTTATTAATAATATACTATATAAAAATATTATTAAATTATTTTTATAAAATTAAATAATAAAATATTACCTTAAAGTCTTAATTCTTTAAATACTTATAAAAGCCTTTAAAAGAGAAATTATAAATATATAAATAAAAGAAAAATAATAAATTTAAAGTAAATTAACCTCTATTTTATTAATTAAAAGATAAATTAACTTTATTTATAAAGTTTATTAATTATAATTATTTAATAACTTATTTTTAATTATTTATATATATAGTTAAACTTTACTTTATTTAGAATTATTTTAACTACCTTTTAATACTCTTTTAAATACTCTTCTTTATTAATTATAATATATAATACTTTCTTAAAATACTAATAGCTTTTAATAGCTTTAATAAAGTAAAATAGTAATAAATTAATAACTTTTAATATTTTTAATAAAAATATATTAATAAATAAAACCTTTAAATAAAAAATTAATAAATTATTTTTACTTAATTATTAAATTATTTATTATTACTTATTATAATTACTAATTAAATATTAACTTATATATAATATTTAATAAAGCTTTAATTAAATATACTTATTAATTTTAAATTAAAAAATACTTTAAAGTATTATTTATTATTATTATTAATTATTAAAAGGGTAAATAAATATTAAAATAACTTATTAATTTAATAAATTATATTTATAATTATATAATTATTATATTACTTTAAAATATATTTAAATAAGTTTATATTTTTATTAAAAAAGATAAGTAATTAATTTATAAAGCCTCTATTATTTAAAAAATAAACTTATTAAATAAATTAAAGCTTATTAAAAGTTTTAAAATATTTTAAACTTTAATATTTAATTAAATATTAAACTTTTAATAAATAAAAGGATTTATTAATTCTTTTAATAAGCTTATTATATAATAAAAACTTTTATTATATAATTTATATTCTCTTATTACTTTTATAATATAATCTTTTAATTACTTTAATTCTAACTATTAATAATATAACTACTAAAAATACTAAACTATTAAAAATATTTTAATTTCTTATCTACCTTAAAGTTTTTATTAACTTTTTTATTTAAATTATAAATTAACTTAAAGTAGTAAAAGCTAACCTTTTATATATTATTATTAAAACTTAAAAGTTATAAAAGTTAATATTATAATTATTATTATAAAATTTATAAAATTAAAAAAATTTATTAAGTTAGTTAGTTAATTAATTTTTACTAACTTTATTAAACTAATTTTATTAAAAATTTTAATTAATTAAATTAAATTTTTAATAACCTATTAATAATAAATACTATTTTTATTTTTAACTTCTCTATAATATAATTCTTTTATATTAAAACTATATAAATATATAAATTAATATTTATAATATATTAATTATAATTATTAATTCTTTTATTTTATAATAAATATAAAAGTAATATTTAAACTAAAAGTATAAAAAACTTTTATTATTAAAGTTTTTTATATTTATTAATATATTAAATATTATTAATATATAAAAATAAAAGCTTATATTTTATACTTAAAAATAAAATTATATAAATTATTAAATTTATTAAAGTAATAATAATATCCTTTAATATTAAAAACTAAATTAAAATTATATAAAATATAAAACCTATATTATTATAATTTAAAGTTAAATAATTAAATTAATTAAAGTAAATTAAATAATAAAATTACTATATTAATAAGTTTTTATAAATTTTAAAGATAAAAGTAAATAAAAATATTATTTAAAAAAAAAAGGGTTTAAAAAGAACCCCCTTATTTTATTATATAAATATATTTTTAACTACTCTTTTAAACTAAATATATTAATAAACTAAATTAATAAATAAATAAATACTTAAAAGTTAATAATAATACTTAAAATAGTAATATTAAGAATCTTATTCTTAATTAATTAAATACTAAAACCCCTAACCTTACCTTTAAATCCTTATTATACCTATTTAATATAGATAGTTACTTAAAAGTAAGGAGGTCCTGGCTATACTAGGGGATACTAATAGTAGAGGATATAAGAGTACCCGTTTGGTGTACGGCTTTTAACCCCTGATCGGACGGGAACCACCTTGGCATCGGGAGAATTTGGATGGCAGCATCGTTACATGTACATTGATGAAGCCTCCACCGAGACCTTCCAGGGAGTGAAACTGGCTGGGGACTTGCGACCGAGAGAAGTACCGATTCGTGTCGCCACGTATCAGGAGAGCAACATGCCCTATGGGAATAATAAGACCTTACCCCATGGTACCTACGTGGCTGGCAGTGAAGCTTTGTTCTCAGCCTCCTGTTGGCAATTGTGTCTACTATGGTTACATCCAACCTCAGGGGCTCACCGTCGACGGTGGCTCAGCCAAGTTATCGGAAAGGAGAAGCACTTGCGAGCAGATCGAGATGAACCTCCAGAGCTGCTGGAGCAAGCAATGGAATATAGATTGAAATACTGGGTATTTTGACAGCCTCACTATAGAAGTCAACAGGTTCGTGCCACATCCACGGTCAAGATGCCTGGAAGTACCCGTATGGACAGCCCAACTGGGTCAGTTTGTGGGCTCACGGTTTGTGTATATTCCACGCGTCCACGTCAGCGGGACCCCTGCTCCCAGTACCGGATCCGCACTGGTGTGCTAGGGCCGTCAACTCGGAGATTCGCAGGCCTGGAAGAATGACCTGAGATACTCCACCAGTGCCGTGACCATTCCATTATAGGCACTGGCGCCTTTTGGGCAACACTGATGCTGATCAGCACACCCTGCCTCTTGAAACTTGAGACAGCAACTTTTCCCAATCGGATATTTCCACTGCTGCTTGTTGTGTGGATGGCGACAGAGAGCCCACAGTTTATGCTTCAATACCGGATTCTAGAAGTCTTTCGGCTCCGTCGGTAGTGCCCACTTGGTGAGTTATTCACGATTCTCAGATTATATTTGCTGCGTACGCAAAGTACAGCAACGACAGCCCACACGAGCTTTGGCACGGCTGGGGTGCATCAGTGGAGCCACCCCAGTGATCGACGCGCATCCATGGGTTGATTGCAGGCCCATCGCTGATCATGATACCCCTGGCGGCAGCACCGCCAAGATCCTTGGCATCGCCTGCCCTACGTATTGCAATTGCGTTGATCAGATGTCAGGCTTGTGCTTCAGTTCAGGTGCACATACTGTTTCCTGGGCTTTTCTTGATGTCCGCTACATACCTGCAGAGCTGATCCCGCAACTGATGCAATATCGCTTTTGCACCTGTGTAATATCTTTTGTTGGTTTCAACAGGCTCAACTAGCAAGTCTTTGAGCATACGTTTGCCTGGTACCTGAGTTTACAAATGACCTTCGCTGAGAGATTTCATACCGTCGAGGATATTTTTGAGAAGTGTGATTCCTTCATGCCAATAATTCTTTTGAAACACTTTGATATGGGAGCTCAGTACCTAGGTAAGCCGCACATAGATGGGATGCGAAAAGACGCCGATATCGTATGTAATTACCCAGGTGTTAAGCTCCCCGTTGTAAATGCCACACGAGGCAAAGATCACCCATGGAGAAACGATCAGACGGCTGTGTCCTGACTCCTCTCACAACCTAATATATTTCACTCTCTATCTCCGTTACAAGATGGGTTCCGCGGCCGACATAAGCAATCGTTGCCATGTACCAAACCAGAGTCTGAAGCTATCAAGCAAGCCCGAGGGAGACAATAACCGCAGATCGTTATAACAAAATCGACGCCTGCAGATGCCGTAAGTTGAGCTGTCTCGCAGTTGGAGGAAAATCAAAAGACGGGAGGGGATAAACGCTCAGCTGATGAAGAGATGTGGGTATCTAGGTAATGACTAGTCAGTAAAGTCATTGGGAACGGTGCTTCTAGCCCCGCTCCTGGGATGGAAAAGATCATAGACGGCAACTGGAGGCTGTCTTGGATATATCCACAGTGGCCTCGACGGGCAGGACGGGTTGGCTTTCCTCAACGTCTGAAAGCTTTGGGCCAGGATCAGACGTCCTGTAAGTGGAAACAGTAGAGCTTATCTATGAATGATCTCAGATAAGCACCCTGCGAGTCAGAGTATGGCGCACGGGATCATGAGTAATGGTCTGCAAGACCTGGCTAGCGAGCGCATACAGCTAGTTGGTAGCAGAAATACCGGCAGGTCACGAGGATCCTGGAAGGGAAAACAGACCGATAACTTTTGACGGTCAGTCATCCAAATCTTGGGTCATCACAGTTTTTTAACCACGCATGTGTAGACGACAGAGTGCGAGGAGTTGTCCCTGATTTTTGGAATTGTTTTATTCGCTGGTGAACAATGCCAAGTATGAGCATGCATACAACACGTTCAATCATTCAGTACTGAGGAAAGTGAAACCAAGAAGTACCGCGGTCCACCAAGCCACGAAAAGTCTCCCCCATTCCGAGATCATGCCCCAGGTTACATGGCTGCAGCACGTATCCTAAAGCACGACGGCCGAGCCATTGCCCCTCAGCACTTGAACCAAGCAATATGAACCTGCTGGCTCACATCAACGGTAGCATCGTCGTCAGTAAGCTGTCCAAAGGCATTGGTATCGGTAGAGCTGAGCGCAACGCGGTTGTTGACATTGAGGATCTCGGTCTGGCCACATTTGCTCTTGACGTAGTTGGGCGTCGGTACCACATCCTGCTTGGTGTAGACCTGGCCGTCGGCCCATACCCCGCCGCCGGCGATCGAGGACTGCGTGGTGCATGTGTTGGATGCGTCCGAGCTGAAGTAGTACTGGCTGAAGAAAGTGCCGGTGACGCCCGCCTCGAGCTGGGCGTATCCGTGGTAGGTGCTGTCGACGACGGCGAAGGAGTAGCCGGCTGGGTAGCTGAGGGTCAGGTGGATTTGCTGTTCTCGTCGTCAGCGAAATGTAGTCATGGAAGCTCAGCATGTCTTATGGCTGTGCTACTCACGCAGTTCTTGGTACGATCCTTGATAGACGTGCCGGGTCCGATGTATGTTTGGAAGCCATCGAAGCCCAGGGTGACGACCTGAATCGGTTAGCTAAGTCTGTAGCTCACGAGGCACTCGGTGCTGGCTTGAATGATTCATGATTCAAATCCAGCTTGATATTAAAAGCGGTATGAGATGTGAAGTAGGCTTTGACTAGAGAGACTTACGGTCTTGTCACTAGAGATCGACGTTGAGACGGTTCCTTGAGGGCACCCATTGCCCGAGTATTGTACTTTGGAGATTGTGATATCCTGGGCCGCTGCGAGGGCCGGGACGAGCAGAAGTGAGAGGAACTTCATAATGTCAACACGCCGATAGAGTAATGTTAAGCAGCGGTATTATTGGGTCATGGACGGACAAAGCTACCTCGTGGGATGATCTTTCCCCATCGAGGACATTGCGGATGGGTATGGGGGCATTTATACACACTTTCCCCTGGGTGACATGGAGTTCGTCTGGTCTAGATCGGTAGGGTCATTTGCCTCGACGCAAGCGTCGAGCACGCCAGACAAGGACATTGCAACGCTGCCTCTCAGTATCGGTTCTCTCGCACGACAACGCCGAACACCCCATGGCCTCTAACATGCATTCTGGTGTCGGTTGCTTCCGGGTTACCAAATCCCAGTGGCTACCGAGGCGCCAAGAACGTCTAGGTCGTCGAAAACTAAAGTGCAAAGCTGGAAGTCCGTCCGTGGGTAGCAAGCTGGAGGGCCCAATATACAGCACCGTGGTCCCGTGAGGGCCTAGTTTCCGAATCAGTGATGCGGGGGATGACATCGTGCAATATAAGACAGCTCTGGCGGCTCTGTCTATCAGTAATAAAGTGCAGCACTACTGCGAGTTTAAGAGGCTAAATCTTTTAATAGTGATAGTTCTTACCCATTTTCTGGGTTCGACCCCGAGGGTCCAGACCAGGAGGGTAGCATCGCGGTTGTTTGATATATTAAAGCACGCCGGGCTAGCATAGAAGCGCTTAAAAGAGCTTGGCCTGTCGAGCAGGCCAGCTCTCGACTTTTCAAGGGTCCTTGGGGCGGCCCGGATAAAATCCAATACGATTTGGAGCGCAAATTAGATTGAACAAGCGTCTGGACCCAGTCCGCTGTACTGGTTCTCTGCGTCTTGGCGCCGGACAAATCAATAATCAGTTGACAAAGTGGACGGTAAACCGGCGCAGGATTGATGGTGCTGAACTGCGACACTGGCAGGGGCGTATACTCCGGAACGTTGCACGCCCGCATCCAATGGGACACAAGTCATCTTTCTTTCCTTGTGACTCACTTGAAGCCTGGGAGAATGTTTAGCACAAGCATTGGATGTTCTCCGCGAGAACCAAGTCCATGGTAACGACTGCTGCCAACGACAAACTACGCTGATCAAGGTAGGTGGACCCAACCAATGGCACCTGAGACTTATGACACTCGTCCTTAGTTCACTGTCACAGTCTCCAGCAGGACTGTTGGGGGCGTCTGGAAATCCACGTGATCAATGACAGCGACAGCAACAGCCATGGCTTACTGGCCTTGCGTATCACACAAAGCTTGCCCAATAGCCTCCTGAGGCCATTACCGTTCCTCTGAAGGAAGAGGCCATAGATGGGTATGTTCAGAAGATATCATGGAAATTCCACGCTGTTTTCAATCAACCCTTGATATCAAGAAAATGTCCAAATCTAGCCCTCTTCAAGCTTTCGGATGTCCTGCGGCGTCTCGTTTTTGAGTTTTGTCAGCTCTTCGAGCTGCCCCCGCCCCCATTCGCCCAACCACAACGCATTGCGAGTGCTAACAGACATTTTGCCTTACCACAATTCATGATATAAGAAAAGGGCAAAGAGACTTGTCTGATGAATTCCGCAGCCCCAGAGAAGTATCTGCCGACATGCCGACTACGACGCTGCACGCAACGATTGACATCATGAACGTGCGGGGAGATTACTAAGGATCAGGGACATCATAACAGCATGGACTAGATTGCGTTGTTACACTATGATGGCACGGTGATCCTGGAAATAAAGTCGTCACGTCCCCGTATTGACGCGCAGGTGTGACAGGATTTCCTCAGGCACAGCATTGAGGATACCATTGCTCGATAGATCCGGTCTTGCCTGTCGCGTAAGACATCTCTGTGGACAAATCTGGACCAAGTCCGCTACCGTCGACGGAGAGGAATTTACGAACAGGCGAATTATCTGCTAAGAGCGCATGATATCCTGGAATTCGAGGTCTCGCCAATTTGGGGCACCTTGGTCGGATTGAAAAACATCTGCAGGGTGAAAGGAATTCAACACATTCGCCTAGACAATATGGCTTCACCAAACCTACTCACACTCGGTATTTTCGCCCTGGCTGATCTCGCCATCGCAGCATTTCCCGCCGTCTGCCCGGATCCAGCCCTGTCCAGCTCCAACACGACCAATGGTGTCTGCGTGCAAGACTTCAAGCTCATAGGCGGCGCTCTCGAGGCGGTGCACGAGAGCGCGCGCGCCCCAACGGGCCTGGCACTCGACCTCGCGGAGAACATCTACTTGACCTACCCGCGCAACTTTGAAAATGGGACCAACACCGTGACCATAGCGACAAGCTTCACAGGCGAGGAGCCTTGGCCGTCGGCGGAAATCCAGAACTGCCAGCCTGGGCAGAACGTGTCGGAGTGCTTCATCAACGTCCAGAACCTGGTGCTGGATGCTCATGACCAGCTGTGGGTCTTGGACAACGGCATCCCGTACAAGAAGACTGCGCCTGCGGTTTCGGGGGGCGCGAAGATCATGCAGTTCGACGCGGTGTCGAGGGAGCTGGTCAAGACTTATTTGTTCCCGGATGACGTCCTTTCCAGTGGGACGAATCTCAATGACCTGCGTATCAACAACACAGCCGGCACTGGTGGCTTTGCTTTCCTCACGGACGCGTCAGTGAACGGTGGACTCCTGGCTGTCGACCTTGCCACAGGAGGCGTTGTGAAGAGACTGGCTGGAGATTTCAGTGTTATGGCAGACCCGACATATGTGGGCTCGTACAATGGAGAGCCAATCTACTGCTGGAATGGGACGACCAAGTCATTCTGCACCACCTCGTCGGACGGAATAGCCCTCCAAAACGGGCAACTCTACTGGGGCGTCCTGTCCTCCCGACGGTTCTACTATATACCCCAGGAGATCCTGCAGAACTTTGAAGCCACGGACGACGAGGTCCTCGCCGCCGTCCAGGACCCCGGGCAGCTGGGCTCGGAGCAAGCCGGGTTCACGGCGGACGACCAGGGGCGGATGTTCATGCTGGCCAGCGAGCAAAACGCGATTTACTACGTGCAGACGGACCAGTCGAGGATCACCGAGGAGGTGAACGGGGTCCCTGCTGGTGGGTCGGGCCTCGTGGCCGCGAAGAATTACTACGTCAAGACGCTGGTGAGGAACGGGCTGATCCAACACGCTGACAGCGCTGCCATCCTGAACGGGTATCTGTACTTCTGCACGAACCAGTTGGAGCTGGGTCCGTCGAGGCAGTACAACAACACGGACAACAGGAAAGGCCCATTCAGGTCGTACAGGTTGTTTATCGATGCGGGGCCGGCTGTTTAGCTGTCCGTGTGGGAGGGTTTTGCTGAAGTAGCAGTCGGGATCGTCGAAGGGCGATGCAAAGTCGTTTCGACCGGTCGGGCAAATGAAGCACAACTTGAGTGTAGCTTGGTGATTCATGTGTGTTGCTGTCAGTCACAAGACCCATTCTGCCTTGGCCCCCGGTAGGTGACTAAGACTCGACTCTCAAAGCCAGACGGCGCTGAATCCATTCCCTGCATGCCACATCTGGAACCCTTGGGAGAGTGATTCAGATGCCGGGTCGATCAACATCAGGAACCTGGGGATGTCAGTATCAGGCGAGCCTATCTGGTCTCGAGGCGGGAGATTATGTCTCAATGCAGTCCAGGCACCCTGGCCAGCCCGAGGCCAAGCTACCTCGACCTTGTGTGACACCAACGACGAGGAAGTTCATGGCGAGATGTTGTCGTCCGAATCCGGTATGAGTGGTGTCTGGGTTCCACGACCGTACTGTAGTGTGGAGTCAGTCTCGCGTACCTTGCAGGTGCGATCCCGATGTCCGGCCCAGGCGCCCCGCCCAACCAACCTTGAACCCACCTCGACACTCTGAAGTTTCTCTGCAGGTCTGAAGCATCAAACTGAAGCATCCAAACGGAAAATTTGGTCTTCTCGTCGTGGTATGCCAGTGAGTCTGATGCATGTGAGATGATGTTATCAATAACATATCCAGCCCAAGCCACCCTCGACTACTTCCGGGAAGGCCCCAAGCGGACCCCAAGAGGCTCCACAAAGCTTGATCTCGGGCCGAAGCATGCTGGAGTTCTAGAGGAAAAGTTTTGCCGGCGTCGTCCGTTATCTTCGCCTTTATTATTAGTCTTGTGAGTAATAGGAGCTGAGTCAACTGGTGCCCGCCCAGGTGACCTTGGGTTATCGCGCTGCCGGAAGTCGTCGTCACCAGCTGCCCAGCTGCCCAGCTGCCGTCATGGCCGGCCAGCGCCGCCAATGCAGGCATGACACCTGCCTTCGGGCTGGAACATCATCTCAACCACGACCGTGTTACCTCGACGGGCAGCCAAATTCGACTACCGCACGCCACAAGGAGGTCGGCAAGGGAGATCTGCAGGTCCTGGGACCCATTTCAGCGATTTGATGACATGACTCAAGATAGCAATTCCCGTTTCTCAGCAGTCGCGGGAAAAATCATGCCTCTTTCTTATCTCTCACTGCCCTTTGCGGCTTCAGTCCACGGGTCCGATGGGCTTTTGGGTCCTCACTACGTCACAGACCCAGTCGCCTGCTCCCCCTCCCCCTTTGCGATGCTCGAGCTGGGCGATGGGTGCTCAAGCGGTGCCCGAGACGGTGAAGCGTCATCACGTCGTCCTGACCAATGCACCGAAAGGTCGGCTCATGTGTACTCCAGCTGGTGTTGACCGGGACGATCTCGCGGCTTGAGGCCAGTCAGCCCTAAGTGGTGGTGCGTGTTGGATGCAGCTCACTCAGCATGTCGTTCTCAGGGTGGACCAGGCCCAACCATGCACACCAAGTGGATGTTGACAAGAGATTCACCAATGCGAGCACCAATGCGAGCACTTCTGTTCTATTGCCGTCATTCACTTCCTTTCCCTTGCCATAGTGGGCGGGGTGGATCATGTCACCCATTCATTGGCCCGCCCGAAGTGAACCTTGGGAGTGTTTTCCTACGTTTTCCTACCAGGCCGACTGTTTGTTGTATAAGATGAAAAGCACCCCCGTGCGTTTGTACATGCCTCTCCTTCGTCACTTTCTTTTGTCGGTCCTGAGCTGTCGCCAATCTGCTTCGTCCTGCCTTGAGTGAGCATCCTCAATCTACTTAGGTAACTCAAGACCCTCGACGACTCTCAAGATGCGCTTCTTCTCAGCAGCAGTCTCGGCGCTGCTGGCCGTCAGCCAAGTCGTCGCCGCAGTCTCAATCAAGGTCCCCACGGCGAACCTGGCAGAGCGTCACGCGACAATCGCGCCCAAATTCTTCATCATCAGCATGGTATGCTCGCCTGCAAACCCCGCCCTTCCCACCAGTCAAGCACCTTGTTTCTAATCACAATGAGCAGTTCACGCCCGAGGCGGATATCTGGTATGAGAAGCTCCCCACCAGCGGCCTGGGCGACCTTCTCGCAGTCAACATCAGCACCCCAGGCCTCTCCATGCTCTTCCCTCACGTCCACTGCACCGAGGACCTTCAGATATGCCAGGTCACCACGGGCGAATCCGAGATCAACGCGGCCGCGACCATGATGGCTGTCGTGCTGTCCGACAGGTTCGACCTCACCTTGACCTACTTCATGGTTGGCGGCATCGCAGGCGTCAACCCGGCGTGGTCCACCCTGGGCGGCGTCGCCCTCTCCCGCTACGCCGTCCAGGTCGCCCTGCAGTACGAGTTCGACGCCCGCGAGATGCCCGCCAACTTCACCACCGGCTACGTGGGCTACGGCACCCTGCAGCCCGACGTCATGCCCGAGACCTGGTACGGCACCGAGGTCTTCGAGGTCAACGAGGACCTGCGCCAGGCCGCGTACGAGCTCGCGTCCAGGGCGAAGCTCAGCGACACCGACGTCGCCGCCGAGTACCGCAGCCGCTACGCCGCGTCCGGCGAGGCCCACGCCGCAGCCACACTGGCGCCCAGTGTCGTGCTGTGCGACAGCGCGACCAGCGACGTCTACTACAGCGGCGCGCTGCTGGCCGAGGCGTTTGATAACACCACGACGCTCTGGACCAACGGCTCGGGCCACTACTGCATGACCGCCCAGGAGGACAACGCCACCCTCGAGGTGCTGCTGCGGATGGCCATCGAGGGCCTCGTCGACTTCGGGCGCATCATCCTCATGCGCACGGGGTCCGACTTTGACAGGCCCCCGCCTGGGGTCTCGGCCTACGAGCACCTGCTCATCAACGACCAGAACGGCTTCGCCATCGCTGTCGAGAACATCTACCTCGCTGGCGTTGAGATCGTCAAGGGCGTCCTCAGCGAGTGGGACTGCACCTACAAGGACGGTGTTCAGCCTTCGAACTACATCGGGGATGTGTTTGGCTCTCTCGGGGGCGAGCCTGACTTCGGGACGGGGAGTATCACGCAGGGCTTGGGAGTGCTGGCTGAGGGCAGGACGGGAGACCTGAAGGCGAGGGACGTCGGCGCGGTCCGAGGTGCCGTCAGCAGGAGGGGTGCGGCCCTCAGGAGGGGTAAGGATGTACGCCGACGCAAGGGTGTGCCTTTTATGAGGCCATAAGCTTCCAAATGGGTGGGGGATAGTATGCTCAGAATTCTAAGAGTAATACCACGATTGTCCACGGGTGTAGGCAAATATCATAAACACTCAATATTGGAACAACAGCGCAACCCCTCCAAGATATATCGATTTCAGTGACTCCTCCTTTGTCTGGCAATCGCGTCGTCCAGTTTCTCTGTGGTCCAATTACGCCTGGGTTGTTGTCGAGGGTCACATTATGGAGACTGTCGAGCACAGGCTACGTGCTCGACAGTCTACGGAACATTATAAAAAAAGAAATTAAGTACCATGATGCAAAAGACGGCCAATACAAGCGCGTCGAATATCCTTGTATCCGATTCCATGTCAACCTGAGGGTCCCCCTTGCTCCTCCTAGCGGTGGTTCTGGCCTTTGGCAGGCTTGTCTTGGGTGGCCGGCTTTTCTCGGGTGGTCAGGCTTTCTGGGGTATCAGTCTTTCCACATGCGGTGGCCTTGCTTCCAAATCTTGGCTGCTTTTTTCAGTGACTGTCGGACGTGAGGTGAGATGAAATACTTCCACAGTTGAAGAAGCACTTGAGAGTTCTCACCTACACTTCCTCGAATAGCCACAGGGCACCGTCTTCCTGATTTCCCACGAGCGCCTTTCCGTCTGCAGCAAGGCCAAGCTGTAGCAGCCCGACTTTCTCCGAAGTCCACATGAGCAACAAATACCCGCCATCGGGATGTGGTCGCACACAGAAAAGTTCTTCCGCCCTTTGATAATCGTGGAAGGCATGAATCCACGCCCCAGTCTTGCCTACGCCACTAGACCGCCCTGGGCATACGAGGCCACCGAGGAATCTTCCAGACACATGGTTACGAAAGCCAAACCAGTTGTTCTTTTCCACACAGGCCCAGTTCCAGCCTCCTCCGAGCCGAGCCTCTGCCATCGGCTGCACCACCACCCGTCCCTCGGTGACCATGAGCACTTTGTCTGTGCCCTTGAGGTAGATTCTGTATGTCTTCCCTGGCTGGGGGATCGACCAGGTAGCGATGGGTGGCCGCTCGACGCAGCTTGACATCGTCGTCAGTGTGCCGTCTCCGGAGGACGACGTTGCGGTACTGACTGGGCGCAGGCCATTCGCTATACGATCCTCCAAACACTGTGCGAGATCGAGTGCTGTCCCAAACCTGGTAGGTCCATTTTGTTGGGTTGGCTTTAGAGACATTGCGAGAATATGAGATCGCTTTATTGAATATTTGAAGGAAAGACCGTTTGCTTCTCTCGCCTTGAGAATTATCGAGGAGAGAATTTTTTGGTGAAGGTCTCTGAATCTTGCTCCGACTTTTGTTTGACAAGGGAGAAATTGTTGAGTGTTCCATACGTGTTCATTTTGATTTTGGTCCCTCACGAGGTAATGCTTAGTTCATGAACGGCCTCATTGCTAGGCGAGCATGACTGTGTAGTCTCTGAGACGGAGATTTAGCAGTCATGTCATGATCCCTTAGCTCTGTGCTAAAAGCCAAGATGCATACGTAATGGCTGCTACCCGGCTCAAGAACAGGCGCTGCTGTCGTATTTTGTTTGTCAAGTATGACATCCACCCACGAGTGTCTAGTTTTTCTCGGTGGACTTCCGTTCGTGATAAAAGATTGCATGTACCTAGGTGTCTATATATGCACTTAGATAAGGGCTTCAGGCTCGATCTTTAGCTTGACCTCACCGAGGCAGATTAGCCCTTGGGCTACTTGTATCGACGATCAACGGTGTCGTGGCGAGTGATACTTCCTAGCCTTGTCTCGTGCAGCAGGTTGAATCAGCAGGACATGCCAGAGAGGGTCCAAACCGTTATAATAATATGAATGGTCGCACAAGACAACGTCTTCTCACTGAAATCAGTGTACATGCTGCAGGCTGGCACAGGGGCCGTATACAGTGGGAGGATGGCCAGCATGCTCGAAGAAATGAAAGCCATATCGGTAGTGGGGCGCCAGATCTTCAACATGGCAGGATCAACAGTATGTCTGTGGGAATCCTGCTGGAAGAGAGTTTGTAGCTTCAGTCTCCAAATATTAGGAAGTGGTAGTCGCATTCGACTTCATTGGGGCTGGGGTTGATTCGGTTCAATGTTTGAGCGTCCTATTCCACGCAGATGCCAGGTCATCAAGCCTCTCCTTTAAGTAGGCAATGCTTGCCTGACCACTCGGAATAGTGTTGCTAGCTCACAAACTCAGAGACCCCTTATGTCTTTCTAGAAATTTCTCCACACAGTTTACGAAACGATCCAGCTCCTCATCTGGCGTATCTAGGATCAGTGCCATAGATCCCCGCCGATGGATCCAGAATCCGTCTTCTAACATCTCGAACCAGAACAAGTCGTGCAAATCCAGCCGCTCGCTGACGTCCTCAACGGACCTTATGTCCTTTAGCCCAGTATCCGAGAAGTGTACACACCACAACGCCCCGCGACCCGTGAATGAGCACTTGGTGCCTTTTGTGATTCCCTGGAGCTTTTGGCGATACTTGTCTCCTTTCGCGTTGAAAGCGATATTCACTTCTGGTGTTAGAATCTTGGACAGGCCTGCGTGGCCGACATGCATCGTCATGGTGTTGTTGTTGAAAGTTCCAGAATGTGCTATCGCCCCGGTGGAGCGTGGATCGTAGACGGCCATTATGTCTGCTCGACCTCCGAATGCGCCAAATGCGAAGCCACCACCGAGGTATTTCCCGAGAGTGACTAGGTCTGGCTGGAGGCCGAGAACTCCCTGAAGGCCATGTGGAGCAAGACGGGAGCTCATCACCTCGTCGAGGATGAAAACTGCCCCGACTTTCTTTGCCGAGTCCTATCCATTACTCAGTACGAGAACAGTCGACAAAGTTCTTAGTTTCCGACTTACCTGGATCTGGAACAAGAACTCTTCTGTCCCACTGATGCCCCCTCCGGCTCCCTGCATAGCTTCCACGACAACAGCAGCTAGGCCTGGTGTTTCCTCAATAACCGCCTTGGCGGACTGGACATCATTGTACTTCCCAATTACCCAATCATCTCTGTTGACTGCGTTTTGCGCCACCTTGCCACTCCCGAAACTGAACACTGCCCCATGGTACCCACCGCTGAAGACGGCGATCTTGTTCTTGCCCGTCCACGCCCTCGCGGCATTGAACGCATGCATATTGGCCTCGGTGCCCGAATTGGCAAAACGCACCCGCTCTAGCTTGAACCGCTCGCATATCAGTGCCGCGTATTTATGCTCCTGGCTGGTCGTGGACCCCAAGTTCAAGCCGACGTTGTCGAAAGTCGAGACAATGGCCTCCCGGATGACAGGGTGCGAGTGGCCGTATATACCGGCGCTCAATTCTCCGACCAGATCGAGATACCTGCGATCCGTCAGACCATAAAAAAGAGAAATATGGCTGAGATTAAAACTCACTTGTGCCCGTCTTCATCCCACACGAATGGCCCCTTGCCGCACTTCATCGTGAGAGGGAAGGGAGAGGTGTGGAGCAGCGTCCTGGTGTTGCCACCGGGCAGATGAGAGACCGCGATTTCATGATGACGCTTCGAGTTCGGATGCGATTCCACGAAGCGAGTTTGCGCGGCTGCCAATGCTCTCCGAAGCGAGTCGTCGTCGGCGGCTTCGACTCGCTGGACTACCCCGCCCCCTTGAGAGTGTTCCTCAAGTGCAATCGGCGTCATGTTGGCGTGGATTAGTACGATTCAGATCAGGAAGAGCCAGATGATTTAATCTAATCCATTCTCAGAAATTTTCGGCTTACAGGGAGTATGATGCATGCTCATCATGAATAAAATACCCTGGGGCGAGTTTTGTCGACGCTGCCGGAGCAGGGCATCGCCAAGGTCCGGCGTCTTATCTGACCCACTCGGCCCGATGCCGGGATACCTAGGTATGTTGTCTGAAAAGTTCGGTGCCAGACTGTGGCACCTTTCAGTGGTGAGCCGAATTGCGAATAAAGCTACCTCGAAATGACCAGAAAAATGGATGGGAATGAGCAGGAACCACTGATATTTGTATGGTACCTAGGTTCCTAGGTACCTAGGTAATTATTGCGATGAATACGGGTACAACATTGAACAATATCTGACCAGCAGCCCAGTACACAGGTCCATTTACATCACACCACAGATGCCTTCTTTAGGTCGTTTTGACTTCATCCTATACATATTTCACCATAAATACTGCTTCACGCCTAACTGCACCGTGTTGTAGTGAGTTGCTATAAAAAGGATAGTCACCAGATAATATAAATTGTCTTAGTTACCTACCAGTTGACTTCAGCTGCCAAAATCGTAGCCTACCACTTGAGCACTATGATTTATTCAGTTGTCTCATCCATCGGAAAAGGAATACTTTCCTGCAAAAAGTCGAGATGTTCGATAGCCAAGCTATACATGGCTCACGGAGATGGCACAGCCTAAGCGCCGTGCGCCCCCATGCCATGAGTGCGTAAAGTTCAAGTGTTTCCCGTGTCAGAACCTCAAGTAGGGATCGGATTTAGATATTTTGATGCTAATTCTGAGAATGTGCCTTACATAAGGAAACCATGAAATTGGGACTCTATAGGGCGTGCGTCTCTGGGACCATTAGGGAACATATGCGCTACAAGCTCAGTTTTGGTCAAGGGTGCGATAGTTGTGAAGAACGGGGGGAGGATGTTCCCTCCATCATTTGTCTCAGTGCACCAGTTGACGCGTGGAAGTCAGCTACAGCACATGTGCACTTGACTAGGTACGGGAGTTCCAAGCCGAATCTTGTAGCCTTTTGTAGAGATGGTATCTTGAAATAGTACACTATGACCGAGGATAAGGAGCCTTGGAAGTCGCAAATAAAAGAACTGAAGATCATTACACTGATTGAATCTCCTGTACCACGGGCTGTGGTCATTTTTCATGAAAGCCTGGGAGACTACCCTAGGGTACTTAGGTACACTACCTGAAACTCATGCTTGTACAGACAAGATACTCCGACCACCACGTCCCCAACAAAAATTCTATCTACTGCCCGAACACATATGATAATATCTACCGCATCACCATAATAAATATTCCCAAGTCCGTCACCACAAGCGCCTCCACGGCTGTGGGAACCTGCCAGTTAGGCATGTCTACCAGCATTCCAACCTCAAACCGCACCACACTTGGCCCAGAATCAAAGACCACGATCGAAGAGGCTTCTCTAAAAACGCCCGTAATGAGGACAGACGTGTATGACACAGGGGTATTGGTTCGAAGCAACCTCCTCCTCCCTCACTTTCCTGCAGTCGTCGTCGCCGCACGGCTCTGACACGAGAATCTTGATGATCCGGTGGCCGCACCGGTGGTGTATGATGACCTTCCGCCGTGTACACATTCTTTTTGTAGATCGAGACAAAGTCTGAGACACAAGGTTGATCTAGGCTCTTGAGTAATATGGTGTGCCTGGTTGTGGTGGGATCGTGGTAGTTTGTCCGCCAAGGAATTTGCGTTTAATTTGAGGAAGAATATTATGCCGGAAACTTTGATTATTTCAGCACGAGGGAATTAGGAGCATGAGACCTGATAGGCAAACAATATCGTCGAATTCAACAACATCCATCACGAAGTGCGCTCCCCTATTATAATATCCCGTGTTATATGCTGGGGGGTCAGTCGACCTAAGGCGACGGCCCGGGCCTTCACCTTAAAATTACGAGGCACACGCCGGCCACAGAGGATCCGGAGGGAGGGGCACAACCGGGCGGTTAATTCAGAAACACAGTCCTGCCAGGGTTTATTACGAAGTCTGTACTTGCATCCGACTTGGAACATGCGACCAATGGAAAGCTCGGCGAAGCGCGGACGAGACCCGGTGGAGCCGTCCGTCCTCAGTGGTCGCACGATCCGGCCTCGACTATGTCCATCTACAGCAGTGCAAGTTTGCTTTCAAATACGGCCCTCACCTACATTAACAAGGTGGACATTGGTCTCGTATCCAACCTAGGACACAGTCAAGCCAGGTGGGAGATACACAGGGCGGAGACGCTTGGCATTTCGATGCCCAGGTGCCCTAACCTTTCCTTTCCAACGTTTCCCTTCCAACCGGGTTAAAAAGTCCTCGCAAATACGCGCGAGCGCCCCGGCTACCTGCCTGCCATGAGTTCGGTATAATTTGCCAACCGAAATGAGGGACTATAATCAGACCTCAAACGCCGCCGAGTCTCAAGTTCCACCGCCACAAGGACGGCCACAAGGGCCGTTCTGGGAACCTTCAGAGGACTTTCAACTTCTCATTTCATCTTGTACGGTCCTTTTGACGCCCACACGGTTACACGCTCTCTGCTTCTTCATTCCGCGCGGCAGGTCCCGAGAATGGTTGGTGATTGGTAATTGAGAGTGGATGCTGTCGGGAAGCATCATATCGGCTATTTATGCCGTCGTGTTTTGAATTTTCTTTATTTGGATCATCATTCATGATATGTCATGTTGTAGTCGCTCAGACAACGCCGTCATGTGGGAGGGTCGAGCTCCAGTCCCATGGTTCAGGGCCGCCTAGGCAGAGGTCGCCGCGTCTCTGAAATGCCAGGACGAGGGCGAGGTGGAGCACGAAAAACGACATCGATCTTCTGAGACTCAACTCCCAGGCGACGTCGACGGCCGCTGCGATGACCAAGATGCCACCCACTGCCATCTTAAAACTGGCGGGCCAGCAAGCGCGGGCCAAGACCAGCATCTTGACCACAAATAGCGCGAATCGGAGGGAGGGTGACGTAGGCGCAGACAGTGCGCGCGTGAGCTGTTCATACTTCGTCCTGACCTCCCCGTAGAAGGTGGTTGGCGGGGGCATGAGCAGCGGGGTTGTGATGGTGTCTTGATCACGTGTAGGGCTTGAGTGTCTGTATCGCGGCGAACGAGGGCGGTGGTGACCATCCTGACTATGTGATGGTGACATAGTCGGTGCGCGGTGTCTCGTCGGCGACGAGCTTGAGAGTTTCTGCAGGGACTGGTGAAGTTGAGACTGGGATGGGCCATCGCCTTTCTGCGTGTCTTCGAGGTCCTCTTGGGACGACGATTGTACAGTGGCACGCTTTCTGGGATCTAATGTGTGTTAGCCAGCGGCAGTGGCAAAGGTCTGGGGGCGTTTACGAACCTGGTACAGGAGTGCTTGGTGGCAATGGCGAATCCAGATTCTGGATGCGCCGCCCGGGGACTCCAATGGACGCGCCGGTGCCGGCGCCGCGTAACATGCTTTCCAAGATTGTGACGTTCTTCAGTGCCTTGACGACATCGTCCGCACTGGGGCGATCATTTGGGTTCAGCGCGAGCAACTGCTTCAGAAGGGTGTACAGCTTTGTTGGCAGCTCGGGCCTCTCTCGCCGTTCATCCTCGAAGCCTTTCCAGTCTGTGATCTCGGCCCGCAGCAGATCGACGTCTTCGAGCTCTTCATGGATTGTATTTGCGGACCGGTATGGCAGCCGCCCAAAACACATGAAATACAGGATCATACCGAGAGAGAAGATATCCGACTTTGTGGTGAAGTTGCCGTACCTGCCCGTGCTGTCTTTTTTCAAGACCTCGGGCGCGCAGTAGGATATGGTGCCAGTTGAACCCGTCGACTTACGGACGACGTTCTCCGGCTGAACCTCGCCAAAATCGCTGATCAGGCAGGTAATCCTCCCGCGCTCGTCATGCAGCAGGCAGTTGCTTGGCTTGAGGTCGCGGTGGATATAGTTTGCAGCATGTAGGTATGCAAGGCCTGCGGTGATGTCCCTGAAGAATGAGTGAATATCTTCGGGCGCAAGCTGGGAGCGTGCACCCCACAAGTCTGTCGGTCTTTCCGCCTGGCCCTTTGATCGGCGACGCATCTGAGCCTTGAGCTGTTCTTTGGTGGTCTCCTCCGGGAACTTGCCAACCACCTTGTGAAGCAGGTCTCCTCCATTGCAGTATTGCTGAAGAATGAAGGCGCATGCCACGCTAGGGCCGAACCGGTTGAGTTTGACATCTTCCAGCCAAACATGCCGGTACGAGACTAGGTTTGGATGCGACAGCTTGGCGAGAAGCTCGACCTCAATAAGGACCTTCTCAAGCCAGCCATGGTCGTCACCAACAGGCACACGCTTGCAGGCAAAGTACCCCAGTTGACAGCCGTCAATCTCGTGTCTCACAAGGAGCACAACACCCTTCCCGCCTCGACCGAGTTCTCTCTCCTCGACGAAGAAGGTCTTGAAATAATTGGGCTGGAAGGCCTCCCGCTTGATGCGACTTCCTTCCTGCGGCTGCGGGGCGGGAGAACTCGAGACGAACTCGGCATTATGTGCATATTCCGGAAGACTCCGATCGTTGTCATTAAAGGTGTGGACGAGACGACGAATGGGGCTCGATGGCGGTGGGTTGGGCTCAAACAAGTCGCGACGGTCTCGCAGCATGCGAAAATAGTCGGGACTGACATATGATTCGTTCTCGGAGGAGGATTCGAAGCCGCGGTCGGGCGATGATGGTCTCAGCGGCTGGTGGCACGTTGGGCACTCGGTCAAGGCACGGTCGAGCTCGAGGCGTCTCGAGGAGGGGTCGCGCACGACGACGGCATTATGGTGGCGCCTAAATACGCCGGTCGTTAGTATTCGGAGCTTGAGGACAGGCACGCGGTTTGTGGAGCTACATCTGGAGCAGAAGGGCGCTAAAAAAGAACAAGAGACGGCTTACAGGACGATCTCGCGACCGCGAGACTGGTAGGGAACGATTGACATGGCCAGCTTGCCAGGCTCGAGGGCGTCAGCATGCAGAGAGGAATTCCAGCATGATCAGTTGCGAAAAGTTTCATGTAGAATAGAAGGCGTCGAACCACCTTGGTGGTGTCAGCAGAATTGGGGGGGAGCCTCTCAGGTTGTCTTTGTTGTTATTGTTGTGACGATGATTTAATGGCGTTGTCTTGGAGTCGCACGGCCGGCTGCAGCTTACAGTCGCATTCAGCTGCCTATGACTGCTTGGACAGGGATCCCGAGTCCTGTGAGGGAAGCTGAACTTGGCAAGGCGGGGCGGGGCAGTACAGGGGGGCTGCTCATCTGCTCCACTTGTGCGGAGGTACCTCCGCCAGACATGCAAGACATGCCATGATCCCCTGATCCCTTTGGCCTGCACTTGCACTCACAACTTGTCGTCCGTATCGAGAGACGGAGATAGAGTTCAAACTGTAGATGGAACGGATTTTGGGTGGAACACGACCTGACACATCCAACCAGACGTACGTATTCTTGGAAACAGGAACAGCGGTGTTTGCATATGTCCACGGAGTCATTACGCCACTACAACAAACAGTCATGGCCCGGCTTGCCTAGAGGATGAAGGATCATCTTCTGCCTGCATCCTGGAATCACCAACAAACTGTGCTTTTCCTGTTTGCAAGCCATTAACCGAGGATGCCCGGCCTGACCTTTTCAATTGGTTCAGCCTGATAGCGAGAAACTCTGGGATCACGGTCTTGAGACTGCTGCATGGCCTTCCTGACAGGCGAGCGCTTCCACCCGATCAGGTTCAGGTGTCGGCGCCGGAAACGGGTGGAAGGGACGCGGGGGGCGGCACGATATGGGTCACAGTGCTTCGATACACAAAATCCGCGAGAGGTCAATTATGGCTTCGTGTCAAATTTAAGACGTGGACCGTGTTTTGCGACTTGGAACTTGAGAAACGAGTAGGGTATTTCTTGGGTTTCATCCCTCATGCGCCTTAGACCTTGTGAGCCTCTGCGCCCTCCGATGCTACAGCAGCCGGTTGAGGCCTTGCACGGTACGGTTCCAAGCTTGGATGATTACCTAAGGCCACTTCAGGGAGGATTAGCTTCAGGTCTGACAGCCGCCGAACCGGCGCGGTGTGAAGGAAGAACATAACGTACGTCTGTCATACAGGAAATATGACGTGACCAGCAGGATCGGGAGCGCAATCATCGTCTGCACCCACTTCCGTGCGGCCCGCTTGTACTCCGGGCTGGACGGGTCTACTGGCCGTTTCGGCTCCGGCTCTGTGGGTTTTGGCACACGGGCAGCAGAGTAAGGCAGAGGCGCCGATACAGGGCTGCTCTTGCTTGCCTGTGTCGGTGCACTCTTCGCTGGCCCTGTGGCCACTGCCGGGCTTGTTGTCGCCCCGGGTTTGGTGTTGCTGGCCGTGGGCCTAGGTGTGGACGTCGGCGTGGGTGTGTGCGAAGATGTCGCTTGCCCCGGGGCCTTAGCCACCGCCGTCGCGGCGGCTGCTTTCGGTGCCCGCGTAGTCGTTGTCGCCGCCGCCGCCGGGCTGGCCTTGGCGGCCGGGGTCTTCTTCACAGGCGCAGGCGCGGCGGCCTTGGTCTCCTTGCCCGACGTCGCGGCAGAGGTAGATTTGGGCACCTGAGTTTTTGGGGCAGGCTTCACAGCCTTTGCAGTTGTCGATAATTTCTCTGACGAGCTGGGAGCGGTCGCCTTTGGAGCCACCTGCCTTGGCTTCGCGGCAGCCGCAACTGTTGGTTTTGCCTTCTTCACGACTGCTTCCTTGACTGTGTCCTTGGCCACCTTGACCTGCTCTTTGGTTGCCTGGGCTTTCGTTGGCCGGGTCGTGGATACCTGCCTAATGCTCTGGTATAATGGACTCCCAGTCCGGACCGGCGCAACGCCCATGGTCAACCACCCATTGCTGCACCTCGACAAGAGCTGCGTGCTCGGCCCGAATCTGAGCATTTTATCCATGTTTGCTGTAGAGCCCGTTTGTGCCCGGAAGTGGATGTCGCAATGTGTCTGAGATGAGCCGGCAGGGAGTCCGACTGGCCCAGGGAATTCAGTCGCAGGTTTTCGTCAAGGACCGGTCGAAGGAGGAAGAGACGTCGGAATTTGGAGGAAGGTCGAAGCCGGCCGTTCAGGTGCTTAGAGGGCTCAAGGCGACATTGTTAGGCGCATGGAAAACAAGCAGCAGAGCGCGAATCCCTGTATAGGATCGCGGCCGGAGGGGAGGCAGCTGGTAGCGAATTGGTGGCTGTGGTTCAACATGCGCTCGTCTCTACAGAGCGAACCAGTTCGACGCGACGCGACACTACAAGATTGGCGTTCATGCGATGCGCTTACGTAAGCTCACAGGTACGGAGGTACACCGTTGAGAGTGCAGGCCAAGCTTGTCAAGCAGTAGTGGCCTTCGTTCAATGTTACCATCTTCGAGACCTCCCTCTTCACATTTGAAGTTCGCCAGAATCAGTCATTTTGCGGTTCATTGCATTGGGGAGAACGGAGAGTTCCGTGGCATGCAGAAAATCTACAGGATATCCGTTGTTGCTTCCGCCGGCCAAGAAGGCTCGCACCACAGCAGCTCTGCGCATTTTGGCTGCCGGGGACAGTGGCCACCACCGTGAATCTGACAACAGTTGACCAATTGTCTGGAACTGAATTTGCTTCCAGATTCTGCCGAATTCTCCTTGCTCAGAATTCAGACTGCCCGCCGCCCGCGGATTCTCTTCCTGCTGACAGAAGCTTGCCTATGACGCTGGCTCCGGCTCCTTCACCTCGACGACAAGTTTACCTGCGTTTCAACAGTGTCAGTCTCAATTTTCAAACCAAACAGCTGAAACAGCATCACAGCTTACCTGTGTTGACGCCCTTGAAGAGGCCTGCGAGCGCCTCAGGTGCCTTTTCTAGCCCACCCTTTACGATCGTGTTCTTGGCTTTGACCTGGCCCTTCGAAACCCACACAGCCATCTGTTTCATCGCTTCTGGGAAGTCCGCGGCAAAATCGAGCACAATGAAGCCCTCCATCCTGTTTCTCGTCGTCAGTCTGTGGTGGAATGGCCAGTCGAAGGGCGAACTTACCGTAGCCGCATCGATGATATCCGGCCAAGGTTCTGCGGTCATGGTCAGCTTCGAAGAGTTCAGCAATATGAGATGCCGCAGTGCTCGTACCTTCATGAGCTCTCCAGACTCCTTTCCGCCATTGTATTCACCAATGCCTGATTCCGAGTCAGTAAGCTGTGCTGCCACAATCTCAGGAGCAATCTGAACTCACTTCCGCACTTCACGATCCGACCCCGAAGCTTTGCTTGACCCAGGGCCATGTCGAGGATTTCACCGCCAACTGCCACTATGTCAGTGAATTCTCATGTCTGTGCCTTCTACCACTTACCATTGTCCCAGTATAGGTCAATTTTGTCCTGCTCATAGGTTAGTCTTGAACCCGTCGCTTTGGTGCTCACGAGTCACGGCATGCTCACCTTGGTCGCCTCGAGAAACTGGTCACGGAAATCAGGCGCCTTGTAGTTCAAGGCGACATCAAACCCAACCTCCTTCAGCCAGGCGCACTTTTCGTCTGTGCCTGCGATTCCAACGACACGGCACCCCTTCAGCTTGCAGATCTGGCCCACAATGGACCCAGTTGCACCCGCTGCTCCCGAGACCACAACGAGCTCTCCTTCCTTTGGCTGCCCGATCTTGTCCAGTCCCAGCAGGGCGGTCAAGCCAGTCATGCCCAGGGCTCCCAGGAGATCGGGCACCTCCACGCCGGGGAGCAATGGTGCCTGGTAGACCTCTCGAGGGCCAAGCACGGCCACCTCCTTCCACCCAGGAAATCCCGTTGCCCAGTCACCCGTCTTGAAAGCTGGGTTCTTAGATGCCAGAATGCGACCGGCGCCGACACCTCTCATCACCTCTCCGATCTGGACTGGGGGTAGGTATGAAGCGGTCTCTGCCACACAATTAGCGGGGTTTCCTTTTTATACGAAAGAGGCATGTCGCCCGCGAACCTCTCAACCAAACACGCATTGACGGATCCAGCGAGATGTAGTATGTCTCGAAGAGCACCTCTCCATCCTTGAGATCTGCCTCCGTTGGCGCCGGGCTGGACTCAACGCGGAAAGTCTCCCCAGGCACAATATCTCCCGTGGGTCGCTTCGCGAAGACGACGGAGGTCATTTCTTTCGCCATATTCGTCCGGTAGAAGAGTGTTTGGATATTGACAAGGGTGACTATTTTATTCGATCCGGCCAGCGATGTTCTGGAGGTGTATGTGGCTTCAAATGTTGCTACGCCTCAGGACCCCGGAGACTGGATTTATGGCGGGAGCGCATCTATAGTTATCTATCTGCCTATTTTACCCACCAACAATCTGACTCAAAACGCCGCAGTGGTACCACATGGGTAGTGCCCGCTCATCCAACGCTACCGTTTGTAATGCAAACTCTTCCAGAAGGCCTTCTTTAGCTGAGAGCCGAGGCTTGGTGTGGTTGATAGGACGACTCGCCAGACCGAAAAGGCAAGTCGGCCGGGGCTGGACACGGTGATGCTCGCCCTGCAGGTCCCCATTGTCCACGGGCCCCACGAGGCCGGCCGCCATACTCGAAATGGAATCCCATCCCGCGCCCGGGCTGGACGGCCGGGCGGCCGGCTGGCTCTTGGGCCCCTCTTGACTAGCTCCAGCGCAGCCACGGTACATACGTTTTGACCTGCGTCGGATTGACGAGTGATGCTGCTGCTCATCCGTCGGCTCCCTGCTCGGCCGGTGCGTCCATGCGTGCGTGCATGAAGCCGCCCAGCAGCGATTGCAACTGTGATGTTAGGGCGGCCGACGTGATCGGAGAATAAAAACGTCACACCCGTCTTGTCACTGTCATGTTGGCCGCGCTGCCGCGCTGGCGGGGACCCATTCGGAGTGGGCTCAGGAGGGGCTTGGCGATCTTTCAGGGCACTTCGTCCTCCGCCCGCCTGCACCGCCCATCAAACTCTTGACCGAGGCGTGGCAGCCATACCGAGGCATGCCCCCTTTCGGACTGCGGACGTGTTCGTCTATTTATGGGGCGTTCGGATGGCGGTCTGGCGCTGTCACGGACTCACGGCCTGATCAACAGCGCAGCACGCAGAACTCTGGCCCGACCTTCTCGAAAGCTGCTGAGAAAAGACCACGGCCCCGTTGGCTGTCGGGAGCCTACCCCGATCCAGCAGTTCTGCCGCGCAACAGCCTCAACGGCAAGCCCAACAGGCCGCAGTAGCACTATACCGGGAAGCCGGTCGGTGAGCTCTGGGAAAGGCTTGGTCTCTTCCTTGGCCCGATTTCAACCGCAGTGATTTGAGTTATGCACGTTGGCGTTGATGCCGTGCAGAAGCGTCGGAGCCACGTTCCGGAGCCTGCCATTCCTCCGGCGGGCTATACCATGCGCCACATGCATCGCGACATCACATCTGAAGATGCTCATCTAGTACGCTTGGCGCCTCCCGGCTGTTCAAAACCTGCGGCACTGCACTCTTGGTGAGTATTCCAATTGTTCTGGCCATACGTGTACCATCTATGACGCTACGCCAAGAGCTTTTGTCTCATGCGCATGCTGAATTAGAACAAGCTCTGAAATTATATTTAGCCACCTGCCATCCCAAGACATAATCAAGGCGCGAAGAGACTGCATTTGCACCTTGCACGATAGGGCACGGCAGGATACGAGATGCGCTGCTCTATGATAGGCTCTTGTAAGAAAGGTTCCTGCGGCTCAGCGTGCTGTAGGCAAACCGCCATTGCTAGGACATCTTCACCACACTGCTCTGAGCTAAGCTTATATTGGATGACCTCTCGCTGGACAATCTCCCTGCTCGACAGCCCGTTAGCAAACCCCTCACAAGACGCCTTCGTTGTGGACAAAATGAAAGTGGGCTCTGAAGATAGAATATATGCTTGGACAATCCGTTCTAGGACATTGTCCCGTCCAGAGACTGTTTGCAACCACGCTGGGTTCATTCATAAGCATCCTTGTTTGCCCATTTGCACAGCCCCAGCCACCCAAGCACCAACTATGAAGTGTCAGCCAGAGGCAACTTGGTAGAGAGTCACAAGCGACACAGTATAGAGCTTCAAGTTTCTGATCCCGATACACGGGAACGCGAGATAAGTGGACATCGTGACCTGGGACAACACCGTACCGGGCTAATATAGTTCAACACTTCGTAGACACAAAAAGACGCCCGCCACCACGGTACTCTCAACCAGGCTTTCAATCATCGCTCACCAGATATCACCGGCGGAAAACACTATGTATGACCTCCAATGCATGTGTTTCTGCATCCTTCTTCACTCTGAGCTCCTCTCTCAGCCTCTTCGTCTTTCTCGACATCTCGCCGTCTCCGCCGCGACACAGGGTATCATGATGGTCTCCACCTTTGACCTGCTGTGACTTCGAGTAGGTTATAATGGCTGGTGTCGTTTGCCATATTTCTGGACACTCGGTCTCGGCATTACAATCTCTGGCCCACGAGGCGCGTGCTGCTGCCTAAGAATCACTGCCCCGTGCTCGCTTCCTCGGCCGAAATTCTGAGACGATTCGTGGTTCAGGACATACATGGCGCCTTCATACAACAGTAAAGGGCGAAAGACTTAGCGTTTGAAAGAAAGAAATACTAACAACAGTATAAAAAGATTCTATAATAAGTAGCTTTAGCCTTATACTCTATGTTGTATTATATATTAAGTTAGAAAGTATTACTATAAATAGTTACTATTAATTATTAATATAAATCGCTTATAAAAAATAAAAATAAAAAATATTTTATTAAAAATTAAAAAGAAAGACTTTTTATTTATATAAAATTTTTAATTAAATTTACTTTTTAAAAGTTTATTAAATATTTAAAAATTAAATATAAATTATAAACTATTAATATTTAATAATAATTTAAATTAATTATATTTTTATTATATAATTTTAAATTTATTTTTAAACTTTATAATTATATTAATAAAGTTTAAATAATATAATAATAAATTTAAATTATTTTAAAATTATTATTTTATTTTATATAATTTTATTTTATTTTAAATATATTTAAAAATAAATATAATATTTTATATAATAATAAATACTTATAATTCTAACTTTAAAATATATAAATAAAGTTAAAAATATTTTAATAATAATATTAATATTATATTTTATCGAGCTATAAATAACTAATTAAATTTACTTATTATAACGTTTTATTATTTATAAGATTAAACTTCCTATAATTATTATTTATAATTAAATAACTAGTTAATTTACTTTATTTAATATACCCTACTTAAAATTATAATATATTTTAATAAATAAATATATTTAAAATATTAATATAATTATTTTATATATAATTATTTTTATATATTTTAATATATAAATAAATTAAGTTCTATTTTTATTAATACTTTTATTATAAATTATAACTTTTAAGTTTAATAGTTTAATAGTTTAATAGTTTAATAGTTTAATAGTTTAATAGTTTAATAGTTTAATAGTTTAATAGTTTAATTATTTAATAGTTTAATAGTTTAATAGTTTAATAGGTTAATAGTTTAATAGTTTAATAGTTTAATAATAATAACTTATAGTAGTTAGCTACTATAAATAGTAGATAGGCGACATGAGTACTCCGTACCTAGGTACCTTCATCCGGAGCCATAAATTGCCAAATGTCCGAACTTTTAGGGAGTCGCGGTGCCAGGTTAGTTGCCACTGCCCCGCACGCTTGTGAGCCGATGTTAGTGCTGGAGGGTACCGCGGCAAGGTCTAATGCAACAATAGTCGGCCTGATCACAAACCTAGCCAATCGGATACAGTGCGACTAGAACTATAAAACTTATAGAAACATATCTATTACGTAACAATTATCCTTTCACATCCGATTACAACACATGTATACTGACTATAAATTCAAACACCATTCCTCTTTTGCCCGTCCCGCTGCTGGGCTCATCTGCATCCTCGTTTGTCTTTTCTTCTTCACATCCAATACAAACCGCACTCTTGGCTCCACAAGGGCGCAAAATACCTTAAGAAACTAGTTCGGGCTGAGGTAAATACCACATTTACTTAGCTCATACTGTGCCTTGAGGGAAAACAAAGGACTATTGTCATTACAAGACAGATCGTCACAACGTTCTTGCTCACTTTGCAGGTGAAAAGAACACATTTGCTGACAGCCGCACTGGCGCAGCTCTCAAATTTTGAGAATACATCTGATGTCCTGACTGGGCTGAGATACCATACATAAGCATATAGAAAGAACGCGCTCAAGCTGTTCTCATATAACATTCAATTTGGAGACTCCACCATATTGGAGCACCATCTTTGAAGAAGTGACAGCCACCTTTGAGGTCGTAGTCCCTATCATAAAATAAGCAGAACAAAAATGCCTAGAAGGTCTGCTGCTGCAGCGGCACGCGACCGTGTCCGTCATCCAGATGACAGGAGAAGGCAAGAAGACATAATCGAGCCCAAGCACAACCGGGAAGTGCGCTGGATCAAGACACAAGTCTCCAAAATTAACCGACTCATTGAAGCATTTCGGGATTCACGCGGCCGCCCGCTCAGTCGTGATGGCCGAGAGACATTGGACTTCGTGAGGATGAAGCTCTTCCCATACTTGCGATTCGACATGCGCATATATCCAAAACTCAGGGATTATCTCATGCTCGATATTAAGCTCCAGGAAGTCATCGACAACGATTGCGGGCTCCCCGAGGATGTGGTGGCTACCGCAGAGCTGCTCTACGAGAAGTTTGAGTCCGAGGGTTGGGGCGACGCCACGGCCAGACCTAGAACAATCGAAGGCGGGCCGCCGGCGGACCATCCCATCTGGGGAATAGATGGGATCATGCACGGCGCCATCATGGTCACGGACGGGAAGAAGATCCATTACGAGCTCGACCACCGGTACCGTAACGAGCAGCGAGATTTCAGGGCATATGGCGACAACGGCCTCACTCCCGGCGACTGGTTTCCCAGGGCGGTCATAGCTGGTTTCAAAGGGGCACATGCGGGCAAGATTCGGGGAATTTGTGGTGACGCCGATAAAGGTGCTTATGCCATTTCCGTGTCTGGGAAGTACGAAGAGGATCTGGATCAAGGAGAAGTGCTGTATTACAGCGGTGAGGGCGCCGACAAAAGCACAAATCCCAATGAGTTCCCCCAAAGGGCGACAAACGACTACCTGGTGGCGTCATGGCAAACACAACGGCCCGTACGCGTTCTGAGGAGTGCTCCAGGAGCCGGACACCAGCACCATTATTCGCCGTCTTGCGGTATAAGATACGATGGACTTTACAAGGTGGTAGGCGTTCAGGAACGCCACAACGCAAAGGGCGGCCTGTACCAGCGTTTCAAGCTCCGGCGACTCCCGGGGCAGGAGAATCTGAATGATATTATAAGGCGGAGCCCAACTCCGGCCCAGAGACGGGACTTTGAGAAGGTGAAAGATGGATACTAGGATATCATAGGGGTCGACGACTTCTTGCTCATCCATGACGTAGAATTGCGCAATTTGCACTCTCGTACGCCGAGCGTGGACAGGCAATCGCACAGTTCTTGCAGCATTGTGGAAGAAGAGCGGCGGTGTAAGGAGAAGCTCGGATTACACACACGAGACTTGGCATGGTTATCGAGCCTGTGAAATCGTGACCTTGGATGGTCAAGTGAAAATCCGAGTTCTTGATACGCATGTGAGCGGCACATCAAAGTACCAGACAGGCCTAAAGAGGAACTGTATGAAGGCTCTGAAGACCGCAAAAGCAGAAAATAATTTCAGCGCCCGAGGAAGATAAATAGCAGATGTTAATTATTCGCGTGTCCAAATAGCATTTTCTATTTTCTCACGTAGCAATATCAGGCTGGGTGGCATTTGCTTCAAAGTGTCTCAATATTCTGGTGAACTGGATGGAATCATCAACCCTGGACAGCAACACACAAACAACCTTGATGAAAGCAATCACCATCGGGCTCAGGCACAGGCTCATGCTCAGGCGGAATGGTCTCCTAAGCCGTGGCAATGCCGGAAGACTTTGACCAACCGGGATCAACCAATCCCGGTGTAGCATAGAAACGAAAAGAACAACATAGACATGACAGTGCCCGCGTCCAGGAATCCTATTGGGTAACATTAGTTGGAGGGTTAGCGCACTGTCGAAGCTTCTGACCTGTGCTAATTTTGTGAGTTGTCCGCATGGACGAACCGCTCAGAGGAGCCTGGGCTACACGAACAGGCACCGAGCTGTTGGCCGCCACTTCAGGAAATCATTGCGGCTTTTTACGTCAATACCCTCTCAGCGGCCCACTCATTGCAATCCTTCAAAAGTTGGTTCCTGCGTCACGAATGCTTTGTGGACGGGGTGATAAGGGCCTCAGGACGGTCATGAATAAGCTCTTACCGTGCTTGGCGAAAAGCGGGCCCCCTGCTATCCACCGTACAAAAGAAACACGCAAATGTCCGGCGCTATCGTGCTATAATTGTGATGATGAATGATATGGCCTTCTCCGGCTGGATGTCTGGTCTCTGCCTAGGCACCTAGCGCATCCCAGCCCCGAAAACGACCCAGCCTCTAACCGACAAATCCCGGCCAATATGCCCCAGGTGCATGGCCCGCAGTGTCACTTGAGAAGGGCAAAAAACCGCCTGGGAAGTATCAAAGCCTGGAATCATGACCGGGCTAGTTACACATGCTTTGAGCCGAAATGGATCTGTGACACTCCAGATTCCTTCCCACAAACCCCAAGGGGCCAAGGCCGCGCCCAGGAATAGTGAGTGGGCGCATCGACTGATCCACCAAAGCAACCTCGCGCAGGATGGCAAGGCCCGTAACTGGAGCCGGGGTGCCGTCCAACACTTGATTTGCGGCCTCACGTAGCATCCAGATGCACCTAGCCACCTACCCTGCATATTAACCTGCAGTTAGCAAGCCAAGCAGCCAGCAGCGTGAGCGTTTTTGCCCCGTTCCCTTGCTGCTTGCCTTGCCGCTTTCGATCTGGTTCTCGCCCCCCCTCACCCGCCCCATGTTGGCGTGTGGTTGCCCCCAACCAACTCCTCCCTCCTCTCACTTGTGAAACAAACTTTTTGAGAGCTGAATCAGGCGGGGGCCCTAGTGATTGGCCTGAGGGTATGTTACCGTTCTCTACCTGGGCTAGCTAAAAGTTACTCTGTACATGCCTGATGCCTTTGGGGTTTATTCATTGTTTTTTGGCCCCCGCGCTCTTTCAGGCTGGGCTGTGCTGGTCTCGCTGATTGATTGGTGTGACTCATCAGTTCACAAAAATAATAGACAAATTACGCCCTCTTCAAATTCCGGACTAACGCGGGCAGTGTCGGGCAGAAATGTCTCAAGGTCGCATCTGTCCGCCTTGAACCATTACATCCTGTTTGCTCTTCGCTCCGCCTGCATGTGCACAATAACAGTAGTAATCGTGCTTGTACATTTGCTGGCTGACTGATTGGGCGCAGTTCCGCTCCCCGCTCAGGTGAAGAGGTAGCTGACCTCGTCCCAATCTGTGCCGTCCGTCGCTGGGTAGAACGTAGATCCCCGGATGGCTTGCATGAGGCTTCCATCTGCCTCCTCTGCCCTTCCAGTCTCCCGCTGCACGCGTGACAAGCAGTACCACGCCAGCCGCATAAGCACCTGCCCCTTGGCAGAAACTGGGCCCTCGTAGCTGGTCAAGGCTCGCAGGCGTATCTCGGCCGTGTCTATCTCCCCGAGATGGAAAGCAAAAGCGGAAGCCTCGAATTCGTTCGTATTAGGGCCGTTGTCGTAGTCGTTACAACTCGGTGGCGTGGGTGGCATTTCGGTCCCTGGGGATGGAAAGTCGAGGCCTGGACTCAAGCCATCCGGGGTCTCATTCATCAGGGAGGGGTTATCCTCTCCTGATAGAGTCGGAAACTGAATAGGATCTGAGTCCTTGGTTGTTCTGATAAAGCGGCGGGTGTATGTTTGTAGCCCTAGGTATTGCACAGCTCTCTCGATCACTGCAACGTGCTGCGACGTGTTCTTGGCGACCACAGCCTGTTCAATGGTCTGACGAACACCCAGGGCAAATTCCGAGAGTTCTGGTCGATGCTCAAATGACGACAAGAAGTTGGCGAGGAACGACTCCCGCATAAGTCCGTTGGTGGCAACCAAAGGCTCGAGAATCGCCAAAAGTGCGTTGTCGCTTCTAAAACGCTCTAATATTGGGTCGTAGAGGGAATTGGTCCGCAGCCACTCGCACCTCAAGGCCAACTTGTGATGCGTGCGGGCGTAACAGTCCCAAATGGTCTCAACGAAAGGATCCTCAAAGCGGCTGGCTCCAAATGGCTCAAACGGTACAGCGTCGCTGATGCTGCTAACAAAAGGGACAAAAGAGTCGGACCCTGGCAAGAAATCGCCAAATTCATTACTGAGAGTGTCATTATGGCTGCTGCGGGAGCAGGATGGGTCCAGGCTGTCCAGCATGTCCAGGTCCTTGTTAGTACAGGGCTCCGGCGAGGGAGTGCGGCATTCCACCCTTGACGGCTGATTGCGAGCGGGTGCTGCTGGCTCTGGTCGGCCAAGCTTAGGCTGTTTGTCTTCGGCGGTACTCTTGGGGATTCTGTTCTTGCTGCGGCGGATGGTCTTCTCAACGCGGTCAAAGTCGACCTTCTGACCTGCGCGCACAAGAGTTGAGGTCTTGCCGATTGAATCCCTCGATTCCTTCAGCTGGATGAGCCTCGCGGCATCTCTGGTGGAGAGATTCTTCCAGAGGCCCCACTGCTTGAAACGATTCTTGTACTGCTTTGGCCTTGAGGCGAGTAGGAGCAATTGAGTCAGCGAGCTGTCGCGCATCACATCGGCTGACGGCGACGACTTCAGGAAGGCCTTTGTTGGGTGAGGCGGATTATTACGGGCAATGCAACTCACGAGGCATAAAAGTTGTGATTCGTGCCGAGGATCTCCGAAACCTCGGACAGGGTCTTCTTCTCATCAATGTACAATTGTCGAATTGTCAGCCGCACTCTCTCCCACTCCTCGGCAGAAGGCTTGTAGTAGGCCTCTTTACGAGGGACACATTGCATGGTGGTAGAAGATGGCGTTGATGCCACTGGCGATGAGGCCGTGGTGGAATCCATGATGGCGGTGGTGGATGATATACATGAGTGTGGGGGGTGTGCAGTGTGCAGCGATAAAAGTCGCTGTCGTATGAGATGATGATCGAAGTTAGAAAGTAGAAGGTGAAAGTGGGAAGCGAGCCGAGAAATTTGGGCAAGGGTGGGAAATGGGACTTGCATGGCATAGGAGAGCCCCTCCGCCGCCGAGGGCGCCACACAACCGGGCGGCTTTGCTCCCAAGTGCTTGCCTCCAGTCTGGCTGCGATTGCTGGCTGGCTGGCTGGCTACTTAAGTAAGTACTTATTAGTCCCAAGCTCAAATTAAGCCTGCCTAACAGCCCGTTGTGCATGCAATTCACCAATCACCCAGAATGCCTAGACCGTTACACCTTCCTTCAGCTGCCTGTCTTGCATGTGCTCGTGCTGCTCAACCTTGTCGGCAGAAGTGTCTACATAGTCGCTGTGCCTCGGGCAGATTCCATCCAGGCTGCCCACCTCTCGGAACCAGGCAAGAATCACGACTAGTTTCTATTGGACTAGGCTAATAAGCACTATCTTGCTGTGGGACTCGGCCGAACTAGAACGAACACTCGCGAATATGCACCAGTGACCAAGGTGCCGGTGTGTTCAGGTTTTGGCAGAATGGAGTCAGATCCGGGGTTGGCATGCGGAATGGGGAAATGTGCCCAACGAAGGATTCACACTCTGACCATCAAACGGTTTGCGAAAGTGGGTGAGCGAGCTGCGGGTGAGAGTCGGAAAGTGCGACACTCTGGATGGAGTAACCTTAGTTGGGTTACGCACACAGGTTGGTTTTAGATTTGACCAGATAAGCAAAAGCCTCCGCAAAGCCTCTGCAGAAGCGGAGACCAATCTGGGGTCGCTTGCCAGGTGCTTCGACTAGGAACGGGACCGACTGCCTTGCTAAGCACACAAGAGCCGGAGTCTCCTGCTGGTGCTACAGTACGATACGTGGGCCGTATTCAACCTTGTTCAGGTTTGCGCAACACGTGTTTCATCTCGCATCAACCGCCGCCCACTGCCCATTGGCCGTAACAGGGCGGTGCAATTGATTGTCGGTCGAGCCCCCTTTTAATACCTACTACTTGAGTACGCTCCCCCAATGTGTCGCCTGCTATAACTACGGTTTAATGTTTCCGGATCAAGGCTTTTCCCATTTGCCCATGTTAAGTTTCACGACACATAACGTGATGCCGACTCATTAATCGTGTCCAGTCTACTAGTGTTGCTGATCGACTCAAGTCAGGCCACTCGGACAAATCGGGTTGCACAGGGTGAGAACTCTTCTCGTCAATATACAATGAGTACCAGCCGCGGTTTTTCTAGACATCAAAGTACGACGGTTAGAACGTCGCATGTACTGGGGGCAAAAAAACTATAATCACGCTCTCCCGCGGGTGGGAAACAATCACTGCAGTGTTGCCACCACCCTATGTGTCGGTCAGGCAGATTGATGTGTCGCAGCCAAGTCGGCGTTTGGCACGGGCTACCCACGGCACTCGGCTCGTGATGGGTAACAAGTACCTACCCAGGACATGCCCAGTTGACGCAATCGAAATCTGACCAACCGAATGTGCCACGTTACCAGAGCTCCCCCCAAGCCTGGTGATTATCGATCGCTAGTCCAGATCTAGATTCCAAGATTACACGCTAGGTTCGAAGGAAGATACTGCGGATACCCATTTCAGACACACAATGACCCCTTGACAGGCTGACTATGAGGCCATCCTTGATGCGATTATTCCGGTAGCCCCCTGATAAGATGCCCTCCCTAATAACGTCAATGACCGACGTGTTCGCTTCCACGCGCCCGTCGAATCCGGAACTGCGCCCACCGCAGAACTCAACCCGTGACCATGCCAAAGGGACCACGAAATTAGTCTTGATGGTACAAGTGAGACTTTCTTTACCTCGCTGTGCTCGCTTTGAATGTACAGCTATTTCACAAGAACCTTACTGTGCAGATACAGGGATTATAGGGAGTGGCGAAAACTGAGCAGCCCAAATGCGCAATCTGCAACGGCAAATCTTCAGAGAAAACGCATCAGCGGCAGACACTTGGACAGACGATGGGTTGACCAAAGATCTTGAATGAACCAGAGGTTGAAGTTGGAGCCCTACTACTACATGTTTGGGACTGCTTCAAAGTAGCAGGCGTCAAGGATTTATGGACAACTAAAACACCCACACGACACAAACATTATGAAAAGCATAGATATAATCAAGGAAAACACATTTCAAACATACCAATGCCACGAGAGCCGACGCCAATTTGTCACATTCCATGGTCAAGTCGTTTTCAGAAGAGGCCTTCCATGATCAATATTTGAACCCAATAACTTACATGACAAACATCATCAAAGGCTGCAAGTATCAAGGTCTTTCACATGAGTCTATGAACAAAATATTTCCAATTTGATGATCGGTTTGTCCAGAAAAGCCGATGGCGGTGGCCTCGCCGTCGTCGAGGTGGTTGGGTAATAAAACCTCCAAGACTTGGAACCACCGAAAACCATCGACTGTCAAATGATTCCACATGTACTGAAATGACAATTGCCAAGATGCTTACGAAGCGCCCAAGTCGTAAAATCATGCAAACACCGGGCGCCGAGCGAAAAAGGCCCGATCGCTTTTGTTCCCTTGCAAGGACTTCTAAGCTACTACTGTGGTAGTAGACGTAGCCATAATAGTCAACCGCGCCGAACCGAGCCACCCGTTCCGCATGTGCACTATAAAGTCATAAATCGATATCGGCTTATTATTAGCACTGGAAGCTTTCGGAAATGTCGGCGGATAGGCCACGGACATCCCCCCCAGGAACCTTGGAAGCCGCGGAGTGCAGTGACGCAGAGGGTGCCCAAGTGGTGACGCCCCCGAACCTTCGGGCGGCCGGGGCCTTCACCTAACCCTTCCTCCCCGAACCAGCCTTTCTCCCCCCAGTGGTTCCGAACACACCGACACTTTGTCGTGCAAATACGCGCAGATTGGCCGAGTGTAATTCTTTTTATTCTCGCTATAACCCGCCGTCCGCCGGGCGGGAAAAATCCAGATCTTTAGGAACGTGGAATCAGCGAAGCTAAAAGCGAGGCATCCTTGGTTGATAAGCGATAATAAAAGGGGGCCCAACATCTTGCATGATCTTACTAAACTAACTAGGCGTGTGAAGCCGTGCACGCGGCAACCTTCGTGATGGATACTGCGGTGGCCCAGAGAATCATCATCGCCCAACAGACAGCCAGCCCCCGGCCTGGGCGGCGGCCATGATTCTATAATAAGTGCACCTAATAAACCAGACTTGAACTACGAAATACGCGAACTCCTAGCAGAGACTCCAGGAGCTTTCGAGCGAGTCAGTCAAGCGAAAGTATGTGGGGTCTACATGCTTAAGTATGTTTGACCGGTAAAGTGTTTATCAAGCGTTGTAGTCGTGTGGGAATGTAAATGCATGCGCAGAAAGGGTATTCGCAACGATGTTACCTGAAGTTTGCAGCCTATTATGTACGAACCAACTTGTAGTTAAATTAAAGGTTCCCAACGTTCAGAGTTTGCAGCAAAGTCAGATCTGCCCTATGCTGTGATGTTGTATACTTTATGCACTTTAAGTGCGCAGAAGACGCATCTGCGATTCGATTCCAACATCACCACTCCAGGAGGAGTAGAGGCACACAAGTTCATCAAGGCGCTATATGTATGGCACGGGGGGATCAGCAACGAAACCAGCCGTGGGACGCCTTCAATAGGAGGATCTCCCCCGCCCTCAAAGACCTGCAATGAGTTGATGCCGAACAGTCACTAGAAGCTGGACCGTGACAAAGTACGCCCGCAGCCCGCAAGCCCAAGGCCAGATAAATGAATAGGTGATGCATAAAAGTCGATTAGGCTACCAAGCTGTGTGTCGCGCAGGACAACACGTCGTCGTGCGCCTTTGCTATCTAGGCCCAGCGACTCTTTTTCTCCCTTCCCGCAGTCTCCCTTATAGAGGCTGCTTGCTGCCATGCTGCAACCCCCGCCCCTTTTCAGATGTTCCCTTCCCTTGAACGCCACGAGCAGGTAAACTTATAGAAACATCCCCCTATCAACAACATATATCTCCAAAAAAGCTTAATCATCATCCGTATACCGCGGGCCGCTCGCCGCCGGCGTCTCGGCGCTGCCATAAGCCACAGGCGTAGGCGCGCTGTAGTACCCCCCGCTCGCGCCGGGCGTCGGCGCACCCGCCGCAGGGGTAGGGGCGGAATCAGCGCCCCAGGCGCCCGACCAGGCCGCAGGGGTCGGCGCGTTCATCGCACCAGGGGTCGGGGCATTGAACGCGCCAGGGGTGGGAGCGTTGAGCGCCGCGCCGGGCGTGGGGGCTCCCAGACCGCCGGGCGTGGGCGCGTCGTAGGCGGAGGGCGTGGGGCCCCAGGCATCGTTGCTTGCGCCTGGCGTCGGCGCCGAGATGCCGTAGGCTGGCGTCTTGGACCCTGCGCCCCATGCCGAGTCGCCGCCGCCGCTGGCGTAGGCTGGTGTCTTGGAGCCGAGGGAGAAGCCGTCGTGTGCTGGCGTCTTTGCGCCTGACGACCACGCCGGTGTGCGTGAGCCAGATCCGTAGGCTGTGCGGCTCCCGTCGTAGGGGTTCACAGTGCGCGAACCATCGCCCCATGCTGGTGTACGTGAGCCAGCAGATGGGCCTTGGCTCCACGCCGGGGTACGTGCGCTGGCTGTAGGTTAAGTGTTAGTAGAGGAGGGAGGAGATGGTACAAGTCAGGAGGATTTGACTCACCTCTTGATGAAGCACCCCATGCAGGAGTGCGCTCAGAACCGGAAGATACTTGAGGAGTGCGGCTGCCGAAGCCCAAGTCGATGCCTCCACCACGGCCGCCTCCAAACCCACCTCGGCCGCCAAAGCCGCCGCCTCTGCCGTTGATATCAATGGTCCGCCCTGTAACCTTGTCCTTGAACACAAGATCCACCTTGGGTACTGTCACGATCTTGCCCTTGGTATGTAGCTCGACTCGTGCATGAGTATCGGTGGTATCCTTGACGATGCCCAAGAGACCCTTCCAGCCTCCCTTCTTGATCGTGACGGTCTGGCCAATGGAGCGGTCACGTCCGAACGACTGCTTGGGAGGAGGCGCGGACATGCCGCTGTTGCCGCTAGGATCACGCTTCGCTGCCGGATTCATCTGAGAAAGATCCGGGCCGCCTGCGATCCGGCCACCCTTTGCCGCAACGGTCATCAGACTGCTAGATCTGGTGACATAAACGCCGGCATTCTCGCTAGAGTCATTGTTGTGCAGGAAGACAAAAGATCGGTGGATGTGAATGATCTTGCCCTGTCGCTGTTGGCCGCCGTACTCCTTGACAACGTCATCCAGTCGAATCTCTGAGCCGTTGCGGTCCGCAGCGATAGTGTGTTTTCGCTTAGGGATCTTGTTTGCGATCTGAGAGGGCATGACCTGCCTTGTGCTGCCGTTCTGGTCGAGAACAACGAGACTCTCACGATCAACCTTGACGATACATCCAACTGTAGTAACGTCCAGCTGCACCAGGTCTAGCAACGCGTACTGTCCGAGAGAACCTTGTCCACTAATATCACTGGCTTCTCTGAGATCCTTGCTAAAGACCGTAATCTCAGTGTTATTCTGGTCGGTCAAGAATGTAACACGATCGTCAGAAATCTTCACGACCATACCAACCTCGCCCTCATAACGGCTAAGGCTCGTGACTTTGACGTGGTCTCCAAGCTTGAATCGTTTCCTCAGCGAGGATGTAGGCACATCAATCGACTGGCCTTGCAGATCGCCCTCGGTAGCTGTGAGGGTGACGATGTCACCGACAACGTTTGTGGCTTTGCCAATCACACCCTTTTGTTCGCCCTTGTATACCTCGACGACGTCACCTGGAAGGTAGGCGACATGTGCACTGCTGTCCTTCAAGCTAACAGCGAGTGCTTTGAGGTCGAGATTCTCAGCGCCGTCTTTCTCGTCTGAGCTGGCAAACTTGGTAACCTCCTCTAGGGTTGGGTTGACGTTTGTCGTGATGAGGTGCTGAATCTTAATGTGTTTCTGGAGGAAGCCCTTCGAGTACTCTTCGTTCTTGAAGGTGAAGGTGTTTGCCATTGGGCTCATGGACAGCGCCGCGGGGTTGCGCTTCCGAGCCTCTACCTCGCTGAAAAGCCTCTGGGGCGGACGAGGCTTAGCGAAGAAGCCAGGCCGCTTCCTCTTCCCATCCTTGTCGAGGCCGCTTGCCTTTTCGGCAGCAAGCCTGTCGTCACGGTTGCTGTAGTCGACTCGAGGAATGATCTTGAGTGCGGCATCAAGACCTGTGTCTGTTATGTCCAATACCTGGGCCAAGTCACCCTCATATAGCTTGGGCCTCTTGATGCGAACCCAAGTGCCTGGCATCAGCTTGGGCGGTGGCTGCACGCGCAGCAGGTCGGGCATGTCCTTGATCTCGATCAGGAACATCTTGGTGTGAGGATACACGTTCATGACATCCGCGAGAGCCTTTTGAACGTCAATGGAGCTGTGGCCCTCGACGTAGATGTACCCCTTCATCACGGAGTTTGGGCCGCCTCGCTCGAAGGCTGAGGTGATGGCAAGCTCGTGGTCGGTGCCAATGCTCTCCTCGTATTTCTTCATGATGGCCATCACCACCTCGGCCTCCTTGCCCTCCTTGCACTTGACTCCCCAGATGGAGGGATCGTGTACGCTAGGCAGCAGCAAACGCTTGGGTACGACAGCCGAGTCGGTAAGTGCGCCCCGTCCGGAGTAGGCGTTCTTCTTGCCATACTTGAGCCTCAGTTGCTCGGCGACCTCATCGGCGTCGACGTCGTCTTGCATCTGCTTCTGCCGGTCGAGCTCGCGGTGGTATCTCTCGTCGTCATCGCCGGCATCGAGAAGGTCGTCGGGGTGCGTTGGGTCAATGAAGTTTCCTATCTCTGCTTGCTCTTCCTCGTCCTCGACCTCATCCTCGTCATCGTCGACCTCGGCTTCCACGTCGAAGAAAGCTGCCCTCGCATCCTTTCTCCTCCTGCGCTTGCGACGATGTTGCTTAAGGGAAAGTTAGCAGACAATTCAGACAAGGCCCACAAGGACTAGGCCGCGAATGGACCTGGACCGTTCGCAGCCCCAGAAGTGTGTCAGGGGGCAGAAGCCGGAGGCCAGCTCACGTACAGGCATGTCCTCCTCGTCCTCATCATCGTCCTCGTCCTCGTCCTCGTCCTCGTCCTCTTCGTCTTCGTCATCGTCATCGCGAGCAGACTTTCGAGGGCGAGCGTCATCCTCGTTGTCGCTCTCGTTGTCCTCGCGCCCGTGGGCGGAGTGCGAATCTCCGTGTGCGTCGCCATCGGCATCGTCGTCGTCACGGCTAGGGCTGCTTCGACGAGCGCCATTCCTGGACTCAACAGGCGACGAGGGCTGTTGCTCGTCATCAGAATTGTCGGCTGGCGCAGGGTTGAAGTTGCCGCCGTCCGAGTCGGAGTCGTCGTAGCCATGCTGAGATGAGGCCATTTTGTCGACGATCTGAAGGCGGCAGGAGTGTTTGGTGATGGTAGCCCCGGTGGAGAGCAGGTGGGATATGGGAAGAGAAGCAGAGGAAGTCAGGTTGGAAAGGAAAGCTGGCTGTGGAAAGAAATAAAGGAAAGTCAATGAGGAGCCTCAAGACGGACTGGCTGCGGTTGACGGGTTGCATCAGCAAGCAGCTCTCTGGCCCACCTGGCAGGCAGTTGAATGTTCTTTCAGTGGCGGGCAGGGATGCGGTCGCTGAGCCGGCCAGTTGACGCTAGCGTAGCTTCGTGGTGCGTGCGATTCTTGATTGGCCAGGGGTGGCACGGTCCTCTGGCTGAATTGGACTTGAGCTGCTGCTACTCACCCCAAGAAGACCTACCCAAGTACCTGTTGACCAACAAATGACACAATTGTACTTGCTGAGAGAGAAGATAATCTTTACTGCAATGGCTGACTTGTCCCAAAATAACAGGCACTACCCAAGCCCCCACAGTAGACATAGCTTCTTCCTGCCTGTATCAGTTCTCACCCCGAGTTCCTTCTGACAGGACAATATTGAGGACGTTCAGTCGTTGCTCCCACAGTCTTGGAGATTCCATCTATGAAGGTGATGCATGCAAAGCCGTTTAACCATCTCTCTAAATGCAACATGGTTCCAAAACCCACAGGTTGAACCTTCCAGTACACACTCACTTGTCTTTCTCCACAGAATAGACACGCCTGACACGGCAGAACACCTACAACTGGTGAGATATGGATGTTCGAGAGCCCTGACTGAGTCCTGCTGAACAGACAGACGTTACGCCCTCTACGGATACAGCTGAGACTTCAGCGAGCATGCAATGTGCCCTTTTCTGCACCACACGGTAGTCTACAAGCCCCACATCACACAGAAATTCTGGTCAAGTTTAGGGATCATGGCCTCACATTACACCAACTTGCCCAGCTTCTCCCATGAGCCCCCATGCTAGCTATTGCTGCCCACCAACTCATACTTGTCACACCTCATAAATACAGAAACGCCATGCTTTGCCATCAAGACCTGATGTGCAGCTTCACAAGCGAAGCAAGTTGGCCCTCCAAGGTAATAATAGATGAACAGGTAGGTATCAACCAGTTGGTCACCCAGATTCTAATGTGGATAGGCAAGCAATGGCTTTTTATGTTGCTCCTCTTTGTCTTGTCTTCCTCTTTCAAATTTGGTTGATGATGCAGACCCTCTGTTCGAAGGAAGTCTTCCCCGCTCACCACGGGGCACATGCTCTTTCCCACAGGCAACAACAGTACAATCTCACATCCTTACACCCCAAATACCTCGGCCTGCACTGACCCCTAGCCACTCACCAGCCTCATCACTTGGTACTCGAGGCACCCACCCGAGGTTGCCCACCTCATAGTCACACTGCCAGCTGGCAGCTGGGCTCCGGACACTATCGCTCCCAGGGGTGCCGTTGGTCTGCTGCTGGCTCATCAAATCCCAGAGCAACACCTGGCAGTCGTCACCTCCCGAGGCGAGCTGGCCCCGCCGGGTTGGCGACCAGTCTATGCAGTTGACAGCACCTCCGTGGCCGCGCAGTTCCAGCAGTGCCTGGCCCGGTTGCCGCGTGTCGAGTATGCGGATCACATTCGAGTCCTGCGCGAATGTCGCAAGCAGCTGGGTGTCATGTGGGGAGGTGGCAATCCGCAGGAGAGGAGGTGGGTTCGACATTGTTTGTTGAGCCAGCGTTGGGCTCATCTTGCCGCCATTTGCATCTACTGTGGACTCGTTAGCAAGGCCAAGAACAGGCCTCGACATGGTAGGGCTCATGACATACCTCGGTCTTCCTTGCCGGTAGGCTCGTAGATGATGGTACTATGCTCAAGGCTCCTCAGGTCAAACATGCGCACACTACCGTCCTGGCCGCAGCTGACAAACACGTCAACACTGTTTGCGCAAAACCGTACATCGTACACTTCTTTATCGTGAGCGATGAGTTGGGTCTTGGCCGTCAAGGACGGAATGTCCCAGATGGTACAGGTAGTGTCGATACTGGAGGTGATGATGAGACTCGGGGAGACCGTGTTCCAGTCAAGGGAGGTCAGTGGCGCAGTATGGTCTGGGGTCTTGGAGTTGGACAACAGAGCGAGCGGTGTAAGCTTGGTAGCGGCGACCTCCCGACCGCGGCCGGTGATCGAGTTGCCGGGATTCGAAGGGGTATCGGATGGCAGAGACCATAGCCTCAGATGGTCTCCCGACGTGGCGAGGAGGTCCGTCGACTGTTTTGTCGAGGATGGGGGCTCCCATAAAAGGCGGGTGACAGGGTATGAATGTGTGGCCTCGGCGACCCTGGTGAAATCCATGGTCCATTTGGAGCCACCATGAGTATTGTAAACATCCGAGGGAGTTGGAACGATTTGGGTATCAAGAATTTGAATCTGCCAGGTACATGATTAGCGACTGCAATCCCGCGATGCCAGGGCAAAGTGGACTGACAAAATTATGACCGTCCTCGAGGTAGCTTCCGATGGCGACCTTGCCAGCGCCATTGCCCTGAGGCGCCCATTTACACCAGTCAAACGCGTATGTCGCCCATGGCGCCATGTAGTTGCTTGTTCCCGGCGCAGCATTCTGCATGTTAAAGTCAGCACCGCTGGGCAGGCCGTCGGACAGGGTCGAGTCGGCGCGTGGCCTGATATCGGCCAAGCCAAGCGGCGTGTGCGACATGTTCCTCTGGGACCCTGGCGCATTGTATCCTCGGTCGGTCGGGGACATGAACTGCGACGAGGTGGCAACCGATCCTCCTGGCGTTGTTGGGGTGTAGGGCGAGTAGCTGGGATTCGGTCCGTCATAGCCCCCCGTGGCAGAGGTTGACCGCGAGTAGCCGTGGGACAGGTTCAACGAAGGTTTCGAGGGTGTCTGATAGTCCTGCTGCTGCGTCGTCGACGGCGGGGGCATGGACTGCATCGTGGGCAGAGTAGGAGCTGTGTTAGCACCGCCTGCCTGGGGGCGGCCTATGGGACCACCTGGCTGTAGCACGCTGGGAACCGCAGGCGTGCCCTGGTACGAGGGTGGGTTGCTTGCGGTTTGATCCAGCTTTATCTGAGGGCCAGCGCTCGGGGTTGAGTATTCGCGAGGAGAGAGCTGGCCGTGCTGATACCCACTGGGGCCTGGTGCTGACATGTGATGCTGATCGTCGTACCCAACTGTGCGCCGGTTGGAGGCAGCGTATTGCTGCGGCTGCTGCTGCGGCTGTTGGCTCATCGTCGCCGCCTTGGTGCTCGGAGTCGAGGCAGAGGAGGCCGGGGTGGTGACAGCCGGGGCGGGCGTCGAGTCCGGGGTGGGATTCAGGTGTGGTATAGAAGAAGCAAAGTCGTCGTTGGACGTTGGAATGGAGGGAAGGCCGAACATTGATCGATGGCTGGGACTGTGACACGATCCTGGGCCTGAATTGGATGCGGGTGAGGGGCTCAGTGCCGGATCGAGAAGGCCAGCGGGCGCCAAAGCGCGAGAATGCTGTGGGAGTGGTTTGCGATGCGGGACGTCGTGGCCGTGGCGGGCATGCGAGGAGAGAGAGTGTGGAGGTCGGGCCGAGGGCGCGTTGGGAGAGGACGATGCAGTTGGGCCGTGGTTATCGAAAGGGCGAGGCTGGGCAGCAGCAGGAGGAGGAGGATAAGAGCTTGTCGAAGCCGAAGCCGATGTCACTGCTGCAGCAGCAGACACGGCTCTTTGGTTTGAACCGAAACCGAAACCAATGCCAGCGCCAGTGCCGGCAACACCAGCGGCAGAGGATTGGAGGGGTGGCGGCAGATGCAAAGAAGCGTCAGTGGTTTGCGGCGGCGGAGGTGGTTGATGTTGTAAGGCAGGATGGGTGCGAGTCGGAAGATGTTGTGGATAGTGGTAGTGCCCAATGGCGGCAATGCTGCCGCTCCCACCACTGGCACGGGCACGAGCGCGGGTGCTGCTGCCAAACCCGAATGAGGGAGAGGTCGGGCTGCTGTCAGCAGTGGAACGCAAAGGCGGGCGCATGTGCTGCTGCTGCTGCTGCGCGTCTAGCAGATCGGGGTGGGCAGCAACGGCAGGGGGGGCATGGGCGGGCTGGGCGGGCTGGGTAGCTGTTGTCGTTGCCCGCGGGGCAGCAACGGCCCCCAGCGCCTGACCTGCCTGGCCTTCCTGGCCGAGCATATCTGAGATGGCACTGTTGCTCCGCGAGTGTCGATGCGCGTGGCCTGGCCCACCCCCGCGGCCGCAATGGGCCCCCCTAGCAGGCAAGGACATTGGTGGAGCACCTGCTGTATCTGCCGTGGGTTGCTAGCAGCGCACGCCCCTGGCTGATGCACTGCTCTGGGTAAATAGGGTGTTGACAGACGGTAAACAGACGCAACTATCGGTTGAGTTTAGATTTTAATTTGTATGAGAATGGAAAGATGAGACACACCAACGTCTGCTTTTTTTTTTCCTGGTCTGTTGGACGGGCTGCTTCCTGTGTCTGGCCTTTGTGAGCTTCCAAGCTCCTGGGTCGGTTTGGTGGAGTTGGGCTGCTGCGGGACTACCTAGTTACACCTCATCACAGTCTCCTGGCGCCATACCTGCTTGTACCCCCTTAACATCAACTGCCTCGCCTACTACGGGACTACTCGCCAACCGGCCTGCCCCCACCATCGACAGAGGTCGACCTTGGGTGACTGACATCACAGGTCATCTTTTGTGGTCCGGCCATGTACGGCCGTATCCGTACATCAACCTCCACTCACCATGTGCACGCGTCAAATGAGACAGAATACCGTTACTGACACATAGTGACGAGAGTTGTTTGTGATTCTTCCCTGCCATCATCTGGAACTAGTCTGAACTCCCCTCTCCCTCCAGTCAGTCAGCCCACAGAATGAGTCGGGACAGCCTTCCATCACTGCTCCTCCTGCCCTTCCCTCCCGAACCGGCCACTCGGGTTGCACTCAATGCTGCCTACAGGCCGGCCATAGAAGCAGCGTTGCTCAAGCTCAGAAATGCCTCCACTGCTCAGAAGCTCATCGTCGCGGTGGCCTGCCCCGTGCTCAAGGGACCAGGCCTGAGGTGGAAGACCCTGTCATGGCCCCAGGCTCAGTCACTACTCGCTGGTCTCTATTCAATCATCGCCATCGTCTGTGCTGAACAAGGTATCCCCACATACCTGAACGCTGGCCCTGGCTCCGTCGACGCCAGGGTCCTCCTCGTCGACCACACCAGGACCAGGCGTTATGGAGATGACTTCCGAGCCGCCGTCGAGTCCAACAACACTGCTGTTGTGGACTGGGCCACATTCGCTTCCACCTACTATCCCTGGAACTTCATCTTCAATGCTGACAGCGAGGTCGCGAACGAGATATACACCCTCTATCTGAAGCTGGCCGAGAAGAAGCAGACACTACTCCAAGATCAGCTCATCACCGTCCCGGCCGGCGTGACCCTCAACGTACCGAGCCTGGAGGGCCCCCCCTCGCCGACGCCTGGGACGATGCCGCATGCGACCGTCTGCCTCGGCGGCACGTTCGACCACCTACACCCCGGCCACAAGCTGTTATTGACGGCAGGGGCATATCTGCTGGATATCCCAGAGCCTAGTTCGTCCAACACTTGCAAGTACATCATTGGTATCACCGGTGATGAGCTCCTCAAGAACAAGAAAGACGCCGAGTTTCTCGAATCCTGGGACGATCGCGCTCGCAACGTCATCCATTTCCTTGCATCCGTGCTGGAGCTGTCTCCTGCTGGCTGGGAGAAGGCCCCGGCACCGCACATCTTGGAAAACGACGGTGAATTCACTGCAACCTTCAGAGACAAGACCGTGACTATTCAATGCGTCAAAATACAGGATCCGTTCGGTCCCACCATCACCCAAGAGGATATGGACGCCCTGGTCGTGTCGGCAGAGACGAGGTCAGGCGGGAAAGCAGTCAATGACAAGAGGGTCGAGCAGGGGTGGAAGCCCCTCGAGGTTTTCGAAGTTGATGTGCTCAATGCCAAGGAGATCACCGAGGACGTTGCGACAGCGACCGAGAACTTTGCATCCAAGATCAGCAGCACGGCGATTAGGCAGGAAATCGCCCGGGGTCCAGCACGTCAATGACCGGAAGATGAGGAGCGGTTCTCAAATTGTTCAGTAGAGGAATCATGGTGAAATATACAACAGATTCAAAGTAAGTACAGGGTGTATATATCATTGTCGCTGTCATCAATTCGTGATCGCTCCCTCTTCCTCTCCCGTTCGGGCCTTCTCGTACCAGTCTCGGAAGCAAGGCAAAGTACACATTCACACGGCCAAGACTCCTGTTGCGCCAACACTTCAAACAGCTACAGTCAACGCTCTGCGATAGGCACAGAAATCATTTTTCTTCGTCAGCATCACCGCCGTTCTTAGCTCCTCCTGCACCGCCTGCCCCTTCCGCCGCACCGGTAGCAGTCGCTGCCCCAGCTCCAGTCGCAGGGGTGGCAGGGGCCGCTTCTCCTGCTGGCTTCGCTGCCCCAGCCCCCGTAGCCTCTCCAGCTCCAGTCGCAGGGGTGGCAGGGGCGGCTCCTCCGGCTGGCTTCGCAGCTCCGGCCCCTTCAGTCGCTCCAGCTCCAGTCGCGGGGGCGGCGGGCGCTGCTCCTCCTGCTGGCTTCGCTGCTCCGGCCCCAGTCGCTGGGGCGGCGGGCGCGGCGCCTCCTGCAGGCTTTGCGGCTCCGGCTCCGGCCGCGGGCGCAGGTGTTTTGGCACCGGCCGAAAGGGCCGCGATGCCGTCATCCAGTGCCTTGCTGATCATGTCGGTACTCTGCCCGGCGATGGGCCTCGCGATGGCGGGCACCTTGCTCAGCAGGGCCTCGCTGAGGCCGCCGCTGTCGGTCTTCTGCTGCTGCAGGGTCATCAGGGCGATCGGGGTCACGCCGAGCATGTCGAGCACGGGCTTCTTGGCCGTGAGGTCGCCGATGGTGGTCTGCACCTGCGTGGCGAGGTCGGTTCCCGTCTGCTGCAGGCCCAGGGAGCCGAACAACCCCAGGTCGTCGGCGGCGTTGATCTTGGTGGCTGCGCCGGAGAGGGCCTTGGACGCCGCCTGTGACGTGCTCAGGATGGGCGCGGCGGTGTTTGGGTCTGTCGTCAGGCCTTTGATGGCCGTGTCGAGATCCTTGAGCGATGACATGACGGGTGCGAGGGCCGCCTTGATCTTGTCGGCCTGGCGGCGCTCGATAGGCACGGGGGCGGCCATCACGGCTATCGCGCCGGTGAGGGCAAGGATGGAGAGGGACTTCATATCGACGGTGTGTTTGGTTAAAAGATTATAATAGAAAGAAGCAATACGCTAGCGACCTGCGCAAGTAGCTATGTCGAGGGTATTGTACTAAAAAAAACAAAAGTGAAGACTGATGCGAAGGTAGTTGGTTAGTTTGTTGACAAGCTCACAAATATCGTAGGCTTCATCACGGCGGCCACGAAATCTTATACAAGTTGAAGCAAGCGTGACACTGGGTCACTGGCACGCGACCCACACCCAGAACCACACAGGCACGCCGCAGAGGTGCAGAAAAGCAAGCCCTCGCAAGAGCAGCTCTTCTCCTCCTCCTTCCTGTTTCGGAAAACGATGCAAGCTGCTGTGCTCTCGCTGGCATGTCTTGGCCGCAGCACCCCTTCAGCCCTTCTGACCAAGGGGCTGGCCGTGCAGGGGCACGTATCTCTGGTGTCCCCTCAAGTGCTCGAGCCAAGGGTGCCAGTGCGAGCCTGGCGGGGTGTCATCTCGAATTCTCAGAGGCGCGGTTGGTCGGGGCGTGTTTCCCTAGGGACGCCCCTGGCTGGGAACGCTGCTTGAGCGTCGTGTGTGTGGCCCTCTCCCTCAAAGGTGCGTTTCTCCCCTGGCCATGCCATTTAGGGTTGCGATGCGATCGCGGAAGAGGGTGGCAGCTTGTGGCAGGAAAAGTGGGGGTGGTTCTGGGCTGCGAGCCGCGTCGCTTCGCTCACCCGGAAGGGGACTAGGCCGACCTGTCAAACCCAGAACGGGGGGTTTCTGGAAAGAAGTCGAGGGAAAAGAGGCTTTTGTCGGGGTGAACCCTAATGGTAGGGGTGGTTTCGTCACTAGTTCCTCCCTCCCGTCCCCTGCAGCAAAAACGGGCTGTAGGGCGTGTGAGGCTCAGCTTCTGGGCGAGCCAACCCGAGCGCAGCTTGTGAGAGATTTGGGATGAAACCGCCGTGATTGGTCCCGCGCGTGCCCAGTTGCCAGTCTGGCTGGCAGTGGCAGGCCAGCGGTCGTCCCTCGCGCCGGATTGCCTCACCACTTGTTTTTCTTTCATCGAATATCTGTTGCTTCGGCCCCTTGGCGCCCACCCCCTTCGACCCCTCTTTGACATGACCGTCTCGTAGTCATGCATTGTCTCTTGTCTCCCGGCAACTTTCCACGGCTGTCAACTGATGGGCGTAATGTGAAGTGCCGCCTCTGGTCTGGTCTATGAAACAGACCCGTCATCGGGGAGCTGGCTAAAGCAGTCGCTGGTGGCCGTTTATTGTTTCGAAAAACATCTGCCTCAGCCCTAGCCTTGTCAATATGATCCTCGGTAAGGCCCGCGGGCCATCATCTCGTGAACATGGCATGCTGAACGGCGCATGTGAGTTCCAGGTCGTGCAGGTGCAGCATCCCCTTCTTGTTCAGGCATCTCACTCTTGGTGTCTCATCTATATCACTCGGTTCCATTGGTCTCAGACCACCAGGGTCTTCCAAACAAAATAGGTGCCACCCGCCGAACCATTTCATATGTTGCTGTCACCTGAGCATTTATGTGTCAACTGGTCTGTGGGCAACCTTGCACATCGATCATATCCGGGGTGCATACATGTCTATGCTGTATCAGCCTCCTCAGACTTCCTACACACCAACGTCTTACGAGCTTACGTGAATGAATATAAAAACACGGTGATGTCATCCTTTGTGAAGTGCCATGCCTTTATGCCGTCCTGCCAGCGATTTTCTCGGGTATATGGACGACATGGAGAGAGCCAAAGGAAATGAACTGCAAAGGTGTGCATATACGCCGCAGTCTGAAGCCCTCCCAGCTCTTAAGAAACAGCATCTTTTACACTACACTGACGTGACTTGCCGCCCAGTCGGAGGCAGACATATAAAATCCAGACGATAGCACTTGATGTGGCAAAATGACGCTGCCTCGGTCCTCACATGCGGCTCCTCTGCATACCGCCGAGACGTGGCTACACGCTAGATTCTTGTCATTGTCGTAGTGCGACGGGATCTTGCTCCTATTAATAGGCAGCCGCCAGCAAGGTCAACTCGTCCAGAAAGCATGCGAGCTGTTATGTCGACGGCTACTCTCAGGACGCTCGGGTGTGTGATGGGCATTACTAGTAGGGGGTCGTCGCAATCGCTCCCGCTTGTCGCACAAGACAAAGCACGAGCTTTGCACTGACATGGTACAGTTATTTTCGTCTCCCAAGAGCTTTTGTAGGCTGAGAAGGTTCTCCGATCATTGATGCCCAGGTGTTAAAACTCTGAGCCCAAAACATGACATCTAGTCGAGCGAAATGCTTACACAGTTTGTGTTCTCTCATCCACTGTGCCATAACGGCAGCATCTGTTGGCTTCAAGAAGTTATACACATGGAAACGCCAGTATGTGCCCATCCGTGCATCAGTTGAGGTGTCACGGTGGGCTGGATGTGCAGTGCCCGACATACCCCATATTCAGTTAAAAGTCCAGCATCTCCTACTCTCCTTCTCCCAAAACTTTAGCTTCCCGGCCATTTCCCTGCACATTCTTCGGCGCACACAACAAAAAACTGCCCTGGTAATCAAGGCGCGTCGTCGTAGTCCTTGTTCTCGAACCAATCATTCCAGTCCTCCCAGCGGCCTAGCCCAGATTCCAAGTCGCCGGGGCGACGGCCATGGACAATATCATTGATCAATATTTCCCAGATTCGGTTTACCTGCTCGTTAGAGTTAGTCTTCCACTCCATCATAATGTGCGCGATGGCACCCTCGCCAAGCTCGGTGAGGCGTTTATATGCATCGTCATCGGCACAGTCGGTCAGGTTGGTGTCGAGGTTGTAGTACTTTTGTTGCATAGAAGCTTTGAACTGCCTGAGTGCCTCTTCCACATCGCTGTAACGGTCGTAGTTCATGTCTACCACTAAGTTCGCATGGCGTTGTAGTATGCAGTAGTCGAGCGTATTATTCGGGTCTACTTTGAACTTTGAGTTCTTTTCGATTTTGTTATCTGCATGGAGAAATAAAAGCCGATGTTAGTTCTAGCCTTGTTTTTTTAGCGAGATTTGGCGGGTAATCTTACAGAGGGTCGTCGCAAAGAAGTCATCTGGCTGAGTGAGTTTCTCAACCACCAACGGGAGACTCTTTGGCCCTAACTTGGCCAAGTCTTGGAATTCAGGCGGGCCGGTGAGATCGGGGCTGAAAAGTGAGTCTTGTCAGTTAGTCTTCGTTGATAGAAGGCAAGAAATCACGTACACGGATGAGAACAGATTTATACCAGCGTACCAAGTGGTCTGCCATGCCCCATATCTCTTCTCGAAGTCTGTCACGTAGGAGGGATAGAGAGTCTTGATCTTGGAACATAAGTGTTGCACCGAGTGCACTGCCCGTGGGTCGGCAGGCGGGACCTTCTCGTAAGGCTTCATGTTCTTTCGAGGTATTTTGTGGACTTGAGTTGTGGGTATAGAAGATGCGGTGGTGCATTGGCTGTGCTGACGTCTGCGACTCCGGCTGTGGCTGCGGCATTCAGGCTGCCGTGCGGCGCTATAGGACGCTGTTGGGCGGCGGCTGTTTGAAATGCAACAGTTGAGAACCTGCAGCAAATTTTGGCATCTGAGGCGGGGCCGACTGCATGATTCGCCGCCTGTTGGTGCTTAGAACGGCCTCACCCGTCGACATGATCCCACACCTCTGCCTATACCCTAAGGACCATCAAAAGCAATTGTACGGGGAGTGAGTTCTAGCAAGGTACCTAGATATGTAGATAGAGCTAACTATAAGAGTGGAAGTATGGACTGTGTTGCAGGCATCATAGGGGTAATGATGCTGCTCGTGGTAGTTCTCAATTGGCTAACAAGCAGCAACATTTGTATATGCTCGCCCCTGAGCCGAGCTGATCTAACCACAGCTGATCCTCAGCAAGCAAATTGAACGTGCAGCGGCTTGAGCGGGACGGAAAGCGAAGGCGTGCTGAGACCACGCATAGACCGCACTAGCGATTCCAGAATTCTGCTGCCTGGAATCCTACTGGCCAGGTTCGAGGTGAGGTGCAGGGCCATTCTTATATACGACCTACTTGGCGGTAAACACTTATGCACGTCAGACGTATACGAGAGTCCTGGCGTCGAGAAATCAGCCATCAAATTAAGTGCTAGTTACAGTCACGGTCAGCTCTTCGGACTCAGCCTCTTCTCTTCTTGAAAGTTTTACATAATAACCAAAGTCGTGCCGTCGACGACATGTAGTTCAGCAATTAAATAGCAGAGTCTCGCCTGCACTGTCCGAAAGACCTGACACACTACCTAAATATCCAGAGTCTCCTGTCTGTGAAAATATACCCAGCCAAACCTCGCCAAGATGCTGCCCTCAATTTCAGTCTTGCCTCTCCTCGCGGCTTCCGTTCTTGCGATCCCCAAGCCTCAAGCGGACACCACCGCCTGCCCATCCTCATCCTTCGCCATCGACTTCGGCCCGTCGCTCTCCGACAGCCGGACGGGATATGCCTGGAACGACCTCACAGACTGGATCCGCGCCATCACAAGTCTCGACATCGACACACCCGAGCGCGCGACCTTCCAGGTCATTGATAACCGCCTCTACCCTGTCCTGAACAGCACCATCTTTGCCACCGTTGCTACCGAGGGAGGGACGATGAAGTTCGCCGCGAGCGAGAGCGATGGGGTCGCCGCCATCGTTGCGACGGTTATCCCGGGCAGCGACGGGAAGTGCCGTCTTTCGCTGGTTTCTGGTGCGAACAAATATGTGAGCATGCAGAATTACAAGGGCTGGATGCATCTCACATCTGATCCTGAGTACTCATCACGGTGGTGGGGCGAGGGCCCTTTCGAAATGGTACCATTTCCTGCTGCTGTCACCACACGCCAAGAGTAGACCGGCTCAGTTGGGTCTCGTCTGATGAGAATTGATGGTCTCCACAATTTTGTCGAATGAGAGCAGCGGTATACAGTCCAATGGAGTAGAATCCGTGGCCCATGAGCTCACTCAAGGGGCTTATGAGTTTCAAAAAATATTTTCACGTTTTGGACGTGCCGAGTGTGTCGTATGCAGGACAAGTTCAGGAATCACGTAGTACGCTAAGCACAATGCATCGTTGACAATTACTGTATTAGCTGAGACCCCAGAGAGTCTCATTAAGACCACTATTTTCCAACTGTTGAAGTAGTTTCACACCAGTTGAAAACAACACAGCCTTACTCACCTCATTTACAACAGGGGTATCACAAACCGAACTTGCCTGTAACTTACCAGCCACAGTATAGATGCCAGGGCAGACATCACAGATAACATCGTTAGCATAGCTCAGCTGATGGATGACTCACCTTTGGTCTCACTTCTTGCTGCTCTTCTTCGAATTCTTACTGTTCTTTGCCTCGATACAATCGAGGCATACAAGGCCGTATCGCTCCGTCGCCTGTTCCTTTGGCTGAAGACCGCACTGGAAATCGGGACAGATCCTGCCGTATGCCAACGCAATGGGGCATTCCTCAGGAGCTGCGCCGGGGACGGGCTTGAGGCAGCCGCAGCCGCTGAAGTAGCTGGTCTCGAAGTGACACATTTTGTTGGATTAAAAGCGCAGGCTTTGTCGAAGCAAATATGTCGTCGAAATCGAGTTGACAGCGCAGCTGATGTATTAGAAAAGCGTTTAGAGCAAATCTGTTGCCTTGAAAAGAGAAGAAGAATATTGCTGAAAAGAGTAGAAGCAAGAAGCAAGCCCTGGCTGTGTTGTAAATGAGTAGACTCGCCTGCCGAGCTAGAAAAAGGTGGACGTTGAGAGAAGGCAGGAGTGTGATTAAATATTACACGACTAACACACCTGTCAATGTTTGGGAAGACACGATAAGGCAAAAATAATGTCATAATCCTATTCTCTTCACAAAGTAGCGCCAGCCCGGGCAGTCTTTGACTACTTTGAGCATTGTGTACCGGCACCGGCCGATTTCCGTGCGGTAGACAAGTAACCATCAAAGCACAAAGACATGGAGCGGAAACTTCTATCATCAAAACCTTAAAATTCTTGAAATCTTCCTAATTCGTGCTTATTTTGGAATCGGGACGAGTTGGCGCATGTCTATCCTAGGCAACTTCCCCCGAAGCCCCTTTTTCGTGCCGAACCGGCGGGAGCGGCTGGGAAGAAGATTGACGCAAGAGTACTATGAAATTCGGTGTCCTCCGATTCCTACTTACTTCTCACTCATCCGTGCCGCTCTTCGTTTCGTGTATTTGTAAGACCGGTCTCCCGTGCTTTGTGTGTTTGGTGTCGTGTCTACTTGGGCTGCCGGCCGTACCGCCTTGTCGCTCTGCCAGGCCGAGGCCAGTGCCGCAGCTTCGTTCTCAAAGCGGGGAACTTCCAAAATTAGGTAGTTTCTTCTTCTTTTGTCTCGTTCTATCAATCACTGTGTTAATTTCCTTGACGGAGTGTTCTGCTTGAATATGCATCACATACCAGGTCTGATGTGCGTTACTGTGCTCCTGGGCACATGGGCTTAGTACCTACCTAGGTAGTGTCCATCAAAATGCGTTGGGGAGCCTCAAGTCTGAGTTCGGCCCTGAAAGATCTTTGAAATCTCTGTCAATGGTGCATCATTCGTTGTAGTAGCTCCTGTTTCCTCAGCGTGTTCAGCGGCCGCTTGGCTGTTCTTGGCGAGACTGGCGGAGGCTCGAGCGGTTGTATGGCCCTCCTCGATCGTTGCCCGTGCTATGCATTCCAAGGACGAGATCGTCAAACACGCCTCCCTTATTGTTTCATTAGGCTGCTATATCATTCCCTTTTGAACCTCGATAGGGACCGGCGAAGTAAGAAGAAGCCTTACGTGCTCACAATCTCTTCTTCCATTGAGCGAGCTGGCTGAGGAATGGGACGACGGAAACAGGCTCTATAGTGTCTTTTCCATGACCACCCATTACGTTAGCGTGTTGGGGCGGCCGAGTTCACTAGACCGAGGTGAGCCGTCCTTCAATTTTGGAACCACCATTTACCTAGGTGATGATCAGTCAATTCCGTGAGGCGATTGCTAATAACGCCCTTCGAGCAGAATAAACCAGGGCTACCGCTTACTACACTCAATATAATTAGTATAGTATAGTACATATAAATAAGCCTACTACACCCCATTATATTAAGGGTATTTTAAAATCTATTATATTATACTAAAAAGTCTAATACATATAATATAGTAGATTTTAATATAAAATTATTAAATTTCTAAAATTTTAAATAACTATAATTAAGTTTATAAAGGTTAATTATAAACTTTATTTTACGCCTTATAAAGCACATATTTAAACTATTAATACGCCTTATAAAGCATATATTTATATATATATAAATACTATATATTTTAATAAAGTTTATTAACTACTATATAAAAGGCCCTAAATAAATTTTAAGGTATAAGCACAACTTTAAGATATTAAAAGCTTTAAGGTGTTAAAAGCTTTAAAACATTACCTAAATAATTTATTAAAGCTTATATTTAAAAAGGTATAAAGCTAATTAAAATATATACTTTTTTAAATATAAATATAAACTACTTTAAATTAAAATAAAATTATAGCTTATAACTTATTATTTTTAAATTTTATTTATAAAATTAATATTATATTATATTATATTACAACTTTTATAAATATTAAAAACCTTTTATTTAAGGCTTTTATTATTATACCTATATATTTTAAAATAAAACCAAATATAATTACTATTTTTACTTATTTATATATTTTAATATATTATTATTATTTAAAAATATAGCTATTATAACTTTTAATAATATATATAAATCTTACTTTATATATATATTATAAATTACTACTAATATATTTATAAAATTTTAAATAATTTAAAATATTATTTAGGCTACTATATTTAAAATATAATAAGCCTACTTTAATAATATATTATCTAATAATATAAATATTAAACATATTTAAAACCTATTTACTATTTACTTTTAATAATTAACTTATTTTATTAAATAAACGCATATAAGTTTTTAGCCTTAAAAATTTTATTATAATTATAATTTAAATTGCTAGCTATATTAAAGCATTTATATATTAAAAATATACTAATAATTATAATTTATAATTAAATTATATAACTAATTTTATTATAATTAATTTTTTATATAAAGTTTTTATATACTATTATACTAATTATATATATAATTATAAATTTACTAATTATTAGTAGCTTATTAGCCTAATTTTTATTTTAATAAATTCTATTATTTAAATAATATACTTTTTTAGCCCTTTAATTTTTAGCCTTATAATAGTCCCCCTTTTCCCTTCCCCTTTTCTTACTTATTTTCCTTTTCCCCTTCTCCTTTTATATTAGCATTTACCTAATTATAAAAAAATATTTTTAAAAGGCCTTAAATATATTAATACTAATAAAATTTATTTAATTTAAACATTTTTAAATTATATTTTTATAGCTTATAATAAAGCTAAGGCCTATAAAAGCTAAAATTTTATAAAAAAAAATTCTTTTAATAATATTAAAATAAACAATATAAAGGTTAATAAATTTAGGCCTTTTAAATTTATTAAACAAATTTTTTTACCTAAAAAAATTACTTTACTAGTAACTTTTATTAATATAAATATAGCGCTACTACTTTTTCCTTTAATAAATATAAGTTTAAACTTAAGGGTTTTTAAAAAAAAAAAGTTAAAAAATAAACCTTTAAAAATAATATTTAAAAATAATATAGCCGCCTTTTTATATAAATAAGGCTAGTAAAATTATATTTAAGCAACTAAAACCCTAACTTTTTTACCTAAAAGTATTTATTACTATTTTTTTTTAATAAATTTTAATAAAAAAGCTTATTAATTTAAGTAATACTAATAAATAAAGCCTTTATTAAATATAAACTTAGCTAAATAAGGCCCTTAATATTTTACTAATAATAATTTAAATAAGTTTTTAATTAAAATATATAATATAAATAATAATAGCCTTATAGCTAATATATATAATATATTATATTTTTTTTTAATTACTTTACAGCTAGTATATATAATATATTATATTATTCTTTTTTAATAATAATTAATATTTAATATTTAATAGCCTAATTAAAAGCTTTATTTTTAACTTATTAAATAGTAATTTATTATACTATTTTATTTATAAAATATATAAAAAACCAAGGCTTTAAAAGTTAAAATTATATTTATATATAATAAAATCTACCTGCTATTAATATTTTATTAAATAATTTTATATATAAGGTATACTATAAACTATAAATTATATATACACGCCTTGCAAGGCATATAAGTAATTTAGGTATGCGCCTTATAAGGTATAAGAATAATAGTACACCAAATATTAAGGCTATAAAAATTAAAATTATATTTATAGAATTTATTTGCTATTAATATTTTATTAAATAATTCTATATATAGGGCATATTATAAACTATAAACTATATATATATACCTTATAAGGTATATAAATAATTTAGGTATACACCTTATAAAATATAAAAGTAATAATATACTAAATATATAAAAAACTAATTATAAAATAAAATAAAATAAAAATTATTAAAGTTTAACTAAATTTATATATAATTATTTTATTTATATTATAAGATTAATACACCTTATAAGGCACATATTTAAATTACCCTTATACTTTATAAGGCACAATAATAAATCAAACTATATATATATTAACTTAAGGCCTAAAAAGCAATTTCTTATAAATTATTAAATATTCCTTACTTATTACTTAATATATATTTAATTTTTAAATAATATAACCTATTATTAATATTATATTATTAAAAAAATAGCCTATATTAAAATTATTTTAAAATATTTTCCTTTAAGTTTATTTTTAAAATTTACTAAATTTTAACACTTTAAAAGCCCTAAAATTAGCCTTAAAATATAACTTTAATATTAAAAGTTTTATAAACTAAAAATATAAATAGATTTATTACTATTATATATAAAAAAGTTCCTTAAAATACTTTATAATTATATTAAAAGGGTTTTAAAATACTAAATTTTATTTTTAATTAAACTATAAAATATAAAATTAATTTAAAAGTATATTAAAACTTATAAAGGTTAAAATTTAAAACTAATTTATATTTAAAATATAAAATATTATTAAATTTTAATAGCTAAATATTATTAATTTAAAAATTAAGCAATTATAAATAATTTAATTAGCAACTTTAATAAAAACATTTTTAATAAAAACTTTTATACTTTATTATTATTAAAACCTTTTTTATTTTATTAAATTTTAAGCCTTATATATTATATTTAAGTATTTAAACCCTTTAATTATAAAAATAAATATAATTTTTAAATAAACTTTATTATAATTAAAGCTTATTACTATATATAACAAATTTAAATTTATAATAATTAAAATTTTATAAAATACTTAAAAATAATTTATATTATATTTAATAGCTAGCACTTAAATAACTAATATTTTATATATAATATTATAATATTTTATTTTAATAAGTTTATATACTTATAAAAGCTTATTTTAATATATTAAAATTTATTAATAATTATATTAAATAAAATATTATATTATATATATTTAAGGTTTTATAAGCATTTAAAATTACAAATAAAATTAAATACTTTACTTTAAATAATATAAATAATAATAATATAATAATAAAAATTAAACTAGCTTTTAATATTAACAGCTTTAAATATTATATTTATTATTTTAAATATATTACTAATTTAATTACAAATATTTTATTATTTAAAATAATATTATATTATTTAAAACCTTTTAATTTAAATAATATAAATGCCAAACTATAATATATAAAATAATAAAAATTGGCCCTATTATTAAGCTTATAGCACTTATTATTATTATTTACTAGTTTAATTAACTAATTAATTAGTTATATAAAATTTAAAAACTTTTATAAATAAAAATAAAATAAATTTTATATATTAAATAACATTAAAAATAGTTATATATATTTTAATATACTAGCTATTTATATTTATTATTATTTACCAAGCTATTAGGCTTTATTTATTTCTTTTAATATTATAATAAAATAAAATAACTACTAGTAATATATTATTTACTATTATATATTTTAATTTAAAATACCTTTTATTTTTTATAAAAATAAAATTAATAAAAAATTAAAATATAATTATAATTATAAATAAAATCTTTAAGAATATTAATAATATATTTAAAGCATTTAAGGGCAATAACTAAATTTAAAAATAAAAATGGCTTTAAAAGTATATAATAATATTTGGGGTATTATTATAGGCTTTAAGTTTTTTTAAAATATTTTAAAATATAAAAAATTACTAAAAGATTTCTAAACTAAAATACTTTATAATTAATATAAACTATATATAAAAAATTAAACTTTTATTATATCAAGCTTAATAAATTATTTATTTATTATATTATAATAACCTCCATTTAATATATTAGTAGGCTTTTTTAAAAGTATATAAAATAAAAAAATAAATATTTAATATTAAAATTATAATATAAATAATCTAAAACAAAAATATAAAAATAAAAATATTATCTTTTATTTAAAGGAACCTATAGCTAAATAATAAAGGTTTTTAAATATATATTTAATAAATATTAAAATAATTTATATATTTAACTAAATAATACCTTTTATTAAGCTTTTATTTTTAATACTATTTTTAATAAATTTAACATTTAAAATTATAAACCATATAAGCTTAATAAATAAATATTAGTACTAATAATAAAAATATACCCTACTAATAATAATATTAAAATTTACTATTATATTAATATAATTAAAAGATAAATATCTATATTTATTATAAATGGCTTTAAATTTTTTTATTATAATAATAAATATTAAAATTAAAAATTATTTTTATTATTTTTATATATAATAATAGCTTTTAAAACAGCCTTAAAGTAAATATAATCTTTTATATTAAATATTACATTTATAATATTTATAAAAGTAGTTAATATTAAAAAAATATTATTTTATTTAATAATAATAAAAATTTAAAATAATAATTTAAATAAATATATAATAAACTATAAAAATTATAATATATTATTTCTAATAAAAGTAGTTAAAAATAAAATGGGCATATAGTAGGCTAATAAATATACCTAATAAGGTATATATATAATTAAAATATATACTTTATAAAATATAAAGTAATTTTATTTAATTTATTTTTAATTTTATTTATATTATTATAAAAAAATCTTTTAATTATTATAAGTTTATTATTAAAAATTTATATTATATTATATTATTATTTAATATATATTTATTTATATAAATAGTTTATAAATTAATATTTCCCCCTTTATGCTTTTTGCGCCTTATAAGGCGTATATTTAAATTAGGTATGCGCCTTATAAGGCGCACTACCACCCCCCTATATTTATATTCTAATTTTTAACCCATTATACTATATGCACTTATATTAAAGGCCTTTATATTATATTATATTTATATTAAAGGCTAAAGTATTTACATTTATATTCTATTAGTAAGCCTAGTGCGTGTAGTATAGTGTATGGCAGCCCTGGAATAAACAAGGTCAAGAACTTTGAAAGCAACAAATACCGTGCCAAAGGCTCTTTGACATAGTCCGAAGACAAATGTCGCAATAAAATAGACAAACATGATCACACAGTATTTTTGATAAGCCGAGTTGTTCTATGAGGAATGTCGAATCAGCCCAGCTAGAACCACTTGTAGTTGAGAAACATTTCAATGTTGAATGCTTGGATCACCTAGTCTTTCACGCGATTTTGTCCAGTGTAACTCTGTGGAGTAAATTGAAAACCGGTGAAAACCTGCAATCTCTTACAACCAGGGCCCCTTGGTGGGAGGCAGGCACGGTGCCCAGGTGTGTTGCAAGCTGGAAGGCGGGTCACCGAGTTGCACCCTATGAGCGTTGATGCTTTTCGCGTTGGTTGAATTTGATGCATGCCGAAATGCAGGAGGGCGCATAACGCACCAAACATGGAATCTTGGAGGGCACAGCCGCTGACCACCATGGTCGCGTCGGTACAAGTCTTGCATATTCGTTTCATTACTCGCCTTTCCCAATCCAGTTGCAACAACATGTTGTTGCCTCAGGGGCCTTCAACAGGAAATCCTCCCACAGAGAAATATCTCCGCGCACGACCCCCAATTTCTCTGTTCTCTATGCTTCGTTCATTGATTGAACTCTCTTATTTCTGGCTAATGCAGTCGAGAAACACGATGCCTCCCAATGTCTCGCTGAACGACTCGGAGGGGGACTCCATTGTTTGCCGCCCGATGGAAAGTTCGCGGCCAGTACTGTCGGACAAGCCCGTTAGAAACCAACGCAGAGCCTCGAGCGCAACCCAGTCTGGCTCGACGTTCTCTCCTCTAGCATCAGCTCGCTCTAGCCTGACACCTGAACGGCCTCGAGCCCGGAGCTCATCGACCCACTGTCCTGCTCAAGATGCGGCAAGCTCGCCCCTTGCAGATTCGACTGGTCGCGAAGCAAACGAGGATATGGACAACCAAATCGATACACCCACCAAGTTATCCAGGCGTCGAGGTAGACCTAAGTCCTCGGAAACAAGGAAGTCGCAAGGTTCGTCGTCCAATGTACAGGCTCGAGCGCTTTGAACTGGCGACGGATCCAATTCAGGCGGGACAGGAAATGGTCGACCGTCCCTCGTGTCATCCTACACCTCTCCAGAGATCCATGCGAGAACACCAAGCAGAAATCGACGCCCAACCGTGACTGAAAGAAGGGTAAGCGAACCTGTCACACCCGGGGAAAAGCTATCGCGCTCCGGGTTCCAACTAGACGGCGATATTGCGAAATTGATTGAAGATGGCCCCAAGGGAGAGAAGTCGAGGGAGAAGGGCTCAATCTATTTCTACAAAGTCAAGCCAAGAGACATTGAAGTCAATCTGATGAAGATTGGGCGGACCCAATTCCACCCAACAAAGCGCCGGAGACAGATACAAGGAATCTGCAAACATGTCGTATGCGAGGAACATGCGAAAGCAGTAGCTCGAAATATTCCATTCCACGGGTTTGCGGAGAAGCTGATTCAAACGGAACTAAGAAAATATCAACACAAGTTCAAGTGCGTCTGCGGGACAGAGCACACAGAGTACTTCAAAGTCAGTGAGGACATTGCTGTCAAGGTTTTCGAGCGCTGGCGTGACTTTTGCTACGAGGAGCCATGGGATGCAAACGGGATGATACTGCCAAAGTGGGCACGGAGGTTGCGGAACAGAGCCAAATTCGGCGGCCCCGAGACGCTCGAATTCGATCATTACGATTTTTCTGGGCCCTGGGATGCTTTCACTTCCCCAACATCTTTCGAACGCTTTCTGTCGGATGCGATTCTTGTCTGGGAGATCGCGTTCCCTAATCGCTGGATGATCATCTCCCTCGCTGAGTTGCTTACAATTGTTTGTTTCAACCGCCGGTCATTCTGGACGAGCGCATGGACTATGATCATCTTATTCTTCCTTCTGGCTGATCTCGTCATCACGGACAACCTGCATACCACTACCCATATTTCACATCTTATGAGTGGTGGCTTGCACTCTTCTCCGCCACGGCAGAAACCACCGGTTGACAAATCAGCCGCAGACTCCGAGGCCGTGGTTTCGGAAGACAGTCCAGAAGGCGCATCTCGTCAACAAAGCAGCGACGAAGTGCTCGCCCACATAGAAGAGGAGAATTCTGTCACACATCACCAGAATCAAGTTGACACGAGACAAGCAGTGGATAACAACAGTGTTATTGAAAGCCGAGCCTTTACAGACGTTGGACATGACTGGGATGGAGACTCTGAGTCACTCACAGACCCCGAAGAGCTGAACGTAGTTGAGATGGAAGTCGATAAAGAACCGGCCTGAGGGAACCACGTAAAGACGGATTTACAGGTGTGTTTTGCGACCTAGTCTTAAACGGTGGCTTCCTGGTTCCTTTGTTTTGTTACTATTCCTTACTCTTTTCTTTTATGTCGTGGTTCCGAGAATCCCATGTATTAATATAGGAGACTTCTTGCCGCGAGCGTTTGTTCTACTCGAAGACCTGGGTGTCGGCTTGTCACAGGTGAATAGCAATCAAAGCAAATTTCTTGTCATCATCTATACCACTATGAGGTCAGAGACTTCATTGTACGCCGAATCCTGAGCTATTCAAATTTCCCGTTGTACCAGGAAGACCACTGTATGAAGACGCTATATATGGCTTCGGACATATACAGAATAGAAGCGAAACCAGAGGACCAGGTGCCAGGAAAATACTTTCAGCACTTCAGGGGGGCAGGTCCGGGAGGCTGGTAGTTTGTGGGGACCGGGTAGTAGATGTTGACCACCAGACCGGGGTCGTTGGCCTTGTAGGCCCCTGGGAATGACACCTTGGTCGGGTTTGCGGACCCAGATCCTCCAGAGACATTGATCTGTGCACATGACAGGTACAATTGTGCACCACCGACCGAGCTGGCCGAGTGGAGAGCAATGTGCTCAGCTCTGAGCAGGTATTCACCGTTCGCGACACAGCTGGGGATGGGGATGTTAATGGTTGATTTCCCTGGAAAGGCTGTTAGATACACTATATACTATGTGCCAGATTGTGAAAAAGTGTACTCACCTTGAGATGGCCATGTCAAGCCGCTGGAGGCCACCGTGGGGTAGTCTTGGTAGATCTTAAACCTAGCACTTTATTAATACCATTTTTTCAAGTAACATTTTCGCTGAAAATTTCTGCCAAGCAACTTCAACTTACCAGTTCGCCCCTGATCCATCATATGTTGCAGCAGTCTGGCCCGAGGGGACCTTGGCCAGCCACGCGGAGAATGGGCCGGGATGAGAGACGCTGGACTTGATGTTGTAAGCCACGGATGAGCCAGCCTGGACGTTGACAGTTGTTGCGCCCTCGTTGCCGGCAGCGAGTTGGTAGCAAGTCATTGCGGAGGAGGAGACGTCTGTCACCGGGCCATTTGACTGGTAGTTCGAGGTCTTGCGGACGTTTGCCCAGTCGGCCTGTAGCGAGATTCTTGTTAGCGATCATCACTTTTCTGAGAGAAGTCCTTCCAAAATTCTCCTTATCTCCTGAAGGGGATGGAGGATCCAGGATAGTCCACTCACGCCGCCGTTGATGGAGGGCAAGGTATAGTGCGCCTCGGCTACAGCAGCCACAAGGGCCGCGACAGACAGTACGAACTTCATTTTTTTTTTAAAAAAAAAAAGAATCGGAGTTTTTTGACAATGATATTTTGTTGGTCGATCTGTTCGTAGAATCCCCCAAGCGTATATTCGAAAGAACAACACCAAACGCAAATATAGAAGAGCACGGGTTGGCGCTCAGTCTTATATCACGCATCTTGAGATTTAATATGTCATGGTCACTTAATCCTATGTAGTGCTTCAAAATCAATCTATTCAACGTTGGCGCCCTTTGATAATGCCATGTCGAGAGTTTCTCAGTACCCGGGTACTCGATGGATAAATGCCATTTCCCTGGTGACCTCAGACCGGGTAAATTCGTAGGTCGGCCTCAGGCCAACGACAGGCCGCGTGTATATTAAAATCAAATGAACATGGAGCCCATGATGCCGCGGGCGACCCAGGTTAACAGCACAGCCCGGCCCGGCTTCACGTTCCCCTAGGTAGGCGAGGGGCCTACCTAGTAGGTCGCTCGGCAAGACTGCCGAGCATCGCATGCCGAGAACGTGGCGTTCGCGGGAGAAGCGCTCCCCTGTCCTTCCAAGGTCCAGCCATGATCGCTGCCAGATATGCAAGGGACAATGCTAATGAGAACAAGCATGTCGATCCGTTGCAGATGATGCTGCTTTTACCTGCTGGACTACTACCGCGGGTACATATTTTCCGTTGAAGCCCGAGTCCAAAAAGCCCATTAAGTATTATTTCCGACACCACGAAGTGTACTCGTCATCGCTCAATTTGTCCATCTTTAGAAAATAGTTTGTTTCCAAGAATGCAAGTCTCTGCCTGGTACGACTTTAGCCCCATCCTACCAATCGACTCAGGTGCCCTGCCTGCGGTGAAGTGCTTGTCCCGGTCTGTGAAACGGAGGGTCCCTTCCGCCTGCCATTTATCTCGATGCCGCATTATCGACGGCGACATGCTACCTATGTCTCACAGACCATTTGTGGATGGGCAGAAATCAAACACAAGTGCTCCGAGATGCTTTCGAGATATTTCATCACCACTAACTACAATGTGAAATTTAAAAAAAGGAAAAGATCACAGCATATTCAAGAAATTTAAGCGAGTTGGCTCCGAGCATGAGACGAGTGAGGGTGCTTCAACGTTTGAAATACAGACGTTCCCCGGTCCTTTAGAAAAGCTTTTAAATGCTTTCGGATATGAGATAATTTGCTTGCTGCAGGAATGCAATCTCGTGGGAAGGGAAAGGCAGTATTCGTTGCTACTTTTACGAATAAATCACAGCGCCTCGGGGATTCTCTGCCGTTCATTTGTGCATGGTCGCGCGAGGTATCAAGGGATAGTTCGGCTTCATGCCTATTCTTTTGCGAAGCCAGCACATGTGCAGTGAAGCTCAGATTAAGAGGGTGCAGAAATACTTTGACCTATGTTTATTGGTCGTGAACAACTGATTTGCTGATACCTGGGTATTCAAGGCATCGGTGGTTTCATGAGAATATGGAAAGGCAGCTTGGGTCACGGGTGTTCCTGGCCCGCCTGCATAGCGAAGGCGGAAGAGACATTTGTGAGCCCTACTGAGTGAGATCTGAAAGTCAGGATTAAGACCCGAGGCTGCCGAGATGGCTCCCACGTTCCCGTTCTTGACCGGATCACTCCATCGGCATGCTGCTGGTGGAACGGTATAGACTAGAAAGCAACCTGCTGTGAGCGGAAGAAGGCAGTAAGGGAGGCGATTCTGTGTGACAGAACGGGATGTGGGCCAGTGTGGTAAGGGATAGGGAGGGATGCAGCGGAACGCTGTGACTGACTTCATTCAGGTGCTTGGGTGCCCCACAAACCTAGCCAAGCCATGTCATTCCCCTGGATGAAAGTCACAATTGCCCCTTCAAATCATCATCGAGCCTGAGAATGACCACCTCCGGGTACCAGCAAGATGTCGAGCGACCAGCCCAGCTCCTATTCGTCTGCCATCCCCTGACAGGTCACATCACACCGGCGCTGCGAGTGGCCTCGGAGCTGCACAGGCGGGGATGGCCCATCACGTTCCTCGGCCCCACCACGCACCGCCAGCGCATCTCCGGCTCGGGAGTCGACTTCATCCCCCTGCAGGACGAAGCCGACATCGACGACCTGCTCTACTACTCGCCCGACAACCCGGACCCGCCCGTTCCGGGCTACCACTCGCTGCTGTGGTACGAGCGTGCCCTCGTCGACGTGGAGAAGCACTGCCTGGAGCCCATCCCGGCACAGTGGCGCTGCGTCAAGGAGGCGCTCGCCAGCCTGCAGGGGCGCAGCCCTGACCTCCCCGTCGTCGTGATATCGGAGGCTTTCTTCCACGGCATCCTGCCTTTGCATCTTGGCGCCGACCTGCCCAATGGTGTCAAGAAGCCCAGGACACTGTGCCTCTCCGTCACGCCCCCGGCAATCCGCAGCGTTGACCTGCCACCTTTCGGCTACCCCCTCCCATTCTCCCAGTCAGACGAGGGCAGGGCACGCAACGCAGATATCTGGGACATTTTCGAGGAGAAGACACTGCCCCTGAAGACCCTGTTCGACAAAAAGCTGTCCGAGGCCGGAGCCACACGCCTCCCTCCCGGCCCGGTCCTCCAAGGCCTCAACTACACGAGCCACGATGCAATCTTGCAGATCGGCGTTCCCAGCTTTGAGTACCCACGGAGTGACTGGCCGAAGCAGTTCCAGTTCCTGGGTTTCCTCCCACTGGCCGCTCCCCCGCCAAATGGCTATCCGAACCTCCCTGGCTGGTGGGAGGAGCTCACGAGCACGAGCAAGAAAGTCGTCGTCGTGGCCCAGGGGACAGTCGAGACGGATCCGAACGATCTGATCATTCCCACTATCGAGGCCTTGCGCCGTCGGGATGACGTCTTTGTGGTCGCCATCATGGGCCGCAAGGGCGCGGCCTTGCCGCCCGAATTTGACCTGCCTCGCCATGCACTCGTCACTGATTATCTCCACTACGACGCAGTGCTGCCACATGCCAGTGTCTGGGTGCACAATGGCGGGTATGGGGCCATAACACATGGCATAGCCCACGGCGTGCCTATGGTGGTGGCCGGCGAGGGCCAGGACAAGCCAGAGAATGTGAAGAGAGTGCGCTACTCTGGCATCGGGGTGGGACTTGGGACACCCAGACCTGGTGTTGAGAACTTGAAGGTCAGCTTAGACGCGGTGTTGGGTGATGAGAGATTCAAGACTAGAGTAGAGGTTCTTAGACAGGAGACAGAAGACCTAGACTGCTTCGGGCGCGTAGAAGATTCCATCATTACAGTGCTGCACTAGACAGCTCTTCAAGATAGCTCATCAAGGGAACGGGCTTAAATATGCCCGTAGCACTTATCACCTTGGTCCGTTACATGGTCGCGTTCGCGAAAGCTCTCAACGAAAACACAGTGGAATTGGACCGACCGCGAAGTGACTACTTTGTATTAGTTGCTCCACTGAGACTAGTTGACGACTGCCCAGGTGAAGATGTCACGGTAGCAGCCGAAATTCTTGCTCATGATGGGATCAAATGTCCAGTCCAAGCCCACTGTACCCTAAGGAATCCGGTTGAACTGACGAAGTGGTTTCGTTTCTAATCCCCATACATATAAAATGTATGTGGCGCCTTCATACAGTGGTAAACGCTCAAGACCCAGCGTCTAAAAAAAGTGCAGTGCCAGGAACTGACGAAAGAGCTCAGACGCAGCGCTGCTACGATCACGAACCTTTCAAATTACACAGAGAGGGCTTAAGGCCAGCTGCGGCTGGCTCTTATTATGGCATTGAATGGCGAGAGCCAGATGGAACTTGCAAAGGATTTGCTGGACCAGATATTGCCGGTCATACAGCGTGCATTGTTACCACGAATTACCTCGTTAGAATCTATCAGGTCGGCATTTTTGTGAGATCTATCGTACCGCTCATGTTTCAGAAGAATACGAGGAAATCGTGAGGCCTTCTGCAGGTCTGCGGAGTCGAAGGATTGGGATGCATGCGTCTTGCTGGGGGGTTGTTCATAATGATTGGTGACCATCGAAGCAAGGGATTTAGCCGCCAGCCGGGGTCCATAATGTTTGCCCACGAACTGCGAGAGGTAACAACTGCTACATATAAAGAGGTACGGTCCCATGGCTTCAGTAAAACTGTGAGCCCGCAAGCGCATCGACTTCAAAGAAAGCCTTTTGAAAGTCACATCCCACTATTCACAAGATGCTTCCGCGTACCTCGATATTCCTCCCGCTCGCATTCTTCGTCTTTCCAGCCAGCTCTCAATGGCCAGCATGCGACCCGAGCTGCAAGTCCTGCGGTCTGACATGTGATCAAGGCTGCGACTCACCCCTCGACCTCACCGAATGCACAAACAAATGTCTCTATTGCCGCCGTGAGAGCTCTTCATGTGACTGGGTCAAGCTCACGCCGCCGTCCGAGACAGACGAGTTTTGCGAGCAGTGCTATGGTTCGTGCTGGTGCAAAATTGGCGCGATGTGTTATGACAACTATACCTCGCCGACTACGACCGGCGGACATGTCCCTGTTGCGACGGCGAAGCTGTCCCCGACAGGATTACGATATCACAGAACCTTTTAATGCCATACATCCACACCGGTTGCACGATTGTTTTGCCTGTTAGTGCAGTGGTGATTTCTCATGGCAGAAGGTTCTCGGTGAACTTCTGTCGTGTCATTTGGCTGTCGTGTCTTTTAAAGGATTCATGCAGTTATACGAAGTAAATAATCAATTACCCTAGGGCATATAACATGGACGCTATACTTGAAGCAAGGAAAAGGAGGTGAGGACCATGGGCCTAGAAGGGCGAAAGTATTTCATTTCACAAACTCCTATTTATCTTTGGTCACGTTGCCTGTAAGATAGAAACAACACTATAACTCAAATGGTGCGGGGGAGAAAAATTGCAGGAGACCGGACAGAGATGGGCTCCCAAGCGACACATAGTATTGCAAAGCAGTGGGTCGAGCCCTGAAGGGTTACTTAGATTACTGTCCCGCCAGTGCCAGAAAAGAAAGGGGTTCTGGTGCAAGATTAAATATTATCATAGTACCGCTGGAGAGATATTGCGCAACCTCATAAGTCCAAAACAAACTCTTCAGACTTTCTCACCCTTATTTGCACTTCTGCTCGAGTCTTACATGCTCGCCTCTATCGCAGAAAAAGCCGCATCATAAATCGCCAGTGCCTTCTCGGCATCCTGCTTGGAAATGTTCGCCGGGGGCACGACGTGGACTCGGTTCTCCACAAAGAATGAAATCAAGCCCCTCTTCTGACACTCATCCTTGATCTTTGCGATCACACTCCCCGCCACTGGTTGCTTGCTGACAGGGTCTGACACGAGGTCCAGCGCCCAGAACACACCGAGGCCTCTCACATCTCCAATTATGCGGTACTTCTCTGCGAGCTTCCGCAGACCAGGGCCTAGGACATCCTTTCCGATAACAGTCGCGTGCTCGAGTATCCGCTCCTCCTCCTGGGCCTCGATTGTGGCGACGATGGCTGCCATGGCCAGCGGGTGTCCCGAGTAGGTCAGGCCTCCTAGGTATACACGCTCATCAAAGGCGTGCGATATGGCTTGGGAGATGATGACACCTCCAGCAGGAACGTAGCCACCGTTGACACCCTTCGCGAAGGTGATCAGATCAGGCGTGACGCCCTCCGGGTTGAGCTCTTTATTCTGCCACGCAAACCAGTCACCGGTGCGGCCAAACCCAGCCATCACCTCATCACATATCATGACGATGCCAAACTCATCGCAAAGCCTCCGCACCCCAGCAAGCCACCCGGGTGGCGGAACGATGACACCCGCCGTGCCGGAGATCGTCTCCAGGATGATGGCCGCGATGGATGCTGGACCCTCGCACTCGATGACCCTCCGTAGGTGGTGCAGTGCCCGCTCTGTCTCCTGCTCCGGCGAAGTCGACCAAAACTCGGACCTGTAAGGGTAGGGGCCGAAGAAGTGGGTGTGGCCGCGAGCGAACTGGTTTGGCACGCGTCGGAAATCACCAGTCGCACAGATTGCGGACCCGGTGCTCCCGTGGTAGCTACGGTAGGTGGAGAGCACCGTGTCCCTGCCAGTCGTCAACCTGGCCATGCGGATGGCGTTCTCGTTGGCGTCAGCTCCGCCGTTGGTAACTAATATTAATGCGTTAGTGACCTGCTGGGGGTCCTAAAGTGATGCCAAGCGAGAGCATTTCACGAAACAGAATACAGGGATCCGTAGATGCAAAATAATGATACTCACAGAAGACTTTGTGGAAGAACTTGTCCTCAGGATGAAGCCCATTGGCATGCTTGAGTATCAACTCAGCAGCCTTGCCACGAGCGAGGTTGGCGTGTGCGGGTGCTATCGTGGCCAGTGTCTCTGCTTGCTTTTGGATCGCGGCGACGACCTTGGGGTGGCCATGTCCGATATTCGTGTACACAAGCTGGCAGGAGAAGTCAAGGTATCGCTTCCCCGAGTAGTCCCAGACCTCACTGCCTGATGCTCCTGCAATGGGCAGCGGGTTGAGTGTTGCTTGAGCACTCCATGAGTGGAAGACGTTGGCACGATCGAGCTGATACGTGAGCTCGCCAAGCTCTTCGGAAGTCGGGGTCGCGCTGCCCATTTTGTCGAGTTACTTGGTTTCTGGTGGCTTGCCACAGGCCGTGGGTACAAGTGAGCTTGCGAGCTGGGGGTAGAAGATTGCCGCAACATCAATCGGCTATCGGGACTCTGGAAAAAACAGGCAAGCGGGCCAGATATAGTTACACTGCTCCCGACATCGCAAGATCCCGGCGGAGTGTTTGTCAAGTCAAGGCCTGGGCGTCCCAAGATCGGCCGGGTTGCGACCCGGGAGCGTACCGGCATCGAGTAGACGCAAGGGAGATAAGATTCTAAACCCATGTCGCAATCGATCTGCCCGTACCCGTCCCCTTCCAGACGCCGCTAGTTCGTACAGGTAATCCTAAGTACACTACTGCACGGGCTTTAAACATGCTCTGCAGGTTCCCCACCCCAACCGATGTGACGACAACTAGGATAGTGAGTAACAATATCACACCTCAAGCAGACCCTAGACTTCTGTTCCTCGAAGACTATACTCTGTTTGAATTTCGGCTTCGGAGTCAGTGAGAGTTTGCCAGATGAAGCTGAGGCGAGGTGCTGATTCACTTCACAGAGGGCCCCTGAATTCTTCACTAACGTAATACCGACTCGTGCTTGCGTGCTTGGAACTCTTGCCGATAAGTCGCAGGACTGTGCACTCCGGGACCACGAATATACTGTACTACTGTAATGACTGCGCAAATCACAATTCCAGGGACACCATTTCTCATGTTTTGAACTACCTAGTTATCAACGACCCATTTAGCTCCCACAATTCTTGACGCTTGGTGTTCAGCCTGCCTCTCCAGATTTCATATATCTCGGTCTGAGGGGGTGCACCCAACGTGCGGCGAATGTACACCCGCTCTAGATCGAGACAAAGGTGGATATTTCATGGGTTATTTGTGTCGAGAAGATTGATAACGAGCACCGAAGTACATGGCCCGTAATGCTCAGCACAGAGACTAAGCGCCCGTCTGACGTGAACAAAATTCAACATGAAATATATCACAGCCCATCAAGTCATGCTGAACTCCGAGTCTAGAATAAGGGGGGAAATTATATCTAAACTTGTTCATGTGCTATGCGCCGCTGAATTTCGAAAACAATTTGGAGGCTGTCAAAGTAGACCTGAATCTATCGCCGTTGCCATCACAGATGTGCGCGTACCCTCCATTTCCCGCAACCAACATTGAAAGGTGGCGCACCAAGATCATCCATCAATAGCCAATTTTCGAACGGCAAGTTCTCTTTGGAACTCGGCTTCGTACCGGCCTCCGCCCAGCCACATGAGAAGGCAGCTTCACGGGGGGTATGAAGACGCCCATCGCAGTGGTGTTGTAAACTCTCAGTACCTAGGTACTCTGGGTACCACCCGGCAGACTCTCAGCCGATCCAACTTGTGACACGCCTTTTGTGGACAAGAAGGTTATGTGACGCGTAGTCGTCATGACTAAGCACAATCCGATGCGGTGGCTGATCGAATAGCTTCCTTGCGATCGCCAGGTCGCTCTCAAACTTTTCGGTGGAGTCGCACGAGTGCCCCGGGGCTGGCAGCGAAAGGAACTCCGTGCACAGCCTCTCATCATCGAAGGGCCCTAGGGTGTGTTCGAACACGCAAAGGCTCCGGATACATCCACCCGTGCTGATAGCCTTTCTCTGCGTGATTGGGGCGGTCTAGTAGCCCATGGCCTCGAGCATGATGGGTGATTCTTCCCTGGCCGTAATGCGCTCGCGTTCAGTGTCTCCTAGGCCGTCTTCAAAAACCACCGCCAGCTCAAAGCTGGGCAGACGCGTCATCAAGATCGACACAGGCGCGTGGGGTGTCTCGGGAGGGAGACGTAGCTGATCATGACCTTGTGGGAGGCAGCAGTGTAGGGCTGGTGTGTTGAATCTTCCCTGCCATTGGAAATATAGTACGGGGGCTTGAGAACACGGGAGTCTTTGCAAGGCTCTTGTCCACTTTTAAGTGGATGGGATTTGTAAGTCTCGAGAATTACATTGCCCAGGTGATTTGCATGATGTGAAGTCGGGGCTCAGGATGCATTGCAGAGCAACCAGCCGGCGGAATGGCAAAAGATGAGACAAAACAAAAACATACAGCACCGGGTATTCGCTGGTCGTCACCGACCCAACTACTAATCCAGCGATTATAGACTTGACTAAGGGAGAGCGGACGGGATCCCGTATTTTCCTATATCTATGGCCGTATGTGCTTGGGTGGGTGGCGTGGTGGATTATATGTGGAGCGTGTTTGACTCGGTGAGCCCTGAGGCGCGGGTCAATCCGTCTGGCGCAGCATGTTCACAATTCACTTATAGATTCTCTTACCAGGTCTTAAGTTAGAATACAAGGTTCCTTTATGTAGGAATACATGCCAAGGTTTGAAATTGTTTGCTTCACACCTTAGCACGCAGTACTCAAGTAGACGGTGACTCGCTTCAAATGTTGTGCCGTACAACCACTGCAGAACAAGATGGCAGTTCTTTTCAGGAGCATTGATCCCTGAGTAATCACTCGGCTCAAGCTTTTAGGCAGCATCATTAAAAGATTTGGCAATCTCAGCGCTGATCTCGCTAGCTACCCACAAGATGACCGAAGTGCCGGACTCCCATCCATCGTCAGCGGGAAAACTCGATGGCAATTTGATCAAAGGCTGGTGTCACCTTTTCCAATTCCGCAGATGATCCAAAGAAATCATCATTGCGCGGATGGACAATTTTTCTGCAAAGAAAAATTATGTCTGCCTCTTTTCAAATATGATGTCGTCCACGTGCTGCGGCAATTCAGGTTGTGCCGGATGCAGCGCGTTCAGGAGCGAGGGCGCCTCGACCAGCCTACAGAGAATAATAATTATATCCTCTAGGTTTTAGTGCTCGTATCAATCTCCTCGTCCAGCTTTGTCTTGATAATCAAGTATTGGTCTTTTTCTGATCTACTTATCTCCGAAGACTCTCTACACAACAAATAGCAGGCCGAGTAGGATGTCGAGGCGGCCCCGGATATGAAGACTGACTAGTTTAGTGGTCGTACTGCTTTTTTGATTTGTGCTTACTTGTTCTTGCGCTGCGATATGATCCCAACGTTCGGAAAGAAATGAAACTGCGTCAGCACTGTTTGTAGAGTGCCATACAAGCTCATCTGAGACCAACCTGGGGCACTCGTTTCCGTCTTTATCCCCCTCTCCGTCGCACTATATCTCACTGGGAAAGCAAAAGAAGGCCCATGGTGTTTTGAGTAGTTGCTTCTGTCTACCCACTCTCAAGACTCCAAATGATACTGACCAACCCGCGATTTCAAGACTTGGAATAGCAAACGTCCCTGGTGAAACATGGACTGTCTACTCTATATTTTTGCTGCTACGTTGCTAGGGCATGTTTATCGCATCTCCCCAGCCACGACGGCCGTGAATGAACACGCCGATCACTTCTGCTCATAACAAACACCACCGTTCTCCGTCATACGCATTCTTCATCACAGCCCGCACAAACACTCACAGCAGAGCCTAATAAGCGCACTGTAGTAAACTGACCACGGGTCGCTTACACACCCTCAAGCCTCCAGACTATTCCGGCCCATTGAATCCCTCGTGGGCCAGCCCATCATACACGTCCAAGTTGTAACGCTTGGCTGTGATGTGGAAAAGGATGTAGCCATTGAGGAACTCGTCCCACTTCCGGGAGCACATGGGGTCCAATCTGGTGTTCAGAAGCCTGACTACGCGTGAGTTCGCCGCGATTGTCTCGTCAATGACGGTTTCGAGCATTGCAACAGGCTCGCGCTGCTCGCAGACGGCCCGGGTATTGATGTAGTTGTCCGTCTCGCCGGCTAGGGTCTCCTTGTGGAACCTGTGACAATGGGTTATATGTTGGTAAGCGCGACAGGTTTGAGGGCAATGGGCATCGCCTGTTGGAGGCGGATCAATACGTACGAGAGAACATCATTGGCGTAGTTAATGTAAGTCATCATATCCGGTATCCCCTGCATATACGCTCCTATATCCGGGCACTGGTCCCCCGGGAAGATGAAGTACGCGTAGGCCTCGGGAACTCCACTCTTGTCGCGAATATAGCCAGGCCACCGGCTTGCCTCTTTGCAGTGCTGTAGGCCGGTGAACTCGCCGCGCCTCTCTAGAAGGGTGGCGTTGACAAATTGCAGCGACGAAAGCACGATGAAGTTGGCCACGAGGGGCTCGAAGTGCGTCGACATGCCCTGTAGCGACTCTGCAACGCACGCTAGCAGAGCCGATGGCTGCGGCTCCCCTTTGTGGAAGCGCGTCTGGAAGCCGGCTAGGTCCTGGTTCCCGTCCTCGTCATCGTCAATGTAGGTGACCAGCCAGGTGTAGATGGCTATGTGTAACTTCACGGCAAAGGGGTGGGAGGGATAGCAGGACTTGACACGCATAGTCAGTGAAATGAGTCTCAGCGTACGAAAAACACCGGGAAGACGGTCCTGGGGTTCGGGAGGGAGAAATAAGACGTACACAAGCGATGATGAGGCCCACGTCGAAACACCGCCGCGCATGTCCCGACTCGTACGGAACGCCCGAGCCGACGGCACATTCGAGCATGGCGGCCTGTAAGGCAGGGCGTGTATCATCATGCGCAGGCGTTTGGTATTTGAGCTCGCGGACGAATTTATCGAAGATGACGCCCAGCTTGGGGTTCGCCACAGTGGGAGCCCCGTTCTCGATAGAATGTGCCATTTTCAGAGCTGAACTTAGACTGTTGTCTTGAAGGAATACGGCCTTGCATCTACTAAAAGCAAACACGATCCGGTCTTCATCGCGAGGGGCATGGTCTTGATAACTAGCATCGTCACAAGACTTTGACCGGTGAGGTAGATTATCCAGCTCCTATTTGCCGAATTATAACTGGCAGCATTGCCCCGACTGTCACGTCAACTATCATCCCGAGGGTTTCCCAGTCCTCCTGCTGTGCTTGATTATCCCGAAGTTGTCACACGTATTCTTACTTACTTGATTATCCCGAAATTTTCACAGCTACTCTCATTTCTTTGAATCTTCCGGGTTTTAAAGGTTCCGTAGACTTGCTTTCGAAATAGGCAGGAGCTTATACTGCTGCATTTTTATCCACAGCGCGGGCTCACCATCAAGACCTGCGCTAAAATTAATAGGCGCTTTACTTGGCTACATTCAACTAGGTCTTAATGAATTTACAAGGATGAAACGGGTGTGCTGATTTCTTGATTATGAAGAATCTGCTTGATCTTAAAGCATTCGATTCTTCTTAAAGGATTGGTTAATCTTAGGGGCGACCTTTACCAGCGGGGGGAGGTCCCTAAAGATACTTAGGTATAGTACTATTAGCCTTGATATAGACTGGTATGTCAAGGTTAAATCTATTACAGGCAACCAGCAACAGTCCGATGCCGATAAGTACCTAGGTACTATACGAAAGAAACAGCGTCGTGTAACTCAGGTACAAGTTGCCCGAAGTGGGCGTGAATAAAGGCCGACAATGCCCCGACTGAGGTGCTGGCTTTGCTCAAACACACAACCACCACAAACCTTTTCCGCAAGGCCACTCGAAAACATTCATTCAGCCGAAATCGAGATGACGTCCAGTCAAGCTGAACCAGCAAACGCGCTAGGGAACAGGTGAGGGAACTACATTCCATTGCTGCGGTTTTCTGTTGCATACGGTCAACAAGCTAGATAGAGGGCATGTTGATGTGTCTTGACGTCGCCCCAAAGCGATTACATCGGGTGCGTTATTGAATGAATGGTTCCTGACAATTATTCCACCCAGTTGAGCAGGCAGGGTAACCAAATGGAAGCCCTGGAGGGCGTCCTGGACTCACGTATCCGTATGTGCCCGCATCAGCATGGTCGGGGCCGATTCGGCCAGCACATTTCCCAGGGGTTCAATCCCGAGAACTTGAAATTGCACCGCCCTGACTAGTATTAGGCCTAGGCTCTGTACCACCACGACACGTTTCCCAAACTGGCTGACAGGTATATCGGCCATTGCCTCAGCATCACTCATTCCTGACCCTCCATCGCGATCGGGAAGGCACCAGCGCAAGGACCCCGACGCATCCCACTCATTTCGTTCACCTACCGTACCAGAGGCCCAGAGGAACGCGGTCTTGGCGGGACAGGGGACTGACGCGACACGATAGCGCATCTCAACATGTCCGACAAGAAGAACGACGACTATGTCGTGCCGATGCCCGGCCAGGCCTACGAGCTCGGGCGCGCACCGGGCGAGGCCTCGTCGCACCGCCCGGTGAGCCAGCCCGGCGAGAGGCAGCCAGCCCCGGCGTCCAGCTTGGTCAACAGCCCGACGGCCTCCATCCTGGGTTACTGTCTGGCCTCCATCTCCATGACGGTAGTCAACAAGTACATCGTGTCCGGGGACCAGTGGAATCTCATGTTCTTGTACCTGGCCATTCAGGTATGCCACTTCAAAGTCCAGCCTGTAGTTGGGTATCGCTCGCCGCTGACCACTCATCAGTCCGTTGTGTGTATCATCGCTGTCCTGGCGTGTCAGCAGATGAGGCTGCTCAATTTGGAGCGCTTTGATATTGAGCAAGCCAAGAAGTGTACGTCCACACCGTACCGGGGGACTTTGAGGATATCATCAATGGTACTGATCTCTCTAAAGGGTTCCCTATCTCTATCCTGCTAGTCGCTCAGATATACACGGGCGGCAAGGCTCTGCAATTCCTTTCCGTGCCAGTGTTTACTATTTTCAAGAACCTGACTATCATCGTGATCGCTTATGGAGAGGTGCTCCTTTCTGGCGGAAAGGTCACCCCGCTGGTTCTCTTCTCGTTCGGCCTGATGGTATTCAGCTCCATGGTTGCTGCATGGGCCGACATCAAGGCGGCCACGAGCCTGGACAGCCACCCGTCCGAGACCTCGGACGCACTCAAGACGCTGAATTCAGGGTACGCGTGGATGTTTGCGAATGTCTTCAGCCAGGCCGCGTACGTCCTCGGGCGAGGACGGATGATCAGGAAGCTGAAGACCAAGGACTGGGACAGTAAGTGCCACCCAAGAAGATCCGGAGTCCCTATGATCTTGCTGACATCTTCGTATTAACCAGCCACCTTCTACAACAATCTCCTCAGCATCCCGGTGCTAATAATATGCTCCCTCCTGGTCGAGGACTGGTCCTCCGCGAACCTCGCGAGGAACTTCCCCGAGGAGACGCGCCGCAGCCTCGTCATCGGCATGGTGTACTCGGGCCTCGGCGCCGTGGGCATCTCGTACGCGAGCGCCTGGTGCCAGCGGGCGACGTCCTCGACGACCTACTCGATGGTCGGGGCGCTCAACAAGCTCCCGCTCGCCATCAGCGGCTTCATCTTCTTCAACACGCCCGTCACGTTCGGAGGCGTGTCGGCGGTTTTTATCGGGTTCTTGAGCGGGATCGTCTACGCCTGGGCTAAGATTTGGGAGAGGGAGCTGGCTAACATGTCTTTGCCGACGGCTAAGTGAGACGTAGGTGGTGTATAGATTTGTGACTGAGTCGAATTTCACGTGGTGCGTATTAGAATAGATGGTGTTCCATCAAGTGACGATACAATTGTAAAAGATTAGACTGTATAACATCTTGAATGGACGATATATTTTGAAACAGCATTTTGTACGGAGAAGACCTTCGCAACACTGGAAGGCGACAGAGTCGAGACACAGCGCGGCTCTGATGTTGATAAGTATCATTCATTACTTCTAGGAGAAAAACCAACAGTACGACAGTCTCTTAAGCTACTCCGTAAGAAGCTTGGCCATATCCTCCTAGACAGCGATAATATCATCCCTCTCGCTGGCCCAGACCGCGCCCCCCTCCTCTTGCAGCCCCAGATCCCCACCAACATAGCACTTCCCACTAAACGCCCGGTCCGGGAACGACAAGTTGACAGTCCTCCCAGGCGCCTTCATCCTGAGCCCCTGAAGCACAACAGCCAGCGACTCGGCCGCCCTGCCACCCCCGTGCCCGCCATACGACACGATCATCGCAGGCTTGCGGGTCCACTCGTTGAACAAGAAATCGATGGCATTCTTCAGTGCCGCGGGGATACCCCAGTTGTACTGCGGCGTGACAAACACGAAGGCGTCCAGGGCGGCGACGCGGGCGGACCAGTCGCGCGTGTGCTGGTGCGCGTAGGCCGAGGGGTCGGTGATGGCCTGCGGGATGCCTGGCTCGTCGAATAGTGGGAGGTTGGACTCGGCGATGTCCACGGGCTCCAGCGTTACAGAGAGGCCGTCTGGCGGGTGTGATGCGAGGTGGGACTGGATCGTCTTTTGGACAAAGCCTGCGACCTGCGGTGCCACGCGGGGAGAGCGGGTGCTGCCGCAGATGATGCCCACCTTGAAGGATTTATCGGTGAGGCCCATGTTTGCAAGGGTTATGTTTGGATCAGGATAAAGTCGAGCCGTCTGTGAGTGTGAAGACGGAGACACCTCTGTTGAACTACTTCCGGGTACTGTGTTTTAGAATAGTAGAGTTCAAGAGTTGAGCCCGATAAAGCAGTATCAAAGCCAAGATGCATGTATCATGTCAAAATGAAGGCAGGATGACAGCTTGGAGGATGCCCTTCAGTATTTATACGGGACGTGGAAGAGGAGTCGTCCCTGTCTGCGCGACCAAGCGCCATCCATCGCGCGAGGTTGATCAACGTGGCTTGCGCGGATTCTCCTATCCGTTGGGAGGCAATCTTGAGCATTTGCTCCCACAGAGCAATGCGTCTTTCTGTGACGGCCCCGGCCGGAGTTTGGTGTACATCCGGCAGTGGGCGGCGCACCAAGCCCGGCGTTTATTGGGGACTCCGGTCCGGGAACCTGCCGTTGACTGTGAAAGCCCGCTCTTGGGCTAGACTCGGGGGCCCGTTCGTCGCGAGCACAAGCACTCAATCATTTTTGAGACTATCTAGTCTCCTGAAACTTGTGGTTTGCAGCCAATGGAATTATCTGGCATCATTCCTCGACATATAATAATCGGCCCCTCGCAACTGCTGTGAGTAGAATGCCTTTCCAGTTCTGTGACAGATAGACTGCAGCGAGTGTGGAGACTGACTGCCCTTGTCTTCCTGGAGGGACTCGGGAGCTGTCAACCTTGCAGGCGACGGGCAGGGCAGAGGAATGTAACCCCTGTCGTGTAATGTTGCCCAGCCGCTGCATCAGTGCATGTGCTCGTCGAACAGCCTCGATGCCATTTGGAAGGGCGTACATGCACGGTACCTGGCCTGCCTTGTTCACTGCCACTGCTGTTTTGTCATTCACGTCAATAAAGGCATGACAAAACGGACTTGGGTATGGTCTGCGGTGCTAGAGTGGATAGATAGAGATGACTGTGGATGGATATGAGACGATGGAGGAAGGCATCGAGACGGTCGGATAAATACTGTGAAGACTTTGTTCAGGTCGACTACTGAATTTCTCCTTCACACAATGTGGTGGAATACACTTATTCAGGAGCTTCAAGCTCCCACGCAGCTCCCAGCTCCCAGCTCCCAGCTCCAGGACCCCGGGCTTGGGGAAATGGCGGGGTGGCGTCGTACTTGTAACATGTGCCCTGCAGATTTGTGATTTGTCATTCCGCAGCGGCTGCAGCTCAATTGCTGGAAACGGATGCGAGGGCGAATGCTTGTGCGGTACTCCGTAGACGTCACGACTTGAGCTGTATAATTGATGCAATTGCCCAAGCCCGTAACTACACAACTCTAGAAGCACCTCGACTGTCAACTTCGATCTCTCCCATAGCCATTTCCACATCCCACGCTGACCCCACTATATTACCATATTACTACATTACACATAAGTGACCCAGAAAAAACAACCAAACTGCATTCCCCAACAGAACAGAGTCATCCTCAAACTCCCCCACCACCAAACTCCGTACCCCGCCAAGGTTCAAACCTCCTCCTCCAGCCACAGGCCCTCGTCGTCCTCGTCCTAGCCTTCCTCGCCGCAACGGCAACAATGACCTCCAGCATGCCCGGCTTCATCGCCCGGCTGACCCGGCCCTTCACCACAGCCGCCTCGCTCGGCATCTCCTCGGCCGAGAACGGCGCCGCCGCCGCCGCCAACATCCCCGAGGGCGCACAGAAGGCCACCGTGGCGGCGGGCTGTTTCTGGGGCGTCGAGCACATCTACCGCAAGCACTTTGAGGGCAAGGGCCTGTACGACGCGCGCGTGGGCTACATCGGCGGCGACACCTCCAACCCGAGCTACCGGGCCGTATGCTCAGGGAGCACAGGGCGTGAGTCAACCCCAGAGTCCTTGAGAGAGAAAAGGGAAGGGGGGGGGGAGAGGGAGAGAGAGAGAGTGTGTGTGTGTGTGTTCCCACGACTAACCCAACCAACCACACAGACGCCGAGGCGACACAGATAACCTTCGACCCCTCCAAGATCACCTACCGCGAGCTCCTCGAGTTCTTCTACCGCATCCACGACCCCACGACGCGCAACAGGCAGGGCAACGACGCCGGCACCCAGTACCGCAGCGGCATCTTCACCCACGGGCCCGAGCAGGAGGCCGTCGCCCGCGAGGTCACCGCCGCCGTCGACGGCCAGTGGTTCGGCGGCAAGGTCACCACCCAGGTCATCGCCGCCGGCCAGTGGTGGGACGCCGAGGAGTACCACCAGCTCTACCTCGACAAGAACCCCTCGGGCTACCAGTGTCCTACCCACTACGTCCGCGACTTCCCGCCGCTCAAGTAGGGCGGAGAGATCGGCGGGGACTGCTTGTTTCGTTTTGTTTTTGTATATCGATAGGGGAAATTTAACTTTGGGGTTGTTTATGTATGAATACCCACTCAACTTAGGGATATCAGTTAGCGGAGAGGAGCTCAACAGGGAACGGATCACGTCAACGTGACGGAGCAGATTCGCACATAGCTTTGTTTACTCTACAATTCACAGGGGCGTTTGAAATTTGGCTTTTGATTTATTGATGTGTTGTGTTACACACTGGATATCTGCCTCGATACTGTGGATTGGTGCAGTACAGCACCGCTGGGAGGAGAGAGGAGAGTGCTAAAATCCTGATTGCCCCATTAGGAGCCCATCGCAGAAAAACCTATTAAAGATGAAGTACAGCGCCACGACAATATGCGTTGCCGTGACTAGCTCGACTCAACCCCACACACACACCTTACTTCCTCCTGTTCTGCTGCATCATCAGGATCTGGACCATCCGGATGAAGATGTTGAGGAAGTCCAGCTCCAGCGAGATGCTCTCGTTGACAGGGTCCCGCTTGATCACGCCCCGCTCAGCAAGCCGCGCGTGGTGGAGCACCTTCTGGACGTCGTAGAGCGTGAAGCCGCCAAACACGGCCAGGCCTCCGTACAGCCAGATGTTCTCGGTGAAGGCCAGGGTTCGCACGGCGGTCGCGGGGATGATCAGGGGGGCGAGGCCGGAGGCCATGACGAGCCCGGCGCCGGCGAGGAGAGGGCCGCCGATGTACAGGTACTTCTCCTGCTTGGCTGTCGCGCCGACGACGGAGATGGAGCCCATCATGGCCACGGTGTACAGGCCCGCGCGGGCGATGAGCGCGCCGGGGGCGAAGGCGAGGAGGGGGGCAATGAAGGCGGCCTGGGTGGCGTTGAAGGCGGTCCAGAGTGCGTACTTGGGGATGTAGCTGTGCAACAGAATTGTCAGTATTTCGTGTAGGCCATTAAAATTTAAGGGGGCGCAGCTTACTTGTCCGGCTCGATGGCCCTGGTTCCGATCATGGTTCCAAAGCTCAGCGCAAGGCCACCGATCGCGACCACCCAGGGGCTCGTCACCATCAGCCTGTACACAAACCCGCTCTGCACCATCTGCCGCGCCGTAAGCCCGATGATGCCGATCCCCAGGCCCGTGTGCAGGAAGGTGTTGTTCAGATATGACCGCTCAAAGGGGGGCATGCCGCCGTCCTCTCGCGTCTCTCGGTTGAAGACGGCGTTGATGGCGACGAGGGTGCCGCCGAAGATGGCACCGCCGACCAGCAGTTTCCGCACGGTCGAGGTGTTGTCGGCGGCCGGGGCCGCCTGGCTCTGGTAGCCGCGCTTGCCACCTGCGGCGATGAGGCGGGCCGTGAGGGTGGTCTTGGGCGCGGACCGCGCGAGAGACGAGGTCAGCAGGGTGTTTTTGCTCGTGAAGAAGGCATTCTGTTGTCGGCTGGAGCGGTGGAACGCGCGGGTGGCGATGGAGGAGGTGAGAGGTGACGACTTTGCCACGGTCTGCGAGAGTTCGGGCAGGCGGGTCGCCAGGCGGGCTGGGCCCTGCCGTAATGTGATCGTGAACGACATGTGTGTTGTGTGTTTCGAAAGCAGATGAAAAGACGGGCAGAAAGGAGGTGGGTGACAAAGGTCAGGTATCACTGGTGGTTTGGGGTTAAAGAGCAAAGGATGAAGTTTGACGATGTTGGTAATGACGTCCGCCAGATGGAAGCTTCGGCGGAGAAGCACCGCAAAGTCCGGGTGGCCCTAGCTCCCGCCCGCTGCCCAGTACGGAGTACGTAAGCAGGCGGGCGGCCTGGAGGGAGTGCTAGAACCACGTCGAAGTGACGGACTTCGGCTCCTACGGTATGACTCATTTCTCGTTGTTGCGAGATACAGACAGGGTAGTTATTCAATCTGTCAATGGATTTCGCAACAACAGTGCAGACCGGACCTCCGTCGTTCCAATTGGCCGTGGCTGATATTATCATAGGACGGACGCTGTTTGTCTGGATAATCATCACCGTCTGCTCGACTTGCGACGATCGTGCTGCACGCCAAGAATACCTCGCCCATTGGCCCAAGTACTCCGAAGCCTCTCACCTCTCACCTCTCACGACGTGCATTCAATGTTGCTTCCTTCAACATCTTCCCACGACTCCTGTCCCATACACTCGTGCTAAATATGGAATACCTAAGCAAGGGTGCTCAGCGTCGGCACCTTGCTACGCGGGAGTACTGCCATTTGCGCGACCGGGCCTCAGCTTGCTGCTACTCCCGGTGTCAGCCAGTGGCCCCATCTGCCGCGAGCAGTGAGCACAGAGTGCCTCCGCAGGTCAATGCCAAGCATTCATGCGACCAAGCACCGCGCAGTTTAGCCTGCTTTGGGGGGCTCATCACGATCGGGACCCCTCAGGAAATCCCCCATCGAAAGCTTGTGCTGGTCGTACCATTGGATGACATCTGACGCCCGAGGTTGGCCTCTGAGCCCGGACGTGACGCTGAGGGTTTTGGATGCTACTACGACTTCTCCGCGTAGCCGGCACGCTAGCTAATAAGTACTTGTTGCACAGTTGCCGGGACTGGCACATGGGAATCCAGCCCAGCCTTTTTATTAGATGCTGTTTCCCCCCGTGTCAGGTTGGGTTGACAGGACTACAAGACAAGAGCAGAAGCCCGTTCTTGTTGTTCCCTTTCGTTGTTTCCCCCAATTGTGTTTTATACTCTCCTCAATATCATAGCTCGCCCATCTACTCGCCACCTTCAAGCACCTAACCTCTAGCAACATGAAGATCCCATCATCCCGAGTTTTCATCTGGGTCCTCTGTACCACTACCATGGCCGCCCCGGTCCGCGAGCAAAGCCCCATTGGCGATGGGGACTTGTTGAGGGTCATCGAGGAAAGCGGCGATCCAGACCTGTCCGAATTCGCTTCACGCGTCCAAACTGCATCAGGAGGATCCAAGGGGTCCTGCTTCTGCTCGGGCGGCTCTGTCTGCTGTCGACAGGGCTCGGGTGCCGTCGATTGCGGCTTTGGGCTCTGTGGTATCTGATGCAGACGGCGTCGCCTGAACCACCAGGCCGACTTACGAAACAACTCAGAAGTCACGATACCTGCCATCCCTGCCCTACGGGTTACAGCTACGACTCTGATAGAGACAGAACCTCATGACCGCGGTGGTTTTCCAACAGCATCTACTTCAACAAGCATGTTGTAACTTGCTGTCGTGGCGTGCCACTCCGGATGAAACGGTGGCCTATCATCCATGAACCCAGAGATCAACATATCCGCTCCCGAGGGCCCGTCGCGGGTGAGAAGAGAATGATCTCAATGTGGTTCCATCAGTCGATTCAAACACCTGGGCGGAAGCTTTCGCATGAACGGCGATGACATCGTTGCGGGACCACCTGCCTCAGCAATCGCGACATGGAGAGTTTGTGCGGGGTCTCACGAGAGGGCTGGCCGGGCGGCAGGCAGAGGACCGGGGAATGGTGCTCCGGGCCATGGGGCGCGTCAAACCAGAGGCACCGCGTCCAGCGCGAGGGTCTTGGCTGCTACTTTGTGCTGTACTGCAAGGGCGGCACCGAGTCAAGGCACGTTTGGGCAGAGGCGACCTACCTCTGGGAAGAGTGCGGGGAGTCTCGCGGAGCCCGGGACATGTTGGAGGAGCGTGCGTGGGTGCTGCAGTTGACAGTGGCGACCTGGTTCATCTCTCATCTTACAAGACCCTGCGGTCCTGTCGTATTCTGCAGGGCTCGCAGGGAATGATTAGTAGAAAGGGACGAGCACAGGAGTGGTGCAGCTTACTGACTGCCGGGGGACTCGGGGGGAGAGGAGGCCCAGCCCTGCGACAGGGAACAGCTTGGGCGATGTCCAAGGCTCCAAGCATGTGATGTCGGGCTCCGGCCCCCAATGGGAGGAACGGACCCGTGGCCAGCTCAGCAGGTAGTCTATCCGAGTCATGGAATCTCTCAGGCGCTCGGCCACCGTGCCTCAAGGTTGGTGATCTTGAATGTTCTGCAGGCGGGCGGTCTTCTGAAAGTGGCTGGGTGGCAGCGTCGCCGAGGTGCCGGGAGCAACGAAGGGGGGCCAATCGGCAGTGTTGCCCGGGCGTGCCCACCCAGCCTTTTTAAGCTCTACAGCCTCTCGTGCCTGGGGCAAGAGGATGCAGGGCATCCATGGATGTGGTCTTCAGTTGAGCTGGCCTGAGACCCAGTGGAAGTCATTGCACTTGCCACCATGAACCCATCGATTTTGCGGCGCCGTGCTGGGCAGGCTGGCGTGGCCGGCGTGGCTGCGTGGCTGGCATGGCCGGCATGGCAGGCCGGGCCAACTTGCGACAAATCTAGACTTCCTGCAGTTGCCACCGGTCGGTCTGCCCCATGCGTGACCTCTCAATAACCTTCCCCTGCTCAAAAGTATGTCGAGAGAGAGAAACAGAGACGATAAATTCAGACATGGCGACGGAGACAGCCCGGCTTGTCGTGGAAGAATGCATCATACGACAGTGATTGGACGGGTGCAGGAGGCAGACGGGAGGAAAGGGCCGAGGTGGCAGCAGCGATGGCTGGATGGCTGGATGGCTGGATGGAAAGAACAGGCTGACAGGGTGACGGGCGTCCTAGAAAGCACGGACCAGGCGCTAGAAGGGTTCTAGAAAACGGCCCGCCTGTCAGCCTGTGTGATCCATGCCTGCCATGGGGCAGGCTCGGGGAGCACAGAGGCGATTGAGGGGTCCCTTGCATGAGGGCAACAAACCTTCTCTTCTTTAACGTGCAGGCGCATTGCGACCGAGACCTTGATTCAGCCAGCCGCCAGCCCGCCGCCATTGGAGACACAGGATGAAGCAACAGGTTGCAACGGGGAAACGCATCTCTGTCCTGTCTCCTTCGAAACATGCCCCGAAAGGAAGTGATCATTTGGGCCAGCCTGTCTGGATTGGACGGCTATATTGATTATGGTGGGGACCTTGGTCGAAGCACCCGGACTGGCCCGCAACCGTGGTCCCAACTCCCGTGGGCAAGACACACACTTCTTACGTGTTGTGCTATAGTCGAAGCGCAATTCACAAAGCCCTCCAGCAGCACTGATGGATAAGATGCACCACACGCCAAATTTTCCCCTCCGGCCTCCGGGGATCATAGTGCAGCGGCATCCTTGACCTCCGTTGCCACACACATCCAGGAGTCTCAGAACAGCTTCATCTCAGCCAGCAGGAGGCGAGAGAGGCGAGGTAGAGGGCGAGAAGAAAAAAAAAAAAGCTAAGGGTCTTGCCGGCTGGTGGCCAGCGCGCACCCAGGCACCCTGGGGGGCAGGGACCAGCTTGCTCACCGACATTTGAGACCCTTCGCTTTTCCCTAAAACACACATTGGTTGATTGGCAAAAAGAGGGGTCCAATGCAGGTCAATTCAGTAGCGCACCTGTGTAGACAGACAGACTCCTGGGTGTCCTCCCTCCTGTCTTCTGTCCCCTTGCGGGTGTCTGTGATGACCTCGCGGCCAGCACCCCTTTCAGATATTGCGAGTGGGCGAGTGAGTGAGCGAGTGAGATGAGGTACGTCAGCCGATCTACCGAGTCTATATACGGCAGCTGTTATGCACGTCTGCTGATTATTCCCCGACGGCCCTTATCTGGGTGCAACCATCCTGCCGTCGCGGGGGATTCTTCGTGGATAACACCTGTGCGAGGGAGGCACAGGTGGCAGCCAGACCCCACGCGCGTCAGCCCAATCGAAAAGCTCAACCTGCCCTAGTGGGCCTAGCCATCCCCGGCACTTGCAGGCTGCAGGCTGCTGCAGCTGTGCTTTCTTCTTCTCGGCTTCTACAGACGTACTCTGCATCCTTCCAGGCCTTCTAGCAGGCCTTCTAGAAACCCACCCTCCGTGTTGGCTTGGGGGTCCTTGGGGTCGCCTGGCCTGTTGGGCCCCCAAACGAGCCCTGCCTGGGCTGCCTGGGCTGCCTGGCCAGGCTCGCTAAGCTTTGCTTCTGGCTCCCAGTGCAACCCGCCCTGCTCGGTCATCATGCGCTCCGAGCTTCTGAGGGGGGGGGAGGGGCGCCAACGGGCCTTGGGGCCCTGCACGTTGACGGGTCGAGTTCAGACTCCCTTGCACCCGCCGTCCAACCGCGCAACGGCCTGGCTTGCAACACCCCAGCACGAGACCCAGCCGTTCTCTGGAGACGTTGCGAAGTGGAAGTGGGAATGGGAACGATAGCGACGAGAGAGGAAAAAAAGCTGGCACACAAGCAGAGGGGTTGAGGGGCAGATATGCAGCTGGGAGGGAGAGAGGCAGAGACCACCCAAGTACCAAGGTACTTGCCCAGGTACCTACCCAGGTACTCATTATCCATTATCCACAAGCACAGACCCGATCCCACCTGCCCACACACACACCCACCAGTTCATGAGGGAGAAGAAGGTGGTGTACTGTATGTACTCAGTAGGAAAGGGCGAACGCGCGCACACATGGTGCAGACCGTACAATCTGGAGAAGGTACGGAGTAGAGTCAAGGTGTCCAATGTCCCAAGGTTCACCAGTGGGGTATCATTATCCAGCTAGGAGCACTTGAGGGCTCTGTTTTTCCCTCGCCCACCTCGTTTCTCGTGTCTGGTCTGGTCTGCCCTGCTCCATCCTCCTCTGCCCCGAGCCATTCGCGTCTGTTTTCCTCTCAAACACCTTGCTCCCCACCTCCCCGTTGCCTCTCCAGCCTGTCTGGCTTCCACCCTCGATCCGAGGACCGACTCTGAAACATCAGCAAGATTCCCGGGCAGAATCTGGGCCACTCCTCGAGTCTTCTCTCCGAACCCCTGGAGTGATCTCAACTGGCAAGCTAAGGGGATCTGATCTGGTCTGGTCTGATCTGGTTTGATCTGGTTTGATCCGAGCTACCTCCTCGCGCCCGCTGCTTAGTTGTTTGCCGTCGTTCCTGGGCCCTGCACCGTGGAGACCGTTACCGCCATTACAACCCACCCGCCGACATCCTCCTCCGCCCTGCCTGGCCCTCAAAAACACCACATCGCTTCTCCCTCCTCAATCACCACTTTCCAACCACCGGCGCACACCTGTTTAAATCCTTTCAAAGACCTGCCGACCGCCTCGTGCGCAGCTCAGCATCCCCGGCAACCACCCACTCCTCGACTGCGGCCGCCCGTGCTGTTGGGAAGCTTGATCGCGCGTCCAGTCACGAGAGGTCACAATAGCGACAGCTCGGAAACCTGCATTGGCACCAAGAGCGCTCCCGTCTTTTCTCGCGCGACAGGCGACAGGTGGCAGGCGACAGGCGACAGGCGACAGGTCAACAGCCAGCGCGCAAAGCCGTACACAGCTGGGGGCTTCTTGTTGTTTCATGCAGCCTACCCGCGTGTGAGAGGAGGACATCCTTCCTATTCCTAGCTCTGAGACAAGCAGCTTGACCAGGGTCCCCAAAGGTTGAAAGAAACCCAGAAAAAGACATACAACATCAGCCCTGTCTCTCTAGCTGCCTGCCCCCTCCCTACAACCTACAACGGTGCACAGCTCCGCCATCACTCGGATCGTTTCCCTGAACCTCCTTGCCCGTCCGTCGTTCAAGCAAGGGTGGAGAGGGCAACCGACAGCCTGGCGTTCCCGGCCCCACGTCTCATCAGAACACAGGCACAGGCACAGGCACGGGCACACACTTCGCACAGGCACAGACAGCCCGTACACAGGTACAGGCACAGGCACGGGCACGCTCCCGCGAAACACAGCAACGTCAAATCGGCCGTCTGACCGCGAGAGACATCGACGCAACCCAACCAAGCCAGACCAGTCCAAGCCCAGCCCAACCTGACAAACCCCCCGGAAGAACCCTGGCGGCTGGCCCTGCTAACGCGAATCGGTTCGGTTCGACCTTGCGCGTGCATGCAGCTGCTGGAGAAGCTCCCACTGCCCACTGCCCGCTGCCCGCTGCCCGCCGTCCACTCACCCCTCGCCTCGGCCATCCCACCTTATCACCAATTAGTCTGTTGATCGCCGCCGCAGTCGCACCACACACATAGCCCTTCTGGTCCTGTGACACATCGCAGCTTGAGACTGCCCCTCCTCCTCCTCCCCCTCCTTCAAGCCTACCATCGTCAGCTCCGCGGTCTCGGCTACATGCGCTTCTTTCCTCGCAATTAACACTGCGCCTACGATCCAGTCCTCTGCGCCCCGTCTCTGCGGCGGCTCCCGACGAGACTGGCAGCTAGGCACGCGTCACTGCTCCCGTGAGCTCCTTCCACACAAGCATCCCTTGCGGTCTATCTAGCCTTACGCCTGCCAGCGGCAGCATTTTGTACGTTTCAAACAACCCGCCTTGAACTTAGCTCCTTACCCCACGAGGTTTAGTTAGTCCTCGGCCCGGGAGGCCTGAGGCCTGAGCATTGGATCATCGCTGACCAGACCTCCAATAATAGCGTCCCTGCACGCCGTGGAGCTCGAGTTCGTCCTTGAGGTCCAGACAGTCCGAACCAACCAACCTCGTCTCTACCAGTCCTCCCGTCCGAGACCTCCTTTGCGTTCCACGACAGGTCGAGCCGAACTCTCGCATACGGCCGGAACCCTCTTATTTTTTTTCTCCTTTCGCCGCACTGGATCCGGGTCTATCGCATAATCTCGCCGCCAGTCAACCCCGCTGAGCGCATTACCTCTCTAGCAAACCCTCCAAAGCAACCGGCTTGGGACGCGATCATCTACAATTCCCTCGCTCGTCGAGTCGGCCACACGAGACCGCGCAAGCCTGACCTCTTCTATCTCACGACCTCCCCGCCCGTTGCCGAGGTCCCAGAAAACATTCAGAATCAGTCTTGTCAGGCATGAATTGGCACACAATTACCAATTAGACCACAAAACCCGGGCAGAGACAAGCACGCGACTTAATTACTTTCCAACAGTCGGGCAAGGTGCGGTAGTTGGATACAAAACACGATACTTCTTCTTTAAGATCTATTCGGAAATTACGCAATTCTTCGCATGGAAGCGCCACCCGGGCATTTACCTGGACAAAGCGGTGGAAGGTAGCAACACGCCCTTGCGAGGCTGGTCTGAGCTCCGAGGAGACAGCAGACCAAGCTTTCGTCATGAGACGTAGTCGGGTATCTACCCCTCCACCATCGCCCTACAGGGCGCTGGCCCACCACCATGCTCAAAATGGCCAGCAACTGGCGGGCTCTGTCTCGTCCATGATCAGGTCGTTTAACGTCGAGACCAATCCCGCCCGGCCGATACGTCCATCGCCTCTTGCCGCTAGCACAATTCGCGACATGCCACTCGATCTCGTAGATCGAATAAGGTCTTTCCCCTTATTCAGGTCCGCGCCAGACGAGTTCCTCGCCGCCATCGGAAAACACCTGCGGCCACAAGTACATGCAGCCCACGATGTCATCCTCACCGAGGGAGACGATGCCAGGTCAATGTACTGGCTGGTACGTGGTGTCGTGGCCGTCACGTCGCGAGATGGTGAGGCGGTCTACGCAGAGCTCAAGGCTGGAGCCTTTTTTGGTGAAATTGGTGTCTTGATGAAGATACCTCGCACAGCCACAATTGTCGCGCGTACGAAATGTATGCTTGTTGTTCTGAAGAAGGAGGACCTCCATGCGGAGCTGCCGATGTTTCCAGACATGGAAAAGGCGATTCTGCAAGAAGCACAGGAGCGGCTAGCGATCTTGAAGAAGAAACAGCGTGAGCGAGGTATGAAGCCCGCCCGCAAAACTGGCACAGCCACCCGCGACGTTGTTCCAGGCGAGGTGACGACCGGCGACGCAGGTGTCATCAAAGAGGGCGCCGTCGTTAACTCGAAGAAGCGAAAGTCTCCCAGTCCTGGTGTGATCGAAGATCCGTCTATCGGGGGCAGTGCCCTTGGGAGCGGATATGTCGACGTGCGGACCACATTAAAAGAACTGCCACTCTTCTCTGAGCTGCCCGGCGATGTTCTTCACTTCCTTGGCCTCAGCGCTCAGCCGGTTTCATACCCTCCCTTCACGGATATTGTTCGGCAGGGAACAGCTGGTCATGAGATCTACTTTATCGTACGTGGCGAGGCTGAGGTAATCCGTGAAGCAGCCAGGGAAAACAACGCAAAACGGATGACGAGGTCGTCAATGTTGAGACCCAGGCTCAAAGCTGGGCAGTACTTCGGAGAAGTCGCCAGCCTGGGGCTGGCATCCGGCCGCACCGCAACCGTGCGGTCTATCACCTCAGTTGAGTGTCTTATGATTGGGGGCGAGGCTCTCGCTGAGCTTTGGAAGAAATGTCCTCCCGAGATACGTTCGCAGGTCGAGGAGACGGCGCGAAATAGGTATCCAAAGGCGGATTTAGATGTCGATATGAAAGATGCCGACGACAAGGAACAGTCAGACGAGGTCGACCCGTCAACACCAACCAAGGAAGTCGTTCCTTCAGTCACGTTCAACACCCCGACTTTCAGCACCCCGACTTACAGCACCCCAACTTTCAGCACCCCAACGTACAGTAGCCCACAATCGAGTCCATCATCTACTTCGAGCGAGCAGCAGGATGCAACAAGGACGTACACTGACCCCGACCCATACCTCAGCGTCGATATGGAGAACTTGAGAAACAGGAGGCGTAGCTCGCTGGCCCCGCCCACAACAGCACAAACGGATGGCTCGACTTCGCCTGGTGTCAACGGGGTCAGGTCCTCCCAGACCCATGAGAGCAGTCCCCTTAAGCTTTATTCCATGTCTGCGCCAAACACGCCACCAGAGAACGATCAAGCGGCACCGTCATCAAAACGGCAGAGGACACTAACTCACAGACCAGCATCGCTGCAGAACCTGCAAAAGATTGCGCTTCCGGATGATATCCTCGTCATGGTCTTCAACCAGCTCAACATTGTGCAGCTCCTGCGTCTCCGGCTGGTGTGTTCGCACTGGCGCCGGCTCTTGACTGTTTCTGACAAGCTTTGCAAAAATGTCGATCTATCGCCTCATAACCGGTACGTCACAGATTGGGCTCTGGCAAATGTTCTGGGTCCCTTTATTGGCAGCCGGCCCGAGATGGTCGACATATCAAATTGCTATCACGTTACGGATGACGGCTTCCAGGCATTCTGGAGGCTCTGTGGCAAGAATGTCAAATCTTGGAGGATGCGGTCAGTGTGGGACGTCAGCGCCGGCCAGATCTTAGAAATGAGCGAGAACTCCAAGGAGCTCGAGGAGGTCGACTGGAGCAACTGTCGCAAAGTCGGCGACAACCTTCTCGCGAGGGTGGTGGGCTGGGTTGTTCCAGAGCCCCCACCTGAGCGCAAGAACGTGGTCATCGCTAGCTCCGGCGCGCCGGGCAAGAGGGGCTCGAAGATGCAAGTCGTGCACTGGCAACAACATCCCAATGCGCCACCCCCGGGAACCGTCATAGGATGCCCAAAGCTCAAGCATCTCACCCTATCTTACTGCAAGCACATCACCGACCGATCCATGGCACACCTGGCCGCACATGCGTCGTCTCGTCTCGAGTCTCTCTCGCTCACACGCTGCACTTCTATCTCTGATGCAGGCTTTCAGTCTTGGGCGCCATTCCGATTTCCAAACTTGACGCGCCTGTGTCTAGCCGACTGCACTTACCTCTCGGACAACGCGATTGTGGCTCTGGTCAACTCAGCCAAGCAACTCACGCACCTCGACCTGTCCTTCTGTTGTGCCCTGTCGGACACGGCCACAGAGGTAGTCGCCCTAGGTTTACCCCTGCTCCGAGAGCTGCGCCTCGCATTCTGTGGCAGCGCCGTGTCGGATGCCTCACTTGGCTGCATCGCACTGCACCTCACTGAGCTGCGTGGCCTTAGCGTCCGGGGCTGTGTGCGCGTCACGGGTGTAGGTATTGAGAACGTCCTGGAGGGCTGCAGCCGTACCGAATGGATTGATGTATCGCAGTGCAAGAATCTGGGCGCCTGGCTCGCGGGAGGTGGCATCACTCGATGGGGTTTCGACGAGCGCGGACCCGGCAGGTGGCTGCCGATGAGCGTCGTACGTGGCGTCCCCGGTCAGCGCACGGTGAACCCAGCACTCCTGATGAACAACAACATGAACGTGCCGCGGCCACAGACTCCCGTCAATGGGGGTAGCGCCAACGGGAATGGCCCAGGGCTCGCGCCGAGTCCCTTTGGGAGCCCCGGCGGAGGCATGAACATGGGCATGGGCTTCGGAGGCGGCGGGGTCGGCGGCCCCGGCCCAATGATGAAGCCGGTGGTGCCTCCCCGGGGCATGCGGAACCGCCGGCAGAGGAAGCCGATCCGGTTCATTGTCGAGAAAGGGGCCGGTGGGTTAAGATGAGCCTGCCAGGACCAGAGCCAGGCTGCTCGTCTCCTCTTTCTTGTCGTGGTCACGCTTTCACATGGACATGCGGAACAGACTTTCCATACGACGGCAAATGAATCAGGACGTTGCGGATGTAGATTAATGTACTGTAAGTGTTGTTACAAACAGGGGCTGGATTTTTGTTGTTGTTTTGGGGGATATCGAGGCATCATCGTTTGTCATCATCATCATCATCATCATCATCATATCATTGCATCACAATCGGCGCTTGGGGATGTTCAAGAACAACAGTCAAGCAAAAGCCACGGTACAAGGGCACGGCTTGAGAAGGCCCTTCCGGCCCTCACATTGTGACGGACGGCCGGGCTCAAGTCCGTATGTCTTGCTTTATTTATTTTTATTTTCCTTGTTCAGCGGAGTTGAGGCCAGCATCAGTCACTACTTGTTACTTATTGGGTTGCATGAATGATGGTGAGGCGGGCTTCCTTTTTCTTTTGATCACACTCTCAAACAACAGGCACACCCACAGACATACATACATACATACACACACACAAGCTCCCCCCTTGTGTCCCCTCCCTGGACATTAGCATTTTCTGGAATAGGGTTTAGACGGGATATGATAATAGGATTGATCATCTTAATCTTGCAGTTTTGAGCTGTACTGTCTTGTCCGTCTTGCTTGTCCATATCCTCACTCAGGCGCTGGATTGAGGTAGCACTACTGTACATCAATCTAATAGCACCTCAATCTAAGCGTATTTTGGTGGTGCCAGGTTGCATACGTCGGTTCCTTCCCGTTGTTTTCCATCTACAGGTGTGGATGTGATTTTGCGTTCTCATTTTCATCTCGGCCATGCCTGTCTACTACTTCATGGCCGGATGTTCGTCTAAATACTGGTACGAAACGAGCACCCGAATTCCGAACTTGACATTCACGGTCGACGCACACATCGCACAAGCGGGGCAGACAGCGGGCGTCAAGTTTCTCGCGCGAGCACACCGGAGCCTCGAAGGGGTGGGTGTACCTGCTGCCACTGCGCCTTGTTTTTTTTCTCACGCCGAGCGAGTACACGATCACATACATTAACACGTGTAGTACCAGGAGTCTCCCTAGGCTCAGCTCACCACACGGCGCTTTGCAGACCCGTAGTCAGACCCGATGGCAGTTCCTTCGCATGGGCTTGCAGAGTCAGAGACGGCGTGAAGCTAGATACCCACTCCAGAGAAGAAACACTCGGGTCGTCGACGCTGGTGTGTTGGATTTCAATATTTGGAGGAAGCGCAGTCATGACGAACCAAGGTGTGCTTGGTTAGATATATATATAGTAGATAGTCGCGGGCAGACATTCCCCATCGGGATATATTTGATCTTCGACTTCACCCGGACATTACACGTGAACAGGATGGATCAAGACACCAGCACCGATCGGGTCATGAGATTTGTCGTCCACTATCCTGCGGCGACATAAGAATGGAATTCCACGACTTCTGCTGCTATGCTGGGGGAAGCTGCACGGCTCAATTCTTGTCAACAAGCTGCCAGTGTGGTGTGTGATTATAGACAGGCATACCGTTGCAAGGGCAACGGTGTATTTACATGCCAGAAAAGAGAAAAATCTATACAGCAAAATTTGGGACAGGGCTCCCAGTGTCTCCGCCCGAACCAACAACGTCCTCCCTGGTCGTACACAATTCTTGAGTGTGAGGCATCTTCAGAGCTCCCACGTTGTACACCGCGACATCCATCTTGTAAACATGAGACCTCTGACATCAGGTCTTCACCCCCATCTCCCTCAATACTCAGATGATTCCCCATTCCTTGGTCCCCGACTAATATCTGTGGCAACTGACCGCTGGTCAAAGATGCGAGATAATCCCCGAAAATTGTTTGTATAGTACAATGCCGTTTCAAAACGCCGACGCTGAAGCAAGCACATACACGCACACGCGATACAGGAGGCGAGCCCCCGCCAGCTTGTCTAGTAGGTCTCGTAGACCGTAATGGTCGTCACCTCGACGGGCTGGTGAGTAACCTGCCTCCCGTCAGGGAGTCAAAGCTTCTTGTTGGCCCAGCCGAGCTGCTCGTTCTCGCCATCGAAGACGACAAACGAGGCCTTGAGGGCGACATCGCCGAAGATGGCGAAGCCAATGCCGCTGTCGTCCTGGATACCACCATAGCAGCTGCTGTTGGCGCTGTCAACCGGTGCGTAGTTGATGTAGCTGCCAGGCACGGTGACGGTGGCCTTGCCAACGCCGAAGCTGAAGTCGGGAAGGTCGGTGTCACAGGGGAAGACGTAACCACCGTTCACCCGGTCGTAGCTGGAAGTCTTGATGGCGTCGTAGTAAGCATCGACGACGTCCTTGGGGAGCAGCATAAGAGTGGTGCCGGTGTCGGCAATTCCGGTGATGGGGGCCGACGTGTAGGCGTTTGAGCCGACCTGGTAGCCGGTCGTGTTGAAGGTCCAGAAGCCTTGGGAAGAATCAACGGGAATGTACTCGATCTCGCCCGTGTAAGCAGTCTCGTCGATGAAGCCGAAGTTGTAGGTACCGGCTGTGGGAAGGTTAGATAATTTTCAACGACGTGCAGCAGGTAATGACTCACGCTCTCCAGCCTTCAGGTCAGCAGTGAAGACGTATTTGTCGAGCTTGGGCCTGGCAGCCTCAAAGAAGGTCTTCTCCTTCCTGGGCGAAACGGTGTTGAGCTTGCTGAAAGCCAAACCGAGCAGACCGTCAATGTCAGAGTCGGCCGTGAACTCGGGGGAGACGTCGGTGGCGGCCTCAACGGCCATTGGGTAGACAGACAGGCCGCCAACGGTCACATTGTCGTAGTAGACGTGACCGCTGGAAGAACTGCCGTCACCATAGCTGATGTCCCAAGTCGAGCCCTGGAGCTTGGAGCTGGTGTTGGAATCCTCGGGGTGGTACACCTCCTGTCCCTTGACATCGCTGGGGGGAGTGGCGGAAGAGTAAACCCACAGGTCGGAAGAGCCAGTGTCGAAGTCGAGGTTGAGCGTCTGAGGAGGGGTGCCGATCTGAACGGGTGTGAGGTACTCGACATCGTACTCCTCAGGGGTAGCGGGCGCAGATCCAGTGGCCCTCTTGTCCTTGATGGGAAACTTGGGCAGACGAACACCCTGAACCTCGGACATGATCTTGTTGCGGATGCGAGAGACGGCGTCGGACAGATCCTGGGGGACGGCGGCGCCATACTTGAGGTAGGCCTTTGCGAGTTGGTTGGGACCGTAACCCCTGTGCTTGAGGTTGCGAACCTGCTTCAGCGAGGCGGTGCCAGAGACCGAGGCGGTGCCAGAGATCGGGACGGGGACCCTAGGAGGGATGGTTGGGAAAGCCGTGGCGACGTCAACGACGGCCATAGTAGCCGCAAGGAAGGCGGCGAAAGAGGTTGTTGGCTGCATTTTGTTTGGAGATATTACTGCGGGTGAGACTCAAAGAGGACAAGCCGATAAGGAAGCGAATGAATAATTAAGATATCAGAGAGTGACAGCGGGAAATGCGAAGCAACTTCGAGGAACGACCGTGCGACCCTGAAGCAAACGAAGTAAGAAAAGGCAAAGAGTGACGAGAGTATACTTCCAAGTAAATATTGATATTTGGGGTCTCTGGGGAGAGAAAGATCGGGGCACGGAGCGTGACGGGCGGCTCAACTCCTTTTTAATATGAAGATGATCAGAGTGGACTGGGCCAATCCGGTTAGGGGCCAGCCCAGAGGAGCAAGCGAAGTCACCGTACACTAGAGCAATGCAGTGGATCATCATCGGGTGTCCACATATGATGTTCGGGGGGACCCAAGAACTGCCAGGTTAGGAAACACCTGGACAGGGCCACTTGGGCCGCTCAAGCACACGTGAGCGAGATTGTGTCTTCCCCGGGTAGGACGGGTACGGCAAGGGCAAGGGCAACTACTCCGTACTCCATCCTGCGTAGAGATTCACGCGCGGCGCCCAGGTGCCACAAGATGTGGCCCAATGAGGTCTGAGGCGCCGCTGACAGCAGCCACCAAGCTCGAAGGAGACGCGGCTGGTGGCGCACTGCAGCATGCGCAGGCTCAGGGGGTTGACCTGAAGTGGTCCGGATGACGTTGGGCTAGGCGCAAGAGTCAAGCACGCTGGCAAGCTGGCAAGCCGTCTGCTGTACGGTCTGTACCTGGGCAGCTGGGCAGCTGGCCGGCCGTCCGATGATGGTTGGACGTGTTTCCTCGGGGCAGCCTACTTGGCGCAATATGGACGGAAACATGTTGGCATGTCGTCGGCGGTCCTGTGCAGGTTGTTGCAGGATGCGGCTGGAAGACGGCAGGGCATAGCGCGTGTTTGAAACAAGCCAACACCCGCGAACAGGGGCAGAATCTGCAGGGCAGGTGGGCGGCTGGATGGGCGCAGCTCAGATGCGGTGGAGGTTGCCCAAAACAGCAGTCATCAACAGGAGCAGGACGAATCAGAGCCTGGTGCCGAGAAAGACAGGTGGGGACTGGCAGGACGGCGTGCCAGCGTTCAGGGGTTGAGTGGTTGATGAAGGAGCAGCAGAGCCGTTGTCGCAAGACGGCACAGACAGGCTGCGAGGCTCTGGACCAGACTGGCAGACGGAGAGAGTGATGTCGGTAAACCAGGGTCAGAGGGCCACTAAACCCTTGGCAGACCTTGGCAGGGTGATCCTCTCACTTCAGAGAAATAAGCTTAGCCGACGGTCGATGCGGTGGACGATCACCGAGATGCAATGCGGTGCAGATGCCAGTCGAGTGTCTGGCCCAGGAGATCCGGGAGCTTCAGGAGCGAGCTGGTCACGGCCAGCCTGGCAGCATTGGATCAGCGGCTGGCTGTGAGACGGCGAACAGTGCACAATGGCTCAATGGCTGGCAACGGTCTGAAGATCTCTGGTCTTGAGCAGCCCTTCGGCCGTTTGGCGTTTGCCGTTGACCAGCCACGTCTTGTCTGGCTGCAAATTGGTGGCGCCCCATCTTCAGATCTGCAGTAGCAAGGCTGTCGATCTCCAGTTGGTTGGCTGCCGGACTTGTTGCTGTCGTGAATGTCCATTCTGCCAATTCGTGCCACGCTGGGCTAGCTGGGGGCCACTGGGGCTTTGGCCAATCTGGCAGTCTGGCAGTGTGCCCTGAGCCGAACCCCCTGAATCCTCCGCATGCCGTGGATGCCACGGCAGCAGAGCAGCTTGACTGCCTGACTGCTAGTTTGCAGCCCTGTCAGCTTTGTCTGCCAAGCTGCGGGCCAAGAGAGCAATCAGATGAGGACTCATCGAGCAGAGGTCGGTCGACCAAGCCGCGGGCGGCCACATACATAACCAGACTGCTCGACGGCAGGCCAAGTCGGGCAAGCACCTGAAGCTTTGGCGACGACAGTGCTAGCCTCTGGGCGACCTTGCTTGGTTTGACTGCAGAGGTGTACTGGTGTGTGCTTGGAGGACGAGGAAGACGAGTCGGGCGACGGTGGGGAAATCTTGAGCTCGAGCTTGGATGCTTGTTGTTGGGCCATTTTAGTCACCTTCCAAGGTTCCTCCTCCTTGCAAAGCAGTTGCTCTTGTGCTCCTGGCGCAGGGAGTAGGCGCCCTAGATCGAGAAGGAACGATGTGAGCGGGAATTATGATGTACCCAGGTACCACGGTACTTACCGGACCTGACTGTCAAATACCAGGTAGTAGACAATCTGTTTCTCCAAAACAAGATACGAATCCGACCAGCTTCATCACAATAAATGAACCAAGCAATCCCTAGCCGCCGTGTTTTTATTCCGTCAATCCACATTCTAAAATCCATTCTGTTGATGCTTCATGGCCGATCCCTGCTGCACCCTGACTTTTTCGGCATTACCCGCCGCCTGCATGGGTTCGTGGGGTGGTGAACGCGGTCTACGCGCGCTTCTAGGCCGTGGCCCTCGCCGGCACCCAAGTCATGCACAACCCGTCAGCGTCGTAGCCACCAAATTGGGCTCCCTCCATCAATCAGGCGGCATGGTCGTTGAACCAGGGCTTGCGAAGACACTGTCAAGTACTCGTGGGGATTGTCGTGCAAGGTCGCAGCCATCATTACCACCTCAAGACTAACACCATAGGTTAGGTAGTAAATGACAACTGAGCAATGCCTCTCTTGAATCCATTGGACTGTTGACGTGTGACTGTCTCACATGCCTGATGTCTCAAACAACGAAATTTATCACTCAAAATTGACCCGCAATTACTTACGCCCGTATCGACAACACACGGGACAAAGCAGACATGATTGACATTCTGTGCCTCTTTGCGCGGGTTCAGCTGGGCTCGCAGGTGTCAACGTCAACTGGTTAACGTCCCAACGTCACCGGGGAGGAGCGAGGTTCCTGTTCAGCGTCGAACATGGCCAGCGCGAGCAGCTTCCCAAGGGTTGGATGGGACACGAAAATCCAATAGTTGTGACATTCCATCGTCCAGCTTTCCTCTATCGGGGGCTGCACGCTGCCGGATGGCAATGTCTCGATATTGCAATGCCCCTTGAGACAGCCTCACACCGCTGTGGAGCTGGAAATATCGGTGAGGATATTCTCGGTCGTTGCGTTCTGTATCGTCGAGCGGTCACGGAAGATCGTGTTACGAAATTATGAAGCGGCAATGGCCTCTTTGCCAGTTGTATTTGGCGATATTGAAAGTCTCGCCAGCCGACAGCTTGGACTTTGCTTGTGAATCTACTCGACTCCGTTCTATGCTGCTGCTCTGTCTGACAACATGACACACTCTATCACTGGTGCCATTAAACTCCCCGGCAACTTAGAGTTCTCGAGACAGCTTGCACGAACGAGTTCACCGCTTAGGTGCTCGACAAAGGCTGTGCGCGAGATCTCTTGTCGCGCATAGCTGCTGTCACTGCAATGAGAGCCCCTCTAGGTCTATTAAGGCCCCCAAATATTCACTCCTTGGCAACGGCTACCTTCTCCGTCTGCCCATTCTCTTCGAGCTCATTTACAAGCCCATCCGTCTGTGGGTCAGTCAAAGCATGCCCAGTCACACCTTCAATCTCTACCACCGTCGACTTGGGGCCAACGAACCACTTCTTAGCAAAGGCAAAGTAATAGACAGAACATCCTCCCCAGACCGCCATGTTCACGACCACTGTGTAGTTCATGGACTCGGGGGTGGGATCTGGCCCTCCAACAGGGAACATCGCCAGCATGATGCCAAATACCAGGAAAGTAACAGCAGCCCACGCGATGGGGACACTGAACTTGTTCCCGGTATAGAAGGCGCCTGGTGTGAATTTTCCCCTTCCCCACACAACACGTGCGAATATCGGAATGCCCCAGGCCAGGTTGTTGCCAGCAACCGCCAGGCTGAACAGGGCCGACGCGGCGGCTGGGGCGATCAGGCACAGGAGGCCCAGTATGATGGCAGCAAATACAGCGCCCCAGACTGCTCGGAGTGGGATGTAGCCAAATGTTTTGGACTGCGGCCTGCATTAGGACCAGCCAGCTTCGATCGACTCGGTTTCACAGGAAAACTCACAATGCGGCGGAAGAAGGACGAGAAAGGCAGAGCGCCATCTCGAGAGAACGCCCACATTTGCCGTGAGGCGGCTATCGTGATAGAGTATCCCATGAGGTACTGTACGATGAACAGGAATGCAATAAAGCCCATGGCCCCCTGTTTCCCTAATGCATCGTAGTAGATCTGAGCCATCTGTAACGAGACCATCAGCATTGGGAACCAGATTCGCCCTGGAACAAATTATTGGTTTTCTCACAGGCTGCCCAAACGAGCTGCCTAGCACGTTCTCGATGTTCGGGTCAATGCAAGCAGCGAGCACAATGACAATCACGAAACCCAGACCCCAGCACATGCCGATCGAGCTGAGGATGCCCAGTGGCACAGCCTTGGCAGCATTGCTGGCTTCCTCGCTCATGTGGACGCAGCTGTCGAAAGCCCCGATGGTCCAGATGGGCGACAGCCATGCGAGCATGAAAGCCCAGCCCGTGGGCCAGGTTGTGAGGTTCTCCACGGTGGCAAATATAAAGTGCCCGTCGTTGCGCCTGTTGGCCACCCCCACTGGAAGTGCAATGATAGTAGAGACGATCAGGGCGATGTTCTGAGCATACACGTGACTTAGCAATCGGTTGGTTGGTTGGTTGATGGGGCCAGGATTAAGCATACTAGAAAAACCGCAAACGTCTGGAGCTTATTCATGATCTTGGTCAGAAGAGACGCGAGTATGCCATGCGTAAGTGTGCAAATCATAAACACAACGTATACAATCCCATTGCTTGGAGTCCATGAGCCATCCGTCGAGATGACGATGACTGCACAAAACATGAGGGCAAATCCGTCTGAAAAGCATTAGCTGCATGCTAAAAGAGGTATGGAGGAGCCGATGTGCTTACAATTGATAGAACATAGTCCACCGACCAGACCCAGGGTATTACTATACCCCACCAAGAAGCACAGATAATTCCTCGTCTTGGGCGAGCTAAAGTAGTGCGTCCACCAGTATAGACCACCACTGGTAGGCATCGCGCTCCCCAGATCTGCCATGGCCAGGCCGACGACAAAGATGCAGCCGCTAGCCAGGAACCACGACCATACCATCCCTGCCGGTCCAGCCGGAAGGGAGAAGGCGAGGGTGCTGGCGATGGAGGGGAGGAGGCCCATGATGGAGAAGGCAATGCCAAAGACCTCAAGCGTCGAGAAGTTCCGCTTCAGCTCCTGCTTGTATCCCATCTTGGCTAACAGCTCGGCGTCTGCCTCGCTTGCCAGGACGACGCCATCGTCTCCCTTGGTCACCAGCTCCGGATGATGCTGTGGCGTCTCGGCCGGAGCACCATCGGAAGAGGAGAGCTTCTCTGACATTTTTGAAAGTTGGAGTTCCCGCCTGTCTCGACTGGGACCTTTGCTGCAGACGATCTCAGGACTTGCTCTGGTGGTGATTATGAGATGGGCTGGTTCCCGTCGCCACGTGTAAAGGGCGCAAACAATGGCACAACAATAGACAGCGTTGCGAAAACGGCCGGCAGATCCAGCGGGATGGTACCGCTCAAATATAATTTCTCGTAGCGTGCGTAGCTGACCATCCCATCGAGACGCACTAAGCTTATGCTGCATGTCTCTCGGGTGCAACCAACGAGATAGCTGTCCGAATTGACGAATGATACGACTCCAACCTCCTCCCCTCCCTTGATAAGGCCCAAGCTGAGTGAGTTCGCAACCATATGATACCTTAGCTGCAGCGCGGGGAAGGGGCGCGGATACAGTTGCCTATGTTGGGGAAGTCTGGTGGTGAGTGGTTCTTATCTCCATGTAAGCTGGCCTTCGCTTCACCCCACTTGCCCGTTCTACGTGTACTCTTCCCATTGTTTATTAGCCTCTCATTATGTGATAACAATACCCGTTGCTTCAGCCAACATATTTGGCTCTGGAAATCAATCTCCACCAAATTAATTTTCAGGACGGTGCCCTCCAGTCTGTCGGTTGATAGACATGTGAACTCCTGTAAGACGGCCCCAGGTGCCGCTGAGTATCTCTTGAGATATCAACATTGAATTGTGAGGTTATCTCCACAGAAAAACACTCTTGTGTAGCACGATCAAGCATAATTAGTGCCTTAAATATGGCGATTTCCTTCAAAATGTTGACGTCTATCAAAGTACTTCCATTTCATCTATAATTGATGTCAAGCAGTGCCACTGCTCAAGCGACTATTCGGATGTTTGAATGGCTGTATGGAAGCACATTAATTACATCAGTCTTTGCAAATATCATCTATGTAGTGACAATGATTGCGGCATATATCGAGAGATGATACCCACAACTGTATGACCCAGAACCTCGAGCGGCTCACGATGCTCGCACTAAACAAATCTCAGGAATTCGGTATCGATCTCATCTGAAATGACAGATTTTGTTGCGTTCTCTTTGATCTTAAAGGTGCCAGCCGCCTTTCGAGATACCACAGGCCTCATGCCCACTGTGATACGGAAGAAGAGCTCTTTTGGACGGTCTAGGCGCGCCTCTCTCTCGATGGAGACGAAATATCTGCCTAGGCGGGCTTCAAACGGCCCCGGTGGGTTGAAAGGCACGCCGACACCGACAAATTTAGATTGTAGCCACGTTGGTATAAATGTCGTACTCGTTCGCCGGAGAAGGCCCCGATTGCAGTCGTCATGCTTCTCCACGGGAGAAAGCAAGTCTTGTCTTACCGTGCGGACCGCGACGTTGCAATCTATCTTCGCTAGCAGCAGCAGCCATGCGCCCCGCTGTATAGCCATGACAAGCAGAATTTTGTCGATTCCATTGCTCATGACGATAAAGGCTAGATGCTGACCGCTTCCGTACGTTCTGCGGTCGAACTCGACAAAATCAGCTTGAATCGACCTCGCCACAGTGGCCTTGTGCAGGTCCGGAAATATCTCCTGGCCCGACTCCGTCCTCATGGCCCACCGACCCTTGAAACTAAGCATGAGAACTTCGTTGCATCTCAGGGGGCAGTCGTTCACACAGTACTCTGCGATGTGGATTGTCGGATGCTTTTTGGCAAATGCCATATACACTCTTCGCTCAATCTGTCCACCAATCACACCGCGTAGGCCTGGCGTCCCAAAGGGCTCCGCTATGCTGGGATCCATCACAAGCGGCCATGTGTCAACCGTTATTCTTATAAAGATGGTGTCCTTGTGAAAATCCTCGAGCCCGATCTTTCGGTGTTCCAGCCACATGCCCTTGAAGCTGGTTCGAGTAAACTGACGCATGCCGCCTCCTGGTTGACGATACAGATATATAGTGGCCCACTCATCTTGCGAAGCAGCCCCCAAATATCGCGCCGCGAGAAACGCGTAGTAATATCCTGGGTAGTCTGGTCCGATCTCCACTATGGGGATCTGTATTTTCAAGCCGTAGTTTGTGACTGTAAATTCCGGCTTTGCTTGGGAGAGGTCGAAGGCCTGCCGGTAGACGTCGAATACCACGGGATGGAGCGTCGCGCGAATGAAATGGTCGGGAGACAAGGCCAGAATTCCGGATGTTATCGAAGACCCTTGCCCCCACCAGGTAAAGATTGTATGGTCAGTCGAAACGCGCATGATCTCTTCCTGCAGCCTCCTGAACGCATTTGGACCCCCCTCTCCGTATATAGGCGGCATGTGGACGTCGAATAGTCCTAGAAGGGAGTACGCGTGGTCTTCTTCGCGAGTCGTGCGACGCCCAGCTGCCCAGGATATCTTCTCCGCCACGCTTGTATCGTGCGCATACAACCCGTCAACAAGTATGCACTCTCGTATACGCGTTGTCCTTGAGATCTGATTTGCAAGTGAGGACTTGGTCCCTATCTCCTTCCACTCAGCAGTGAGAAACACAACCTCGGCCGGCGCGATTAGCTCCTGGAGCGTCCAACCTCTCGTAAACCACTTGCTTTTCCGAAGACATCGCAGATTGAAGTGATCATGGAGGTCGTCTAAGTAGGCATAGCATATCTGCGACATCTCATACCAGCGGAACATGGAGTTGATTGCCTCGGACAGCTCCGCGCTTGAGCTCTTGTCGATACAACACGTATCAATCCAGACATGGGCCAGTCCATCTTGCAGAGCTCGCTCACATGCCGCCGCAACTTTGGCGTAGCCTTTCTTCGACGTTACTCTGGGCGTGTTTGTTATATCTTCGGCACCCTCGCAATCCTGGAACGTCAACTCGCCTTCACCCCAAACATGCGAGAGGGTCGCATAGGGCGGAGGCTGCTCGCCAACTTGTTCCAGACGGACATTTAATGAATGATCAACCCCTTCTTTTGAGCAGTGGAGAAGATGCATATTCCTCGATACCGATTCTTCACCTGAGCAATCGTGATGCGCAGTCGGCAACTATTGGTAGCTGCTCTTGAGGCCGGATCAAGAAACTAGTACCCTGCACTGTGGGCACAGGGGAGTGGATCTGCCATCGATTTGAAATAAAGCCTTGAAGATGCTCCACGATAGTTAAAAGAAAAGGTGGGCTATAGGCTGCAGCGAAGTAACAAGTGTTCCCGTTGATGTTGTGATAGAGGTTTGGCAAATCTCCGCTCGGCGGCTAACGCACTGGAGGTCTCCGACGCCGCGTCCCGGGATTTTAGATGGGGCAAGGGGGTCAGCTGACGTAGCACCGGAGACAGCCAACACGGGCTCCCCTGTCGATAGGAAAGGAAATGAGGGATGATAACGATCCACGTGCCTGATCTACTATAAACATTGACCTTTACAATTACCGTGCGTCGTGGATGTCTTCGTTACATATGTAGGTAGATATGGGAAGTAGTCGGAGACGGAGGTTTCGTCCTATAATACCCCACCGCTACCATACGAGGAAATAGGGGGAATCCGCAAGCGTTGTGGCCCTCTATAAAACTTACACTCACCATAAGACTTTTACACCCACCATCAGACTTATACCGATTAAATGAAAAAATAATTTTAATAACTTTTAATATATTATAATTTAATTAACTATTTAATAAATTTTATTTATAATAGTTTTTTATTAACTTTTTATTACTCTTTTACTTTATATAATTTTACTTTTATTCTATATATATTTAAAGATATATATAGCGCCTTTATATAATAGTAAGTACTTAAGACTTAATGCTTAGAAAGAATATAATATTAATAATAATAGTTATAATATAATAGGTGCTTGTGGCCTTAGCCTTATAACGCATAGATAAGGCTAAGGGGTACCGTCTTAACGACTCTTTTACTTTAATTTTTTAAATTTATTCAAATGTTAAATCGTGACATAATCGTATGCCTGTGTTAGGGGCCTCCCCTCCCCCTGGTAGGGGAGTGACTCAAAGGTCCTCATCACAATACTCCTCCACAACAAGTGCTGTAGACTTGAGACTGTCCCTAAGTTCTTCCACGAGGTTTCGATGCTCTTTCAACTTTTGCGACTTCTGATCGATCATGCTACCATCGTGATTCCAAGGGTTCCGTATTTGTTTCAGCCTGTCGAGTTCAAGCTGCTCAGCGTCGAGGCACTTTCTCGCAGACGCGACATTGTACCGCAGTCTCTGAATGACTGTCCTAATATGCCAAAATTGATTTCCTTGCTTAGGAATTTCGAGGGCAAGCTTGAGACGGCTTCTTTTTTGATCCGCGATCTTATCAAGGTCTGAAATAACCTTTACAGATGTTGCTCGAAACTGAGACATGTTAGCACCTTCAGCAGCGTTGGTGCTGGTTGTCTTTTCGGCATTCAGTCCTAGTCCATTATTTGCATTCGGCTTCTTGCCTCGTAAATCGGAGTCCAAGCTCTGGGAGACTCCGTCCACTTGCTCTTTTGAAGCAACCCTTGCTAGCCGAGGTTTGTAGAGCTCGAGCATGATCCGGCGCCAAAGTCGCCAATTGGTCTGCCCTGGTAGCGACTTGGAACAAAGAACGTGCATAGCTGCCAAGCAAACGGATACACCGCAGTCATTGCTATCAATCTCCTGGCGGGGGCAATTTTTCGTCCAGAGTGTCCACAAGCGAGGGTCAAACTTCCCCACAATGCTGTCAACAGCACGCGAGACATGGTGAAAAAAGCGGTAGTGTTCCGGCCCTGTGACTCGTGTCTCTGATCTTCCGGGTTCTTCAAGAGAGTCATAGATTTCAACTAATCTTTTTTTCGGATGAGGTTGTACTGTGACGAGTATCCAGTGTTGAGCTTCCGTGCACAGGATGGGAATAAGCACTAGCTTTCCGGACGCCGCCCGCAAACTAACATCTCGCTGGATGTTTGTAAAAATCATGCGATCGTTGTCATCCATGATATCGGCAGCTGGAAGTTTCGAAGCGAGGTCGGAGATACTCGGAGGTATAACCATTGATGGGGTTGGTCGTGTTTGTGCGGGTCTTTCAAGAATGAAATGGATTACGTCGTCGCATATTTCCTGCCCTGGTAGGAACTGAGTGAGTGACTCGGGGAGTTTGTGAGACCCTTGAACTATTTCGGTTTTCGTTCGGTGGAGTATTTCTGATGGAATGACCGGGATAGAAGAGACTATCTCCTTCCTGGCCGAGGAAGAATCATCAGTAAGGTCACTTTCTTGTGTTCTTCCCTTATTCGATAGTTCGTGGGTGGCTTCCACTCCAGGAGTGGGATATTGAGATTGGATCTTGACTGCATGTTCGGCAACACTTTGCAATTCAGCCTCCATTGCTCGATCACGCGTTATTATCGAAGTACTGCAGTGTGGTGTGTTGTCTTTGTCTCGAATGGAAATTGGTTGTTCGTCTTTTCCCTCGTTGTTGGTATGAGAGTCTTCGAGTCCTTCGGATAAAGTATGTGTTCGGTCTCTGCTATCTCCAAGACCGCAGCGAGACGATAACGCGCCACTGAGATGGGCCGGAATCCGTAGCTCAGGGGTCAATTCGCGTTCTTCTGCAATGGGGCCGCTCTGCTGATAGTGCCCTTCGCTTCTTTTCTGCAAGTCTCGAAGGTACGCGCCTGCTTTTTTGACATCCCCCAATATTATTTCATGCTTTCCTCCATCACGGAGTATATCCATTTTTTCGAAGTCTTCGCCATGAACGTCTCGGTGCCGAAGAGCTGCAGCATTCACAACTAGACGGTATAGGCAGTATAGCTTCTCGCGAGGGTTTGCTTCGCTTGTAAACCACCTTACTTTCTCCAACAATGGTGTAGAGGCCGAAGCGCAATCTAGTGATCGGATTGACTGGACGAGCTCGCGTCGGAAGAGTTCGTTTATGCATTTCTTTCCAAAATACAAAATCAAAAGCCATTTCTCTTCTTTCTTGAGTCCTAGTTCGTCGAGCGCGGTCCCCATCGCGGTGCTGTGCTTGGCGTTTGTTTGCCCCTGTTTCTCGTATTTCGTTCCGAATATGGTCGCCATCATTCTGTCGATGAGGTACTCGTGTAGGCGCATGTCCAAAATCAAGGCGGGGAAGTCGCTGTCCGGGTTTCCTTCCAAAAATGGGTTGTCTGACTTGATGTCTTCCCAAGGGGTTGGCTGAAATGGAGTATTGTGGTGGCGGCAATAGTCAGACTGGAACTGTATGATAGCCTTTGTGAAATCCTCTGGAGGATGGCGGTGAGACTGTAGCATCGCGAATTTGAATTGGGGCATGCAATCGGCGAAAGAATGCATGTTGGACGGCATGGCCGCACAAGGGTGAAATTCTGCGAGACGACTCGGACCTTTGATCCTCCTTTTGCATGTTCCTAGTTCGTAGTCATGACACTCATCCAAGGATTCAATGTTGGCCGCACTCAGCGCTGTTGTTCCAAGTCTCCTGCGTTTCTTGGGTTGTTTGTGGGACGACATCCTATGCAGGCTCAGGGTGCCTGAGCATGAATGTTGCCGGGAGGCGGGGAGAGAGGACGAGTTCCGTGATCAAAGGGTACAACGTTGCGAATAGGTCATAGGTCAAAGACTGTGGGATTTAGATGATTCCGATGCGTGCGGAACTCCTAGATTCAAATATTTAAATCGTTCCAGTGATCTTGGCCATACACAGGACGCCATGGTCTCGCAGCGGTACTTAAGTAATAGTAGTGTTTATCCCGGCACTCACCCGTCCTGATTGTGATACTGACAGTCCGCTTAGCCTGCCCGTAGCGACCACTCAAGTTATGCCACTAACAAAATTCGGAGACAATTTCCCTTGGTCACATTCTAACATGCCGCCTGGTGTCTCTAGGCGCAAAGTTACCTAAGTATAGTCGCTGTATAAGTTTTGAGAAACCACCTAAGCATTTTAGTCTCTGCTGAGTGACAGGCTACTAGTCCTTGGGTTAGCTACTTATTCGATGATTGATGGCACTGTGAGGAGCGATTCTCGCTAGTCTTATCTGTGCGGCTGTCATCTGACAGCACTTGAGGCCACTTTAGCTCTACGGCACGGTGACTTAAATTTATACTAAATAAGGTAGAGTTTATTAGTAGGTCTGCCCAAGGAAGAAAAGAATGACAGCTCCTCCTTAGGTCCTAGAGTAGAAAGAAGGTATGGTAACCTTGTAGTAAGGGATCTCTCGGGGACCTAGGAGCTTATCTTATAGTAGGTTAAGTAATATATCTACTAAGAGACTATACCTTTAAAACATAACAACATTGAAGTAATATTAATATTTAACTGGTTTAGCTTCTATTCCATATACCTAGGTATGTCCGAGGACATACATGGCGCCTTCATATGGTGGTAAACGCTCAGGACAGCGCTTAAAAAACATATGGTGACTAAGTTAATAAGAATGTCGATCTCCTTTCCCGCAAGGCAAGGTTGTCCGCCTTATCTTGATCAGTAGGCAAGGTTAAACTTTGCTATCATACAATCGACTCGCCCTTCTCCAGCTGCCGTTGCTTGCTAAACGATCTTCGACTGGGTTGAGCGGCTCTGATGGATGCGCAGTGCGGAATGTCCGCGGGCTCCCCCCGAACGACGCGTTTGCTGCTGGATTTGGTCGCTGATTCAAGCTTGAAACACTTTCAGTGACACATGGTCGCCCTTCTTCGGTGCAATGGCGAGCTGCCAGCAACGTTCTTGCAGTCTTGACCGGGTGTCGAACGCTTTTCTTAAAGGCTGCAACCAGAAAGATCAAGATGATAAAAGCAGAAATGCAAACTATTGAAATCTCGTTAGCTTGTTTGGATTGCGCCCAGGCTATCAAATCCTATTCCTTGGCCTTGAGGACTCACGCATTGTGACAATTTGCTGCCATAGAGGCATCCATTCTTGGCCCGTTGAAGAATTGTTCATACCGAAGAAAGACGTGAAGAATCCCAGTGGTGTCTTGAATTCAAGTGGTCAGCCCGTCTTGGTCGGAACCAATTACTTTGTCTGCTGACATCACTTACGAAAATGATCGTCATAATCGTGAATGCCATGATTGACTTTCCCTGCTCGTAACTCTGTTCGCTGAGTTTAATGCTGAGTTTCTGTTGTCTCACGCCGTGGTCCGCTCTCTCCAGAGCGGCTTGAGCTTCAACAATGCTAGCTTGCTGCTGTTTGAGAGCCAAAAGACCTTGCAACTTTGAAAATATTGACAGTGTCAGTACGTACTTCCAAGGTCCGGATTGGCTATCCTCCTACTTACGTTCTGACAGCTTCTTTCGGCTGCAGAAGCCAACTCCTCGATTTCCGCCTTCCTTGCCCTGATATGTTCCATCGTCTCTTCTATGATTTCAATATCCATCGATGAGTCACGTTGTGAGCTGTTCGCGGCATCGCTTGAACTCCTGTGGTGCTGAATCCCACGTTGTCTGTTCCAACGAAGTAAAGAATTGCGGAACTCCTCCACAGCGCCGAGCTGCTGCACGTAGATTCGAGTCATCATGCGTAATTCTTCAGCAATATCCTGGGCTTCGCGAAGCAGGACTCCCTCAGGGTTGATAGAAAGGTATCTGGGACTCGGTCGCCCCTCGCCCCTTTTTAGTGAACCAGCGTGGGCCCAAAAGCTTTGAAAGGCAATTGTGGTGCGTTCGTTCTATTATTGTCATTATCATCCATGTCTTAGCAAAAGTCAAATATCATCGTGGATGAGTGAAGTGCTTCCGACTCACCACATTGTTGAGAGACTCTGCGAACAAGTCCATAACCTCTGGTCTCAGATCCAGGGGCTTTGTCCGGTCAAAAAAGACCCTTGAGCATTGATCGATGATGATAGTCGCTGAATTATATTAGCAGCATGAGCCTAAGTATGTATCTGTCTGAGACTCACCAAGATGCCACACTGAAGTCACCTCACCATCCATTTTGTCGAGCCTGTTTCGAAGGCTCTTATGGATCCCAGACGAATCAGGCTTGTTTCTTCCCCAGCGTCGCGGAAATGCGGTGATTATTGTGTCTGTGTTAGAGAATTTTTCCGTTAGCTTGAATGGCGTTGAATACGGGGTATACATACAATCATCGAGAATCCATAACCATAACTGATCCACCATCACAACACGGGTAAGATTGCCCGGAATGTGCCACGGGAGCCTAGTTGCACGATAGACAACCTGGTCACTGTCTCTTTCGGATGTATCCTCGAGGTTCAGAAAGTAAGACTGGTCCAATGTTCGTCGAATATGCAAGGCAGGCTCTCGCGTCGTTTCCTCGTCGACCCTTTGAGGGACTAGTCCGCGCATCAAGAGCCTTTCCTCAGCCTCGGTGTCCATGGCTTCCCACAACCTTGCCACTTTCAACAGGAATATGCCGAGTTTTGACTTGCTTTGTTATAGATCAGCAAGACTTTACCTAAGCAGATTCGATGTGACAGTGAATTCGTGGGGAGGACTTGCTTCTCAAAGCGAGGTTCAACTTGAACATGATCCCACAACGATTTCTTGCCTGCATTGGTGTTTTCATCCTTCCGGAATGTCTTTCCGTGTTGTTCACGAATTCTGGCCTTCAGTTTCATCACGATATCACTCTTCAAGTGTTTGACCTTGCGAGCTGCATCGGGAGCTTGTCCGCTGGCTTCGATGGCTTTTTGGATTGTTTCAGCCATGCGCACTTTTCGACCGTACATCTCCCAATGGAGATAGGGTAGCTTGAACAACTTCGTCAGCTGGCTCTATCTACCACAGGATTGTTTGTTCATACATATATCGCGAAATTCTTTCGTCTCCGATCAGGTTCTTGATATTGGAAACTTGTTCCTGCGGTTGCGTTTGAGCCAGCATCTGGCGTGGCTTGTTAACTGTGGCTAGTTCAACACTGGATTGTTATAAGGATCGGGATATATGATACACACCCAGTGGAATGCTTAAACAGCGGGTCCTCAAGTGCCGAGTATGTACATGGTGTTTCTCCAGCCCTCCTCCATGTACCTGACCTCGCCAAAACTCTCGCGCCAGTGTCTGCTTAGTCAATTTCCTATCACTCTTCTCGACATCTTCGCCGTAGTGTCTTGCTATAGCTTGCTTTTATAGGATGTCAGTAGGATGAACCACTAGTTAGTTAGAACACTCACCTCAACCCAGCCCATATGATTCGCTGGCAGGTGGATATACTTCAACAGCCGGCTGCCATCCTCGGCCTTTGTCTCAGAAATTGGGTTGGGTTGCGTGTCGTATAGGGCTTGGTGCACGGTGAGCTTTTGGTCCGGAAATTTCTCGTGCTTATCAAAGCCGTTGCCGTGATAAGTCGCCTTTTTCCAACGCGTTTCATGTTTCTGGAAAAACAGAAACCCGGCGTTGATTTCATGTTCTGGATTGTCGTCGTTCTCATGAAGGATGTCGTTTGCGTCAGAGATGTTCAATTCTTTGCAGTGTCGACTCCTTTCGTCGACGGAGAACTTCAACCGTGCCTCGTCCTTGCCCTCGCGCTCCTGTCGCCACTGCATGAAAGACTCTTGAACTTCACCCAAGAGCAGTCTTTTGTTCTTGGACTCCGCCAATCGGGCACGACAATTCTTGATCCGTCTTGCATCCATTTTCAATTTCTTCCAATGGTTTTCTTCAAGTTTTGCCTTAAAGTCCGGTAGCTCCTGTGCTCGGAGCCGGTAGTATTTTTTCGTAATGCTATCGCAGTCCCACTTATCTTTCTTTTCGGCTTCCTTAATTAGCATCAAGTGCTCTGCCGGTGCTGGCCTTTTGGGAATACTGCGCGCTGGCGCTTCTGCAGCTGCGTTGATATCGGTCATTATGAGATTTCTCACTTGGGTCGATGACTATTCTCCAAGGAAACAAAGTGAAGAGTTCGACGTTTATTTATTGGGAAAAGAGGTTGTGGGCGGGAAGTGGGCATTCGAGCCATAAATAAGGCTGCTCAGCTTGCACGTTGGGGGAGGCCCTGGCACCCCTTCTTCCCTCTCTTATCTTGCGGTGATTATTTCAAATGCATCCACATGTGTAACCCAAACATCGGAATGTAATCAGCGGGGCTTGGGTTTCCAGTAAGGCTACCAGGGGACAAAGTGGCCGGAGATATGCGGGGGTGAGATTAAAGCGGTTGACCGGGCAGGACGGTCAGCATTCACCTCACAGCTGCTACACAGTGTTAGGAGGCTCCTGATTTCCAGAAAAATTCAAATCCCATTTCGTCGCTGTCTCATTGCACTACGATTGTTTGGTTGTATTTCAAGCTCCATACTTCACTTACCTTTGTTCACTACATATGTATCGACCGAGTAGCGTGAATGGGCTCAAGGACGGGAAAAGGAAAAAGGGAGAATGTCAAATGGCGCTGTCGGACAGACTACGAGTGGTTGTATTTCATGAGCAAGGCTTGCCGATACGCTCGTTCAATCCTCGGTGGTGGCGGCGGCTGATGCCAGTGGCGTAATACTACGCTGTGGTAGACGTGGATGAGCTGACCTCCCTCCAGAATTCAGGACCCCAAGGTGTAAACACCATCTGTATCCGGCTTGCATCTAAGTATTGGAAGATGGGATCGATGACTTCAGGATGCGGTATAGTTACAGGTCACTGACGAATAGTGTTAACGCATCGATTGCAGCTGACAGATTGAACTCAGCTGTGGCTGCAACCCCTGAAATGTGCAAAAATCTATTTCAAAGCAAGCGCGTTGCACCTGCCATTAGCTTGAAAATAGCAGAGCCGCATTTCGTCCATTCCGCTGGTGTCCCGTACCGTTCACTTCTCCCTTCACTTTTCAAGATTAATGCAGGTATATGAAAACATGACCTGAAGATCAAAGAACTTGGAGTTCCCATGCTAACAAATGATCGAGGGTACTTCTTGACACAACTATCTACACAAAGTGGCAAGCCCGCAATTTGGAAGGAAATCGGGGAGAACACTCGTCGGGACGCCAATGGCGTGGAACAAGTTGCCTTCGTTGGCGTGACCAACCTGCTCGATCCTCGAGTGGAGAGCCAGAGAAGATTGTAGATGAGCTGTGCAAAGCGGCTAAGTTACATCCCCGCTGACCAACTTGGTGCCACGGATGAGTGCGTTTCCAGCCCTGTCAGCATCGACTGCAAGCCAAAATACTCTAAGGGCCCAGATAAGGCAAACAAACAGCATGTGAAAAGATTTCGAACCGGGTTAAGGGTGCTACTAGGACATCTGGATTGCCTGGGAGAAACCGGAATATAAATTCATTTGCTATTCTGAACTGTCCGCACCTACTCGGGCTGTTCTGGGGCATTGGTGAAGAGGTTGGTGTCTCTTGTGAGGCCTGCATCATGCTACTTAACCTTGTGACACTGCTTTCCCTTCCCGCGGCTGTTGCACTGCGTTGTCGATCTAAACCACCCGGCTCCTGGGGCCGACCAGCGTCATTGTATGCTCTGCGTCTAGAAACTAGAGCTTACCGTAGAATTTGACGTGTGAAATGGTTGACCCATTGTGCAGACATGTCCACCTTGTTTTTGCATCTACCTAGGTACCCTTCCGAGGTCCCTCATGTGCTCCTGTTGCAAAACACTGAAGGACGCACCCACGAAATCCAGATGCCCGTCCACTGGTTCAAATGAAATTCTTGTGAGTCCTAACTAAAGGCGCCTTCTTATGAATTAATTGAGACCCATGAGTATACTATTTTGCCTGGGTGTTTATCAGCTATCTTATTATCTATTTTTAGTTTTTCTCAGAAAACGTCACTCGTTCACTCTGATCGCCGTGTGGTCAAGCAACTACCGGACCAGGGATCATCAGCTCCTCCGTCGATCCTGGTGGGCGCGTAAGCCAATTGCCCAATCACTTTACAGCGTCCACTGTTGCACCAGGTTCTTCCTCCGGAGGATTGCTGACTGCCTGATGTTGATATTTTCCCGTGAGATGACTTGAGACAAGCTTTCCAGATCTTGCCATTTTCAGTTCTCAATTGTCAATGTCCGGTTGTTTGGTTCAAAAACATCCCCAGATGCCGCATGCCAGTATGGGCCGAAGCCAGCATCCGGCTGGGCCAACCCAACCCAAGTCTGCCGCATTTGAGCTCACGACCATAGAGCGTGCAGACCTGGATCCTTTGCTGTTGGAGCCATACGTGGTTACGCCGTCGACAACACAGCGCTGCGAACAGGATGGCACCGCGGCCACAAGCGTCTTGCGAGAGACATGGCGAGAAGTTCGCAGGGACTTGTGCGCAATCCGGTGGGGAAGGGGAGGCCTTTGGTTCCTGTTCTTATTCTGGATCGTTGGCCTGTTGATGTGTATGATCATAATGACTATGATCTGGAGTGGCGACTCTAGTTCCGCATGTCTTCCAGATGGCACTTTCTCCTTCTCTACACAGTATGATCATTGGGACATCAGCGGCTTCTTCCAGATTACTTCTGGGTTTGGCCAGTTGACCTTCTCGCAAGCAAAAGCTGTGGATATGGTGTGGGATGTTGTAAGTTGTTCATGGGATCCAGAAGAGCGCCAATAGCTCCACACATGGTTAAACTTTTACAGAAGCACTCAACTAAGAATGAGAATCACAGGCTATTGGCAGAATCGGCCAGACAATTCTGGCTGTCTTCTCATGGAGAGCCTTCTCTCTCCACATCAAAACATCGCTCGAAGAAGGGCCGGAAACCAGAACCGTGTCCTACCACACATATTGGACAATATATCTGCAAGACAGCATTTCAATGATGGGAGTTTTTGGCGTAATAAGAGACTTTCTTGCTCGAAGAAGACTGAAGTCAAAAATGGCCATGATCTTCATGGTCGCCACAATGCTCTTCGTCTTGGCTTGGCCAACTGTCGCCAGCGCAATGACGGGTTACGACAGCAATAACGTCGCTTTCATCAAGATCAGGGATGGATCGCTCATAAGATTCAACTCCTTCCAACCTCTGCTGCATATCATTCATGACGGGAGCAGGCTACCTGGTCTGACGGATGAGTACCTAGTTCCGTGCTGCAGCGGAACAAGTAAGTCGACCCGGGTCTGATATTCTGCAAGCTTGGTATGATTAACCTCGGGCCAGACGGTGACGATCCTACATTCGAAATGCAGATCGCGTCATGTTCTTGCAATTACAAAGATGAAATATACTTTTTGGGCGAGAACGCCTCTGCTTGTCAGTGAACAGGAATCCTCAAGCACCCAAGCTGCACCGGCATTCTAATGGTCGATACTAGATACGGACAATTATGGATTCTTCGGTTTAAACAACACCAATTCGACCTGGCCTCAGGGTGATATTAATCTTCCCAGCCCCGTACTGAACATCTCAAGATCCCCCGTATCGAGGTATAGTTTCGGTACTGAAGGGACCAGCCGCTTCTGGGTTGACCCGCGTACGGGTCAAAGACCATTCCTAGATGACAAGCAGATGTCCTACGTCTATAATAATGAGTCGTACGATTACGACTACATTATAACGCATGGTAATGGCCAGTGTCAACCCATTGGCGTAAGTAGTGCCACTGTAGAGCCGACATGATTCTCCTTACGTACCAGCTATGGATGACAGGTATTAACAAAATGCAAACAGACATATAAATGGGGATTTTCGTACTTGCAAGCATTCATTGCTCTGCTCCTCATGACCATCTGGTCAGTTATAGTCTTCGTGATGTGGCTCAAGGCTCACCTGAAATTGTCGCGCCGAGGGCCATACGAGATCCCCAATCGATACAAGGCGGCAATCAAATTGACCAGGTCCATCGCCCTGGATTTTGGCGATGCTGACATGGCTTATGGCCTGTCGAACAAGGAGTTTACCTCGCACCTCAGGCGGCATCTGAAGGGCGGGAGGGTTGGAGCTGATCCGGCCATGGCGCTGGGAAAGTACAGCTTGAGCTTCCGCGGTTTCGGGGGCTGGGTAGCCAGGGAGAAGTGGTGGTTCTCCGCCGTCGTGCTGTGTACCCTATTCTGCTGCGTCGGCTGGATGCTTCCCCTCGCTGCCTGGAGTCTTCTCTGGCTGGCGGTCTGGGCATGGCCTGTTCTTGCTTTTGCCTTAGCCGTCGGGACTACAGGTCGGTCCCGCCTCTTCCTCTCTGGCTGCTGGCTGGCCATCGGGGTAGCTTGGATTGTTCCGCTCTGGGAACAGCGGTGACAAGACTTGTATATATTGAATTAATTATCTAAGCTCCTCCACTATGCCAGACCGACATTGGCTGGCTGCATGTGTCTTGGTAGAGACAATTGAGGCGTATGCACAACAGGATGGTACTGGACCCGGGTCCAAATGCCTAGGTACTTCTCTGGCTGAATGAATAATTATCCAAAGGCAAGTTCCGTGACCATGCTGTCTGCGGAATATGAACTGATTCAGAGTCGCGATGCGGCGGCTCCATTCCGTGCTCGACCGGCGGCTCCGGTGCCAAGACGCGCCTGGCGAAGCTCTGCCCTGTGGAGCCTAGTGAGCGATTGCATCATACCCTCACTGACCCTCACAAGGGTAGCTGTCGATCCGTGGATGGACAACATCTCTTGTGTGGAATAACGCGCCGGGAAGCTGGGTTGGTCGCAGCTCACACGTGCGGTCCCTGGCAGTACGGCAGGATGACTGAGTAATGGTGGTCGATGATCATCGTAAAAGCTAAATTCCGCTATATGTAAGCCCAGGAAATGGCATCATCACAGCATCGTGTGCAAGTGGGGAGCCGGCTCCGTTCGACACACAAAAAGCTGCCCCTCCTCCCGGCCCATTGACCCCGCGATAGTTATTGTTCAAGCTCATCACACCACCACAACTATCTTGCATCTCATACCATAGCATATTGCCCAGACTCTGTCCGTAGTGAACGTCACCATCAAATCATCATGAGCAAGCACGTCCTCGTACTCGGCGGCCACGGCAAGATCAGCCAGCTGCTAACCCCAATCCTGCTGAAGAAGTCGTGGACCGTCACCAGCATCATCCGCACGGAGGAGCAGGTCCCTGCCATCAAGAAGCTGGGCGAGAGCCTGCAGGGCAAGCTTAACGTCCTCGTCCGCAGCATCGAGGAGGTCAAGAGCGAGTCGCAAGCCAAGAGCATCCTGGACGAGGTCAAGCCCGACTATGTCTTCTGGAGTGCCGGCGCAGGAGGGAGAGGAGGAGCTGAGCGGGTATGCTTGACAATATAAAATGCCAGAGAAGGCAAAAGCTGACTGGGCTGTGAAATCACACAGACATTCGCCGTCGACCGCGACGCCGCCATCCACTTCATCAAGGCCTCGGCCAACACACCAGGAATCACCCGCTTCCTAAACATCTCATACCTCGACTCGCGCCGGAACAAGCCGAGCTGGTGGACCGACGACGACTGGAAGGTGAGCCACACACAGAGATCTCCCTCCCGCTCCCCTACTTGACCAACTACTTACTGCACATCAACGTGCTAATCTTACCCCCGCCCCGTCGAACAAAAGGCCGCCGAGGAGGTAAACTACAAGATCCTCCCCAACTACTACATCGCCAAGCTCGCCGCGGACGAGGCGCTGTACCAGGAGTCCGCCAGGCGGGGCAAGGACTTCGTCGGGATCAACCTGCGGCCGGGGACGCTCACCACTGACCCCGCGGGCAAGGTGGAGCTGGGAAAGACCAAGAGCAGCAGGGGCAAGGTGAGCAGGGAGGCCGTGGCGCAGGTCTCTGCCGCGCTGCTCGAGGCCGAGGGCGTCAGGAACAGCTGGATCGACCTGCTGGACGGCGACGAGGAGATCGGCGCCGCGGTGCAGAGGGTGGTGGCGGAGGGGGTGGATGCTGCTGAGGAGGACCCTGTGTATGGCAAATTGTAAAGGGGTAATGAATACATGATATTTCATGTCAATTGTGTCGTCCACCATTCCTGGTAGTTGTCGTGCCTCAATGGCTTGATGGACATCATGTGGGACACCGACATCTGGATGCACACACAGCACGGGCATAAAGCTAAGGGGTATCTCTCCTCTATTCGCCAGATCGCCATGCTATTCTAGGTATCAGAGCCAGACTCCTCGTTTCCTCATAACATATCCAAACACACAGAGTATTAATATTAAGTAAGTCATAAGTTATTAAGCATTATGGCTCGATGAAGCCGGTGCAGACTCCGAGCCGTGCACGTCAGGGCCGTGGCCGTGGCCCGACGACGACGCCAGGTTCTCAGGCATGAGGATCTCAGGGGCTTTGCCCTTGGCGGACCCGGGTGGCGGCTGCGGCTGCGAGGCCTGCGACATCTGCGGGACGGGCATGGCCCCAGTGGCAGCCGGCTCGCCGGCCTCGGCGCTGAGCACCGACGCATCGCCGTCCTTGCCCGCGGCCAGCTTCTTGTTCCGGCGATGCCTCCACAGCAAGAAGCCGGCAATGCCCAGGAGGAGCGAGCCCAGGCCGACGCCCAGGGCCGTTCCGATGAGCGCGGGCACCGTGAGGATTCCGGCGCCCAGCCCGTACGAGTCGTCCTCCCCGCCGTCGGCGACAGTCCCATCAGGGTTGATTATGGTGCCGTCGTCGTCCGTGCCCGTTCTGGAGCAGTAGGAAGAGGTGCAGTCCATCGTGGAAGAGGGCGCCCTGGCCCCGTACGTGGCGAAGGCGACAATGTCGCTCGTCTCCGTCGCGTCGAACTTGACGGGCGCGATCGCGATCTCGTCATTGGCAAAGTCGAAGACGCTGTACGTCCGGCGGAGGAGGCTGCTGCCGAGGTTGTAGCCTTGGCTGTAAGCGTATCCGTAGCTGGAGTTTTGGACGCCGAAGACGCACGTATCCGAGGAGACGTATGAGGATAGGTACGAGTATGTTCTCAGGTCGACGTCTGTCACCGGGACGATGAGGTCTTCCAAGGCAACGGAGATGTTGGGGCCGTTTGGACCCTTGCCGAGCCTGAATGAGAAAGTTGTCGATGCGGTGCCTCCGGCGTTGCACCCTATCAACGCCAAGCTCGCCCTTGTGTCGTAATAGGATCCTGCGATCTCCCAGAGTTGAGCGGTCACATCGTCAGGTAAGACACTGATAGGATCAGGAGGAGAGAAGGTAGCCGTGAACATGTAGTCATCGTAACCGTACGATGATCCGGAATAAGAGCTCGACGACGAGCTGCCATAGTAGCTGGTGTCACTGTACTCATCGTATGTGATTGAGATCGGCCCCGTACTGTCCTTTGTTGTGGCATTGATGCTCGAGATCTGCACCATCATCTTTTCGCCGGAGTAAGACGACGACAACCGGGAAAGGTTTCCTTCAAACTTTGTTTTGTCGATGGCGCCAAAGAGAATGTTCCCTGAGCTTGCCTGCGCGTCGTCAACCCAGATTGAGAACGCCGTGCTGTTGATGAGGCCTTGTGCCGCCAGACGATCCACAAAGGTCGAGTGCGAGGAGTCATTGTAGCCGAGTCCGAGAACACCAATGTACCGATCGGTGGTGTTGACCAGGCCGACAGTGAAATTGTCCAAAGACACGTCGCCTAGAGTAATCACATCGCTGAAGTATCTCCCTTGGGCGTAAGAGCCGTCCGGGTAGTAAGTATAAAAGTCGTAGCTGTAGCTGGATATATAGCTGTCGTCAGAGTCTTCATACTCAGACTCGTACGAGAATGTGGATGATACATTGGATGAGACTGCAAGGGCGATTATTAGCACCCTGAAAATGAGACTATATCCCCCCAGCCAAGCAGACTGTTGTAGAGCATGACTCAAAGATCGAAAAAGCTCCGGACGGAGCCCCAGTAGCGGGACAATCCCGAGATGGCGATCAGGTGGGTCTTTCAACTCAGCGAGGACGTCACTTACAGCTTCCCCATATGCAATCCCCAGTACTGTAAGAGTAATCATTGTCCGAATCATATGTGCCGTCATAGGAGCTGTAGTAGCTACTTGAGTAGGTACAATCGCCCGACCTTGTGTCTTTGACCCAGGTGTCTGAAGTTGATGATGAGAGAACAAGAGACACAGGCTGGCCAGGCGTCCCGATAGTAGCGTTGACCACGTAGGTCATGGCACCCATGAAGGTCTCGGCATTTACGGCGCGTGGTTTGGACGCGCTTGAGGCGACATCACTGGGAGGGCTGCCACGCCTCGCGAAAGGAAATTGGATAACGGCAAATGCTGGCTGTGTGCAAGCCCCGAAGAGCGCCAGGACCAGTGATGCCTTCATGTTCAATGAGGGCTAGCGAAAGGGAGGTAAACGAGTGACGGCGGAGAAAGTCGCGTGCGCAGAAAAGAGACATCAGGAGAGAGGGGGCGAGGGCGTCCCGCTGCAGCCATTGTGTGTATATATGAACAGGCAGAGCACATGTGCAATGGGAGTAGCAAGGCAGCAAAAGGATTTTCCGTCCCAGAATGGACATAAAATAACGTGCCATATCCCTCCCAGAGTTACACAGCAGGATCATGGCCCGGCGTGGCTTTGGTGGTTTCCTGCGAGCCGTTGACGCCTTTCCTTTGTCCATTCCTCTTGCGGCCGAGTCGCCAAGCAATCGTATTTTAAGCTTGTCAGTGATTGGGCTATGCCCCGGTGTAGCGAGATGAGTAAGGCCAGACAGGGCCTAGAGCGCCCAAGCTCCCGTGGCTCTGGACCGCTAATCCAGGATAAACGGCGCTAACGGCTGCCAGATCCTGACTCTGGTGGATTAAAATAGGCAGCCATCTGCGCCCCGAGGGCTTCGTGATGGCTTCTTCGTGTCCAGATGCCAGCGCAGGACGTTCACGAGGCGGCCAAACGCAGCGTGAGCGAGGCGACGACGGACCACACACAAGAATGAGTCATCGTATCTTGTCTTCTTACCTAGATATTCAGGCCACTCGTCCCCTTCCAACTTCAGGCACCCAGAGATTCCGAGTCAGCGCGAGAAACGGGAGGCGCTGGCAGTGCTCTGGTTTGTGGGATGCAGGACAAGCGGGGAGGCTAGCTGGCTCCATACTCGTTGGTGACAAGATGCAGCAGCTCCACGAAGAATCTCGTTCGTGGTAGCATGAAAGTATGCTGCAGCCGTCCAAGGCAAGGGGCGAGTGAAAAATGAGGCTGGAGGTCTGGCATTACGGTGGCCGCCCCCAAACTTCATGGGCAGATGGCCAACGCATTGTTGACTCAGCCCGTGCTTTAGCCTCAACGTGGTCAGCTCGTGGCAGATGGAGGCTCAGAAGGTTGCATCCGTGTCCATTTTACACCGGCTCATGCCCTATTCGTCAGTGGCGTTCAAGGTGACATCGGTATCTCGGGACGACTTCAGGAATGAAACTGTGAGCTTCTGTTGTATGGCGACAGTCGACGATTGAAACGTGACTCACGCCATCGATGCTTCCAAGGTTGTTGATGTATATGCAAAGCCCATTGCTTGATTCTGTCGTCTTTCATAGGGTCGTCGATTCGGCTCCGTGGATTGGCTCAGTGCGAGTCCAGCGTTCATCGTGGTATCAAGTCGATGCGGTACGAAGGGGGGCGAGCCATAGTTCACGGTCTGGTTGGGCGCGGAACCACACCTGGGCAGTGGGAGCACTTGAGAGGGGAGGTGGTTCAGGCGCCGAGTTGGCTCCTCGCGGTGCTTTCATGAGTTCCGAACCCGACATGGAATCTGGCGAGCCCCACTCGTCGTCGAACTGGCCGAGCTCCAACATGTTGCCCTCTGCACTGTTGTAGATAAACAGCGCAACAGACAGCCGCCGACTCTGGCCGAGGTAGACTGGTAGAGATCCTGTGCTGCATGCCGGCTATCGGCAGCCATTGGGTGCGGCCATCGGGGGACGATCCCTGGTAGACAAAGCCTTGGCGGACTGTTGTTCGTTGAGGCTGGCGATCTCCCGAGTCGGCAGGCACGGCTGACCGCGACAACGTGCTTGCCTTGCTTGCGTGGTCCCAGTGGGTCGGGGAGAAAAACGTGGATGCACTGGAGGGGAATCTTGTAGCGAGTGTACCTAGGTACTCTGTACTAACTGCAACTCCATGTCTCGACGGCCAATTCTGTTAGTACATATGTATCTGCCAGAAGCGACCCTTTGTCTCTCGCATTGCTTTTTCGGAAGCTGCACCTTTCAACTCTTCAACTCCCGAGGTCCCTGTTCAATATCAGTTGATGGCCTCAATAACACGTTCAGTTTCTGATGCGGTGAACGACCGAGAGTGGCATGAGCCACGGACTAAGAGACTGTCCTCGGATTCTGACGTGCGAGTAATTGATTGATAGCACTTGAGGTAGGGCGCATATCCCTTGTTGTCCAAGTCTCCTCTTCTCCTCTTCTCCTCTTCTGTCGCCCGTCCAGCACCAGTTGGTTGAGCGACGCCGGGGTCATCTGAGGTGGCATCAAGACTTTGGGTATCAACATCCCCTCGAAAAAATGATCTGTATCTTTCTTGGTAATATCCTTCCCCAGATCCTATGCAACTCTGCGGGTAAATCGGGGGATGAGATGGCGGGCTCGTGACTTCAACAGCCGAGCTTATGCAGCAGCAGTCATGGTGGAATAGCGGCATTGACATGGCCTGAGTGAAGGCCTCGTGGGGGGCCTCACTCTGAGATCAGGGCGTGCATACTGCAACAGGGTACACTGTTGGGCGTCTCTTTGCCCTGACCAAGACTTCCGGATCCTGTTCGTGGCTACTGCACCTCTCCACTCCACCATCGTCGTCCATATCTACAGAGTACCCTGGTGTAATCTCCCAGTCAGTCAGTGCATGCAGGCCTGGCAGGCCGGGCAGGCAGGCATCTTGACAGCTCAGCAACCATCCGAGGAGCCCGTCCAGTCCTGCCCCGGCCTACGACTCCTAGCCCTCAGCTCTCACGATCCTCCGGTGGGGCCACCCTGTGTTTCAGCTCCGAAAACATGGCTGTTTGCCGCCGGGTCCGCCGACCCTGGCCGTGGTAGAGTCGTAGATCAGGGACGCCTTCCCCGCGGTTCGTCCGTTTCTCTCGGGTGGGTTCGCATCTCAGGCAACGATTCGCCCTTGTTTGCTACTGCAGTCCCCCCCTGGAAAGGACGCGAGACAGCGAGCCCAACTCGGGTCCTGGCCAAGAGAAGCCCGCTGCCATTGGCAGGACCTCATCCGCGCCAACTGCCTAGGTACATGCCTAGGTACATACGGATATATGGGTCCAGGACCCAATTTAGACATGAATACGCGAGAGTCGCCGCATATCGCAGAGAGGAGAACAGCTCACCCACCCCCCACAAACAGCCACTTGGTTCTTCTTATCGCCCGGGAATATCGCGCCATTCTTGTTGGGCAATGCCTGGCAGTCCGCGCAGCTGCTCTCTGAGACGCATTATTCTCGAAGCGCACTAGAATATGGAGACACCGCTATGTCGGCGTCTGCCCGCGTGACCGAATGTCTAAATGAGGATCGAGCTTGAGGAATGCGGTGGATCTCCCTCGGTGTTGGGCATGCTTCCCGGGGTCTCCAGACCGCCAACACCTTGAGCTGACTCCTCAACCACGCTTGTAACTACATAGCTGCGAGGGCCAGCTGATTATCGTGACTCCTGTTCTCTGTAGTCCGAATCGAACCATCTTTCACCGAGTCATCTTATAATCCCAGCCCATAGCCCGAGCGGCTCTCCCCCATCCTCAACCAACTCTTCCATTACAAACTCTCATCAACATCAAACTAGACTCGTGCTATGTCTGCCTCAGTCATGTCCAGAAATCCTTTCCATAGGAATTCAACGAGGACCATGGTCGACGAATCATGTCCTCCTCCTCCTCCCCCCCACTCAGCAAATCCAAAGACCATCTCCCGACATACCTTCTCTCCCTCAACAAGAGAACGCTCTAAAGCAGCAGACAACACCACAATTTTCATGGTTCCAATTTACGACGACAGGCATCAGGGCGCAGACCTGCTCATAGTCTCCCCCTCAAAAGTCAGCACCTCAAGAGTCAGCACCTCAAAAGTGAGCCACCATGACCGGTCAGAAACACCAGCCAGGGCGCCCACGCCCCCTCCCAAGCCCGTGATCCCGCAGCAGTGCGAGGACTGGGACGACTTCATCTCGTGGAGGAAGACAGAGGCGGTGTGCAAGGCCTCCTCGAAACCAGAGAAGCCGCGCCTCGAAAATTCGGCCAAGGAGGACATCATGCGCGGGTTTGAGGAGTGGAAGGACTATCTGTCGCAGATGAGGATCCCCGGCCGGAGGGCAAGGCCCGTCTCGATCGTGTCCACCGCCACGACCACGGCCGGCCGTAGCCTTGCGAACCGGTCCAGCATGTGCTCCGTCTCGACCGTCTCGAGCACCAGCTCGTCCAAGGCGAGGTCGCTGAGGAAGACGTCGCGGTCGCGACACCTGCGCGCTTACTACTCGATGGGATGCCTGCTGAGGAATAGGTTCAACCCAAGTAACAATGGTATGTTCCCCGATAGGTCCTCCTGGGTGCCACGACACACGTTCTCGATGCTGACAGAGCACCCTCAGAGCCTATAATAAGTCCCATTGCAGACATCCTGCGCAACTCATCAAGCCGGCCCCAGCTTGCGAAGCGCAGGCCAACGAGCCAGCACTCGCTACCGGCAAACTGGACATACTTCTGCAGCCCACCTCCTCATCCGCCGCCCAACAAGCCTCTTCCAGCTCTGCCTTGTGCAGCACAGAAGGGACAGAAGAGGACGAGGAAAAGGAACCGCTCGGTTGTTGAGATGAAGGAGAGGAAGAGGTTTCAGTTCCTTCTTTGGCAGTGATCACACTGCTGGTGAGTGGACCGAAGACGGAGTGGACTTGACGATAATTTTTAATGAATCATGACTTGGACGTCATTGAATGTCTACCCTTCTGCATACGATCCTGTTCAATGCCGTGATATACTGCTACTGAGAAGGGACCGGAAGAATGACTTGTGCTCCTCCTTGCCAGAAAGTTGTATCTTGGCTCTTTGCGGTCTTGCGTGCGATTCTCCACGTAACCTCGGGAGTCAAATGGCAGACTTCAACCAAACTGCATGACACTCCTCCACTCCTCTTCATGGGGAGTGAGTTGATTAAAAAAAGCCAAGTATGTCCGCCCGTTCTGTCTGCCGTCCCTCCAACATCTCCGCCAACTTATTCTCATGTCTTATCAGCAATCACAGCCGGTTGAGGCTTCTGGACTGGAGTGTCCTTCTCCACCTCGTCGCCGATCGCAAAGCGAACGGTCTTGGCAGACTTCTTCGGATTCTCGACGGTCTTATGCTCCACTTCATCAACCTTGTGCTCGACCTTGTCGTCCTTGGATGCGGACATGGTGAGCTCCGTGTGAGACTCGGCAAGTATCTGCCATGACTTCTGCCGCATGATCGGAAGGTCTGTCGACGAGCATGGTCAGCCTCCTGCCCTCAAACGGGACTTGTACAGTCCGGGACGTCTTCCTTACCACTGTAGCGCCGGCCCCGGCCACGACCAGCAAACACTTTCGAGGCTCGCCCTCGAACTTCCTTCAAAGCCTCGCGCGACCGCAAGGCGACTGCTCCACCCATCGCGACAGCCACCCCACGAAGCTTCGAGACGACCGCTCGTACGTTTCGACAGAGCGGGTTTCCCTGCAGTCGCATGTTGGACGATGGCTCGGTAGCCGGCAAGTTTGCCTCGCGGCACACATCGCGGCGGAAGTATTCGGCTGTTTCGTGATCAGCACCAATATCCAGGAGTGCGACAAACGGGTTCAGAAATATGTACGGGTATGCGGGACTTACGATTGACGATTTTCAGCCACACCAGCAAGAAGATGGTGGGCACAGTGGCGAGCAGGACGACGGCGGAGATGACCATGATAACCACGTCTGAGACATGGCCTTCTGGCTGGGGGTGATCGTGGGCGTCCGACATGGTGGTTTGAAGGGGACGGCTCTTGTCTGTCGGGTCTTCAGGACAGGTGCTACTGAACCGGTGGGTGAGAGGTTCGATGACTGAAGTTGAAAGTTGTTGACGCAGGCACTTGGGGGGGCGGGGGTTGTTCTGAGCCATTCGAGTTAATTCGAAATTGGGAGCTTGCTTTCATGTTTGGTCGCACTCAAACGACTTCAGAAAGGGGGCAGGCTACGTCGCCCTGCCTACCTGGGTACAGTCACTTCGTCTGAACGTTTATGCAGACACGGCGAGTTTACTGCTGCCCCGACCCAAACGATCTCACTTTGCACGCATCACCCTCCCCCAGCGTTTGTTGTTGTTTGAGCGGCGCGCAACACTTTGAGCTGTCTCGCAACCTTGCAACCTGCATTTGTCAACTCATCTGTCAACTCATCTGTCAACAACAGCTCCACCCAGCCGTCCACATCAAGGCACATCTGCGTCTTCATGTCAAGACGCTTCCAAGGTTGACTCTTCAAGGTTGACGCTTCCAAGGTTGATTCTTGCAAGCTTAGCCTTTATTCCCACTGTTGACTCTCAAGACAACTACTCTCAGCTTTCACCACTTTCGTTTACTTGCAGGTTTGTTCATTTGCCGCTGCCCCTCCACGATGCTCATTCCTCTTTAGGCGATCATCGCGACTGAGCTGACTGCCTTCCATCGTAGCAACATGGCGCCTCCTCACATGTTCAAGGCTTCCAAGCCTGCGTTCCAGCCCAAGGCTGGAGGAAAGCCCGTCGCCAGCCGAGTTGAGAAGACAAAGAGCCATGCAAAGGTGGCAAAGCGAACGTTCTTCGCCAACGCGCTCACTTTCCGTCCCAAGGAGGCCGCGCCGGCCGACAGTCCCGCCGATCCGATGATGCTGGATTCTCCCGAGCCCGCTGCTACCGAGCCCGCTACTACCCAATCCCCTACTACCCAGTCCCCTACTACCGAGCCTGCTCCTATCGAGCCCGCGCCTACCGAGCCCGCTCCTACCGAGCCCGCGCCTACCGAGCCCGCGCCTACCGAGCCCGCGCCTATCGAGCCCGCTTCCACCGACTCAGTGATGGGAAACCCCCCCGTTGCAAGTGCCACGAGCGCAACTCATGCCGCCGGCGATGAGAACGAGGAAGAGGATGAGCACGTCGATAAGCCCTTCAAGCTCGGCGATGGCATTCCCAAGGCTGGCTTTCAGTTTCGTAAGGAGGGGCCTAGAGGGAGGTCGATCCTGGGCAGATTTGAGACCGAGAATATCGTAGTCGAGGCTCTCTACCCCGACATGGACATCATCCACAAGAGCAAGGCGCAGGGGGTCATCAGCCCCGTCTTCCACGAAGCCGCCAACATGGTCGAGGATGGTATCATTGAGGAGCATTTGGTGAGGATTGGAAAGCTCGTACCAGGACACAGCCGCCGCATTTGGCGCTGGTTCTTTGGAAGGCTTTGGGTTGACAGCAAATCGAAGTGGCCCCGAAGATTGTCCCAGCAGCAATTCATCCACTTTGTCTCCTGTCTGGCGGAGGCTCGGTGGCGTGAGGAGAACTCTCCGAAGAATCCCAATGGGGAAAAGCCTGGACTGTTGGCCCAGAACGTCTCACTCTTCTTGAATGTGGCGGAGGAGAAGGGATTTGCTTGGTCGAACGGAGGAGAAGCCTTCGGTGATAAGGAAGAGTAGGAGTTTCGTCTGATTGAGCGTCAGTGTCCCATTGAGGTACCTTTGGAACTCATACGCTAGGATTTATCACCGCAATGAGAATGAACTGTAAACAATGTATCACTGTAACGAGCTCGTATTAATTCCGTGACATGATGGAAACGCAGAACATTGGTCGTGCAACACGACACAACTGGACTCATTTTCTTTATCTGCAACTCAGTACTGTGCCTAGGGAGAGACGTAAGACATAATCTGGTTTCGCTTCTATTTCACGTACGTCCGAAGACATACATGGCCCCTTCGTACAGTGGTAAGACATAGAGAATAGAATTATGTCGTCAAAAGCAAGACTCAGGGACGGCACATCAAATTCAGGAAGAGAACACTTCAGAACGTTCCAGGCCTGCCACGCGCGGCCCAAGTTAGCAAAACCACCTTGACCCTACAGGCGCCCAAACGGCCAAAACTTGTTGAGTGGCTCGGTGTTTGTTTGTAGGTGCTTGTGGCCCCTGGCCTGTTTGCCCTGCCAGCATTCACCCAACTTCCAAGGTTGTCCAGGGTACTTGGGCCAGGAAAGTCCATCTGATATCAACGAAACTTGCCTGTGGCCGAGTGGTCCAAAGCTTTCGAACATAGATTTAATTTAATTAAGTCCCACGACGAAGCCACGGGTTCAAGTTTGATGCTCGGGGGACCTCACTTGGAACCTAGGAGTTCTCAGAACTTCTGACAGCATAGAGCGGGTCTTCCTCTGGGAAGCCTGTTATCGCTAGCGTCGCCTCCTTGTGGCTTCCCCTTGAGCATCCTCTTTTTTTGCTTTTTCTTTTTGTCGTATTCTCCTCATGCTTGCTTACTTACCGTCTTCCCAGGCGTAGCTTTTCTTAATGCAAACAAGTCCACACCTGTTCTGCGACAACCTCCTCTGCGACAACCTCCTCTGCGACAACCCCCTCTGTGACAACCTCCTCTGCGACAACCCCCTCTGTGACAACCTCCTCTGCGACAACCTCGTCACATAATCTTATGAAAAGATCAGCCATTTCATTTCATCACATCATGGTTTGAATACACTGGAATTTAATCACTGCACTGCAAATATTGGGTGATCTATGGCCACCAAGGACGATGCAAAGGGGACGCTGCACAACCTCGAGAGCATTGTTGCAAGGGTCCACATTGCCTCTGTACAGACGCGTGCTGGGTGTGCATTACCTCGCCTTATTCCATTCTGTGCACCGTGTATGACTTCGGGGGTATACGAAACAGAATCGAAATCAGTTATTGCATGCTCTGAGTCCTCACAGGCTTCATTGCCTAAACTCGATTGGCCATTGAGTATTTGAAGAGGTTGATTTAGCGGCATCCTCGTTTTGTTATATTAAAGCTTCCTTCTCATAGCGGCGTATAATGCAGCTGACGACATCACATCGCCAGGTCCTTTTTGAGAAATATTCCGTGTAGCCCAAGGATGACTCCAACTGCCTTTCCAGGTCATGATCGAGCCTGAATTCCTCTGATATCTTGACCTTGTCTGCAAACAGGCTTCGAACTTCTAGATACAGGTTTCTAGTGTTGGCATTAAAGCCAGTGAATACCAACGCTGACTTTATCGTGTCACAGTGCTGTCCTTGATGCTGTCCAAGGCTTCCGCCCTCATCGTGACGGTTGCGTCTTGCTGGTGCTTGCCTGAGTCCTGAGCTGTGCGAATCACCTCGAGCCGGAAACACTCCAAGATCAGCGCCGCAACCCTTGCTGCCAGGAACCTCATCACTGACGAACCCGTAGATGCCTCGGAATACTTGGTGCCATGTCTTCATCTCTTCCTATTTAGTACCAGTTGCCATCCACACCTGTATGGCCAGTAGGAGGGGTGGGACAAAACATCAGTATTCTCCTCTTATTCAACCCTTTCCTGCTCACTGCTCACCGCAGCTGCGCCGACGCGAGGGCTGCTGGGATTGCTGCGGTCAGTACGCTTTTATTGAGCACATTCGCCTCGGTCCAAGTCTGCGCACAATATTAAAGTGTAGATCTTTTCCGTGGAGTGCACATGTGCCGAGCCTACAGCCAAACTCCACCTTGGCTGAGTCTACGGGAGGCATGATTGTCCGGGACACAAAACACGATGTCAGCTTTCAGCTCTGTGTCTCTGTCAGACGAATCGGTGATGATATAGTTGGGAACGTCTTACCGTCGTCAGTGAGGACTACCACTGCGGGTCCGTGAGTTGACAAGTGGCCAGGTCTATGCTTCTTGCTTTTTGTGGAGCTCCTTGGTTTGCTGAAATTCGTTGCTGAACCTTTTCGTGCACCATCCAGCGATGCGAACCAACAATACAATCCCGGCAAGTCCATCTTCTGATAAATGCTGATAAATGATAATATTACCGCCTTCTGAAAATCCTCTCGAGCAGACGAATGCCAAAGTCGACCCCCGTTGAGCATTCGGATCTCCTTGTAAAATCTAGCGGTACCCGGCTCTCCCACCTGAGGCTGACTAGGTGCTTGATTGGAAGAGAACAAGCTAATTCCTTCAAGACACCCTCTCTGCCAGTGTATCGTCTCGTTTTTTCACGCGGCTCGAGGTCAATGTTCCATAACTCTGATTGGGGGGAGGGCTCAGCACCCCTACTCGATTCTTCATACTAATGATTTGACCTTAGAGCTCCATGTTACCTAGGTATTCTCGAGAACTTGATGAGCTGCTGCGGATCATAGGCTGAGGGCTAGAGTCGTAGTCAATCAGAAACTGAGGCATCCCCCATCAACTTTCAGGAAACCGCCTGTCATGAACTGAGTCATCACTGGCCAGGAAGGCTACAACTCCAGATACATCGTTGACTTCAGCAAATCGACCTAATGGCATGTTCCGACGGAGTTCTTCCAGCTTTTCTTCACTCCAAGTCGCTCGAAACATGGGCGTATCTACGCCACTAGGGTGTATCGTGTTGACACGGATGCCATGCTCGCCCAGCTCGGAGGCAGCTGTCAGGGATAGCCCGCGGAGGGCGAATTTGGACCCAGAATACAGAATGAGGCCAGGTGTCCCCCTCAACCCGGCGATTGAGGAAGTCAAGACGATACTTCCTCCGTTTCCGAGATCTCGCATAGCCTTGCCGGTGTGTTTGATGCCGAGGAAAGCTGCATGAAATCAGAATGAGACGTGAGGCTTTTCTGGTAGGCAGGACGTCGAACCTGACTTGACATTTACTTTCATGATCCTCTCGTAGCTCTCTTCAGTCGTATCGAAAATACTCGTGGACGGATAACTTATTCCTGCATTTAGAAATGCGCAGTCGAGGCGACCAAATTTGTCCACCGTTTCCTTGGTGAACCGCTCCACGTCCTCCTCACTTGTGACATCCGCAAGGATCGTCAATATCCTCGAGTCCAGTGGAGCTGACGGCACAAAAGGCCTCAAAGCGGATGTGGCCATGTCTAGGGCTTGCGCACTGATATCCACCAGGCCCAGGTTTGCACCTTCTTGTAGCATTCGAGACGCTGTAGCCAGGCCGATTGAGCCTCCTGCCCCGGTGATCAGTACAACCTTCCCATGTAGCCTCTGACTTGGCAGTGATATATGCTGAGTCTCGTTGCAAGACATAATTGTTTGGTAGGGCTCGCCGTCGCTTTGCGTTGCGTTCTTCTGTCGACAACTAACCTCACTTCTGCAACGACTCCGTTCCTAACAGATACTATACAGTCTAGCGTACCGAGAACAACGGAATATAATTACACATAGACAATGCGGAGATGGGAGATATCTTATCCAGGCTAGTCAGGTTCCGCACATTATACTACTACGACTTCACAACCCCGCAACCCCAACCTGCTTCCATCAGCGGGCTCAACACCCATAGTAGGAAGTAGTCAAGCCGGAAGCATGATTATCCCTCAGGCTATCCTTCTACAGCATAGTATAGATCACTATTTAAAAGAAGACGCGTCTCTAGAGCAGCGGGGCATGTCCCCAAGCTCGAGTTCCTCTCTGGCATGCTGGCATAATGCACATGTGGAAAACCCTACCTAGGTACCCAGGTATGCTGCGAGTGGCTAATTATGCGAGACATGTCAAGATAGACGAGTCGAGCAGGATAAAGATGGCTGAATTCTGCTTCTATGGGCTATATGGGCCATGTTTATCCCCTGTGAATCCGCGCCGAGTCAAAGTATCTCGAAGTGCGCTCTTGACTAATCAGCGAAGTAGCTGGTGGCACAGTGCTCGTGGGATGGGCATCAATCCCAACTGCGAGCTCGTTGGAGAAAGCTGGATTGGCACCACATGTAGCCACAGTTCACGAGACTGAGTCTTTCCTTGGCCTCCTAAAGACCCGTACCGAATCACATGCTCCCTGCGAAAGGGCTTCTTTCTTCCCACTGGTGGAATGAGAATAAGACGCAGAGGCAGCATGACTGATTTGTGAGAGAAAGAGGCTCTCAAACCAAGACATGCAAAGGCTTCGGAAGAGGTCTGTCTATAGCCATATGGGACGCAGCGTACCACTCGGCTGGTTGCAATGTAAGACTACTTCGCCTGGCGACCTTTCCTCCAAACGGTGACCGTCATATAAATTGCTCTGTGTGTGTGTGCCTGACATGCTGTAATCAAAACTATATGTCAAACCACCGTATGAAGGCGCCATGTATGTCCTCGGACGTATACGGAATAGAAGCGAAACCACACATGTCAAACACTCGCGCTTACCAGTCGTCCCACCCATCATCCGGAATTCGAAAAATCGCAGCCCTCCCGGACCGAAGACCTCATCAGTCGGAACTTGGCAGCCTTGCCCGCCCAGTCTGAGCCGCCCGCCCGCCCTGCAAGGCCAGCACAACACCACAAGGCTACCCCTGCGACCCCAGCCCGCCCTGACACGCAAGCCCACGACGACCCGAGCAGGCGGTAACAGAACGGGGGAACGGAAGGGGGCAGAAGGGGGTGGGGGAGGTAACGGGCTTCCCGCGGGGGAGGGGGAGGGGAGTTCTAGAAGCATCCCTCAGGTCCCGTCCGATGTCCAAAGGAGATAGATACCCTGTCATTATGCGACACTCGGCCGGTCAGATCTATTCATGCCCACACCCTTTCGCATCCGAAACTCGGTGCTGCCTTCTCACCGACGGGAGAAGGAAAAAGAGAGAGAGCCAGACGCCAATCGCAGCGTTGAGGACATGGCTTTTCTTCTTCCCCTGATGCCCGCAATGCCACGCCGACACAGCCCGGGGAGGATTCTGTTGGAGGCTGAGCAGAGGCTCGAGGCTGGGGCAGGGAGCGTGCGTTGGATGGGCATGAGCCAATCCGTCAGTCGGTCAGTCAATGGAGTGAAAACTTTTGGATTTCCATTCGCAATGATGCTGTCATGCACACACGCGCTATTCTATACAGGCCTCAGACCTCGTGAGCGTGCCGCGCGCTGGTGTCGCGCTGTCATCTCAGGTCCTCTGCTACTTGGGGCTGTTGGTATCTGGCCCTCTCAAGTAGAGGGCTATAAAAAGTAAAATGTGGTATCCCTTGGCCCCGATCCTGAAACATTCAAGACTTGATATCATGACCCTGTTTGTCCTGAGCCTTTCAAAGTACTCCAAAAAATAATAAACGAGAGCCCCCTGCCTCCCATAAAAAAACTCCACCAGATGAACTCCAACGCTGATACCCAAGGAATTGTGTGACCAAATGATCGCTTCAACCGCTGCGTCCGTAGGCTTATACATAAATGAGAAGAAATAGCAAGAGCCGTGTAGGGTCATTAGTAGCTGAAGTCGACGTGACCAATCTGCGAGACTGCCTTGTTCTCGTCTGCATTGGATGAGTTGACGCCGGTCACGGAGCTACTCGACGCCGTGTCCGACTGATGTGTCGTCGTTGGCTCCAGCTCCTGCTCTTGCGACGGCACCCCGCTGTCGCTGTAGCCCAGGTCGCGCATCTCCTGGAAGCTCCAACTCGGCTCGAAGTGTTCGCTCTTCCACGCGAACGCCACCCGTTCGTACATCTCGTCGATTTGTTCGAGGCTGATCTTGCTCGTCTCATAGACCATGGCCCAGACAAAGACGGCCGCGACGGCACAGAAGGCTCCCCATACGAAGAATACCCGGGTGCCCATGTCGGCGTAGCCCGCACCCTCCTCTACCATATATGGAGTTCCGTAGGAAATACCAAAGTTCAGGAGCCAATTCGAGGCCGTGGATATTGACATGGATTTGGCCCTCACTTTCAAGGGGTATATTTCGGATGTGATGACCCAGGCCACGGGTCCCCACGAGGCGGCGAAGAAGAATATGTCGATGCAGACAAAGATGATGAGGATTTGGTTGGCGGTCGTGGGCATCGACTTCCCGACGGCTGCGGAAAAGCTGGCAATGAGTAGCTGACAGATGGCCATGGCAACAGCGCCGTATATCAGGACCTTTCTGCGACCCCATGCTTCGATGATGAACAGGGCCGGGATCGTGGATATGGTGTTGACGATGTTGATAATCAAGGAGATGAGGAACGCGTTCCCAATGCCGGCGCCGACGAAGAAGGTTGTTCCGTAGTACATGATGAAGTTGACACCTGTCAATTGTTGAAGCATCTGAAGCCCGCAGCCGGTGAGCGTTCGTCGTCCCAGATGCGGCGTGCCGAAGATGACATCCTTATATGTAGCAGGTCCCAGGGCCAACTCGTATTCGTGGTTGGCCTCGATCTCTGCCAATTCCTCCAGTAGTGCGGGATGCAGCCTATCCAGCCGTCGCAGGCGACTGAGAGAGATGGCGGCGGCGTCTTTCAGTCCTCGCTTAATAAGGTACCGAGGTGTTTCGGGGAGGATGAGGAGACCAAGTGACAGAACGACTGCCCAGGTGAACTGCAGGCCGAGCGGGATCTGATATGCAGCAGCACCCTTCATGTCGGCTGTGAGTATGTTGACAATGGATGCTGTGAGTAATCCAATAGTGATGGAGAGTTGGTAAAAGCAGACCAAGGTTCCTCGTATCCATTTGGGGGCCATCTCAGCCTGGTAGATGGGGACGAGCACGGAAATAGTACCAACACCAACGCCGGCAAAGAATCTATGTCACATCAGCTGGCTGCCAGATACAAATAGTACAACGGGTAGGTCTTGTAGTCCCGCAGAAGCCAGAATCCCCACATACCTTCCTACCACAAGCATGGGAATAGCCTGGGCGCAGACCTGGAAGATGACGCCGAAGTTGAAGGCAGTGACAGCGCCGATCAGAGACTTGCGCCGGCCCCAGAAGTCACCGACGGGGGCCGCGATCAGAGCACCGACGACGGTGCCAGCACTCAGGATGGCGACAATGATTGCTGTCTCGCTCGGGGAGATGGAGGGAGAGCCGTTACGGGAATAGCCGGTGGAGAATTGTTCCTTGAAAGCGTTCATGGCGAGGATGCCGTTGATGGTGCTAGACATTGTTAGATCAGGTCAGTAACCAAGGCGGGTGGTAGTCAGCGCAGGACCAAGATTCCTCACCCCGTGTCGTATCCGAACAGCAGGCCTCCGGAGGCGACGAAGATGCCGATCATGATTGCGGGAGCGGACGACCCGGCTACATTGTCTGGCTTTCGCCAGCCCATGGCAAAGGCCATGGCGGATGGAATGTGGCCTTCAAGCCAGGATGGGAGCGTTTAAGCCGTCGAGGATGGAAATAAAGAGTCGCTTGTAGAGTCGACGCCGAGGATTGCGGTCGATCATTTGCGAGGGATCGAGGCGCAAGGCGGCAGGCGGTGGAGAGCAGATGGCGATCGATGATGTCGGGCTGAGCAGCGGGATTGGAAGGAGGCGAGAAGGGACGAGGTCACGGTTGGTAGTTTGAGGGTCGCAGCAGTGGGGACGGTGGACAGTGCCAAGGGCTGCTGCTGTGCTGCTCTGCTGATGCGGCGCTGAAGTGGTGCTGCTTGTTGCCAGAGTCTGGGAGAGGTCGGAATCGGGAGTGGGCGGAGAGAGACGGAGGCGGAGACGGAGACGTAGTGGTAGTGAGCGGTAGTGGTAGTAGTAGTAGTAGTAGTAGTAGTAAGGGTAGAGTCAGATGGAGAGGAGGATGGAAAATGGAGACTAAAGACTGCAGATGGAGACGAGCGAATGCGACGAATAGGGACGAGGGTGGTCTGGGGAACAGCAGGAGCGGAACTGGGCGTGCACGCTCTGGCAGTCTGGCACACACAACTAGTGTCCTGTCTAGCGTGCTGCACAGTCTGTTAGTTAGAGCATGGAGCATGGGTGTGGTGTGTGGGAGAGGCTTGTGGATGGGGGGGGGGGAGGAAGGAGGGGAGTGGGGACCATCAGCTGGTGGTCCGCCTGGGGGGAGCGTTGTGTGATTGGCCTCTAGGGGCCTGGAGGCGGAGGTGATTGGGGGAAAGCAGGGGAGCGCGATGAGGAAAATGGAAGATGGGGGGGCTAAGACATTTCGGGGACTTGGGTCCTGGGCTGGCTGGCTGGATGGGCTGGCCTGGGGCCTGGGCTGATGATGAGCTGCGGGAGCGTCGAGTTGGAATTAGACGGGCCTGGGTACGGAGTACGGAGCACATAGCTGTACACACACCCGAGTGTCCAGGTACCTACCTGCCTGCCTGCCTGGGCGTGTGGCCCCCGTCCCAGTGCCAGTGTCTTGTCTTTGTCTGGGCTCATCTCCAATGCCAACAACAGCAACAGCTGCATGAGCACGAGGCCCAGGACCCGGAATACCAAGGGCCCAAGACAAGTCCCAAGCAAAAGGCAAGCCTCGTCCCACCACAAATGCTCGTCCCGGCCAGCACATGAACGGTGAGCGCGCTCGTCTAGTCGCAACTTGCAAGCCGTGTCTAACCAAGGCCTTTCCTGATTGGCGTCGACAGAAATAGGCCCAAGCAGCTCGGACACCACGCTCCCAAACCCGGCTGTCGGTCTACCAGATACTACACACGCCTCTGGCTCTGGCTGTCTTGTTGTCTTGATGGAGGAATTAACCTCTGGGCCTGTCGCTGTCGGACAAGCCTGACAAGCACGGGCTGGCCACAAGACAGGCGGGCGGCGGTGGCATTGGACGGCCTTGCTGCATCACCTGCCATGCGGCCATGCAGCCATGCGGCCAGGGACCTGGACGGCGATCCCACACCCATGATTTAGTGGGTAAAATCACCGCAGCACCGCGCCCGTTTTCCTTTTTTTTTGTAGCATCTGGCTGACTCTCTGTTCGGCTGAGGCGCATTCCGACACTCAGTCCACTGCCTCTGTGGCACAGACAGACAATCTCAAGCCCCCCAAGACCTGGTCGAGCACGCAAGACAGGGACTCCGAAACCCCGTCATTGGGAACCCTCCCGGCCGTTGATCGGTGTCAATAAACTTCGACAGAGTCTTGTTCTGTGGGGCCCCTCAGTCCTGACAGCCTGGTACCTGCCCCAATCCCGCCGTCCCGATGGATTGCGGGGTCTCTGATGTGCGTGTGTGCGTGTGTGCGTTACGGTGCGCTGCCTCTTCCCTGCCCACTGTCGCACTGGGTGGTTGGCCGTGTGGCCGTCTTTTTAACTTTTCGATCCTTTCCCTGAACACCCCCCGGGCGAAGGATCGAAGCTCGACCGAGCCCAGACAACTTTGCATACGGCGTCCGGCACACGTACAAGCAAGCTATAGAGGAGGCAAAAGCCAGGCCGACGTCCTGCCTGGCCTTCAACCGTCCTGCCGTTGTCTCGCGAGAACTGGGCGGCTGCTATTCCCACTAGCAAGTACCAAGATTTGGTTCATCGCGCCGCTAAAAATGCGAATCCATCCAACCGTCCAGATACCTGGCCACGCACCTGGGACGCCCTGATTTGTTCAACGTCCTCGTGTGGCTCCTTCACGGAAAGGAATCGCGACAACAGGACAGCGACCTCGTTCAACTCGAGCAATCCGTTGCCTTTCCTCCTGCCCTACCTGTGCCACGTCCCCGGGAGCCTGCAGACAAGACGCCCCAGAGGCGCATCTGACATGATTCGATGCTGATGGTGGAATGAGTAATGACTTCTCGAAGAGGAATGGGGCCATGCGAATGTGCTCGGCTGCAGGCGCTTCCTGCACGCCTTTTGGTTCGCAGCCTTTGTTCGTGGCGTCCGGCTTCTCATCCTGCGCCATCACACGCCTACCACAGTACAGCAGGCACGGGCATGCCGGGAATCCTTTCTTGAACCCTCTGCTGCACCGGGCTGGCTCGACTCCCATCCGGCCTAGTGCACCACGCCTGCATCGGCACCTCAATCTCCAGCATGCTTGGACAGGCTACTATGTGCTTCGCTGCACTACCCCGTCCGAGCTTTTTCATCCTGCAGTGGCCGGCGGCGCCCCTTTTGGGAGCTAGTAAGTCGGCAGAGGTGGGCAACGATTATGTGCGCCGCGGAACAACGTGGTGCTAATAGACTTTGCTAAAGCCATGATGCTAGCACCGGCTTCCCTTGACCGCTTGAGGGGGTCGACTCGCCGTATACCAGGCGCGGCTCCTTCGGCAACGACCTCATTACCGTACTCGGACGCCTGCGAGGCCTGCCAGCTGCTGCCGGGCTTCATGGCCCGTCGCAGCTGGCCCGCTACCCTTGGTCTACCCGCTAGGCCTTGGCCGACCTCACTGTGGGCCTCCATCGTCTCTGGCAAACTTGTGGGCAAGGCTGAAGAGACCCGTCTGCCGTCGCGGCACTCGGGAGACTTCCTCTGCCCAGGTCGATCTGAGGCTGGCTGGCATCGATGGTCCGTCCTTCGGACAGGCTCTCGAGTCAGTCTTCTGGACCGAAACGTGCTTGCTCCCAAGCCATGACGCAACAGTACTGCGATCTTGCTCAAGGTTTGAATGTCTTCACCACAGGACCGCGGATGCTCGATGATGTCCTGGACGGCAAATTCCCGCGTGCATCAACTCGTTGTCGTCTCAGGTTTGTGTGTGTTGTGCTGGAACCTGCCTAATCGGTCCCAGGCGAACAGGGGTTGCACACCCGAAAGCGATTGAGCGAGGGCAAGTGGACTGACTATTTTCATGTGCTAGCAGCCTGGCAGATGACAGGTACAAACTCATGTGATTCTCCTGCCAGTGTACAAAAACGTGCAGATGCGGCTGGTAGTATCAGCTGAGGGCTCGTTGCAAAAGAGCATTCATATCAGAGCTATCATTTCGGCGAAGCACCCGCAGACCGGCACACCTGAATGGAAGTTGGACCGCGGACAGCCCCATCGCAGTCTCCTGGAGGAATTAATTCCACGTCGGACACGAACGATCCTTCAGTCGAGGTACATAAGCTGCTAGGGTCCAGCTGCTGGCGATGCGGGTGTGCGTATAAGGCCATATGTATAGAGACCTGTATGCGCGGTGTCCAATTCATGACACGAATAGGCTGCAAAGCCTTGAAGGACTCGGCGCGGGGCAAGCAAGACAATGCGACTTTCCAAGCAGCAGAATTTACCCTCCTTCTCCACGTGAACTACACAGGAAAGCAGTTGAAGGGTATTGGGTGGGGGGCAACGCGTCGTGCGACGTCCTTATCCCCCATCCCGTCTGTACAATGGCGAATCTATACCAACCCACCTCAGCTCGGGGGACTGCATGCTGCGGGTCTCACTTAAATCACGACCTCAAAATGCACATCTCGCTTACCGTGCATTCATCAGTATCTTCCCCCAGAAGGCTGGCCACTCGGAGGCGTGTCAGCATCTTCCCACCTAGTCTACATCCTACCAGGACCAGAGCCATTGCCTCCTTCCCCGGACTAGAGTCACCCCCCACCGGGGAGATACTGTAGCAAGTTGGGGGCGTACAGATTCATCCGTGGACTCGAATCCGGTCTGCCTGCCTGCCTGCCTGCCTGCCTGCCTGCCTGCCACGTTGCCTCTGCACTACGAGGAGTCGAAATACAGTGGAAAAAGCAGAGAAAAAGAAAGCCAGAGAAATACTGTGTTGCACGCACACTCACTTACTCACCCACACCAGCCGCACTCGGCTGTGCCCTATGGAAATTAAACGAGCCAGCTGAGACATGCAGGTCGCATGGTGGGATTTGCCATGCCATGCCCATGCTAATGCCCATGCCCCACGCCTATGCCCATTGTGTCTATCTACCTATGCACGAAGCCTACAGAGGTCAAGTCCTCCACGGCCCGCACCGATTTCTAACGATTGCCTCGGTTCTGGTGGATGGGCAACCGCCGCCCGTGCAGACATACCCGTGAAAAAAGAAACGAAAAAAAGGCCCCCGCCGTGGCCGTGTCATAATGGCTCATCCAACATTTCAGTGTGTATGTATGTATTTATGTGTGTGTGCCGTGCAAGAGTGAGCAGCCAGCCAACCAGTCACCTCTGCCCACTTTGCCGCCCACCCACGTGTGAGTACAGTAAGCACTGTTCGGAATGTGACCTGGCCCACCAGGTGGCATCGCGATAACCCACCCGGGCGTCTCGGTGATGGGATTCCGGGTTGTGTGCCTGAGTGGTGAGACCAGTCGGGAATTTCGAGAGAGAGACGGCGGATATCCGCCCGGAATCCTCCAGATGTCCTCGTTTGTTGTAGTGTAGTGTAGACATCGGGAGTAGACAGACAGCCGGGGCTACGTCGCCCTCTCAGCTGCAATGGTCGCGGAGGTGAGACAGAGACACATCGTGCTCGATTATCCTCTGGGTTTACCGGCGTCAGCGGCAATGCTGCTGGCACATACGCAAAGCACTTGGGTGTTGGAGATGCATATAGTATGTGAACACAGCGGCTATACAACAGATATATAACACTAAGAAAAGACCCCTTGGTCCTTCAGCCTAGATCGAACATATTTTTGGTTTGGTCGAAACATTCCGTCGCACATTCACTCGTCATTCAGATACGGGCTACGCCACTTCGTGGTACCCAAAAGTTCCCTGCATGCGCCCTTCTTGCACACCGCCAATGCTGGTCTACTTGCACATGCGTGCGTACGCACCGTTTCCTCTCACGTCTGGAGGCCGGCAGTATAATCGCCTCAGCTGATTCCCCTTGTCCCCCACACTCTCATGAGTCGATTGGTAATGCAGTGACTAATTTGTTTCTTTTCATAAACCACCGAGGCTGATATTTATAGCTCTAGGCTCGGTGTCTGCCCCTTCACCCTGCCGATGACCTGCTGTGGTGCGTACTTAGGGATGACCTCGTCGTCGTGCAGCATCTCGAACTCCTCCGTGGCGTCACGTCCCATGAAGTTCATGATGGCCTGAGGGCCGCCGGGGTGCTCATCGAGCCAGTTGGTGAGGTCCATGACGACACCCTTCACGACAACCCACAGGTCGTCCTTCTTGTTGTGCTTGGCGACCTCCTCCATCGTGAACTCCTTCTCAGGAATCTTGAATTCCTTGGGGTTGTTGGGCTTGGAAGCAGCCTTGCCTGATTCAGCCTGGGGTGAAGGCCCCGTGGCAGAAGTGCTGGGCTGCGAGGTCAGGGCCCCGGAGGAAGCGCCGCCGGAACCCCAGTCGAGAGTGACCTTGCCAGCGGCAGGGTCCAGGTGGAGGGAGATCTGGCCCAGACGAGCGCCGGGGCCGCCTCCTGCTGCGCCCTTGAGAGCCTGTTGGAAGAGGTAGTTGCTTGCGGTGTCGCCAGCTACACGGCCGTATACGACACATCCGAGAAGGGAAGAGCCGCCCAGTCGGTTGGCGCCGTGGACACCACCGGCAAGCTCACCACATGCAAAGAGACCATCGAAAGGCTTCTGCTCCGAGTTGAGCACCTGGGCCTTGTCGTTGATCTCGATACCACCCATGGTGAAGTGCAGGACGGGCTCCATCAGGGCAACGTGGAAGTCATCGTTGATGTCCACGGGGCCGTTGTGGAAGAACTTCTTGCCCCAGGGGTCCTTCTGCTTGCCGTCTGCAATGGCGTTGTATGTTGTAAAGGTCTTTTGCAGGTGGTCTGGAGAGCAGCCAATCTCCTTGGCCAGCTCCTTTCCGGTCATCTTCTTCATCAGACCACGGCCAGAGTAGTGGCGAGTGTGGAAGTCCAGCACATTGGATGCCTTGGAGTTGAGGATGAGGCGGATAGGGAACTTGCCCTTATCCTTTTCCTTCCACATCATGCCGGAGACGTAGTCTCTGTGACCAAGCTCGTCACAGAAACGGTCTCCGTCACCGTTGATCAGGAGACCACCCTCTCCACGCAGAGCCTCGGCAGCGAGGAACTTCCACTTGGAGCCGGGGTCCTTGGGGTCAACGAGACCAGTAGGGTGCACCTGAACCTTGTCCATGTCGATGCCGTTTCCACCGATGGCCATGACCATCTTCTGACCGTCACCGGTGGCGTGGGTGCCGTTGGTGGTGGCAAGACCGTATGTGTCTGGCCTGTGCTTCTTCAGCAACGAAGTCTCACTGAAGTCAGCGGCGTAACCACCGGTCGCAAGCACGACGGGGCCATCCAAGGACTGTTCCTCGCCGTTGAGCTCAAACTTCACACCAGTGACAGTGTTCCCATCCTTGTTGAGGCTTGTAACGCGGGCCTTCTTGATGATCTCTACCCTGTCAGGCTCGGTCTCGGCAAGCTCCTCAAGTCTCTGCATGAGGGCGTATGTGATGGCCATGCCGGGGAATTTTGCGTCGTGACCGCGATGTGTTCGTGGCTGGGAGTGACCACTGCGGAAAGCAAAGTTAGAGGATTTGGGGTTGTCATGTGGTGGGCAGGAGCGAGTGAACTTACCCTAACCGCGAAACGAGAGTCAGGTCAAGGTTGAAGACATCCTGCAGCCACTCGACGGCAGCCGCGGACTTGTAGGTCAGGACCTTGATCAGGTCCGGCCTTGCCTTGTCTCTGGCAGACTTAAGTGTGTCATCGTAAAACTGCTTGACGCTGTCTTGAATCTTGGTGTCGACCTGCGTCCTGGTCAAGGCACCGTTGATGCCGGAGGTGGCCTTGGTCGAGTTGCCTCCGAAGAAGCCTGCCGAGGATCGTGTCAGAACAGATCATGCGACAATGCGAACTGCGAGCCACAGAAATGACTTACCCTGCTTGTCAAGAACGACAACATTTCCACCGGCGAGGTAAATGGTATGCGCAGCGCTCAGCCCGGACACTGTGGTGATCTCTGTCAGCTCGAGTCACAAACTGGCTGTGGTGGTGATGATGATGACAAGTGAGCTGAGAGTGGCATGTGATCGAGGCTCGGGCCCGACTCAGCCGAGGGGAGAGAGGGACGACTTACAGCCGCCGCCTACAACGATGACTCTTGGTGCCATTGTGAGAGGTCCTTCTAGATTGTTTGATGGGTAGAGGAACAAAGAAGACGCCGAAGATGGGAGGAAACGGGAGGAGGGTAGAAGGGGAATAGAAGATGTTGAAGGAGAGAAGTAGGGAGGATTGGAATGCGCCAGGTTGATATGGCAGTCAACGGCTTGAGCACCGGCTGTTGCTTGGTTGGGTCTTACCCCAGACTTGCCAGGTTCCATTGGGGGGAGGGTAGCACTAAGCCGATTTGCTGCCCTTCTGATTCGTGAGCCGAGGTCAAAAAGTCTAGCAGGGATGCCACCTCCCAGAATTACAGACCGTGGGGAGGCGAGGAGGCACGCAAACAACACGCAGGACCGGGCACCAGTCGGCAGCTCCTTTGTCCCAACCCGGGCATTTTTTTTGGCCCATCTTCGAGATTCTCATCGTCACTGAGGCCATCAAAAGTCTGCAGACTGAGCTTCACGATGCAGTTCCCTGGGAGGACAGCCTCGACCTCGGCGACGAGGCCGACACTTTAGGCAATCGGCGGCGAAAGTGACCGAGGATGCTCGCTGGCCCGCTGCCTTGGAGCTGGTTGTCGGGGAAATTGTGCCGAGGTGTTCAACTCCTGGCTGGCCTGGCTCGACGGCTGACCAAAATACGCCAGGATCCCAGACCCCGGGGTCTCGTCCGAGTGTGGGGAACCCTCGTTCGATCTGCCTCCGCGAGCGGAGCCCACTCGCCCACGAGGCCTGGAGGGTCGCCATGAAAGCCGAATGGGGGCACCCGCGAAGGAGAGGGTCCTCGAGCGGGCGGCACAATGGACCAACTCGCCCCGAGAACTCGCCCCGAGACGCTGGCTTCAGTCCGTCGGGCGCCTCTGCACCTGGGGCAAACTTCGACCACAGACAGAGACTGCCGTGGGAATGAAACATAGCCTGGTGGCCAATCTCGAGTCAATTGCGTCTTCCATTACACTATTTGGGGCCGGCGCACTGGGCAGTCGGCAGCACAGGCTGTCGGGCAGTCGGCGGCCAGCATGGTCACGCGTTCGAGGTTGCAGAATTGCGCTCGCTCGTTCTCTCTGTCACATGCGAAACACACCGAATGAACCCCTACTTTCGACCGCCGCACAACACAACACGACAATTCCAGGTTCCTAGCGAAACGGCTACGCAGCTTCCAGGGCAGCGCCAGGGTGGTCATCTGACAACCCCAGACTGACCCCGTGGGAAAGCCTAATGCAATGCACTCTGGCTGGCAGGCATGTGAAAATGGCCTGGCCTTGTCTGTCGTCCAAGGCTGGTCTTCAGCCTTCCGCGCCCACCGAATGCCTGTGCTTTCCGTTCCACGTGTGATCACATGGATGACCAGACACAGAGCCTGAGAGGACAGAGTTCCAGGTTCATGTCAAGCATACGAGGATGGTCGAGTCGGGGAACAACCCTGGTAGACGTCCTCAGAGTCTCGCACCTGGGCCTTGTGCCGTGTCTACCACCAACATCAAAGAAAAGGGGAATGAACCAGCCCCTTTGACCTACATACCTAGGGTTAGGGCTCATATCTCCTCTTATCAGTCCCTCGAGGGACCAACCACTACGTCATCAACCCATCGCAGGTTCGGCAGTACGTTACGCACCAGCTCATGCATCTGGAGTCCTTCCTGGCGCACACTGGTAGAGCGTCGAACAGAATAAGAAGACACAGATAACCAGAAGAAGCTTCACTCAAACCATGAGGCCCACCCAAGTCGCCCTTCTGCTGTCATCCGCCGCCGTCGCCCAGTCACTGATGCCCATCTCCGTTTCGCTCCACAATCGGGGCCGTGGCGGCAGAGCGATCCCGCCAGCCATCAGCGCCGAAGAGGTCCAACGACCCATCATGGACGGCCCAGGCCCAGCATTTCCCCCTGGCGCCTCACAACCCGAGCCAAGTGGCCCTCAGGACCCTCCCGCTGGGGGACCGGGCACTGTGATCTTGTCAGACGTGATGGGAAAAGATCGAAGTATAAATGTATTCGCGAGCCTCATTCGCGACGTCGACTCCCTGTCGCGCCGACTCGACGACTCGTCACAGAACTCGACCGTCCTCGCACCGCTGAACTCGGCCATGGATAAGCTGCCGCGTAAACCCTGGGAAGACCCAGAAGACTACGACAAGCTGGGTGCTGATGCGTACGAGGGTGATGATGGGAGGGGCCGGGCGCTGAATAACATCAAGAGATTCGTTGAGGCGCACATCGTGCCCGAAAGCCCATGGAAAGAGGGCGTCAGGGCCAAAACCCTGGGCAGCGACAGCACCGAGATATGGTGGGAAGAAAAGGATGGCAATAAGATGGTGCGGTCCCTGTGCGCTCTGGTGTTTTCCTCTGCGTGCTCGACTAACGCTGCGTGGCAGATTCAACCGGGGAATATCGAGGTTTCCTCTGTGGCAAGCTCCGTCTCAAATGGTGAAGTTGTAAGTGGCAGCCAAACCCTTCCCCTAATGCACCTTGTACGAGGAAAGCCCCGTTGACCCCATGCTCGCGACAGTGGATACTGAAGGGTGCTCGGAATTATTCGTAATTTGCCACGCCGCAGGACCGGTTGGAAAATTCAGAGTTGGGCCACTGAAGCATTCAAGGCTTCGAGATGGAGTATGCGATGCCGCGACAAGCACGAGTGTGACGGTCTTGCAGCGGTGACTTCGTAAACCGCGCCTCTCTGACGGTGCACTAGTGCAAGCCGGTGCAAGTCACACTCTTCTTTATGGCAGACCACAGCATATATATACCCTACAGTGCAGTTGCCGGACAAAGAATACATACACAATATACTACTTACACCATATCAGCACAAACTGCATGATGACTTGTGATGACTTGTTGCGTCATGCCCTCTCCAAATACGGCCCAGGGAGCAGTTCGCAGCTTCCCGCTGCGCAAACGACTCGAGGAGCCCGTAGCGGGAGTGACGCGTTTTTTTCTCTTTGATGGAAATCTGCTGCAGCCCCTGATTTGGGCAAGTGGTTGGTCCCGCGGCAGGCAAAAAGACGGAACGTCACTGCTAAGAGCCACGAAGGGAAGTGGAGTCAGCTAGAGAGCTCGAGTGGCGCTAACAGTCACGCCAGAGAATGACCTGCCACTCCAGTTATCGAGCCTTGTGGTCCCTACCACGCTTATCTACACGTGAACACTCTTCGCCCAAAACCAATGTTACTGCCAGTCGCTCGATAACGACCCCGGGACCGCTGTCGCATTGCCCTGCTCTAAGGTTCTCTTGGTCGCCAATCCCAGCTCGCTTCGGTCATTGTCGTGGTGTCGGGCGATCTGACCTCCAAATCCTCCCCTTCAGAGCTTGCAAATCGTGATCTACACAACTCCCCTCACGCCAGAGCTGTTCTTTTCCTACCCTCGAGAGGTCACCCTCGGCAAATGTATCTTATCTTTCTTCAGCTCAAATGCTCACGAATGACAGTAAGTGACGAGCCTCTTCCGGTCCGATCGTCTGCTGGAGCTCCAGCTCGGGCAAGCCCTTTCTCGAGAGACACTGTCGGCTTCGGCTTTGTCACTCGTGCGCACAACTCGATGCACCTGGTTCCTCGCTCCTTGTGTTGTTGTTTTTTGCCCGTCTTTCGCCCCTCAACTTCTCTGATTCTGACGTGCTGCAGTCACTCTGAGGTATAGAACGTGAGCTGTGGCCCCGAGTCCATTCTCCCCTGAAAGCCTCCGCCGGCACTTGCCCCACAATATGGACGAGCAACGGCACCGCAACCCTCTCCTCGAGCAGGACGAGAGGATCCGCGAACGAGAGAGGGAACGCGAAAGAGAAAGAGAAAGAGAGCAGAGGGAACGCGAAAGCGACCGCGCAAATCGAGAACCATACCCGCCGAGCGCGCCTCACCACAGCAATGCCGGCTCCATCCCAATCCACCAGCCTGTCGCGAACCGATTTCCCGGCACAATACACAGCCCGGGTGGCCTGTTGGCCAACCACGGTGCCAACCCAACAAGCGTGCCACTTGGCGCGCCCTCTGGGCCAGGAGGGCCTCCAGGAGGCGTCCACGGCGACTCCAACAGTAGGCAGCTTCCTCACGGCGTCCAGAATGGCGCTGCCCCGTCGCAGCATCAGATGTTCGCCCCGGCACCACATGGTCCCATGCCGCCCAACGGGCCCTCCGGAAGTGCTGCGACCATGTTCGGGCCTCCCCTCCAGCCGGAAGGCGGTAGGGGTGCCGCGCAACACGTGCCTTTCAGTGCCGGTATGGCGCCTGGTCATGCATTGGCCCCCGTCTCGGGCAACATGAACCAGGGTCAGCAGCCCATACTCAATGTGAGATACTACCGCAGTTCCGAAGATGCAGACCGAGGTCGGGAGCAAATGCTTCCTCGGGACACCCATGCTGATGCCCGTTTCCAACAGGATGCTCTCAGCTACCTTGACCAGGTCAAAGTTCAGTTCTCGGAGCAGCCAGACGTGTATAATAGGTTCCTCGATATCATGAAGGACTTCAAGAGCCAGACGTGAGTGGCAGCTCTGCCCCTGTCTTCTGAAATGTTGCAAGTAGCTGAGAGGTGGCAGGATCGACACACCGGGTGTGATAAGTCGCGTCTCCGAACTGTTCGCCGGCCATCCCAACTTGATTCAAGGCTTTAACACATTCCTCCCACCGGGATACCGGATCGAATGCGGGTTGGAGAACAACCCGAACAGCATCAGGGTAACGACGCCGTCGGGCACCACCCTCCATTCGATTGGCCCTGGCAGGTCGGTGCAGATAGAGTCGGGTCCACCACCGTCTTCTGCCCCCAGGGAGCGCTTCGCGGACCAGCGCCCACCCAACTGGCAAGGCCCAGTGCAGCACAGCATCGAAAGCCCAGAAGTCCAGTTCAGCACACCCGCTCAGAGTGGCCACGGTCCCATCCCCCACGGATCAGGCCAGAGTGCGCCTTTCGATTCCCACAGCCCTGTGCAGCAGCGAGGCCAGCCTCCACCACAGGCGACCTCGGCAACCTCTCACCCCCCTGTTGCTCGAAATGCGCTCACTCCAACCCCAGCTGCTGTTCAGGCGTTGAATGGGGCTGCTGCACAATCGCAGGCCAACATAGAGAAGCGAGGCCCGGTCGAGTTTAATCATGCTATAAGTTATGTGAATAAGATCAAGGTAAGCTAGTCCATTGTAGCTCGCTTAGCGGTCGATTATTTCCTCGGGTTTTGCCCATTGTGAGCAACTAGGCGGGCCATAAAATGGAGGGCCCGATTACTGGCAGCCCTTGCCTTTTGCTTATTTAACCAGGACGAAAAAGCGTCTAACCAAGAGCTCTGTCACAGAACCGCTTCCAAGATAAACCCGAGATTTACAAGCAGTTCTTGGAGATTCTGCAGACGTACCAGCGCGAGCAGAAGCCAATCCAGGACGTTTACGCCCAAGTCACCACACTGTTCAACGCTGCCCCAGACCTCCTCGAAGACTTCAAGCAATTCCTGCCAGAGTCGGCTGCGCAGACGAGGGGAGCTGCCCAACGCGCCGAGGAGTTCACCGCCATGACCAATATGGCCTCGACGCCCCAGCCTGGGCACACGGCTCGAGATGGGCCCAAGGGCCCGCCGGTCGGCACCTTTGCACCCCCAGCCAGCACGAGCAAGGAGAGCAAGAAACGCGCCCGACCAGACAAGCAGGCTGGTCCCCCTACGTCAGCGCCCGTCGATCCACCGACGTCCAACATGCGAGGAGCGCCCGCATCGGCAAGCAACAAGAGATTGAAGACCAACCACCCCAAGCCGGGCGTTGCTGAGGGTGTTGAGCCCAACCTTACGCCCTGCATGCCGGTGCCTCTGGCGCCCACTTCCCCTGCTACCTCTGGCGATCTCGAGATAGCCTTCTTCGACAAGGCCAAAAAGTTCATCAACAACAAGACGGCGTTCTCCGAGTTTCTCAAGCTTTGCAACATGTTCACCCAGGAGCTTCTCGACAAGGATGACCTCATTGCTAAGGCGTCACAATTCATTGGCGGCCACGCTGAGCTCTTTGGCTGGTTCAAGGAGTTTGTATCCTTTAGTGGAGAGGACCATATCATTGAACAGCGCCCCGAGCCTGCAACTGGCCGCGTGTCTTTGAGCAATTGCCGCAGTTACGGGCCAAGCTATCGCCTGCTTCCCAAGAGAGAGAGGCTCAAGCCGTGTAGCGGCCGCGACGAGCTTTGCAACTCGGTCTTGAATGACGAATGGGCGTCTCACCCTACGTGGGCTTCCGAGGACTCTGGCTTCGTCGCCCATAGGAAGAACGCATTCGAGGAGGGTCTCCACCGGATAGAGGAAGAACGCCACGACTACGACTTCTACATTGAGGCCAACCAGAAGTGCATCCAACTCTTAGAGCCCATCGCGCAGCAGATGTTGACGCTGACACCCAACGATCGAGCCAATTTCAGGATGCCCACGGGCCTCGGTGGTCATAGCCAATCCATCTACAAACGAGTCCTGAAGAAAGTGTACGGTCCAGAGCATGGCCCACAGGCTGTCAACGACATGTTTTCCAACCCATTCAGCGTTGTGCCGGTGGTGCTAGCCCGACTGAAGCAGAAGGACGAAGAGTGGAGATTTTCTCAGCGCGAGTGGGAACGGGTTTGGCAGACGCAGACTGAGACCATATACCTCAGGTCGCTCGACCACATGGGCCTGTCTATCAGGAATAACGACAAGCGCACCTACTCGGCCAAACACCTCGTCGATGTCATCAAGACGAAACACGAAGAGCAGAAGCGGATGCGGTCTGCGAGACACAAGATCCCCCACTATCAGTTTCAATGGAACTTCGAAGACAAGGAGCTCATTCTGGATCTCCTCAGGCTTATGTTCCTGTATGCCATGAACAGTGGGCAGCATGGCGCCACCGAGAAGGAGCGCATTCTGGACTTCTTCGAGACCTTCATCCCCCAATTCTTTGACCTCCCAGAGGACAAGGTGCAGGAAAGACTTGCCAACATTGATAGGGACTCAGGCGACGAAGACGCCGAGGAGCTTCCTCCAACTGAGCTGACAAATGGGAGGTCGGGACGTCGTAACGGTCGCAAGTCTGATCTGCTACGCGGCGTTCTTGACCCTGGTCGCAACGGTAGCAAGCCGCGCACCCACAAGGAGGGCAGCGCAGCATCGGGAAGCAAGGAGACCACGCCCGACGTGGCCTCTGGCAATGAGGAAGAGATGCCTGATGCCCCCGAAGATGCCTCAGTGCCCGAGATTGGTGCCAACGATAGGTGGCTTGCCACCGCTCCTGTGCCCACGGTCGCATCCGGCGACAACTCTTTGCTTGACGAACAGGGTGACCTGAAGGCCGATGGCTCCTTTCCTCGGCCCTGGTTCAACTTCTTCTGTAACCAGACCATTTATGTCTTCTTCAGCATCCTACAGACGGTATACCAACGTCTGAAGGGTGTCAAGGACAACAAGGAAAGCGTACTCAACGAGATACGGCGTGAGAAGCTGGAGAAGCCGGCCAAGGTCCTGGGCCTGGTCCAGGATGACCTCAAGTTCTTCAGCGACCTTCCGGAGGACAAGTTCTGGAGCCGGACACTCGAGCTGATCGAGGATTTCATAAACAGCGACATCGACGAGAACCGCTATCAGGACGTCTTGCGGCATTACTACCTCAGCAATGGCTGGCAACTCTACACAATCCAAGACTTGCTCAAGACTCTTTGCCGCCTTGCCCTTGTCTGCAACAATACTGACAACAAGGACAAGACACCAGACCTGATCAAGCAATACATGCTCAGCCGACAGCATGACGAAACCAGTTACCAAGTCGAAATTAGCCACCGCAAGTTTGCTGAAAAGTGTATCAAGGACGGAGAGATGTTTGTCATCACCTGGGTAAGTGTCTTGCACCCACCAACTTGTCCAAACGCAATACCAACGTATCCACAGATCCCAGGCAAGAACGAGGCAACAGTTCGCTGGCTCCAGAAGGATGACACGACCTTCCACATGGATGAGATGGAGCTCAGAGACCGCTGGCAATACTACATCTCCTCATGGATGCGCACCGAGCCAACCGAAGGCGTGCCTAGGTCGCGCATGCAAAAGGTCGTGCTCACTCGCAACCTACCCTCAGGGGATGCCGACTCGGACGGCGATTACCAACCGAAGGCCATCTCTTACAGTGAGGGTCTGGTCCTGAAGATCTGCCTCAACACGTCCAAGATCAGCTACGCCAAGGGCACCTCCAACTACTTCATCTATAACATTGACGGAGGGTCTGCCGAGGAGCGCGAGGAGCGAGAGCAACGAAAGCAGCTCGTCAGGGAGGTTCGCAACCAGAAGTTCACCGAGAAGATGGCCATGAACAGCCCCTGGATGAAGAACCTCAGCCAGGAACAGGTTCAGCATGCCAAGGAGGCTTACGAGAAGTGGAAGACGGAGGGCATCGCACCCGCTCAGGACGACGAGTAACACGCTCCTGCTGTGAGTGCGGCGCGGTTGCGTTAACGACACGAGCTTTCGGTATGAATGCGTGCCAAGCCCACGCGCCTCGGGTCGGACCAACTCTTCTGAATCTTGGGCCCTCTGGCCCCCAGTAATTCATCACTATGATAAGAAAAGACAAAAAAAAAAAAGAATCCGTTCAAGTACCGACCAGGTGGATGATGACGAAACGAGCACTTGCATTATGGGGGGGAGTTGCAAGACACGACGATCTCGAATGGGGCGACGGGAATGGGGAGGGTCGTAGACACGATAGTGAGCAGTTCCAGCTTTGTTCCCTGCATCATGCACGAGAGACAGAGAGAGACAGAGAGAGACAGAGAGACAGAGAAAGGGAAGACATTTGGAGATCACGGCCGACTGATTGCTTGCTCGACTTACAGTACCTGTCAATTTTGGCCGTCCACATCATGATTGATTCCCTTGTGCCCGGTCGCAGCAGCCATGACTGCTAGTAGTGGCAGGGGGAAAGGGGGAGGAAAGGAGAGACACACACGCCTGTGGCCGCTCGACCGCTCGTCCCTTGAGGGGGGTAGAGGCATTGGTTTTCGGGAAGCTGTTTTCTGTACTGCTAAATAACGAGTAATAAATTCTCTCGTATGCAAACGTGGCCCCACTGACTTATCGTGGACTTCGCATGTGGACATAAATGCCGCGTTTGCAGTCGATATACTCCTCTTTCTCTTCTACGATATAGACATAATGGCGAAACGACCTCGAGGGGGGGCATCACGGCATGTCTGGACAAGAGGTTCGAGGCTGTTGCATGAAAGCCAGTAATCACATGATCTATGTTGGTATCTCTGTTCTATGAATGCTCTAAAAAGAAAACAACCCGCTCCTTCTTTTCCCAAAGGGGTAAACCAGTAACGCCGCCAGTCCAAGTCCTACCGAAATGCTGATTGCCACCTGAATAACGCTGAGAAGAACCGTAAATGCGCCTGTGTTGAGATCAGACGCTCCCATCGTCGAGGCTGCCGCCGTCTTGTTCCCTATGATTGCGTTCGCGCTGGTCACGCCGGCGACCAGAGATCCACCCGAAGCTAGGCCACTAGGCACCTGCACGAAGATCGCGGGCAGCATGGCCGCTGCTGCCAGACCATAGCCCACCTTGCGGGCCGTCGTCTCGGGGTCCTCGTTTGCCTTTGTAATGCCCTTCTCGACATCCTTGTTCACCTTTCGCAACTTCCATTCCAGCCACCAGTTCTCGGCTGGGCGGCTGACCCGAGAATATAGGTTCGCCAGCACGCCGATCGTCAGTGCTCCCAGGGTGTTGGAGATGGTAGACGAATCCAAATACTTGTTTGTATAGCTGTTGACGACGTATCCAGCAAAAGAAATCGTGACCATCACGGGAAGCTGCTTGTATTTTGCCTGGTTGATGACACACAGGCAAAGAGTGAAGAGCGGCACGAAAAGCAAGTTCCAATAGCTGTTGAGGGGCTTGGAACACTGCGTTGAGCTCACTGCGTTCTTGTCCATCAGACCGTAAAGGACTGCTCCGATGGTAACGCCGTAACCGAGGAACAGCGTGTATATCATGGCATAAACCATGCGAACGGAACCGGCGATCATGTTGTGGCTCTGAAGCTCAAGACTTCCGCAGAGGACCATGTATCCTGGAAGGATGAGTGCAATAGAAGCCTGTGAGAGAGCCGAGAAGCAGAACAGGTGCTCTCCGTTGTACTGGATTGAACCAAACATTCTTCCCAGGAAAGACATCAGTAAAGCCGCTGAGGTCTCGAATACATTGGCGTACAGCTCGCTGGATGGCGCCGCGATAAGCTGCATCAAGCCCACGATACAGCCCATTACTAGTTCAAGTCAGTCCATCAAATTTGAGAAGAGCATATATCACAGACGAAGGTAAGTTTGCTTTGAGAAGTTGGGCGCAGGGAGTTTCTTACCAAACGCGATAGGCATATCGATCCATCTGCCCTGGAAGGCAAAGGGAGCAACGCAAACAGCGGCCAACCCGTATGTCATTACACGGATCCACTTGTTGAACTTGGGCTTCCTGTTGACAACAGCATCCAACCGAGACATGGCCTCATCCACTCCTATGAGGTCATGGACAACCAGCTTGTAGATCTCGTGAACGTCTCGGAGCTTCCCCAAGTCCACGCCCTGCGGAACCCGGACAATCTTGACCTCAGTGGTGTGGGTGTGAGTGTCGTCGAATGAAATGATCATACAACCGGGGAGGTAGAGAAACTGTCCTTCAATGGCCAAAACCCTACAATCACGATTAGCCCTTGTCCATGGTCAGAAAATCAAAGAAAAGCTTGTGCTCACCTAGCCGACATGGCCATGTATGCCTCGAGCCTGTGGGTTGGCGCTCCAAACGCCATCAACGCCCGGCATAGCTTGACCATGTATTTGTGACGGCTGATGATCTCTGCGATGTGCTTCTTGATTTGTAGTTGTTCGAGCTTCTGCTGGGGTGTCTTGGAGGATTTCCGCTTGTGTTCCTTCTTTGGGCGTTGCTCACGCTCAATCCTCTCGCGCTTCAACTTGTCCGTCACGATCTCGGACCAGTCCTTGTTGGAAGTAGCTGGTGCTGCAAGCGTGGATGAGGATCCTATGAGCTCGGCAAGTGTGGACGCGGAATTGCGGGCTCCCAGGCCAAACAATCCGCTGCGTGGGCGCTCCGGCCGGGGTGTGCCAGGCGCAGTGCTTGGTGGTGAGCCGCGAGGCGTCCTGTTGGGAGTGCGGGAAGGGGTGGTTGTAGCGCTCCCTTCGCCGCTATGGTTCCGGTCCTCCTGGTTGTACAGCTTGAGCAAGGTCCCGAGGATACCACCGTGGTAGTTGGTCGGAGCAGGCGGAACAAACTCGAGGTCGTAGGCGACTGGTGTGGCTGTCCCTGATCGGATGTCATCTGGCTCCTGGTGGGCTTGTGCGAATCCCATCGTGGCGCCCCTGTTTGCGCGACGTTTCGTGTGACTTCGTACCAGCCTATCTGCGTCTGCCTCGACCTTCTGGCGGAATTTCAGTCCCGATTGATCCACATCTTCGTCTGGCTTCACTGCCCCGGTGGCCGCCGCATGGTCGTGCGTATCCGTTTGATTCAATAAGCTTACATTGTCGAAAGTTCCCGTGACGGGCGAGTCATCTGGTGATGCCCTCGAGACCACGCCAGAGACACTCTCGGCCAAGCGGCCAGCCCTGTGCCGTGCCTCGATCTCGGATGGATGAGATAGCCCCTCGACGGGCTCGGCGGGGTTTTCGGGGTAGTTGTGTTTCCGGAGCACAGGTTTTGGCAGCCGGAGGTTGGGAACTGACATGTTGGGCATCTGTGGGCCTGCGTGGTCCTCTGGTTTCAGGATCCTTTCCAGGGCGTTGGTGACCTCTTCCTTATCGAAGGAGTCTCTCCGGGCCGGGCTGGTTATGGCGGCATCTGGAATACCGGGTGTGCTGTTGCGAGAGTCGGGCACGGGGACATGCGAGAAGTAGTCGCCTTCGTCCGGAGGCGATCGATCCTCTGGGTTGCCCACCCAGCCCACCTTTTTCTTCTTTTCCCGCGGGGTGGTGACGGTGATGATTGGGCTGAGCTGGTTCCGGTATGCCTGGCTGGCGCTGGGCTGTCCGTCTCGAGCGGGAGAGGCCGGTCTTGAAGGAGAGGTGTTGGACGACATGGTGAGGTTGTGCCAGAGGCCAAGTGAGAGTAAACGAGATGACGATAACCCAAGGGAATGTCCCCAGAGGGACGTGCCCGAGGATCTGTCGAGAGTCGAGAGAGAAGGAAAAGGTGGTAATTCAGCAGATGTTGCGCTCCCGGAGTGCTATGTTTCACCACTGATCGTCCAAAGCCCAATGTCCCAGACTCCGGACGTAGGAATTGAGGTGGCACTCAGTGGCCAGTGAACCCAAAGGCGAGCACCACAGGGCAGATGACCCACTGGCGAAGGGCTTTGGCTAAGATTGTTGTCGAGGCCAATAAGAGATGATGAGACAAATGCACACAGAGGCTTAGAAGTCCCAAGCTGTGAAGATCCCTTGAATGTTCGAGGTGGGCGGTGGAGAGAGGGAGGACGGGGAGATTTATGGGTCGAATACAAGGCCGACCTGGCGCAAAAGGGGCAGTTGATACAATAATAGAAAACGACCGGACGGGATTGTGCGTTTCCTGGATGCTGTGTTCTCCAGGTGGGTGGATTTTGTGGTTGTACTGTGAACCGGGACGAGAACTGGGTCCTCTGATTGTCCGATTGTCTGGGGAAGAAGTCTGGATTCCGGGCGTAGTGTAAACAATAAATAATGGGTATGGCCAGTAAGGGGCAGGTACCCGGTCGGGGAGGAGGGCGGTCGATACGGAGTACAGCTGCTGGAAGGTGCAGGCGGGCAACGGAGCCGTGAGTGGGTGAATGGCTGGGTGAATGGGTGTATGTATAAACACGGGTGGGTGTATGGAGTAGTCAACGAATGTGTGTATCCGCAAAAGCAAGTGTGATAAGGGAAGGCGCTGTGGGCCAAGGTCGTCTTGGGTGTCGTCTTGCCAGGCTTGCCTGTGTGTGCCCGACGATCGTGGTCAGATCGCAGATGGGACTGGGAGGTGGGATGGGTGGATGTCGTTTTCGTTGACGAGCAGGAGGAGACAGGGCAGGGTGAGATAAATGACTGGCATTTTGTTTTGGCTGCTGCCCTGTTCTGCCTGTCTGCTTCAAACCGTCAGGAGGTAGGTAATGTGTACTGCAGTACTTGATTAGTCAATCAATCGCATGCCAGTGCTGCCGGGAGCCACGAGTTAGACCCAGTATCAGATCAAAAGTCAGTGCCAAATGTCATTGTGGGATAATCCAAGACTCGTTGCCATCTGCCCGCCTGCCCAGGTGCCTGAGTGCCCGTCTACAGCTTTCCAATTGTGGGTCCCAAAGGGCGGGAAGGAGACAAACCCCCCATCGAAAACGTCACCTCCACAAGACCAAGGAAGTCGCCGCCGTGTGGACCTCCTTCCTTCACTTGGCCTCTCGCCCTCCATCCGACCTTCACTACCGCGCTGCAGCTCCCTGCGTTGTTGCCCTGTGGTTGGTGGTGTGAGCTGGGACAGACCCATCAGCCCAAGAAAAGGACCCAAGAAACCATCTTCTCCCCCTGCTGCGCCGTGTCATGACATGGCGTGCAGTGGTTTTTCACTTGCGCCGCCGCCCGCCGCCTCGCCTCCTTGACTCCCGGTCAGCCAGTCCAGACGACCGGCCAGACCGTGAGACGCGCCGCCCGTGGGCTGTGTGGTTTGCTGTCGAGCCAGCGAGTCTGTTGTTAGTCTCGGAAAGTTGGGCCGAGTGGATCGCCGTAACAGCCTGAAAATTGGGTCGGAGCCTCCATTATGAATGAAAATCTGGCGATAGCCTAGGGGAGAGGCGACCTAGCGCTGCAGGCCCAGAGATATACGGCATGGATCGACCCTGCTTGGTTTCAAGCCACGCATCTTGACAGCGTGGGATGACTTGCCAGGGCCTCCGTGCCTTGTCAGCTTGTGTGTGTGTGGCCCCCAATGCCCAGGAGCGACGGCGAACAGGCCCTGGACTAACTAACGCGAACCGCTGCAGAACGGCAGAACGGCAGAACGGCCGAGGTCAAGAATAGCACGCACCGAGCTTGCCGATTCGATACGAGACAACGCCATGGTCGCCCAGCCTGCAACACTTCGGGCCGTAGATAACAGCGCAAGCACGGCCGCGTACCGGAATGTCACGGTTACACAGGTGGCTCCAACGTCGGAAGCTTCAACGAGTACAGAATACCTGCCCAACTGCCCAAGCAGACAGGCAGATAACACAACACTCGGCCGGAGATGGTTGGCTGCAGCCAGGCACCAGGCAGGGCCGTGTAAAATGGATCAACTCAGGGGCACATACATACGCAACGCACCCGATATCCAACTGGACGATCAGCGTGCCAGGAGTTTGCGCGCTCATTACTCTCGGCCCAGTATCGATTGGGTGCCAGAGCCACCACGGCGGCTGCAGGCTTGCACGGGGAGCAGGAATGTCACACATTACCGCCCATCCCGGCTCTGATGGAGATCGTCAGGGCCCAGTCAGCCCTTTCCTCCTACTTTCACATGCGAAACGAGACGACATCTCGCCAGAGAACCTTCCTATCTTCCCACGGGCCAAACCACAAAAACTCAAAAAAGAGTCAAGACCGCCTCGATTCCCCGGCACCGCTGATCCCTGGCCTTTAACTGGGTCTCGAGTCCATCTGGCCTGGACCCTGCCCCGACTCATGCTCGCCTCTCTTGTCCGGCGCCACGGGAGCAGACCCAGGATCTCGCAGTCTGACGGTCTGCAATTTGAGCCTCACGGCCGCGACGAACCAACCACCACTCCCTAATATCTCTGACACGAACGGACTGGCGGGTAAAATGTCTGCATCTCATGCGCGCCACCATGCACCTCAGGTTCCTGCAGTTCATTGCATGAGACGGAAACTACTGTAAGCGAGCTGCTGGCTGAGCTGTCGGTCCCACAATGCCGGCCGCCAACCTCACCCGACTTTACTACGCCAACACCACTGTAGTCATTCAGTCCACAGGCGCCCTGGGCATTACGCGACTGCATGCTGAACCTTGGAATACGACCACAATTATGACATAGGCCCATCCCCTAGCTATATGCGACGTGGCTCAGGAGCTTCGTCAACAACTAATCTGCACTGGCGTCGTCATTCGGCATCGTTGCTCAACAGAGTCAGCCATCACCAGTGCGCCCCTCCGTTTCGTCTGACACTTGGGCCGGCACGATTGGACGTGCAGATCTCATCATCTGTTTGGCGTTGCATCGGCATAATGAGCCCTACACGCCCGCCCGCCCACCCGCAGCGCCAGCAAGGCCCCTTGCCGTTAACCTTGCCCCTGCTCCTGGCCCTAGGCAAGTCCCAATGCGGTAACCCGCGAGGCTCACGCCTGAGTCCTGATATCGCGACATCTCTACGGTCTATTGACCGAACACCCCATTAATAGTGGAGTGGGAGAAGTATCCGTACGCACACGGTCGCCCGTATGTACCGGGTCTCCAAGAATAAAAATACGGCGAAGCCCCACCACCGCACGGGGAACTGGGCGCCTCGAGAAGTCCAGAACCGTCTGAACGGGGTCGCAGATCAGGCCCACAGGCAAGAAAGAGTCTGGGCCTGACGTCCGCAGAGAGGGTGAAACGAGAAGGCAAAACAATGAATGCAGTGCGCTCGAGAAGTCAAATTCGAATTACTCAGTCTAGGATACGGTATTTTTCGCGACAATGCCTCGAGCGAATTCGCCAAAGGTGATGTGCTGTTCACGGTCGACCTCCTCACCAAGGTTAGGCTGCGTGAAGACGGCCAGCGTGTTGCGCGCGATCCTGCTGCCGTGGCTGCCCGGCGCCGCTCGTGCACCCCTGACAAAGTGAGGCACGGCCTTGAACCTGCCGCCCGTGATACGCTCCAAGGCCTCGCCTGTCTGGAAAGCAATGCAGTCGCGAGGGATTTTGACCTGGACCGTCTCGCCCGTCCTGGACTTGATGTACAGCCCCGCGGCCGGGTCTGGCGACGCGGCAAGCTCCTCCAGCGGCTGCAGCGTCTCTGGGAGGGCGGGCTCGAACCCTGGCACGGCTGGGTCCGCCTTCGCCTCGTCCACAAACATGGCCGAGGTCAGGCCCGTCAGACACCCGTGGTCCAGGTGCGTCGCGCACCAGTCGTCCTCGTCGCCATCCGCGCTCCCCCCAGCAGCAGCGCCGTTTGCGGGGGCCGCCCCACCGTCAGACCCGGCTGGCTCGGGGAAGTAGTGCAGTAGCCTCGCCTTGGTGGTCATTGAGCCCGACACCATCCGCTGCAGGTAGGCGGTGGGATAGCCGGGTATCTCCTTCTCGGCGTACTTGTCGCACGCACCTGCCACCAAGACGGCCACGTCGATAATCAGCCGGCACAGCGACTCGACCGAGGCCTTCATGCCCGGCAGCACGGCCTCCTCAGGCCATATGTTTGGGCTCAGGTACTCGGGGAAGTTGTCCTCGGTGTACTCGCCGGTGGGCGGCGCGCAGGCCAGCTTGGGGTCGATGTAGAAGGCACAGTTGGCGTAGAAGGAGCCCTTGAGGTCGTCCACCTGGCCGTTTTTGAGCGTCTCCTTGCCGAGCGACCAGCCGGTCAGATACTTTGCCTTTTCATTCTCCAGCTTGTCTGTCCCAGGTGTCAGCTTGCTTCGCCTGATGTGTGACTTGTGTCCGCATGGTTCCTGTCACTTGCGCAGTTGTGTGATTGGGAACCCGCCCCAACAGAATGGTAGCGCCCGCGCTACCTGTTTCGTCTGCCATGGGTCTGTCTATGTATAACTGTCCCGCCTATCGGGCTCCCGCACCCGCTCAGCCCACCGCTCTATCACCCTCTCACTCTCAGATACACAAGCGAAAGTAACTCACTCACCTAGCTCAGACTTGGGCAAGTTGCCCAGATAAGACGAGTATGACAGTGCGCGACGTCGCAAATCGACAAACTCGGGTGGCACGTCCTTGACGAGGAGGATCCCCAGAGACTCCGGGCCGAATGCCTTCTGGAGCGTGTCGAAGGGCACGGAGCCTAGATATGGCGAAAAAGTGGACCAGATGAGTGACTGTGCCCCTCCCCCGCTTGGCGTGTACTATGCGGCGATGATCATTACGTACCTTTCTTGAGATCGTCCAGTGAGACGGTGACAGCTTGCGCGATAGGGGCCATGGTGACTGGGTGGGCGTGTTTTTGCTTCTTCTTCTTCTTCGCCGGGTGGCAAAAAGTTGTACGGAGGAGTTCCGAGCTGGGCGAGCTGGGCGAGGAGGAGACGACTACGGAGTAGGGGAAAAGGTCACGCAACCGATGCTCAGGCTTTGTGGAAGATGCCGCGAGAGAAGAGGAGCAGGTTTTTGCATAAAACCGGCCGTTATTAGATAGGATGTTATTAGTCTGAGTTGGCGTTGTTATGCGATCGGTCACCTTCCAGCTTGGGGTTCGGACAAGCCCACCTGACGAGCCCAGGCGGCCGGAGCCGACGCCGATTTCGAGCAGCAGCGGGTTTGGCAGGCCTCGGGAGGCAGACAACTACGGACACTATCAACCGACCGATGGCCATTCGACGTTGCATTCAGGCGCACGGATGGTGGGAGAGACGTGCTACTGACAGCTGCCCATTATGTAATCGCCCGATGCCCCGATGCGCCTGCCGTGTGTGCGATGCCGGCTGCCCCAAGCTTCTGGAGCTTGTTGCCCGTTGTGTTCTCGAACCGCACGCGGCTGCCATGGATCGCGAGTCGCGACACACACAAGCCTCGAGTGGGATCAGGACTCATCTGGAATCTGGATCCTTCCAAATTCGAAACCCACCTGCAGTTCCCGCACCTCGCCTATCCTAGCCTGGCTGCCCAACGCCCCACGCACGTTGCATCCGCTCATCTCACAATCGCTGTCGACCACGTTGTCGCGCGACTGATCCAGCCCGATCCGAGTATCGCATTCCCAGGCAGCGGGGCCCAAGGTTTAGAAGAAGAAAAAAAGGAACAAGGAGTAGAAGGGAGAGAGGATGGTCAAGCCGCTCACCTTCAAGGGTGACAAGAAGCCCAAGAAGAGGAAGCGGGAGCACAGGGACGACGGGGCTGCCGAGGGGGTCGACGACTCAGGCAAGCAAATTGCCAGCAGCAGCAGCAAGGCCGCCAAGGTAGCCGACGAGGACAATGTCGAGAACGACGACAGCTGGGTCTCGGCCGACAGCGTGGGCGACGTCTCGGGCCCGGTCATGTTCGTGCTGCCCACCGAACCGCTGACGGCCCTGGCGTGCGACGCCAACGGCAAGGTCTTCACGCTGCCCATCGAGAACGTTGTGGATGGCAACGCAGCCACGGCCGAGCCTCATGATGTGCGCATGGTTTGGGTGGCCAACAAGATCGCTGGCACGGAGAACCACAGGTTCAAGGGGAGCGCTGGGAAGTGAGTCTTGTCTGCCTACCCCCTCCTGCACGCCCACATTTTTCATCCACTGCCGAGAACCAAACCGCTAACCACCAAACCCCCCGACCATCAGGTTCCTCGGCTGCGACAAGTACGGGATCTTCAGCGCAACCTCGGAAGCCGTCTCCCCGCTCGAGTCCTTCACCCTGGTAGCCACGGCCGACACCCCGGGGACGTTCCAGGTCCAGACCCTGCGCGAGACCTACCTGACCGTGAAGCCCTCGACGTCGTCGCGCGCCAACGCGGCGCCCGAGGTGCGGGGCGACGCGGCCGACATGTCGTTCGACACGACGCTGCGGATCCGCATGCAGGCGCGGTTCAAGCCGCGGCTGCGGGCCAGCAAGGAGGAGAAGGCGCGCGAGAAGATCAGCCGCCGCGAGCTGGAGGAGGCCGCGGGCCGCAGGCTGGACGAGGACGAGGTCCGCCTGCTCAAGCGCGCGAGGCGCGAGGGGGACTACCACGAGAAGCTGCTGGATCTGAAGACCAAGAACAAGCATGACAAGTATGGTTGAGAGTGCGGGTTTGTGGGTTGCGATGGGTAGCGTGTCGGCTTGCGGATCCGCCCCATGGCATGCATATATATATGCATGCACCCTTTAAGTGGACCATGTCTTGTCTCTGGCCACGGAACCTGATGGCGGGCCATGCCTATTGCCCGGACGCCTATATACTCAGCAGCATCGGCCGGCACATATTTCGACGGTTGTCGTCGGGATATGGCAGAACCCAGGCTAGGCGACGGTGGTGGGAAATTAATTGCCTTGAGCATGAACCAACCGCACAGGTAGGGACAAGCCGCGACGCGAATTGGGGAGTCTTATGCGTTGAGACTGGAAGGCTGGCAGAGGGTCTGAGAGTCGGGGCCGATGCAATACGTGGTCTGCGCGGCCGGATGCAATTCTTGATTGGCTCTGTACAGCTGCGGCAGGATGATGGCCTAGGCCGATTGCCGGGCCTCATGATGAAGGCATGGGCATGTCATTGAGCATGATATAAGGCCATGAATGATATCAAATGCATTCACTGTATCCCTCATGTAAACCAACACCCTACTCATAATGCTGCGCTTATGGCTGTCTCTCTTATGCGGCGCTACGTCATCCGGCTCTACTTTGCCATCCTAGCAGCAATCATACGATACTCCTTGTGTGATCTAGCTTCGAACAATCATGTCTTTATAATTGTTTCACAAGGAGCAGGCAGACTCGTTGGGAATGGGCTGCCCAAATTTGAGCAGGTTTGCTGGTACAGCCCAGGCCGATAGTCTTCAGAGGACGATTGTTCTCGAATAATTTCCACCGAGATACATCTTGGGATTATCGCGAGCTAGGCCCTCTCTTAACCATGCCTCGAGCGGTCACTTAGGGCCTCCACGCAATGATCTGGCCGTCTTCGCCAGCAGTAAACACAGTCTGCTCCTGGTCGAAGACGCAGAAGCTCCGCACCAGCTCTGACCCATGCGCGCCTGGAAGCCCGACGCTCGTCTCGGCGCTGAAGCCCCAGCCCGGCGACTTGGCCATGTGGACGAGCTGGAAGAGTTGTTGGCTGTTTTTCCCGTGACGGTAATGTCAGCAACAGATACGAGGCAGGGGACATAGCCAGGGATGGAAATAAAAAGAGCACCACTCACTCCTGTGTGCCGGCACCAATGACAGCACCCATATCGCCCAGCTTGGGCGCTATGTTGGCGACGTACTGGCAGCCCAGCGCGGCGCGGATGTCCCCGACGGCCCAGGTGGCGTCGCCGCCCTCGCGGGCCTCGGCGACGTCGTACAGGGCGAACTTCTCGTCGTGGCTGACGGCGTAGACCTCGGTGGCGTTGAGGAAGCCCGCGTGGTGCACGGAGCCGTGGTTGAAGGCCTGCACGACGACCTCGTCCTCGTCGGTGATGGACGTGTCGCAGACGTTGACGAGCCCGTCGGTGGAGCCCGAGAGGAGGACCTGGGGCGTGGCCGGGTGGTAGTTGAGCTGTGTTTTTTTTTTTTCGTGTGAGTGTCGTGTGCCAAAAGGAGAGAGGGGGGGGGTGGGTAAGATTGAGATTTATGAAATATTAATTCATGATCGGGTGGTTCAGGTTGAGGGGGACTGCGGTGGCAGCTCTCTCGGCTTACCTCTGTCACGTCGTCGCTGTGGACTTCGCTGTACCGTATCTGAGGCGCGGAACCGGAGCGGGCGTCCCATATGAGGATGGATGCCTGGTGGTTCGCGTACTCTGTGCCAGCTGCTATGGCGTTACTCGAGGAATTACAGGCGATGGAGATGACTGGCGCGTCACTCCCTGAGAGGGCAGCGACCTGCGCTTTTGGCCCGTCTAGTCGCAGGTCCCACAGCGCAACGGTGCCGTTGGTCCCCGCCGTGCAGATGATCGAGTTGGATGCGTCGAATGCCCTCGCACATTTGATGTTCTCATGGGATGTCCGTATTGTCTTGAGGGGGCCCTGGCTCAGTCTTGACGGGTCGAACAGGGTGAGTTTCTGGTCTGACGAGATGGCTGCCAGTCCCCCGGCCACTGGTGTGATTTCTAGGACATATGCTGGGTCAGAGCCCGGGTTGCTGAACGAGTCAGCCTTTGTGAGGTTATACATGTTAACACTTGGGTGTGGCCAGGGTGAACCAGGAATATCAGGCTCGTTGCCGTGTAAGTCGACTGACTGAGCCAAGTGAGTGAAACCCGTGAGCCGATGAAGGCTTGGGCTGAGCTTGGCTTGGTTTGGTGCGCCTGCAATAGATAGCCTTTGTAGATCCTTGCAATTTTCCCGGTTCTGGCTTATTCGTAATTTTGGGTTGAGCGAAGTTTTGTGGTGTTGATTGTCCCGGTCTGGCGTGTATTTATTTTCTCTTTTACTGGAGATTTCTTTTCCTGATGCTGTCTAACTGTCGTTGAATCAGGTGGCCAATCAGCTGCCTTCCCGCGGGCCAGGTACCAGCAGCCTTACTAGCGCTTGGCCCCAGGCCAGAGGCAGCTTAGACCACGGTTACGTTCCCAGGTACGATGGACGTGTACTCCGTGCATGCAGGAAGCTGCGGCCCAGGGATCAGGACAGCTTGTACCGGAAGACAACACCTTTGCCTACCTGGGTACCACCAATACGTCAGTCGCCAGTTGCTCGGCAAATCAGCAACACAACATTCTTTCGTTTCCACTACCGCTCGAGCAGAAAGGTGCAGATATGATCTAGCTACTGCTATGCGTTGCTTCAGCACTGTTCACTCACGATGAAGCCTACTGCATGGCCTCTCCGTAAGTCGCCTGACTGACCATCCACAATCCACCATGTTCCTCCTGCTTCTCTTCTGACCTCGTCCTCCGCCGCCAGTGCTTCTGCAGGTCTTCTCGCCAGTCTGGGCAGATGCGAATCACGAACACACGACAGCCGACGTAGTCCACGGTCATGAGACCAGCCAGTCTTACCGAGAGCCCGGTGCGGACCACGTCGATGCCGCCATCGCCAAGCTGCACGAGATACATCCCCCATCCCACCACCACCAGAGGCGCAAGAAACCCGGAATCCTGGGCACCATCGGCCAGTTGGCATGGAAGGCCGTCCCGAGCCTGCGCATGAGCGCTCCACCAGAAGACGGCAACGGCGGTAGCAGCCACAAGACCATCGACCCCCGGCTCGCCGATGCAGTTAAGCACCTCGAGGCGGCCACCCACAAGAACAATTCCGACGCTCTCTACCTACTCGGACACATGAACTTCTATGGCAACTACACACACCCAAGGGACTTTAAGATGGCCTTTCACTACTTCCAGCAGCTCTCCGACCTGAACGGAAACAGCTCCGCCATGTACATGGTTGGTCTCATGTACTCCACCGGCGTCGGAGGCTCGGTACAGCGGGACCAGGCCAGGGCACTGCTCTACTACACCTTCGCCGCGCTTAAGGGGCACACCAGGGCCGAGATGACCTTGGCATCCCGTCACCACACCGGCGTCGGCACCCCCAAGAGCTGTGAGACGGCTTGCAAGTACTACAAGAATGTCGCGGACAAGGTCATGGACTGGTACCGATCGGGCCCACCCGGCGGCATGAGCTGGACTAGGGAGTCCTCCCACATCGCCGACGACTTCGGAGGCCTGTACGGCGAGGGAGCAAGTGTGTCCAGCTCTGGCATCAACGCCGTTCGTCACCACCCTCACTCGGATGCCTACGCATCCATCGAGGACATTATTGAGTACTTGGATCTCATGTCTAATAAGGGTGATTTTAAGTCGTCCTTCAACCTTGGCCGGATTTACTACGAGGGCCAGAGGGGGTTGGAGCGGAATCTCGGCATGGCGGCCAAGTATTTCTTCATGGTGGCTAAGAAGTACTGGAAGCCTAACGGGCGAATCGAGGATAACTTCAAGCCAGGCCTTGATAAGATAGCAGCCAAAGCCGCTGGGTTTCTCGGCCGCATGTATATGCGCGGCGAGGGTGTGCAGCAGGACTTTGACAGGGCCAAGTTCTGGTTCGACCGCGGCATCTCCCACGGGGATGCCCAGTCCCAGTTCTGCCTCGGGCTCATGCTACTAAGGGGTTACGGTGTGCCCACAAACATTGGAAAGGCTACTGATCTCTTCAAGGCCTCCGCCGATCAGGACTATGCCCTGTCGCAAGTCCAGCTTGGTGTCCTCTTCCTTGACCGTGGGCAGCCGGATGATGTGCGCGTGGCCAACGACTACTTCGAGCTTGCCGCTAGGTATGGCAACATCGAGGCGCAGTACTACCTCGCAGAGATGATCCACCATGGCATCGGCCGGGACAAGGCCTGCGCCCAGGCTATGACACTGTACAAGACGGTGGCAGAGAAGGCCGAGCCCCTCGTATCGACGTGGCACGAGGCAAACAATGCCTACGAAGATGGCGACTACGAGCTTGCCTTCCTGGGTTACTTACATGCAGCCGAGGAGGGCTACGAATCTGCCCAGAACAACGTTGCCTACCTGCTCGACACGAGGCAGTCGATGCTGTCCAATATTCTCGGGCTCAGCGAGGCTAGATCTTCTCTGATGGACAACCCCGCTCTTGCGCTCATCTTTTACACTCGATCGTCGAGACAAGGCAACATGGACTCGCTGGTCAAGATGGGCGACTACTACCTCGACGGGATAGGCACGGACCTTGACATCGACAAGGCTGTTAAGTGCTATACAGGTGCATCTGAGTATCACCAGTCGGCTCAAGCGCTGTTCAATCTCGGCTGGATGCACGAGAATGGAGTTGGGTTGGACCAGGACTTCCACCTGGCTAAACGCTATTACGACCTCGCCCTTGCTACCAACGATGAGGCATACCTACCCGTGAAGCTGAGCCTGCTCAAGCTGCGTGCGAGGAGCTACTGGAACACGTTGACGCATGGGCGGATTAACTCGATCCAAGACGAACCAGGTGAGAAGTTCATTCGTTCAGTCCTAAAACGGGCAAGCAGGCTAACTCGGCGGTGCGCAGAAAACAACAAAGACTGGTCCTTCAGGGAGTGGGTCAACAATTTTATCCAGGATGATGGGCTCTTCTACGACGACGTCATGTACGACGATATCTACGACGACACCATGCCGGGAGGCGACGCACCTCACTACCCAGGGGCAGAAGACGACGGCTTTATAGACACGCTGATCATCATGGGACTGGCCATGGCGCTCGCATTCATCGTCTACTACAGGCAACACCGGGAGCGTGCTGAGCAGGCTCGGAGGCAGAGAGAGCAACAGCAAGGACAGGGCCAAGGCCAGCAGCAGGGAGGGAACGCTGGCGCAGCCCCTAACAATGGCGGCTTCCAACCACCAGTAAACCCAGCGTTTGAGGATTGGATTGCCGGTGGAGCTGCAATCTGATTCGAGACAGAAGAAAGCGACTGTATTGTACATAAGATCATACGATAAGTTCACATTGGTTCACTAAACTACATATTTAAGCACTGGCGTTCAGAGCGATGGGGGTGGTGTAACGAATTGCAATAGAGCCGGGGGGGTGTGGACGTAGCAAATGCCACGCCAAATCATGACCCTGGAGGCGCATTGGTACTCCGTAACTTCCCTGTACCTCACTCACTGACAAAATAAATGGCAGCAGCTGCTCCCAGCCAATGTCACTGCCACTCAACACAACATGTGAAATGAACCCAATGCACCCGTTTGATTGAATCATGGAACCCAAAGTCCCCATCAATGCAACCTGAGCCCCTTCTCTGAAAGATCGCCGTGCCCTGCCCCGCGATTTTGAGGATGAACACACCAGCCGCCAAGCGCAGGCGCGTCGACGCCGCCAACGCAACCTTCAGAAAGCCGTTTCACTCGCCGCTGCTTAAGAGGCAGCCAGGCGCGGGGGACAATGGCACGCCAGGGCCCAGCACGACGCCGGAAACAAACAGCAACAAGCGGTCGTTCGACGAGGTCTACTCGCCAAGCTCACCCTCGGTCGCCAGACAGCAGCCCCAAGCAGCAAGCCCGCTGAACAGACCCGGCCATGGCCGACCCACCGAGTCATCCCCAAAGCCGTCCTCCCCCTTGGTTGCGCGAAAGGAGAAACGTGTGAAAGAGCGCAGGGCTGCCGGCCCAGGTGACGAAGACGATGACAAAGACGACAACCCATTCCTCGCGCTCGCGAGGGCCCACAGGACTCGGAAGGCTGCGGCTGAGCGGGATGCCATCGTGAAGGACCTGGACCGGCGGCTGGACCTGGTGAGGCAGGCTCGGGAGATCGAGGCCGCGTCGGAGCGGAGACGCCCCGGGGAGCCGGTGGACCAGGAGCTGAGGGATCTTGTGGCCAGGTGGAGGGCCGCGGGGAGGGCTGCTGCCGAGGAGCTTTTTGAGACTGTGAAGGAGAGGGTTGATAAGTGAGTTCCCCCGCCGCCTGTTGAGGGGCCGGTGCTGACACTGATTGCACAGCGCTGGGGGCCCCAAGGCATGGAGGGAGATGCAGCAGAGGCAGATGGAGTTCTACCGGGGCTTTGACCAGGATCCACCTGCTAAATCGAGAGACTCTGACGAGGACTCTGACCGCGAGTTCTCTCAGGATGTCCAAGCCCACCTGGAGGGGGTCGGGGAGGAGGAGGAGGAGGATGAAACTGTGAGTATTTTGTCCTGGCATCCGACCTGGCCGCCATTGCTTACCTAGGTACCCATCAACAGGACTTCAACATGGGTCACATGCTCCAAAGCTTGAATATAGACTTTTCGCTTCTGGGATACGACGAGAAAGAAGACAAATGGATCAATTAAATTCGAACGTCTCCGTCTGCCTATCACTACGTTGTGCGATACTGTCACACAGTTCGCTGGTCATGACATTACTTATAGTAGTGCAGGTGGATCTCCGTATCGCTCCATAGTCACCTACATCTGTGAGAGACTTGGAGTCACTCAGGAAGTCGATCTCGACAGGATCGTGAGCCCCTGAAGGCCCCTTGGTACCGCTTGCACTCCTCCACATCCCTCACCCTAGGGGACCAAACCCGCGAGGTAGACTCCCAACGCAGAGACTACGGGGTCTGGCAGTGACAAGCACATACAAGTAAGTTTTCCGTCTTGAGAATGAATGCTACTCAATAGGATTTCAAGTGGGGTACAGCTGTCGACCTGATGCTACTTTTCTCCCTCCATCAACTCAGTCTCAGACGTCTGCGGTACATGATGAAAGACGACATCTGGGGCAGCTCCTAGAAATAACCAAATAATAAACATGACCTCCATTGTGTCCAAAACGCCAGCCGACAATATCTTCATTCCTTTGCACTCAAAACACTGCCGTGAGCCCTACTCGACATCAACAACGACCTCCCTCCCAGCCCCAGCAGCAACAAACAACAGCCCAGCCCGGACGGCCCCCTTCCAGACCTCAAGCTCAGCCTCGTCCCTCGGCGCGTAGACCATCACATACCCGAGCGGCAGCCCGGCGACCCCGCTGAGCCGGTGCCGCTCCGCCCAGCCCTTGCGCGTGAGCTCCTCCGCGTCCGCGAGGCTGACGGTGACGTGCGAGCTCGCCTCGGGGTGCACGTGGGCCAGCTCCCCCCGCGTGGCCCACAGGTACCCCGGCGGCGCGGGTACCGCCGGGTCCAGCCACAGCGCGGGCGTGCCGGCGCCCTCGAGCCCGGACGGCCGGAGCTCCAGCACGCCGTGGTTCCGCGCCGCCAGCTGCCCCAGGAACGCCGTCATGCGCGCCCGCGTGTCGGCCCCGCCCTGCTGCGTGACCTGCCGCTGCGGCGCCACGTACCCGGGGACGTCGGGCCTGTCGCCCGCCCGCCGCGGGAGGGGGCCCGCCGCCGCCGCCAGGAACGGCGTGGTGCCGTGCGGCTCGTAGGCCTTCTGGTTGCGGGGCCTGCGGAAGGGATCCGCGCTCCGCGTGTCCCAGCTCGCGATGAGCTGCAGCAGGCCCTGCATCGCCCAGCCGAGCGGGTTGTAGGGCATGCCCCCCGGCCCGAGGGCCAGGTAGCCCCTGTAGCTCTTGAGGGCGTATGAGGCCGTCGGGACCGACACGGCGAGGGCTACCGCGAGGGCTGTCATGGTGCGAGGGTTGTTCTGCAGCTGTTGGGGGATGGCGATGTTGTGGCTGCTGAGGCGGGATGCGAGGGCCGAGATGCTGTTGGACGCCATGATGGCTGTTTTTTGCATGTGACTCCTGGTGATGTTGATCACCACGAAGAAGAAAGGCCTTTCTTTGGCTGACAGGCGATTCTGGGTATAATACTAAAGTGCCGGCAGAGCTGCAGGGCTGCGTGATGTTTCAATGGGCTATTTGAAGGGCGCTGACAGGTTCGGGTCATGTAACTTGGACCTTACTAAGTCAATCCTTTGGTCTGTCTGACAGTCCACCAGAATTGGTAGAGGAAAACAGAAGTGGCAGGACATTTGTCCCAACTGTCATTAGCGTTCAACCCAATACGTGATCACCATAAGCTCGATACGTCCGAAATTCCGGTGACTTCTCCGCATTCGACATGTGGCCCTGAGCTCATGACGCTTGTTATCTACACAGTGATTTCTCTGTGGTACGTTCAAGTAGAAAAAGACACAACCATCCGTGAGAGAAGCAAGGTCATGTGGTATCTACTGTAAGCTGTCCAACCAAAAACCCCCAGGCCCGAAGCTACTTTTTTTTTTGCGCGCCGCTTCCAAGGTTCTCTATATACATACTAGTAGTAACAGATGCATTGAAAATGCAAGGCCCGCGAGGCTCCCGTGTATAAATCCTCGTCAGAGCTCAGCCATGGTCTATTCAATGTTCCCCTTCCCGAGACAGTGGAGAAAAGCAAAACGGTACAAGATACGATGCTTGTTGTCCGGAGATGCCAACCAGAAGCTGAAATGAGAGTTACAACCAACAAAACATAAAACATATCCCAGTCGTGACCTGAGCGAGACCGCGTATGCCGTAGCAAGCACAGCCTTAAAGAGAAGAAAAAAATCAGCCATAGACGCCATGCTATGTATGTATGAACCGCAAAATGACGAGGCTTCCTTATTCATGATAGAAGCCTCGCATGGTCCTAGCGCTCCGTTGATTCCATCCAGACATCCCGGCGCCTCGGCTTTACACCTTGTCAGAGGAGATCTGGCGCCGGAGCTCCTCCCTCTGGAACTTCTCCACGTTCGCCTGCGTAAGCGAGTCCCCCTTCTCAGTGAGCGGCGTGTGCCCGTGCGGCGTGACAGCCGAGGGCGGGCCCCCGGCCGCGTCGAAGAGCTTGTCGTCCCTGCTCGCCTGCGCGAGCTCGTCCGTCTCGACCCGCCGTATGTGCAGCTGCGGCTTGCCCGGGGAGGGCGGCTCCGTCGGCGGCTCCGTCGGCGAGGGCGTGTTGATGGCCAGCGGCGGGGACGCCTTTGGCCGCGGCGTGGGCAGGTCGGCCCGCATGCTGTCGAGGTCGGCCTCTTGGTTCATGGGCGGGAGGGTGAACACCTCCTCCCCGCCCGTGCCGTGCACGCTGAGGGAGGGTATCCCCGTGTTCGTGCAGTGGTCGCTCCCCTCCGAGCACACCGAGACGTCCGACGACAGCGCCGACATCGAGCCATTCCGCTTGTTCAGGGACCAGCGCACCAGCATCCTCTCGAGCATCTTGGCCTTCACAGGCTTCGCAAGATAGTCGTCCATGCCCGCCCTCTTGCATTTTTCCTGATCACCTTGGATGGCCGAGGCCGTCATGGCCACAATCGGGACGTCTCGGACGAAGGCATTATACGGAGAATGGTGGCGAAGAAGATGGGTTGCCTTGTAACCATCAATGACAGGCATTTGCACATCCTGTCAAGAGACGAATTAGTGCTCAGTATAGTTGAACTCGGGTCCACCGGACGGTATGCACAGAGCAATGACTTACCATGAGTATTATATCCGGCTTCCGGTTCTGGCCATCCTGTGCAGTAGCGAGATACTCCAAGGCCTCTTTACCATTCCACGCAGCCGAGACATTGAATCCCAACTTTTTTATCGTCTTGATGGCGATCTGTTGATTGATCGGGTTGTCTTCAACCACCAGAACATGGATCTTCGAGCGCTCAGAAGCTGCCAGGTCCTCCTGAGAGGAGGCCTGCTTGAGTGAACTCTTGCGCCTGGGTGACTTTCCCAATTCTGACGGTGCAAGCAGGTCGGTAGGAGGCGGTGTCCCCATCTGGTCGAATTCAGAGCTGTTGCAGGATACGCTCATTTCCGACTGCAGTCTGTCCGGGAGGGCCGTGACCATGACCACATTCGACGGCTGAGTCTCCTGTGGTTTGTTGAACGGCACCCAGAAATACGCCGTCGTGCCCTGGTTGATGACCGAGTCTAGTTCCATTCTTCCGTGCATGAGCTCGAGCAGAGACTTGCAGATCGTCAGGCCCAACCCAGTACCGCCAAATTTCCTTGCAGTGGATGCGTCGCCCTGGCTGAACGGCTGAAACAAGCGTTTGCGGGTCTCTTCGTCAATGCCGATGCCAGTGTCTTGGACCATGAACCGGATTTCTATATTCTCATCCGTCTCACTTTCTTTAGCAACAGACAGCTTGACAAAGCCTTGATGCGTGAACTTGATGCTGTTCGTCAGAAGATTCGTAATGATCTGTCTCACGCGTCCTGGATCACCGAGAACGACGAGATCATCAGCGACATCGGGTGAGATGTCCGCAATAAACTCCAGACCCCTCTTCTGAGCCGCAAAGCTCAGCATCTTGGCCACGTCTCGCACTATTAGATCAGAAAAGGTTAATATCTACGTGCTCAGGGTACTTCTGGCATTGACGGCTCGGTCTGAACTCACCTATTACCGACATGCTGAACTGGACTTCCTCGATGTCCAGACGGCCAGACTCTACCTTCGAGAAGTCCAATATGTCATTGATGACGGTGAGCAGGGCATTAGCAGACCGGTAAATGTTCTCCGCATAGTCCCGCTGCTCGTCGTTGAGCTCGACATCCAGGAGCAGTTCTGCCATACCGATCACTCCAGTGATGGGAGTTCGAATCTCATGTGACATCTGTCCGTCGTTAACGACTGCACACATTGACGACAGGGTATCGGGCAAACTCACATTCGCGAGGAATTGGCTCTTCAGTCTGCTGGCCTCCTTGGCTGCAGCCTCCCGTGCCAGTAACTGTTGCTTTTCCTGCATCTGTGCCTGCAACACCGCCTCTTTGGCCTTGATCTCGGTCACGTCCATGATCACACCGATCACGCCATCGATCACGCTTTCTTTGTGTCCGTCGCCTTTGACTTTCTTATCCGTCATCGGCAGCAGACGAGTCCGGTAGAACCGTGTGTCGATTGCATGCTCCACTACTACATCTCCGGATCGTCGTGAAAAGATAGCGTCTATGGCGGACAGGAAATCGGGACGTTCGCCTGTGTGTAGTTCTGGGTTCAAAGAGTTGAACACCTCGTCAACATTGCCGCCGATGTACCACTTGGAATCGTCCTGCCCTGTAGTGTTGGCATCCCAGATAAGAGCGCCTTCCAGCATCGTTATCTTGCGTTCGAGATCCACTGTGAATATGGTGATGTTGGCGTGTGTGATGACGCTCAAGAGTTGCTGTCTCATTCTTCTCGCAGCGAGCTTGGTTTCTATGCTTTCGTGGACATCGGTGCAGGTTCCTGCTAAATTATCAGCCATGCCAGTACATTCCACGGCGAATCAAAGCACCTGGGCAATGACAAGGCCCATCCTCCCATTGTCTTTCGCGTGACTCAACTTACCAAACCACTGCTCGATTTTGCCAGTCTCGAGATTTCTTAGCGGCAGAGCCCTTCCAAGGTGCCAACGCCATTCGCCTTCTTTGCTCAGGCAGCGGTACTCCGTGTCATAGGGTTCTCCGGTGGCGAGAGAATGCGCCCATCGTTTTGAGGTTTCCGCCATGTCGTCTGGGTGAAAAGGATTTTTCCATCCCATACCCAGGGAATCTTCCTGTGTCAGGCCTGTGTAGTCGTACCATCGCCCATTGAAGAAATCGTGAAAACCATCAGGAGTCGTCGTCCAGACCTGTGTACCAGTCAGTCCTACCGCACAATGGCCAAGCTTTCCAAGAGGAAACGAGGGCTGAAATAGAAAAAGAAACAAAATTAAACAAGCGCGTTGAATGAAGTGCCAATCTTTCTGCGCTCGGTGCCTAGTCTCTCCAGATACTTGCCTCGCGAAACCGAGGGATATCCTCCGAGGCCTAGAAGCCTCTTGGGAGTACTGAGCATGGGCTTTGTGCCTCCTATGATCAAGCTCGAGAGATGATCGAGCAACAAGTGGCTTGTCGATTGCTCCGGGGTCTACACCGGTAACTGCTTACCAATTGCGGCATGGTGTCGCAGATGAGCTTGAATCTCTCGATGTCCCTTGCCTTGATCAGGTCAATCTCCCTCGCCATCTCCGTGACGTCCCGGCAAGTTACCACGCCCGCCAGGAACTCCCCCGTCTCATCGTCGCGAATGGCTTCCCCCAGGACGCTATACCTGATCCTGTTCCCGTCACGGTCAATGACTCCGATCCGCAGATCTGAGAACGGTGTTTGGGTCGTCAGCAGGACCGCCATTGGGAACTCGCTCGGCTCGAGTTCTCTGCTAAAATCGTCGGTGTACAATATCCAATTGCTCAACACCTCAAGACCATCGAATGGTCTATCAAGAGTAGCATCTTTTTCCATGAGCCTCCTGGCTGCTGCATTGGGGAAAGCAACCGTGCCGTCCTTCCACATGGCCAGAATAGGTATCTCCGTGTTGTCGAGAAGTGCGTCTTTCAGTATCATGGTCTTTTGAAGCATCGAGGGCGCATTTTGTAGCGACTTTTCATGGAATGGTGGGCCCAAGGGAGGAAAAGGGCTCGATGAGAGAGACACATTGCCTGGACTGACCCGGTAAGATGGTGACGAGGACGAACCATGGCTAGAGGCGACCGAAGGAGTATTAGACGTTGAAAATATTGTCTTGCGCTCGGCAGACTCGAGGGCGGAAGGACGAGCTACTGCCTTCCTCCTGGAACCCACAGAAGACGTGGAATCGGTGTTGGTAAACGTCAAAGTGAAATATGTCTGTTGTTCCGAGATATCCCAAACGCTGATGATCATCTTCGCAAAGGCTTGGCTCTCTGACGCTCTGTTGACGATCTGGGGTTCTGTGACGGGCTTGTTTGAATCTCTTTTCGAGATGACGACTTCAACAGCAGCCTGGGGGCTGTGACCTGCGAATCTGCTGTCTCCGCTTGGATCCGCAAGAGGTGTCATGTCGCCATCTAGATGGTCTCCTAGTGATCTCCGCCGTTGAAAATCCGTTGGTTGGGTTTGCCCGCGTCCCAATTCTTCTGCTATTGAGTCGAGGAAGGTCTCCCAAGCAATGAACACAGGCCGTCCATTTTGTAGCATATCTATTCCCACCTGCGAAAGAGACTGGCCGGTGAGGCCTCCCACGTCTCGAGCCAGGTCACCTTCGTCGTTGGATTCGGAGGATATACCCATCAGCCTTCCCATGGCTTCATTGGCCAGGACCACTGTCTTCAGATTATTGAGAACCAGGACCGGGACTGGGAGGAACTGTAGGGCGGAGAATGCGAGCTGTCCTGGGGTTATGAAGGGCATCTGGAGTCGGAAGGGGCTGCTCGATTGGGACCTGTTATTGTTCATTTCTCTGATGAACCGGCGCCCTGCCGGGGACGGAGCGGCTTCGCCATCGCGCTGCGCATGAAGAGACTCCTGGGAGCCCGTGGCGGATGCGTCCACCTGCGACTCTAGGCGGCGAGTTTTAAAGTCATCTGTTGGAGGTGTTTGCGGCGAGTCGGATGTGCGCTTTCGGAGTAGAGGCGACTCGGCCAGCACATTGGGGGCCATTGTTACCGGTGGAGGCAAGGAGTGAGACTCATCGTTTGTGATGCGTGACGGGCCAAATACCATGACGGGGCGCGGGCCGGCATGAGTGCTGGTCAGCACGAGATGTCGACGAGCAGGTATCGAGATATCGACGGAGAAAGACGTGACTCCTGGGTGAACAAGTACCGTCACTGCATGAGCCCAAACGATCCTTGGTCGTCTGCGAGACAGAACAATTCGCTGGAGAATAACATGCAGTTCCAGTTGCGGGGAGAAAGAAGGCGTGGGGGGGGATGTTGTGGTTCCTGCTTAGCTATCCGGTCTAGCCCCGGCCAAGAATACCCACGGTCCTGGGGCTGACCTAGGAGCAGCAGACTAGGTCGGCTGTTGGTGGAGGTCTCTACCGTACACTACCACCTCGGGGAGACGGGACAGGCTGCGGTTCACGGGATGAAACAAATGGGCATAGAGTTGTCCCAGGCCGGAAACCAAGTCTTTGTGAGGATAAGGGAATTGTGAACTGAAAGCAGCAGCCAGCCAGGAAAGCATACGGCGGGCCCAGAGACGGTAGAGCTGGTGGTTCAGGAGCCCGGGAGCATTTGCCAGCAGCTAATACTGGTTAGCAGATGTGCTGGCGCAGACTGGCATTGACAGTAACAACAAAGGTATGACGAATGGCCGCGGCGGTAAATGTCGGTGCGGCTGTTCCCACGAGCTCCGTCACTGCGAAATTAGGGAAGGTTGGCAAAAGGGTAACAGTAAGACAAGGAGACCAGAAACAACGAGCAAATGACCCGCCCCAGACCTCGACTTAGACAAGGGTCAACAAGCCAGCAAGCCGCTTGACGAGCTGTGGATGAGACGGCCGGTAATACTCCGTGCCTGGGTACCGCTATGCACGAGTTGGGATTTTGGTTATGGCATGGTGCGGGTAGAGCAAGGTGTGGATGGGATGGCACACAGTCAGACGGTACAGTCTCATAGTACGGGCAGGACTGGACTGGATGGACTACGCTATCCCCGCGACTCCAGTCCAGTTCGGGTCTGCAAAGTAGCGGCGACCGACAAATGGCCACCGTGTGTTGCGTCATCCGTCACCAAGGTCGTCGTTCGCCCATCGACACCCGAGCCGAAGAGCAGTGCGAATCAAGGCACAGGCGAAGCCAGAAGGCCAGAAACTGGACTGAAAAGACGCCTTAAGTGAATTAAACTTTCTGAAATCCCGAATGTGGGCATGGGATCCACAGCAAGTCCCTGCTAGTTGCGCCGAATTGATCGCTCTCAGCCGCGTCCGCGCCACCGTGTGTACAGACAGTACAACAGCGATTTGTGATGAACATGCGAGAACGTTGCCTGCGGACAGCCCTGAAATCCCAAACTTTCTCCCTGGTGCTAGGGCACAGACAATCTCCACAGCCCTGTCAGACCGGGAGCTTAGGATTATGATGTCGTTGGAACTCTGTTGAACAGGTGCAGACCATTTGTGTCCGGAAGCGTCGTATGACAATGACATTGACCTGACTGCTGGTTCCAGAACGGCACCTGACGGGCACATCGCTCGCTACACTAGATCGTGCGGGATTGGCAGCGTAGCGGGCTGTCCTGGGGATGATACATATGCAGGCGATATGTGAGATGCCCTGAATGTCTCCCGTTCGCTGCAGAAGTAGGGGTCCTGCAAATGGAGGGCCGTTTGGGGTCCTGTGAGGGGCCCGATGGCTGGAGGGACAGGCCCAGACCTCCAGGGGCCTGTCAGAATGAGGGCTGATCGTCGGTTGCACCAACTTTTGACAACACCCACACGGAATAGGACAGGGTCTCGCTGATCTGGCGCTCGCGAAGGGAATCTCGTATGACGACCACATAGTGTGTTCACTGTGCCGTAGATGGTTTTGCTCCTGGCTGCCTGGCAGCCACCACACCGGACCATTGGCGACCGCTCGTCACTTCTCTTCCACACACTCGGACACCGACCGCAGTTGGGCATGCATGCGCCCCGGCCTGCCCAGGCCCAACAAGGTTGGACTCTGGCTGTCTGGGTGGCATTCAGTGCCGTAGGCTGCTCCAGCAGCAGACAGACGCCGGGCGCCAGGCAGAGGCAGCTGCTCGGCTTCTGCTTCGAGCCTGTGACGGGCTAACGCTCAATTGCATCAAAACAGTGAGAAGGGCAGGTCGCGGTAAGGGCCCAAAACCTGCAGATCGGCGATCTTTTCCAAGACAGGCGAGAGTCTCAAGTCCCTGTGGTCTCTCGCCGGGCAGGAAGCAGGGAGGACCCAGCAGAGGGTTTGCCCCTTCTGCCTATGAGGTTCTCGGCCCCTTGCCTCTCCCTCTGGCTCTGGGATACCATGTGCAAGCATGGGCCTTGGTTGCAGAGCCAGAGCCGAGCTGTTTCTGCATCGGAGATCTGCAGAATGCCATCCCACGGGCGACATCTGTATTTAGGTGCCACCGCATTGCCTTCTGACCGTCGCCGTTGTCTCTGTGTGACTGCAACGACGTCATGCTGACATAAGCGTGATGCGAGCTGGGGCAACCATGTCTCGACCCCGTCTGCCTATGCCGAAGAGGCCGGCCATTGATGGGTGCGAGGACGTGTGGGTAGCAGTCCGATCGGGCTCGACAAGACGGCAGTTCGTAGGGATCGTGGCCTCGCCGCCCCTGCCTGCGTGGCATCTGTCCCGGGGTCGTTTTTGTGGGCCGCGATGGGCTGTAATGGTTTTGCTATGACGACAGTGGATGACGGGCTTTTTTTCTTGTCTCTCCACCTGTAGGATATTGCTGACAGGCACAGGAACCTGCCGTGTAGGTGCCACGACCAGGCGAGTATTTCGTACTCACACGCGAGACGTGCATATATGTACGCCTTGCTCGTACCGGGACCGAAGCTGCAGCATGCACCGAGTACTGCGATGTCCCGAGGCCGCGGGAATCGTGCGTTGGCCCAGAATCAAAGGGTGCGACAGAGCGGTCAGCTCTAAAAGTCCACGTGCAGCCATGCGGCAGACCACGGTGCGTGTAAATTATTGGCATTGTTCGTGATAGCGTAGCACAGCACAGGTATACACTATCGGGTCAGGCAGAGCTCTCCTTGACATTGCCGCAGTTCCCACAACTCCACCAACGCCGCTCGACGACGGTTCCACATCGCGAGCATTCCCAGAATGCCGGTCCGCTTGGCGTGGCGGGAGGCTTGCTACTCGCGCCACTGCTGCTGTTCCTGAAGGACACCATTCTCGAATGGCTCAAATCAGCGCTGCTCAAGGGACGAGCAGGTCGGCTGGTAGCTGTCGCAGCTGCAGGTGTAGTACGGGGCCGCTTTGATGACCTGTCGTCTGTTTGCCCGCGGTTCGCGCCCGCTGACCTTGCAGTGCCACACGCATCACAGGCCGGACGTGTAAGTGGGTTCAGCAGTGTGCAAGTGCCGCACGCCCATTCCTCGGTTGGAGGTGGAGTAGCAACTGGACCATCCGCGGCGCTTGGCTTGTCAGCGCCGCAGGCATCGCAAACGAGATAGCTCGGGCTATTATGCAGAGTACACGTGCTGCACGTCCACCCACTCGTCCTAGGCTTGATTCCGGGGGTGACTTTGACAGACTCGGAATGCTTTTCACCTCCGGTGCCGGGCGGTCGCGACCACACTGGTACCGGCGGCGGCATGCTCGAGCTTGACCCACCACCAGAAGACGGGTAGAATGCACCACCGCCATTTCCGCCCGGCATTTCAGCGCTTGGCGGAATGTACATGTCGCCGTGCTTCTTCTTCTCGTCCTCTTGCACCAGTTCCCACAATGCCTGGGAAATGGCCGCCTCGTTGGCAGCATCCTCCTCCGCCTGGGTCCTGAAACCATTCTTGGTAGCGGTCTCTGAAAGGGTCTGAATCTCCTTGTCCGTAAAATTGGTGCTCCCACATCCTCGGTCTGCCCTGTTTCGGCGGTCCACCGCATCCGTGATGACTTTTCGAATGTCTTGTCCGCGTTGAATCGGTGCTCCGCCCAGTCTCTGACCAGACCCTCTCTCCCGAATCGCTTGTTGTGACCGTTGCTCGGCAGCTGCACGAGCGAGCCTCCTCGCCTCTTGCATCGGAACTCTGCCACCACCTCCGAGCTTATGACCCGTGCCGAGGAAGCCCTCTCCAGTGTAGCCCTTCATGCGCAGGCCCTCGTGCTCGTCTCGAAGCTGGTCCCACAGCGCGTGGAACTTGCCGTCGTGTGGGCCGTGCACGATGTGGCAGAGTTCATGGAGCATCGTGTCGGTGACTTGCTCGATGGGGAGAAACTGGGTCCTGTCGCCTGGGTAGCGAAGACGTATAAGGATCCTCTGGCCCCGGTTCACATTCAGTCCTGTTGTTATAGCGAGTTAGTTAGGGGCAGACTGCCTCGTTGGGAGGTTGGAGACATGTCGTACCGAGCAGATTGTGCTGGTCAGGATAGAATTCACTAAGCTCTGATACCTTCCAGCCTCTAGCCCTCATGATAGGTTTCACCAGGGAGGCGATCTTCTTGAGCGTCCGAAGAGCTTCATCCTGCCGTGGTAGGTCCTTCAAGTGTGTGTAGGACAGCACCAAGGCGTCGAGTTCCCTATGTTCAACCATGGCGACCTCGTGCGGATGCGACCGTGGCTTGGATTGAGATGGGATCGGGCTTTGCAGCACAAACTTGGGGCGGGCCGGTCGCAAGTAGGGCGTGCGACGACATGGAGGAAACGATCCAGAGCGGGCATTCAGGCAGTCATGGTGCAACAAACGCCAGCCATGCGGCTTCTAGAACCGTGTGGAAGTGATTCATGGGTAATCAACGCCGCGGCGTGGCGATGTCGAGTGAGAAGGTGAAATTCACTGTCATCGCGGCTGTCCGGAAGTGAGTAAGAAGGACGCGTAAAGTGGTTTGTTGCCTGCCCGCATCGGCATGTTCTGGGCGAGCCAACCCCACCCCCACTTGCCCAGCCAAGCACTACCCACTCCCCCCCCCCCACCAAGGATACAAGACCATGTTAGGGTTCGAACCGACCCTCCAGGCCCAGACATATGAAGTCGTCCATAATGCGCATCTGGACACTATTGTGTTCTGCCTCGCTCCGATGTTCCATTTCCACTGGCTCAAAGTCTGTGTCTACTTTGATCCTGCTCCCGATTAGCTCACTGATTTCGAGGCCTAGGACGACTCGGGCCAACGCACTGAGCTCGCCCACAGTTTAAAGGGCGTCCTTCACCGGTTCGCACTTCTAGAACTTTTGCATGCAACAATGCATCAAGACCGATGCATGTATCCAATGCTAAGTGAGGCCTGGAGCCATGTTATGTTCCCACTGCGGCGATCCGCATGCAACTACCTGATCACTCCACAGCTTGAGCTTCACGAGCCATTTCGGCCGCGGCCACATTCCACAACTGGCAACCCCGGATGAGAAATGGATTTATCAGGTGCTGATGAGGCCCAGGCCAGCGAATATATCCTTCTATGGTAATTTGAACACAATGGGATTACCACACTCCGAGCTGATCGACGCACTGAAACGGGCTGTGTCGGCGGCCCCACATTCACAGGTGACAGCTCGCATCGCGAGTCGCTGCGTCAAATTGAAAGAGGAAGACAGCATGCAGAGTGGGATGGCTGATGAGAAATTGTCAGCAAGCGAGGCCTTGGAATGGCAGCGTGAATGCTGGGGTACATACAGCACAAGTCCGACAACGATGGCCGAGTAAGTCTGGAGCACGTACACATCTTAATTGGCCCTCCTTCCCGTTTAGGCCACTTACACGCAGGACCAAGCAGTCGGAACAACGTTCCCATCGAGGTCTCATCACCACATGTCCGCTTGTGACGACAACAACGTTGAGCACTTGGACGGTCCCCATTGTCCCATGTTGCCCACCAAGACTTCAGACCATGAAGCTGTCATCTCAAGCCTCGTCGGGTGTGGTGCAAGCTTCTTTCAAGCTTCGTTTCATCTTGACAGGCCTACTGTGCAAGGCGCATAACACGCCGACCGCAGTTGGAGAGTCAGCCAATGACGGCCGACTCCCGCCATGCCTGACCCAGGCCTCGTCTCCTTTCGTCTCATCATTGACAGCTTCAATGCGGCTCCTACCAGACCTGGTTGACGAACCTCCTTGATTCAGCCGCCCACATATTGCGAACCTTCTTGCAGCTAATATTTATCGAAGACGGAATATCCTGCAGAGGTTGTGAATAATGGTTAGGTTGGCGTCTCTCCCGTGCGGGAGACCCAAGCGGGAAGCGATCTCACCACCACCAGGATGGGAGGGTGTGGATAGGCTGTTACAGCCTCCCTCGAATGATCTCCTTGGGTGTCGTCTCGCGATCCCGGCAGGGAAGCAGCCCTGCCCATGTTCACACCACTTCTGCCGCTTGGTTCCTGCCCGGCGATAGTGCGATATCACGACCGAACCTTGCCCAGCTGCACCTCGGGATCTACCTCCTCAAACACCTCTTTGATACTATTTCTCTTGGTATCTTGCGCGTACCCTCGCTCTGACATGTGGGCGGAGCCTCCACCCTCCCCCCTCAAAATTGTAAGCGCTGGATCGCGAGTCAATGGGGAGGGCAGCAAGCGGGATGCGCATAATTGTGCGCCTTTATACCCCCTTCACGGTGCTCGGTAGACTAGGTTGGGTGAGAAGCTTCCTGCCTACTCTCTGCCTCCTGCTCTTCTCCCTCTCCCTCTCCCATCTACGCATCTGGTTTAGCAGATGCCATCTGTCGTTCTCTTCTTCATTAGATTCCCGTCTAGGTGCGCCCCTTTCATCCTTGATTTCTCTTAGTGGATCTGGTATCTTCAGGACTTCTAGATTTAAAACATGAAGTACATTAATGTTGCGGCCCTTACGGTGGGTCTGGCCGGCGCCGCGCCAGCCAAGCAACCCTCCGCCTTCGAGGGCTTGGTTTCAAAGACAGCTGAGGAAGTCTCCGGCTTCGAGGTCCAAGTCCTTGGCGGTATGACCCTCCGAGCGCCCCAGGTCTACAACACAAACTTCATACAGATGAAGCGTGGGCCTAGGGCTTATGTCCAGTCCCTTAGGAAGTACTCTGCCTTTGGGGCCACCATACCTCCAAACCTGCTGCAGATCATCGACGAGATCTTGGGAGAGCTCGGCCTGGGAGACCTGCTGGGAGACGGAATTGGGGCTGGCGCGGGTGCTGGCGCGGGTGCTGGTACCGGGAAGGGTACCGGGCAAGGTAACGGGCAAGGTAACGGGCAAGGTAACGGGTCCGGAGGGCGGCAGGGCGGTAACGGCACCCAAAGCGGTGGCGGTTCAGGCCGAGGAGGCGGATCAAATGGCGGAGGAAGGGCAGGTGGAGGCGGCAATGGCACGGCGCCGAGCAACGGGACCGCAGGCGGCCGAGGTCAAGGTACGTTCCTGTGCGGTATGATTCCTCATCACTTTCTAACACGCATGTAGGAGAGGTTGCCGCGGTTCCTCAGATGTTCGACAGCGAGTACTTGGCGGCGGTGCAGATCGGAACTCCACCGCAGGATGTCACACTCAACTTTGATACCGGGTCCTCGGATCTATGGGTCTTTAGCAGTGACACGCCGGCGACGCAGGTCAATGGTCAGAAAATCTATACACCTGGCCAAAGCTCGACTTCGAAGGCTCTCAATGGCGCGAGTTGGACGATTACCTATGGAGATGGGAGCGGCGCATCCGGCATAGTATATACTGATGTCGTGACTGTGGGCGGCGTCAGCGTTCCTAACCAGGCCGTGGAGGCTGCGACGAAGGTGGCTGGCAGCTTCAGCCAGGACGCTGCCTCGTCGGGGCTGCTAGGGCTCGCGATGGACTCGAGTGAGAGACACTCCTCCCTGATCCTACACCGAAATAGGAGTACTGACACGGCCAAGTCAACACGGTTAAGCCCCAGGCCCAGAAGACCTTCTTCTCAAACGCGATGGCAGGCCTTGCAATGCCACTCTTCACGGCAAACCTGAAGCAGGGAGAACGTAAGAAACCCACGTCGTGCGGCGAGGGCAGCAGGAGGCAATTCTCAAGCTTGTAGCTAACATGGATTCATAGCGGGTAACTACAACTTCGGATTTGTCGACCAGACCGAGTTCACCGGGAACATCAACTTCGTGCCCGTGAACGCCTCTCAGGGCTTCTGGGCCTTCCAGAGCGAGGGCTTCTCGGTGGGCAACGGGCAGGCGCAGAACTTCCCGCACCAGGCCATCGCCGACACGGGCACGACGCTGATGCTGGTGGCGGACGAGATGGCCGAGGCGTACTACGCGCAGGTGCCGTCGGCGCAGAACAACGCCCAGGTCGGCGGGTTCGTGTTCGACTGCAGCGAGGAGCTGCCCTCGCTCACGGCCAACATCGGCGGGTACCAGGCCGTGATCCCGGGCAGCATCATCAAGTTCGCGCCCGCGGACACGGACTCGTTCGACACGGCGAAAACGTGCTTCGGGGGCATCCAGGGCAACACCGGCCTCCCGTTTGCGATTTACGGTGATATTTTCCTCAAGGCTGCGTTTACGGTGTTTGACGGCGGCAACATGCGGATCGGGTTTGCTGCAAAGTCGGGGCAGTGATTGGGGCCCGGGAGGAAGCAGGCGGATCTCGTCGTGGCCGAATCACTCAATTGCGCTGCTTGAAAGACGGCGTTGAGAAATAGATGGTTTGCGCGGCTGGAGTGACGCATTTCAAAGTTGCATTAGAGTTGGTCTGCTCTGGGAGCGCCTCATGAGTGTGTATATCGGCCTGTCAAGTTTGTAACTGGGCAGTCAGAGGTTATTATGATGACGATTATTAGTATTTATTTGGTATGAGTTCTTTGGTATGTTGGTAGAGAAATATCGGCCCGAGAGCCGTGGACTGCTTGCTGTAGGAGATGCTGTGGTAAGCTGTCCGATGTGCGGAATAATCCAGATGGAGGTGACATGACGTGGTTAAACCGGGAGGTTGGGTGGGTGAGTACGGAGTACTCCGTACTTGGTGGCTCTGGTTGCCTGGCCAACAGGGGCCCACCGAGGCGCCTTTCAACTTACCCCACAAATTCCAAGCTCCATTGTCAACATCAAAGCACCAGGTTCATGGTTTGCCTGTCAACAAAGCGCGACTCCTTCACACACAGACAGCAGGCGGTCAGTCGCATTGCCTCGCACCTTCAATATAATGCACTTTCTTCCCCGGATTTTCGACCACTGCACATAGCCAATACTAACCCCAGCCCTTGCACACACACACACCCGCCCTCTCTCCCTCTTTCTCCCTCTGCCGAGCCTCAGCAAGCACACCCAAGCAAGGCAAGATGGATCCACCAGCATCACCCAAGCGAGTTACTCGATCGAGAGTTGCTCCCAGGAGCAGTGCGACCTCAGGTACTGCAGCCTCTGCAGCCAAGTCCAAGTCTGTCGCCACTGCGCCAAAGACCAGGGCCACGCGAACCGGCACTGCTGCTGCCTCCACCACCAAGCCTTCTACCCTCACCGCACCGTCAACAAGGACGTCGGTCAAGCGTAAGACGCGCGCCGACGACGATGAAGGTGACAGCGAGGCCGAGACAGCCCCTAAACGCCAGCAGCCCGCGTCTAGGACTGCCGTCAGAGCCACGCGCGGCCCAGGCAGGCCCAAGAAGATTGTCGACTCCGAACCAGTGCCTACCCCCGCACCTGCGCCTGTCCGAGCTACACGGGGCAGACCACCCAAGAAACCTGCCAAAGAGGCAGTGAAAGAGGAGCAACCGGCAAGGTCTACTCGGACAAGGGTCGCAAAGACACAAGATGGCGAGGATGATCCTGCAGACGTCGCTGAACTAGCAGCACCGGTCAAGAAGGCCACCCGCGGTCGTCCTGCTGGCAGTACCAAGGCTGCAAGTGCGCAAGCTTCCAAACCTGTGAAGAAGACAGTTACTTTTGCAGAGCCTGACAAGGAGAATCTCGCACCCTCTGCAGCATCCAAGCGCAAGCCCGCAGCTACCAAACCTGCCGAACCCACCACCACTGGCATGCGAGCGAAGCCCGTGCGAAAGCCCACAGCTGGCCGTGCCACCAGGACAGCCGCGACGAAGAAGCTCGTCCGCGACGTCGAAGACAAGGCTATGCCCCTGAGCCCTAAGAAGGTCACGCAGTTGTCAGCGAACAGGGACATTGACACCGAGTCGGAGGATGAGCTGGCTATGGACCGCACGCCTGCAAGGGCTTTCCGCAAGACCCCAGTGAAGCCTGCCGTCGCCAAGAAGCTCAAAGATGAGGTAAAGGACGACAACCTACCCTCAGATGAAGAGACAGAGGCATTGGCCCCTACCGAGCCCACGGTATTGCTTGGTAGCCCCGTGCGCAGACCGCCTCCGTCGCCTTTCAAGGACTCGATGAAATCTCCTGCAAAGAGGATCGACGGCCTCCAGTTGGGACTGCCCGCAATCAAGGAGTCCATCCAGTCAGGCACCTCCCCATCCAAGGCCTCCTTGTTCAACTCGCCTGCAAAGCGATGCCCTCTGCCGATGAACCCTCTTGATCTCGACTCATCCAGCCGACATGAAGCAATTACTGCTTCTCCGTTCAAGCAGTCCCTCTTCTCATCCCCAGCCAAGCGACCTTTCTCGCCCATGAAGACCCCGAGGCTGCCAGAGCCTGAGCCGGAGAGCGTAGCAAAGTCTCCTGCTCCAACGCCCGTATTGCTTTGCACCCCGTTCGAAGCCCCTGCACCCGAGGAACAAGAGCAAGCCGATGCGCCTGAGGCGGATGCCGAGCCTGTGGAGCCTGCTTTTGATGATGAACTGACCGATGATGATGACGATGCCCCGTCTCCTTCAGGCGCGGAATTCAACGGCCGAATGTCCACGGTCCTGCCTCGCGATGCGGATCCCACATTGACCATTGATGAGCCTCTCGGGAATGAACCAACTGAAGGCGAGGATGATGACCAGGAAACGGTTGTTCTCGAGGATGAGCAGGAGCATGAGGACGTACAAGAGGACAACGACGTCGGAGACGCTCAAAACGAGTCTATGGTTTTGGATGAGGTTGTGGTGGAGAGCGAAACCATTGCTCACGACAGCATTAGTACCACGCCACCAAACTCGCCTCCCAAGCAGGCACTGAGCATGTTTGGACTTCAGCCAAGGGAAAGTGTCTCGTTTGACATGAGCTTCACGGAGTCCGAGGATGAGCTCACACGCGTGATGACCCCGAAGTCGGCTTCTCCCACCAAACAAATGAGAGGCAGCACCATGAGGCCCCGGACTTCTGGGTTTGGGTTCACCCCCTTGGCCCAGCGCTTCGACTCGTGGCAAGCCGGAAGCCCACTCAAGAACGAGCTAAAGGCTACAACTCCAAAGGGGGCCGAGGCTGCACCTTCGGCAGATGCTCGCAGCTCACCGTTGGAAAACAACTTCTTCGAAGCTGAGATGTCGGCCCGCCCCGACCCAGAGGCCAACGACTCAATCAATGAGGACGACCCGCTGGCTAGTGTCCCCGAGATTAAGGATCCCGTGATTGAGGACATCTCTATAACAGATGAGGACCTGGACCTCGCGGCAGAGGCGAATGAGATGTCTATGATGTCCCATGAGCAAGTCGAGTCGATGCTCAACCTCGACGGCCGGGACGACACCATGTCAGATGCCAGCCAGGAGTATGGAGACGAGAACGAGGTTCCTGCTGGACTTTCACACAACGGCACAGTTCCCGTCACCCCACAGCGAACACTTCGTCGCGAAGTCCACACGGTGTCCAAGATACCCTTAAAGCCTGCAGACGAGTCTACCCCGCCACCACAACCGTCTCTGAAGAAGCGGAGGCACAGCATCTCTCGCCTTCCCGTGACGCGACCGACCCATGGCCTCACGAGGAGTGCCACTGTCATTTCTTATTCGCCCTCGCACAAGCTGACTGTCGAGCCTGCCTTCGAGGAGGCGGCTGAAGAGGAGGAGACTCGTTCACGAGCTGGGTCTCTGCCTCCTGTCACCCCCACCAAACCCGAAGGCTGGTCCAACGTATTCACTCCTGGCCGAACTCCTCGCCAAGATGTAAACCCCGCCCTGCTCCGAGGTGCCGTCGTCTTCGTCGATGTCCACACTGAGGAGGGCGCGGACGCCAACGCTATTTTCGTTGAGCTTCTCACTCAGATGGGTGCTCGGTGCGTCAAGTCCTGGAACTGGAACCCCAGTGATGAGGACGCATCTTCCAAGATTGGCATCACTCATGTGGTGTTCAAGGATGGCGGAAAACGCACCATGGAAAAGGTGCGCGAGACGGGCGGTGTTGTGCAGTGTGTTGGTGTGTCATGGGTCCTCGAGTAAGCAGCCCGTCCCTCGGTTTCCATCACTTTGTATCTGAACTTTTGCTAACACTGGCCTCTAGCTGTGAGCGGGAGAATGAGTGGCTTGAGGAGGCCCCTTACTACATCGACACATCGCTTGTGCCCCGCGGTGGTCACCGCCGCAGAAAGTCCATGGAGCCTAAGGCCCTTGCCAATCACAACGGCACACTAATCACCGATTCTGCTATGCGCAAGACTTCGGCACGTGAGAGCCAGGGCGCCCCGACTACGCCTGCACCGGCAAACCGCCGCGACAGTGCCCTCTGGATGCACTCTCCCGACTTTGAGGATGACGAAGGCGGTGAGGATGATGGACACTTCCAGAAGTTCTACGACGACCACGAAGACTGGTTCGACGCCGCGCCGCTGACTCCCGTGCCCAAGACCCCTGCACCAGAGGCCATCCGCCGGTTCGCCACGCAGGCCACACCGGGCGGCGCGGACATGTCGGCCAGCGAGGCCGACGACGAGGAGGATGAAGAGCTCTCGCAGGAGCAGCTTATCCAGAGGACGTGCCCGCCCAAGGCGCAGCACATGTACGAGAACCTGGGCGCCGGGATCCTGGGCCGGAGCAAGGACGAGAACGTGGTCAGGCGCCTGATGGACGCCCGGCGCAAGAGCCTGGCGTTCGCACCTAAGGTGTCAAGTCCGCTGGCCAAGAGCTGGAAGGACTGGAATTGAAGTGGAGGGGGACGGGGCTGTACCTCTCCTGGCCTTGCACGCTTGCTTCAAAGTTTTGAAGCCTTGCACCATTCGTTTTGCATTATTAGCATTTAAGCCTGTCTGGTTTTCAGGTGCTGGCGGTCGGCGTTGAGCGGGATGGTTAGGCACAGGAGTTTGTCTGATTTCTTTTGGTGGATAGCCTCTCTTACGGCGTTTGCTAGACTCACCAGGTTGGTGATGGGACACTCAGATCTTGTCCTCATGAATCATGTTTGTGGTCAATTATTGCTGCCTCCTTACTCGGCTTTTGTGAAAAGAGAAAGCTTGAATGTGATCACCGTGTCTGTCAGTCTAGACTTGGCGCAAGCGGTCCGCAACACTATATTGCGAGACCGACACTGGCATTTCATGAGCCCTTTCATGTGTCAGCGGGATGCCATGAGCTCTCATTTCCGGCGAACCTTTTGGTTTTAGAGAACGACTAAGAAGCAGGCCAGGTTCGCCAGAAATCTGTCTGATGGTATCGCAACTATCACTCATCTAGACTTTCTCCACTTACGTCCCCTGCCAGATCGGAGGAACGCTCCTGACGAGTTCAAGTGCGGCCATATCGGAACAGCCAGGCATCTTCTTCACTGACTATCGTTCCTCAACTTCACTTTCCAGCCACTTGGCTTGCTTGTCGCCACAAATACGTGCGCCTTTTTCTAGCGGGTTTGTTCATTCTGCTTCTCTTCCGACGCCCGTTGCTATAACCTGAGGAGTACCAAGCTCCTGAAGCACTAAAGAATGAGGACGACCCCATGAGCACTTTCCAGTGCTTTCGAATCCATACGAAAGACATAAAAAAACAAAAGGCCCAAGGATGAGGCAGACAACGACAGTGAAGCAATCATGTCCATTTATTGACTCAAAGCTGACACGACTCGGGGTCTCATCCAGAATCAATGATAGGATTTCGAAGTTCGAAGAAAATTCCAAGAGTGAGATAAGATAGAAGGAGGGCTTTTACAATACGTCGACATATTGAGGAGTGACGAGCCCTGGAGCTCAGCATGTTTTCCCAAGACATCTACAAGGAGCATGGTTTGATTTATTCATGCGTATTAGTGTTTAGAAAAGTGAGTGGCCCTCTAAAAAGAGCCTGCAAGTAATTGAATGAATGGGAATTGAGCAATGAACCCGGTATGGCATTGGTGTGTTGCGCAGGCAACGGAAGCAGAGTAACTGAGTACTTCACCCCGAATCAACCAACCAACGTGTGGAGTTTGGTATACGAGTGGCTGGCTGCATATGTTCATGAAAGTCCAGAAAATTTCTTCGATGCCATGCCAGTCTCAAATTGAGAGATCACCTGGGCAGGTAAAGCGTGCAGACCTGGCAGGCACCTGTCGTTTGTACTTGGCCGCAGCTTTCACCCTCGCGCCACACGTCAACAAACACTTGAACTTTCTGGCACAACGGCACTTTTCTTGTTTTCTGACAACACTCACAGCCAATTGCGAATTTGTTGAGTACCGCCGCTTCGCAGTGGCAAGCGGATTGTTGATCTTTCTCAAGACACAAGAAGCTCTTGTCATTCCCATCTGCCCAATTGCCCACAATCTGCCTTTTACTTCCCGAGGTCAACATTCGATCTGAATTGTGATCAGCCCCACACTCAATTCCCTACATCGCGTCTCTATCGTGGCGCCGACGCGTCGATCTGCACAAGATGGTTTCGCATACTGATCCAGTCAAGAGCGTTGCCATCAACGGGGTCGGCCCCAACGGTGTAGACACCCATCCTACGCCCAAAATGAACATCAGCCCCACCCTTGAGGATCTCCAGACCGACGAACAGCGTCGTGTCCTTGATACGGTCTCTCAGGTCAGGAAGTGTGGCCTGGAGAGCGTGCTTTCTCTTCCCCAGATCGTCGTTTGCGGTGACCAGTCATCGGGGAAGAGCTCTGTACTCGAGGCTCTTACCGAGATCCCTTTCCCTAGCAACGACAACCTATGCACGCGCTTCGCAACCGAGATCTGCCTCCGACGTGATCCAATCGACAGCCTTACAATCCGGGTTATTCCTGACGGCGACCGCCCGCAGAATGAGCAACAGAAGATCAAGAACTACTCTGAGTCGATTGCCAATTTCGAAGACCTTCCGAAGATGATGGACAACGCCATGAAAGTGATGGGAATTTCTGAGGGAGGCAATGCGTTCGCCAAGGATACCCTGAGCATTGAAATCTGTGGCCCGAACCGACCTCAACTCACCCTTGTGGACATACCCGGCCTTATCCAGTCGTCTACAAAGGGTGTTTCCGAAAGCGACGTGGCACTAGTTGCAGAGATCACAGAACATTACATCAAGCAGCCAAGGACTATTTGCCTTGCTGTCATCGCGGCTACAAACGATGCTGCAAATCAGCCCATCCTTCAGAGAGTTCGGAAGTTTGATCCAAATGGTGATCGCACCTTGGGTGTGATCACAAAGCCTGACAAGCTGAGCGCCGGATCAGGCTCGGAGTCCAAGTTTCTTGAGCTTGCTCGAAACGAGGACGTCTTTCTAAAGTTGGGATGGCACGTCGTCAAAAACCGAAAGTTTGAGGAGAAAGACTTCTCAATTGAGGAGCGTAAATCCTCTGAGACATTCTTCTTCAGCACGTCCAACTTCAAGGCATTGCCGAAGGACAATGTTGGAATTGACGCCTTGCGACTGCGTCTCAGCTATCTTCTCTTCGAACATGTCAAGCAGGAGCTGCCTCGCCTGCAAACCGACCTCGAGCGCGCATTGCAGATGGCCCAAGCCGAGCTGAAGACTCTTGGGAGCTCCCGAGCGACCCCCATGGAGTGCCGAGCTTTCCTGACGCAGCTCAGCATGGAGTGTTACGATATCTGTCGTTCAACCTTGGACGGCAACTACGAGAACCCTTTCTTCAAGCCAGGTACCAATAGTACCGAGTCCAATGGGACTGGAAATTCTGATCAACCCAAGAAGGCCCCAGTACTGGCCCCAGTACGACGCCTACGCGCAGCGGTACAGCTCCTCAATTGCGATTTCGCCAACGCTATCGATACTATAGGTCACAAATATGTATTCGGAACTCAGACGTCCACTCCCTCGACTCCGAAGCTCCTCCCTCCAAAGGAGGCGAAATCCTGGGCTAAACAGAAGCTTCGACTTGCACGTGGCACCGAATTGATCGGAAACTTCAATCCGCAGGTGATTGGAGAGATGTTTTGGGAGCAATCGGAACCCTGGGAAGCCTTGGCCAAACTTCATGTTGAGAGCATCAGCAAGCTTTGCACCAGGTTCCTCTGCATTCTTTTGGACTCTCGTACCACACATGAGTTGAAGGACAGAATCTGGTAAGCTGATTTTCCCATTGATTACTATTGAAAGCGATGTCTCCTAGACTTGTCTGTGCGGCACGAGGCTGAGCCCACGTGCCAAGAGACGTATTGAATCCTCTCTGCACTGCTATTGGCGTTAAGTTGTTTGTTGTTGTTTTTTTGGAGGGGAAAAAAAAACGCTGGGTCTTCAGCGTTTACCACTGTATGGACGCGCCACATACGCTGATATGTGTGGGGATCGGAAACGAAACCATCTGAATACTTTTGAGGATCAATACTAATGCCTTTAATGCCAGGACATTCATGGTCATGGATGCGATGAAAGCCCGTGAGCAGGCGGCATTGCAAGAGCTTGCGAAGCTCATCAAGGACAAGAATGCTGTTCCGATCAACTACAACCACTACTACACGGACAACTTGCACAAAGCTCGTGGAAAGAGGCTTGGGGATCAGCTAGAGAAGCACGCTCCGGCCCCCCCTATTCAGCAGAACGGGCCTAAATGTAGTCTGGGAAACCATTACTACCAACACCAGATCGACCCAACGGGGGGGGTGAGTCGAGCTGTCTCGAAGTGGACTGACGAGGCCAGCGCCGACATGGAGGAATTCAGCTGCGAGGAGGCACTAGATTGCCTGAAGGCGATATACAAGGTAAGTTGCTAAGGACGTCCTTAGATGTTTCCAGAACCGTTCTGTCTTGTAGAACCAATTTGACAATGTCAAATAGGTCCAACAGAAGGTCTTCGTGGCCAACGTGACGGTCCAGGTCATCGAGCGCCACCTTCTGGCAGACCTCAATGAGATCTTTTCGCCAATGGTTCTTCTCAACATGTCCGACGACAAGGTTCAGATCATCGTATCTGAGCGCGAGTCTACCAAGCGCCAGAGAATCTTCCTTACTGATCGAATCACGAAGCTTGAGCAGGGACAGCGGATCTTCCGAGGTGTTCTGGGCTCCTGAATGTGGCACAAAATTTCACAGTGGGTTCTTTGAGGAACATTTGTGTCGGGATTTCTCATAATTCGTTGTTGTTGTCAACCGTCCACCGCTGTGCTACACAATATTGGAGAGCAGGAAAATAAGTGCCTTTTTATTGTTCATAGAAGAAAAGGTGTTGGCCTTCCGTCCGGCTTGGGGTGCCATGATCCACGGATTTTTTGGCGGGGAAACATGCCTCGAGGCCCAACCAGGAGCGGGTGCACATCCAGTCTCTGCAAAGGACAGGAATTGAGGTTTTCATTTTGGCACATCGAGGAAGCTAGAGAGGACTTCGTAGTCATCGACAGCAAAATCTGGTTTGCTGCTGCTGCTGGATCACTACGTGGAAAAACTGTTGTTAGCTAGCCACAAATGTACGTTGGAGTGAAGGCGACCTGTTCAGCGGGCTGTGAGGATGTGATGGCAGAGGTAGTATCCTGGAGGGGTTGACGCTGCCTGACAACTGGTTTCGAGGCCAAATTTAACCACAGACTTGGTCTTGCTGGCCAAAGCACATCTCTCTCGAGTTTAGAATGCAGTGGCCGGCGTGATACGATTGAGAGCAGAGCTTTGGTGTTTAAAGTGAACGGGCAGGTCCTGTCATCGCGAAATTCCTCTTGCTCGTGTGGGAAAGATAGCTCGAGCGTCGAAGGAACGACCTTGACACATGTTGAGTTTTCTAGGCACACATACTCATCCAATATATCCCAGCGTCGTCCCAGGCGAATGGATTCCAGCAGCGCCCGCCCAACCCTCGGGGGCCCTCGAAGCCCGTCTCGGTCGCACTATTTTGACACAAGACATATACCATCATCTAGTATAACTTTTCATAATCTGGCCGGCCGCGCTTGCCTCTCACGGTGTACCTAGCACAACCTAACGCCGTCCCGATGCAGAATCTCTATGCGCGAGCAATGTTGCCCAATCACTTCACCGCAATGAAAGCCCTCATAGCCTTGACCGCGTCACCCTCGTGCTGCTTAAGCAGCTCGGTAGCCTTTGGCTTTGTCAGGTCCAGCTCGTCCACCTGCGCAGAGGATTATGTCAGTTACGTCCCCGGTGTCAGGCCGGACCCGTTCTCGGGGGAGACTCACCAGCAGGGTGACGTCGGCCGCGTCGACCTTGACCTTCTTGACGTCCTTGTTCTCGGCCGTCTTCGACACGCTGAGCTTATTCATGGCCTTGCTGAGGCCCTCGGAGTCGACCGAGGCGCCGGTGACGTCGTCGTCCCTCGCATCGAGCTTGGACAGGGCGGCGGCGGCCTTGCGGTCCTCGGCGGACTTTGCCTTGTCCTGGACTTCTTCCTCGACTTCGCCGGTGGCGCCCTCGACGAGGCCTGGCGGTTGCTTTTCCTCTGCCATGACTGTGGTGGTAGGATTTGTGGTGGTGGTGCGTGGTTTGGGGCGGAATCGTCGCGAGGTGGCTCTTCGCGGTGTCGTTGCTGCAACTGTCGAACATGGACGGGCAGAATGTGGGGGTGGGGCTCGAGCTGCCAGGGTCTTACCCTGACAGGCGTACGAGCACTACCCTCCCCCAGTGCACAGTGGGTGGTGAACTAAGGTTCCATGGTTTGCTCCATTAGCAGCCGCATTTAGCCTTTTCATTCAAGTCCAATTTTAGACAAGCCTCGAGAGCACTTGACGGAGTTATTCTTCTCACGCCCTGAGTCACTACTTTTCCATTCTCCCAAGACAGACCCCAGAGTCCCTCGCCTAGGCGAGCTTTAAGTCTCAGGGAATTGATTTCAAGTAAGATTGCGAAGGATTCTGATGCAAGCCACATGCATGCTGACTCAAAATACCAGACTCTTTCAATTGTTGAGTCACTCGCTGCTCATTTACACACTTAGACTACACACTTACACCCAACGGAGTGTGAGACCCACCCACCACATACCATCACCCTCAGAGACTCGCCACAAAGACTCAAGCACACAACCACAGCCATTGAAGCAAGCCACCATGTCGTCACCTCCAAACGGGAACGACACAAGCAGCAATGGCTGGACCCCAGGCTCGTGGCGGTCAAAGCCCATCAAGCAGTGCCCCGAGTACCCAGACCCAAAGCCGCTGGAGAAGGCCACGGCCGAGCTGAACCGCATGCCACCGCTGGTGACGCCCAAGGAGATCCTCACCCTCAAGGCCCACCTGGCGGATGTGGCCCGCGGCGAGGCCTTCCTGCTGCAGGGCGGCGACTGCGCGGAGCTGTTCGACTACTGCAACCAGTCTGCCATCGAGTCCAAGATCAAGCTGCTGCTGCAGATGAGCCTGGTGCTGATCTGGGGCGCCAACAAGCGCGTCGTGCGCATCGGCCGCATGGCCGGCCAGTACGCGAAGCCGCGGTCCAACCCCACCGAGAACGTCGGCGGCCGCGAGGTCCCCTGCTTCCGCGGCGACATCCTCAACGGCTTCGACCTGGACGAGCGCGACCTGGACCCGGGCCGCCTGGTCAGGGCCTACCACCACTCCGCCGCCACCCTCAACTACGTGCGCGCCGCCCTCGCCGCCGGCATAGCAGACCTGCACCGCCCGCTCGACTGGGAGCTGGGCCACGTGCGCGAGCCCGAGCTCAAGGCCAAGTACAGCCGCGCCGTCAACTTCCTGACCAACATGATGAGCTTCATGGAGACCGTCGGCGCCTCCGGGTCCAGCTCAAACCTCGACACCGTCGACCTCTTCACCAGCCATGAGGGCCTGGTCCTCGAGTACGAGCAGCCGCTGACGAGGGCCTTCTCGGACGCCGCCATCCACGGCACCCGCAAGGCCGCACGCACGGCAACGGGCACAAACGGCGAGCAGCAGCAGGCAGAGACCCAGTACTTCGACACGTCAGCCCACTTCCTCTGGATCGGCGACCGCACACGGCAGATCGACGGCGGCCACGTCGAGTTCTTCCGGGGCATCGCGAACCCGATCGGCGTAAAGGTAGGGCCCTCGACGCCCGTGTCGGACCTCCTCGAGCTCCTGCGCGCGCTCAACCCGTCCCGCGAGCCGGGCAAGGTGACGCTGATCACGCGGTACGGCGCCTCGAGGGTGCGGTCCCTGCTGCCCTCGCACATCCGCGCGGTCGAGGACTCCGAGTACCGGCGGTGCGTGGTGTGGCAGTGCGACCCGATGCACGGCAACACGCGGTCGACGGCCAACGGCGTCAAGACGCGCCGCTTCGGCGACATCTTCAGCGAGCTGCAGGAGACGCTGGCCATCCACAAGGAGGAGGGCAGCTACCTGGGCGGCGTCCACCTCGAGCTCACCGGCGACGCCGTCACCGAGTGCGTGGGCGGAAGCGTCGGGCTCGACGAGGACGACCTCGCCGCCAACTACACCAGCTTCTGCGACCCCAGGCTCAACGAGAAGCAGGCCCTGGAGCTGACCTTCCTGATCGCCGACCACTTCCGGAATGAGAGGCAGGTTGCTTGAGTGAGATCCGGCTGCCTCTTGCGGGGGCTCTAGGATGAACATGGGGGAAAGTCGATACATATTGGACAGCAAGGGACAGGCAAGGCGCTTCGGTCGTTGGGATTTGGCATTGGGAAAAAAAGTTACGCTGGGAAAAAGGGAAGAAGAAACTCGGACATGATCAGGGTTGAGGGTTTTATGAGACAAGAATTCAAATCATCTATTGCAACGACCCCCCCCCCCCCCTCGGCTGCGCATCAGTCATGCCAGCACAAATATTCCACTCCCATCACCGACAGATTCTATCCGCCCCAAAAGGCCCTGGAAATCATTTGGCCTACATCCTTGCACCCCTCACAAGCACTACAGCTTGCAGAACCTATGACCCTCTCCGTCACCAGGCCAACGCCCGCACCTTCACAGAGACAAGATCGTCTGGGCGCCCTCGAAGGCGTCCCCGGCCTCGAGCGTCTGCCATCCCTTCACGCTGCCCGCCTCGACGCAGATCATGTTCTTGTAGCCGTCCTTGGGCGCGAAGTCGCCGATGCCGGCAGCCTTCTCGGACCAGGGGTTCCACACCACGAGGTCAGTCAGGTTGTCGCGGACGACCGAGAAGACGGGCTTGCCGCCCTCGATGACCTTGACCGGCTCGCGGGGGCCCTTGGCGGGCGTGTAGACGCGATCTGTCTCGCCGGTGATGGTGACGCTGGACGACTGGGTCTTGGTCTTCAGGGAGTCGACCTTGTCGATGTACTCGGAGGCGTCGAGGCCCTCGACCGAGACCTGGGTGATGTCCTGCGGCGATTGATGTTAGCAACATCCCATCTTAGATGGGGTTCCTGATCCTACGCACCTTGACCCTCAGATAAGTGTGCGCAAGCACCTGGAACTCCCAGGGCTTGTCGTCCTTGTTGGTGATGACCAGGGCGGTGGCGAGGCTGGTCCGCTCCAGGGTGACGCTGTAGATGATGTCGAACTCGTAGGGCCACAGCTTCCGGGTGTCGGCGTCGAGCGAGGAGCTGCTCAGGCCAAAGTCGAGCTTGACGGAGAGGTCCTCGGCGGCCGAGTTGCTGGCCGACTCGCTGGTGGACTTGCCCAGGAACTCCCAGCGCGACGAGCGCGCGAAGCCGTGCTGCGGCAGCTTGGACGTGGCGGCGTGGTCGGGCGCGGTACCAAAGACCTATATCGGGGAGGTGGGAACACCTCGGGTCAGCCCAGGATCCACCCTGTATGTCCTGTGTGAGCTTACCGGAAAGACGAGCGGGATGCCTCCCCTGACGGCCTTGCTCCCGTCCAGCGCGGCGCCCTCGCTCAGCCAGAGCTTCTCGCTGCCGCCCGCATCCTTCCAGCTGAGGACGGTGGCGCCGTGCAGGAGGACCTCGACCGACTCGCCAGTGGGGAGTGCAGCCTTGACGCGGCCGTCTTCGATGTTGACGGTGGGCTGGGCGTGGGATTGCTGTGGCGTGGCTGCCAGAGCCGAGGGCTTGTTGGGACGGTCGACCATTGTGGTGTTTGGGTGTGTGGTGTTTGGGTGTGGGCGTATGTTTCTTGTGTGCACGTCTGGTATCAGCGGGAGTAGGCTGTGGTAGCAGCTGTGGCAGCAGGGGCAGGAACAGCAGTTGTAATTGTTGTTGCGGTGGTGGTTGCAGGTCAGGTCAGCTGTTCTGGGATGTGCCGTGCAGCTGGTCAAAGAACAGGCCGACGGAAGCTGTGGTGGGCTGAGGCCGTAGGCTGAAAGGCGGGATGGGATTCTATAGGATCTGCTCCTGCCCTGGGGGAGCTTGCCTGTTGGTAGATTCCCTATTGTGTTTTGTCTTTGTGTCAAAGGAGCTTGATCCCCTGTCTCGATACCTGAAGATGTCATGGCGGGGTAGACCGTCGCAGCCGCTCCCTCCCTGCCAGCCTGGACCCCTCCGAGCCCTGCCCTTGCTGCAGGTCGCCCCATCGCACTGTAACTGCAACCGCAGCCCCAGCTGCCCCTGCTGCTGCCAGGCAGCCACACAGCCCAGACGACAGGCAGGGCAGCAGGGGTAGCTAGGTCGGCTGAGAGACACGGCCGCCCCCCCCAGGCCCCCCCTCCCCTCCCCCGACGAAACATATCCATCTGACCTTTCCCTTCGCTGTGCAACACCGCCGCAAGCAACTCCACCCAGCAATTGGCAATGTCTTAGCCTGAGGTGGCACAATTGCTCAATACACCGCTACTGCTACCAATAACACAATCTATTCCGTCTGGGCCCACGTAAACTTGACTGGCTGGCTCATCATGGAATATCATTATGAACTACCGCAACCGCCCGGTTGCCCTTCCCTTTTTTTGGTATGCATGTTCGCCGTCATTTGACCTGACCGCGTGGTATCCTGTACATCATTTATTTACATGAGCCCAAGTGCCCAAACTCCCCATAGTAATAACACTCATGCGCCATGCATGCCATCGCCCGTCTCTATTTCCTCCCCCGCCTCTCCGCACGGTACAACTCTTGCTTCATGTCCATAAACATATCCTCAAGCTGGTTTGTTTCGTCTCTCGTCAGGTCAGCAGACCGCAAGAGGCCCAGCCCGTCCTGGAGTAATAGTTGGAGCCGGTCAAACTTGCTGGCACCACCTTGTACAGCCTCGGAAGGCTGCTGTTGCGGCACCGCTTCCTCGTGCAATGCCTGCTGCGAGTGCTCCGCTGGCTCCTCAAACTGTGCAACCAGGTCGGCTTCAAGCTGTGCAGATGCGACCTTGTCTAGCAAGGCCACGGCTTCCTTTTCAGCAGATGCCTCGTCTCCCTCCCTGGCAAGCTGAGACTGGACAAGCTCTTCATCATCAGCGTGCTCCGAGACTTCGCTCGTCTGCTCGTCTGGCTCCTCCTGGGTCAGTTCCACCGGCCCGAGTAATGCCGTGGGAAACTCCTGAGAAGCTGATGGATTGCTAGGCGAGCTCCTTCGGCTCGGGCCGGATATTAGTGACCCTTCGTGCTCATAGACCTCGGATGTGAGCATCTCAGCGTCGCGCCCTGTGATATCAACGTTAGCAGCTTGGACTGGCAGAACTGCCCATCTGTACAGCGATTCAACATACCTTGTTCAGCACCGGCAGCAGGCTGGCCACCAGGGACATCCGTCTTGTTCTCTTTGAGAACGGAATCCTGACGGCCGCGTTTCTTGTCGCCGCTACTGTGCATGGAGACTGAGCGCTTGCGCTTCCTGATCCAAGTCCCGCTGCCAGGTGAAACATTCTCGAAGCCCTCCTGAAGGCTCGCCATCGCCAGCTGAGTAAGAGGTGTCCGGGGTCGGCCCACCGAGCCCTGCGAACTAAATGACTCCTGGGTGTTTATTGACGCCTGTGAGGGCCTCGAGACCACGTCTCGCCGGGTCCTCCTTGAACGACCTCGGCGCAACTCCCCGGGTGCTACACCTTCGACCGTGATGCAACTCACATCCTTGGCCGCTGCTTCCTCAGATGGCTCTCCTACTGCCTCGGCTGCTTTCGTAATTTTGTCGCCTTCCGATTCAGAGTCCTCCGGTGATTCGGGCAGAATGTCGTCATAGGACGGAATGTCCTTCTTGTTGGGAGAGGTTCTGATCTCGATTTCAAAATGTCCCGTCCCAATGTTCCGCATGCCGTTTTCAAAAGAATCACTGACACTGAATGACTGGCTGTTGCCCTTGCCGCGGGGAGACCTGCGCAGGGTTGTACGTGACGAATCTGGTCTGATCCTCTGGTTCGGCGTGGGTGGTAGAGGGCTAGTCGGGGCATCCACGAACTCGTCGTTGTCAGACTTCGGGGTCGCTTGCAACGCCTTGGATCGTAGAACCCGTCCGGATGGGGTAGCGGGTGACTTGACTGTAGGCTGCTCGGTTGGTGTTCCGACTGGCAGCTCGGCCTCGGCTCCTTGTTGAAGGTAGGTCGTCTCTTCAATCAGTTCAGTGCCCACGGAGAACTGTGACGATGTCACATCTTTTTGCTCAACTGTGCGCCCCCGCTCTGGGACACTGCTCTCAGCGCCGAGCTGCAGTTCCTCATTGACATCGTCCAATTCCATTGGTTGCGACGTGGAATTTGTCACAGGTGCCAGGCTTGGGGAGCCGGTCAACGGAGATGACGAAAAGCGCCATTCATCCAGAGAGTTGGTATTGTTGGCTTGAGTTTTCAGCTCCGCAATCAGGCGGTATCCTCTCGGCTCTGGAGGCGACGATGGCGGGTCAGCGGACAGTTCCTGGTCCTGCACTGGCAGCATCAATGATTGTCCTCTTCGGGGCGTTGGGGTCGAGGTCAGGTAATCTTCGAAAGCACCGTCGTGCTCTGGCGTGGAGGCTCGACCCGGTACAAGCCCGGCGGACTCAGTGGGAAGCTCATGGTGGCTTGCCCCGGCCCTCGCTTTCCTCGTCGCTGTGCTTGGACTCGATCGCATGTCCGGAAACAAAGCAGCAGTGTCCCTCTGTCGCTCGCGTGTCTCTTTCTGGCGTTCCGTGAGTAACTGTGACTCGTACTCCATCGGTGCTGGTGCTGGTGAAGAATCAATCGTGGCAAAATGCAGCTGTGAGTCCTCATGGCGGAGCTTAGGCTTCGGTGTTCGTCCCTTCGATTTGATCTTAGCCAGGGGGCTGCTCTGAGCCACCTGGAGGACGTTCGAAAGGTTTGAAGAGGCTGACTTTCGGGATGTAGACGGACGAGACCGCGAGACTGGTTCTGTCCTGGCGGGTGTGAAGATGACATTGTTCGCGTCTTCCTGTGATTCCACGAAATTGAGTAGCCCATCCGACCCATCGTCTATTATTTCCAGCCCAGGACGGGCGACATCCACAGAAGAACCAAGGCCCATGAGTGCTTCCTTCAATGCCTCTGGATACGGTACGGATTCCGCACGGCCGTAGACATGATTCCACATCTCTGCCGTAATTGTTACGACCCCCAGATGGGTGCTTTTGAACGCAGAGCACAACAGTGGCTCAATGCTCTCAAGCTCAAACTTCTCGGGGGGTATGTCTCTGAGGGCACTGCATATTCGCTCCCACAAGGATTGGGTCTGAGTAGCATTAGCAATAATATTCCAGTTTGCCCGAGGTGTTTTGTGTGAGAATACGTACCGCTTCCACCACACTAGGGAAATCGGCTCTAGTGATACGGCGGTCCTTGTCCTCGAGCCAACATGCAAGTCCGCTTTGTACGGCGACCAGGGTCCGAAGAAGGAGTTGACGGTTTCCACGTTCGAAGAAAGCCTTTGTCTCATCCAGAAGCTGCTCAATAGGCCCTGAGGAATGCGATTCAATGTCAGAGTACAACTTTTTGGACAGGTCAGCAAAAAGCTTGTATATGTTGTCCAGGGGATCGAAAGATGGACGGTTGCCCGCATTCGAGGTGCCCCACAAACGTCGGCGTGCGGCATCAGCCGCTTGCTTGTCACGGGGCTGTGTAGATGCCGCAATAAGCTCGATGGTTGCTCCGATACAGTTTGTCCAGGCCACATCGCCGTTCACGTCAGACATCCTCGCCCTGGCGGTGGCAGCCAGTGGCTCGATAAGCGCAATGGCAACACCCGCATCGCCAGTCTCCTGTCTGATACGGCGCAGAATTGCCTGGAAGAGGTGAAGCCAGTGCTGCCAAGGCAAGCACGGCACTGATCTTAGGCCGCGCTCTAGAACTTTGACGAGATCACGGAATTCTGATCCGAGAAGATTGCCACTCCCCGATGTTGTGCTTTGATGGCTGTGTTGGCTGCTGTCCAGAGATATTGAGATCTTGCCGGCGGCCATCACCCACGGCCCCGACGAGCAAGGGGCATCGACGGGTAGAAGACGTAGAAGTTCCTGGCCGAAATCCGCCTGTGTCTTCTGGGTTTTTCCCTCGAAGAAAGGAGTGAAGACTGAGGCGAAGAACGCTATGAATGCTTCATCGTCAGGAATGCCGGGTGGGAGTTTAGATAGGAGGCAGAAGAGATGCTGCAGAGGTGTGCGCTTGGACCCATGCTTCTTTCCAGACCGGCCTGGTTGTCCACCACTCACAACGAAGTGGCCGTGCTTGGTCTGCTGGAATTGTTTCTCTGCAAAGGGGTTGGGAAGAAGGCCGAGACGCTGGATAAGTGTCAATAGGAACTCTTGCGTGCTGTCCAAAAATTGCGAGGCAGTGCAAGATGTGCCATTGGCTTGAGTAACAGGACCCGTCACCCAAACTTTGTGCAAAAGGGTGAAGGCACTGGCCACGAATTTGGCCGTGTCGTCATGCAGCTTCACATCCTTGGTTGAGGCGGAGGCGACAGATTGAACAAGCGCCTTCCACAGTTTTTGAACTTGGCTGCCAGGCTGTGATAGTTCCGCGAATCCCGTCTCGAGGAGTGGGTTGACGAGTGCAAAGACGCGTTTTGAGTTGGCTCTGATCCATTTTGAATCAATGGCTGGCAGCTCCTCGGCCTTGATCGGACTCTGCCCCATGATTTTGTCCTCACTCCATACACGGCGCGTTTGGCAATCGAACAAACCAGTCAGTATGGCAGCGGCTTGGTTGATAGCCGAAGGGTCTTCCTGGCTCTGCCCAATCAGTCCAAGCATTAGGGGTGCAACAGCCGCATCCCATGTGTCGTCTAGTATCTTCAGGTTCATATCTGGCTTGAAGGCATAGTAGAAGAAGTTGCAGATACTCGATAGGACTGAGTCACGAAGTGTTTTCCGCTTCAGTAGGCTCAGGAGGGGATCTTTGAGGAGGTTGTAAGCCAGGCGCCCGTCCAGATGGAAACGGTACGTGAGCCTGTTCCAAGCAAGGATTGCCTCTCTCTTGACGTGTGGATTTGAGTTGTTGAAACACAGCTGGATGATTTTTGACCAGGAATGAAAGTAGTCCCATTGGTTGGGTTTAGGGATGAATAATGTGACGACACTCCAAATCCGCGGTACCGATGTGGATTGCTGTTGGTTCTGTAGCATGCCGCAAAGACGCTCGCCAAATTCTTCCACAAACTTCTTGTCCTCGAGCGATAAGTTTAGAAGTTCCAAGACCCGGCTGACAAATCTCCAGTCCTTGTTCAAGGTGAAAGCGGCAGAAAACCCAAGCTTGATTGCGGCCGAGCGTATCTCAGAGATACTGCTGAGCATGTCCGTAAACAAGTCCTGGAGCCAGTCTGAGTGGGCCGTCATTTGCTGGGGACACTGTTTTACCAGCTTCTCGTAGACGACGATGCGGCTCTGTACGATGCTCTTTCCAGACAGATGATTTTCGATATTGTGGAGAGCAGACACTAGGCGACCGACGCGGTCACTGTTCATGACCTCAGGGGGAAAAGTCTGTAAGAACAAGGCCTGCATCAGATGCTTGACGACCTCTTTGGAGGCTTGCTCATCCTCAAAGGCGCGGATGGAATGGTCAACCATGAAGACGCCAAATTCGAGAGGAATACTCGAGGCGATGCCGGAGAAATGAAGGAACGTATGCAGAAGTTTGAGCGCGGAGGTCACCAGCTGAATATCAACGGATCCGCATGCCCTGGCGGTGAGATCTCGCTGAATGAACTGCAAGAAGACTGTCATCTTGTTTTGCAGAGCACGGCGATCGGGCAGGTTGCTCGACGTCTTGAGGGCGCGAAAGAGCATGGTATATGCATCGACCTTGCACTCCCTGTCGGCGCCCGCCAGCTGCTGGAGGGTGGATTCCAACATGTCGGCGATATTGGCCTGGTCGGGCTTGTCTTCGCCTAGGTAGACGCCATTCGCAGGGCCAAGCCTGTTTGGTGTGGGACAGGGCTTCAGTATGCCCTTGACGGGTCTTGAAGTACTGGAAGGTAGGGAGATAGGACTCGAATTTTGTCTCGTGGTCGAGCTCCTGGTTTTGTAGGTTGGTGGTTCTTGGTATTGTGCCTGCGAGGAGAACCCGACCCGTTTCCTCCTCGTGGTCGAGCGGCTGGAGGAGGAGGTGGGAGAGGAGATGCCCGGAGGGGTCTGCAAGCTCCTGAGAGGGACGGCGAGCTGCTGTGGCGCAGTCAAGAGCTTTGGGAGGGAGTCGAGTTCATGACCGTGTGTTTCTCGCGGAGGGGTCGGTGGTCGTGCTGGCAAGGATCCGAAGAGAGTCGAGGGCAGTTGGTCGTCGTCTACCGAACCCATTGCTGCAGCCCAGTCGCCGTTCCTGGTCCGTGGGCGGAGGAAACAGCACTCAGCGCCTGTGCCTGTGCTCCTTCACCAAAGACAAAGAGGTTTGTTCCAGAGTATTGTCGCCGTCTGATCATGAGACCAGAACCATGTCCAAAGACGGGCACGACGCTGGCCGTCCTCGATTTGCGGATATCGATCTGCAGTCTGGCGGCGCAGGGCTCCCCGAAACGCGTCCAAGGCAGGATGCTGAGCCGAGCGCGTTTCCTGCAGCTCGCTGAGTCGTGACCGAGCAGGGCGGGTGAGTGGAGGTCGACTCTAGGGTTGGGGGACTCGAAGGGACCGAGGGTTAGAGACGGATGAATTGAAGACGCAATGAAAACCCAGATACGAAGGCAAGGCAATGCAAAACGAAAAACCGAACGGGTGAGAGATAGTCAAGATACAGCCCAAGCTCGTCCCGTACCGAAGCCACCTTGAGCAGTCGAGATGCCTTTAACCAATAGACCGGGTGGCGGGCGGGAAAGCCTCAAAGCATGAAAAGGGTATGAAAGCTTGGGCGGAAAAGTGGGGAGCTTTTGCCCATTAAACGCGACCTGCAGGTCAAGTCGCGTCGAGGTTGCAGCCAGTCCAACACGCCCCGAGCTCAGACCCGTGTCCACGCGATTTTTGTGACGGGTCGCAATCTCAGACCCCCAGACCTGGTGGATGGGAAACCCGGTGGCTGGTGGTCGTGTGCTCAGACGGTGGTGCAGGGATCAGAGGTCTCTGCTGAGATACAGAAGCATAGGGCTCCCCTGCAAGGGTTGCAGCTGGAAGGGGTCGGCAGCCTGGCAGGTGGGAGGCCCAACGCGCCCGAGGCCTAGCGGCACAAGCCAAAATCCAATGACGGCAGTCCCATTGTGTGCATCTTAAAGCTGAGGCAGGAAACATCAAACGTCCCCCTTCTTCCTCTCCTTGATCCTGTCTCCCGTGTCCTCTCGCGCGTGTGCAAGCCTCGTCCTTGCTGCTCGTCTATTTTCCGATATGTCATGATCTCGATCCTGTCCTGACGTTGCTTTTCTACTTTGGTTTTCTGTTTAAAATCCCTGGTCAATTGGGCCTCTTTTCTTTCCTCCTCTCTCCCTCTCCCCTCCACCTTGGACTACTTCCCAGCCAGCCAGCCAGCCCACTTTGTGTGCATAACGTCAAGATTACTCGTCTCACTTCCCTCTCGATACCCTCAGTCCCTTCTGACTGTATTTTTCTTGCCTCCTGTTATTTTTCTAGATCTCATCCTCGTCCCCATCCTCACCTCCGTTCTCTCGCACGACCCCACCGTCGTCAACCCACACTCAAATTCTCACCAACCCTCTCAATTCCAATCTCAACCTGGTGTCCTTCTTGTCGCACTCCAAGACCACCTTCAACCCACCCCTTCAATCGGCCTGCCATGTCATCGGTCAAGCGGAAGGCTGTCGCCCAGGCCGTTGGATCTGACCCGAAAAAGGCAAAGCAGAATGGCAGCATCACCTCATTCTTTGGAGCCCCCAAGGCTGTGCCCGCTGGTGCGAATGGTGGCTCTGCCTCCCGTACTGCTGCAGCAGCGCCTGAGCCTGTCGCCAAGTTTGACAAGGCTAAGTGGGTTGCTACCCTGACTGAGGAGCAGAAACAGCTACTGCAGCTCGAGATCGATACCCTGCACCCTAGCTGGTTGGCCCACTTAAAGGATGAGATCGTGACCAAGGAGTTCTTGGATCTCAAACGCTTCCTTGACAGGGAGGCTGCGGCCAAAAAGAAGATCTTTCCCCCGCGGGAGGACATCTACTCCTGGTATGACTTAAATCCTCGCACTACCATCTACCTACCACTAACATCTTCCCAAGGTCCCGTCACACCCCCTTCAGCAACGTCAAGGTCGTGGTCGTTGGCCAAGACCCCTACCACAACGTGGGTCAGGCCCATGGCCTGGCTTTCTCCGTCAGACCGCCCACCCCTGCGCCACCTTCTCTCAAGAACATGTACACTTGTCTCAAGAACGACTACCCTTCTTTTGTGCCACCACCAAACCGTGGTGGCCTCCTTACCACCTGGGCTGACCGTGGTGTACTTCTGCTGAACACCTGTCTGACGGTGCGTGCTCACGAGGCAAACAGCCACGCCAACCGTGGCTGGGAGCGCTTCACCCAAAAAGTGATTGATCTCGTAGCGGCGCGGCGGACGTCCGGCGTGGTTTTCATGGCCTGGGGCAACCCAGCTGGCAAGCGTGTGCAAAAGGTTGACAGAAAGCGGCACCTTGTTCTCCAATCAGTGCACCCAAGCCCGCTGAGTGCATCGAGGGGGTTTTTCACTTGTGGCCATTTCAAGAAAGCCAATGAGTGGCTATCGACTAGATATGGAGAGGATGGCGAGATTGATTGGAGTCTTGGCAAGCACGACACGCCGACCACGACGAAGGGACTCGCTGCCTTGGCGGCCAAGCAGGCAGACCTCGATGATGGTGTGGATGAGGATTGGGAGGCCGAGGCCGAAGCGGCCGCTGCCATCGTCGACGCCGAAAGCAAGGCCAACGCCATGGGCCCACCACCGACCCCGTCGCCCAAGAAGCAGGGCGAGGTTGGCCTCGAGACCCCGGAGGCGGATGAGAAGACCAGGAAGGGTGGATTGGGCAAAGAAAACGAGAACATCGAAATTCCGGCCTGACTAGCGGCGAGGCTGTTCTACAAACTCCAGTAGACCCAGACGATCGGCTTCCTAAAACACCACGATCAGGGTCTCGTAGGACAGCCTCACCTTACGCGACATGCGCTCAGCATCACGACCGACGCCACAACCACATCACAACCACATCACAACCACATCACAATCACACCACAGTCTGTTATTTTTTGTATGGCGTTTAAGGATTGGAACGTCAACGCCGTCAGCGGGATGGGGATTTTGCATTCGGATAATTGATGATTCGCATGGTACTTTGGATGAACTGTAAATTGGAACCCTCACATCCGGGGAAGCATCATGCTTGAAAGATATGACAGCATACGTTGGGTGACAAGACCCTGACGACTTATGTAACTGTATGAATATACCGTCTTGCGTGGATTGGCACCTTGTCACCATCCCGTGCCTATATTCGTCCAGTGCCATGTACTTTGTTTGGCCTTGAGTTGGCACAGATAGTGAGTCCCTTGGCCCGTCTTCTCGGGTAGTGCGAGTCACCACCTCCTGATATTCATATTGAACATCGTAAACTGCCCTGCCGCTACTCAGTCCTCGGCCAAACACATCTTGCGTTCCTGCTGCGAGTCTTTGGTCTCTACAAAAGCCACGCGGGTTAGTCCGAAGACCTGTAGTTCTCTTCCTGCTTCGAGCGTCAACTGCCATCAGAAGACAATATCAGAGGACTGACTTCAGCATATTCACCCCACATTTCCTCTTGAGAAAGTACACGATAATGCCGACACAATCTGACCAGCACGAGCCCGTGCAGAGAAGCCCATCCGACCACAACACGTCTCAGCAAATCTCGCCGCAGCCCCTCTTTCACCAGCCTTCAGCTCGACAGCCCCCTCCCGGGATGCTTGCGTGCATCTACCAAATACTCTATCCAAACCAGCACGACGAACCAAGGAGAAACCATCCCATCACCTCACCACCACGACCGTCCATATCATACCCCATAGTGCCACCCGATAACAACCCCGTAGACCAATTCGAAAACCCCCGCCCAGCCCCCCTCCCCCCGACTCTCTCCCGTCCACATCTCTCGCCTGCCACGATCTCCGCCCCTATCCCATCCCCTCCCACTCCGTCTCCGTCAACTCCTCCTCCTCCATACTCCCCCACCCCAGACCGAGCCTTGATCAACAGCCACACCAGCAACGCCGCCCACTCCTACGCCTACGCCCACGCCCGCGCGCCCGCCATCAGGAGACCCCTCAGCGTCCCACCGCCCCCGCGCGAGTTCTCCAGCCCCTTCGCGACGGACTTCCCGGACGCCTGCCACTGGTGCTCGCCGCGCCAGTCCCTGCAGCTGGGCCGGTTCGTGCTGTGCAGCGCGTGCCACCGGGTCCGGCACTGCGCCATCGGGCTCGGGGCGGGGCGTGTGGTGTGTAATGAGTGCTTCAGGGTGCACTTTCTTGACGGTAAGGAGTAGACTGTAACGACACGTTTGTGGGTTGTGTCTTTTGGCACAATAGGGAGGACTTCGTTGCTCGTGTGTGAGTAGGAGTGGTTAGTTTTGTAGGGTGACGTAGAAATAGGTGTGTGGGAGACTGTGGGACGCAGTTGCGTTGCTGGTCATCTTAGACGTTTGAAGCTGCTGGTAAGAGTGGCAAGCGACTGTAGTTATGAATGAAGTAGGTCCGTGATACCTTCAGCATAATAAAAAACATTCAAGCAAGAAGAATTTCGACCCTCCCTATCAATATGCTTGTGTTTCGCCATGTATCAGGGATGCGTAACGAATGGTTCTGTCATTTTACACACAAGCCTCACTCTAATCGGCCAAAAAGTTTTCTAATAGTACAGAGACATATAGCCTCCCGATCCCCGTGGAACGCCAAACCAGCGCCGCTTTGCCTTTGTCCAGTGACTAAGTGCTGACCCCCAAGCGATGCGCTGGAAGAAAAAAACAATGACAAAAGGCCCAATGCAACTGTAATGCGCTTTTCGGAGGATGCAAGTGTGTTTGTGCGACCATGTATGCGTATGAGTATGCTGAGCAAGCATCTGGGGCAAAGGCGCGCCCAAGACGAAGCCCATGAACAAACCCGAGGTCCAATGCCCACCCATGTATGAAGACAGCCCAAACACCACACATACACACACACACACATACTCACCAGCCCCACTCCGTAGACAAAAGAGAGAAATTATGGTCGGACCCCAAATAGATGAAATCGAAAGCCCCGAATGGCGGCGAGTGCATCACTCCACTAATGATGTTGATGCCCATCGCCCTCGGCGTGGCCGTGACTGTGGGCGGAATGGCTGCCGGTGCTGGCGCTCTCGACGGCAGTGTCGTCGCCAGACACGGAGCAGCAGCCCTGGCCGACGCAGTCATCGACACACTCGAGAAGACAGCTGTTGTTCCCGGCGGCGCACCTCTGCAGCCCGGTGGGGCCGTCGGCGGAGCCGGCCAGCTGGCGGAGCTGCTGCTCGGCCTGCTCGGCGTGGTCGTGGGACTCGTCCAGGCAGAACTCGGGCTGGATGGTGGCGCTGTGGATGCCGTAGGCGTGCAGGCACTTCCTCACCCGCTTGGCGAGGGTCATGTACTCCTTGCCCCCCGCTTCCGAGATGGGAAATGCGACCTGGATGTGCATGGAGGCGACGATCTTAGAGTCGGACAGCTGCCAGATGTGCACGTGGTGGCACGTCACGACGCCGGGGAGGCTGCCGATGTCCTCCCGGACGTCCTGGACCTCGATGCCCTCGGGCGTGGCCTGCAGCAGGATCTTGGACGTGGCGAAGGTGAGGGGCAACGCGGATTTGAGGATGATGAGCGTGATGAAAAGGGACACGGCTGGATCGGCGTAGTACTTGCCGGGCCAGTCGGTCAGCCAGATGATGAGGGCCGTCACGATGACACCGACGTTCCCGAGGGCGTCGCCGAGGACGTGAAGGACCATGGCGTTCATGCCCATATCGCCATGGTTGTGGCCATGACTCGACTGACCCGGCTTGCGGGGTTTGTTGTGGTTGTGCGTGTGGTGCAGGCTCGAGTCTCTCCGGTGCCTCTTAGGCGGGTGGTCGGCGTGCTTAGCGCTGCCCGAGGAACCCTTCTTCCCAACGAGGGGGGTAGTCTCGGTGGCGGGCTCCTCAGCAACAGCGCTCTCCTCGTCGGTGCTCTCCGACTCGTCTGTTGAGTCATGGGGGCGAGGCCTCGTCGCCGCGATGATATCCTGTCGGAAGCTGGACGGGTAGATGCTGATGTCGTCAATATTAGTGACTTGGTTGCGGCCGCTGCTCGCCCTCCTGCGCGACTTGCCAGCCTGGCCTGCCCTGTTGCTCGTTCTCTCGGGTGTCTGTTGGGCCTCGTCGAACGATATCCGCTTCGATGCCGTCGACGGAGAGCTCTTATGCTGGAATCTCGACACGGCAACCTCGGGGAGAACGTCCAAGATGGGACCGTCGTCCTCTTCCTGGCCTACCCTGCCCTCTTCGGCCTGGCTCAGCTCATCGTGACTGCCGTGTCCGTGGTCGTGTTCGCCGTGGCTGTGATCATGTCCATGATCGCCGTGGTCGTGGTCGTGGTCGTGGCCGCCTCCGTGGTCGTGACCGTGGCCACCTAGCACAACGAAACCAACGAGGTTCGAGGCGAGACCAAAACAACCAACGATGAGGATCAGCTTGGGGTTGGAAATCTCGGGGGGCTCGAAGAATCGCGTGACGGCCTCGAGTACAATGGAGACGCAGAGGGCAATCAGGAAGACAGCGTTGAAGAAGGCGCCGAGGATCTCTGCGCGCAGCCAGCCGTAGGAGTACTTGTCGGTGGTGGCCTTTTGGGCGAGATTGACAGCCCACAGACCGACGAGGAGCGAGATGATGTCGTTGAGCATGTGGAAGGCATCGGCAGTGAGGGCGAGGGACTGGACGACGAAGCCGGTGATGAGCTCCACGAGGAAGAAGACAATGTCGATGGCCAGCATGATGCTGATGCGGGTTGACTTGGACCACGCCATCTTGGCTGTCGCCCGAGGGCTCCCTTCCCTCGCGATGACGCTATCGAGACGGGCAATCGGTGCCCCCGGGTTGCTCCTGGTGACCCCGCTGGCACGCGACGTCGGTGTCTTGGTGTCCTGTTGTCTGTCTGTCTGGTGAGAGAGGTCGCGATCAATGGTGGGGGGTTTGGGGTCCGAATTCGCAAGGTGTGGGTGGCCCTGGTGTTGTCGCACACAGACAAGGCACTAGCGAGCGCAGATAAAAGATATGCGGATAAACTTGTCGGTGGGCGGTGCAGTGAATGTGCACGTAGAGGCAGTGGGCACGACCGACTGGATCTCGTCGCCCGAAGTTTGCTGTTTTCACTAAGGTTCTAAGTTCGCTGGCTGAACCTTGGACAATTCGAGAGTGGAATTCGGCCGGGTCGTGCGTGCCGGTGCAGGCAAGTAGAAGCGACAAGGGCGAAGGATATGGTGCCTAGCCTGGTCGAACTTAATCGCTCTACCAAACTGTGACAGAGTTCGACAGGGATGATAAGAAAAAGAATGAGTGGACGCGTACCCAGCAACCCAGGCCAGACGGAACCCGTCACAGCGTTTATTATAACCGGTCAGAACGGAGACGGAGTAATAAAGACGGGTCAGTTGGGCAGTCGTCTCTTTTTCTAAGCAAGTGGACGACTCGGAGGGGATGACCTGAGAATGCAGATTGCGATTAACCAAGCAGGTGCACTGCATCTGCTGTTGGTGTGCGCCCAACGGATAGTGGAGCCGAGTGAGATGTGAAATGCAGTGGAGATGAGATTGCGACGGAGAGCACCTTGATAGCGCATTACGTGCGGTACGATTGAGCTTTTGCTACAGGGCATTTTCACGGTGGAAATTCGTCCAAACAAAAACATTTGGGACGCTGGTGACATCAGTCCAGATCGTGCCAGGTCACATTCGTCAATCCAACGCCATGTATGGTCTGTCTGAGACCTTTGCCCTTGGGGCCTGCACAACTTAGAACAGCCATGCGCTTTGTGGTCTAGCTCTATGGTTTGTCAGCTCCGACGTCGCCACTTTCAATGTCGCCATATTGCCGCCTCGACCCGAGCAAGTTCTGGAGAAAAGTCTGTCCATTTGTTGAAGCTTAGCTAGCATGATGAATGCGATCAATCACATGCCCTCCCGGGCCCCTGTCCTTTCCTAGGAAACAACTCCTGCCGTGACTCAGCAAACTTGCTCATTTCAAACCGACCGGCTGCTATTACCTTTTCGAGGTGACATGCTTCACATGCATGCCATGCCTCCCACTCCCAACACTGCTCTCCCTTTACTCATAAGAAAATTTGCAAATACCGGCAGCCTATTATTGTACTTGATTTAGTTAGAACTTAGTAGAAGGGGCAGGGGATAGAAAGTCATACAAGTACAAGCGAGCTAGGTTGTACAAATGCTACAAAAGTGAGGCAAGGCACCTACGATACATATGTAGCCTGCGATTCCCCGTCATAGTCACACATTTGACCGGGTGCTTGCTCCAAGTTGCCCCGCAGGCGTGGCCCGCTCAGTACTGAAGAAACAGGTCTCTGCGTGCTTCCTTACACTGGCAGTAGCCAAGCAGTCATTCATCAATGATCGAGCACATCACTCAACCTTGGAAGTCCATGCAAGGAAGGAGTCTCATGGAGTTCAGAGATGCACCCGTCTCGGTGCTTGTATGGTTTTGTTCTCAATCCGTATACATCCCAAAGGCGTACGGCCCCTCGAAGTTTTATTTATATGTAGGGTAGAAGGTGTCGAGCGAGGAGGGCGGAAGAGACATGGTCTCAGCCAGCTAATAATAGTGTATCGTGCTGAGATCCGACGTGATTATGTAGTCCTCCATCCCGTGGAATAAGCACTCTTTCACCGCTGTTCTTGAATCCTAACAAGTCGGTGTCAAAAGTGCCGATCTTGTAGGTATCTTGCGAAGCCACTATGGCAGAGTCCTCGCAGGTCGAAGTCCAAGGACCGAACTCCAAGTCTTCTATGACACATCTGAAAGCCTCTACCGTGGGGGTTCGTCTCGTCACCGGGAAAGCGTGGAAACTCTTGTGCTGAAGTCTCGGTCCGGAATCTCCTCTGTTCTGAAACGTGCAGAGCATGCTTTGGAGAGAGCACAGTGGCAGACATTGCAGGCAAGCTACCTAGGTACGCTGATTGCTGAGCGCTTGCACAACCTTGGATGATGCAAATATGGAGTCAAATTTCGAACAACTCTGAGTCTGCCGCGATGCCTTGTGCCAGCTTCAGCTGGTTCGACAATCCGAGCTGCATTCAAACAACTCCGGCGAGAAGAGCAGCCTACATAGGTACAGGCTTGATATGGGCCAGGCTCATCATGCTGTCCGGTTTATTTACGAGACTTCTTATGGACCATAGGCCTGAGGCACTCATAGTTCTATGCTACTATGCAGTACTTCTGCATCGGCGACACCAAATATGGTACGTGGGCAATGCAGGCCACCTGGGCAACACCTAATTGAGGAGATTTCAAGGTTGCTGGGAACATATATAGAAAGAGGACATCGAATGGCCAAATCAAATGCTAGAAGAACCCCTGGCCTTGTTATGTATGGAACCACTCTGAATTGGACCAGTCTTGGCGGTTGGATCGGGCAACCCCACAGCATATAGGTCGCACGAGGCGTATAAGCGTATTAGATCAATGCACACATAAGGCGTACATACACAGCACTAGGGCGTATCACTTCGAAAGGGTGTACGACTCGTATATTGAATTGGACGAATCCTCGGTGAAGGACTCACACGAGGGCTTGCAAGATAGTCACTGTACCTAGGTAACCATGCCAAGTGAAATTAGGCTGCAGACATGAGTCGATCTCTTCATACCCACACAGACCTACCTCTGGCTTGGGCTTTCCAGACATAGGCATCCATCTGCCTTCATGTTACGTCCCGGTACACCACATTTTAGCTGTGCGTTGGTGCTGACTACTAGCAGCATGTGTGAAGCCAAGTCATACCGGTATGTCGTTACCTAGGGCGCACTCAGACACCTTTGACGCCGAGGATAATCGCATGAACCCTGGATGCTTGTTTCCTTGAGACTGTAGTGTTAACAGTATCGAGATTTATTAGCAGGCTGAGATCTGCATATAAATCGACTTGTAATGCTTCACCAAGGTGCCTCAATCTCCCGATACGCCAACACTTTTCTATTCCTCACGTTCCTCGCTTTTGCTTTCGAGACCCTACTCTTGTGACATGAGTGCTTCGACGATTCCCTGGTCTGCATGCGCAGCCAGTTCAATTTCCTTTCCTACTGTATTCGGTGCCGAAATCCTTGGGCTTACGGCCATTGTCGTACAGAACTACTCGACAGAAGTATCGAGTCAATACTATTACAACAATCCCTCGATCTCTGTAAAAGGAATTGACTACTGCAACATCACTGTCACTTATACTCACCCTGGCCAAGATGACACGATCAACGTTGAGACCTGGCTCCCAATGAATACTTGGAATGGGAGACTGCAGGCTGTCGGCGGCGGCGGCTGGGGCGCCGGCCGATTCTTCTTGTCGTACTCGGCCAAGGCGGGCGCTCTTGGACAAGGCTATGCTGCGACGACCACTGACGCTGGGCTTGGAGAGGACCTTGTACCTGATGAGTGGGCGCTTAACAGTCCCGGGAACGTGAATTTGTATGCCCTTCAAAACTTTGCCTCAGTCTCGCTCAACGATCAGGTACGTCACGGTGTGGAAACGAGAGTCCGGTGTCCAACTGTCATGGGAAATATATGCTAAGTCAAGCCCAATTTTAGTCTATAATTGCCAAAGATATCATCAAAAGCTTTTACGGGCGGCCAGCAAACTATTCCTACTGGAGCGGCTGCTCTCAGGGCGGTCGACAGGGCTTTATGCTTGCCCAGCGCTACCCGGACGCTTACGATGGCATTGCTGCGGCAGCTCCAGCTTTCTACTGGGACCGATTCATCCCAGCCACCTTGTGGACGCAGGTCATGATGGGGATCATGGGGCACTTCCCCCCCAAATGCGAGCTAGACGCGATCACAGAGGCCGCCGTCGCGGCCTGTGATCCTCTGGACGGTGTCACTGATGGCCTCATTAGCGACCTTGATGCGTGCTCTTTCAACCCCTTTTCCATGGTTGACAAAGCGATCGACTGCACTACCACCAGTGAAGTGGTCACTATCAGTGACGCATCTGCTCAAATAGTCAACCTTACCTGGACTGGACCCCGCAAAGCTAACGGGGATTTTCTTTGGCACGGTGTCGACTACCAAGCCCGCCTGACCAGTTCAGGCGGCGAGGCTGTCACAGCCGCTGATCTAGGCTACGCATCGACGAGCTGCAGCTCAAATGGGACATGCGTTGGAGTTCCCCTTGGGCTTGGTGATCTCTGGTTGAAATTCTTCGTCCAAAAGAACCCGGACTGGAATTACACTGTGATTGAGTCTGTGAATGAATTCGCACGGGTGTTCCAGGCTTCTGCTCAACAGTATGATTCCCTCATCGGCACTTCCGATGCCGACCTCTCGGAGTATCGTGATTCTGGTGGGAAACTCATCACTTACCACGGACTGGTAAGCAGCAACATTTTCTGATCCCCCCCTCTCGCAATTTCCAAGGTTCCTTACTCTAACAGACACCATACTGACTTCAAAATGCTCAATAGGCTGATGGTATCATACCAGTAAGAGGCACTAGAGAATACTACAGAAGAGCTGTGGAACGGACTCCAAACATCAAGGATTTCTTCCGCTACTTTGAAGTTCCGGGACTAGGCCATTGCTCAGGTGGAGTGGGAGGACAGCCGACAGCGACATTCCAGGCACTGGTCGATTGGGTTGAGAATGGGATTGCCCCAGAGACACTTCCTATTTCATTCAACGATACAGATGGGACACAATATGATAGGATTTTGTGCCCTTACCCCGAGAGGGCCCAGCTTATTTCTGGCTCTTTGGACGTCACCAAATCCGAGTCCTACCGTTGTGGGGCGTCAAGACTTGATTTTGTCGGTGGAAGGCAGTCTGTTCTCGTCTGAGCCATGAATTATCTAGCGAGTTACGATATTCTCAGTTGATGTTTGCAGCTGTTGTGCGCTCTCGATAGGCTTGAAGTAGCTATGGTGTAGCACATTCTCCTTCGACTATTGATACAAGTAGCTACATCGTAACCACAAGCAGGTGTCGTCATGCATATGAGTTCATTCGTTTTCACGATTTGAGGGTTCCACCAAGAATCTGGGAGACGAATGGATCTCTTACGGATTCAAAGACATGAGATATTGTGTGGGTGTGCGTGCCTCAGGCATGACATGCTTAATCTGTAAGGAAGGAGCACTGGGAAAGCACAGGACATTTCAGGGAACACAACCCATCTGGGCAACCTTGGGGAAAAGAAACATTTGAAGGAGATGACAGAAAAGCACCAACAAGCACAGAAATCTACAGGCAATGCCTCCAAGACTTGTCAAACCTGAATCTCAAGTTTATCACTTCCTAACCAGCCCAAAATCATGTCCTATTGATGTAAGGATCGATACGCCCTGAGGTTGAGCAGTTCTTCTCATGCCAATCTAAAACGTGGCAGGCCAGGGCAGACAAAAGAGCGCATGTGGCGGAACTTTCCAAGTCACTCAATCAACATCCTCTCCACTAGCTAGCTGTTCATGGCACCTTTGAGTTGCGCGTTGACAGCTGTAATTTGTCCTCGATCATCATCGAATCTTAGACAAAGGCTGATTTGGAATCCGGCAGTCGCTCCTGGAAGCACTTGAGCCCGCCGAAAACCTACAAACGAATACAAATTCGAAGAGTAGGGCAATCTGACCAGCCGGAAAAGGAATGATAATATTGGAACAAATTTCCAGTCGGCGGCCACCTTTGCGACAAAGACAGCCCGACTGGATTTCAATGTTGCACTGCCGCTACCCATGCCTTTCTCGTCGACCACGTTCAGCCACCACGAGAGATGATACGACCGAGGGAAGCGATATGAGACTCGGCGCGATCTTCCGGGCGGGCGTGCAGGCCTCGACAAAAGTGTACACTCCCGTGTGCTCCCGTGTGCTCTCTCGCGCCGACCTTGGTAATACTGTTACTCGACGACTTCGTATCTAATCCTGGCCTAACCTCCAAGAAAGTTGACGGCAGCGTCACAGTACGGACAAACTACTAGTTAGGGCGTAGCCTGCGTCTCTTGGGCCGGGCCTGGTCGGGTTAAAGTGGGGGCTTTATCAGTGTTTACGGGTGAGGCTCCTCGAATACATACATGCGGAGCCGCGTGCATATGCAAAGCCAACCCCTTGGCCAGCACGCACTTGCTTGTCGGACCACGCTCCCGGAAAATGCTTGGCAGGATCTGGACTGTCGCACCTGTGTAATTGTCCAGATCGGGTCTAAATCCTCCAAGGAAACACGGTGGGTGATATCGTGCAATGCAGGTGCCCCTTATAACGATCACATATTGACTACTCAGGTGGCTTGGACAAAAGGTACTACCGAGCCAAAAAGAGCTTATTTCCCCTCGGGATCTCGAGAGCTAATAGGGAAAGACCGGAACTCCCGAGGTACGAAGCCGATGTTATCAGAGGCGGGCCTGTCTCCTTCTGCCACTGAGACTTCGCTTGCGGATTTAGAAAGTGATCTCTTCACTATTTGTGTATAGATTTTCAGCTGGGCTCCCTCGCTCACGAGAGAATTATGCAGCCCAGCTGGAACCACGCGCCACGGAAGAGGAACACTGGTCGGGGACGCAACCCGTCTTCTAGAAGATCTGAGCCAGTCTTGGAATGCACAGGCAAAGTTCTTTTCCGAGCGGTTGTTACGGCGATACCAGACAAAAAAGGTGTCACAGCTGTGCGCAGAGTCCATCTGGTGCCGACAAGCGCATTCGAGCCAGTGTTTTACACATAAGAGCGCGGAACGCCAACCCTTTGCTACAAAGTGCCAGATCCAGACCCAAAGACATCAAGCTTATACCCTTCCTAGTACTTCTTGCTATATGGAAGGTTAGATTGCGCATAATACACCAAAATTCATACGAGAGTCACTGGGTGGTAGCAAGCGGCACCTGCCACCTTCAATCTGGTCATGTATGTGCCGCAAACCCTCAACAGCCGACAGTCTTTCCGACTTGTCCAGTCCCACACGCGCAAACAGGGTTGACGCTACCGTGCCACCGCATGACACTCTGCATCATTTTTCAGAGGGTAGGTAAATACACACGATACGCCTATCAGTCAAATGCTCCATGGAACTGCAGCCAAGTTACCCGACGGCTCTCATGCCGTACTCCCGTGAGTGAGCGCGGCGGCCTGACTTTCCTTGAAGATCAGTCACAACTGCAATGCACAAGACATGTGAAAATTCACGGCACTTGGGCGAATCCGCTGGCTGAAGGTCCAGGGGTATCAAATCCGCCCGAGATGTCCAACGACTCGGAGCGAGTCAGCCAGGAGGTTATGGAAAGCTGACTTAATATCCTGTCTGTGTCCTAAAGTTGAGATGGTGAATGTTGGTCAGCCTGGGCTCGAGGGCCAACCCGTGATTCGACTCATTTGGGGCGGATGCTGACATTCCTATCTAGTCTCGGTTCTAGAACACAACGCCTCGGTTTGTGGCGCCGCGGCTCGTTTTAAGCCTCCTCCAACGTTTAGCTCTTCCAAGGTTGTTTCGTGAACAGCCCTACTACTGACCATATGGATCAGATACAGTGGTACGGCTAAACTGTGATTGATGGAAACAACAGGTGTCCAAAATCGTATACTAGTCAACCAAATTCTCGAACCCAATACTTGGGATTTGCACAGATGATGCCAGGGATTGTGTTCACGGTAATCTATCACAATCATGGCACACCCATTTCAGACGGGAAGGCTCACATGTCAGACGAGCCTGCTACAACACCCATACCATACCTGAACGGGCAAACATGTCCACGGTATGAGTGCCAGTTCTGGCCAGGCACTGGCAGCTGCAGACACAGGATGCACAAGGTTGCATCCCCCGAGATCGTACTCCGTACTCCGCACTGCCCGCCCTCAAGCTCGTCGGCGCCCGCCGGATTACAAATTGCAACGAAACAGCTGGAGCACATCCTGATGCTCAGCAAACATGGATCGAGAAAGGTGTGCGGTGTCGAAGACAGCTCCGGGGCGGTCGGGCTTACTACGTCGTCGAAGCGTTGTGGTGAAGCTGCCCCGGGAACCAATCCGACGAGGCTCACTGGGTCCGGAAGTCCCGAGTAGAGGAGCCCCGGGCCGGGTTCCCGCACGCTGGCAGACCCCCACTTGATATGGGCCTGCGCCGAGGTGGTGGGGGATCCGCGTGGTTGGTCTGATGGGCATCTTGTTCCTGCACCAAGAGGCCCAATTCCAGCATTCACGCTTGATCGGCATCGGCATGGGAAAGGGATATCCCATCTTCGGTTCAGAGGCCGCTAAAACAATCTGCCAGATCAATGACAGCCCTCAAGTGCTGGAGGTGCCGCGGGACCTTCCTGGCTTGGATGCGGACTCGCTGCCCGGGACGAGGCCAGACGGTCCTGAGGCCCTGTGCGAGCTTCTTATTAGGTAGCAACAGCCGAGGACGTCGCAGCAGAGAGGGCAGCATTCGAGCATGTCATAACTCTGGGCGTCGCAAATGTACCATGATATTCTGGCGCCTTGTTGCAACAGCAAAGTATGTATCACGGCGGCAGCGGCAGGTGAGAGCCGCCGGGACTACCAACCGCCTCGTGGAGTCGTGGGCAAGGATCCCCGTTTCCCAGCCCTGTGTCCCTAGCCGTCAATCCCGAAAAGACCGTGGCCGTGGCCTGCATCCAGGAACACCGGTTCGGTCTGCCACACCTTGCCACCTTGCTACCTTCCATCTGCCTGGTCTGCCTGCACACTGCAGGCCAAGGTTTGAATCCCTGCCCACCTGCCCATGCATTGCAACCATTGGAGAGCAAGCAGGAAATGCCCCGAGTGGCGTTTCCTTTGCATGGCCCGCGACCTGCACAAGCTTCGAGAAGAGTGCCCTTTTGGGGCCCTCGAGTTCCGCTCCCGACACACGAGATGGCCTCTCTGAGCGTCGACCTCGGCAGGTCGACGCCGAGCTGCTCACCTGTGGGCACACGCCGAAGGACAACTTCGGAGCTTCCAACACAAGTCTTGAGCGAGACCAGTCGTTCTATGCTGCGGGCTCAACGGCAACGTCCTGGGGGTTGTGTGTGAAAACCACTATGGCCATTTTCTGAAACTGCGAACCCCATAACAATACCACCGCTCATACGGTCCGTCCCTACCGATCTGACTATTCCCCATTGCGAGCCGCAATAATATGCGTCCCTAATACACCAGCAGTCAAGTGACGGCACCATATGCACTCCAACAGCCCCAACAGCTCCCACAGGGACCATCCCTACTCCCCACGCAGCTCGTCCTCCGCTGTCCCTCCTCCTAGCCCTCTCTTGGCTCAATCAATGGTGTCGATCCACATGAGCTTTTGGTGGACGTGTCCTGCGGGAAAACAACCGCATCATGAACATGTTGGAGAAACTACTCCTCATTACTATCCGTCGTATTGATCTCATGTTGATGAGCCCCAAGCTCTATGGTCTCCAGATACTACCTATCGGGGGCTTATGAGGCGAGTTTCTCTGCCAAGGACGCGTCTTTACGGCACTTGAACTCCTACTCGATGGATTTTCTCTACAGTTCATTTGGAGGGCGGCTAAATCTCGGCAGGGGTGGAGCAGCCATGCTCCGGCCCTGCTGATCCATCGCCTACGGCTTATATAGATATCAAGCCATCCCCGTGACTTCTCTGCCGGGTGGATGTGTTGGATGCCAGTCACAGCCAACAAGATCGCGTCCAGCCTTGTTTGAGTCGATAACGAGTTGGCCACTAGTCTTTGATCCTTCTTATCTCTTGCGTGCTGCTGAGATATCCACGTTCGTTCCCCATCCTCGACCTAGTAGTCATACCTCTGAGCATGCGTTTGAACCCTCAGCTTGACTTCCAACTTTCACATTTCAGTCAAGGCATATACACCTTACAGTAAAAGACAACGGTGCCAAGATGGCCATCATCTCAGAAGTTGCCCGGGACATGGCTCTGGACAGTGATGTGGACATTGACGCATCCCCCGTCGAGATCGGAAGTGCCGAACTAGTTTCCACCCCCGAGACGGAGGTGACGCCACCAGAGAGCCCTGTTCAGGGCCATCGAAGCCATCTCTCGAGTGAGAGACTGTGGGCCAAGAAGAAGCTGTCTCAGCTCACTCAAGAAGAGAAGGTAGGTAGAAAACCCTGCTCTCAGGAAGCAGCTTTGTTTCACGGACGTCACTGATGTCCGCCAGGTCTCCCTCCTTACCGCCGCAGACTTCTGGAGGACGAAATCCATCGCTTCGAAAGGCATACCCGCCGCAAAGACCAGTGACGGACCCAATGGTGCCCGTGGGGGAATCTTTGTGGGCGGCACCAAGGTGAGCTCCAATCTCCAGTGCCCCCGAAAAGTGGTTGAAATGTGCTAAGCGGTTATCAGGCAGCTTTATTCCCCTGTGGAGTATCACTAGCCGCGACATGGAACCAGGACTTGTTATTCGAAGTCGGCCAGCACCTCGCCGACGAGGTCAGGGCGAGGTCCGCGCACATCCTGCTTGCGCCCACCGTTTGCATGCACCGCCACCCGCTGGGCGGCAGAAACTTCGAGTCGTTCTCGGAAGATCCGCTTCTTACGGGAAAGCTCGCGGCGCAGTACATCCAGGGTTTGCAGCAGAAAGGCGTTGCTGCCACTATCAAGCGTTCGTTGCGCCCAGACCTGGGGGTTGACTGCGAAATCCTGCTGACAATATGAGGCAGACTTTGTCGGAAACGAGCAGGAGACTCACCGACTGACCATCAACTCCATCGTGCGGGAGAGAGCGTTGCGTGAGCTGTATCTCAAGCCATTCGAGATTGCTGTGCGGGAGGCCAACCCGTGGGCGATCATGTCGTCTTACAACCTTGTGAATGGCGTGCACGCGGATATGAACACTCTGACTTTGAAAGATATCCTGCGAGGCGAGTGGGGCTATGACGGGTAAGTCTCCTGCTCCCAGCAACCGGGAGACGGTACCAGACCTTAATATCTCCTACAGAACGGTGATTTCGGACTGGGGTGGCATCAACTCGACCGTGGAATCGATCGTGGCAGGATGTGATATTGAGTTCCCCTTCTCGACAAAATGGAGGTTCGAAAAGGTCCTAGACGCTCTCAAAAAGGGCAAGATCTCTCAAGCGGACATCGATCAGGCGGCAGAAAACGCTCTGACTCTGGTCCACCGAGTCACGGGTGGCGAAGCATACACCGAGGAGCCGGAGAGGCAAGACAACCGGCCGGAAACGCGCGAGTTGATCAGGGAGGCTGGGACCCAGGGGCTGACGCTCCTCAAGAACGAGGGCGGCATCCTCCCCATCAACCCGAGAACCTCAAAACTAGCCGTCATCGGCCCCAACGCCAACAGAGCGATCGCTGGCGGCGGAGGAAGTGCCAGCCTGAACCCCTATTATAACACACTTCCTCTGGATAGCATCAGGAAAGCCGCCAAGCAGGAAGTGATATATGCGCAGGGCTGCCACATCAACAAGTGGCTCCCTGTGGCTTCTCCATTTTGCAGAACCGACGACGGGAAGCAAGGTGTCACGATTGACTGGTTCGTAGGAGACAAGTTTAAGGGGTCTCCGGCCGTGCAGCAGAGGAGGACGAATACCGACCTATTCCTGTGGGATTCTGCGCCACTCTCACAGGTGGGACCGGAATGGTCGGCGATCGCTAGGACGTCCTTGGTGCCCACGATATCAGGACGACACACCATCAGCTTCATGAGCGTCGGACCGGGCAGGCTGTACCTCGACGACAAGCTCGCCCTGGACCTCTGGGACTGGACAGAGGAGGGCGAGGCCATGTTCGACGGCTCGGTGGACTACCTCGTCGAGGTGGACATGGAGGCTGGCAAGGCGGTGGAGCTCAGGGTAGAGATGACGAACGAGCTGCGGCCCATCTCGAAGCAGAAGCAGTTCAACATGACGCATAAGTACGGGGGCTGCCGCATCGGCTTCAAGCAGGAGGACAAGGTCGACTACCTCCAGCAGGCCATCGAGGCGGCGAAGAAGGCCGACGTTGCTGTCGTCGTCGTCGGTCTTGATGCGGAGTGGGAGTCTGAGGGATACGACCGGCAGACGATGGACCTGCCGTCCGACGGCAGCCAGGACCGCTTGATCCAGGCGGTGGTCAAGGCGAACCCGAACACAGTTGTTGTGAACCAGTCTGGGTCGCCGGTGACGATGCCGTGGGCTGACGAGGTCCCTGCGATCGTACAGGCGTGGTACCAGGGCCAGGAGGCCGGCAATGCGCTGGCTGATGTCTTGTTTGGTTTCAAGAACCCGAGTGGGAAGCTTCCGGTCAGTCACTGAACCGAGAGAGTCTGTTCCTGTTTACTGACTGTTACACCCAGTGCACCTTCCCCAAGGCCCTCACAGACACCCCGGCGTACCACAACTGGCCCGGCGAGAACCTCGACGTCGTCTACGGCGAGGGCCTGTACATCGGGTACAGGCACTACGAGCGGGCCAACATCGCGCCCCTGTTCCCCTTCGGCCACGGGCTGTCCTACACGGAGTTCGAGTACGGGCGGCCCTCGCTCAGCGGCAAGGTGCTCTGCGGGGCCGGCGCGCCGCTCGAGCTGACGGTGGCGGTAAGCAACGTGGGCGAGGCCGACGGGTACGAGACGGTGCAGCTGTACGTGCGCGACGAGAAGTCGAGACTGCCCCGGCCGGAGAAGGAGCTCGTCGCGTTCGAGAAGGTGTTCCTCGAGAGGGACCAGACCAGGCACCTCCGGGTCAGGATCGACAAGTATGCCGTGGGGTACTACGACACGTCGCTGAGGGCGTGGATCGCCGAGGAGGGGAGGTTTGAGGTCCTCATCGGGGCGTCGTCGGCTGATATCAGGTTGGTCTCCCTCTTCTCTGCTCTGGATGTGGTGTTGGGTTTTCTTGGCGGTGTTGCACATGCTAACAACAGTATTTGTCGTGCAGGCGAAAGATATCGTTTGAAGTCGAGGAGTCCTTCACCTGGGTCTTCTAGAGGCGCCCTTTGTCACGCTGCGAGTCACGGTAACCTTCGGCACACTCCTTGATGTCTTCATTGCACGTGCAGGAGGGTTCGGCAACGCGGCAAAGTGCACCAAGACCAAGGGGTCTTGGCCCGCCGTTTTGAGGGCTGCCTGTGCTTGGCTGTCTTAGATATTTTTTTCTATGGTATTTTATTTTTGTTTTCGTTTTCGTTCTGCCTTTCTATTGTAGATATATTACATATGAACCCATCCTGGGTCTACTTCGTGTGGACTGAGTTGAGGGGGGAAGGTGGCATGGCTCTTGCCTGCTGCTTATGCCGTGGGTGGCAGCCTGTTTGGCAGTCAGTCTGTGAGAGGAGGACTGGGCGAGGTCCTCGACGTGATAAGGTATTCGGGGCGAGATGCCTCGATGCGAGAGTTGCTGAATGGGATCCACTGAGCCGTGTGCCGTGTGCCGGGCAGTTGCATGTCGTGTTTGAAGACCCTGGTTCGAGATGGGGAAAGTGATTTTCCAGACTGGGGATGCCGCTCCCCTGGGCTTGACTGGCTGCTGACTGGCTCCAACTGGCAGGCGTCCCCATATCTGCTGTGACTACCGCTCGTGGCTGCCAGCGAAGCCTATAACTACAAGAGTCAACAGGTAATGTGACCATGGCTGGTCTGCTGACCCTGCAGCCAGTCCTGGGCTGCCCTGGGGGGAAAGTCAATAAGTGGCCGTGTTGGTCATTTCGGGGAATTTTGACAACGGACGGTTCCTCGAGCGGGGATGACATTGCTTGCATGGCTTGCTTGGCTGGGACAGAGCTGGGGGTGTGTGCGCCCACGGCTCGGAGGTTTGCCGTTTGACTTCAATAGTTTTCCTTAGTCGTGCACTCATGGCATAAGGTATTGCAAACGAAATTGTCCCTTGTTATGCCATTTTATCAACTAGGAATGTCAAGTGCGTAATCGACCAAGATAATTTCTACCCGAACTGGCTGCGGTTCATTGCCAAGCCTGCAAATATGCTCTGTACGGCACTTGGGCTCTAGCGACTCTGAAGGAAGGAGCCTCGGCTCCGAGTCGAGATCAGCTCATCTAAATGGACCAAAGTACGTACCGTAATGTACTCCGTAGTCCAATGTCTAATGGCAGTTCGCGGGGAGCTGAGAGCTCCTGCCGCGCTACTCTGATTTGGGGGCCGCAGCCTTCCCAAAAGTCAATGAGACATGGTTTAAGCCAGTTGTCTGCATGCAGCTCTTCTGCATTCCTCACCAAACCCACGCGACCACTCACTCCGGTCTTGTTCCTGAAACCTTGCTTGACACATTCACTCTCGTTTTTTTTTCCCTTCCTCTTTTTGCCCTCTCTTCCTAGAGTCCCCAGTCACCCCGCCTAGCAGCCCTGCAGAACTGCGGGTCAGGGGTCGTCATCGGGCTTGTCGTGGGGCACTGCCTGTGGTACTGCTTTTACATGGTACCCTTCCTCAACCTGCGCAGGCTGGATTCAAGGCATGGCTGTCAGACATAGGCCACCACCACCGCTGGCTCCATAGCAGACACCCAACTTGTCTTCGAATTACCTACCTTCACTCCGGATATTCAGTCCAACATCCATCTATCTGACCTACCGCGCACACACCCCCTGCCTCCTATGCGAGCCGTGTCATGGCTGGCTACACCGGCAGTGGCAATGGCGGTCCTCCCATCTCGTCCGGCTACGCTCCCCACGCCCCGTCCAGCCTCCGCCAGAACTATCCTCACCTCGACGAGGACCCCATAGGCGATTTTATGCGCTTCCTCAAGCGCCAGGTCCAGGCCCTGCAGCGTTTCTGGAACGCCAGAGGGAAGAGGGCGACGCTGGCCTTGCTGCTCGAGGTGGCGCACCAGCTGCGCAGGAACCTGACATGGCGTCGCCTGTCCAGCTTCCCACACCTCCTGGTTATAATATGGGCCGTGGTTTTGCTTTGGGGGGAGAGATGGATATTCCACACAAAAGTCGAGAGCTGTCACTGGACTAACTGGGAGAAATGGGTAATGACCTCTCAACTGCCACCAGACCAGAACAGACACATGAAGCTGACGCATATGTTATATATAGCCTTCCGGTGCCACACCCCATCACCTCATCTTCGTCGCGGACCCTCAACTCATCGATCCACACTCTTACCCCGGACGACCGTGGCCGATCAGCTCCTTGACTGTTACCGTCACCGACAACTACATGCGCCGGTCGTATCTCCAGCTACAGGAGCAGCTACATCCGGACACCGTCTTCTTCCTGGGCGACCTCTTCGATGGCGGGAGGGAGTGGCGGACCTATCACGGCGATACCCCAGATCCAAGCTGGAATCACCGACCGAAGGGGGAAGTCGGCTACGCAAAAAAGTGGAAGAAAAAGTACGGCGAGGACTTTTGGCTCAAGGAATACGCGAGGTGGGTTGGGCTGTTTGCCGAGCCTTGGAACCTGGGCGGATCAGAAGCTGGGGCAGGCCAAAGAGGAAGAAGGCTGATCGCCAGTCTGCCTGGCAACCACGATCTCGGTTTTGGGTCAGAGGTCAAGGTTCCCGTGAGAAACCGCTTCGAAGCGTATTTTGGGGATGTGAACAGGGTGGACGTCATCGCGAACCACACCTTTGTGTCGATAGACGCGGTATCCCTCAGTGCCCGCTCCTCTGACGACCGAAGTAAGGCCGATCTGAGCAGCATATACAAGCCAACGGAGGATTTCTTGAACAAGGCGCAACTATCCAAACGAAAAGCTGTTGAGCGAGAGCTACGGCGACTTCGGGGGGAAGTCGAGGAGGTGCCACAAGAGCACAAGATCGAGGACGCACTTTCGGCAGAATTCAACAACATCCCGACGCTGAACCCAGGCGAAGGGAAGGCAGAGCTGCCAACGATACTACTTTCTCATGTGCCTTTATACAGGCCGCCGGGGACGCAGTGTGGGCCTATGCGAGAACACTGGCCGCCGTCGAACCCAGCGGACCCAGGAGCCCGAGACGACAGGAATGCGATTTCCGTGTCTAGGGGCTACCAGTACCAGAACGTGCTCAATGAGGTGGACTCGATCGAGGTGGTCAACAAGATCGGCAACATCATCCATGCGTTTTCTGGCGACGACCACGACTACTGCGAGCTGAGGCACGCTGACAACCAGGCGAATGTGAAGGAGATTACCGTCAAGAGCACGAGCATGGCCATGGGGGTCCCCACGCCAGGTTTTGTCATGGTCAGCATGTACAACCCCATCGATACGGAAGGCAAGCCGCTCTCGGGCGACCAGACTCAGACTCTCCAGACGCATCTGTGCCTGCTGCCAAGCCAGTTGTCCACGTACGCTCGCTACGGCGGTTTTGCGTTTGTCTGCGCTGTGGCACTCACCATCAGGGCATTGCTCGTGCCCATCCTGAACCTACAGCCTTTTGCGCTGGAACCCAGCGGCCCGGGCAGCAGGTCGCGGGCCGGCCTCCCCTCGTCCAAAGCAAAGCTGGACGACCACGACCCTGAGCAAGCCTCGTCCGGATACGGGCACGGATCCTCGGCGTCGTCGTTCAACTCGGCCGCCCCGCACCGGTCAGCGACGCGAGATAGGAGCGCGTCTTTCACGCCCGGGGTGAGGGCGAACGGCCTCGCAGCGCAGGCGCGCAACGCGTCGCCTAAGCGGCAACCAGGTGGGAACACCAAGGGCCTCGCGAGGCACAGCTCTAACAGGGAGAAGAACGGGGGCCGCTGGGCAGGATGGGGCAATGGGCCCAAGATAGAGATCGACATCGGCGAGGACGATGAGTATTACTATGACGCGGGCAAGTCGCGGTGGAAGGCGACCAGGTCAACGAAGAGGGGCAGCAGGAACACCCTGATGACAGCGTGGAGGGAATTATGGACCACGGCATGGAGAGTATTGTGGATGGTCGGGGGTTTCTGGCTGTGGTTGGCTTATAAGGGATGATGATGCGAGGGAGTGAATTATTGTTGTTGTTAATGAGCCTGGGGGACGTATACCCGTCTCATATAATTCAGTGTATAAACCATCCCCGCTGCTATGTGCACAGGAGTGCAAACCATATGTGACGAGGCTTTGAATTTGATCACCCCTTTCTATCGGAAATGCCTACCTAGGTACGTCTAGCCGACTGACTCCTGGCGCCGTTGTGGCCCAATTGTCTGGGCCGACCAACCGGCCGGGCCAGCAGACGGTGGACCCAGATAGGAAGGAGGCCGGTCTAAATTTAGGGAACAAGACAACAACTTTGTGCTGCCTCGACAGGTATCTGGAAGGAAAGAGAGAAAGAGAATACACATGTTCATTACATATCAAATTAGTCGGCTGAAGCGACATACTGAGAAGATTTAATTTCCATTGCTGAGAAATAAGTCCCTACCCGTCTCTGGTAACTGACCCCCCAATTACCCACCCCCCAACCCCTTCGCGCGGGCCAGGCCTCACAGAACCCTGTTTTAGAGGTTCCCCCCTTATCTGTGGCCGATAAGCGGGCCGCCTGGCAGCTCGCCAAGGCTTTGAATGGGGCAAGGCTTTCAAGGTTGTCCGGATGAGGCGATCCTCCCTCTTCAACCTCGACCTGTGACCAAACATCGGGATCAAGCGGGCTAGCCACTCTTCCGCCCGCATCGTGACCCGTCACCTCCTCCCGCGTCCCCTCCATATCGCTCACAAGAGAGTTCCTTTCTACCCTCGAAACCGATTCTATCCCCCCACTGGTGCCATGTTGCCTGGCTCGGTGCGGCGCGTTGCCGCAGCGGCGCCTCACACGCCGATTCTGTCCTCCATCGGCGCAGCCGCCTCACGACCAGCCGTCGCGAACATCACCCTGACCTGTAGGCCTCTCTCACAGAGACGGTACTCTTCGTCGAAGCCATCGCGGGACTCGGGGGACCTGCCCGTCAACCAGTCCGTCCAGCCATCAACCGTATCCAAGAACGCCAGCGCAAAATCTTCCGGCGAGAAGAGGAAACGGAAAGCAAAGGAGAGCTCCGAGGAACAACAGCTCCCGAGGGTGCCCAGCACACAAAGCATACCCAACGAATGCAAGCGCAACCCTTCTGCCAGCCACTGTATCCCCGTGCATCATACTAACCTCTGGGACACAGCCCTCGCCCTATCCTCCTTCTTCTCCCTCCACAGGCCGATCTCGGTGACACATAGCCTCCCCCGAATCGTGACCGACGATGCCTTCGCAGCGATATTCACACAGCGGGCCCGGGCAGCGAGGACCTCCGAGGTCATGTCCACCATCTCGCGCACCGTCCAGGGCATAGAACAGCCCATGGCAGCCCTCTCCATCGAGAGCGACGTTAACAGCCACGGCCCCGAGTCCGAGTCCGGCTCACACAAGCCCGACGCGATGTACGGCGACAGCCCCGAGGTCGCCGTCTCGGTCCAGGTCAACTCCATGTCCGGCAGCTTCCTGCCCTTCTGCCCGCCACCCCTGCCGCAGCCGCACTCCGCCACCGCCACCGGCGCATCCGAGGGCAAGGGCCCCGCCGCCGCCGCCTCCGAGGAGGACCAGCAGACGCAGACGCGCGTGTACAGGGCCGTCTTCACGATCGAGGAGTCGACGGACGCGCAGGGCGACGTCAAGATCCTGGCGCACAGCCCGGAGCTGATCGACGAGCCCCAGCAGGAGGGCAGCGGCGGCGCCTGGGCGCCGGCCGCCGCGCCCGAGCCGAGGACGTTCCTGGAGCGCATGGCGCTGCGGCAGATGCGCTACGAGGACTCGCGCGAGCAGCAGCAGCACGTGAGGGACAGCAGCATCCTGGCCATCAGCGTCAAGAGGCAGAGGAAGCTCAAGATGAAGAAGAAGAAGTACAAGAAGCTCCAGAAGAGGCTCAGGCACGAGAAGAGGAAGCTCGACAAGTAGTAGTGTCTTTGTTGTGCGTGTGCGCGCGCGCGCGCGTGTGAGCTGGTCGGTCGGGATCCCTTCGGGCTAGTTCGGGGGGCAAGCATCTTCGCACTATTGGTGTGCATGTTTCCGGTGTTGCCTGCTTGTCTTGTCTTCCATTTTCTACTACTTTGCACGGGTCGTGAGTGGTTGCAGCATTAGAGGCCATCTTCAGGCGACGTCATGGCAGATATTAGAGGGGGTTTTCTGTATCGGTACTTAACTCTCTCCGACCACATGGTTCATACCACTGCGTTGCGACCTCGTGCTTTGATTGCTTGGCCCCCGTACCTCTGGGCCGGTGTGTCCATCCATTGCAAAGCTATACCCTTCCAAAATCTCGAGAATATGGGCACGTTCTGTGGCTTACTATCAGAACCAGCTCCTTAGCGATGGACTTGTGCAGCATCCCCTGATCTTGAGTAATGTTTCAACCGTCTTTCAGACATAGACTACTACTAGACGAGGAGAATCAAAGCATTACTGGCACTATTTCTTCTGAGTATATTGGCCACCCTATGTGCCTCTCCTCTCAAAGGATACGCCTCGGACATTGTCACAGCATCTCGAGCCGGCCCAGCTACCATGATTGCAATAGGATCCAGTATATCCGGCGGTGAGAGCTTCCCACACGTGGCACAGAAGTTATGGTGCCTTTGCCCATAAGCTTGGTCTTGTTGCTTTTGGTGGCACATGGCTAACAGATGTGACGTTTATCTACCTAGGTATGCATCTGTCTCGGCGCCTGCTTGATTCTCAGTAAATGTGCATGATATGGTCTGCTGTGAATAAGCCAGCGCATCGTGCTTCCTAACGCGTACTGCCACTGTTTTATATCGGTATTGTTGAGACAACTGAGAGTCTCTCTGGCTACTGCCTGGTTCCTGCTTAAGAGGAAAATCTACAAGAGTCCCGGTCCTTTTCAAGCAATTTTCAAGCATTTTTGGTGGATCCCGCAGCGTCCCACTGGATAGCCCGCCGTGCCTGATCACCGTTGCGTCCATGCATGCAGATACTTCACGGTAGTTCAGAGGCCTTTGCGGTCCTTGGTCTATACTCGCAACGAAAACAAAGAGATCCCGTGGCGGACAGGACATTGTCTTTTCTGCTTCGGCAGTCAGTTATGTTCAGCCCTTAAACTTGAGAGCATGAAGCCTTGTATTCTTGGACCATTAAAATAACCCACTACAGTTTGAAAATTGTGTAATAATATATGGAGAACCATGGGGACACACGACCTTGGGATGCGACATAACAGGGATGAGTTAGCCCAAGTCAACCTACGCCGAAGAAGTTGAAGTTGAAGTTGAAGTTGAGGTCAGGGCCGGTCGCACCGGGGGGCCGATCCCTGCTCACCGGCGCCGAGGACCCTTGCCAGCCGGCCCAACGCTCTGGCGCGACCCACTAAAAACTTCTTGTGCCTGCCAGAAAAAAGTTCAAGCTCTCCGTAGCTTCTGATGTACGCACCCGTCCACGATTTTGCCTGTCGCATATCGGATCACTCGAGATCTCTGGCGCACATTGGACACAGGTCAACATGTCGCGCAAGCAAGTGTAAGTCTCTAGACACTGCCACACACAGCGCGCCGTTACTGATCCCCAATCTTCCTGCAGAGACTCGAGAATTCCGGCGCTCATCCGCAACGGAGTGCAGGAAAAGAAGAGGAGTTTCTTTGTGGTTGTCGGCGACCACTCCAAGGATACCATCGTCCGCCTGCACTACATCCTTTCGCAAGTCGATCTCAAGCAGAACAAGTCTGTACTATGGGCCTACAAAAATAAGTTGCTGGACTTCACCAGCCACCGGAAGAAGCGCGAGGCGAGGATCAAGAAGGAGATTAGGCGCGGCACACGCGAGGCGAACACCGAGGACCCCTTCGAGCTTTTCGTTTCGCTCCACAACATCAGATATGTCTACTACAAGGAGACCGAGAAGGTCCTGGGTAACACATACGGCATGTGTATCCTCCAGGACTTCGAGGCCGTGACGCCCAACATCCTTGCGCGTTGCATCGAGACGGTCGAGGGAGGCGGCCTGGTGGTCCTGCTCCTCAAGGGAATGAACAGTCTGAAGAGCCTTTACACATTGTCCATGGACGTCCACTCGCGATACCGAACCGAAGCCTACGACGACGTCGTCGCCAGATTCAACGAGCGTTTCATATTATCACTCGGAAGCTGCGACTCGTGCCTGGTTATCGACGACGAGTTCAACGTGTTGCCTATCTCCGGAGGAAAGGATGTCAAGGCCCTTCCGCCCCCGGACTTGGACCAGCCAAAGAGCGCAACCCAGGAGGAGCTGGACAACCTGAAGGAGAACCTGCAAGATACCAAACCTGTCGGCACCCTGGTGACGCTTGCGAAGACGGTGGACCAAGCCAAGGCCCTGTTGACGTTCTGCGATGCTATTTCGGAAAAGACCTTGAGGAATACTGTTACCTTGACTGCTGCGAGAGGAAGAGGTAAATCCGCGGCAATGGGTGTGGCCGTGGCAGCAGCCGTGGCATATGGTTACAGCAACATCTTCGTCACGTCGCCTTCTCCTGAAAACTTGAAGACGTTCTTCGAGTTCATTTTCAAAGGATTTGATGCTTTGGGATACCAGGACCACCTGGATTACTCTATTATTCAGGCCACCTCGCCAGAGCTGAATAAGGCTATCGTCAGGGTCAACATTCACCGGGATCACAGACAAACGATCCAGTACATAAGACCCCAGGATGCGCATGTTCTCGGGCAAGCTGAATTGGTCGTGATCGACGAGGCTGCAGCCATCCCACTACCCCTCGTGAGGAAACTGATGGGACCATACCTTGTATTCATGGCATCTACTATCAATGGTTATGAAGGTACTGGACGCTCTCTGTCACTAAAGCTGATCAAGCAGCTCAGGGAGCAGTCAAGACCAGGCGCGACCGCCAGTGGGGAGGGCGAGCTCGCCGACCGATCAACGGGAAGGGCAGCCAAGAACCAGGAGTCCTCCAGCCTTGGTAGCAGGACGCTGCGAGAGATCACTCTGTCGGAGCCGATCCGATATGCACAAGGGGATTCTGTGGAAAGGTGGCTAAACAAACTTCTCTGCCTGGACGCGACGCTGCCAAAAGCGAAGCTCAGCCAGGGTTGCCCTGACCCCGCGCAGTGTGAGCTGTTGCATGTTAACCGTGATACCCTGTTCAGCTTCCATCCCGTGCCGGAGAAGTTCCTGCAACAGATGGTTTCACTTTACGTTTCGAGTCACTACAAGAACAGCCCCGACGACCTTCAACTCATGAGTGATGCACCTTCCCACGAGCTGTACGTTTTGGTGCCACCTGGGGCGACAGAAGGGAGTCGCCTGCCAGAGCCGCTCTGTGTCATCCAAGTGGCACTCGAAGGCAAGATCAGCCGTCAAAGTGTGATCAACTCCCTCAGCAGAGGGCGGAGACCCGATGGTGACCTGATACCATGGCTTGTCAGTCAGCAATATCAGGATGACGAGTTTGCCTCCCTGTCTGGGGCCAGAATTGTCCGGATCGCAACGAACCCAGACTACGCCTCGATGGGATACGGTTCAAAAGCACTGCAGCTTCTTACCGACTACTACGAGGGCAGGTTCTTGAACCTTGCGGAGGACGCGGATATTACGGGCGAGGGGACGATTACCAGAGTGACTGACGCAGAGCTGGCAAACGCAAACCTCCTGGATGACAACATCAAGGTCAGGGATCAAAGCAAGATGCCCCCGCTGTTCTCTGTGCTCTCTCAGCGCAGGCCAGTGGAGCTCGACTACGTCGGTGTAAGCTACGGGCTGACGCAGCCTCTCCACAAGTTCTGGAAACGCTCGTCGTTCGCACCTGTCTACCTGAGACAAACAGCCAACTCGTTGACGGGCGAGCACACGACCGTCATGATCAGGCCGTTGGAAAGGAGCGGCGACAGAAGCTGGCTCGGTGCCTTCTCCCGGGATTTCCACCGCCGGTTCATGGAGCTCCTCTCCTACCAGTTCAGGACCTTCCCCTCGGTCCTGGCCCTCAGCATCGACGAGAGTGCAAACGCTGGGGCAGCACTTGACGACGTTGAGCCACGCCCACTGACAAAGGCTGAGCTCGACGAGCGCTTCACGCCCCACGACCTGAAGCGTCTCGAGTCATACGCAAACAACATGCTGGATTACCACGTCATTCTCGACCTCATCCCAAGGATAGCGGAGCTCTACTTCTTGGGACGTATCAAGAACTCGGTCAAGCTCTCTGGCATCCAGCAGTCGATCCTTCTCTCTGTCGGTCTCCAGCGCAAGGATATGGACGCCGTGGCGGAGGAGCACGGGAGCCTGCAGTCGTCGCAGTTGCTGGCCATGTTCATCAAGATCCTGCGCAAGATCACCACACACTTCAGCAGCGTGGTCTCGGGGGCGTACGACGCCGAGATGCCCAAGACGGACATTGGCGTCAGCCGCGAGAACGCGACTGGCGTGCATGACGATGAGATCGTCGACAGCAAGTTCCAGCCGCTGGAGAAGAACCTGGAGGAGGAGCTTGACGAGGAAGGAGACGAAGCCCTGAAGGAGGTTAGGAGAAAGCAGAGAGAGCTGATTGACTCTCTGCCTCTTGATCAGTAAGTGCACAAAAGAAACAACCCTCAGACTTGTCTTGGACGGTGTAGGTTAACCATGGCTTCATAGATACCAAATCGAGGGCAACGAGGAGGTGTGGAAGGACGCCGAGGAGCAGGTCAAGAAGGGCAAGGGGAGCAACGTGGTCAGCGTCAAGAGCAGCAAGCAGAAGAGGAAGGCCGGCCAGACCGCCGAGGAGGTCTACAACGAGGCATTTGGGGAGAAAAAGCACAAGAAGCACAAGAAACCCAAGAAGTAATGGCGTGCGAGCCACAGTAGTCAATTATTTGTATGGGTGGAGATTTCATCATGTCTGCATTCGAGGGTCGGGAAGGCGTTTTGGAGGTAAAAGTTTACAAGACCATGGAAAGCTAAGGCAGACAAGCCACAGCTCTATTTCTTGTCTCTGCAGCTCTGCAGCTCTGCAGATCCTCAGCCCTGTGGTGTGGTTCTCAGGGAAATCCCCCCACAGGCCAACCCTGGCTAAACTGGTCCATCGACCGGGGGAGCTCTGTGCCCAGGGCAGCTCTTGGCCCGGGAATTAAGCTTGTCTCTTTGCTGTTGGGCCCCTGAGCTCATTTCGCCAAGCCAAGCTTTATCGCTGCTCGCTTGGCCCTCCGGGTTGTAGCGCGCCTTTGGGCAGCCACTTAGAGCGTTCGTCGCCCGGCGTGAGGAAGGGATCGGGCGATCCTTTATTAGTTGATCAAGGGAGCTCAATGCCCTTGTTTTCTCCCTGTGAACGAGTGCTCTTGACCCTTCGATTCGCGGCTCATTTCTGTCCGGATTTACATCACTGCTCTTTTCTGGAGTCGTGGTTGCTTCCGTCGTCTTGTCACTCGTTTATATAAGGGCAATTGGTCCTAATTGACGTTGCAAAGAGCTCACATCCACACCGGCAGAAAATAGAATTCCGCGTCCGCGATGTTTACGCGCCCCGGGCTCCTCGCCGCGGGCTCACTGCTCCTAGGAGCCGCCTCCGCCCGGCCGCCACTCGTCACGCCGGTCCTGGATGCTCGAGCCCCAGCAGCTACGGATCCTTGGGTCAGCGTTGATACCTCGGGTGTGCCGATCACGGTCACACCTGTAGTCACTGTCGTGGATGGCGCCACGACTACGATATCGCCCGCCCCCAACGACCTGACCGAGACCGTGGTGACCAGGACTGAACATGCAGAGATCACCACCAGCACTGGCACCGCGCCTCCTGAGCCTATAGCTACGAACAAGGATGGGACGGGCTCGTTCCTGGTCTGTAATAACGCCGATGGGGAATATGCCCCGTTCTGTCAGCCTTCGTATAACAGCTCGCTCTACCCGGGCACGACGTATTATGGTATGCGAACCTCTGAACGTTGTTCACTTCACAAAAGTAAGAGTGTCATCTGATCTGACAATGGCATAGTCACCTGGGACACCTCCATCTTCAGCTCCACCAACACAACCGTGATCCTGGAGGGCTCTTACATCAATGCCACGACCGGAGAGGTCGCATCACAGGCATTTGCCTCTGACAAGATCACGGCCGGCTGGTCATACTACGCCTGGGCGGTAGACAGCAAGCTGCTGCAGGGCAAGGGCGCCGCCAACATCACGCTCTTCCTCAACGCCCTCGACGCGGACGGGAACACGACCGCAAAGTCGTACGCCGGCCCCACCGTGCTCGTGACAAAGCCGGCGACGTACCACCAGCCGCCGCCCAAGATGCCGACCGGCGCGGCGCTCTACATCGGCCTGCCCACGGTCCTGGGCTTCTGCGTGCTCATGATCTTTGGCGTGTGCCTCTGGAACAGGCAGGCCCGCAAGATCTCCCTCGGGAACATCATGTCGCGGAGCAGGCACGGCTACGGCGCCGCCAAGAGCCGCGCGAGGAGGATGGGCCGCCGGAGGGACAGGAAGCCCGACCGCATCCGCCTGATGGACCACCTCCCGGAGGACCAGTACTACCGCGACGAGCCGCGGGATCACCCAGCCCGTGGGGCCGGCGGCGGCGGCGATGGCTCGGACCAGCAGCATGTATACCCCCGCCAGCAGGATAATGACTTCCTCGGCCACGGCCACGGCCACGCCAGGCGTGACAGTGAAGCCCTTGGGAGCTTGGCTGGGACTCCGACGAGTGCGAATTTCCCTGCGGCGGAACCACCGCAACGGGGGAATGTGTTTAGGGACGAGTTGGAGAGGCAGCAACGAGAAAGGTCTTGAGTAGTGTGAGTAAGGCCTTGGGGTTATGAGGCGGGAAGTGCTGGGCCGGTCTGTAGGTGATACGAATATCAAATCCAGTCAGGCAACTTTACTTGAGGGCCTCAATCCGTGCTACAGAACGCGGGTGCGTCCATTTGCTCTGTGAGCAAGTGAGAAGGAGAAATCACGACTGCAGACCCAAAATTGTCATCTACACCTAAATCTATTGAGCCGAGACGAGTTTACTGGAAAGTGGAGTGACAGACGCTATCACCGAGTAGAGGTAAGCCCCTCACTGTGCCTTTATGAACCCGTACCAGGAAACCTGAAGTTTCCCGAGGTCAAACTGCGTGAAAACAAGCGCTCGCACCTGTCGTGAGCAAGTACGAAGTTGTCCTCTGTAGAGCACTCAACTGTCAGCTACAAGGGACCTTTCTTACTGCGTCCGCATTGCAATTATGATTATCGAGTGCCTGGTCATCGTATTGACCATTGCCAATACGATGGCACTCAGTAAAGAATTGGGATTTCAGGCCGTCAGTACACTCAAGTGCTGGCACCACACTGGACTTGCCCACAGTTGGCATGCCCATGCATATGTCTGCTGCGTTGAGCCTGTGTTTTCGAACACGGACTCGTCTTATTGTCACGCAACTCATACGCCCTACAACTTCCGAGGTTCCAATTCGTGCCTATTAAAGATCCTATTTGGACTACCTAGGTATGGCAGTGATCGGGGATGAGAAATATCTTGCCATTCTTTTCTCACTTGTAACTTGGCTGGTGGGAGACTATCACATTATCTACAAAACTGCGTTATGTCCTAGTCTGGTTCTTTAATAATTAATGGCTGAGTTGACGCATATGACTGGACGGGGCGGTACAGTCACTCGTAAAAAAGGGATTGAGATCTCGAGATGAGTGAATGGCACGCAGAGTCGCTAGGAAAAAGACAAACTCATAATCACAACAGCGCCAATAGTTGATGTGCTGCCTACAATGAGTAAAAATCATACGAGAAGGGCTAAGCCCCTCACCAGAACGCTTGAGGTGGTCAAGAACTGTAGGGTGAGCGTCAGCGAGTCTCCAAACACTCTTCTTCTGTGGCTTCCTTAGTCTCGCTCATCACATGTGCTGCGTGCCCCTCATTGCAGATGCAATTTGAGTGAGGTTTAAAATTCATACCAGAAGCCTAAGTGACTATTAAGGGCGTCTTCTGGATCCAATGCTCCCTTGAGGATAACATCTAGACATGAACACTTGTCAGTTGAAACATTGAGCAATCTTTTGTGTCTTCTCCAGGTGACAGGCTTAACTATGAATTCACCCCTCAAAACAAGGAATGATTCACATTTAGCGTCATATTCAATACTTAATCGGAACTCATCAGGGTAATACAGGCTTACCACGTATACCGGCCTTTTCTTTCTTCCTGCCTCATCATCATTTTCCCCCTCCTATTACATCCACTTGACCTTGGCCACTGCCTTTCTGCTTGGCATGATCATATGAATCGGGTTGCCGAGTGGGCACGGTAGTTACGGCGACCGTGTCGACATGCTTAGTCCTGGCTCTGGGGTAAGCGGATACTACTACCTTCTGCCAGGTCGAAGGGCTGCGGGCAGCAAGGGAGGTGCGGAATGGTATTGATGCCTTCAAGTTTAGGAGTATGTGAATTCCTGAGGGGCTGTGTGGCGCGATTATGTTGCCTGAAAACCGGCAGCGTTACGTTATCCTTCCAGCATCCCGAGATATGTCGTGATTGTAAGTGAGAAGTTGAAGCCAGGCTTTTCGAAGCCTTGGGTGGGTCTGCTTTGGGCTCTGCATATGTTTTACCGTTTTTGTTAGTGATGATGTGGGAGACTTCAGTCATAGGTCAGGCATTCGGTAATAATCAGTCTCCCAGATGTCACTTAAATTGAAGCGTCACATGGCAGCTTCGGACCTATAGTTCAGTCGCAGAATAATACCTGTCGCCAAACACTATATGTCCTTGCACGAACACATGTGAGCAAGTCATTGAAAATTTCATGTCATCCAACATGTACTAGTAGGAGGAGAGTTATGCATATAAAAGGTGCTAATTCTCAGCCTCGGAATTTATTTTTTGAACTGTCCACTGTGTATTGCGAACAAAAGCAACTGCCTGGAAGCCACAAACGCAAGATAACCCTTCTAAACTACAACACACTCTTCTCGACAGTCGGAAGTAACTTCTTATAATGGCTCTTGTCCTTTCTTACACTCCGGAGTCGTACAAGACTCTGCCCTCCCTCAAAACCGCCCACAAGAACTTTAAGGAGAAGTCTGGGCGAGACGCTCTCGACGGGGAGATCCTCCACCTTTTCGAGGAATACCCTGACGCCCGCCGTAACTTTGGTCTCCAGCTCCTCCACCGGCACTTTTCCATGTCCAAAGACGAGATCCTTGTTGAGGTCGAGCGTACCTCTTCTCCCTGGCACATCAAGAACCTCGGGGACGACGCCTCTCTCATGCAGGGTCGAGTCTACCCTCGCAGCTTCCGCCTCAGCTCCGACCCAGACGGCCCCAAGTTCAAGCCCTACGAGTTCAGATACCTGCTTGACGGCGAAGAGCCACTTTCGGACCCGAATGACCCGCAAAACGCCGCTTTCGCTGAGAAGCTCGCTTCGCTCCTCAAGAAGTATTCCCTGGAGAGCGTCTTGGGTATCAATGCCCTGACGCCTGAGATCAAGCCTCTTCGCGGCTTCAAAGGTGATCCAAGCTGGCTCTGGGAGAAGACCATCGGCAAGGCGAACATCCTCTTCCCGATCTCTGAGTTGGGCAAAGACTCGATCGAGGCCATCTTTGTGTTCACTGGGAAAGGTGAGGGCGTGACGATGGCAGCCCAATGTTCCAGCCCGTGCGTGTGCAAGGGCCCTGGCATGGACTCCACCGAGGATTGGGACTCTGGTGACGAGACGGAGACGGAGTAAGGTAAAGCTTTCGTATTGGACTGCTGGACGGTCCGGAAAGGCGAAGGAATAAAACTCTGGGAAAGAGATATTATGAGACAGTGTTGGGATTTTTGGTGTTCTGAACGTTGACCACTTGAAAGGTTCGGCGCAATTTATCTGGGTAGAGAATGTGAGCCCTAGAATTCTTTTTTGGCCTCCCAAAATACGACTCCTCGTTGCGCGTATTCTACATATGTATTCGATGTGTTAGAAGTGTTGATGGAGCTTCGCATTGTTTTCTATGAACGATCCCTATTTTCAGTGATCGTACAGCTCTTGTAGTACTGAAAACTAATTTGACCGGCTGTCTCTTTCCAGCTTTTGTTTCGCTATCCAAAGCTTGGTGTTATTCAGTCATTAAAGGATCGGCCGTTTCCGGGTGGCCATCTCCATGACAAAACTCGATGAGGTAGCCAGGAATTCTATACTGAGCCGAGGGAGCACCTGGAAATTCATACTCGAATAGTGAAAATTGGCCCGGGATGTAATATTCTGTCACCATTTCAAAGTTGGTGTCTCTTTCGGCTCACTTGACTACCTAGCTATTGAATGAATGAGTGGATTGGCTCACATCGTGTGCTGTTCCCATAGTAAGATCCAAGCCTCTGCTAGACACCGAAGACTGCGTGATCAAGCATAACGCTGCAAAGGCGCGCGTTCAGGTGACGCATCACGGATCGTCATCTAGCGCCTAAGCCTTGCACTCCTCCTGCTCGGAGTTGCTGTGGTCTTGGTCTTCTTTCTCCCACCATCGCTGCGTTCTTGCTCGTCATTGATTTTGCGTTTGGACGAACGCCGGTCGGAGCTATTGGCTCGAACGGTCTCCGTTTCTTCGACGACCTCGTCATCCCCGCTGTTACTGGTGTCTGCGCGTGCGTCCTTCCTACCAGCACGAATTGCTAATAATTCCTCGTCTTTCACCAAAGGATAACCCAGTAGTTCTCTCCGCTTGAAGAACTCCCACGCCAACTGGTACGCCTTGGACTGCTCCCCTTTATCTTGGCCCTTCTGCCTCACAAAGGCGGCCAGGGTTTGGCGTGAGACCCCCAAAATTGATGGCAAGACTTCAAGCCCGAAATCGTCATGATGACTGTACTGGTAGCAAAGTCGAGGCCAGTCTTCGTCGAAATGGCAGAAGCGGCGGATCATTAAACGAATCTGATCACAGTCCCGGTCTATCTGCACAGGCAGCGACAACCCGATCTCACACGGAGGGGTCGCGTAACTTGGGAGGTGAGGGTACAGGACAGAACGCCTGATGGGCTTATACTTGTCGTAGTTGCGGACAACCCCAGGCCTCACTCGGGGCGTCATATCAACGGTGGTGTCGACTGCTTCCAGTGCATCTTCCAGCTTTATGGCAGCCTCGGCCTGCTTCTCGCTCTCAAGGTCGTAGCGAATCATGGCTCGCTTGAGCGCACATTTTCGGATCTCTTCTGGCGTTGCGTCGGCCTCGGGGATGCCGTTTGCGGCCCTTTCAGCGCGCAACTTATCCTCTCTGCGCTTGGCAAGTATGTTGCTGTACTCTTTGACCTGATCAGCGGTCAGGTCTGGGAGGAGGGCCCTCCGAGCAAGCTCCCTGTCATCTTGGCTGAGGGGCTCTACTTCGTTCTCGCCCAGGTCGATCTGCTCCAACATCCAGTCCCGGATGTAGTGGTTCGGTACATCGGGCAGGGTATGGTTGCGTCCCAAACGGCCGCCACTCACGTAGTCGTCCTTAAGAGACCACATCCCACCAATACCATCTACACTCATGGAGTCCCAAAAACAAAGGTTCCCGATCAAGGATTTCTTCCGGGCTGGCGTCAGGCTGAGCTTCTCGGCGAAGATGTCGACAAGCTGCGCGTTGGTGAGGACAGAGCCGGGACGCTGCTGCATGTTAACATTTGAACTCATGCGCTAATATGGAACCAAGCCGATGATGAACATACGGCGCGAGATTTCGAAAATTGGGTGCTGGGCTGCTCATGCAGACCAGGCCGAGGCCCCTCCGGCACGGGCTGCACATCATGATGTTGTCGCCGACGCGTCTGCGGGCTTGTCAGTCAAGAAATGCTCTCCGAGCCGGGAGATTCGAGGCCACTTGCAGGCATGGTGGTGTGCACAAATCCACTTGTAGAGACTTGCAGGTTCCTATCAAGTGCGTGAAATGTGTAGGCAGACACAAACTCAACATCTGGCGCTGGGTTGAAGGGCAGTGCGCGGGTTTGTTGGCCCCGGGTCGCGTAATAACGCGCTCGAGCCAGGGACAGGGAGGGTTTCCTCAAGAATGTGAGTGCGGGTGCGTGGGTACATGGTGACCCCACTAGCTTCGAGATCTGCTCCATTCCCCACGGCGTGCACTTTGCCCCTGCCCACCTCTCCGGAGATGGAGATGGGCCACGTAAATCTCAGTCTTAATTCTCGTAATGTCGCAACTCTTTTGGTACGGCTGCAAAGAGCGCAATGTTTGCACCGTGCCGGTTGCAAATTCGTCTCGGAACAGACGAGGGCGAGGGTATCCGCATGTCGAAGAAACAACCCGCCGTGATACTGAAGTAGCACGACGCGAGCTCATAATCGATGAGCAAACAAGGATTGAGTCGCGTCATTTCCCTCTGCCAAAACGCGGAAACAGGCGCAGCAGACGGAAGTCGAGCCTCAGCTCCACTGTGAAAAAGACTACTGTTTTTCCGTTGACATCGTTCCTTACAGGAAGATACTTGCATGCCCGAAGTAGTAGCCGTCCATCACCTGCCAGCGCAAGGGTTGGTGAATATCTGGCTAGCTTCTGCAAGCTGCCCACCGTATGAAGGCGCCATGTACAGTACACGGTCTTCCCTTAATCTTTGTCGTGTAGGTACTTCTGACCTCCTCTGATGTGACCTTCTTCCCACCAACTAATTGCCCCCCTCATACGGTACCTCCGTTTTCCTAATACAACGCTACAAAACAGCTACCTAAATTCTAAATAAATTTTGCTGTGTCTGGTAGTATTTTTCTGTGAATACGTATAGAGTTGAAATTTACTTTAGGGATTCATTCCTGACCTCTCAGAAGTCGCTCTGCGACGAGAATCAAGGGAAGACCCTGTATGTCCTCGGACGCATACGGAATAGAAGCGAAACCACATAGTTTGCCGGCTGCGTCTCAGGATCGAGGTGCCATCCATGTTGTGCTGTTTTGACCTCAACACAAGCTCTGAGAATTTACGGTGACGTACCAATTTGAGTTTTACTGAACCCGACATCACTCCGCAGTGGAATGCCGATGAGTGGAAATCTCAGAGTAGCACACCATTGAAAAGGCTGCGCCAGGCGCAGAGTGTAGTGTTGATGGTGAGGCCCAATGGGCTGGCTACCTACTAATTACATTGCGGATGTGTGCGCTGGTTATGAAAATAATTGCCTAGAACTTCGAATTATGGCATGTCTCGACTGGCCACCCTCGACTGGCCTCAATCCTTCCTACATGGGCCTCAATGTTGCCTGGGTCGGCCTCAAACCTGCGCCCAGCCCCGCTCGGCCATCATACTCAACAGCACCACATAATTAATACTACCGTTTCATTGAGCATATGAATCCTTTGAAACTGACCGTTTGACTTCGGCAAAGATTCAGCACGTTGCAAAAATGCGCAGCGCCGGCGCACAGCATCCGCGTCTTCGACTCTTCGGGGGTGCTATGCAGCCTTCATTTGATGGTCGGATTCTGTGCAGTTCGAAGTAATTTGAACACCAATCGACAGGGAGAAGAAACAGGACACCGCGCTAGCGGTGTCTATCTGTTTCTAAAATTCCGAAAATAACAGGAAAGCAGTGGGGGAACGTGGGTATCGTGGCAAGCATCTACGGCCTCATTTTGCAAACCGGCTAGGTTCTGCGGTTCGGGGTCACCCAGGACGTATTTGGGGCTATCTAGCATGCAGACAGCTTCCCAAGGTCACTCTCAGATACCGTCAGGTACCGTCAGGGACCAGAAGATAGCAAAAAAGTGCAAAAGGTTATGATGAGACTGGGACTTGAACCCAGGAGGATTGCTCCACCAGGAGTGATTGTTAAGATTAACCTTAACCTGGCGCCATAACCAACTCGGCCATCTCACCCGTTTTTGACGAATGCAAGAGGTTTTGAGAGAATATGGAGCTTGTGGGAGACACAGAAAGTGGCGGTGTGGGTGGGCCGGAGCCTCCGGATGATCATCCGAGGATGCGACTTAGCGCGCTAACAACTGACCCCACAGATACCACGGCACGGGAGAAGGCAGTTCTGAGCCATACAGCCACTCAAATCAAATGTCAAAGGCGCCAGAGACGGAATTTGTTGTGTGGCTGTCTCATCGATTTGTCCAGCAATGCTTGGGGTTGACCGGCGGCTGGTTGGCTCCCGCCGGCGCGGTGCGCCACGCGGGAATGGGCTTCCCGTCCACGTGCACCCCCGCCCAAGTACCCAGGTACCGAAGTACCCCAAGGTAGGCCAACCCCAACCTCGTTGAAAGTCAAGTACCTAGGTACCTACAGCAAAAGACTCCAATAGGAAGTCAGCATCAGCCATGTCTTACACTTCATTTTCGCTGAGTGTATAAAGGTGAAACTGTACGGTAGGCACAGCTACCGTACAGTACCAAGCATTCAGCTGGCGTATACTCGACATGCCGAATTCGTTGGCCTGCCCTCTCTTTGCTGACCTCTCGAACCCTCACGTCCATACACCACAGCAAGCGGTTTTGAAAGTCCAAGCTTCATCCCTACGAATATTTCTGTCCCTGGAAAGTCGACTGCAGCCCGAAGAATTTTTGGAAAAAAGAATAATCTTTCCGTCAGCAGAGCCCTGGCCGGAATTACTGAGGCACAGAGTGCCACAGCGAAGTACTTTACCGGTACCGGTTGTTGAGTCGTGCTTTTGAAAATATCCAGAGAGTCAAAAACACAGCAGTATAATCATACATCCACCCAGAAGCCTGGCTAAGTTTAACAGATGATGTGTTCCTGTGATTGGCCCTCGAGCAAACTTCGTCATGTGTGATTGGGAGACCAGCCGGCGTCGTCCGCCCAGCCCAGTCCAGCTGGAGACACGAGGTGCTAGAGTGCCGCAAGTGTAGCCAAGCAAGTATGTTTATTGATTGTTCGCAATTGATTTTCGTCACGCGCTCACTACATTTGGAGCCTAAGAAAATGGACTCTAGTTTGCTGATGGTGGACAGACAAAGACACCACAAACATCATAACCGTGTCGCTGTCTCCGCCTCAGCTCCAAACCCTGCTTGAGCAGGTCCGCTAAGGTGGTGACCCTGAAGAAATCGTGGCCTGGGCGTTCAAAGTGGTTTCGTTTTTTAATCCCCATACATGTAAAATATATGTGGCGCCTTCATACAGTGGTAAACGCTCAAGACCCAGCGTTTGAAGAAATATAGTACCAATAATAGTAGAAAGAGAATACAGTACGTCTATGGGCACGTAGCTAAGCCTCATACTATATAAATAAGGCTAGAAGGTATCACTCCCAACGACGCCGCACTAAAAAGCCAGTAAAGCAGTCATACGGTAAGATTAGAATAGTCTCAAAATAGCCCCTATAAGAAGAAGAATCCCACAACGTAAGACCCAGCAAGCTGGCTCTTCCCCATCAACACACTCAATAGCCACCCAGATCTACCCTCGCCAGGTAAGCCAGCATGGTCCCCATCCCAAGCACATAGCTAACAGAATAGTAACACCACAATGGCCAGGGCGTTCAAAAATGTGCGACCTGGGCGCTACAGCTTTGCTACCCAGCTGCAGCTGCCGCGTATGAGATTCCCGCTGCAAGTCGTCGACACTAAGAGCTTTGTCTTCGACACTATCATGGGGTTGCTTGAGCGCCTCGAAGCCGAACAGCCAAATCATCCGATGTTCAGTAGACAGAAGAAGAATTGCTTTCGGTGAGTACACCTGGGGGATAAGACCCAGTCCCCGGACCTCGTGGTTTCTCCTCCCTTTTCAAGCAATTCGTCGTCTGTTACTGAAATCCGGAATAATTAGAAACACTTGAGAGCATTGTGTCTTGTCCGGAATGCTTGTCTGACACACCCAGTGGGTGTTATCAGAGCTGACAATCCCATACAGGTGTTAACCCTGCTCATGAATTTTGGTGAGTATCCATTGCGGGAACGAGAGGTTGATTCCATCTACTCAGTTCATCAAAAACGGGTGAGATGGCCGAGTTGGTGATTTGAAGAGTCCAGAATGGACTGGAACGTCAAATTTTGACCAGCAACCCCCCAAGACCACAGATGTACCTAGGCATAGCTAGATCCTTTGCACAATCTAGTTCCTGACGGGCTGCCCGCCCTCTCTGGGCCAGAGGGGAAGGACCCCACAAGCCTGTGCAGCTACTAAGGATCACGAAAGGTTCATACCGGGTTCCGGCATGTCTACCGTTACGGCATTCATGCTCTTGGAACCACCACACTTGCGTATCTGTTGGGTCTGCCGCTTACGCAGGAATCACTTCACACGGAGCATACATGTCCGAATTTAAAATACAACAAGCAATCTTGGGCTTGAGGACATTTCATCACTGCCTCATCATACGCAGTCATCTTTCTCACGGGGCGGATCAAGGCATGGCAGGGAGGGAGCAGGGGCAACCGCCCGACAATTTCATTATCATTTTTTTTTAAAAAAAAACACAAGGCAAAAACATTGTCGTCATCGTCGTCGTCGTCCTCTTCCTCTTCCTCCAAGACTGTCAGTCAAAGGCAAATCTGGCGAGGAGGATGAGAGTTTACTTACATTCCGTCTTGATGACGGGGGTGGTTGTGGCGGATGGGGCCGCCGAACCACAACCACCACCGCCCTGGCCGCCGCCGCCGCCGCCATTCTTGTCCTTCTTGTTCTTCCTCTTGCGCTATCTAATGTGTCAGCGCTTCAAAAACCCCACAGTGGTTTTGGGTAGACCTACCCGGCTGCCCCTCTTCTTCTTCTTCTTCTTTGGCTCCTCGTCCTCGTCCTCTTCCTCGTCGTCCTCGTCGTCATCGCGCTTACGGTACCCGTTAGTTTGGAAGGCCTCGCCAGCGAGAGATATGAGAGCTCACTTTTCTTCCACCCAGGGCGGGCGGCGGGCGCGGCGGGAACGGCGACCACGCACCGAGGAAGGCGCGGGTCAGGTTCCGCGCCTGCCCAGCGGACAGGCCGGGCGCCAGCGAGAGGGTCGCGCCGTCTGGGCGCGTTATCAGAGCTGATCCTGTCAGCGGACCCACTTTGAGCACAATCGTACCGGATTCTGGGTATCAACGTACCGGGCGCGGGAGCGGGAGCAGGCGCAGGAGCAGGAGCAGGGGCGGGCTCGGGCTCGGGCGCGGGCGTGGTGGTGGCGGCCGGGGGGGCGGCGACCGCGGCAGGAGGGGGAGAGGGGGAGGAGGAGGTGGTGGTGGTGATCTCCTTCTGTCATGCAAACACGGTCAGCAGGCTGTTCACGACAGAGGCCTTGACGCAAAGCCTATGGATAAGCTGCGTCCACCGTCCATGTATGGATGGTGTTGCAGACCTTGCTGCTCAGGATGGAATTTGTCGCGGCACTCACGTTGCTCGATATTTTCTGCCAAATTCCAGGTCAGTGATCTGCTGCTAGATTTCGAGAACGAGCATGGGGCAATGCTTACGAACGATCTCTGATTTGCTTATTTGAAAACTAGATCACCAGAGAGTGTCAGCAAGTAGCCATCATAGAACAGGAACGCGTGCAAGTGTCGCGTCGACGGCCAAGGAACCACTTGGCTCCGCAGTGGCTCGACGGGTCCTTGCAAGGAGCCAAGAGGGTGTATGCATCGAGGGAGCTGACACGATCAAAAATGGATCTTGGGGGCGAGGTTGTCACATACAATTCTGTCGAGCTGGTGTGAAGGGGAACAGAGGGAAGGGGCGGGCCCCCCGACAGCACCAGGAAGGCATACCTCACTGGGCTCCGCTTAGTCACCATATAAACTGCCTACCTAGGTACCGTTTTGCCAGCAGAGACCATGTCTCTGCCCTTGACATTGTATCCCAATCATGTTCCTGTTCAGAATCAACTGTTGCTTTCCAAAAATGCACTCCAGGTGACTGTTGAAGCTATGGGTCTGTTCTCTCTAACACTCATCGAGGAGAGCAGATCTGACAGACTTCAGGACAGCAAGTGGAATTGCTATCTGCCCCTCAACCAACAGAGAGCAGACCCCGCCGCCCCATCATCCCATGCTCAGAGTATGTGGGCTCAGGAGAGCTTTGGATTATAATTATGAATGCCTAGTGATGCTTTCCCAGAGACTGTGATGAGCCCATTCTACGTGGCCGAGTGTGGAGAAGTGTGGGTTCAAATCTAGTTTTCATGGGTGGTGAACGTGCTGTTACTGTATCCAGTAGCCTTGCTCAAGTGCTCACAAGCTCTTGATTCTAGGCACACCACTGGCAGTGTCTGGTTTCGAAACTGTCATTCTACTTGCTGGTTAGAGTAGCCAGATGCCCGGTCTGTATTCCTCCGAATCATTGATGTGTATCATACATGAATCCAGACTTCATAAGGATGGTCTTGTTTCGCCATCGCTTTGTTCGTACCCTCAGACTACCTCCAGGGTTAAACTGTCAGGCGGTGTATCGTATCAACAACATCCAAGAAATCTGGCGGTCAGTATTAGTTGAGAGTTCTTGTTCTGACTTCTGAAACGACTATAAAGACTTAACATCAATAAGAAAGAATCCAAAAGCTTGGCTGATTATAAACATTTGAATCCTGCCGTGACATATAATTCACCACGAGCTGCCAGATCTCCCTACAAGCTGGGAGCCCTCGAAGGTCATTTGGGAGAGGTGTCAGAGACGAATCCACTAGGGTTCATAGCAACAAATATTTCCCTGCTAGATGTCTTTGGCATGGAGATTATCTCATTGTATTTTGACCCAAAAGAGCTTTCCTGAACGGATGCTGTTTCGTTGGGGACCATCCCACTCAACTCTCTCTGCTGGAATCTTCCCACTAGATGTCTTCCCACTGCGTATTGTCCCACTGAATATCTTCTTACTGGACATGGTCCTACTAGAGGCTGTTTCAAAGGAGACCATCTCAATTTGTGATCCCAATCCGACAATGTCTTTATGGAAAACCACCAGCTAGATCAACAGTCTTGTACTATGTTCCTACAGAAAGATTCGACGGAAGATCAGCATGCATTACTAGAATAAAACCATTGTTATAAACACAGGCAGATGGCTTATACTGAGTAGCCCACAAAGCACATGTCATGCATATAAACACACCAGAGCCGAGGCCTCGGTCATCAAGCCTCCACAGTGGGATACCACCTCATGACTTGAGACTGAGCACTCGCCCACGCCCGGGAAATGCCGCCCGCCTGTGGCCCACAAGTATCGCCCTCCCTTCAAGACCTTGCCGCCGCCGTGGAAATTGTACATGGGGATGGGGGCACGAGCCGACCTTGGCAGCCGCGAAGGTATTCGAATACCCATACACAGAAAGACAGCAAGACAAGCACAGGCCACAGAGGTCCCCGACTCTCCCGCCGCCTAGCCCACTGGGTCCAGATGTCCCTAAATAATCCCATCCGTCGATCCTGACTAGTTACCGCGAGCCGGCGGCCGAGAAGGGTCGCGGGACAAGACATACCTACACGACTTGGCAAGAGACGCAAGCCCAATCTTGCGTTTGCTCCCGATGAGACACACAGGAACCAGGACAGAGAGAGGATCGCCACGCCACGCCACGCCCACGGCCATACTTTACGCACGTGTGTCTACGCGGCCGCGGAAATTGGGATGATAATCATTGGGATAAAATAGATACCAGACACAAAGTAGAAAAAAAAGGGGCGGGGGGGGGGGGAGACATACTATAAACACTGATATCGACACCAGGTACTGACTCGCAGCCGCACCACGCGTGACTAGGACCTAGCTCGCCCTGAGTGGCGTGGGCAAGAGTAAGTATCCATCCGTCCGTCCCCACGATGTCGTGCATCGCTGGGAGCGCGCGCGTGTCGGCAACATTGTGCTTCCCGCACGTGTCATTGGAGAAATGAGATCGTCACTGTCATCTTCTCTTCCCGTCCCTCGAGTATCCGTGCCTGCGGGGGGGAGGGGGCACAGGCGGAGGAAGAGGGACAAGACGCACAGCAGGAGTCCACCCCGCCCCCCCTCCAGCCCAGAAACAACAGCAGGACGTCATGTGCATTGATTACAAAGTAAACAAAATCCACTCACCAAGCCCAGCCCCCAAGAGACGATTCGCGTCCGGGGGTGGGTGCGAAGCTTCCCGGGGAGGTTAGAGGCCTGGGGAGAGGCGGTCCAGCTACTCGCTGGGGTTTCATCCGAGAAAACTCCAGGACCATGCCCAAGGTGGTCAGGGTGAGGGGGGGTATGTGGACAACAGAAACAGACAGAGATCGGGGGCTGGCTGCTGCTTGCCAGGCTCGCGTAGGCTATCAATAACCATGCAAAGCGGGCCTGGCCCAGGCTGTGGGCACCAAGGTTTTCCCAGGGTCATGGGCTAATTTGAAAAACAAAGAGAAAAAAAAAAAAAAAGACGCCGTCAATTCCCCAGAGTCCTGTTTCCATGTGTGAAGCATCTCCCGTGGTGGAACAAGCGCCAACATCCTGAGTCGCCAGGGCAGATGGGACCTGCGTGATTCCGGGGTGGCCATGGAGGGAACGGCAGTCGAAGCGGGCCATCGGGTACGGCCCTTGAGGCCAGGCGAGTGACAGCGGGGGCTGAACAAATGACAACACGATCGAGGCCACCATTCTGAACATGGGCCCACCATGAGCTTCGTTGAAGCCGGGGAAAGCTTGGTACGGAGGCGCAGCCCAGCAGCGACACTTGGTGTCTGGGAAGCTTGCCCTCGATTGATCGATCCCAAGCTGGCACGCCTGAAAGGCCTGGTCACCTCCTCCTCGCCACGCTGTTTCGACTGGTCTGCAGCTCTGACTAGGAAGCGTTGGTTCCTGGCATCAGGTTGGCTCGGACAATTCCCTGTTACAGTAGCAGACGACAGTAAATCGAGAACGTCTCGTGTCAGAAGCGCATTACTGCGGTCATGTTGGATTGTTGGTACAAATCGGCCGTCTCTTTGAGGCTGTCGCCCCCAAACATTCTCCCATCATCCCTCCAAGGTATATATACAGTACATAAATGTTGGAAAATTTTGGTGGTATCATAAATACTTAACCAAATGCATCTCATATCCGGTTGCACCCATGATCGCCTAAAATGCCCCAGAGAAAACGCCAGGAAATACAGGGACTTGCCAAGTTGGAAAATTGCTTAGTGATGAAGGACTCCATCAGACCTTGATGATGCCGCTTGATGGCCAAAAAACGGCGTGATTGGGTGAACCTGACATGACCCAAGCGCTTTGGTATGCATGCTTGTTGCTGTGTGAAAGTCGTCTATCTGCGTTTTGTCAAAGGAAGCCCGCTGGCATCGTAGTCCCATCCTCGCTTCAACCCGCCCTCGTAGACACTGGCCACAGAGTCCTGCCACATGGCAGGGGTAACGAATGTCTGCACAGGCGCAGACGAGTATTGCTGGCTGGGCGAGATCTGGGAAGCTGCAGCGGCGGCAGCAACCGAGGGCACGGTGGCGTGCACGTGTTGGATATCCTGAATCGAAGGAATCTCTGTGGCACCTGAATTTGGAATACTTAGAGAGCTATTGGGAGGTGGAGCACCAGTCACTACTGGTGCCGACTGGGCTGACGGCGTACCGAATGAGTTGTTCCATTGACTGTTTGAAATAAGGTCAGTTTTGTCCCTCTTGATACGCAACAAGTCTGTAGGCGATTTTATACTGACTCAAATATTCTCGAGGGATTCCACCCAGATCCCCCGTCTGTAGTCATTGGCATGGATGATTGCATCGAGGGTGCTTGCGATGAGCTGGCCTGGCTGCCAGAAATCATGGGCAACTGTAGACCCGCAGGAGAGTCACTCTTCATGTCCATAGGACCCGCCGAGATTGGAGGCGTGATTGGGTGCTGCCCGGGGTAACTGACTTGAGAATGCTGCACGGCGCCCTGGGTGTCAATCGTCTGGTGGTGGTCCATCGATCCGCGAGGGATAGACGGCCTGTAGTTATTGGGATTGAGACGTGGCGGGGTCTGGCGTGTGGTCGAGTGCGGGCTGCCGTACGGGAAACTAGGCTTCAACACGAAAGGCTTCCTCGTGTCGGCGGAGAAGGCCTCTCGGATGGAGTCTATCTGCTTCTGCACATCGGGCATTGGCCACGCGTGCATGACCTTCTCCAGCACCCTCATGTGCCTTGTGAAGTACTCACGCGCATCAGAGTTTAGGTCTGGGTCGGGGGAGGTGAGAGAAACCTAGAGCTTGTCAGGTGACTAGAGGCGCCGAGCGCAGGGAAGCGGGACTTACAAGATGCAGCACGATGCATGACATTATGCAGTAAAGAGTGAAGTTGACGCCTCTCTGCATGCACTGCAGCCCGTGAATGCCGAATGACTGCAGAGTGGCCTCCTGTAACCTGCAGATTGTTTTCGCAGAGTTGTAGCAGAGCAACATGTGGTGCTTCCATTGGCCATCCATGCTGGTCGGCTCCAGGTGCGTCAATTGCGGGCGGTGCAACAAAATGATGCTGAGGTGGTAGTAGGAGTGCAGGTTGCCTATGAACGCTGAAGACAGCCATGGCGCGGAGCCATCAGGAGGGTAGTTGACCGAAAGGTCCGCAGGGAGCTCTTCCAGCCAGGCGGTCGCGTTAGGGTTGAGCTGAACAAACTCGGGATCGCAGCCCCAGTCTTTGTGTTTGTGGATGCGTGAGTAGACTCTGTTCATCCTCGCCACGTTGCGCACAACACGAGCCATGTATGAGAAGTTTCGAGCGACCTGGTAGTCTTGATCGTCACCCCCTGCTAATGGGCGTGGGAGCCCAAAGTCGATTGAATCAAGGTCCACCGACAGATCCGTGCGGCCTGTTTTTGTATGTTAGCCGAACTGCCGTCAAGCATTCTGATCAGGCCAACACACCTTGAGCAGACCCTATCATGGTCTCGCACACGAAGACCGTCTGCCATATCCGGCTCTTCAGTGCACAGTCGGCCGCAGAGGAGTCGCAGGGACGTCCGGCTTTGTGGTCCTCGAAATGCTCATCGAGTCCGAGCTCTTTCCCCATCTGGACGCACTGGACCACACTCATCCATGAACGGTAGAAATAGCCGCGTCTCGGAGCCGCCTCTCTTGCTTTCAGAATCAACAACAGCGCCTGGATTGTGCTCAGCCTGGGCGTGTCCATGAAGGAATCGGCATGTCCTGATGGGTGTCAGTACTCGACGCGGAGACGGAAATCAGTGTCAGCACAATGCGTACTTGTTGCCAAAGCCAGCCATTGCTGTCCCTCGCCTGGCTCGTCCGCGATCCTTCCAGCCAGAGCAAAGACAGCCTCCAAGACCAATGGAGACATCGAATCCCTGTTCGTTTGCCACTGACGGTAGAAAGCCGACCTGTCAAGAACGGGCACATAAGGGTGGATGTTGCTGAAGAACAGATCGAAATAGTGCAGAGCAGTCTCTTCGTCCGGCATGAGCTCTGGCGGTATCCTGACTTTCAGCCCTGGCCCAGACACAAGTGGTGGCAGGGACGTCTTATAGTCCTCGTCTTCCGGGAGTAGAGGCTCCTCATCCGCCAGGCCCTTTAGTCTCAGTCTATGGCTCAAGTACGGCGCTTCGCCGGTGTTAGAAGCAAGCTCACAGATTCGAAATGGACCCTGGCATCCAGAGACTCACCTGTTCCTGCGTCATTCAGCTTCAAGGTGCCAAGAATTTCTGACAAGTCCTGCTGCCCGTACTGGTCCTGGTTGTAGACCTCTGGAGGAGATTCAGGACGCGTCGCTTGTTGCATGGGTGGCGTGGGGAAGATATTGGGCTGTTGCGACTGCGCCTGCGCGTAAGAGTGGTCAACCACGCCCACGGAAGCAGGCACGGTAGTATAATGGATACCGTGCTGCGGTGAGTGGTCCGGATACTGCATGGGCTGGTAGAGTCCTGACTGCTCGGAGTAGCTCCCTCTCTGCGGGGCGTAGATGGACGAGGACATGGAAGAGGACATGGGCGACGGATTGGGGGCGCCAGTCATGAGGTGAGGAGGATGCATTGGCATCTGCTGTCGAAAATCCTGGACCCCAAGAGTCTCGTAGTCGGGGCGAGTGGGCTCGAAGACCTGAGGTTCTGCTGCGCCATCGTAACCGTTGGGCCGGACACAGTGAAGCTTCAAACGGATGCAAGCAGAGCAGGGCCATGTGTTAGTGGTCGCGGCATCGCACTTTATCTTTCGTCTCCGACAGCCCTCACAGGCTCTCATAACTAGGACAGACAGTTAGCATCGGCGGTGGAGAGGGACGGGCGCGGTGTGTCCAATCAATTGGGCACCCTGGCCGGGTTCCATACCCTTGAGTCGCTTGTGACGATTATGCTCATCCACGAAGACATAATCTGGAAACAGACAACGTTAATAATCATGGCACACAAAGGCAGGCCCCGAGGATTCGAAGGCGATAGGAAGCGCACTCTTTTGGGTTTCCCTTGGCTGGTAGGACTGGGGCGCGAAGCTGAAGTTGGTCATCTGGGAGCTCTGCGGGAGCAGCCGCCGAGCTGATGGATCGCCGGACATGGTGGTGAGAGACTGGGGGCGGTTGGTCCTGAAAGAAAACCGACTGTGGCCAGGAGAGGGCCAATGGTCCCGAGACTTGCTGCTGGTATGGGTGCTGCGGTCTCTTGGGAGTTGCCAACGAGGTGACTGGTTAAGGTAGGAAAGGCGTGATGGTGTCGGAGGAGGCTCTCGTTCGTTGTCTTAAAAATGGGTGGTGGTGGTGGTGGTGTGCGGTGCGGGCGCGGTGCGGTGCGGTGCGGTGCGGTGCGGTTGCGGTGCGGTACGGGGTGTTGTAGTAACGGGTCGGCACACAGCGGCAGGTTGCTACGTCCTGCGCGACAAGACGGGTGACAGGTGACAGGTGCACACAGCTTGAGGTCGAAACCAGATCCGGATGGGTCGGTTCGGGCTGGATATGTTTCTGCTTTTGAAAGGGCACGGCTTCAGCTCCCTTGGAGATGTCGAGAGTGTGTGGTCGGGAGGGCCGTTTTGTCCAAGGACGCGGGTGAGGGCGATAGAGTTTGAAGACCAGGAGGGACATGGACATGTACGCATGGAGTAGCGACTGCTGTGTAGGACGGGCAGGGAGAAAGGGCCTGGTGAACCTCTTTTGGGACTTTGGGATGGCAGGGAACATGCAGGCAGGGCAAGGTCCCGGCACAGAGCTATGTAAGTACTGCTTGTCTGTTCTGCAGTACGGAGTACAGGTTGCATTACAATACTCGAGACATGGAGGGGAAGGCGAGGCGAGTCCAGGGGTAGGGGTATGGGTATGGGTATGGGCCAGGGGCCGGAGCCGGGACCACGACCAGGGACTGGGGACTGGGGTGGAGGGACTGGGACTTGGACTGGCAGACTGGGAGTGGGACTGGGACTTGGGACTGGGGACTGGGACTGGGCATGGAACTGGGGCATGGGAAGCAGGAAAAAGGTGGGCTGCTTGAGGTTGGGGGGGCAGGCGGTAGGTAGGGAGGGGGGTGTGAGAGAGAGAGAGGGGGTGTGGTTGTTGGTTGGTATTGGAAGATGCTGCGGGTGGAAGAAAGAATAAAAAAAAAAAAAGAGCAGAACAAGACAAGGGTTGGGCTAACGATAGAACAGCGTCTGAGCACTCTGGTTGCTAAGCCCGGCCACAATATGATGATGTGCAGACAGGCAGCCTGGTCTATTTGCGAGTGGAGGCTGCTGGAAGATGGGAGGGACAGCCGGGAGTCCCGCCGTGAGTGAGCAAGCGCCTGCGTGCGTGCGTGCGTTTGTGCGTTCGTGCAAGCGAGTTTGAGTGGGCGAATGCGTGCGAGAGAGCAAGCGTACAGCAGAGTACAGGTACAGGTACAATATGTGTGTGTGTATGTGTACGTGCTTGCGTGTGTGCGTTCTATGGTCTGGCTGGCTGACAGTCTGTCAAGTCTGTCAACCAGTCAATCAGTCGGTCAGCCAGTCGTTCAATTTGTCTGTCTGTCTGTCTGTCTGTCTGTCTGTCTGTCTGGCCGTCAGTCTGAGTCTATTATGCCTGGGCCCAGCAAGGGCTCCACGAGGCAAGACCAGTACTGTGCAGGGCAGGCGGGCAGGCGGGCAGGCAGGGCAGGGCAGGGCATGATCCATCATTAGGGCGCATTGATGGGTGTACCTGGTCTCCGCCTCTTGCTCAGATACTGTGTATTGTGGCTGACGGCGCCGACGAGCTCCATCCAGACAGAGACGGCAGCCCCCTGGAGGTGTGTGCGGGTGCCGTGGCTGCGTGGGTGCGCGTGATATACTGCTGCTGCTGTGAGGTACGACGTACGAGGGGGACCCTCTCGATCCAGCTCTGATGAAGGGGCCTCTTTGGAGAAGACAGGAAACACCTGAAAAATGGCGGCAGACCCTGGTCGCACAGACATGCGCGAGAGGAGCAGGCCAGGTGGAGATGGCCACAGCCCAGGCCTCCCCAAGGCACTGGCCCTGAGGTCTACCCACAGTCCTGTGCTAATAAAGGGGGGGGGTGTGTGAGGGAACAAGGCAGAGATGCACGCTAGCTTCGTGTGCTGCTAACCCGAAGAGGCTGCTGGCTGGCTGGCGTCTCCCGCCCGTTAGGCCCGTGTGCCCCAAGTCTTTGCTTGTGACAGGAGCCCGTCAGGCGTCAGCCCGTCAACTAGGGCAAGTGCTGACTGCCTGCCTGCATGCCTGCCTCTGGACCTGCACCATGCGTCGGTGCTACCCGGCCTGCCCAGCTCTTTCTCTTCTACTGTACCTAGGTCCTCAGATGTCTACTAGGTCGCACATGCAGCAGGCGGCGACAAAGAACGGCGACGCCTGCGCCGACGTCGATGCCTTGGTCGCCTGCGCCTGTCCCTGTTTTAGCACGACGACGATTTGCCATTCTCTAGTCAGTCGGTCATGGCAGCGTCCTGTGCTTACGACTCGCCGCCGCCCTCTTTTCTTCGAACCGAGAATGGACAATGCAACTGGGACTACGACTCGACCTCGACCGGCCAGTCTGGCGTGCGGTCAGGCTCCTCGTGCCCTACCCGACCCGCTCTGCCGTGGCTCGTCAAAAAACAAGACTGCCACTGTACCCATTTCCTGTGGGTATCTGGCCGGCCGGTGGGGGCCTTCTCCAGCTCTGCACCTAGCAAAAGGCACCTCAACACACCGTCACAGGCACAGGGCCGCTCCCGTTGTCGGCCCCGGCCAGAGACGCCCAGCCCTGGAACCACAGAAACTCTATCTGCACCTACGGTGGGCTGGGTAGCACGACAGACTCGTGCTACGTCCAGTAGGTGCATGTCTGCACCTCGTCCCGACTTACCAACGGTATCGTAAGCAGCCGATATCAGATCGCATATAGGGGCCACCGTCGACAAGCTCTCGTGTCAAATTTGCCAACCTTTTGTCCTCGTAACCTCGTTTCCCACGGGTCAAAGTCTCCACGCCGCCGGCCGGCCGGGTCATCTGTCAGTTGTCCAGTCGCCGCCGCCGTTGGGCTTCCAACGCCCACTAGATTGTCCAGCCTTTTAGTTCCTGCACGCCACAGACAGAAACCCCCCATCCGCCAAGAAAAACCCAAGTTGCGGTCGACTGGATGAGACGCCCGTGTTGTCAGTGCAGAGGGCTAGGAACAGAGGGATATCCCAGGCTCCGTGGCTGCCACGACAAGGACTCGGCCTATTTGGGCGCGCTGAGAGACCCAACGCCCCACGTGTGTGAATACGACCACCACAGTAAAGGACCCATGGCCACGACGAGATTCGCAGCACTCGTACGATTTCGCTCGAGTGTAAATCTGATTTGTGTGCCTTCGTCCCGGGGTGCCATCTCGAGGGACAAGGGGCCGGACAGTGCCGTGCTGGAGGCATATGTGCTGCCGGTACTGTGATGGTTCACCAGCCCACGGTATGGCCTGCCCCGCTGGCCCGGGCCTGCAACTGCCTGCACCTGCACCTACTACACCTGCTTGCCTGCACCAAGTACGGAGTACCAGCAATCATATGGGAAAGGCTTGGTATAGGAAGTAGACGCGCGCAAAGCTCAGACCCATGCGGCCCACCGTCCCACCGGCAGTAATTTGTGGGGGTGCCCAAGCAATGTGCCCTCACTCGCTGCTGTCTCTTTTTTTCGATCTTCCGCCATGTGGAAGCTGGTGGGTGGGTCGGCACTCGAGAGTCGAAAGCACGCAGTACTACTCTGCCATGGAACCAGCGCGTTAACCACCGCAGTTCCGCGCTTCTCCCGGGCAACAAGACGCAGGGTCCCTTGGGGAATAAGCTGACTTCGGTGTTGGCCTGTTGTGTGGACATCGAGGTCTCCCAGGAGCAACGTAAATCCATACCTACGATCGACATGACGTCTGGTCGTCGGTACGTAGCGCGATGGCTTGCGCTCGGTGTTCTGGACTATCTTGGCACGGCACGACCGATTTCGTCTCATGTTTCCTGTAAGGTACGGACGTGGGGACGTGGTCAACAAAGAAGGTTGACGCCCTCGTCACACGATCGATTTGCGTATATGTACTATGGACGGCCCGAGAGACATCTTGCTAGCTGGGCCACGACTCGAATTTGGGGAAGGGGGTCCCGCCGGGGGTGTGCGGCGAGGTTGAGAAACGACGGGGACAGCGCTAGAGCAAAACTAGCAGCCGTTGACGGCACGAACTATTTCGCCTGATTGCGTCAACTTTGCCAGACCTGTTGCGCTACTTGGTGCAGGCCGCCCACCGGTCTAAACTCAACGCAGCTCCACCGCCTGCGCAGATGCCTCGGTACCTGCAGTTAGAACTCGTCAGGGCCAGTATCTTATTGTTGAGCGTTACTGCGCAGCAGCTATTGACCGGGCCTAACCTGCACTCCATCTGCCACGAGCGTTCACCGCGCCCCCAGGACCATGCTGCTGACGAATCATGCCTATCTTGTCACTCGCAACCGGACCTTTTATTCGCCTCCCCCAAGGCTCGGATACGACAGGGTAATCAACGAGCGAGAAGGCTGTTCCCCACCTGTTTATCCCAGCCCTGGTACCCTTGATCCGGCCGCGTAGCTCATGATCGCCGACTCAGCGCGCGGCTGTTGGCGATAGCCGGTACGAATCCTCGTTTTCGGATCACAACCGGCCTGGTACCTGTCGGGCGGATCTCCGTGGATCCATCCGATATAGAGGCAGATCGTGGACTCGGCCGACGCTGACTCGGTCTTGCTTCCCGGTGCGGCCCATTGCTGCCATAGCCCCCAATCATGCTCACATCCCACCCGTCGTTCTCCGGTACCCGAGAAACAGACTCTAATACAATGCGTCGTTCTCCGGTACCCGAGGAACAGACTCTATTACAATGGCCGTGGACGCGTTCAGCTCTGAGCTCTGTCATTTCGACACCCACACGCCAAAATGAACACTCATCTTCTGATCAAGCTTTTGCCAGCTCACGAACCCAAAAGGAGGCATCGAATACGACTATTGGAGCATAATAATGGCTATTATAGACGTCTCTCCAGGGTTCGAATCCAGATTTACTATGGGGAAGCTCAACCCTGTGGCTGACTCCGCGCTGGCGGTGTTCGCACTTGATCCTTGGGCCTCGGGTCCCCGGGGCTACGGCAACTAGCAAATGCCGCGGGACAAGGTCAGTGGGCGTCAAGTTCGAATCAATTGTGCCTGTATTCGATCAGTCACAGAGCGGTGACCGAGTGTGGGCACTCAGGGCGCTTCTGTCTATTCCCCAGTACAGTACAGAATACCAATAACATCACGCGCATGCTGATACACTACACCATTATGTACGCAGCCTATCATGTTACCCACCCACACCTGTGGATTTTCTCTGGGGGATCTGCCCTGACCAGTGTTAGCCGAGATGACCCCCTCGACTGTCCCAGCAGCCCAGTCAAGTTCAGAGTCAGACCGCTTGCGACAGCTAGCCAGGGTCTTTTGGCGACCGGCAGGTACGGTTGGCCGAATAATAAACCTTCCGGGGCGGAGAGTTGCAGTGTGTACAGATACCCGCAGCACCTGTCGTCGTACCACACCAACGCGATGCCCGGTTGCTTGCGGACCGAGTGCGATGGGGTGCATGTCGATCTCTCGCTACTTCGCACAGCACATCCAGTTTGGAGCCAGACCAGGAATCACTCAGCAATGCCCACCAGTTCCATTTCGGCACTTTTGATTCTTGCCCGGACTGCAGGGCATGATCCCTCCCCTCCATGTGCTCGCACACCCAACTCCCACCTGTCGCTGACCGAACGGCGAATTGGGGATCCGTACGAGGACGAGATATGCCGGGCGCCATGAAGCCGGTGGCTCAACAGAACACAACTATTACCTTGCCAGATTTTGGGGCCAGCATATCAAAATGCAGCAAAGTTGCGCTCCCAAATCTTATTCGTCGAGTTGTTTCACATGTCCAATTGCCGTCGTGGCATCGAGATTCCGGGCAACGTGGATATGTCCCGCAGGTGTGGCACTCAGATGCAGAGACACACCAGAGGTCTACACTGTGTAATCAAGAGGACGACAATCCTTTGCCGGCGGCCCAGTGCCCAGCCAAGTCCCTGCTGCATGTGGCGTAGGTCGTAGGTACGAACCACCTTCCCAAAACTTCAGCTGGTGGCTGCAAATAAGCGAGTCCCCACGTTTCAAGATATCAGTTGACCACACAGGGCAAAGCAGGGCAAGAAGAATGACAGGCTCGAGCTCGTCAGAGAATGACACGAAATTGACTCTCAAAGCTGAGTCTTCAGCATGCGTTTCAGGTGACGCAAACAGCAAGTGCATGTCGCGATACTGTCGGCATGCAAGTCCAAATTCAAAATTCAAATCCACGGGTTGGTGCAGAACATGGCACGGCACCACTGCCACTCTGCCATCAACCCCTGACTCCCGCGATGTCTCCTCGGCGCCAATCGCGGTACCTGGGCACCGACAAGGGCTGTCAACGCTACCGATGCCACAGCATCGGGTCGCCTCTCTCCGCACTCGAAAGTCGCCCGCGATCCAGAGTGCCATCCACTTTCGGCGCACCCTTGCTCAAGAATCTGCCGGGGCAGAGGCCAACAGGCGAGGCTTTGCCAATAACTGCGGGACGTTATTTCGGCGACCAGCAAGACGAGCGACTGTTGCATGTCGAGGATGGCAATGTCGTGGCTCGTCATCACTTTTCGCACCTCGGCTAACGAGGCGCGGTCGTTCGTGATTATCCACCAAGCCTACCCTGACCCGTGGAGGCGAGGGCGGCTGCCAACGTAGAGGAACCCACCGGGGGGGTGCGGATCTGATGATACAATAGCTGATCACCGTGGCCCCGTTGCTTACAGATATTCGCCGAGTGGCGGTGCGATGCCAAAATCTATTGTTGGGGCCTCCATACACCTCTTTCAGGACTTTGGTCCGAGATCCGCGCCCCGTGCCCTGAGATGCGTGGAGGGAGCTCCCGAGGCTAGGAACCCTAAAAATGTGAGGAAACTTTGGTAAACATTGGACAGGCTCGCGGCTTGTTTGACAACAGCTGGCCCGGAGTTGAACCCCTTCTGTGCAAATCGTACCCGGATGCTTCCATCCTCATTCCACGCAGGGATTGTGGAAGCTTTTGGCTGCGGTTTGAGGTTCGACACACGCGAGCACGGACGTCAACGGGAGGGCCGAGTAGGATGTTTTACAGGCAGTATCATGCGCCGGTTTGGCTTTTTGACATCATGCAGGTCACCCCATGGACGGGGAGCACGTTCGATCATGCTCTGCATGATCAACTAGGCGAATTGGAGGCGCCAGATCTGTAAATTTGATTTCCAATGAGGCGGTGACCATCTGAATCAGGGTGCGCGAGTTCTAAGGGGGACTACGTGTCCCCTGGCCGCGGCACCCAAGGGTCTCTCGCCTAATCCTCTGCAATTACATCCTCACAGGGTCTACCACTGATCAGGAATGCCAGGCCTGGGTCTTTTTCTCGAATAGTATTGACCTCACCAATAGCGATTTCGTGGGTCCTGCATTCCTCCGAAGATCACCCTGGCAGACCCGCCGGACTGAGCCACCCAAGAGAGCCCACCTCTCTCGACCCCGAAAAGAATGACGAGGCGTGAGCCGCAGGGCAGCCCTGGGGCTGCAAGGGCAAGGGCTGACATGGGACGACAAGGGGTCGCATGAATCTGCAGCCCACCGGGACAGATGAGCATGACAACGATCGTGGCAGGGCGAATGCCTGAATGCCCTTACGAATGCCCTAAACCATGGGAATGGTAATATGGCCATGCAGACTGGAATGAAATATTGGCAATAGTATAGACTGTGGGCCTCCCGCGATATTTTGGACGGCGATGAAGGCGGCGATGCGGTTAACGAACCAGGCCTCGGTGGTGTACAAATCCAACCACCCCCACCTGTGTCGTCACCTATCACTGCAGACACGAGCATGGTGGTGCTTGGGTGACGTTGGTGTTCAGCCTTGTTCGCATAGGATGAGTTCTTTTCCTTTTTCTTCTTTCAAGAGGGGGGAGATAATAGTTGACTGCTATTACTGGTAAGTGCAGGTAATTGCACTGGGGAGTGAGGGTATAACCAGCATCGAGACCTGATTCCGGAATTGGTCCTCCTTTGCGAATATCAAATATGACATTTGCCGCGCAACCACAACCCTGTTCAAGCAGTGGTCGTCTCGTATCGTCTGGTCTTTTTTCTCGAGCATTACTTGAGTTGGCAGGTGAGGGAGAGCGTTCTGCGCACTCGATGCTGAACGTGGCGACCTGCAGATAGGCATGCGTGGCACGTGTGCAGTCAGTGAGTGCAGTGCAGTGCAGACACTCTGACAGATAGCGTGATGGCACGATCCATTTTCCAGAAGACGTTACATGGGTGATCAACTTTAATCGGATCGTCAGGACAGGAGTGCGTTGGTGTGTTGGTGCGTGCTTTTCAGCGGGGCCCCTCCTTGTACCGGTACTTTTCCGATTGCCCCCTCTGGCTTTTGGTTGGACTTGGGGGGGGGGGGTTGTTCTACACAGTATTGTGCGAGCCTACTGATGACCAAGCTCCTGAAATAGTTCACTCAGGAAGGGGCCGAGCATCTTCCCGAGGTATATCTCCATCTTGCCGCGTCAGGGTGCAGTCTAAAAAAAACAACCAAAGAAGTGTTTCGAGGTAGGACGATGCTCATGACGGTGCCAATGGCGATGATGCTGAGGCGAAGGTTGGTGTGGGGGCGGCGAGGAACATGGACGAAATCTGAAGAAGTGAAGGGCTGCTGCCGCTGTCTCAAGACGACAGCCGCATGCTGAACTGGGCAAGGCGCGGCCCCTGAAGGCTCGGCGGCTCGGTAAGCTCCGACGTCAGGCACGAGAGCCTCGCCCTCGAGCCCACTGGCTGCCCGTTGGACTGAGAGCTTCACCTTGCGCGAGTCAAGAGTCGCGACGTCTGTAACAAAAGATGGGGCTGACCGACGCTTGTGAAAAGGCAGATGTGCCTATCGGCTGTGCTCAAGTCAGTGTAAGTATATTTGCCCGTTGTGAAGGGCCGGCCGCAGGTCATAGCGAGCATAGATACTCGAGGCACGATGAGATGATAAGGATAAGGACATGTAGTGCAGTGCGGGGTGGGTTTTGGGAGACAAAAGTGGGCACTAGCAGATCAAGGTGTGCTTTCTGCAGTCGGTCTGTTAAACTGGTCTCCGACCGCCGTCATGGCCGATCGCGGGGCGATGCCCCTTGCAATTGCAGGCTCGTTCACGTCAGGTACGAGCTGTGTTAGCTCCTAGCAATTAGTCTATCAATCCAGATCCGTCAGTCCCGAGCGTGAGGCAGTCCTGAAAAAAATCCACCCGCCAGCACTACCTCACCATCAAACTATACCGACAAACCTCTCAGACACCGACCACTCAGCCACTGTTGTCAGTGCAGCGCCACATACATACCCTTGTTGGCCCTGACGAGCATTGAGGAAGCAATCTGGATCGTCACTGGGCATCGTGTGATCGCATGTCCGGCACTTCCGCTCAGGACAGGGCTTCCGGACTCGCCAGTCCCTTCCTCACTTAACCTGCGACGACTGCCTCATCCACGGCGCCAACCACGCCCCACTCCCAGAGACACACAAGCAAACACAAGAGACAGAAACACAACGTTTAGACTTTTTTGACAGCTCCCCACATCGACGTCGGCCACCATGGCTGAGCTCCAGAACGCCAACCCTACCATCATCAACCTGTCTGAGCTCCCCACCAGGAGGCGCCAGAGGCAGGCCCAGCGCCGCCCCGATGACGACCTTGTCAGCTTCTCGCCCAGGCCCCCTCACTGGGAGAAGCTCCTCCATGAGTCCTTTGAGGGCTTCGAGACCAAGTCTGTTTCGGATAGCTCCGATGCTGAGGACCCCATCGACGAGCAGGAAATCTTTGGTATGTGTGTGTGTGAATTTTCTACCAATTGCAACCCTGTGCCCTGCTGCAGTTGCGCCACGCCATCCCCAGAGCCAACAAGTCTTGCCAGTTCTGTTCCATGGCTTTTCCGGTTGCTGCACACTTGGCAAGTCCCGGTTCCTTGATGCTGCCGTTTCCCGGGCAGCACAGCACCTGGTTTCATGGCGCCGATGGCTCTCCCGCGGTTAAGGTTCGGTTTCATTTCTCACTGAGCCAGCCCGGCAGGGTCGAGGTCGCGTTCTAGAACCTGTGGCAGCCACCGGGCATGAAGGGCAAATCATTTGTTTCACAGCTGCCTTCCAGAACATGGAACAGCTGACGTCTCACAGATCTGATCTCCACGATTTCCGATCCGGAGCATCCCCTCACTCTAGGACAGCTCGCCGTTGTCAATCTTCCGGATATCCGCCTTGACCCGCCCCCGGCCCCCGGGGTGGGGCCTAGCCTGGATACCGTGACCACGGTCACGGTCGAGCTGACGCCGACCGTCAACCACTGCAGCCTCGCCACCATCATTGGTCTCGCCGTGCGTGTGCGACTCGAGGCCTGTCTGCCGCCAAACTACAGGGTCGATGTCTGCATGAAGGACGGCTCCCACGCACAGGATGACCAGGTGAACAAGCAGCTCGCTGATAAGGAGCGCGTCGCTGCAGCCCTGGAGAACGACACCCTGAAGCGGACCCTCGACACCATGATGGAGACATGCGTGAGCGGATATGCCAAAGACATTGACTCGGACTGAGTGACATCGATTCTTCGCGTCGATTCGTGCGGGACCAACTCGCTACAAAAGACACTTCACAAGGCGGGAATCCTAGGCACAGCCATGGCCCCGGTGCAGCGTTGCAGGCGTTCAGGATGCCACGTCGCAAGGAAAAGGGGACTGCAACCCAGGCTGCCAGGCAGATGCGAGCCTGGCCTCCCCTCCACTGGCAACTATGCCATCACGAAAAAGCAGGGCATCAATGCTACCGACCTCGAACGTCCTGCCACGCCCATGCGGAGGATCTGCGTCCTGGGCATCCCCCGGCGCGCGGATGGTGGGGTTTCGAATCACCCGCCAAGTTTAAGCTTTTGGCCATGGAAGGCGTCCGCTGTCTGGGCGGCTCAGGAAGATGGGTGTCTGCTGGACATTGTCTGCAGTAGTTTGGACCGGGGCTTGAGTGACGCATGTCGAGCACCAGCTGGCCCAGATTACCGAAAAAGGACCCTTCGAAGAGCGAAGGGCTTTTTCGAAACCTGGGTTGGGGTCTGCGCCATTATGTACCATCCCATTTGGGGGGGGGGGGACAATTGCCAGGCAGCCGGCTCCTCCCTTGAGATCTGATGTACTTTGCATCCGAGCTATGTTAGAGAACTTTGGAGCTGGTTTCTAGAATCCGGCTGCCACAATGCCCAGAAGCTAAACTACTTTCCCGGTATGGTGTGCTCAGCAGGACTGTGAGACCCTTTCCTCTTGGTCTGGTTCTGTGTACGTACACACAATCCCAATGCCCCTAGCTGGGTAGGTTGGGGGGAATCAGCCGCCGAGACAGGCGGGCGAACGGAGAGTGCGAGTGCGAAGGCTGTCTACCGCCTCTGCCAACGTTGTATTGTAGAGACCGCCCACGTCGTACCAAACAACAAGGCAGCATGGTACGCTAGGGACTGCGTTGGGCTCACCCCTCGTGGCATGTCCCGCGATCTCTAACACACCTCGTCGTGGTGTTGTCTAGGTAGTTAGGTAGTATTACACAGCAAGAGGCCTGGCGTGTGTGGATAATAGGCCCAACGTGCTTGGACCTAACGCGGTGCCATGCGGGCTTGTTCCAGGTTTCTGGTCAGGGCCCTTAATAACTCAACGGCTGCGACTCCCCATTGCCCCCCGATCCGATCCCCGGTGTATACTTTCAACACACCTCAGGCGTTTGTCAGCCTGTCAAGTACCGAGAGCCCCATTGACGCCTGGCCCTTTCCCACCTGTTTCCCCACGCTCTCTGCTCACTCGCCTTGCTTGACCTGACCCAGGGGCCTGACTGCGGCCCCTCGAGAGCCTCAAGAGCCGACGGGAAGTTCTTCACCACACCCTCCCCCCAGACGTCCTCCCCCCTCCCGATGTCACATATATCTGAGCGCAGAAATAGCAAATGAAAAAGGAGGTGCGACGACAGGCCAGCAGCAGCAGCATGCACACTCGCAATGCATACTGCGCGCAACTCCCAGCCCTATAGCGGTCACAACACAAGGGGAAAGAAAGCATAACCTGGACCAATCCGACCCGTCAAGTAATCACAGGAGTACTGGACATACTTACCTCGTCTGATGTGTCTGTGTGTGTGCATGGATGTGCTCCATCCCGCCGCCCTCTCCAACCCTCTCGCAAGTGCCATGCCGCGACCGACGAAACTAGCACCATCGAGCAGTCAAGGCAGCCCAGCTCAACATCAGCAAGCTTTCGTTCTGTGCGTCGGCGCTACCGAACGAACAACACACTCGAAGAACGGAAGGGTCTGATCTTCACACTCGGCCTAGAGTCTTACCGCGGATCGACCTCAGATCGCGCGTCTCAGGTTCTTCCAGCCGGCCTTCCTTTGTTCTACCTGCCCTCGCCGGCCTCTGCGCCTCACCCCAGCAGCAGCCCGGTTGAGGGCGGCGAGATGGGTGGGTGGCAGATTTAACTGTGCAGGCGAACGCCCGATAAGGTTTTGCTTGGCGTAGGGTGAACCTTGTGGCACGCAGCTCGAGAGCCCTGCATGGGCATAGCAGCAACGGAGTAGATGTGTACATGAGATACTTCCTTTCGTCCATAGTCTCCCTGTCTCCCTTGCTAGGTGCTTCCAAGGCCTCAACCCCCTTCGATGATATACCCTTTCCCAGCCCCTCACACCCCGGGCCCCAGGGGTCTGTGAGGTATCATTGCGAAACCACCAGATGGGTCCATCCTCTTCTCGGTGCGGTTCGGGGCGTGGGGTAGGTAGGGGAGGCCATATCGCAACTGCCGCCCCGTTGCAGCAATGGACTGCATACAACATGCACACCGACCGCATCGCTTTGTTCGCTTGGGGGGGTGTTCAAGAAGAGAAACAGGGAAGGGGGGGAAATCAAGAAACAAACATACTCTCAGGCGCAAATTAAGCAATATTCCCCGAGGCCGCGGCGAGCAACCGCCTGGGCCCACGTTGTGTGCGGTGTATACTATAGTCTATTCCCTTCATATAGTTGTGATATAGACACCTGACAGATACACGCTGAGCATAAAAAGACACAGCTGACAGACACCCTCCACCGGCCTGGGACAGCCCGGCAGGGAGGATAAATGCGTAGCCTGGAGGAGGATGACGATGGCGCTGGCTCTACTGTGGTAGCATGCAAAAGGCCCTGGCTGGCAGTTGGGCCTAGGCTACCTAGACCTGGGTACACTACACCATCTATCTACCCGGTGCCCCCGTCAGGCAGGCTGGCAGGCCAGCCCTGGGTTCCTCCCCTCCATTCACGTCCAGCCGGCGCCTCCAGAAAATTAAGGTTCTACCTCGGCAGGAAGATCCCTCGATGTACTGTACCTGAGCAGGTAGTCCCCTTCTCTGGACCCCTGGTTTCCCTCTTATTACTCTCTGCGCGACTCCTCTCTCTCTCTCTCTGTGTGTGTATCCCTCAGTCCTAGCCAGCCAGCCTCGCTTGTTTTGCAGCAAGTCTGGGGGTCAGGGGTGGGGAAGCAGGGGAGGGGTTTTGTTCCAGGGGGACCTCCAGCATGGAAGTATGAACTACACAGTAAGTGTGTGTGTGTGGGCGTCAGAAGGGTTGTTTTGTGCTCTGTGTGTTGTTTTTTCCCCGCAAAAGGGAAGAATAGAGAGACTGGGGGGTGGCGCCAAAGCCGCGGCCTTTTCCGATGTCTACTGCATTTTCCAGAAGGAATTCCAGCCATCAGGAACACCCACGCGCGAGCCTTGCTCAAGATGGTCTGGTTTCTCGACACTAGGGAAGCTTCTCTGGCCTGGAACCTTGCAGCAAAGCAACCTGGGGTTTGTGTGGGTGGGGGGGGGGGCGTGTGGGTATGGGTAGGGCAAATGTGTGTGTGTGTGCCCTGCGTGCATCGTCGGTTAAGCAGACAAGACCAGCCAGCAGCCAGCAGGTCAGCCCATTGTGCAAGGCCGTGTAGGGACGGGGGTACATCAAGTAGCGCGGATGTGAGACGAACTCCGACGCCTGCTAGTCACTCTCAGGGTTCGATAACAACGTAGGGCCAGCTCTCGAGCGGGAATTGGCCCGAGGCGATAATGGTAATAAAATCATGGAAACGTGGTGTCAGCCCAGATACTCGGCAGTGTCGTAAATTGCAGGCGGGGGAGGACGGGGTGGTGAGGGGGTGGAGTTTGGAGGAGGACCCGGGGAGGGGAGAGAAGGGGGGGTCTGGGGGCGTGTGTGGCTTGCTGCTCTCCTTGCCCCGTGGCCAGCAGCCTGCATACACCGTACTGTGCTCCGTCCACACCGTCCGTCAGTCGGTCAGTACCTGTACACTCAACCACCTACTACTGTGGTAGTCTTGTGTGCTGTAAGTGGTGCTCCTGGCTACCTCAACACCCACCGCCTGGGCACACAGCAGCCGCGCTATACCACCGAACCGCATTCCTCCCAACTGTCCGTCTCCAGGGGAATGCCTGCCTGTCCAAAGGGCCCAGCCGCCACAGCTATCAACGGCGCTGGCGCCGTGACAGCGGGCCCCTCCCCCCTTCGCCTCGAGAGCATTCGATAGAGCGCTTCGAGTGGTGCGCTTCCGCAAATACTTGGTTCTTCGCGTGCCCACCCACGCTGTCGGCCCTACTTGTGCGGCAGCATCTTCCTGCTTGCCTGCTTGGGGGGGCGCTGGGGGCGTGTTGGAGGAGACATCGCTGATCCCTCCCCGCGTACCTGGGCTGCTGGGTCAGTATAACCAAGGCCCCTAGGCGATTCATTTTGCCACCCGGGGGCCCGATCGGCGAATTTTCCCTTGATACTTAGGCATGGGGTTGAATGTTTTCCCCCACGCGTGTGTGTGTGTGCGGGCTGACGTCCAAGCACACCAGGTAGTCTGTGTATATAGATATGTAGGTACTGTATGCATAGTAACGCTGGCTATATTATATCATTGGGTATGTGTGCTGTGAACTACTTGGCACCAGACGGACCGACTTTGTATGCGCCTGGCGACCATAAATAGTGTCGTCCGTCTCATCTGAAGCCTGGTGGCAACCGCTGGCTGGCATCCGCAGGGTCACATTCATCTGTAACTGGAGACGCGTATCCAGCACATGTCAGTCAACACTTATTAGCACGCTTGCATGCGGAGGCGCTCCCCCTCTTCTGCCTTTGCCAGTGACAGACCACTTCGGCTCCACCGCACAAAGTATCAGGCATGGGCCTGCCTACAGTATAAGTCAGTCACCTGTGTGTGGTAGACTACATCACTGGCATCCCTCAGGCTCAATTCATCTTGGGAGTTGGCCAAACCATGCTGAACTATTCTCCCGGAACTCCACTGCCATGCGACTCCAGACTTTGATTTGCAACACCGGACCGGGAATCTTAAAAACATCACGGCGGCGGCGCCGAATGTCTGTTTGTTTGAAGTATGTTTGTTGTAAACAGGAACACCCCAGCTCTTTCTTGCATTAGATCTCCCCCAGAGTGCCGCCCTCGATCAACTCTTGGTAGAACTCGGGCTCTAAAAATTTGGCAACGGAGACGTCCTCGCTGAGACCCTTCCTCCGGCGGGTCTTTAGGACGAAATCGCGGGCCGTCGCCTGTGCGCTGGCCGGCTGCAAGGGCCTGATGACTATGTCCCTGTCGAGCGGGTCGCCCGGCACGATGCTCCATCTGTCAAATACCAAAGACAGCATGGCGCCCTCTGTGTTGATTCGCAGATCGGTCTCGAATCCGAATGAGTCGATCACGGGTATCAGCCCGCTCACACGATACAACGGGGTGCCTACGATCGGCCCGTCTTGGAGCACGTGTCCCCGCCTCCTCGCCAGCACAGTGTACAACGACGACACGGCGTCCTGGCTTCCCGTCATCGACACCGAGTACATCGGCTCCATCAGGCGCGGGGATGCCATCAGAAACGACGAGTAGCAAGCTCTTCGGGAAGTGGGGATCACCTGCCCTCCTCCCCGGAAAATCGCTTCGTCGGCCAGTGAGATGTCTGTAATCCTGAATTTTGTGTTGCGGATGGCTGCAGGTAACGTTAGCGAGAGATCATACCTGCAGCTATGTGGGCTGCTAACTGCAAAATGATTGTGCGAGAGTGTGACGGCCACGCCAGAAATTGGGTAAAAGAGCTGACGCGAAGGGCTTGGCATGGGATTTAATCTCGTGGCTGCATTCACATGGGTCCGCGGGTACCGTTTCCTCCCCCTCCCCCCACCTAACTAACTGGAGGGGAGAGTGAGCTGACGGCAGCCGCTGACAAGCATGCATGAGACCTCACCGCGCCTCTTCTCACAGCCCGTTACTGGTTTGGGAAGGCGGCCTGAACCCCAGATCGGCTCTTGACCGGCAGTGATAACGGGAGTGGATGAGGAGGGCAGGTGTCAATGACAACCACGCGTACAACAACGAGACCAGAGATAGGAACGAAAGTGGGATGCTTATGCACTTACGTTCTTCACAGAGAGGACCTTCTCGGGTGGCCCAACTGAACCCTTGACGGATTGGTTCTTTTACTGTGTTCAGGAGTCGTTTGTCCACCTGTTCCAGATCCTTGTTAGCGATTCGTCCAGCCGATGCGATGGCTGCCAACGTGCAGACTCTCTGACATCCCAGCGCAAGCCGTCACAGGACGGGGGACTTGGCGGTGGAACTTACCTCGCCAGGGAGAGTATCATCCTGCAAGATATTGGGGCCCATCTCGTCTGGCCCAAAAGCCCAGATGCTTCGGGCTGCCAATCTGTCCCACTCGTACTTGTCCTCGAAGTATTTGGCGATCTTGCGAATCGGCTCCTTGATGCTGACGGCCCCCAGTTCGATGTCCCTCGCGATACCGTCCTCCAGCGGCTCAGCCACCATAGTGATCTTGTTCTTCTTGTTGGGCGTAATGGCATAGCATTTCGTCCGTGATTGTTCGACGACCGTCTCGCAGAACCGAGTCACAGGATCAGAAACCTTTATCTCCATATCCGCGTACAACCGCCGCAGGTCATGCAGCACGCAATCCATGTAGAGCTCGCCCGTGCCCAGAATGATGTGCTCGCCAGACTCCTCGACTTTGGTATTGATCAGAGGGTAGCTCTTGTTGATTTTCCTTATGCCGTCAAGCATCTTTGGAAGCTCAGAAGGATTGATCGGCTCGACTGCGACCTTGAGAACTGACTCTGTGAAATGAGTGACCGGTTTGAAGATGTACGCGTCTTCATCGTCCTCGAACTGCTTGTCGACAATGGTGGCAGTTTTGACAATGGAGTTGTCAACCCCACCGAGGAGAACCCAGTTTCCTGCTGGGACTCCGTCCACGGGAATGTTGTATCTCGTCTCTGCAATCCACACGTCTGATATCCGTGCCACGGCCATGTCTTCCTCGTCATCAAGCGAATAGCCCTCTCCGAGCACGCGGACCTCCGCACCTGGGCGAGCAATGCCACTCATGACACGGCCCAGCGAGTTGAAGCTCTTAGCATCTGACGAATTGAACAGTTTTGTAACGTACACGACCAATGGGCCGTTTTGATCACAGACTTTCATGGACTCCGCAAGCTTCGTATCCAGTGGGCCAGTGTAGTACCGTTCGAGATGCCTTTCAGCTGCCTCAGCGGGCGAAGGAACGTGCTGTACGATCATGTCGACGAATGCCGTGGATGGGCCGAAGAACTGTTCGCAGACCAATTTGAGCAGCACCTTGGCATCTGTCTTGTACTGTGACGGCTTGAGGGCTATTCCGAGCGGGCCCAGGGTTTCCTTCAGCTCCTCTGGATTCTTGCTGATTGTGTGAGAATAGAGCTTGTAGATGGGCTCCAAGATGAAGTTGAGGAAGGACCTCTTGGCCCCTTCCTCAACCGCTTTCCTGGTGAATGAACGCTTCCTTGGGTTGAAGTAGACGTCGCCCCACAGGCGCCGGGCAAATTCTTCTGTGTTGACACCGCCGAAGCTGTCCGAATACATCTTTGCAAACGACTGCAGGGTGAAGCACCAACCCATCTCAGCACAGGCGAAGAGCACGTTGCCCTTCTCGGGGCTTAGCCGCCTCTCCTCTCCCCTCCCCGGTACCGTGTTCTCTATGACGGTGTTGACTTCTTCCACCACGTGCCTCAGCTTGAAGTATGCGTCATTGGGCGGCAACTTGAGCTCCAGAATTAGACGGTCCATCTTGTTGATGATGAGCGTCAGGGGTATGTCTTCCAACACTGCGTGCCTGATGATCTGCTCCGTGTTGACCTGCACGCCTTCGACAACATCAACCACGAGGCAGACACCATCTACCAGTCGTAATGATGCGGCGACCTCGTCCACAAAGTTGACATGGCCAGGTGTGTCGATAACATTGACCAGGTGTGATTTTCCCTTTGTGCTCTGCAGCACGAGGCTCATGGGCGATGCTTTGACGGAAAGACCCCGGTCTCTCTCGACAAGGTGTACGTCGGTGTATCTCATCTGCTCGTCACGGTTCTTGCCTGTGCGCTTCTCCAGTCGGTCGTTGATATCGTGGGTTTCCAGCACCAGCATGTCCATGAACGCCGTCTTGCCGTGGTGGAGGTGTCCTGCTAGTGCCACGTTTCGCGTCTGCTCGGGAAAGTTCATCAGATCTGTCATGAAACTCCTGTCAAAGAAAACAGGCGGCAGGTCGGCCTCTTCCACGGTGAACTTCTTCTGCTCGACAGGGGCAATGATCGGCTCGGTCAGAGGCTGCGCATCCTCCTCTTGCACGAGTGTCTCAACACCTTCTCCGTATACCTGCGCAGCCGTCGGATAGTATTGCTTATCTTCATGGAGTACAACAGCGTTCGATGGGCCATCTGCGATCAAGCAAGTCAGCGAGCAGCGGCGGGCGTCGCATTGTGCCCCAAGGTGGTCACGTACCGTCTACCTCCATGAGCTCCTGACCAGCTGCCCCTTGGTCGTCCTCAGCATACTCGTCATCGTAGACATAGTTATCCGCGCCGACGCCATGCTGGGACTCGTCCTCTGATGCGTCGGCCTCCTCGCCAATAAAATTGCCGAATCTGGGGAGAAACCAATTGTTAGTTGGGAAACGAGAGTCGATTGGGACCGAGGGCTTTCACGTACTCATCGTAGAGGTCATCCATGGCGGCTGTGGTTGTCGGGGGGGAAAGGCCAGGAGGCGGGGATGGGAGACGAGCTGTCAGTTGTTCGCTGGTCGCGCGCTGGTGGGAGAGCTACGCGACTGCTGCTGGACTCAAGTGCTGCAGCTCCCATCTCAAATTTCGGCGAGGCTGACGTCCAAGGCGAAGATAGTACCCCACTTTAAAATCCAGGGCGTTGCTCTGAGTGGCCGGCCGGCACATGCAAGGTCCTACCCTAGCCTGCGCCTGGCGCAAAGGCGGGCCAAAAGTTTGGGAGGGCCAGAAAGCGTAACCCCGAGCAGTAGCAACTGGACGACTCGACTCGATTCGCCGCCAGAAGGCACGTTCCCGAGTTCGGCACCGGTGGGGATATTCGATAAGTAATTCGCATGGTTCTGCACTCTGTTGGGTCCAAGACTCCACACCGCAACCCACTACTCATGGTATCCCACCACGTCTGATCAATCCCATCCGCCTACAAATAAGACACCTTTACGCGCTGACGACGACCTTGCTCCTGGTTATCCTGTTCCTGTTCCTGTCCCGTCCAGTCCCGTCCTCGCGTGCTCTGTCAGATTCCCACTTGACCGCCTGTTGCTGCTTACTGTTGTTGTTGTTCGATCCTCATCACATCAAGACCTTCTTCATCATGTCCAGCCTTCCTCCCGTCTACATTGCCTCCGTGGCACGAACCCCCGTTGGATCTTTCCTCGGGTGAGCTTAAACTTGACCTATCCTTGCACCCAGGACAGCGCCGACTGTGCCCGGAGCAGCCCCAGACTGACATTGGCCTGCGTCTGCCCACAGGTCCCTCTCGAGCAAGACCGCTGTCCAGCTGGGCTCTCACGCTATCAAGGGTTGGTGATATGTTCTGTCTGCATTGTTTTCCTCTCCAGCAGCTCCTCCTTGCTGACGCAATCGCACAGCTGCTGTCGAGCGAGTTCCTGAGATCAAGCCCCAGGACGTTGAGGAGGTTTTCTTCGGCAATGTGCTCTCGGCTGGGTAGGCAGCTCTCACGTCTGTCTGTATTGCTCTCCCCATCGAACTGACACCCCCACAGCGTGGGCCAGAACCCTGCCCGTCAGTGCGCCATCAACGCTGGCCTCGACGAGGCCACCGTCGCCACAACGGTGAACAAGGTCTGCGCCTCGGGGCTCAAGGCCATTATTCTGGGCGCCCAGACCATCATGACCGGCAACGCGTCCATCGTTGTGGCTGGTGGCACCGAGTCCATGTCCAACACGCCTCACTACTTGCCTAATCTCCGCACGGGTGTCAAGTACGGTGACGCTGGCCTGATCGACGGCGTGCAGAAGGACGGTCTGAGGGACGCCTACGGCAAGCAGGAGCTCATGGGCATGCAGGGCGAGCTGTGCGCTTCTACCCTCGACATTACCCGTGAGCAGCAGGACGAGTACGCCATCAAGACTTACCAGAAGGCTCAGGCCGCTACCGAGGCCGGCGTCTTCAAATCTGAGATCGCCCCTGTCGAGGTCAGCGGTGGTCGTGGCAAGCCCAATGTCACGATCGACCGTGACGAGGAGGTCAAGAACCTCAACATTGACAGGCTCAAGAGCGCCAGGCCCGTCTTCATCCCCGGCACCGGCACTGTTACCGCTGCCAACGCCTCCCCCATCAACGACGGTGCCTCCGCCGTCGTCCTTGTCTCTGAGGCCAAGCTGAAGGAGCTGGGCATCAAGCCCATTGCAAAGATCCTCGGCTGGGGAGACGCCGCCCATGCGCCTGAGAAGTTCACCACCGCCCCTTCGCTGGCCATCCCCAAGGCCATCAAGCACGCCGGCCTGAAGGCCGACGACATCGATTTCTACGAGATCAACGAGGCCTTCTCTGTCGTTGCCCTGGCCAACATCAAGCTGCTTGGCCTCGACCCCGAGAAGGTCAACGCTTTCGGTGGCTCCGTCGCCATCGGTCACCCTCTCGGCTGCTCTGGCGCCCGTATCATCACCACCCTGACGACAGTGCTGAAGGAGAAGAAGGCCAAGATTGGCTGCGCTGGTATCTGCAACGGCGGTGGTGGCGCTTCTGCCCTCGTCATCGAGAACCTGCAGTAAGCCACTATGAGATGCCTCCCTTTCAAACCTTGCTGCATGGATACAAAGTGATGTCAGCCGAAGAGCCGCTGAGCGCTTATTATCGCGGTACAAATAAAAGGTCCGCGTTTTACTAGCTAGACTTGGGTAATGAAATACAACTGTCTCTGAGTGGGTCTGCCACGCGAGTGGCCAGTGTACATTGGCGTGGATAATGCTTAGGGTGGCCTCGCCCAACCCGGCATTCAGCTGTTATGATAATGGTCCAACTGCTTGGAGATCCACCTGTGAGGCGGTCAACCCTCTGGCAAATACTTCAACAAAGAGAGATAACCAGGCATTTCTGTATCACTTGACTCGTTAGCCAGCCTCAAAACGGAACCACGACTTAATGAGATAACGTTTGTTTCCCCTGCGAGGGTATATATCACTTGACTCGTAAGCCAGCCTCGAAACGGAGCCACGAGTTCACGTTGCAGTTTCTCAGAAGTCATGTCCATTTTGTTCATCAAAGCTGAACGCTCTACCCCGTTAGGGAAACTCAGCGTTCAGATTCACATGCCCACCTCCAACCTATCAAAAGTAAGCCACGTCATCCATCATCTTAGCTTTCTTCTTTGTTGACTAGCAGTCGTCCTCGTCACCCCTGATGATCACATTCCAGTTGTCGTCCAAGAAGATCTGGCCTTTGGTCCAAACCTGGACCTCTGGATCCTGGGATTCGGTACGATCAACAATGCAGTTGAGAATGATGTCGTTGGCACCATCGGCTATGAAGCCGAAGTTGTCAAGCCGAAACAATTGCTGGTGGTCGCTGCACCACCCTGTTGACAATCAATCGATCAGCACTTGAGCAATGTCTCAACATATCTGGCGCCCTTTTCTGATGGCCCCTGGCAAAAAAAATTCCCAGCAGGCTGGGCATATGGTGACAAACATCTGATATAGACATGGCTGACTTACAAATGGCCGATGAGTCTGCGCAGGAGACACGAGCGCAAGATCCGGGACCAGGTTGCAAGCCAGGCCTTCCAGGGAACTGACGCAGGCTCTCTATTCCGTCCTGGATGGCAGACATCTTTGCAGCAGTCCACTCCGGAAAGTCGCAGATCAGGTTACCATCAGTCATGTTATGCTCAGGCTTGAGATGGAACGCCAAGTCCCTGTTTAGGTCAGGATTTTAGTCTGCTTGTTCACTCCACGAATATGGGGCCCAGTGGGGTCGGGTGCTCACATCTTGGGGCGGGGGTAGTCAGGCCAGGTGTTGCTGATGTGCTCCCAAGCATCCTGCACTGTTCCAGTAAGGTTGAAGGCAAGGCTTCCGGGGATCTCGGGTTGGACGGTCCTGCACACACTCTGACTTAGTTCTCGATCATGGCCAATGTAAACAAACCCCTGGGCACTGGGGCCAAGTTCTGTACTGCTTTCCACTTGCACCCCTAACGTATTGCAAGTTTGGAACAGCTTGGGAGTAATTGCTCCATGACAGTGAATGGCTGTGGGAAACCCCCAGGGAAGACGCACCAGGTGAAGTCCACAACGTTATAGCCATCAATTGGGGACAAATTACGCCCAGCCTGTCAACAGTGTTAGTTTTTGATTGCCTTGAAAGCTGCGAAGATCAAAACACAGCCTGGTGATTGGGTTTGAGGGAAGAGGAAATGTGCAAAGTGGCAAATTGAATCTTGTGAGATGCCCAGGTGCTGAGATCATCCGTGGGAGTTCAACGTATGGTGATGAAAGCCTTAAAAATCACTGGGAGGTTGGGTGATGATGCTCCTGTGGAGCAACAGAAGGGAGGAACCACAAAGAGGACTGGAAAGACACCTCAGGGACTTACATTGACGATAATGCCAAATATGGCGAGAGTGATGAAGCATGCAAAGCACTGCATGGTGGCAATCAACCTGATGGCTAGCTTGCTGGGTTGTCTGTGTTTCTTTGAAGGTGGGCAGTATTGAGGACTGTGTCTGTTTTGTCAAGTTTGTGGTGTTGACAAGTTGGGAACGTGTCTGGATTCCAAAGGCAACGTGGGAGTTTTGTGAAAACAAGCTAGGAAAGTATGGTGCCAATCCCTCGCAGCAAACAACCAGCTTCTGGGCACCTAATCAGTCCATGCAACAAATTCTCTCACTTCCATACGCTTTTAGGCAATGCATAGAATTATCCACAGCAATGCACCAAAGACTTCTGTTTACAAAAATCCACCTGAGCATATAATTTCAAGACTGATTCAAGAATCTAAAGAATCACATAGTTAACTATTTTCACCCCCTCAAACCCTAAAAAGAGAAACATGATCATGAAAAGTTAATCATATCACCTAATAATGATTAGCAAAGAACAGTCAGAAACCCCATCAGGGGCATGGTAGTTGAAGCAGGTGAGTGTCAATTGCCTTCTCAAGTTCAGAACAGTGTGATGGAGCAGATGACAGTCTTCATTCTCTCAGAAAATGCCATTGTGGAATCTGTCAGAGTAATTCATTCACCAGGCCCTTTGGTGTGTCCTTGTCTCCATGGATCACATGCAGGACTTTATTATTTCCACTTTGAAGTCATAAAATATCAAGAGCACAGATTTATTGCTTGTAATTGCCCTAGGCTGAATACAGCTACATGGTAGATCAATCTGAGTGAGCTATGGAAAAGCAAGCTTCCTCGGGCTGAGAGTTGTCTCTCTCTGCTGATTCCAGAGGTTGCAGCCTAATTTCTCAACCATCAGAGCGGCTCTGCTGTACTTCTCGAACGGGACTGTAACCAATCTTGGACTGCCCGAAGATGACGTATTGATGGTCTGAAGCACAATGGCAGCAAATTTGTAGTGGCTCCATCATCTTGATTTGATGTGAGCTCTAGAAAACCAGACAAACCCCAATTGCTTGTTGGGGTTTGTGAGAGGAGACTCCAGTTTGTTGTTGACGAACATTGGTGTGTTGAGTGCCCAGGGGGTAAGATTGCCAAGCAGTTAGTGTTCAAGACTGTACCTGCATCACCAAAACGCACATGTGATTGCAGTGACAGGGTGTATGGGTAACTGAGTGCTGGGTGCTGGGTGGCTCATGCTAGCTTTATCGTGGGGCGCGCCCTCAATGTGACTTGACAGGGAAGGTACCTTGTCTTTGTCCCTCCGAGTCATTCTTATCGATAAGGCACCCTGACAGGACCCCGCGACCTCTTCTGGGATTTTTTTCAGAGGAACGCGACCGCGTTTCGAAAATCTTTGCCCAGTCATCATCATCAATCCCCCTTTGACGGCCATAAACAAATTGTTTGTTCTTTAACACCTTGACATTTCATCTGTAGTACGTCCATCAGTATAGCATCGCGGCGTTCCAAGATGCGTTACGTCCTTGTTTCCGGCGGAGTGATCTCTGGTACCGTCCGACCCCTCCCTCCTTTGACAAGGCGATCGCTAACACTGGCCATTAGGCGTGGGGAAGGGCATCATCGCCTCGTCCACCGGTCTGGTTCGTTTGCTATGAGCTCAGCCATCTTAGCATAGGAGATTCTGATAGGACCTTCAACAGCTTCTCAAGACACTTGGATTGAGGGTCAGCTGCGTCAAGATTGACCCCTATGTGTCCGTCGATGCAGGCCTGATGGCCCCTGCCGAGCACGGCGAATGTTTTGTCCTGCAGTCAGGTCCGTGACGCAAACGCCACCTCCAATGAATTGGCTTCGTACTGAGACTTCGATCCAGGTTCCGAAGTCGATTTGGATCTCGGGAACTACGAGAGGTACCTCGCTTTGACCCTGGCCGGCGATAACAATATCACCACCGGCAAGATCTACCAACATGTAATGAGGCCCCGATGCACCTGTGCTCCTCAACTCCTCTGACCGTCATTATCTAGGTCATCCAAAAGGAGCGTCGAGGCGACTACCTCGGAAAGACCGTCCAGATGTATGTGCTCATCAAATACCCCTGTCCGCTCGCGTGCAACGGGAATTCGTGTCCACGAGCCTCTCACCCTAGCCTCGGATCATCACTCCTGGCAAGCTGGCTGACTTTACCAGCGTTCCCCACGTCACAAATGCCATCAAGGACTGGATTAAGCGCGTCGCCAAGGTCCCTGTCGACGGATCGAGCGAGGAACCGGACGTGTGCATCATCGAGCTAGGAGGCACTGTCGGCGATATCGAGAGCATGCCTTTCGTGGAGGCACTGACCCAACTGCGCCATGAAGCCGGACCCAGGAACTTCATGAACATCCATGTCTCATATGTTCCCACCATCCATGGAGAACAGAAGACGAAGCCTACCCAACACGCGGTCAAGTCTGTCCGCAGCTACGGTCTCATTCCCGACCTTGTATGTTACCACGGCTCCTGCGGTCCCAACGTTGCTAACGATGATCAAGGTTGCATGCCGGTGTGAACAACCTCTCGCAGAATCCACTGTCGCGAAGCTGGCACTACATTGCCAGGTCGAGCTCGATCAGATCCTTGTCGTCCGGGACATGCCTACCGTCTACCAGGTCCCTTTGCTCCTCGAGGAACAGAAGATCATCCCTCTTCTCCGCACCAGGCTCAACTTGGACGCTCTGACTGTCGCGCCTGCAAGTGTGTCCACCGGCGCCGAGCTCTGGGAAACGTGGAAGTTTGTGGTCACTCAGCAGCACGAAGCCACTATCGATATTGCACTGGTGGGCAAGTACGTGGAAACACACGACGCCTACTTGTCTGTAGTCAAGTCTCTGGAACACTCTTCGATGCATTTGAGACGGAAGCTCAACCTCATCTGGGTTGATGCCGAGCACCTTGAGGCCCAGGCAAAGTCAACGGATGAGGAGAAGTACAACGAGGCCTGGCACGCAGTACGTACCGCCTCGGGCGTTATCGTCCCGGGAGGTTTCGGAACCCGCGGCACGGAGGGCATGATGCTGGCTTCTAAATTTGCGAGGGAGAATGGCACGCCATTCCTGGGAGTGCGTCGCCCTTAGAACATCCCCTTTACATCCACGACTAACAGTTGTATAGGTTTGCCTGGGCTTCCAAACTGCTGCTATCCAGTACGCTCGCGACGTATGTGGCATGACCGAGGCCAATTCGGAGGAGTTCCACTCCTTGGCCAAGGACTGTGTCGTTGTTTCAATGCCGGAGCTCGACAAGAACAACATGGGAGGCACCATGCGTCTTGGATCCAGGAAGACGATCTTCCAGGAGGGCAGCGACTGGGCCAAGATCCGTTCACTGTACGGTGGCGGTCTGGAAATCGAGGAGAGGCACCGTCACCGCTACGAAATCAACCCTGAGTACATCCACCGTCTGGAGACTGCTGGCTTGCATTTCGTCGGCAAGGACGAGACAGGTCAGCGTATGGAGATCTTCGAGCTTAAGGATCACCCATACTTTGTTGGTAAGCAGTCTTTCTTGTGACCCTTTTATTCTCAAATAATTGCTAACGTCTTGAAAGGCACACAATTCCATGCCGAGTACCAGTCCAAGGTGCTCAACCCAAGCGTAAGTTCCAGTAACAGTCCTATTCTCACGATGTACAGTGTTTCTAACTTAACCACACAGAAACCTTACCTTGGCTTCATTGCCGCCAGTGCTGGGGTTCTCGAAAAGGTCCTGAAAGAGGGACTTGCGCATTCCATGAAGCTCACCAACGGTGTGAATGGTTCTCATCATTTCTGAAGCACGCTTCCGTACCAGGGTAGAGGCTGGGGGAATGGGTCAAATCAAATTTGTTGCAGCGGCGTTGATTACGGCAAGGGGATACACATTGGCGTTATATCACAGGTTACATTTTGGAATGGGCACAGTCCGTAGATGACTAGATTTCCAAACCGTGCATCGGTCTCTTGACTAAATGCTCTGAGGGCTCGCCGGCGTCGTGTTATTGTGGTCTACTATGTAAGGACCAGCAGACCCCGGCACCTGGGCGTTACGAGCAACTTGGGTGCAATGCATATCTATCTTGGTTGTTTTTTGCATGGCATTTGGACAAGCGCTGCTAGGAACGGCACAGGTATATAGAAAGGACAGACTACGCAAGTAAATATACGTATGCATTTTTGAGCATACCTACGCCATTCTACTGCAAGTCGTACCTAGGTAATTTGGACGCATGAGGCAAACAGCTATGTGGATTGGTATGTGCTTGAGGAAACATTTTTTTTCGATATGTCGCCGAATGCGGGCAATCGAAATTGAACTGTCTCAAATGGACTCGACTCGTATGCAGACAAAGGAATGCTGGTGTTGCGAAATGGGACTCGAAGGAACAAAGCGGCGAAGCGATGACAATAAAACGGCTGAGTTCACACTCATCAATACTCGCGGCCCCTTTTATCAACAAGAAAAGCTCAACAAGGCTTTGTTGCGTATTGGTTCAAACAGATGCAATCCAGGAAATTCTCAGGTCCTGGAACGTCCGTACGAGTTATCATACTCAGATGCAATGATACTTACGGGTCTCAAATCTCATTAACAAATCGACGCCGCCACCATAATCATTCCTCTCATCAAATACTCATACGCAATGCCCTCACGCGCCAAGAACGAAGAGTCTGTCCCGCGTGAAGACCTCCCTTATTTCATCGCAGCTACGGCGTCCGGCATACGACGACAGCTCCGGGAGGCAAATATCCCCGCCAGTGGCCTCAAATATGACCTTTACCTTAGACTACGTGCCAATGGGCTCAGGATCTATAATGATACCAGGCACACTCCCGAAAGCTCCGACGACGAATATGATTCTGACGAGGAGGATGCTGGGTCCGATGACGACGGCAGTGATGAGGAGAGCAGCGAAGCTGAACTCGATGAGCCCCCCCCTAGTAGCTACAGGGCCAGAAAGCGCAAGAGAAAAAATGACGAAGGGGACGTAGGAGACGTAGAGGAAGTGGAAAGGGCAGAAGAGGGCATAGAAGAGTTGGAAGTGGCAGGGTCCACGTCTTTGGCCGAAATGCCTGCAGAGTTGCTCATCAACATAATCAGCAATCTCGACGCCGGAGGGGTCTTCAACTTGGTTCTGGCATCACCTGAGCGCTTCCTAGCAGGCAAAGTAGACGCATTCATCCTCGAAGCTGAGGGGCGGAGGAACGCGGCCAACAGGACCGGACTATCGCTCCTGGAGTGGGTGGTGCTGCGGGTTGGCCGCGAGGCCGATTTCCGAGAAGCCCACAGCGACGTGATCCGGTGCGTCGTCGACGCTTACGTGGTGGCATTTCCCAGTGGATCGCCGCGGGATCGCTCGCCAGAGGCCCGCGTGGAGGAGATCATGGTCTACTTGCGCCAAGTCGGCGTCAACCCAGTCCTGGGGTCAGCCGTCCAAAGGGGCGAGGCGGACATGGTGCACCTCCTGATCCTTATGGGCGAGGAGGATGTGAACCAGAGGGTGGACAATCTTCAGCCCTTGGAGCAGGCCACAGTCCTGGCTAACGCAGCCAATCCATGTTTGCTGTCCATGAACCGCCTGCAGGTTGTTTTCGCCCTGCTCGCTGGCGGTGCCGACACCACGTCGACCCGGGACGATTATCCTGCGGAGAAGAATGTCCATCTCTTACAGGATGGCCTCGCTGGCCCGGGCGAGAGTGCGGTTGATGTCCCCGCGGCGAGCCTCGCCAGAGCTAGAGTGCCCCTCAGCGGCGTGGCATTAGCTGCTGAAGAGGCCCGTCTTAGGATTGACCCGGATCGGACCTGGTATGATGAGCCGACAGATCACCCGACGACTTGGCCCATTATCCACAATCCTCGTAAACTCACGGTTCGCCAATTCTTGGGGGACGAAAGGTCGCCCTTCATAGATAAGGCCATCATGGCTTTTACGCTTATTATAACCCGGACCACTAGATATCCTAGTTTTGAAGGGTATCACCCGAGCGCCCCTGATCTCAGTGCGAACGAGCTGGAGGAGGATACTTGATGTGCGAACATATTAAAAAAAAAAAAAATCTTTTTTGGTATCACAACTTTGACTTTCAATAAACATCGAAATCACAAGTAATGGATGGATTCCTTCCTTTCTGAAGCACCACTGGTCGACTCCCCTAGGACATAAAGTCATTAGACCCCAATCGATCACTAATATCTGACCTGAACCTTTCTAAGCTTCGGGCCTCCTGTAAATGTCGAATTGCTGGTGCATTCGCTCCGTTTGCCCAGGCGTGAACTCGTTAGTGCTATATAGCAAAAGGTATTGTTAGTCATTGTAATGTTCATGTTCTGTCACATGCGTTTGGTCTCATGGCCAAGGAACTTACCAAGTATCGTCTGAATAATCCATAAAGTTGTGGATCGGATCCAAGCCGGGCAAGTCGGGGCAAGAGTCTCTTCCAATGGGGCAGCCCACAGTTGAACCTGCCTGCGCTGGCGTATCTTCAACCTGATCGTTCCCAAGCTCACAGGGCCTGCCATGGAAGGTGTGCATCAACCCAAACCAGTGCCCAACCTCGTGGAGAGCAGCGTGGCCCTTATTGGGAGGCGTCGACTCGTTGCGGCTCAGGCCAGGCATTGAATCCCCATTCAACCAGCACCCATCCTGGTAGAAGTACTCAGTACCTTCCTGGGTGACGGTTGGCCAATTGCACTGCCCACTAATGCCGCCATTGAGGTCCGAGAAGAAGTAGACGTTGAGGGCGTCGTAGCCGCCTCGTCGTGTTGCCGTGCGGAAGGCGAGGTATGCGTCAAAGTCGGGAATAAGGATGCTATCATCCGCGTAGAAGCCCTTGCCGGCTACATCATCAACGATTCGCGAAACATTGACCAGTGTTAGGTTGAAGCCGTAGTCAAGAAAGGTAGACTGCAGCACCTCCCACTGGTTTCTTCATTAGCTGTGGAACCCGAGCTTAGCCGGAGGAGTGTTATTACCTGGGCATCAACGATGTCGTCTGTGATTCTGTCCTTGTTTGCCTCCGTGCTGGTGACATGGAAGTAAACGTCGACCGCAGTAGCCGCATCTTGCCGCTTGCTGTACACCGGGAGGGCAGCGTTCAACGGCTCCACCACACCAAGGTCATCGTTGAGGCAATTCAGCGCCAGCACGGGCACACTCAACAAAGAGAGAAATGCTACCGAAGCAGCAGCAGCATGCTTGAACATTTTGCCTTGATCGTTTTCTCGCCGGCTTCAAAAAGAAAAGATCGTACGCGCCCCGTCGGTGATTGATCTTTCTGAGAAAAGTTCAAGTCGCCATCAAATGTCGCTGTTCAGTCAGAGGGGAACCCATGCTGCGTATTTATGCATTCGTTGGAGCCAAGCTGTGGTCCCCATTGAAGAATGAACTGCCACCATGTGGTGCTTGTCGTGAACACGAGGCCCTAAGTGCTTGGCGACCCAGACCGGGGTCCCCAAGACTCCACCGCGATGGCGACGTTGAAGTCTTGGGAGGGAGGGATCAGTATTGAGCTGCCATATTCAGCCACGTTCCGCTGTCGCGCATAACATGTTACCTCGTATGAGTTTGTAGCCGATGATCCGGGGTAGCACCATTGAATTCCCGCCCCTATTATCACACAAACAAGACTGTATACAGCACTGATCTCCTACCTACTTAAATAGGTAATAGAGCAGCACTCTTTACACAAGGCTCTATTTAGTAATTACTGGAAGGCTTCAGCCACATTGTATTTTTTATTTAACTATTTATTTATTCATTATCTTCTTAACTTTTAAACTAACTATTAGCTTATACTTTAAGTATAAAATTAATAATTACTTAATATATACTCTTAAACTTATTTATATATAGAGTTATTAGCTTCCTTTATAAGGCTTCCTTTTCTACTATATTCCTTATATATTATATAAAAGTAAATAAATCCTTAATAATAAAGTAGTATATTTAAAGGAGGAAGATTTAATTCTTAAATATCTAAACTTCTACTTTCTTTATATAGTATTTATCTAATATATAATAAATAAATTTTACTTAACTTTTTAAAAGTTTTAATCTTTTATAAAATTTATATAAAAGGCTTTCTTAAATAGATTTATTATTATAATATTATTATTCTATTAATAGTTATATATTTAAAATAAGAATTATAATATATTTAATTTATCTAATAAAAGTAAATTTAAATAGCTATTAAGTATATTAATAAAGAAGAGTTAGTTTATTAGGTTTTATATTATAAAATTCTTCTTCTTATAGGAGCTATTTTAAGACTATTTTAATCTCACTATATAATTACTTTATTAACTTATTATAATAGATTAACCCTTAAGCTACTTATATTAATAATTTTAATATAATATTATTAGGAGTAATACCTTCTAACCTTATTTATATAGTATAAAGCTTAGCTATATACCTATAAATATATTATATTCTCTTTTTACTATTATTAATACTATATTTCTTTAAACGCTAAGTCTTAAATATTTACCACTATATGAAGGCACCACGTATATTTTATATATATAGGGATTAAAAACGAAACCACTAGTAATTGCTGGAAACACCTGAATCGTCTGCTCCCATATGTCACCGAAGTATCCTCAATGTAGTCAAATTATCACATATGAAAGTCCCAATCTTATGCGGACTCCTTGCACAGATTTTGCCTGCTCGGGTCGAACAATACAGCCCGTCCGATGCCCCCTCTGAATATGAAATGCCCTTTACGCCAACCGCGAACTTCATTAGGCGCCATTTTGGCTCTCCGGTCTGCAGCATGACTGGTGTGTAATTAGGAGGCCCTTGCCAAGAGATCTCCGACCGGGGGGCCAAAAGACCCAGAGGCGGAAGCGTCCAAGAAGGCAGGAAAGGCGGTAACGCAGCCGCAGGTGATACGGATATTGATTTCGAGGGCAGTACAGAGAATCAAATAAATTAAATGTCTGCCTGGTTTCGATCTTAATCCGTATACATTCCAAAGGCGTACCGTCTTTTCACATAGTGGTAAACTTTCAAATACCCAGCATTTAAAGAACATGATACCAGTAGAGTTAAATGGCAGAGACAGCCAGGATCCAACAGGAGTGAAGCTAGTAGTATAGGTTGGTTTATAACGGGACGGTCTGCAAGGTGAAGGATTAAGTGAAATTCTCAGTGCATGAGGTATGAGGCATGGCACGGTGCTTTTCTCCTGGTTCATGACAATGGTGCTGAGGAAGATCCTATGACATGCCTTCAAACCGCCCTCTCGCTTCGATTTCACTTTCCAAGGGTGGATGGTATGGAGAGGATTTCGCATTTTGAGCCTCCGCGAACGTGTTAAAATTCTTAGAAAATTAGGTCTAAGATTTACACTAGAAATCCGGAACATAGTTCCGCAATAGCTTTAACCACACTATATTTTTCCTTTACACTATATAACTATCTTTTAATTTAACTACTTATTTCTTCCTTAATAGTCTAAAATTTATATATAAAATCTTTAATAGCTTTATATATATTCTTATAATCCTTTTAAAAAGAAACTTTAAATCTACTCTTTTCTTTATTTTTATTATATTTTTTTATATTATTAAAAAGTTAATAATTATTAATAATAAAAATATAAACTTAAAAGAGGATAAATTTATTATACTTTTCTTTATTTTTATAAATTACTTTTAAAACTTTTTTAAAAGTTTTAATATTTTATTATAAAAGTTTTAAAGGTAATATATTATAAATTATTTTTTATCTTAAATTCTTTTAAAATTAATAATTATATATTTAAAGAAATAATTTTTAATTAAACTTCCTTTAATATAATTTATTTATATAATAACTATTTTTAAATTTAATTTTATTATATAACTCTTTTATAATATTTTAATTAATATTATTATTAAAATAATACTCTTTAACCTTATTTATATATTATAAAGTTAAAATTATAAATATTTATTATATTATAACTATTATTAATAATATTATATTCTTTTTAAGTACTAAATTTTAAATACTTACTACTATATAAAGGCGCTATATATATCCTTAGATATATATAAAATAGAAGTGAAACTATATAGTTCCGCAATTAGCCATAAATGATATCTTTTACAGTCAGACTTCCCGGTAGCTCTCTTGGTCCTCGAGTGCTAACTCACTTCTAATAAACAGTAGAATCACATGTGCTAAAACTGATCGGCAGAGAAGGGATTTCTGTGACAGCCAACCTCTAAGCAACTCTGGTTTCTAGCACTTGGTATCCGTTCATCGAATTCCAAATGTGACGAAGATCAGTCCTTTTGAGATGGAACATACGGTATATGCTTGATACCGCTTTCTGGTAGACTAGGCACTATTGTTTGGCTCGCTTGATGAGATACTCCTCCCAAACCTTGCCCAGATCAGCAAATGAATAGGCCAAACGCTGCAAGTGGTGCGAACGCCAGAGAACTCAGCGTCATACCCAGGAGAAACTTTCAGGCAGTGTGCTCTTCCAACCCAGGGAGTCGACCAGTAGGGGGAATTTATTTTCCTGATGCCCATGGCTTTCCACTTCCCTTGCTGAGTACGTGCCTCAGCAGGCAGGTACCACTCGCAAGAACTTCCACGTTCAAGCGGCGGCCCGTGTCTACTAAGGTTCCCGGCCCGTCCCCTGCAGCGCACAGACCACCCGCCGGCAACTCCGCGCTAGCCGGTCTGCGTCCGAGGCTCACCCACCAATATCCGGCCCACTCGTGAGAAATTTTCACCCACACCACCCTCAAATCTCTCATTTCCAGTCCCATTTCAACAACAAATGGTCCCGTAGCTCAGCTGGTTAGAGCGTGGTACTAATAATTCCTCAACACGAGGAATCATCGGTGATGCCAAGGTCGCGAGTTCGATCCTCTCCGGGACCATCTGATTCTCTTTTGCCCGGTTTGGGGGCAATGCTTTTTGCCCTGGGGTCTACCGCTGTTCCCGGGCTTGCACTTGCAGTGTGCTCGACTACATGGAGCTTCCACGAGGTGCTTGTGCCCTGGGGGTGTGTCAGCCTCTGGTCACATGAACAAGGTCCGCCAACATAGTCCTGAATGGATGGGTGACTCACTCCAATAAACCATTTCCCGGCTACGTAGAGGGCTCGCAATAGTCAGTCTGGACGAGTCAATAATCTATGGCACCGCTTGATTTGTAACTGTCAACGTAGCGCCCTGAGTACCTAGGTACCAAGCGCCGGACTCGGCTGCCAGCAACAACATTTGAACAACCGCCAAGCTGGGTCGCCACCTCATCCAATACTTCGGATCCCCTGATCTGTCCGAAGGTGTTCCTCGAAGATCGACCAGATATCCATAAAATCACATGTAGGCTGTCGTCTTCCGCGCGAATTTCCGATCTTCTGAAATAAGACCGTCCATGGGGTCCTCAAACGGGCCGCTTCGGTTGCCCTGAAATGGGAAACACCGGAGGCAATGCGGATAAAGTTGTGGACCAGAGCATGATTGATGATGCTGTACGTGCTATGGAAGAAACTCAGCCGCGGGCGCGGAGACTCTCTTGCATTGTCGGGCTCGGTCTTCCAGCTCGGGTCGACAATACGGAATCAATTGATGAGGTCACTAATGCGAGAATGGACGAAGAATAAAACTTGTGCTTGTTGCGCTGTGAGGAGAACTGGGCTGGAGAAAAGGTCACCGAGGCCCAGATCGTTTTGCGAGATGACGGATATGTAGACTAGGCTTGGATTAATGAGGCCGAGATTGACAAGGAAACTCAATCTGACCAGATGATTGACTTTATCAGCGAGACTATGAGGACGACACTATTAGAACCGTTCAGGCTGAAGAAGGAAAGCAGAAACCAAGTCAAGAGCCCAGTCCCCGGCTTGCTAATCTCAACTCTGAGTCTAAAAGAAATTCTCAACAGCCCGAGAGCATTCTCATTTGTGCTCCTTTATTGCGCTCTGTGGGGTCCTCTATCTGCTGGTTTCGCTTCTATTACCCATACGTCCCGGGACATACATGGCGCCTTCATACGGTGTGGGGTCCTCGATACAAGGTGGCGTTGTTCATGTTATTTGCGGCGACGTTCGCGAGGAACTTGGCATCTCCAAACGCTCATGGATTAAGACCACAATGCAAACGAAACACCAGGACACAAGCTTCACATACTCGCACAGCGATCGTCGCGAAGCTCCAGCCCCACCGTCCTGCCCAAGCCCATATACCGGGCGTGCTTACTGAACACGCATCCCCCATTACAAGGAGATCATGACCTCCTCGTCTTCTCCTCCACCGCCCTCTGCCTGATCCGCCTGGCCAGAGAATCCCACGCCCACTTCGACTTAGACCCCGTGGTCTCATCCTCAATCCTGAAGTTGCCCACCGCCCTGAACATCCACCACTTGCGCTGCGCATTCTCCCCGGTGGTGTCGCGCGTGTAGTTGACCAGCCCGAATCGCTTCCTCGCCGGCTTCAGGTCCGAGACCTTGACGTGGCTCACCCGCGGCTTGAGCATGGCGCCCATGTTGGTGATGGCGACCTCGGCATCGGCGGGCGGGTCGTTGAGGAACATGTCGGCCACGTGCTTGGACCGGCGGTATCTGTCCGGCAGGCGCATGTGGATCCAGACCGCCATGGGCGAGGTGAGGTACCAGATCAGCAGGAAGGGTGTGCTGCCGATGACGGCCACTAGGCAGGATGGGTCAGTGATGTGGGCATGCGGATCTGAGGCATTTGCCTGTTGAAAGGGGCCTCTCACGTCCGATGGGTTTCCAAAGCGGCACGTCCGCGGATGCAAATGGTGGTATAATAACCACTGCGAAGAAGCCGAACAAGAAGATTGTTGTCAGCTTCAGGGCGCCGAGGAACATGATCCTAGGCGTTCCCATGTGGTAGACGATCATCCTCTGGGGTATTTCTATATGCTTGTGGTCAGCCTTGGCAGCCCGAGGGGTTGAAGGTGTTGGTGCGCGCTCACCAAACTTGGGCCCCCTGGGTTTCGTGGCGGGTGGCGGCGCGGATGAGGCCCTTCTGATGAACTGCTCACGGCATACTGCACGGGCGACGACAGGGTATCGGGGACAGCATGACGGCGCTGAATTACCCCGAGGGGCTAGCCTAGTCACTAGAGGCCTTAATTGGACCCGTTGTAGGGATATTGAGCGGATCATGGTGAGATTGAGATGGTTGTCGGAGGATGAAATGAGCGCTGAGCTGTGATGGAAAAGTTGTGGTGGCCCAAGCTCCTAACTGTAAATCGTTGCAGTTGGGCTTGCCAATTACACAGCCTCAAGTTTCTGAAGAGTAAGAACAGAACCAACAAGCAGGAAGCTCCACAACTCCTATTATCGGATTTCAATTGAGACGCAGCGTGACTGGGGAATTTCCATGTATACTTTGCAACTTGCATACAACAGTATCATGGGCACCATACTGGCACATCAAGGCCACCCGAGCACTTGGGGGCCGACCCTGGGAACCGAGCAGGGGCACGATGTAGGAAACACTTTAGCATCATTTCATACGTGAGCTGTCAGAGGCCAATCGCCGCCGAATTTGTCTCGTACTACCACAGGCATCCGCCTATTCAATAACTTTGTGCAGGTACTCAAGCCACTGATCGGCACTCCATCCTGAACTGATATCGTTGTTGACCACACCGTTGAAGATAACAGTGGGGCTGACGTGGACCCCGACCAGACGGGCAATCCTGATGGTGATCTTGAGGTCGTTTGTTATGTCGTTTCCCACGTTCAGGCTGCCGTCGTCGGTGGCCTTTTCGGGGATGGCCAGCAGCTTGTACACCTCGTCGGCGCTGACACCGGTGCTATCCGCCGCGAGCTTAGCCAGGCGCTTGTAGGTGGCGTTTCGCGGCTCGTTGACCACATTGACGTCAAAGTACGACTTCTGGTCGTTGAAGAGAGCCTCGCTGAAGGTCCAGAACTTGGACGGGGCAAGCCTGTTGACGGCGAGAGCAGCCTCGTGGACCAATGTTGACGACGGGTGCCAAGGCTGGACCTGCTGGCGGAAGATAACCTGGAGCTTGCTTGCCAGCTTGGGGTCCGCCCGGATCTTGGGAGCAACAGATGTGAGGAAGGTGTTGAAGAGCTCTGTGCGGTGTGAGTACATGGATGACGCTGCCAGGCGGGCGTGCTACGAGGAGCTATACGACTGGTAGTTGCACAGCAGGTCACATACTTGCTGAGAAAGGGCAGACATAGTCCAAGTAAATCTCTATTGTGTGGAGGGGGTCTGCTGCCGATGCCTCTGTGGGTGCCGGAGCAGCCGGGTCGTCGCTGAAGAACAGCAGACGGTGGCCCTTGAGCTTGGGAGGGAGCGCCATGGCTGTGACGGTGTTAGCCGAGCAGATAAGGTCCTTGGTGGGTGGTTTTGAGGGCGAGTACACACTGGAAGTGGGTCTTTTGTTGGCGTTTGAGGGTGCAGTGGAAGGAAGAACTGAGAACCAGGTCAATTGGGGTCTGATGGGTCTTCTATGTAGGATGCCAACTGCAGTACTTATGCACCGTCTGGAAAGGAGCATGACTTCATGGTGATAAATGGCGTAATCCGAGCAGTGGTGAGCAAGCTCGTGGTGGGGTTGAAGACGGGGAGAGCTGGAGGGCCCAAGGGTACAACCCTCCTCATCTTGGATCGCCACCCCCCACCCTGCATTCTGCACCTCTTCGGCACCCACCCTCGCGAACGTGACGCGCCATCCCTGCCCCCAGTGTTGCAAGGGTCTGCACCACCCCGCGATCCGATAACCGATTCATGCCTCTTATCAGCCCTGCGGTGACGGAGCCCCGCGAAGAATTTCTTTTTGATCTTCCTCTGGCGACAGCCCTGCCACCTCTGGACTCCAGACATAGGACATTGGACACTGGCCTTTGTCCCATCTCTCGCCATGCCTTACCAAACCCTGACCGGCAACTCGTGCTACACGAGCGCCGAGGCCCAGAAGCTCCTGGAGCGCATCAACAAGCAGACCGATGCCAAGCTTCAGTCCATCCAGGGCAACTGGCTGTACTATGTCGACCTGAGGAAGGACCAGGTCGGTCTCGACAAGGTCCAGCAGTTGCTCCAGCTCAGCAACGCCTCGGCTCCCGCTGCTGCATCACAGTCCGAGAATGCCGTGACCTTCTACATCACTCCTCGCAACATCTCGCCATGGAGTTCCAAGGCCACCAGCATCGCCCACGTCTGTGGCCTCAAGGACCAGGTGCACCGCGTCGAAAGGGGTCGGGTCGTCACCATCCAGTACGAGAGCTCGAGCAACACAGGCGCTGATATCCCCTTCCGCGATGTCATCCACGATCGAATGACCGAGACCCTCGCCACCGAGCAGCCCTCCCTGGATGCCATGTTTGCTGAGCGCGAACGTGCTCCTCTTGTCGTCGTCGACATCTTCGCCGACGATAGCCGTGGGCCTCTGGCAATCCTTGACGACTACAATAAGAAGATGGGGCTTGCATTGAGTTCCGAGGAGATGGAGTACTTGGTGGACTCATACACTCGGCTGGGCAGGCCTCCACACGATGTGGAACTGTTCATGTTCGCCCAGGTCAACTCGGAGTATGTCTTCCAAGGCAGCCGTGATTTTGTTCCTCTTCGGTGCGGGTGACAAGTGTCAGGCAACCCGCACCCGAACGACTCGTCTCTCTTTTCAGTACTGTTTCTGACTGTCGGTCCCACACAGACATTGTCGCCACAAGGTCTTCAATGCAGCCTGGACCATCGACGGCAAGCCCATGGGCAAGAGCCTGTTCGAGATGATCAAGAATACCCACAAGAAGACCCCTGATTACACCGTCTCTGCCTACAGCGACAACGCCGCCGTTCTCGAAGGAGATCTCTCCAACTTCTGGGCGCCAGACTACTCTACGGGCACGTGGAAGCTCTCCAACGAAGTGATCCACCCCCTGATCAAGGTGGAGACACACAACCATCCTACTGCCATTTCGCCTTTCCCTGGTGCCGCCACTGGTTCGGGAGGCGAGATCAGGGTATGATGCCTTCACTTTCACCCGCGTGCTCTCCATCTTCTGGCTGCGAATAATAACATGTGATGGACGGATGGAAACAAGTGTTTCCGACTTTTCTTTTCTCCAAGTAGTGTCCCGTCAGTTGCGGTCGTGTACTGACCAGGTTCATGTAGGACGAAGGAGCTGTTGGGAGAGGTTCGACCCCCAAGGCGGGTTTGTGTGGCTTCTGGGTTTCGGATCTGCTCATCCCCGGCAGAAAAGAGCCATGGGAGGTGGATATTGGACGGCCTAGTCACTACGCCAGCAGTCTCGACATTATGCTGGAAGCGCCAATCGGCTCTGCACGGTTCAACAACGAATTCGGTCGGCCATGTCTGACCGGAACCTTCAGGACTCTGCTCACAAACACCGAGGGTGAACATTCCAACAACAACAACGAGTGGAGAGGATACCATAAGCCAATCATGATTGCTGGTGGCATTGGGTCTGTCAGGCCACAGCATGCCCTGAAGAATGAGGCTGATGTGCTCGACGGCGCCCACGTCATCGTTCTTGGAGGGCCTGCGATGCTCATTGGACTTGGAGGAGGTGCTGCCTCGAGCGCTGTAGGTGGCAGCAACGCGGATCTCGACTTTGACTCTGTGCAACGAGGCAACCCTGAGATGGAGCGCCGGGCTCAGATGGTCATCAACACTTGTGTTGCTCTCGGTGCCAACAACCCTATTGCTATGATTCACGACGTCGGCGCTGGCGGTCTTTCAAACGCGCTTCCCGAGCTGGTCAAGGATGCCGGCTTCGGTGGCAAGTTCGAACTACGACAGGTTGAGAGCGCTGACAACAGCATGAGCCCATTGCAGATCTGGTGTAACGAGGCACAGGAGCGATATGTGCTGCTGGTCAACAGGGACAACATGAACCGCTTCCAGGTCATCTGCGGTAAGTTAATGGCATGACAGCCGCTGTGAAACTGACGACTAACTTCGTAAAAAGAGCGCGAGCGTTGCGGTTACTCCAATGTCGGAAACGTTGTTGCCAAAGATCACAACGGTGCCTCCAGATTGGTCCTGCAGGACCGTGAGTCTAGGGAGTACCCTGTGCCAATTGATCTGCCCATGGATGCTCTGTTCCCTCCAGGCCGCCGTCAAGAGCGCGTGGTTGAAAGTATCAAGGCCCCATTGGTTCCCTTCGATGCTGCCACCAGTATATCAGAGAAGTACAACCTGTCGGACAAGACAGAAGTAATCACCAAGGCCACCGAGCTTGTTTTCTCTCTCCCTTCGGTTGGATCGAAGATGTTCTTGATCACCATAGCAGACAGGGTAAGAAAGCCTTCCTTCCGAAAGGATATACACGTTTGTACTGACTCATCTCGCAGACTGTTGGTGGATTGACAGTGCAAGACCAACTGGTCGGTCCATGGCAGACGCCTGTGGCAGATGTTGCCGTGACTCTCGGCTCATTTGGATTTGAGAACAACCGTCATGGTGAAGCAATGGCAATGGGAGAAAAGCCAACGCTTGCCCTTATCTCTGCGGCCGCTTCCGCGCGGATGGCTGTCGTCGAAAGTCTGATGAACCTCGGCGCTGCGCATATCAAGGCCGCCGCAAATGTTCGAGGCGATCTGCGACGTGTCAAACTGTCTGCCAACTGGATGGCCGCTGTCAACCACCCTGGTGAGGGCGCTGCGCTGTTCGAGGCTGTCAAGGCCATCGGTATGGAGCTCTGTCCTGAACTTAACATCTCCATTCCGGTCGGCAAGGACTCGACCTCGATGAAGGCATCCTGGAAGGACGAGAGCGGAGAGTCCAAGAGTGTGACAGCCCCAGTGTCTGTTGTCATCTCTGCTTTCACGCCTGTCGAAGATGTTCGCAGCACTTGGACGCCACAACTGCGGCGCGTCGAGGAAGTGGGCGACTCTGTCCTCATGTTCGTCGATCTCGCCGGTGGTCGCACAGCCATGGGAGGTTCTGCTTTGGCCCAGACCATGGGTCAACTTGGCAATGAGGCGCCCGATGTCCACGACCCTAGGCTGATCGTGGATTACTTCGATGCCCTGTCGCAGCTTCACGAAGAGGATATTGTCCTGGCGTACCATGACCGCTCTGATGGTGGCCTGCTTACCACCGTCGCGGAAATGATGTTTGCCGGTCGCTGTGCAGCTGACATCTCGATCGATGATATTGCCAAGTCACCATCAACTTCGCATATCCTTGAGGCTCTGTTTAACGAGGAGCTCGGCGCCGTCTTCCAGATTCGGAAATCGGATGAGAAGAGATTCCTGCGTTGTTTCGCAACTTGTGGGCCACCTCCGGGTTTGATCAAGAAGATTGGCTACGTCCGGCCAACGGCCAAACAGTCCTTGTCTGTGAAGTATGGCATGACACCGCTCGTCGACCTGGACCGGGCCCAGATGCAGCAGTGGTGGTCGACAACTTCGTACGAGATGCAGAAGCTCCGAGACAACCCGGCATGCGCCGAGTCCGAGTTTGCCTCCCTGGCCGATGCCAAGGATCCAGGACTGTCATACAAGTTGAAATTCGACCCTGCCGATGCCAGCCTGCCGGCGCTCACAAACCTCAAGTCCCTGGTCACACAACGCCCACGCGTTGCCATCCTGCGAGAGCAAGGTGTCAACGGCCACGCCGAGATGGCCTTTGCCTTCCGCGCCGCAGGCTTCGATGCGGTGGACATCCACATGACGGACATCCTGTCGGGCTTCTCGCTCGATGGATTCCGCGGGCTGGCGGCGTGCGGCGGCTTCTCATACGGCGACGTGCTCGGCGCCGGCCAGGGATGGGCCAAGTCGATCCTCATGCACGACAACGCGCGCAAGACGTTCGAGGCCTTCTTCCGGCGGCCCGACACCTTCTCCCTGGGCGTGTGCAACGGCTGCCAGATGCTGTCGCGGCTCAAGGAGCTCATCCCGGGCACGGACCACTGGCCCGCCTTCGTGGAGAACACGAGCCAGCAGTTCGAGGCGAGGTACAGCATGGTGGCGGTCCGGGAAGACGACAACAGCGTCTTCCTCTCGGGCATGGGCGGATCTCTGCTGCCCATCGTCGTCTCGCACGGCGAGGGCCGGGCCGAGTTTGCGTCGCCCGCCGGGCTGGAGGCTTGCACGCGCGAGGCCGGGCTCGCCCCGCTCCGCTACACAGACAACTACGGCAAGGTCACCGAGGCGTACCCCTTCAACCCCAACGGCAGCCCTCAGGGCATCGCCGGTGTGAGGAGCAGGGACGGCAGGGTGCTGGCTATGATGCCGCACCCGGAGAGGACCATCATGGCAGACGTGGCGAGCTGGGCGCCGAAGGAGGAGGTTGACCGGTGGGGCCAGTTCGGGCCGTGGTTGAGGATGTTCAGGAATGCCAGGAAGTGGGTCGGTTGATGTATTGCTTTTCTGGAGTTATCAAAAGAAAATTATAAAAAGAGGGCGGAAATGGAATGCATTCATATTTTATAGACATTTACCACGGGTGGTCCGCTCAATGCACACTTTACAGGAAGCCGTCAGATCAGTTCACAGTGCTCAGAGTCGAATTGCTTTGCAGTCAAGAAGCCCGGACATCGTACGTATCCGTATGTATGTATGTATCGTGGTCTCATTTATTCATGCCTTATTCACACGCACGCCGAGGTATCTCATGCTATCCCTTTTCTAGCACAGCCCCTTCAAGTCTATATTGAATACATAGTCTCCAGGATGTGAAGTTCCTCAATTCCGATGTCACTACTGGGCGCTGGGCCCAGCAGCCAGCCTTTCAAACTTGTCCAACACGTCCTTGTCCACGTTGACCACCCAGTTCTCCCTAAAGGCCGCCTCGCCGCCGGCCCTCTGTACCAAGCCCTGCAGCCTCTCGGTGACGAACCCGTACGTGCGCAGGGCATGCACGGGGTCCCTCGCCACGTGGGCAGCCTCCGCGTTCTCGAGCGGAGTGCTCTCCTCGGCCTGAGGCGGCCCGTCCCAGAAAAGCCCGTCCTCGCCGAGGGCGTTGCCGTCGTGGCACTCGAGCACGACCGAGGGCCACATGGTGAAGTAGTCCTGGAGGCTGGAGCAGACGAGGTCCTGGACGGGCTGGGGCAGCTCGCACAGGCGCGTGAGGGCGAGGCACGACAGCTTCTGGCGCTCGATGTCGGCCATGCTGTCGAACGAGCCGAACCACTGGGCCGAGAGCCACGGCCACACCTGCGTCATGTCGCCGCCGACGGTGGAGATGGCGTTGATCAGCAGGGCCGGGTCCGCGAGCGCGATGCGCGCCAGGGTGCTGAAGTAGGCCAGCTTGTGGGACCACTCCAGCGCCTCCTTGCTCGCCGCGTTGGGCCCCGTCAGCTGCGAGCGCTCCCAGTCGGTGTGGATGCGCTGCAGCATGAGCGGGATGACGCCGAGCTCTATGAGGTCATTTACTATCACAGACACGCCGTTGGAGCCGCCGAGCTCGGATGCCGCGATGAACATGAGCTCCATCTTCCTGTAGCTGGTTAGGACGTCGGCACCCCGGCTCCGGCCGGATGCTTGTAGAGGTGCTACGAGCGCCTCCAACGTGGTTCTTCGCAGGTTGTCCGACAACACGGCCTCGGGAGCCAGAATGATATATGCGTGGAGGATGTCGTATGCCGACTCGGCCAACTGAGGCTCGTGATCCAGAAGAGGAAGTATCAGAGGCTGAAGGCTGACCAAGTCTGCTGACAATGGAGAGGTGCTCTGAGTGATGAGCGACCTCCATAGATCCACGATGTCTTCGAGGAATGCCTGACTTGCATTGTCGTGCATACACTGGTTGATGATGGGGAGCATAGCTTGCTGATAGCGTTGCGACTCAGCTCCTATCGAGTTCACCAATGCTGCCAGGACCCCAATGATGGCAGCCTTAACCATATACGCATCCCCGGAAGCCTCCCACAGAGCCGGCAGCGCAGCCATGATGGGATCAGCAAAGGGCAGTACGTGCTCCTCCATCCTCTGTATGCACACGCGAAGGGTTTCGAAGAGCGCCTGCTTGGTGTCCTCGAGAACGGCTTCTTGGAGCAGGTTGATGAGTTGAGGGAGAAAATCGGGCGCGAATTTTGCAAACACTTCGCCCTGGAACCCGAAGTCATCGGCGACTTCTTTCAACTGCCTCGCCGCGGTGAGACGGACAACCTCGTCATTGATCTCGTCCTTGTCGTTCAGGAGGTGACGGTAGATCTCAAAGATTAGTGGCCGACTTGCGTTGGCGATCTTGACCGGAACCCAAATACTGATCAGGATGGCGATCCTGCGTCGCAAGACCTTGGCCAAGGGGCCGGTGAATTGTGCATCTTGCACAAGTGTCGTCGCGAGAAGGTTGTCGAAGTCGAAGGCTTCCGAGATATTAGGCGCAGCTGCGCCCATGGCGGTATAGATTGCCTCCTTGGTTATGACGTCTGAGTCGGCGCTTGTCGCCTGTTGAAAATAAGACAACAGTGGCGGTGTCAGAAGCTGTTTGTAATGCACGAGCAGTTCCAAGAAGACTCGTTCAGAGCATGGCCTCACAGCAAACTGCCAACCATCGCCCAAGTACTGCTCGGTAGACTCAAACTCCTCCGGATCGGTCTCCCAGGCCTCGAGATCAGCTTGCCGGAAGATTAATAGCTTCGTGATGATGACATTGACGATTTGCATAACAAGTTCATCCTTGAGCAGCTCGTTCTTGATCGTTTGGACGGCCCTGTCCTTCTGTTCCAGAAACTCCTTGCTAAGGTATTTGAAGGTCTGGACTGGTTTCCAGACAATAGCAACACAGCTCTTGACCAGAAGCAACCCCTTGAGGGCCAGCTTCTCGAGCAGTGGGCCCTCGACCTTGGATTTGGCGCCTGGTCCGTCTGTACTCGTTGTCTGTCTCAGCCCACCAGATTTGTCGAAGACCTCGGCAAATTTGGTGACGAGATCCCAGTATGCAAGTACAAGAGGGATGGAATTGGTCAGTAGGGGGAAGCTGGCGGGATGTGTTTCTGACATCTCGACGTGCAACTTTGTGAACTGGAGAAGGTGCTTCCCCACGACGTCTTGGTAAGGAGCAGGCACGGCGGAATCGTGGCTCACGTATCCCAGGAATTGGCCAAAGTGGTTCTGAGTGACGGACCAGTACTCGACGACGACCTTATCCTTCACCGGGTTCTCGTAGCCGAGGATTAGCAAGCGCCGTAGGATCTTTGCTGCCAGCAGGCTGCTCTGCATGGCCAGATCTGCGTCGTCCTCGTCGCCACGTCCATTCGCCAGCCATTCTGTCCACAGGGCGGTTCTCTCTGTATATATCTCGCCGAGGACGTAGACAATCTCGGGTGTGACGGACTGGAGGGCGGTCTGGGACCTCCGCATCCTAGCGGTGCCGAGTTCCTTCACAACACGGAGGAGGATGACCAGGGCGCCGCCCAGGAGTATCTGGTCGCCGTTTTTGTAGGTCCTCAGCAGGTCGATGATGCTTGGGAGGGCCTCGGGCCATGAGTCTGGGTAGTCTATGCGGAGAACCTTTGCAGTAGCGAGGGCGTTGTGCAGCGCAAAGGCTCTGTCCTCCTCACCCAAGGTTCCCTGGAACAGCCTTGATCTCATGAGAGCCTTGTCGTTTGGGCTCATTGCGTTCTTGGCAACGTGTCGCCAGTACTTGTCGATACCATTCTTGATCTGTATTATGGCGAGGAAGCGTATCTCTCGGGGGATGGACTTGTCGAGGAAGATGGTCTGTGAGGGACAGCAGGGACAGCTGGGTCAGCCGGTCGGCCAGGAGGCAGGGCAGGACAAGGTGAAGGAACAGCTGCATACCTGCAAGGAGGGGAAGTAGCCCTGCTGGGTCTCCCAGGTGCTGAGCTGTTTGCCGGCGGCCTGCCTCTGGCTGTTGTCCATGGAGGTGGCAGCCTCGAGTGCCTTGCACAGCTCCTGCATGGTGAGGGGGCTGGCCTCGCCGGGCACCTCGATCGCGAAGCTCATGTTGCCGGGCACTCTGGCACTGGACTGGCTTTCAGGGCGTCAAAGTGTCACGGTTGCAACAAGGGGCGAGCGACAGTGGCACAAATGATGTCAGGTGAAGACGCGGAGAGAAACGACGCGACGACAAAAAGATGGAGGGGTCGCCGGAGGGACACCTTGTGTACTGTGGTACCGTACCTACCCCTGTTCTGGGGCCGCAACCGAGCGTTAAGTACTAAGTACCGTGTACACGTGGTGGCGGGTCGCTCTTTCAGGGGCCCTGGTCGGAGGTTGTCCACCTACCTGGGCAACACCGCTTATTAGGCAGTTCAACGTCCAACGTTTCTCTAACGATAATGGCCAGGATGCATCCCCTACAATCGTTCCCAAAGTGCTCAAGTGACTAATAATTCCATCCTGTTGGAACAACAACATTACAAAACACACATTATGGATTTAACATACTCCTCATGTTGGCCATTTCCTTGCCGAAAATGCTTTAATTAATCTCGCAATCACTGATCTGATCATTTGGCTGTGATCCTGTAAGGTACTCAAGTATACTAACTAATTGCCAGTCAAGTCCGAGGTCTGATAACATCTAATAACATGTCGCCACCACACCGATATCCCCATGTAGCCCTCCGGGTCTGCCTACGTGGAGCTCTGAACTGCGTCGACACGCATGCGCATATTCGTTGCACGCACGAACCGAACGTCCCAGCACCGGTACCTCTTAGCAGCTGCGATACCCGCTCGTGACTTGGGCCCGGCAGGTTCCGTGTGCTTAGACTGTGCTGATGCCTTCTTCATCCTGGGCCATGGCTTGATGGTCTTGATGCCCTTCTTGAGATCATACGCTGGATTTCATCAGTATTAGCGGCGAATGTAGCACATTAGCATGTCAAGGTCGGATTCAATGCGTACTTTTCGGTTGAAGCATAAGATCTTTCATAGTTTTAGTGCTCACATCTCGACACTGGTCATCGTCGTTGACCATATATACTTTTATATCCTGAGAGATTGATGTCAACAAGGCTCATTTGAAAAGGAACCAACGAGCTCAGGTTCAATACCTCTTCAGGCTCTCCACTAGGCAAACTAGGTGTCATCAATGCACACCCACCAAAAACCCGCGTCTCAGTCCAGAATCCGCTTTCTCCTGCAGCATCATCGGGCGATGTGAAGGCACGATTTGTGACCGCAGGCGGGGTATCAGCATACCGGTTTCCAGCTAGGAAAGTGACAAATGCGTGACAAAACTCGTGGAACCAAGTTATAGAGACGATGAATCGTAGGGTTTGCCAACGGTCATTCTGCTGTTTGACCTTCTTATCGTAGTCTGCCGGTCTAGTCGTCTGAGGATCCCAAGGAGCCATGAACTTCTCGTCATTTCGCTTCAGACTTTGCACGAGCTGGGAGAGAATCACATAAAGGTCAGCCGGGAATGCAAGTGTCCTAAGTGAGGCCGTCTTGGCAGTGTGCACATGTGTATATACCTTGCGGTTTATTTCAAAATGAACAAGGTCTTGAGGGCGAAAGTTGTCAAGGTCTCCAGTGTAGGAGGAATCGACGTCCTTGACCGTATAGGCAAAACCGTCCACTGACGAATCAACAATAATCCTTGGAGGTGACTTGCGGACGCCAGTCAGAAACCTGCGAACGTATGTGTTCATGTTGGAAATGTTCCCTGGCCACTGATAATTCCTATACTTCTGCGCATTTGCAGGATCGATCCATTCTTGTACACATCGCTTTCCGAGCTCAACTAAGTACGGTTCCACATCGGGCCTGCTCAATAGTGCGAGACCAATTCTATACGTGTCTGCCACCTGCACTTTGTTAGTCCCTGAACAAGAGACCGACACGACACCTTTGTGCAACGGCGTCTGAAATCTAGATGAAGCTGCCCAAGAAGAGCTTAATAGCGTGTAACAACTCACAAGGACAAATTCACGACTGTTGGGCGGATAAGGCTTGCAATCGCCAGCTTCGTTATAATAATTCAGGGAAAACCTTTTAAGGTCAAATTGGGGATTGCTGCCATCACCTCCAGCTGATGAGGACCTGGAAGGCTCACCGGCGGATGGAGGTCTAGATGTATTCCCAGTTGGCGGAGGCATAGGCGTACCTCCAGAGGATGAAGGTCCCGGCACATTGCCAGCGGTTGAAGGTCCGAATGGGTTATCACCACCAGTTGAGCGAGCCCTGAATGGCAGTTGATACGTGATTGGAGCCGGAGACACCCTTTTGACTGGGGCCTTCGGGATTTTGTCGTTCTTTGTCATTTTGGTGACAACACGAGCTGTTCAAAGACAGTCGACTTCAAGCTCAGGCTAAAGGCAACTGGGATGTATTCAAATAATACGGTGCAATTTATTCCATAAAAGTAGATATTGCAGAGCAGAGACAGGTTGAAATGCTGTGACAAGATATGGTCGAGGCAGAACATTGAATAATCTCCTAGAATCACTTGAGCAACGCTTTGAATATCTTGTGCCCAGGCCCTCATATATGATATAGATCTCCCCCCACCCCAGACTCATCTCACGATACCGTCAAAACTCTAAAAATAGAAGACACCTTTCGAATCATGTTGGAGGGACGATCGAGACCCAATATCGTGACCTACGCCTGCGTGAAACCGGGAACGAGTAGCATTTGGGGTGGAATTACGGGACACGAAGAGCGAGAGGAGGCCGCTCTGGTCCCAAGCTTCAGACAAGGCCTCGAGCGGCCAACTTCGTCCAGGCTGTTGGCAGAGTGCAGCGTATCAGGGCGTGGACATAACTTGTAATTAGAGTCCCGTGTAGTCTCACTCAAGCACAATGTTTAGCCGAGCAGGGCATGCCTTGTAGGAACGAGACATGTAACAGACCAGTGCCGTTCAACACCAACAGGGCTCGAGGGCCTCGACCTGGGGGAGGCGAGGCTTTCTGAGGAAACTGTTCACGAAGCGTTGCAACGGGATTGGTGAACAAGAACCAACCTGCAGCCAACATGGGCCAGCAGTCGGTCGGCTGCTGAGCCGCATGCAGGAGGCGGCGGCACGCTGAGGGGCCATTTTGGCCAGGCTGCAGTGGCCTCGGCCCCGCATTAGCATTACGCATCAACTCCAAAAAAATGTATGGGAACTGAGCTCCATCCATCTCTTCTAACATGTTCTATTCATCACTATACTCCTAACATATCTTCAAACCCTCACGCGAGCAACTTCACCCGCTTCTACGCAATCAGTGAAACATGCTGTCCCTGGCCGACCTGGACGTTGGGCATCTCGACCCCTTTCGTCGAGCTATGCTCAATCTACTTTCTACACCAGTAGCGGAATTCACATTTGCGCAAATCGTCGACGGACAGCCCACAAGCGAGGTATATGCGGATGACCATTATTATCGTCAGGGTCTGCCCGTAATGAGTCATGTGAAATTGTGTCCGGGCTCAATCGAAAAGACTCAAGCTTTCCGCTCAGGCTTTGATATACTTGACTTGAAATTTGACCCAAAGGCACGGCCCATCCGAAATAAACATACATATCTTGTTTCGATTGCAGCTGACGCGCATCGAGCAGGCTATCCAGGCGTACCAAGACACTGTGCTAGGAACTACGGCGTGGAAGCTACGGCTTCTTGAGCTTGTTGCCACCGCATGTCATGACATTGCTGTTTACCTCTACCAAATGGACGACGGTGTTCATAAACACGCCGAACATGCGGCATGGCGGGAAGATAAGCTTAATAAGGCCATCCTAGAAAACGACATTATGGGAAGGAATACACTTCCCCCACCCACGCTTTTCTGGACTGGTGCTTACATGGACTGGTCAGAGTACCCCAATGGCCTAGCTGACATGACTGGATACTGGGCCGAGATGAGGATATTCGGCGGCATCGTTCTCTTCGATCGAGGTGAAAGTGAAAATGAGGTAGGTTCAGGCACACTACAATACATGAGCACGTTGGTGAACGATGGGCCTAAACCTGTTCTAGTGCAACGGCATATACATACACAATCAGCGTTATACCACTATGGCGCCGCCAACAGAAGCACAGTTCAACAACATCATCGAATTCCTCACATCAGAGAGCCCGGACCATGAACAAAGTCCCCTGCCAATCGAAGTCACCTCGGAAAATAAATGGCGGTGGGACCCATATGATGCGAGGACGAGATACCACATCTTCAAACATCGTCATGACATCCCAACAGGTCCCCGCCCCCGCCGTAAGGATGTGATCACAGAGGATACCTGGCCAGAAATTACCGCCTATTATCAGCTTGCAGAAAAAGACCTCGAAGACACACCCAATGACGAGAAAGCAAGAGAAGCAGCAAAAGACGAGATTGCAATGACCCTGTCTCCTAACTCGAGATTATGGGAAACGTTGAGGGAGCGGATCAAAAGGCTTCAACCTGACGAGAAGAGACAGGGGAGGCCGCCGTATTTTTTTGATCCCTGACTGTCTGCGTATGGAGTGAGAAGACAGCTTTCTACAGAAAGAAAGTTCGGCAGTAATTCCTTCGCTTTCTCGCATCCGAAATGTGCAGGGCTGACACAAACAAACTAAGAAAGTCGGACTTATTTGTTCCAAAAGCCATGTCAAGGCATGTATGTCCCTTCGAGAATATACCTGCAGCTGAGCGGCTTCTTTACAAACTTAAAATCTCGTTGACATTCGAATTGAATCATATGTGCATGGTATAAGTTGTCCCACACCGTATGAAGGCGCCATGCATGTCCTCGGGCGTATACGGAATAGAAGCGAAACCACATAAGTTGTCCCAGTGCAGTCATGGCCCATGTTAGGGGATGCATTACGAAGTGATGACAAAGTCACGGTTCTCTTCACCTGTCTTGCTCATTCTGGAGAACATGAGCCTGGACAAAAACAAATCGCGGTCTAGGTGGTCAAGGTAATGGGAAAGGATATTGTCCGTATCACTACCGCCTCGACGATTGACAAGACATCCAGGGTAGATCCGGAGATCTTTCAAGTGATAGAGCACTGTGACTACTAGAACCTTGTCGTTGAGAGTGTGGCTTTGTGTGATCTGATGACCTAGTCGACTCTAAGAGATGGCTCCAGGCCAGTGTAGCAGGCTGATGGACCACCTCAAACGCATGAGACATCAAGAGACCAAAACTGTGATGGATAGATGAAGAAGAAAATTGGTGCGACAAGGCGGCTGCATGCTTCGATATGTGAGGCCTCAAGTGCTACTGGATCGTTCGCCTTACGACGCTTCTTCTTTTTGTTTTCGTGATCTACGCTAGCCAGAGATCCATAAATAAAATGCACTCGTACGGTACATCCTCACAGCTTGGCCTGGCCGTCCTGGGGCACCTTGACGACAACCTTGCCCCAGGTTTCCCTGCTTCCTAGAGCCTCAAGGGCCGCCGGTATGCTCTCGAGGCCCACAAACTCCTTGTCTGTGAACTCGGTGCCCCTGAACTTGCCATCCTCGATCAGCTGCAGGATCTCCTTCCACACCCTCACCTCCGTCTCAGACTCCATCTTCGAGTACATGCCCCAGTGGATGCCCACGATGGAGATATTCTTCAGCAGGACCTTGTTCATGGCAACCTTCTCGATCGCGCCGGCCGCGAACCCAATCACGAGGATCCGGCCGTTCCACGCGATGCACTTGGTGCTCTTGTCAACCATGCCGACCGGGTCGTACACGATGTCCACCCCGCGGCCCTTGGGCGTGAGCTTCTTGACGATCTCGGGCCACTTGTCGTCCTTGTAGTCCACGACGTGGTCCGCGCCGAACTGCCTGGCGACCTCGAGCTTCCGCTTCGTCCCCGCCGTGGCGATGACCGTCGCCCCGAACGCCTTGGCCACCTGCACGGCCGCGAGGCCCACGCCGCCCGCCGCGGCGTGCACCAGCACCCAGTCGCCCTTCTTGACGCCCGCGCGCACCACCAGCGCCCCGTAGCTCGTGGGCGCCGTCACGAAGAGGCCCGCCGCCTCCGTCGACGACCACCCCTTGGGCTGCGGGCGCAGGGCCGCCTCGGACGCGGTGGCCTGCGTGGCGTATGCGCCCTGCGCGGCGCCGAACACGCGCGAGCCGACCGGGTACTTCGGGTTGGGGACGGCGGACGGCGTGGAGAGGACCGTGCCGGCGAACTCCATGCCTGCTGTCCAGGGGAAGGGGGGCTGGTGTTGGTATTTGCCCTGGACCTGCAGGATGTCGAAGAAGTTGGTGGCGGCCGCCTCGACCCTGATCAGGTACTCATTGGGGCCTGGCTTGGGGTCTGGAAGCGTGGTCACTTTCAGATCGTCAAGTTTCTAGTGTCAAGGTCAGCAGGTCTGTTTAGAATACAGATGCTTCTGCATGTGAGACGACATCTGCCGTGCGCCCACGCACCTTGACATATTGTGACACTTGTATTCCCCTCATCGTGGCGGTCGAAAGGACAGTGGATGCCGATATCTAACAGAAGGATTACTAGGGCCGGGGAATTCGAGACTTATACGGATAAATACGGATAGGCGATGGAGATATTGTACAAGCTGGGGCTGAGGTGAACTGAGATGAACGGAGATAGACGAAGTGAGAAATGCCAGATGGGGGATTTGAGGCAATCCGGGGTGCTGGGGTAACAAGGTGTCAGGGTGTGGAGAGCCGAGGCTCTTTTGACGATTGACAGGGATCACGCAGATCAGTGTCGTCGGTGCCGTGCTGTCAATAGTGCTTCCGCCAAGGCAATTAATTCAGTGTCCCGGGTGCAGCGAAGATGACCTCTGATGTGCCCATGGTATGAGGCACCCCGAAACAATAATGTGCTGCAAATGGCGCGCCTGGAACTGCATTCTAAATCCTCGGTGCTGACCCGAGTGTATCGACCAGATCAAACTAATGGCCGGTCAGCATGAACAAGTGACTATGTTGGAATAGAACCAGTAAAGGGGATGCTCGTGACAACACCAGTCTTACGGACGGATCATTTGCTTGCCAAATATGTTGCGCCTCGAAGTTTAGGCTCATTGGTGTCGAAATCTTTGTCAATAAAGTCATTATTCTGGTAATTTGACGCCACCCCTTCCGATGCTACATGAATGTATGTGCAGTTAAAGTGTTGATGCAGCCTTGTTCGCTCCGTCATCCTTCCTATGAGGACACGGCTTGCACCTCAGGCCCCGTGGCCGTGGCCGAGCATACGCTGTGGTCTGCCCTCGTGTCCGCATGGAATATGGCGCTCCCTGCAAATCCCTTAAGAGGCAACCCTCTTGCTGAGCCGGCAATTCCTGTCGCGTTTGAACAGGGCGTCTGATGATCGGCCTCCCTCCTCCCGCAAGACGGCCAGGGCAGTGGAGCACTCGCTTCTCGAATGGGACTCGCCATTTCGAAGGGTCATCTCCGTGACTGTGATCACAAGAATCAATCCGTCGACTCATATGGTTTCGTCCTTGAGCCTCGTCATGCTGAACTCTGGCAACCTCATGGTGGGGTACAGAAGTCCACCGGGAGACTGCCTCGCCCGCCTCGCCTTCTCGATCGCCTTCTCCTCCGCGACCGATTCCCTCTCGGCCTCATCGTCAAGCATGGTTCCCTGCAGACTCAAGTATGTGTAGTCACCCGTGGACCCACTCGAGAAGTTCTTGATGCGGAAATAGATCTTGCCCGTGACCTTCTGGCCGTTTCGGTCCAGCCAGTAGCCGGAGCTCCGCAGCTGGGGAGTCTCCTCGGCCTTCTTTCCCTCCTCGCCTTCAGCGGGCTGCTCCTGTCCCTCGACAAAGGGATCCTCCTCGGCGGCGACCGGCTCGGGCTCCTCCTCCTCCTCCTCCGGCTGGTCCACCCACGTCCAACCCTTCGGCAGGCTCCGCCTCGATATGCTAGCGTTGAACTTGTCGAAGCACACGACGCCGATGTGGCCCTCGCTCTGCAGGTTGATCTCGCCCTCCATCCAGGCGCCCCGCGACGGGATGAACAGGTGCAGCTCGGCCGTCAACCACGCGAAGGGGGGCGCGTAGCACTCGACCGATTCTAGTACCACCGGCGTGTCATCCGTCGGTGGGTTTCTCGCGTCTGCGCGCTGGGGCTGCTCCGAGAGGTTGACATTCTTGTAGGCCAGCAGCACGCCTTTGAACTTGGGCGAGTACCGGTTCAGCATGGGGTCGAGGTACTCGCGCGCCGTCTTGGTCAGGGGCTCGTCGAACGCCGCCGGCCAGATTGGGATGCGCTGCGAGAATGTCTGCGTGAAGAAGGGGTACTGTTTCGGGTCCGGAACAAAGGTCTCGAATGCCTCGTCTTTCCGCTCTGCGTGCGCTGTCGTCTCCTCGGGCGCAGCTGTGGACTTGTGATGTTTGCTCTTCTTTTCTTTCTTATCTGAGCTCTTGTGTTTCTTGTGCTTCTTTTCAGGCGAGGCAGCTGGCTCAGCGTCGGCGCCTGCGGTCTCCTCTGTTCTCTGTTTCCTCTTCTTTTCCTTGTGCTTCCTCTTCTCTTTCTTGGGCGTCTCGGTCGCTTTTGATTCCTGGTCAATGTCCATCTTTTCGCCCTGTTCCTCGTGCCGATGCTTGCGCTTCGACTTCTTGTGGCGCTTTTCTTCGTGGTCTGAGTCCATTTCGGCAGACATAATATCAATTGATTGGAGCCCTGGTTTGGGTGGTGTCGCAAGTAGAAATGAGCCCCAGTTCTGGCAGGCTCGACGTTCACGTAAAACGCATCTCCAAACTTTTTTCTTTTTGCCGGCGATTGAGCTCCCAGGGCGCCCAGCCAGGCCCCACATCAGTGCACACCGCCCAGCTGTAAGTGGCCTATTTACGACTTCACCCCTGCAGAGGTACCTAGGTACTTGCATTACGCATTTCTAAATGGTTTCCAGCTGAGACCGCTGGCGCTCGCAAATACTCAAATATGAGAAGCACAGCACAAAGTTTTAACACAATTGCACCGTCATGATATGATGGTTAACGAGTCTTGAGTAGCATATTGCCAATGGCATGGCTGGATTTCCAACATATATAGCCTGGAAGTATAGTATGGCAAGGAGAACCGTTCGGTGCTTGGCCTGTCTTCTTGGTCGGTGCACGATGTGCGGTCGCACTGTTAGATCCGTGTTGAACACCATGGCTTGTGCTGTCAAACGGCCTTGCGTGTCATCTGAGGCGGCACAATTCCCAGCCGTAGCAACTGGCTGGACTTATCGTTGGCCCGGCAGAGCTGGAGTATCTGCTCGGATGCACACCCATCTCTTGGTTTCCGTCCCTTGACATCGGCGCCTTTCAGATCATTCGCCAAAGGCAGGATGGCCTTGCAGCCTCACCGCCCACCATATGTCACTGCCAGCGGGTTGGTCGTAGTGATAGGATCATTCAACATCCCTCTGCGTTGTCTTCAACCGCCCTCGGCTTTCGTGCGCTTTTCCTTGTCCTGCCTTCGTTTTCGCCTCGCCTCTTTCCTGGCTCGGCGCTCTTCTTTCGTTTCGGATTCTGCACGCTTTGTCGAACTCTTCTTCGACTCTTTTTTGGACTTGCTCTTTGCCGCCTTCTTGGCCAGCTTCTTGGCTTCCTTCTCGGCCTTCCCTCTCTTCTTTTCTGCCCTCCTGGCTCTGCGCTCCTCCTTGGTCTCTTTCCTTACTGGGACGGCTTCTGCCTCGGGTGTCGCATCCGTCGAATCGCCCTCCGATTTCCATGTCAACGAGCCTTCTAGCATCCCGCCGCTGACAAAACATGCATAGAGAGCATTCGCGCCCTTGTATTTTCCCGCGCCGGCCGTCAGGAGGCTGTCCAGCTTGGTGTTCTTCTTGGTCTGCACGATGCTGGTCTTGTTGGAGGTGTCGAGACTCTTCAATTGCTCGTCGAAGGCGTTCAACCACCACTGGTCGCTTGTGACATGGTTCTTCCGGCCGATACCTAGCGTGTTGTCTTTCCGCGACGCAAGAATGGGCTTCGACAGACCGATTGAGTCGTCGGATTTGTGCAGAGAATGGCCGGAGCCCCGCCAGCCCTGGGATGTGAGGAGGGCGCGGGCGTCCATTTCGGCGGATCCAAGGATTTTCGTAGTACAGGGAGGGGCGTACTGTATTTATATCATTGTGTTGAAACTGTAGGAATTATCATGTCGACGGCTGGTGGGCTGGCTGTGTGCAGAATGCTGCGTGCGAAGAATTTCAGAGGCGCGCCAAGGGACCCTTGGACTTGGAAAAGATTGGGTGGGGACCTCGGGGCCGGGCGCGGCGTTACGTAAGCCAACAGGACCAAGACGATGCCGACCTTGGAATTTGGAACCTCATCCACCTAACAAGCATTATTATTGTGACTGGGCGCAGACATATTCTGAGTTTGTTTCGCATGTTTCTTCAACGACTATAACACCCGTATCCAAAGGATTACAATGCACAATACCAGCATCAAGAGTCAACCTTCAAGACCCCCCAGCCGGTCGACGTTCAGAGCATCGGTCCACTACCGGTACTGCACGTTCAACAATGTCATCAGGGCTCAAGATGTCTAATACCGGACCACCAATTTGACGGGAACCTTGCCCTGATGGCCAGACCGATCCATGGAGACGTGTTGTTCACAAAACCTGCTGTGCTCACATACCGGTCTTGACAATGTGAACGCCACTGACGATCACATCGATCCTGCTGCCTGCCAGACGAACGACGAAATACGGGACTCTCCGGAGCTAGGGCCGCCCTGGGCCACCGCAGGCCAGAGTCCAATGCAAGAGTCCGACGAGATCGTGTCCTGGCTGCCTGATTACGCCTCCCAAGGCCTCCGAGTTGTAGTTGGACGGGAGGAAGCGGGATCTGGTGTGCTGTTCTGGGATTCGATTCCTTCAGCAAGGCGGGTGGCACACACAGCGCCAAAACCCTTAATGCCTGATCCTTCTCACCAGGAACTGGTTTTTACACCGTCGTGAGAGCTGCACGATGATGCATGGCCATGCCACTGGGCTGTTCAGCTGCCTGCCTGTATATATTACCATGCAGCTGTGCTGTGATCTCATTTGCCGCCGCTGGTGTTCACTTGGTCGGTTCACATGCAGGACGGTGATCATCTTATTTTGCCTGGGCATTGCTTACCCTTTAAGACCCGGTCTCGCCCTCGTGTCGAGTTGATATGAGAGATGTCTCTGAAGATGCAGATGGGGGCATTTGTGCTACTACCGATAATGTTCACTGCGCATGGAATTCCCAAGACACATCCATGGACCGAGAAACCAGGCCTGCAGAAAGCGAGGGGGCTTCGTTTGAGATGACTGCTGCAGGTGTTGACATCGGACATCAACATCGCAGGTACTCGGCTCTGCAAATACACGAAGATGATGGGGACGAGCTCGCCGTCGACGATATTCGCGTGCAGGCTCCCGACAACCTGTCGTCGCCTCCATCTTATCACCTGCTAAGTCACGGTCAAAATGGCACCACCAAGACAGGCCCGGGCGCGTCCACGCACGAGACCGCGACTCCAGACGATGATACAGAAAGTTACAAACAGCACCACGATGGCGGCGACAGAAGGCAAATGCCGCCGAGGACACTCACTCCTTTAACAAACCACCAGATCGCCCTGCTCATCTTCGAGCTGCTTGCGGTGGTGGCTGCGATCGTCGCGGGCATCAAAGGGCTAGTCATGTTGCCGCAACTAAACATCTTTTCTGTGCCGCCCATGACCCAGGACTGCGGAGGTTACAGCGTACCTGCTGTAGAACGGGGCTTCTACATTAATCTGCAGGTTGCTCAAAAGTTGTCTTTTACCCGGGCGAAATTGCTTGACCTGGCATGGGACACGGTGGTCGGGCAGGGTGGTCGGTTCCTCCACGCTTTTGTTCTCTACCAGGTCGCGGCGTCACAGCTGGCTTGGATGATGGAGTACTCATTGGTGCCGTACTACTTCCAGCTTGACATCCTCTTCTCGACGGCTTCTCTCTCGGCTCTGTGGTCCACTCTACGATTCCTGGGCACGAAGCGACCCGCTCGCGCCGTCTTCTCGGCAGTGTGGTTCCTCCTCGCCATCGTGTACGTCCTCGCTTTTTCGTCCATCTGGGGCGCTGCGACGGGATACCTGAGCCCCAGTAGGCCTGCGTACATGATGGAGGATAATTCATATGTCACCTTCGACTCGGACAATCTTAACGTATGCATCACTGTTGACAGTGAGAGGCTCAACGGGACTGTGCCGGCTATTGTGCAAGGACCAAAACTGAGCAGTTGTTTGGACGACTTTGGGAAACTTGGTGATATCATTGGCAAAGATGATCATAGAATATCCGGCGGCTACGTCGGCTACGGCAGCTTTCCCACATGCGATCTCACGAACAGCACGGAAGAATGGTTAAATATCATTGCTTGTAGGATTCTTTCCGAAACGAAGCCGTCGCCAGGTTTTGAATTGACGCCATCATAGATTCCAGAACCGCATTGACTATCCAGTCCTTCTACACCGGGGCAAATTCATCTTTCATGAACGAAAGCACAGATTTCAACCTTTGGGGGTACAGGTCTTATTCCGACTTCTCTCGTGTCACAGGTGTTGATGTGCGCACCGAGAATCGCCCCGGGCGGTATGGTTACACGTTGACGGGCGGCAAGTCAACCGGCGGAAGGTCCGCAGTGCCGGGACTGTACCGCCAGTTCACCGGCTTCCAGTTCGCGGGCGCGGGCCAGGAAGTCACGAACCCGGACACGCCGTGGTTCAATGTCACTTTCGAGCTGGACCCGTCGATCAGGGTGAAGACTTATAACAGAAGCAGCGTCTGGGAACTACTCAATTATCCCCTAAACCCGGTGCCCTATAACTCGACACTGTGGTGGAAGGGCTCGGCGATCCCGCTTGAGGCGCCGTTCTTGAACTTCCCCGCGCGAGCGGAAGAATGCGGTTGGTACGGGGTCGACGGGCTGTGTGTCTGCTACCAGGGCACACCGCTTATGGCTGACTTCCAAGATCCCAACAACCTGATCTGTATCAGCGAGGAGGGTTACGTGTGGGGTTTCTCGAGAGTGATCACGCTCATCGGCCTTATCCTCGAGGTCTGCTGGATCATAGGCTGCTTTGGGATGTGGCTCGATGTGCACATCAACAGCAACCTGTTTCGGATGAACCGGCGGGGCTCCGGGGTGGTGCGGAACATCCTCGATATTGCGGGCGCAATACAGACCGACCTGGGCCGTGACACGGGAGCGTATGGGAATAGCGCCCTGCTGAGGGAGCTGGAGAAACTGCCACCGGTGGCGTATGAAGTTGTCGATGAAGGTCAGCAGGGTCGGATCTCTATAGCCTCGATGTCGGGGGCGAGGAGACGGGGGCCTGGCCTCCAGGCTGGCAAGTTGTACGCATAAGAGAGCTCGGGTGCAGCCCCGAGCCCGTCAGCCCGATGAATCAGACAACAAACAAGTAGAAAGCGAGCGTCGCGCACACGTATGGCATCCGTCGCCCTGACCTGAATCGCGACTTCCCCGGACTGAGCAGAAAGGGGCCATTGCCGTTTTAGGAGAGATGTTCAGCAGAGGCAAATGGAAGATATGCATGGTCCCACAGGGTTGCGCAGCACAAGGGCCTCAATGTTCAACAAGTCAGCAAACCAGTCAGCAAACCAGTCAGCCAGCGGAGAGTGTGAGAGTCCGAAGGCAAGACACACCACAAACTGGGCCTCACCCGGCCGGGGTTTGGGCTGAGGCCGGCCGGGTGATGACGACCGCCGCCGGTCTAAAACCTCAAAGGGGGGCTGAAGGGTCTGTCTGACGGGCCAAGCCACATATCCGAGGCCTGTCTTTGTGTCTCTCCCGAGATGGGAGGCACTGCCGCATGTGATGCGCGCCTTATTAACTGGCTTGTTTTTTTTTATTTGCTTGTTTGCTACTTGGCGTACATGTAAGTGAGCAAGTCAAGTGCCGGTGGAGGGTATCGTCATGTGCTGTACTGTGATGGCTTGCGTGTCGTCGGTCAGTCAGTCACAAGCAGTCCGCCACCAAACTCTAACAAGAGCACACAACTAACTCTGGCAGCCATCACGATGAGGTGGCCAGCAGCCTCGGGATATCACAGCGGCCGTCTGCAGGTGCACGAGGCGGGAGAGGCGCTGCGGGCTGCATTGGAGTGTGCACTGGGCTGTTCTGGGTCACATTAGCCCCGTTTGGCTAGGGGTGGAGTGGGATTGGGTAAATTGAGCCCGGCAATGCGGCTTACAACCTCGGAAGGGCGGCTGGGTGGGCTGGCAGGCTGGGCTCAGCCCGCTACAGCCTACAGCCTTGAGCTGTGCAGTCTAGTCTGCAGTGCGGCAATGCAGGGGAGTGGTGGGTTGACCTGCCCAACCTGCCAACCCGGGCTAGGACCAGGGGCTCAGGGAGCCTTGGGGCATGACGCCGTTCCCGTCGCGGCCGATGCGAAGGCCCCCAGGGAGATCTGCATGGGCCGAATACAGCCAGGCTCCTGCGCGCCAAAGTTTCTGAAACTGCCGAGAAGGTTTCTCGTTCCCTCCTTGTGTCCTTCTCGACAGGCTAGAGAATGGCTGTGTGATCTCATCGCGCCGCACAACGCATGATGTCGTTTCTGAGGTCGAACTCTGTCCACTGGGCCTGACGACCACCACGATGCCGGCTCATTATACGCAGCAGTGCACTTCACATGTTGCTATTATATCTATTATATCCACACCTCGCTGAGGGATCCCGAGGCCGCAGTTGAGCCATCCTTGTAATCTTGTACCGAGTACGTCCTACTGAGATCCCAAGGTGAGATGTGGAAGTGCGGCTGGGCCTCATCAGCGCCGAGCCTTCTCTTTCTGTTCATCTCATCTCGTCTGATGTTTAGAATCCTTTCCCGCGTTGGACGCGGTGCCACCGCCTCTGTGCTCACTCGGGTATTGCCCACCAATTGCGTCACAGATACACACAGCAGTTTTTTGTTCTATTGTTCCAGTGCTGGCCTTTCATCCCACTCTGGTCCAAGCCTCGTACATCTCGTACCGCCATGCGCGCTAAGAAAAGAACTACTACGACACACGCCAGGCAGGCCCCAAGTTCGCCATGCATGCAACCTCTGATCCGAGAAACCCGGGCTGGCCACAAGAGCAGCAGCCCTCGAACCAGCCCAAACTGACTACGCCTCCTGCTTCTTACGCTTTCTTACCCTGACTCTGCCTTCCAACTGCATGCAGGTCAGACATCTGACCCCCCCCCCCCCCATCCTGCCCCCAGTCTGTCACATCCCATCTCTGCCGTACATTTGCCTCCTATTTTCTTTTTTTGTTCTTCTAACTTTATTATTGTTACTATTGTCATAAGCAATAAGTATGCTGCCATAGGCCCTTGGCCACCTCATTCCTCTCGGGCCTTTCCTCTCTCTATCCATACCCACATCTGAACTTGACCTCATACTGTCTCCACTCATCTTACATCATGGCACCGACCTCAACACACCTGGTCGCGTGCCTCGTATCGGCCACGTCCCTCTCACTCACAGCCGCCAATTCCATCCCACTACGTGAGAGGGCTCTTCTCGACGTCGCCAGGGCCCTTCCGAACGCTGTCAGTGGTGGATATGCCCCTGCCGTTGTCGACTGTCCATCATCGCGTCCCACAATCCGTAGTGCTGCAACCCTCAGCAAGGATGAGACCGACTGGCTCGCCAAGCGGCGTCCAGCCACTGTCCAGCCCATGGCTGACTTCATCGGCCGAGTTGGAATCGATGGCTTCGATGGCTCAGGGTATATCAACAACCTCAGCGATAACACATCAGCCCTGCCAAATATCGGAATTGCCGTGAGCGGAGGAGGCTACCGTGCATTGATGAATGGGGCAGGTTTTATCGCCGCCGCAGACGACAGGACGCCGGGCACCACCGACGCTGGAGGTATTGGTGGTCTGTTGCAGGCGGCCACTTATGTGGCAGGACTCTCTGGCGGCGGGTGGTTGGTTGGTTCTCTCTACAGCAACAACTTCTCAACGGTGGTGGATCTGATGGAGGGCAGCTCCGAGTCTGCCGTCTGGGACTTCGAGAACAGCATATTCGAGGGCCCCGATGAGGGCATGGCCGTCATCAACACCGTCAGCTACTGGGGCGACGTCCGCGACGCCGTCTCCAGCAAGGCCGACGCCGGCTTCCAGACCTCGATCACCGACTACTGGGGCCGCGCCTTGTCCTACCAGCTCATCAATGCCGCCGACGGCGGCCCGGCCTATACCTGGAGCTCATTCGCCGAGGATGAGCAGCTGACCAGCGGCTCCATCCCTATGCCTATGATAGTTGCCGACGGGAGGGACCCTGGGGTTTCTATTGTCAGTTTGAACGCGACTAATTATGAGATCAACCCCTGGGAGATGGGAACCTTTGACCCAACAGTCTTTGGGTTCGCACCCACCAAGTATCTGGCCTCTAACTTCTCCGGTGGAGAGGTCCCAAGCGGTGGCAGTTGTGTACAGGGCTTTGACAATGCCGGATACATGATGGGTACCAGTTCATCTCTGTTCAACACATTCTTAACCACGAATATTACCGAGTACACGGGTGTGCCACAGTTCGTAGCCGACGCCTTCACGTCCTTGCTGACGCCCGTTGGGTAAGTCTGAACTGTTGTAAAGGCCCATCCCATGCGGTGGCTCGCCTCGCTAACGACAGTCACAGCAACAGTAACAACGACATTGCACAATGGGTACCCAACCCCTTCCAGGGCTGGAACAACGCCACCAACGCCAACGCCGACCAGCTAGAGCTCGGCCTCGTCGACGGTGGTGAGGATCTGCAGAACATCCCCATCAACCCCCTCCTCCAGCCCATCCGAGCAGTCGACGTCATCTTCGCCATCGACAGCAGCGCAGACACGCAGTACAACTGGCCCAACGCGACCGCCCTGCGCGCAACCTACGAGCGCAGCCTGAGCCCCATCTCAAACGGCACCCTCTTCCCGCCCGTCCCAGACGCCAACACCTTCATCAACCTGGGGCTCAACAACCGCCCGACCTTCTTCGGCTGCGACCCCGCCAACTTCACCCTGTCCGAGGGCCAGGTCGTGCCCCCGCTGGTCGTCTACATCCCCAACGCCCCCTACACCGCCGCCTCCAACGTCTCGACCTTCGACCCGAGCTACACCCGCCAGGAGAAGTTCGACATCATCACCAACGGGCTCAACGCCGCCTCCCAGAGCAACGGAACCATCAACGCCGAGTGGCCCGCCTGCGTCGCCTGCGCCGTCCTCAAGCGCAGCCTCGACCGCACCGGCACCGCCATCCCGTCCACCTGCGACAACTGCTTCGGCCGGTACTGCTGGAACGGCACGCTCGACACCAGTGAGCCTCCCCCGTACGAGCCTGCCTTCGCCAGCGGCGATGCCAGCGCCGGTTCTAACGCTGGCGCCAGGGCTGGGCCTACCACCTCGTGGGTCCTGGCGGCTGGTGTTGTTGCTGGTGCCTTGCTCCTGCTGTAGACGCGGTGATGCGTACGATGGATTGCGGGTACGTCCCGTCTACAAAGTCACGCGATGCCTTGGCTTTCATCGGCTTCAGGCTACGAATGGGATGATGGGATGATATAATGGCCGCGCACAATGCGCCAGGGATTTTCCTTACTCAGTCATAATACGTCACACGTGATGAAGGGCATGTTTTATTGCATGGTTTTAGAATGATGAGAGACTGGTTTACATCCGTCTTATATAGATGTACCACTTGCAAGGCGTTGGGGGCAGGTCTTGGAAACCCATGGGATGATTTCTGGGCCACATTTATCACATGGTGTTGGAAAGGTGTACTACCTAATACTCATGCATTTACACAATGACATCTGAAGTACACTCTGTGCTTGGACACGCATCCACCGTGGAGACCCTGTACGTAGGCTACAGCAGAGAAGCGTGTAAAAAGCTGCACAAGTGCCGAGACTGAGCACTTCGTCGTCCCATGTGCTTGGCTGTGAAGCACAGCCTCGTCTGCACCCCCTGCAGAATCGGCCAGAGCGTGTGTGATGTGTAAGTTTAGCACTGGCTGGCCTTCAATGCAACTGAAGGTTTGCACCAGGACGGCAAAAGACGGCCGGGGGGGGGTGTGACCAGCCTTCCCAGGGTTCCGCCTCAGGTTTTCTTGTCAGCAAAGAATCCAAAGACCCAGATTCAGAAGCATCTACAAATATACAACTTCACAAAACCGTCAAGCAATGAGCATTGTATGCCCATCCTTCCGAGCTATCGATGCCAAGGAAACGACGGGGGCTGATTTGAAGAAATGCCCGGGTACTTTGGGGCTTGCGGCGTGACGTCGCAATACCCATGGATAGGAAAGAAAAACCGAAATGAGATTTTAGGTTCTTGAGACACGTGTTGTTTCGGCATTGATGAACTCATTTTCAGCACTCGAGTGTCTCAACGGCCACGGCCGCATTTCTGCGCTGACAGGACTGTTAAACAGATGCTCGCCGAAGCGTCATGGTAAACTATACTGGCCCTCTTGATAAAACATACATATCATTTGCTGATGGCCTTTCTGAAAGTGGGTATCTGGCCCGGTGGATATATCAGAGTTTTCGAAGAAAGACATCCCAAGACCCCGAGTGGTTTCGTTTCTAATCCCCATGCATATAAAATGTATATGGCGCCTTCATACAGTGTCCAAAGGCCCGAGCAATGAAGGTCCAATACTTCCTTCCATCTTGGATGCCCGACTGGAGGGTTGCTATTTCAATACAAGATCAGAACTTCAAGCCTGACACTGGATTCTACTGCAGGAATTACAGGAACGTCCAGATATACTCTGCAAGTCCATTGAAAGTCTACATGTATTGACAGCACATTTCTCGACCTTGTTGGACTAAGCCCCAACCTCGGTGGAGGGAATTCTGTGCAAGTACCCTTCGACTTCAATGCAGCAACCTTCCAGGTCGCGTGGGGGACTGTGTTGTTTAAAAAAGAGGCCGACGAAGCTGAATTTATAGCTCTGACTGATCGGTTTTATGACCTTGGGCTGTCGCACATTTAAATGAACAAGATATGACCATTAAACATGATATTTGGTTGAAGCTTTGCTATAGGTTTCCTTCTTTCTGTTTTGCCAATCTCAATTTAAACGCTGGAGGTCTTAGGTCGATGTTTGTTTGTCTTTTATCCTAACCATAAGGGCCCAGTCGCTGCTGATTTCAGCCAATATCAAAGGATTAGACAGCCTCAAATTGTTTACTAGAGGCAAGGTAGAGGCGCCCACCACGGGGGGAAGCTAGAGCAACAGGAGCAAGGTAGATTTGCGGCATATAGATTGTTTCATACTTTGTTGACATACTTCTAAGTCTGACACATTCACTCACGGCATGCCGTTTATAATTGGAGGTCTCCAGCTCCCTTTCTGCCGCAACGGCCGAGCGATTCCGGCGCTGTGACGCCAATGCACAGCGCCAATGAGCATCGATGGAAGCAGCCAGCAAGGCGGGCAAGATGATTTGCTTGAGGAGCAAGAGGAGGAAGAGGCTGGGGAGGAGGAGGACCAGGAGGAGGAGGAGGACCAGGAGGAGGAGGAAGTTTTTCCAGGGCACAAACCTCCAAAGATCTCGGCTGGGGTCGTCGACCTGGACCACAATTTTATTCTGCGGCGTCTCCCAATGTCCAGCGTGATTCCGGCGTCGGTGTGCGAGCCAGCGACACCGCATCACAGCTCCAAACCAATTGACGAGCAGGATCCCATGGACAATCGCCAGTGCAAGACTGACGCGCCAGCAGTGGGCCGTTTTGGAACGTCGAACCAAACCGCAACCATGCCCAAGAAGAAGCGTTCCCGCAAGTCTGGCAAGGACGCCGAGGAGGGTAAGTTCTGGAACTCCTTTTCAGCGCTTGTTGCTTGGCGCTCGCCATTCTGATATCGCTTTTCAGAGGATCCGGCGGCCACTTTCAGGGTTCCTATGGCGGGGGCCGCAAAGCGTCAAGGGTCACACAAACAAGTGGGACGATGTGACCACCTTTACACTTACAGTACCATCACTAGTGGTTTAAACACTCTAATTATATGGTATCAACAACCGGTCGCATCCATTTGACTGAATGACACTTTTTACTAAGGTTGCCTGATTACCTGGACTGCGGCTCGCGGTGCCATGTGCGCGGTGCATTCCACGCCAGCCGTGAAGAGTTGTTGGCCAGGGTCTCGAGAGAACATTTGAAGACATTCAGAGGGGCGCGCTCTTCGTCCTGCTGCTCGTCGTGTCCATCGTCCAACGAAAACCATTCACCCAACACTTGAATAACGGCGCGGCCCCATCGGTACATCTCCCCCGTGGGCCAGCCAGCTGAGTATGCGTGGATCGGCCCAACTGCGGTGGCCAAGTCTCCTCTGCGCGTCCTCTGGACCGGTACCAAAATCGATTCAATTCACGACTTCTATTGAGAAATGGTTTATAGAGTAGTTCCCACTACGAAAACTGTGTCCCCCTCTTCCACTGAGGATGCTTGGCTGGTTGACTGTGATAGCAATATTCAATGTTGTCAAGTCAGCCAGGCGAGCACTAGCCAAATTCACCATGTTCTTTAGCCTGTCTATTTCCCTGCCCAACTTACCAAACCTCCTCGTCATGTTTGTACTATTAGCAATAGTCTTGGCCTTGCTCTTGAACATCCTGTCTGGGCACCCTCCGAATTCGACGTGTCTAGAGCCCCTCCCTTTTCTTCCAACCAGCACCCTTGACCATCAAGAGTCTCACATAGGCTGAAGCACTTCGTGTTTTCATCTAGTAGTATTGATACTACTCTGTTGTCTACGCTGACAGTTTCTATGCTACCCACCCATTTTTGGATGTGACTGGCATGCTCCGTAGCTAGATCACAGGCCTGCATAGAACATCACATACTACACTACGACTCTAATACTAACACACCTCAAAAGTCTGTATGGTGTTAAACCAAAACCCTAATAACCTGCATACCTCTAATTTAATTATCGGATGTTATTCTGTGTACCATTTTCCCGGGGACCCCTCCCCCCAGAAAAAGAACAGTCAGTCAGGCAATCTCCTAGGAGACTGGCCATCCTTGAGGAGGTTACGCTCACCGAGTCAAACGTGCTCCACATATAACCCACCACACCACTAAACCAAGCACATACGGCCATAGATACAGGAAAATACGGGATCCCGTCCGCTCTCCCTTAGTCAAGTCTGTAATCGCTGGATTAGTAGTTGGGTCGGTGACGACCAGCGAATACCCGGTGCTGTATGTTTTTGTCTCCATTTTTGCTCCTCCGCCTGCTGGGTCTCGGTCCTTTGGAGGGATGTCAGATACCACAGCCGTGTAGCAGACACCCAAGCAGAGCTCATGACAGGTAACAGGTAATCCCACACAAGGAGTCGGTCGACGGTGGAAAACTGACGTGTTTATTCCAAGGACGCAATATCCCACCCCTTCCTGAAGTCCTTAATCCCTATTGACAACAATGGTATACATCGAAGGTACCATACTCCATGCGACCCTAAGTCTTGGCATCCTGATACTCCTTGCTCCCACGCTTTGCCCTTTGGTGCTCCAAGGTTATTTCCCAACCTGGTGGCTGGGCCCTTCCCCCATCTTGTTCGTCGACCCAACAACCGCAAGAGCACCCACAACAAAAAGACAAGAAAAAGAAGAACCAGACCTGATATAATGAATTCAACCCCATAAAACACAACCGAGTGCACTGACTGAGCCAAGTTTAAACATGACTCTGGACAAGCCCATCAATGACCGACCAACATTGTAGACATCTATGACTCCCTCGCGGCGTCAACGCCGTCGTCAAGACGGTGCCCCTTAGCCTTGTCTGTGCGTCGCAAGGCTGAGGCCATGTTATCGGCATCGTATTCTTTCCAAGCGCTGGGTCTTGAGTGCTTACCACCGTATGAAGGCGCCATGTATGTCCTCGGACGTATACGGAATAGAAGCGAAACCACATTGTAGACATCTACCAGCTGACCTCAGCGCCGCTCAATCCTAACGTCCCTGACCCCGTCAGGCATCAGACGCACCCAGTCCGCCCAGGTTTCCATGTCCGGTTCCCTGTCGAGACGGACGGTAAGGCTGACCTGTGACCCGGGTGTAGAAGATGACGCATTGCTCTCGACGCTGGGCGGCCTGCTGCGACGTAGCGGTCCCAGGAGGATCGAGGGCAGGATTTTGCTTTCGGAGATCTGCACATGTTGCGGCGTGGGCATGCTGCGGAGGAAGTCGTGGCTGGGTTCCAGTTCCTGGACGACTTGGGGGTACACGGCGAGGAGGCGCGCGTGCAGGTCGGCGGCAGATATGGGCGGCATGCGCGCGGCCTGGCTCCGCAACTCCTTGCTCAGTGCATGTGTGAATGCCCGGCGTCCCAGCTGGCCGCTTGGATGCTGCTCGAACGATCCCGCCGCGAGGAACTCTATCATGCCCTGGCGTCTTGCGGACCCGGGAACACCAAAATATTTCGAGTCCATGATGACGATCGTGTCCGCAACCGCCTGCTCAAGCTGGAGCTGGACGGCGGCCCATCGAATAACGCAGGGTTGCCCTGTCTGCGTAGAACTGTAAATGATTTGGTTAGCTTCACACGCCTGGTACTAAACTGTGAACCAAAGAACTTTGCAACATCTCTCGCAGGGAGCCACCGCATGTGACAGTCGTGCCAACAGGAAAGCTCGCTTGTTGGGTCAAAGATCAATCCACGAAGTCCCTCCAAGCGAGGTTGTCTCCCCACAGTATTAGGTGCTCTCATAGAACGTGCCGAAAAGCAAGGGAAGACGCTTGGTACAGAAAAAGGCTTGAAACGGTGGGCGCAGCTTCTGGGGATAGTAGAGCAGGCGACGTGTTGTCGACGGGGCCAAAAGACCTTGGACATACCTGGTGAGAACCATGGCGCGATTGACGTCCAGCTGCGTGCGGCCGCTGTAATAGAATATCTTCAAGGCGTCGCGGTGGTCATTCGTGCCCATGAATTGGTCGATCCTCCTCGACAACTTTCTACACACCCACTCGGGCTCGTCAGCCTGAGCTGGTATAACATCCATCTCCACCGTATAGTGGTAGTGGATGTCGAGAACAGATCGTAACTCTTCCACACTCTGCTTCACTGCCACGTCCTCTTCGTCCTCCCACCTGAGTAGTAGGACATGTACAGCGCTGTATCGGCCGCGATTGGGATTGACTATTATATCCGAGGCCTGGCCTTGTGGGCTCGGTCTGGCCGCGTCGGAGCCGGGTAAGGAAATTGCTGCCACCTGGGCAGCACGCTCCAGACGAGGCCCGGACGGCAACGGGGTTCTAGATGTCCTCCCGTTAGCTTCGGTAGGCGATGTGTGGGCCGTTTGTTGACTCGGAGGCGACTGGTCAAGTTGCATGCCTTGGGGCTCGTGGGTGTAGTTGCCGTTGCTGTTGCCGTTGACCGGCTGGAAACCAGAACTCATGGCAAAAGGTTCTTGGAGGTCCTGGCTGTTTGATCTGTACTTCTTCTCGAGTTCTTCCCAGGACGCGCGCGATTGGTGATGCAGTGGATTACACTAGAAATATCAGAATCAGCAATTAGAATCTGCAGGGCTTTGCTTGAAAACGAAGGCCGAAACAGAGTAGGCAAGCGGCCTAGGGCCTGGTTTTGATTGCCTCTTGTCATCAACCTGTCCTTCACCCCTGCCCAGGCTCGGTGGACAGAGGGAAACGCGCAAGTTGTGGGCAAGAACAACACCCAACACTCGCGAAGGCAACCTCTTGCTTCCCTACTCATCCGCGCTCAAGAAATGGACAAATCGGCAGGACCTCGACCGGCAGGCGAAGAGCAAGTTTCCAACAACACACATGCGGATCCAGTTTGATTCGAACAATACAGCAGGGGTTGCCCGTAACACGGATTCGTACTCACAGCGACACGTCGCCTTCGGCAGTCCGCGCAAGCACCCATCCTCCTTATTATGGCCGCTCTCTGCCGCTGCTCGGGAGTCAACGGCCCGGTGCGTCTCCTATTAGCTCGTTTGTTGTGGGAGGAGTCGGAACCGCTGACGGGGAAGACCCCTTGGGAGGCCTGGTTGGTAGGTGAGAACCCGGGGAGGTTGTAGCCGTTACTCGTCGTCTCAGCAGATGGAGCCCTCGACTGGCTCGCATTCTCGTCGGCTGCAGAAGCAGTTGAATACGTCTCCATCCGGCGTGGCGGCGACACGGACTGGGCCCGGCCGGTAGGCAAAGCTTCTCGTGTCCTGTCGGGCCCAAAATCCCCGCCGTCATCGTCGCCGACAGTGGCAGCGCTGGGGCTCCTCATGGCTGTATTTGCTGCGTGCATGCTGTACTGGCTCGAGCGAGGCTCGTCTGGTCGAGGACCGCTACCTGGCGGGGCTTCGGCCAGGCTGGGGGCTTGGTGCATGCTTCGACTGGATCCTCCACCACGATCGCCGCTGTCACTGCTGATGACACTGTTGATGTCCATGTTGCTCGCCACTGCACTTCTGTTGTCATAGGCGCCGGTTCCATAGCTCGATGTTGACGCCGATGCCATTCGAAGGTCTCCCTGGGCCTCGAGTTCACAGCATCACATGGGAACGAGGGGAAGAGCAGGGGAGGCGGAGGTGCTTCCTCGGGACGGTCGAGATATACCAGTCGTCGGGTGCCGAGTCCACGTTGACCGGACTTGGGAGGCTGAGCATGAAGTACTCGTCTCGTAGTCGAGCTATAATCAAGCTTCCGCACCTAGCCAGCGACCGACCCAGGTAGTCCAGGAGCACGGACAGCTACGATTGACCTAGGTGTAGAACCGAGACAAGAGTACCAAAGCAAAGCATGCAAGCCCTGTTAATGGGACGGGACGCAGTACCTAGGTAGTCACTCGTGTCCTCGGAGTTGTCTCGTGTGGGCGCGGTCCCTTGGATTAGGCTGGCACCACGAGAGCACCGGGGGACCCTTAATGGTAAGAACCTGGGTTGCACGGACAATATGTCTGTCCCCAACGCTGCCTACAGTCAGTCGAGTTTGTGTATCGACTTGATGTGGGGCTCGACGAGTGTGCTCGATCTGGTCGCCTCTTGGTGTGCTGATCAGTGATGCCTACTTGGTTTAAGGTTGCTGGATTAAGTTCAGAAGAATAATGAGACGAGATGATCGTCGAAGATCAGAACAAGGGCAGGGTATGCAAGACATGCGACAGGGCGCCGTAAGGTATTTGCAACAATCCGGAAAGAAGAGAGCAGTATAGGCAGGGGCGAAGCTGTTCCAAGCCCGCCGAGCTGTGTGTGTGATGTGTGATGTGTGATGGGTGTGGGTGTGGGTGTGGGCGTAGGGTTTAGTGCACAAGGGAACGTATGTACGGAGTACAGTACAATATCAACAAGCAGGAGGCATGGAAAGAGCAAGCGTCGAAACGGGAGCAGGAGAAGGAGCGACGTCAGGACTGGCCGGGGATAAAAAGAGGGTACATTGCGACCGGGACGGTTAGGGCGCGGCCGTGTGAGGAGGAGAGAGGCAGAGGGAGGGAGAAAATTCGAACACAGACAGATTCAGTCTGTCGATGGCCCAGCGGAGACCCGACAAGCCGAGGACGGAGAGGGGCCCTGGGATCTGAGGGGCTCGCAACGGAAGACGGGTCCGGGGGAAGCTGGGATGGTGGAGGCCAGGCATTGCATTGAGGCCCAGAGAGACGGTCACAGTGGACGGTGATGCGGAACGGAGGGTCAGAGCATGGCATGGCAGGGCAGGGCAGGGCAGAGCATGGCATGGCATGGCAAGGGCAGGGCCCAGGATAGGGCAAGGCAAGCCAGACAAGGCAAGTCAAGGCAAGGCAGAGGCAAAGGTATTCATTCTACTGTACTACAGTACCCAGGCAGGCCAAGGAAGGCAAGTCGAGGTCTATCTCTATCTACTGTGCTGTGCGGCATAGCACTCGGTAAGTCAAAGACAAGACAAGACATGTCAGGCCCGGACAGGTCAGGTCGGGTGGGTGGGGCAGGCGCGCCATGGGCCCTCCGTCTGTGAAGTCGGGACGGGATAGCTTGAGCAGCCCAAGGGTGGTTATCCCTTGCTCGTCAAAATCTGTGTCACAGTAGCCTAATAAGAAAGACCTTTCAGGGGTAAGCCGAGATGGGACGGAGACAGAACCGTGTGCCGGCCACGGAGGGATTTCTAGTGCAGTGCTGCCCGGGCGCGGTCCAAAAGCGGGCGTAGTGTGCAGGTTGCGGTGCAGTACTCGGTACAGCAAAGTGCAGTGGTTGACGAGGGGTCTGGACGAGTCCACCCACGCCCGCAGCAGTGCCCAGGCAAGCCCGGTCGTGGTGTATACATATGCGTAGGTACCTGCAGTGCTGGCCGCCGGCTCCCAGTGCAACAGGTCAGGCCATGCAAGTATGTGCGGAGTATCCATAATAATGACCCTCAAGGATGGAGAGCATGTTGGCAGCTGGTGGGGCGGCTGAGAGAGGAGGGAGAGATTCTGCCCCGCGGCAGCAGCAAGCAGGCTCATCCATCACCACCACCACCACCACCATGGGCGGCGGCACAGGGACAGCAGCACCGGCGGCAGCAGCAGCGTCCCGAGGTCGGCACCAGCACCAGCACCAGCACCAGCACAAGCAAGCAGCAAGCAGCAAGGCCAAGCATCCGCATGCGCCCGAGCCAAACAATAGCGTGGCGACGGCCGAAGTGTAGTGTATGGTGTATGGAGGGACACTGCCCTCCAAGGATCAGCGCCGTCACGGACCGGCTGTGGGGCGGCAGTGGACGATGGTGGTGGTTGAGGTGAAGTATGCTGTGGGGAGTACGTGCATAGCACTCCGTACTGCGACGGGCACCATGGCTGACCTGTCGAACCCCTGGCCACATAGGTGAGGTCTGGCAAGGTCTGGTGAGGTCTAGGTCTGCGTCGCTGGCCCGCCGCAGGGGGCCCAAGCTCCAGATCTATAGGCCGGGGCTGCCGTGCTATAGCTGAGGATGCCGTGTCGATCGGTCTTGGGGGATCTCGCACGGCCTTGGTCCGCCGGCCGGTCTGTGCTCGCACAAGCTCCAGTGGTGGTGGTCTGGCAGTCTGGGGCCCGCCCTGGGGCCGCAGGGCCGTGGGGGGCCAGCAGAAAGGCCCAAGGTGGTAGTCGCAGTGGTGGTCGTACACGTGTATTGGTAGTGTAGGGTGTAGTAGGAGTTGGAAGTGGTGTCGGTGGTGTTGGTGGTGGCACCGTACAGGCCGACAGTGTGTGTCGCTGCCGGGCTAGAGATGTGTCAAAGAGCATGATGGCTGGGCACGGCGTGACATGCAGCGGGAGTCCGATGGCAGGGCAGGATGGGGACTGGGCGGGATCTGGCATGCTGTGGTTAGTACATGGTTGCTCTTGCAGTCTTTTTGGTCCCTGGCCCAGGGCGGAGCTGCCTGACAGCTGGTTACAAAACCAAATAGAAAGGCCGAGGGCAACGGGGCAGACAGGACGAGGCAGGATGAGGCAGGACGAGGCAGGACGAGGCAGAGGCAGGACGAGAAGAAGGCACGGGCATGGATGAAGCATTAACCTGTCGCATAGCGCGATAGACACGGAGCCACACAGCTGGCCCAAAAAGGCGACGGGCGGGACTCTGGGCTGGGGCCCAGAACGGGGCCCAGGACGGGGCCAAGGGTACTCTGTACTTGACAAGACGTAGTGCCAAAGTCAATCCGTCCATCATCGACGCGTCGTCTCATCGCGCTGTCGTACAGTCGTATCAGGCTTGCGAGCCTCGGCTGCGAAGTGTGCAGGGACGGTGTCGTACTTAATGGCCTGTTGTAAATCATCCAGCCAGCCCAGCTATAGACCCTGAGATCTTTCGACGTCCAAACCTTTTTTTTGATCTCTTGTTGGAGTCAACAGGGTTGGGTCTTGCTCAGAAACGTCAAGCCAGGATGGCCCCCAGCCCCCGTCGTGACTGCCGTCTGCCGCCTGTCCCATCTGCTGTCAATCTCAAAGTCAGTGAGTGAGTGGCATGCAACGGAGGCATTGGCCCCTCCCACATTACCTGGCAGATAACTCTCTCTGGTCTGTGACATCACAGGTACCTCGAGGCAACGGCCCGAGACCTCGAGGCCTCGAGACATACGGAGTACTGTACGTACTTCCGCAACGGGCAGACAGACGGCCTAGGAAGGTATTTGCAGGACGCCAGGCGGGGGACACAAGCCGAACCAACGACAGCGCGCGGTACCTCCAATGCGCAGGTGAGGAGCCTTGGGAACCTTGGGAACGTACCAGGGTGCCTTATTATCGCTGCACCATGACCCTGCGTGCCTGCCTCGCCCACCAGCTTCACACAGGCCTGACCCTGCTCCTCGCTGCCTGCCTGCCCGCTTGCGTGCAGCGAACTATTTTCTCCACCCACTCGCAACTGACTGGTGCACCCCCAAGCATGGACATCTTCTGACTTCACCTTCAGTCACTGCGCAACCCGAAGAGAGAGAAGAAAAAAAAAAGACAGACACACACGCGCGCGCGCACACAAACAGAACACGAGTAGACACGCAGGACCATCCGAAGCCCACTCGGCATGATGTAACCCAGACAAGGCGAGAGGACTGGGAACCCAATCGGCATCGAGCAATGCGAGGGAAAGCATGACTGGATCTCGGCAACCCTTCGTCTCCAAATCCCCCCAACATCCCAACCCAGGCGTGCATGCGTGCATCAGCCAGTCAGCTCACTGGCCGACAATTGTAATTGTTGACAACACCTCTTCTGGCTCTGCCATGTTTGTCGGACTCGAGCTCGAGTCCTCTTTCGGGCCCCGATATCTATCTGTCTGGTCTGGTCTGGTCTACAGCAAGTCGACCAGTCTTGAAGCCCAGCTGGATCCTCCTGCTGCCCTTCTACCGCCCTCCTGCCTCCTCCCCCCTTCTCTGCCCTGCATGGTGGGGTCTTGGCGTTGGAGGTGCCATGTCGACGATGCCCATCTGCAACGGCCGCTTGTCGTCGCTTCGGCCCAACATCCAAGACAGTCGGTGGACGGGCAGGACGGGCTCGGTCAGAAGGCTCATCCCACATGGCTCCGAAGTGGTCTGTCTCACTCTGCCCTCACGCTTAGGCAGACTTTCCGGCCCCCCAGAATCAGAGACACCGGCCCGCCCTTGACTCGAGACATCTCCACCGTCCGTTGCCCGCCACAGTCAACAACAGTCCACAGCCCACAGCCCACAGCCCACATGCATGTCGACTAACGCGGGGACTCTCGGTCTGCCTCAATGGGCAAGTGTCTTGCCAGCTTACTCCGTGCTGCTGACCCCATGTCTCCTCCCGGCCTGCCATTGAAGCCCAAGATCATTGTCAGCAGCTTCCGCAAGGTCAGACTTATAATATCTCGCCGCCACACAAGCTCAGCTTCCGGCCCAATCTGGACCTGGGCACACATACAGTTCATCCCCTATGCAGCCCGTTCCCATTCGTCCGCCTGTCGATCGAGCCCGGCCTCTCCTGCGGCCCGCGTTGTTGTCGGGTTCGACTGCTACTACTTCTCACTGCAAGTCAGCTCAGCAAGCAAGCAACATATCCAGTCTGCATTGTCCCGCTGCTCCCATTCGTCCCTGTGGGCCTAGAGGCTGCGTCAACTGCCCACACGCGGCTGGTCATGACGGCTGCCTGCCTGACCTTGAGGGCCAAGCCAACCCTGAGACGCCTCGCTCGCCCTATAGCTGCCATATCACGGCCCTGCCCACTCGTTCCACACGACAGGGTCTACAAGGTGAGTATGACGAGTAACCCAGGCCACCGGCTGCCGCCGTCCCAGACTCGAAAGCTGCATGCGGTCGAGATGCAGCCTGGCCGACATGAGCAGGTCTCGTGCGGTCCTCCCGCGTCTTCTCCGTCCTATCAAGATTTCCGCATGCGCGTTGTGTTGCATCGTCCAGAGGCGTTTGTCTCATCCTGCCGACCCAGCCTCTCTCCAATGGTCATCTGCGTGGCTGTCGAACCCATCTCAGCGTTCCGGTCCGGGGAATCTGCGGCTATGCCGCCGGCCTTACGCATGTACATTAGCCACAAAGCAAAATGTCCTCGATGACCATACTCCAACGAGCAGTACACACGCATTTGCGGCCAGTCGTGGGAGCCCAGTCGTGGGAGCCCATGTCCCGTCTCTCGCGTTTTCCCGCGATCAGGGACTCACTGTTTCAACCAGGTGCCACATTGCTTCGAGCGGAATTCATCCCAGTAAGTAGGGGCCTTCTCCACCAGTGCAGTCACGGAATAAAGTCAACTTGCTGCACCTTCAAATTCAATAGAGTTGTTGACCGTGCTGTGATTCATCCCTCCCCGGTTCTGCGGTCCTCGACTAGTGCGCGCCGATCAACAGGACCTCGACCAAGATTAGCGTATTAGCGTATGTAGGCCGCTCTGCCAGTCTGCTCCCTACCAGCCTGCCAGCCCTGCCAGCGCGCTTGGCCCTAAGCCCTCTTTGACGCCAATGTTTAGATAAAACGCACGGAGGGGTGCGCTGCTTCGGCACATGTCAGCGTTTCCCCGGTCTGGACCTTTCCGGCTTACCATTCAATGTTGGGGCCGGCGGCACACACAGAGTCAGGCGATTAAGCAGCCATGACTCTATCAATGCCCCCAACTTCAAGACAAGAGTCCATTCTCGGATACGGGTGCGATCGGCCCCCGAGCAATCGCCGTCGCCCTGGCGTCTGCGTCTCCCACTTCCCGCGGGCTGCTGGGTTGTCCCTGGCGAGATCGTTTCTCGGTATTCCTAGTAGAATACTACCCCAGACCAGACACCTGTTGCGTTCCCAGTGGCACATCTTGTCTATACGTCGATTATATGCCCTCTCCGTTGCTTCAACTGGCGTATCTGTCGGCTTCACTATTGGTCTTGAAGGGTACTTAAGTATGAGGGCAAGCATGGTCCAGGCCACCTGTGAACCACGCTTTTTTTCTCCTTCGAGTATTGTGAGAAGTGCACACACGGGAGCTATCGAGTACACCATGTAAACATTGACATTTGGCCGTTATGCAGAAAAGCTAAAGAGTCCCATGGCCTGCCAATAGGCGCCTGTGATCCCCCCCCAACTCTCAAGCTTGACGCACGTTGCTACTGCATATGCTAAGCGGGCGGGAAACATCAGTCATGCCCAATCTCAAATTTGAGTTGAATACCAATATCGTCATGCTTCGGGTCCGTGCGGTTCTTGGGTGTGCGGAAGCGAATGAAATCGCTGTCGGGGTTCTCTGAACGTGTTTATTAATGTTCTGGTTCACTTGGCGATGCTCCAGGGCTGCTTGTCTAGCTATAAGCCCATTCTGCAGAAGACAATTACAACTACCAAAAAGTTTTACACAGTGGCTTTCGATACACAATGTTGCTATTCCTGTGAACCTACACGAAGAGGGTGGTGGACTTGTTCATTGGAATCGGCGTTTTGATTCAGGGTTTTCTCGCAGAACCATTCAACCTTCTTGACTCTCTCCGCAGCAGTTTATTGTTTATATCGTAGTTCAGGGGCACCATTCCTACCTCGTAGTAGGGCTACCACGTGCTTGTATGTCCTGTACGCTACTTTCATGCCTCAGTCTGCCATGGTATAGTTGTGTAACATGCCGTATGATCGACCAACAAGATTGCGTAGACTGGAAATTTGGTACGGACAATGTATCTGAGGACTTTCCCTTGCTATAGTAGCATGGGGAGTTAATGATGTTATCGCCAAGGGCTGGTCACTTCATGGTATTGGCTCGTATTCAGACACTCCGCCCAAAAGTTTGGTCGGATATACACACATGTGCAGACAGCTCGTCGACCGACCACTTTTGGTCGACAGGGCTCGCTGGCGATGGTTTCACACTTCCGTCTTAGTACGGATCTGTGATCAATTGATATCAGCCCTGGAGGTCCTCCATCCCCGCCCCGAGGCGAAATCACGAAACGGGGTCGACATTGTCTGGAGTCCAAGACGGCCCCGCATATTGATAAAATTAAGCATCCTAAAGTGTACTAGGGAATGATACATCGCCGGAGCAAATGCCGATGGAGAGGTTACCCTGACGTTACATTCGCGTTCCAGGGAGGGAGAGGAAACAAGCGGAGATCGCTCGAATCCTTCGCCCCCCCCCCCGGCCTGTCGTCAACCTCATGCCACGGCGTTGATCACCAAGATGGAGAGCGCTGTATGTTCGCTGTGCGTTTTGCGGGTGTCCCGTCAGCAGTAGCCTACTTTTGTCTCCTGGACGCATGCAGACGATGCAGACTATCAGGTCGCGTCACACGGGTCGGTAAGCAGCCAACACGATGATCTCTGATCGGCCCACCGCTCTGGTGCATCAATGAGGGGCAATGTGGAAGGAGATGATGACTGCTCACATCGTCAAATAATGGTCTATGCCTTTATCTAATGGGGGTAGTACTCGCTTGCTCGCGCCGTAGGAAGAAGTTTTTCTGTCCATGTTTGTACGACCACCATGCTGTCAGGGAGATATGTTAATGTCATTGGCCTCTGCCTGCTATGGCAGAGGGCTTCTGCACAAGATTCTTATGACTTCATGTAGGTCTAATGGCATAGAAAATATCCATTGCCCATGAGAAATTTGGGCTGACGATGTATCAGAGTCGTAGGTGGTGGCGCTTCCGGGCTGACGCTCGCAACCCGCCTCTCCGAGGAACCAAACTTCTCGATACTCGTCCTCGAAGCCGGCAATGATCATATCAACGACACCAAGGCGCAGTGCCCCGGGATATTCGCATCTATGTATGGCGACCACGAGTATGATTGGGACTACCAGAACGAACCACAGGTGAGCTTACTTCCTCGCAACATCCAGCTGCGCTCGCCTGGCGACTGACGAAGCTGACACCCCCCCCCCCCCAAAGCCATACCTCAACAACCGGACCCATGCAAATATTGCAGGAAAGGGCCTCGGTGGCGGCAGTGCTGTGAACTTCATGTGGTGGACTCACCCGTCACGCAAGGATATCGAAAATTGGGGCGCCCTTGGCAATGCAAATTGGAGCTGGGAAGAAGTACAGCCGTACCTCAAGAAGTCAGAAGCATACGTGCCTCCTGCTTCCACTGAGGCCATCGAGGACATGCAGACGCAGTACATAGAGCCAGATCTGCACGGCACGGACGGGCCTACCATCAACTCCTTCCCAACTTCGTACGGTCCATTCACGGAAGCCTGGGCTGAGACATTCGAACGGATTGGATTATATCCATCGGGGGATCCGAGGGGAGGGGAGGCGCTGGGAGGATTTACGAATCCATTCAACATCGACCCGCAGACGAAGGCAAGGAGCTATCCTACCACGGAGTACCACCTTCATGCTGCTGACAGGCCGAACCTCAAAGTCGTCACTGGAGCTTTTGTCACAGAGATCCTGTTCGAGGAAGGTGAGGCTGATGGCACAGCAGCGAGTCCCAAGGCTACTGGGGTTGCGTATCTCAAAGACAACTCTACCCATACGGCGCAAGCGAGTGCAGAGGTGATCCTCTCGGCAGGGTCGATGCAGTCGTCAAAGCTGCTGGAGCTCTCAGGTGTCGGCGACTGCGATCTCCTGGCAACCTTCGGGATCGAGTGCCGCGTGAACAACACGAATGTCGGAGAAAACTTCCAGAACCATCTCATGCTGCCTCTCGGGTGGGCGGCCGTCCCCGGCCTCACGACCACGGACGACTTCTCCACCACAGAAGCATTCAACGCGGCACTGGAAGAGTACACCTCGTCCCGCAGCGGCCCCTTCACCACCGTGAACGGCAGCTCGGCACTGCTCTCCTTGGAACAGATCGGCGGCTCCTACGGCGAGATAGACCCGGCCCCGGCGCAGGCCGGCTATGAGGCGCAGCACAAGCTCCTCCTGGACGGGCTCAACTCCACCGGGAACTCGGCGGTGCAGCAGATCTCCCTGTCCGGCGGCATCTCGCCATGGTTCTACAACGACAGCACCAGGGTGTTCGCCGGGCCCGCCGACGGTGGCAACTACTTCACCATGATCGGCATCGTGTCGCACCCCTTCTCGCGCGGCTCTGTGCACATCCGGTCCGCAGACCCGGGCCAACAGGCCCGCCTCGACCCGCGGTACCTCTCGCACCCGGTCGACCGGCAGATCGAGCGGCAGCTGGCCCTTCACATGCGGGACCTGGTGCGGAACCCGCCTCTCAGCGGGCTGCTCGAGGGGGGCGGGACGGTGTACCAGCCCGGGTACCTGGATGGCGGGGTGCTGGGGGAGGACAATGTCGATGCGTTCGTGGCTGAGAGGATGCTTGTTGCGTATCATCACTCCGGAAACAATGCCATGCTTCCTCGGGACAGTGGTGGCGTGGTTGATCATCGGTTGAGGGTGTACGGGGTCGAAAGTTTGAGGATCGTAGATGCCAGCGTGTTCCCGATGCTGCCACAGGGTACGATTACGAGTATAGTGCTTGCCGTTGCGGAGAGGGCGGCTGAATTTGTGAAAGAGGAGCACGCAGGTGCATGATGAATTCCGATGGAGCTAGGCCTAGAGATCGAGAGTCCGTCTGAGGTGTGCTGCACCTACGACGGCTTCTAAGGCTCTGTTGTGAGCACAACTGAGTGGTTTCACCCTTACACATGTTATCCGTATATTCCAAGGTTGAGCCTGGATGAGTGATTAAAGTATACCTAGGTACGCAAGCGAACCGTAGCGGACTACCTCGTAAAATGTCAATTGGCTCAAGACTAATGTATGATAGTTTCCAAGGTTTCGATGTTGGTCGTTGACTTCCTGAGGTCTTTCCGCGGGTGGCCGAAAAGGTGTGCGGTTCAGTTACCCAATTTGCACTTTCAGGTTCCATCCGCAGCATAGGCGTAGGACCAGATTTCGAGAGTAGTTGCACATGTGAAGCACAATACTATGATAAGGGCCTTGATACGCCAAGGAAAGTTAGCACCGCCTTGTAAGCCCAGAGCACTAGTTCCTGAGTCTCATATGCGTAAAGCAATACGCATGGACGTGCCACGATAATTCGATGTGTATATCCATTCATGGTGCCGAGGATCAGCCTTGTCACATTGAAACAGTCTGAGCCGTGGAGCCGAATTTGAGACGAGGCAAGTCGGGTATCGATGCATTTTCATATCGCCCTGGCCGTAAATGCTGGGCATGGCCGCCCGAGCAATTAATTCACTTGATTGAGTTTGGCAGACTTCTGAGCGACCCAAAGGCATGAGCAACGATATTTGATCGCCACCGCAACATTGCAGCATGACTTCCCAAGGGTTATTCCGCATAACTGGCTCGGGCTTGATGCCATACTTTCCCGGAACTCTATCTTCACTGCCTAGGCATGCCAGATTGGCCAAGTTTCAAATACGTCAACGGCAGCTCTCATTATCCAAATTGGGCATATCTCAACAGTTTTCAAAGTTTTCTCAAGTGTTCTGCCCGAGGAGACTAGCGTAAGCAAGCCTCCCGCCGGAGTCCCGCCGTCTCCGCCGCCGACTCAAACTTGTGGATCCCGGAACCCCGGCCGTGTCACGTCCGCTCCACCACGAACCCACACAAATCTCTGCAAACCTTTACAAACCTCCCACAACACACAAATTCATCAGCAAACGGTGAGATGGCCGAGATGGTTATGGCGCCAGGTTAAGGTTAATCTTAACAATCATTCCTGGTGGAGCAATCCTCCTGGGTTCAAGTCCCAGTCTCATCATTTCTTTTTGCGTTTTCTTCCACCACTAGCACTGCTTTCATTTTTGGTTTTTAGAAGCCACGTGCCCATGTATTGTATTACCTCTGTACTGTTATTGGTATTGTATTATTTTGAAAGCTGAGTGTTGAGCATTCATTACTGTATGAAGCCGCCATGTGTGTCTTCGGACCTATACAGAATAGAAGTGAAACCCCATATGGGGGAACTTTAGAATAGAAGCGAAACCCGATACATGTGTTGATGTGTTGATCTTGGAGGGAAGATTCCTCCAAAGTGATTCCCACACTAAAGCCTTTCCTGAATACACGATGTACCTCGCACTCTCGCATTAGCCTCCTCGGCAAGGGACTGGAAAATAAATACCCCCCCTAGAAAAAAAGAAATGAAGACCATCGGGGCCTTGGACTCAAGTACCGCATTCTTGGGCATGCCAAAGTCTCATAACAAGGATTGTTGCGTAGGCACAAGACTACAGCCTGACTCGGCCTCTTTTGATCCAAAGACCACACGTGCCTCCTCACTTCTTTAGTACAAACATGCTACCACCTATAGGTCCTGGAAAGTCTTCGTCCGTGCCGCCTGGCCACGGTGAAAGGTATCCTACCGCGCGGGTGAGGCTCATGAAATCTGTACACGGTGTCAGCAGAAAAAGCACAGGGTCAACCTCGGGAGGGCGAGCCTCGCGCAAGACAGCACAATTCGGGGGGGGGGGGGGTGGGTGGGCAGGGCATGGTCCGAGGATGTCTCTAGATGGCACTCACTGGATGCTCCTTTCCACGTCAAGCCTCGTTGGGCGGAACTGCCACACCGAGCCATACAGTTTTTCGGCAACAAACCCCGTCGATGCGAGCGCGTGCAGGAAGTCGGTCCAAGGTATCTCGCCCGGCGTGGACGTCACTTTGGGGTTGTAAAAGAGCGTGCGGAAGGTCTTGAAGGCACGCGCATCGACCTCAAAGGTCGGCTGCTGGTCCGAGATGGTGTCGGCCTGGTTGCCCTGTTCTTCCTCTCTTGAAGAGGCAGCGTTTGGTGTGCCGTGGGTCTTGACTTTCTTGGAGGTCTGGGGGTGCACCACCGGCCTGTTGGGCTCTGTTCTAGAATAGAAGGTCGAGAACGGCCGCGTCAACAGCATGTCGACTTCGGCTTCGGAACTGGCCTTGGAAACCGCCGGATTTTCAGCTTTGGGTGGCTCGACCCATTCTGGCGTTCGCTGTAGCACACGACCTTGTGAGAGGAGCTTCCCAACTGCTGTGCCCTCCACCCGCGTGCCTCTCTTGTTCATGAGGGTATCAATGTTCTCCCAGAAAGCATCCAGGTCCGCCTCCGCCTGCCGCATCTTGTCGACATTCTGCAACGTCCGGCGCTTGCCTACAGGATAATCGAAGCGCCCGCCGCTTGGATTTCCAAGCTGGACAATCTTGTCAGCGTTGGCACTTCGCTCAGTGCGAAAAGCGACGACCAGAGCTGACCAATTCGTGCTCTGCTCAGAATATGCTTTCTTGTGGCGTTCACTGTACTCCAAGTCTTGAGTTTCAAAGCCATTCGCCCAAGGCTGGTACAGCTCAAGCTGATGCATACATTGCGCGATGATTGAGAGGTCTGCGATGGTCGAGGCAACATGAGCGGCGATCATTTCCTTGGCCGTGGGCTCGGAGTTGATAAGACGGTCCAGCTCGTCCATGATGATTGTAAAGCGAACCAAGAATAAGTTGTGGTCGTCTTCCCATAGCGTGCGTAGCAACCAAAGTACATGCTCCTCTGTCTTGTTCATTTTCACGCTGGGCCTGGACATGATTGCTATCATGGGAGTGACGGTGTCGGGGGGTGGCTGACGGACGAAGAACTTCCGCATTGGGGGCGAAGCTGCCAACTTGCTTCAGATGGTTCAAGGGCCCCTTTGCCGTTTGTTCGAGGTAATAGCGAAACTTCAGGAGCGCTCCCAGATACTCTCCCGGAAGGTCCTTGGACGGTGAAATGACTGTCGCATACTTGGCTTGGAGTGATTGCAAACCGCGCGCCTGGCGGCTAAGCTCCGTAAACACCTCAAGCTGTAGATAGGCTTCGGAAAGGGCTGTGCCTATTACACGAGTCCATAGTGTGTTGCTACGAACTCTGGATGTGACAGGATGCGCGTCCCCGTTCAAATCTGGAAGCATCTCCTGCCGGTGGTCCCTCCAGTCGAGAAGGGTCTCGGTGAAATAGGATGGGTCTTCACGCAATGCCCAAAGGTGATCTTCGGCTGCGGATGCTTTGGCGTCAAGGAGAGACGTGAGGCGACTATAGTCGAGGCGCGCCGGTACACGATAAGGCGCTTCCGCGGCCATGACAGTGAGGGCTTCGAAGCCATTGGTTTCTCCCTCGGTCTTGAGGGTTGGCTCAGGCAGGACAGGGTAAGCGGCGCTGACCAGGTCATCGGCCGGAATGTCATGGAGAATGCTTTGGCAGCACTTGACGAGGAACTTCATGAGGCGCTGTTGCGCTTCGAGAACTAGCAGGCCTTCTCCGGGAAGGAACTGCTTTCTCGTGTGCATCCAGTCGAAGGCTTCGGGGTGGTCGTCCCACGCCAGCAGCTTGCCGTACTCGGCTGGATTAGTAGCGCCGTTAAGCACAAGAACATAACAGTTGAGGAAGACGGGACGGATTGCAAAAGTGACTATGCCAAGATGCATCGACTCGATGTCAGCGGCGGCAAAGTCCGAAGGGGGTTGGCGCCCTCGCGAGTTGAGCAGGAGCAACAGCGTTTTGGGCTTGGCGAGGTCTTCCTGATTGATATACGGCCACACGAAGTGCTCCCGGAGGCTGGTCCCGGAGAGACGCACATACTGTTGCTTGTTGCGAAAGGTTTGGAAGTCAGGACGGTGGTCAACTGCCATGTTAGGCCAGGCATCGAGGAGGATCTTGAGTTTCTGCGGCCGAGTCTTCTTGGACCACCGCTTTTGGATGGTCGCCTCGTGGCGATAGACTGGGGCGACCGACACCTGGGAATTAGAAAGGGTTTCACCGAATCCTCGATGCAGGTAATTACTCACGGATCTCCTGGAGCAAGCCATGATTGTGGAAGATGTCCTCTGACATGCCTCTGGCCTGCCGCTGGAGGTCGGCAGGCTCCATTGTCGGCGGAGCAGGCATACCTGTGAGCCTTGCGATGGTCGAGGGGTCACTGTAATCCACACCATCCAGATCCATGTCTGGTGCTGACTCCAGGATGGCCTGGTGCTCAGGCGAGGGCGAGAAGGGGTTGAATCTGTGATCACGCCGAAGATCCATTGCGATTCAGTGGTCGGGCGTCACCGCGAGGCGAGTGGGTTCGAGGCGCTGAGGGGGAGAAGTCAATGGTCTGATAGCCGGCATGTAGACAAACGAGGCAAAGAAAGCAGCCAGGTTCGTTTGGAAAGTGATGGCCCTTGTGGTACAACACCCGGTCTCCAATCTTCCTCTCGGGATTCTAGATGTCGTGACCTTTGTGGTTGGGGTGCAAGCTGCTGTCTGTGAAAAACGAGTTAGCCCCCCCCCCCTGTTAAAAACCCCCTGTTCAAAAGTTAAACAACTCCCTTTTAAAGTACTCTTCTCTTAATAACTCTCTTAATACTTAATTTAAAAATATATAAAAAATACTTTTATAATCCTTATCTATATCCCTATAAACTTAAATTTTTAAAATAATTTTTATTTAAAGATTAAATATTTACTTATTTTATTAACCTAAATAGCCTTTATATCCTTTATAATATAAACTTAATAATAAATATTCTAAAAGTATTAGTATATAGAGATTTTAATGAGGAGTATAAATATATTTTTTATTTATTTTAAAGTTAAGTATTTAAAGAGTTATTAAAAGATAAAAGGGAGTTAAGAAATTTCTTTAACTTTTGAACAGGGGGTATTTGACCAGGGGGGGGGCTAACTTCGTTTTTCCGAGACAGTGCATCAAGAGATAAGATTACAGGGGTGCCGTAGAAATTGGGACGGGTTAGGGTAACTTGAACACCTTGATCCGTAGCGACACAGCAAGTTTGACACCTAGGTAGGTATATATGCTGTCCTGGTACAGTGGGACGGGGAAACCTGATTTTATATATAAGACCTAGGCTTTTTCGAATCTGCCAGTTGGATCATGTCTGGATTGTCTATCAGCCTGTCCCTTTCCCCGGATTCTGGTATCCGTTTCTGGTGACTGCCCTACTGCAAAAAGCGCACGATCATGGACCTCAAAGGCAATCCTAATGTTTTTGTAATTTCTGGTATAATATTCTGGACAAGGCAGCCGCATGAAACAAGCGTCCTGAAAACTCATTTGGACTTAATGATGGAAGATTCAGCATACCAAACCCCAGTGTGGTTCTCTCGTCGAACTGGGACTGGTCATACTTTTACAGATTGTATCAGGCAATTCAAACACACGAGAATAGGAAGCAAAGCTCTGCAGCGGCAAAGGCGGGCGTTTGTACTACAATAAGGATATGGTAACTTACCCACCTAGGTACGTCGTTTGATAACACGAGGCAGTGAACAGCGTTGCAAACGCGTTTGTCAGTAGCACACACCATTGATCTTTCACTTCATCCAGTTTCCCAACGTTTGTCATTGCAACTCCACACAGAATTCCCAGTAGACCTTTGGGTTCCTGGCCTCCAACCCAAAACTCTTTCACTACAACCACATTCTTGCAGCTCGAGTCTGGAGTGACAACGGCCTCTCCATTCCTTGCAAGACGACTTTGCAACTTTATCATACTACCTTGGAAGACCTCGTCAACAAACATGAAACTCGTCAGCTTGGCGTTCAAGATGGCCATGATGATCTTGCTGGGTCTGCTGATGGGAGCCTGCTACGCAGACGTAAGTCCCACAAACAGACGACTGTCATCATTGACATTTGGGTCATATGCCTTACCACCTGAGCCGTATTCACTGACATACACTTGCTCCAGCTTGTTCCACAGAAGACCCCCACCTTCTTTGACAACAACACGGCCCTCGTTCCCAACGTCCATGGCGAGATGGTCTTGCACACTATTGTTGACCTGACCTGGGAGATTGATGTTCCAGGCGCCCCCTACAAGATCAACGTCACTGGCCCAGCCAGCAAAGTCGTCGATTACATCGACGCCAACTACCCCGACCACGTCTGGCCCGATGTCGACGAGCTCAATGCCAGCTCGCCGGGCAAGGTTTTGCAATCCCCAGGCCCCAAGCTCAACTGCAACGTTTTCGGCCTCACCACATACCCATTGGCGAATAGAGTGCGAAAGAGCTTGGCATCGCTCGGCAACTACCAATTCAGCTTGGGAAAGGGCCCCGCAACCTGCGCCCAGGTTGAGTGCAGCCAGGACCTCCAGGGCCGCTACGGGGCAATCTGGTGGTGCAATGATGTGAGTGAACTTGTGGGGGATCTCCAGTGTCCGTGATTGATTATGTACCTTCACTGTCCCTGATGCTAATATGCGACCCACATAAACAGGGTAGCTCGCCGGCATTTACCATGGCCTATGACATCGCTGAGCTTGCCCAGCTGATCATCCCTACCTGTGCTGAGTTCGCCGTCCCTATTACATATACTCGTGGCCAGGTCTTTGATCAGTACAGGCCTTGGAATGTAATTGTCACAGGCTACGAGAGGTGCAGGTAGAGCGCGTCGATGGCGGTAGCTCATGACCTCGGGAGCGTCCTTGCTGGCCAGTACGACCATGAAGAGCGGGATATAGGTGCTGGGAGATCTCGCTGAAGTCTAGATCACCTCCGAGATGGGCGAACTTGAGTTCAAGTAGCGAACAATGAAGAACCTTGGAAGCATGCGCCCATCAATCAATCGGGTTGGCCATTTCATGCCACCTAAAGTTTTCCTCCTCTTGTCCACGTTTACCAAACAAACATGCTTGTTTTGCAGCATTTTATTTTTCTTCTTTTTAATTGCTAAGACCTCTTCGTGCTGTGGGTGTGGCTGGGGTTCTGCTGACGATAGTCAATGTAATCGCATGCTTGGAACATGTGAACACAGCAGCCGCATCGGTCTACAGAATTTGATGAAGAAAGGCTAGGATTGGAAGATAAATATGTATGTGGTATGAGAAGCTACTCATAAAACCTTATCTGTCATCCTCCACTCAGCGTTACTGCTTTATTACTGACAGGCTCAACAATTCCACTGGATCAAATCCCAAACACCAACCTTCGCTACCCAACCCCTCATACCGTAACCCTCTACTTCCCAGCCTTGATTTCATCCGCAATCTTCTCTGCAAAAGCATAGACAGTACTCTGAGGATGCCCCGGCGGCAACAGAGCAAAGCTGCTCGCATCCACCACCCTCAGCCGCTGCACACCGATGACCCTGGCGCCAGTGTCCACCACAGCCGTGGGGTCGTCGACGGTACCCATGCGCGCCGTGCAGCTGGCATGGTACACCGTCATGAGCGTGTCGCGTACCGTGTTCAGTATCTGCTCGTCACTCTGCACCGCCGGCCCCGGGAAGTACTCGTTCGGGTCAGCGAGGACGGGCCGCATCGCTTCCGAGGCGAAGGCCTGCCTCAGGCGCTTGTATGATGCCACCGCGACGGACTCGTCTATCGGGTCGGTGAGCCAGCGCGGGTCCACGATGGGCTTATCGGCCACGTTGTTTGATGAGATGGTGACCGTGCCGCGGGACTGCGGCGCCACCAGGGCTGCGAGGATGGTGGCGTACTGGTACCCGTCGTCGGGCTGGGTCGTGAAGAGGTTGGTGAAGGCTCCAACGTAGCCTGGAGCCCCGAGGTACTCGATGTCGGGCCAGGTGTCGGGCAGCTTGTCCAGCGCTGCTGCTGCGCTCGGGGTGATCCCGTCTCGCGGTGCTTTTTCCCAGCCGAGGAAATCACAGACCGGATTCGTTAGAGGGCCCTCGTTGAAAGGGAGAAAGGCCGTCGCGTACTGCGCTCCAACATACAAGAGGTTGTTGGCCAGATACGTGAGCGTCTGTACGTTGACACGGTATGATGGCCCGAAGAAGATGTGGTCCGTCAAGTTTTGTCCCACCCCGGGACGGTCAGCAATGACGGGTATGTCAAACTTCTGAAGCGTCTCGGCAGGTCCAATTCCTGACAGCATCAGAAGCTGGGGAGTCTGAAATGCGCCAGCTGAGATGATGACCTCTTTGTTCGCCGAAAGCGTCGTGCCTGAATCGAGCAGCACGCCTGTAGCAGCCTTGCTCCCATCGAATAGGACTTTGCTCGCCTTGGTGACCTGGTAGACCTTCAAATTCGGCCGCGACTCTGCTGCACTGAGGAATGAGGTCTGGGAAGAGTCCCGATTCTCGTTGTCCGGATTGATCGTCGAGCTGCAGTATTGCGAGCCCATGAGGGTCCCGCTGTTGAAGTCCTTGGCCTGGGCCACTCCAATTTCTTCCATTGCAGGCTGGATATAGCTAGAGAATGGTTGTGCGTAATTAGCATACGACACTCGCAGAGGCCCACCAGCCGTGTCGAAGGCTGTGGCATCGTACTGCGTTGTCGCGTTCGATGCTCTCTTATCCGTGTTAGGTGGCGTGAATTGAACGCTCTTCTTATAGTATGGTAGCATGTTCTCGAAAGTGTAACTCTGGTCTCCGACCGTGTCAGCCCAGAGCTGCATCGAGCCAGTGTCTGGGCGCTGATAGATCATGAAGTTCAGCGCTGAGCTGAAGAACAAGTCAGAACTGAGTCACAACGCATCCCACGGAATACCACGAAGGTTGCTTACCTGCCTCCCAGGCATTTTCCACGCGGATAGCGCATGGGTCGGTTATTTGCGCCTGTTTGAGGTGTAGTGACGAAGTCCCAGTCTACCAGCGGGTTCGTATCCGTCGGAGAACTGCCGGCAAAAAGCTATTTAGTCACGGCTGGGTCAGTCACAGAAGCTTCATTGAGATTGAGAAGTGCTCGCATAAGCGACGCGTGCTACAGGCTCATAGCCTGTTGAGTTCAGCTATTGCAAACCTACCGTGTCACCTGCTGGCGTCGATGCTATCAATGGGTCTGAGATCGAGTAGTAAGTGCCGGCCTCAATGACAGCCACTGAGGTGGACGGGTCTTCCGAAAGCCTTGCTGCGAGTGTAAGGCCTGCTGTGCCTCCACCCACAATAACGTAGTCAAATCCAGCATCTTGTCTTCTCTCGTGGTCTGACACAGGAACACAACTCCCGCAGGACAGTAATAGTGCAATAGCAAACCATGCTGCAGCCATAATGGGAGACTTGCTAGAGCACGGAAAGTGTAAGTGTGTCAAAATATCTAGCGAGAAGTCTTGAACCCAATGTGTGCAACAAAAGACTTCAGGAACGGCAGGAAGAAACAGTTGGCTCCTTATGATATGATCTTTTCTCCGACAACATGGCTTGCACATGCGTAACATTCCGTCACCTGGCACCAGCCAGATTGCTTGTTCCCGAAAACCAGACCTTGGCCAGTACATTCAAGCATAAACTAGGTCGCATCCCGCACGGCAGCCACACGCCTGCCACTTTGGCTGAAATCTCCCGTTTGGGTAATCCATCTGACATATTTGTCAGGACCTTTGGTCCAATAGAGAACGTGAGATGGCTGGATGGGATGATGTGCAGGGAGTAAACTTATGCCGCTCGGACTAATAACACTTAGTCCATGCTTATATCCGCCATCTCCAATGCTTACCCAGGTAGACGTCATTGGCGTGATGCCATATTCTCTCCAGTCATACCACACCTGGCCGTGAGAATGCTTAGCCAACAAAATGCGATGGTGGGAGACGCCCTTGCTATGTGCAAGGCAGACTCTCGAACAGAACGCATGGAGAAGTTTCTAGTCTGCCTTGCCCCTCAATTAACCATTTGCATCATACACATATATTACCTCTGCTCTCCACCCTCCCCAATACTACAACACCGTCTACAGGTGAATGCAAATGTTCCCGAGGCATCATCATATCACAAGTGGATGTCATCGTGTGGATCCAAGCAGGATGCATCGGAAAGTGGCTGGCCAAGGCTAAGATAGATACCGAGGAAGCCCTTCATTCAATGTGCGGAGGCATGCTTAGCATGTGCATACCTAGGTAGACATGACCTAGCTTATAGCCCGTTTCAAGCCACCTTCAAGTTTCCACCGGGGCTGGTGGGAATCGCCAAGGTTATGTTGCAGCCATGACTATATTCAACGCTTGGGCTACATATGGAAGGCTGTAAGAGGGGCTTGTACTCTGCATATTTCATCTCCCCGTCTGGACCACAGCGACGCCTGCCCCCCCCTCCCCATGAGAACGTTGAACCCCAGAACAATTATCAGCGCCAGCTAAACAAAGAGAATAACACAGGGGTAAGAGATACGGGCTGCCAGAGTCCTGACTCAACCTACCCGCCAAGTCTAGTCTTTGGTCTCATCGTCACTCATTGATGGTACGAAACGTTCTATTCGATCAAATATCCCGAGTGAAATCGGGGCTTCAGGGCTGATGGTACCGGATCTCAGCCGCAGTGTAGTACCGTCACACGCGACGGGGAGGACAGCCCCGCAGAGTACATGATCACCATCTTGTATTCACAGTCGCACTGACCGTTCGATCTGAGACTGAGGCTTTCCTGTGGTAGAGATATCGCAGACAAACTCAACAGCCTCAACGCCCATGATGGAATGGCTGAGGGTCTCTACTCCGTTGTGACTACTTTGGCTCACAGACAATGACTCTGGTCCTACCTAGTGTAACCAACAACTCAAATTCCCAAGAGCCATATCGACCACTACAGTTCGCCACCGATTCTAGCCTTCATCCAAGCTACTTGTGGCTTTGGTAACTCATATCCGGGAGCGCAGCAAGCCTCTTCGGGTCAGAATACGAAAGAGAAGAAGTAATCGAAGGTGATACGTTGCAAGGATTCAGCTCAAGTGCTACAGTCTCATGAACACAACCCTGAGAAGAGTCGTTAGTTTTCACTTCGGAAGAGACTCTTTTGCTGAGGCCAGGCTATGACAACCTTGGAAGAATGAGGCAGGGTGTCTCTGTGCGTGCATGTGATGGCTAATACAAATACCCCAAGGGCCTGGGGCTGCTTCCTCCACATCAGAGTCTACGTCTCTAAGCCCTCTCGCGATGGGCTAGGAGCTGTCGCGAGATTCGAGTTGCACACCTCGTCATCTCCACAATCTTACAGATCGATTTTGTATGAGACGGAGCAGGGGTGGTGGAGCCGGCCCACAGCGATGGAGAACGAAATGCGGGTCGCTTGGCCTTCAAGACGTCATCTGCCGCAAAGAGACCACTCCAGACCGTCCTCACAGGTCTTCCAAGCTCCCCTTCTTCGCGCCTTCGAGGAAGTCTTGATGAACTGCCCCGGCCTTGACGATCGGCGGCTAAGCTCAAGGCTCCAGGGCTGGGCGATCAACGGGGCAGCACTGCAGTGTTGATCGCAAGCTACAGTCACAATCCTTCGCATGGCCATTCCGTTCCTGAATATGCGCCGCGTGCTAGAGCCCAAGCCCATTTGATTTGACAATGTAGAGTGCTTTAATGTTGTTCGGAAGCAAGTCTGCAGGTTTCCGGGTCCTGACGCTTGCTCCGGGCTCGTACAGCTTCGGGGAACGGCTGTCGCCCTCCATGGGATGATCACGAGCTGCTGCCAGCCATGGCACCCCTGTGCCGGTCGGACATGTTGGAACCGCTGCCAAATTATTGGACGAGGGCGCGTCTAATGTAACAAAGAAAAGGACTGCGCCGACCCGACTGTGGGCCAGCCCGGGATTTCAGGTTTGTTGTTAGCAGCGAGTCAAAGCTGCTTTTTCATGTACCTGGGAATAATACCCCTTTTGTCCACTGTTTTTCTAGCCACAGTACGGCACGGGCATATGTGCAGAGTGCATATGTATGTGAGCCGTGAATAAAATTGATGGTCGACCGTTTCCGGCGACAATCCTTTATTTTCTTTCCCTGGGCTCGCCAGTCACTCTTTTCTTTCCAAAGTACTGACCGCACCGCGACTTGAGTTGATCGTTGCTCCACACTCGTTTGACCAACATGCATTGCAACATTGCAAGCTATGCCGCCTTGGCAGCTTCCCTGGTGAAGCTCGCCCATGCGGTTGATAGTGTGACCGTGTCGGACACCATCGCCGCCGGATCAAGCTTTCAACTGAACGCCACCGACATCGACAGCACAGACAAGTATCGTGTATACCTGGCGGCTGCCCTCGGAGGCGACACTGGACCGACCTGTACGTCTGGCATGTGAAAAATGTGCCGAGATCGACGTGATCTGAGCACACCAGGTGCTGATCCGATGCTGACCCGGGTAAACATCAATCAGGCTGGCTCTCCAACTCCACCTCGCTCTCTTCAAGCAGCAACTTCACCATCCCGCCGGAAGTGGGCCCCGAGGCAAGCTATTACTCCATCGGAGTGAGCGACGTCGCCAGCGACAGCGACGCAGACGACATAGTCTACAGCAACAGATTCACCTTCACCGGCGGGACCGGCAACTACTCCCAGTACGAGACGCACCTCAACGGAAACCCCTTCTGGGACGCCGACTCCCTGCCTTGTACCGCGTACGCATGCGCCAGGAAGTGCGCGGATGCGAGCTATCCGGATGACCTGTCCGACCCGACCGCGTATGGCACCATGAGGAAGTGCATCCAGGACTGCCCTGGCGTGTCCGAGACATCGCAGACGGCGCCGGCTGCTCCCACTTCTGCTTCGACGGGTTCCGACACGGCAATTGGTGCCTCTGCCACCGAGATGGCCGACAGCGATGAGAATGGAGCCCCTGTGGCGGCTGCGCAGCAGATCATGATCGTTGGAATGGCCAGCGCTGCTAGCTTTGCTATTCTGTTCTTGTAAGAGTACTTACACGTCACTGGTCGGTGCCGCAGCTGTTGGGCTGTGCAAAGCAGAAGAACGCACAGAGCATCTCTGCTTTCAGTTAAGAGCATTGTGTGTACATAGTATCATGATAGATTCATACATGTCCCATCCATAGCAGTGGTATCCTTACGAATTGCACAATTAGTAGTAGCATTGGTATAATCATCGGGTACATAGGGAAGGGCAGAGAAGATAAACATTTGTAATGTCTGAGTATGAGTACATTTGTATGATATTTAATACACCAAGTTTCCCCCAGCTCGACTTGAACCATCTCCACCAACTTTGAAGGTGTTTATAATTCTCGTGACGTGCTTGATTGAGTACGTCAACCACCCGGGCACCTGACCAGGCGGTAGTAAGCGTTGAAGTAAAAGTTTACAACTTATACAGCATTTCCTGCGACATGGACCAAGTTCAATGAAAAGTGCTCCAATGCTCAGGTCCCAGGCTTCATTTCATCTTTTCTCCCCTGACCACTTCGATTCGATGGACTCCGTTGGAGTTCCTGCCCCCGCTAGTGCTTCAAGACAAATGTCTGGCCACTCCATCCGTAAGCGCGCGCCAGCCTCCTCCCGTGCCTTCTCGCCTGCCGAAACGGGATCTTGGAATGCGGGTGCGGTTCGTGAACAAGGATGGTTCTCATCTGGATGCAGTTGTTGTCGTCGCGTGGGGCGAACTGCCAGACTGATCCGTACAGCTTTTCCATCCAGAAACCGGCAGAGTGCATTGCGTGTAGAAAATCATTCCATGGCACTTCGCGCGGCGGCGATCTCGAAGATGGGTTGTGGAAGAGAGCACTGAAGACTCTCATGGCGCGCCCATCGACTTGGATAGTAGGACATGGGCCTTGGCCTTCTGGCTCGGTCTTTTGGACTTGTTCCGATGTGACATCCGAGTCTTGGCGAGCAGCTATTTTCCGTGTCTTGATTTTGCTATTTCCTACCGGCCGAACTTGTATCTTGGTGTCGTCAACGATGTCGAGTCTTCCAAAGGGTTGAACAAGGGCTTCGGGGGATATAGCTTGAGGCGGTGTCATGTTGATGGGCTTCGCTGGCTCTGAGTCAACCCAGTCGGGAGTGCGCTGTAACTGACGACCCTGAAAGAAGAGAACGTTTTTGGTATGTATTGTTAGAGCGTTTTGTTGCTCCATCTCTGTCAGTAAAGCATCCCACATCTGGTCCAGTAACCTCTCAGCATCCTGCATAGCTTGTACATTGGCTGATGTGCGCTTTTTATGAACTGGATATGGTCTCTTCGCCAAACCAAATGCCATGGATCGAGTTCGAGTACTCGGTTTGAATTTAATATAAGGCACCATTTGGCACATTTTCTCCTTGATATCTTCTCCAAAGACAGTGCGAATTTCCTGGATGGTTTCCTCGTCCAATGACGCCTCCCACGGCTGAAAGAGATGAAGTTGCCGTAGGCATTCGGATAACAAGGTGATGTGCGAGATCTCTTCGGCTACGGATGAAGTAACGGCCTGTTGAGCATCTGGCACTGTCTCGATGAACATGTCGTATTCTTCCAACACCGACTGGACACTAGCAATGTGTCCTCTCGTTTTGTTCATGTCTGTGGAAAAGAGGCCTTCCAAAATCTTCATATATTCTCTTATGTGTCGTGGTGGCCTTGGGTCCGCCACGCAGCAGACGAAAATGTCGGTTGTGTCGGTCGAGGCCCGACGGATGTAAGGTCGAAGTGGTGGGGATGAATAGACCAGCTTGCGCAAGAGTTGGAGTCGGTTTTCGATGAACTTGCACAGCGTGAACTGAACTTTGTACAATCCCAAGGCGAAAGGCTTAGGCAGCGGCACTCCGGGCTCGATGTCTTTGCTGTCGAAGTGCTGGGCTTTGAGCTCTACCAGGGTCGAAATATCCCGCGCAAGTCCGCACCAGAACTCGACACCAGCGCAACTGAATATCAGGGTGGTGGTCGAAAGCGAGTCTTCCAGGCTTCTTACGTCGGAACCCCACCAATCACGTCGTGCGCCGGGTGCAGTTATCGGATGCTGTTTACCGAGAAGATCCTGGACATATTCAGGTTGGTGGGCAAGCACGTCGTCCAGGCTTTCTGAGAAACGGCCGGGGTCTTCACGTAAGGCCCACAGTTTGTCCTCTTCCTCATGAGCCTTAGCAGTTACAAGTAACTGCAGGCGATGGAAATCCATTTGTGCGGGTGACGAGTAGATGGCCTCCAAGTTGGCGCTGGCGAGGGAGACGACGCCATTTTCTCTGGAATTTGCTGAAGGAAGAGGCGGTGCTGGCCGAATCTCGTACTCAGGCCCAATCAGCTCACCAGAGGGGATGTCGTGAAGCATTTTCTGGACGATGCCAAGAAGAAACTTGTAGATTCGATCCTGAATCTCCAAAGCCCACAGACCATCTCCTGGGTTGACCAACCCTCCAGCCAGGCGAGGGTCTGCACCGGTAAAGATTTGATTCATCGTTGGAAGCTCCTTTCGTAGTTCTCCATACGACTCTGGGACCGAATGCCGTGCGTTCAAATCCATAACATAGCCTCCCAGGGACCGCCACATGGTTAGCTCAAAACGGGTTGTTGAGAGCTGGATGTCGCGTTTTGAGAATGCATGTGGAGGCTGGCGCGCTCTGGAATTGATCATGAGAAGGAGCGGTTCAGGCTTGGTAAGGTTGTGCAGATTCATGTATGGCATCAGTAAGGCTTCACGTTGCGGACCCTCGTACTGTTTTGCCTGTTGCTTTGGCCGTGCCTGCAGCAGCGATTTTGCTGCCAGATCGTCTGACTTGTTTGCCAGGATAATATCAGGGCGTTGATGCCGAGCCATGTTGGGCCAGATCTCGAGAAGCAAGTCTCGTCTCTTTGTGATGGATTTGTTGGTCCATCGCTTTTGAATTGTGGCCTCATGGCGCTGCACAATGGCTTCAAGGGATCCCCAGTTGTCGTATATCCGCTGTGCTGTCCGTTTGATCTCAGAGCGCACGGCAGGCAATTCTTCTTGGGAAATGCGATGAATTACCTCATCAAAGATTTTCTGAAGATCATGAGGAAGGGAATTGATGAAATCCTCAAAACTTATGTCCGCCGGGCAGGATTTGACCGTTTTGTAGAGCGCCCGTCTGACGTTTACAGCTCTGTCCATGGTCACCTCATTCAAAGGGTTGCATGGGTTACACAGCCCGCTGAAACGAAATCGGTTTTGATGGAAGTAGTGGAAGCAGTGCTCAAGTGCTGCCACGGAGTTTTGAAGTCTGATATGGGGTTTGACCTCGAAAGCTTGTGTCCGCTTACTTTTTCTGTTTGAGAGCAGAATTAGTTGTGGGGTGAGGAACGGAGCAACGCAAAACGCACTTGACCTGCAAACAGAATAAGAACGGTCGAACAGCTGGAGGACAGACTGCTGGCACTTTGGCAGCGAAAGAGGGGTGCAACTCAAGCAAAACTAGCGAGGCAGAGGAACCTTAGAAAGGGACAATGAAAAGGAAACTCCGAATGAAAACTCTCGATCATGGGAAAGAAGGTTGTCACTGGTCAAGTATTATGGCAGCAATGGAGCACCCCACTAGTGACGCTGTGATGTGTTTTGCCCTCCGGGCCAAACAACCCAATCTCTAGTTAAAAGGAAGGTCTGGATGAAGCCCCCGTTATCTACAGGACTCAGTCAAAGAGAATGCATCATCCAATATAATGCGGTGGGATTCAGGGACTTTGTACTCGGGCAAAATCTGGCTGCGTTAATATAAGAGAAGAACAGAGCTGCACTGACACATATTGGGACACATCACATCCCACATGTGCAGTGGTCTGAATGCCATTCAAAAACCAAAGTGAATCATACAGTCTTTCATCCAAATGTACCCCACATGCACATCATCTAATTGTCAAGTGCCCTGTGACTTCTACTTCTCTTCAAACCCAGTATTAAAACCCATCTTTCCAATAAATTCACATGAAGTTTTCCCATGATATTGGCAAAGGTATTGAGAACCTTTGCTGCACCTTCAACAGTCTGTCATCTGGCAGCACTGCTGTCTGCCATCGAAAGATATCCCACAACAAGCCTTAAGCGCTTGGAAAGTTGATCCATGCGTCAGCAGAGGATAATTGTGTTGTAGAACTCGCCTCCGTGCGCGCACGCTCAGCCTCAGCCGCAGCACTGGCATACGAGGCCTGAGAGCTTTGCGGGCTTGCTCTTAGATACCAACCAAGAAAGAATGCTACTCGTTGGCTTCAGCTGATGGCTCAGCTCCGTGTTGCGTTAGTGTGGACTTAAAGGAGGATCTGACATTGATGGCCTGGTTGATAGTCTCGACGAAGGACCCCGGAACAGCAGCTGCCGGCTTCATGCTGGCGGCAACGAACTCAGCCAAAGGTACGAAGTCCTTGATTTCCAAGGTATGCTTGTTCTGACAGGCCTTGTTGTTGCGTTTCTTCCTCTAAGGTCTCCAGAAATCTAATCAGGCCTGCTTGTTGTGGAGAATGACCAAGTCACAATGCGCCACACTGCCACTGCCGAAACTCAACAGCCTGCACATCATAGGGACATCACAAACTGACGTTTTCTAGGGCTTAATTTGAAGGAACAAACACCGGTCAAACTATCAATCATATTTCAAGAACCTGAAGTGTTGGTTTAACCCTCATTATCGACCCCGCTCTTGGCAAGTTGACTATAAGTGACTATAAGTATCTAAACAGGGACCAACCGCATCCTTCGAACATTTTTCATTTCAGTCGCCATCTCAACACTTTCCAGCATTTTTCTCAAATAAATCGAACTACAGCTTTTAATTCATCATGGCAGACAAATCTTCAAAGCCTACAATACTACTCGTCCAAGGTTCTTTTCAGATCCCAGAGGCGTACGAGAAAATAGTCTCGGCCCTTCGCTCGCGGGGCTTCGTTGTCGCCCACCCTCGTCTTCCCAGCCTGTCGGACCATGACTCTCCCGGATTCGCAGAGCGAAGCCTCACTGATGATTCGCGCACCATTGAAGCCGAGGTGAAGCGTCTCACCGTGGACGAGGGAAAGACCGTCATGGTCGTTATGCACTCCTACGGCGGGCTCGTGGGGAGCGACGCCATTCCCGAGGATCTGAGCCTACAGAGCCGCCGCCAGAACGGCCTGGCAGGCGGCGTGTCCCGGCTCTTCTACTTTGCAGGCTTCATCCTTGAGCCAGGCAAGTCGGTCCTGGACACCTTCGGCGAGTCACCCAACAACGACGTCAAGCCCAACGGGCGTTATACTATGAAGAACACGGCGAGCCTCATTTATCAAGACCTGCCGCCAGAAGAGGCCAGCTACTGGGCCTCCAAGACCATCGACCAGAGCTACGCCGTGCAGACGACACCTATCACCCGGGCGGCTTACAAGTACATTCCCTCAACCTATGTCATGACCGAGGACGACCACGCTGTTCCCCTGCAGTACCAGGAAATGTTCGCGGCTGCCACGGGCGCCGAGGTCAAGACGATCTCGTCGGGACATTCGCCTCAGCTTAGCAAGCCCGAGGAACTGGCAGACTTGATTGAGGCTTCGGCGGAGATGGGCGTGTAAACAAGTTGTCGCGGGTGATGCTCGTGACGTGATTACTTGTCGGCTTGGCCTTCTCTGTGCCACAAGGTGCTGCCTAGAGCCAGCTGTGAAAGCACTGTTTGTCTTTTGTTTTGTTCCTATGTATTTGCTTGCCAATGATAGATGACTTCTTCAGGTAGAGAAATGCGACGGGGCTTTGTTCCGACCTGATCTGCTGGCTTGTTGTCCAACGCGTGCAGACTCCTCTTTGTTGTGCCGACAAAACGAGGGGCCGAAAACAGCAATTTGCATCCGGTTACAACTCTTTTTGCATGAGTTTCAGGACCTCAATGCAAGATACAGGTGTTATGTCCAGAGGAGCTCCGCTCAGCGGGACCATGGCCAATTCCGAATAGTTTTTCGTCCTTCAACAGCTGCTGTAGGTCCCGGGGACACTGGCAGCGCACTCCTGAGAAGCCCGTGGGAGGACAACGTCCTAGCTCAAGAACAGCACTCGCCCATCATCATGTTCGGGTTTGGCGATCGTGACGCTCGCGGCGCAGGCGGTCCCGGGTCAGGCAGACTGTCAAACATGGGGAGCATGCCAGACTCGTCGTCTCGGCCGAATCCTCTGCCTCCTAGTTTGGGCTTCAGAGACAACACGGCGCCAAGCAGACCGCCAAAGATGGGGGACTTGCCAGACCCGTGGTCTCGACCGAATCCTCTGCCTACTAGTTTGGGATTCAGAGACAACACGGCGCCAAGCAGACCGCCAAAGATGGGTGACTTGCCAGACCCGTGGTCTCGGCCGAATCCTCTGCCTCCTAGTCTGGGCTTCAACGCAACAATACAGGAATTCATGTCCAGGGGGCCAGGGGGCACCGGACTGGGGCGGCCTCCTCCGCCTCCGCCGCCTGCGTTGCCTGTCATCAACATCGATCCGCCCTCTGATCCGCCCTCTGATCCTCCTGCTCGCCCAAAGAAATCCCCAGCAAAGTCTCTTTTTGCAAGTAAAGGCGATAGGGACTTGCAAAAGAGCGGCATTTTCAGCAAGACATATGTTCCGGGATTAGAAATACAACGGATACTTGAAAACGACACAAACCTCCAAGACACCCCTAGCAGGACAGACAGAAGCGTCAGTAACATTGAGCGGCTGCAACAACAGTTCAAAGATGCTGCAGATGATATAGTATTTCTGGAGCAGCTGCGGTCGCGGGTGACGGCCGCCAGTGGGGACAAAACTCAGCAGCAGCGCAAAGAAGAGCTGCACAGGTCGGTGCTGCCGTGGATCCAGTCCGGGCTCGAATACCGAGGACCCATGCGGCCAGGTCTGTTCCTTGACGACGGCACCCGGAACCCGGCAAGACCGCCCAAAGGTTCTACGCGCAGGGCGCCACCTCCACCACCTCGCACCGAGACCACTGGGAACGATGACGGCAGAGCGAGCAAGGTCAAAGCCACAAGTAATGATCCAAACTCATCCACAGGAGGGGACAGATCCACCCCATCAAAAGACCCCAAGTCACCCAAAAGACTCGACACGAGGCGGAACACTACGAGCAAAGGCCCTAGGACAAGTCCTCTCAGGAACTCGATCACAGCAGATGACTTTGATGAACCTCCTGCGCCAATTCCTCCGGGAACGGGCGGGGCTTCGTGGCAAGCCCGGAATGATCTTTTCCAAGAGGGGGTTATGAATGCGGCTGGCATCACACCTGGCGTCGTCTCGCCCGATGAAATGGTGGATCCGCTTCCCACGCTGCCGAGCTCGATTGATTATAACATTGAAAATTGGGAGACGTAGGGTGCGTGAGGGTATCAAGTATGAACAAAAGTGCGTCATCCTAGGAGGATCATGTTGGCGCCATCGTGCTGCAATCAACGGTTTGGGTCATGTGTGCCTTGAGCAGCAGCGGACGAACCCCAAGACAAGTGAGTCTCATGTAATCTCCTGCGCTGCGGACGCTGGCCTGGCGACAGTTGCTTTGTCGTTGTTTTTGTGGCGTTTCATGATGGTGGACGAGGCAGGGTGAGACCAAGAGGCGGACACTGGGGCTGGGTTGGGAGTGGGTAACATTGAAATGGCATTGAAATGGAGCAAAGATGTGCAGGGATGCAAAGTGCCCAGGTACCTAGGTAGTCCAACTTGCAGTACACCTCCCCCGGGGTAACAAACGTTAAATTTTCAAGTACTGACCCACTCAGGCCCATAAAACTTAGGTACTTAACTTAATCAAGAAAACACACTAGAGATTAAGGTAGCAGAAGCTATTCCCAAAAAGTTAACCGATCTGCTTATGTCTCTTTGCCATGGAAATTGCTAGAAAGGCAACTTACCATTTATAGTGGGGCGAGTGGGCCACTACTTGGAAATTTAACGTTTGTTACCCTGGGGGAGGTGTAGTAGCTGCATCCTTGTCGAAGAGGCTTGCTGCTGCTGCAGCGCCGCCCCACCTTTTTCTCTTTTCCCGCTTCCCACTCTACGCGTGAAGGCTGATCCAAGGCGCGTCGACCTCACTCATCTCTTTCCCGCCGCAAGCTTTCCAGCCCCTGCGACACACCACATCCATCACCATCAGAGCCGAGGCTACCCATCAGTCCGACCTCTCACCTTCTCAGAACAGCTCCACCCTATTTTCTCCTGGCCCATCTTTGACCGTCATAACCATGGCGCCCGCTCCCGTCGTCGACGACGTCGACCGTAGGTGAACCCGCACGGCCTGGTTTGCATTGAAGCTATCCTAGACGGCTCCTGCTCCGCTCGGTTGCTGATTCGAGGCCTTAGCAGTCGACATGGAACAGGACGATGTCAACGAGAACGAGGAGAAGATCATCAACGAGGGTACGTGGATGTCCCCAACTCCCTTTCGAGAGCCGTTCGAAGCTCACCCCAGCCTGCAGAGTACAAGACGTGGAAGAAGAACAGCCCCTTCCTCTACGACATGATCCTGAGCACTGCTCTTGACTGGCCCACACTTACCACACAGTGGTTTCCCGACGTCAAGGAGCCCCAGGACAAGAACTATCGCGTGCACCGCCTCTTGATCGGCACCCACACCTCACCCGGCGCCGACAACTACCTGCAGATTGCCGAGGTTGAGATCCCAAAGTCTGCTGAGCCTAACCCCAACGACTACGATGAGGATCGTGGTGAGATTGGCGGTCACGGCCGCGAGCCTGCCGCCATCAAGATGAACATCATCCAGAAGATCGACCACCCGGGCGAGGTGAACAAGGCCCGTTACCAGCCCCAGAACCCGGACATGATCGCCACCCTGTGCGTCGACGGCAGGATCCTTATCTACAACAGGACCAAGCACAGCAGCCTCAACCCCAGCGGCACCCCAAGCCCCGACATCGAGCTGAAAGGACACTCACAAGAGGGTTTCGGCCTGAGCTGGAGCCCCCACGAGGCCGGTGTCCTCGTCTCTGGTAGCCAGGACCAGACGGTCTGCATCTGGTAAGTCCATCTACTGAACCATCGGCGCCCGTTGGTCTAACCTCTGCCCCAGGGACCTCAACACCATGCACGACAAGAAGGTCACGCCATCCCGGACCTTCACCCACCACCATCGTGTCGTCAATGACGTCCAGTACCACCCGGTCGCGAAGCACTTTATCGGGACTGTCTCGGACGACTTGTCGCTCCAGATACTTGACACCAGGCAGGCCGATACCACCAGGTCGGCACTGACCGTGCAGAAGGGCCATTTTGACGCCATCAACGCCCTCTCCTTCAACCCCGGCTCCCAGTTCCTCATCGCCACTGCATCTGCCGACAAGACCATCGGCATCTGGGACATGCGGAACATGAAGGACAAGGTCCACACCCTCGAGGGCCACAACGATGCCGTGACCTCTCTGTCGTGGCACCCTCAGGAGATGGGAGTCCTAGGCAGTGGCAGTTACGACAGACGGGTCATCTTCTGGGACCTGACGAGGATAGGAGAGGAGCAGATACCCGATGACGCCGAGGACGGTCCCCCAGAGCTGCTGTTCATGCACGGCGGCCACACGAACCACCTGGCTGATTTCAGCTGGAACCCCAACGACCCATGGCTCGTGGCTAGCGCGGCCGAGGACAACGTCCTTCAGATCTGGAAGCCTGCCGATTCTATTGTTGGCCGAGAAACCAACGCTGACATGCCCATGGAGGAGATGGATCGTTAGGTCCTGTCAGATACAGCATGCGAGGATGGCAGGCAGGTACCTGGGAGCTTGTTTCGATTTGGGCACATAGCAGTCAATCATGGGTGTAGAGGGGAACCGAAGCAGAGGTAGGCATGGTTGGAAGAGGGGGTTGAGCTGTAGGTTAGGAGTCACTTTGAAGGGCGTCGATTTGGAGAGAGGCATCGTGCGCGCGCGACAGGTGCCTGATGGCTGACACTACCGTGAGAGCAAGATCACGTAATGGAAAAGGCTATGGATTTGAAATTGTCCCTGGTATGTGTACGTTTGTGCAGAAGATTATTATTTCTGAGGGCCAGGCTAAAATACAGGTGAATGACATTCAAGGCTGACTGAGGGTTGCGTTGTCACTGGGTCGCATAGTTATGACTGTCCTCACAGCACCATTCCGTCCACCAACCAGCAATTGAACGTTGTGATGACATCTACAGGTTACGGGCAAAGAGCTTGCAAGCTTTGATGGAACGTGGTCTGGGGCAGGCGGGGGGGGGGGGGCAGACAGTTGACTTTGAGGCCACTGCTGGCTTTCCGCCAACAGTTTGTGTGTTGGTAGCCCTGGGTTGAGCACTTTCACTTCGCATGCTTTTGGTTTTATCACTCTGAGTGATTCGATGACACCTTGCACAAGCATCGGTCTGAGATTCGCTATGAGAACAATACGAGATTGAATGGGAGCTCCCACGTAGATCCCACCAATCGCGTCATCAGATTTTCATCCCATCTTCGATGTTTTCCAAAGACAATGGGAGTTCCCCCATTCAAAATAGCATTGTTTTCCTACTGTCAACAGCACACTCGTTTGAGGCCTCTCACTACTTAAGTCCAACTCATCCCACCCATCTCCACCTTCCGATCCTTATTTTTCCTTTCCGTTCCTTTCCTTTCCTTCTTTACCTCGTCTGTCCCTTCCACCCTCTCTTGACGAAACCTGACAGTCTTGAGCCCAATCACCAACTTCCCAGAATTCCAGCACTACTTGTCTCCCCTCATCGCACTCCACCTTCCTTCAATCCCCCATCCAGGCAGCAGAGCAGGATGGAGAACACTGAGAACACTCAAGCTCAAGGCGGCTCTAGCACGCCAGCCTGTGACGTGGAGATGCTGGAAATTAAAATCGCTGAGAAAAAGGCTGAGATAGAGTCTAATCGCTCTCTGATCGCCTCAAGGGAGGAGCGAAAGCGAGCAGCCGATCCGCAATTCTACGAGCACACGATGGCAGAGGCCGCGAGAGCCCTGAAGCGACGCCGAACGACCCCCAACGCCGACTTCAGCGGTGCGCAAAAGATGTTTGCCTACGGGCCCGAGGAGCAGCCCGACGGATTCGAGGGCAAGAGAAGAGCTGAGCTGGCCGACCTCATGTTCGACAAGACGGTCATGGGCCTCCCCGTCGACTTTGATGGCGCATACTCGAGCAACTCCCACGACATGCGCTACGTCCGCAACACGGGCAACCCCGACCTCGGCCCTGCATACAAGCCTGGCTTCAACCTCCTCGAGTCGGTCTGCTCCAGCGTCTGGCTCGCCGTCGAGGTGGCCAAGCACCTGCGCCCCAGCGACATCGTCAATCTCTACAGCACCAGCAAGACCTTCCACACTGTCCTCAATTCGCACTGGCAGTCCAGCATTGTCGCCTGGGCCGAGCACATGGCCCCGTCCTCCTTCCGCATCTTCTACTGGAAGTTCTTCGGCTCCTACGCCCGCACCGACCCCACGGGCACCACCTGGGAGGCCCCAGGCCAGTTCGCGGACGCCATCCCCCACCCGCCATGGGCCCAGGTCCGCCCCGTCACCGATGCCGACAAGATGGTGCGCTCCGTCCCGGGCCTGCGGTACCTCGCGATGATCGACAAGCGCGAGGTCCGCGTGCGCGACATCCTCGCCAAGCTCGCGCGCCAGGGCCACCGCCTCCCCAGCAAGTGCCACGAGGCCGTCAAGAAGATGTGGCTGCTCATGGACCTGCCCACCAACACGCTGCGGCGCTCCTTCATCCGCAACACCGAGCTGTGGACCACCGAGGACATCTACATCGCGCAGATGTTCGTCACCAAGCTGCAGATGCGCTTCAACGAGCCCGTGTTCGGGCCCGACTCGCCCCAGGCCGTCGAGACCATCCTCGGCTCCGCCAAGGGCTTCACCCCGCTGTGGGAGATGCTCCGCGGCAAGAAGTACACCGAGATCCTGGAGGCCATCCAGATGCGCGTCAAGTACATCGCCAGCGGCGATGCGGTCCGCCGCCATCGCAACTGGGAGCAGCACTACGACATCCCGAACTGGGCGCTGGGAATGGGCCACCTCGAGGGCTGGGGCAAGGGAGAGCTCCACCTGTCTCGCCCTGACGAGCTGCTCATCGAGGAGGCAGCCAGGCGCAACCTGAACCTGAAAGATCACTTCACCTACATGACCTTCTGGGGCCATGTCGACTGGCGGAAGCGCGCCAACCTCGTGCCCACCGAGGAGGAGATGTACATGTCAGACGACGAGCTCCCAGCCCTCAACGCCCTGCAGAGAGGCCCGTATGGTATCCTCAGCAACTGCGGCAACGTCCCCTTCGAGAGCGGCGAGTGGAGGCCCGAGCACGCCCTCTTGGCGCGATGGGCCACCCTGACCAAGCAGGAGAAGCAGGGCCTCAGGGAGCTCATCGGCCACGAGAAGATCAAGATGGCGGCCATGGAGGACGACGACGATGGCTTCTGGGACCTGGAAGACTATGAGCAGCGGGTCCTCCACAACGGCAAGCCCAACACCAACATCGACGCCGAGGAGACCTACGACCGCGAGGGCGAGCCCGAGTCCGACGATGGCCTGGACAATAAGGACCCCGCACAGATGCACGACGACGACTGCCTGTGCATGTCCTGCCAGCCCGACTTCGACACCGCCTCCCACGACGGCTCCTGCTTCTGCGAGGAGTGCCAGGACGAGGCGGACTACTGGGCTGAGCGGCTGGAGGACGACCTCGAGGTTAGCGAGGACGACGACGAGGATGACGACGGCAGCAACCAGCAGCAGCAGCAGCAACAACAACAGCAGCAGCAGCAACAGAACCACAACATCAACATGCTGACCATCCCGCCCACCGTCCCCATCCCCCAGGAGATCCTGCAGAACACCTCCCTCCTCGATGCGTGGAACAGCCTCGGGCTGGTCGAGCGCCAGATGGTGAGCGTGGTCCTCGCCAACCAGCGCGAGGTGCAGCGGGTCGCGGCCGCCACCTCATATTCCCGCGCCGCCCTGCGCGACTTCCCCAACATCATGAACACCGCCAGCCTGGTGCTGCTGCACAAGCTCGACGGCATCGCGGCCAACCCCGCCGGAGAGGAGGAGGGTGAGGGCGAGGTCCCGTCCGGTGCTGCCGACGCGGACGGCGGGGCGGTTGATGAGGGCTACGACAGCAACAGCAACGGAGCGGGCGCCGCCGGCCAGGGCAGCGATGCCTCGAGCGACACCGCCTCCATGGACGACGAGCAGCTCAAGGCCCTCGCGGACCTGGACTACTCGGAGGCCGAGCTGGACTTCGACATGGACGGCTTCCAGGCCCTCCTGAGGAGGGGCCGCGACGACGGCAGCTACCACTACCGCGCCGGTGGTGAGGGGGAGAATGATGAGGACGAGGATGGCTTCGACGCGGCCCACGAGGACGACCTCAAGTCACCCGGTCTCGCCGCTGAGATGCAGCTGCCGGATGTGATCAACTACTAGGCTGTGGCGTTTTCATGTCGGGTACGCACCGTCCCGGCATGTGAATAAGCTGTTCTCCCGTCTGGAGCGGGGAGCGGGGAGTTTTGTTTACGGCGGCACGAAGTGACGCTCGCCTGTGAGAGCACGAAATGCAGGGGCCTGTTTGTGTCTTTGGTGCCAGAAAAGAAATGGAAGTGGAAAAAAAAAAAAAAGGAACGAGGATTAATAACAGGGACACTTGGTAATGGTCAAGTCGTTACGAGGACTTTGACATGGGACTCGTGCCTTCCTGTCGCAATGACACTGGATGCTAAGGGGATCTGGGGGGAGGGGATTCCGAGTCGTCCAAGTGCCCAGTGGCTGGTACATAGTCTGATGCCATCATGCAGGCACCCCAGGTAGAACAGTCCAGTCAATGGAAATCTGGCAGGATCAAAAGCAATACAGTCTTGCGTGCATGCGAGATGACATGTGAAAAAAGACGGCACGAGGTGGCCACCCCAAATCATCTTGGATAGGCCGACTTGGTGACACTGCCTTGGCTGGCTCGATGGGATGATATGCGTGGTTACGTGGCTCAACCGTTGCCGCAGCGTCAGAGATCCGTAGCAATTTTGCATCTCATCCAGCGATCGAGTCTTCAAGGCTGTGCTGCTCGAGGGGCGACAACAGAATGACACGCCCAAACGCACAGCAAGTTGGCCGTAGATCAATCCTCATAGTCTTCATAAACATCGTAAGCTACATACATACAGTATACATGTGTCCGCCCGTACTAACTTGCAGTCTAGAAAGCATATTCCTTCATGAGTTCCTGTATCTGGGTATATTTCAGTCAATATGTTTTGTTTTTCCTATGCCGTTGGCCCATCGCAAGACACGTGCAATGTGGACCTTTTCGTGCGCCCGTAAAGTACGGACAACACTGACATGACGATTCAGCTATATATCACATTTGGTAAAGAGACCACACGCGGGTGTGAAGACAGCCAGCCGCAAGACACGCGACTGACTATTCTGCCGCATTTGATTTGCCTTTGCCTTTCAGCAACTCGCGAAGGGTCCCCTCTGCTTGGCTCCTGGCAGCAGAGGAACTACCTTGTTGCGGGTTACCAATTGCGCCTGACAATGCAGTTTTCCATGGGACCCAATCAGTGAGACCGGACCTTGCTGCGATATTGGAGGTACTTGCGTCCTCTTGCCGCGAGTGCCCATTGGCGTATGCGTATACCGGAGACTCGTCACGAGCTGGGGACTGCGCTTGGCTGCTGCGGGGAGAATCGGAGCCTAATAACTCATTCGGCGTTGTCCGGATCTCCAGATGGCTGCTAGATGTCTGTGGTAAGGACGGTTCGCTCACGAGGGCGGCAGATGAAGTTCGCGGCGTAGCTGCCTCGTCGCCCGGCAAGGAGTATCTCGAACTGTCAGCGTGGATGATAGCATTGGCAAAGGACCTCGACCTCTGCCTTGTCACCTCTTTGGGTTTCGGCATTCCGGTGAGAGGATTGGCGCCAGGGGCCTTGCTGGCATTGGGCGACCCAGAACCACTGTGGCCCGACTTGGAGGAAGCCCGGCCACGTACTTGATCCTTGAGCTCTGACGCCGACTTCTTCTTGGTCTTGTCCTCCTCAGAGGACCTGCTTGACGACATGATGGTCTCCAGTGTACCGTAGGCTGCGCTCTGGCGGCGCCCAGTACTCCGGCGCTTGCGATGTGACCGTGCACTCGCGCTGTTGTCCTCATCGCCCGACTGGATGGCCTGGAGCGTCAAGCCGTTCTGGCTGTGGGTGTTCTTTGTGTAGCCTCTTCTCCTGATGGATGACGACGGTACGGCGCTGACAAAGGATGTCCCTGAGCCATGCGGTGCTACGTGCACCTCGTACTGGTTGCTCAAACTGTAGCGCGATCGCGCGTATATCTCGGCAATACCGTCGAGGGCATTGTCCATCTCATTGGACTGGGCTTGGAGGTTGGCCATGATCGCCTTGAAGGAGAATGCTTCGTGCGGCGGCAGGGTCTCGGCGGGGACTTCGTCGTGGCCCTGTCTCCAGGGCCACAGCTTCTTCTTTGCGTTTCCGCGGGCCATGCTCAGAATGCTGCCATTCTGTGACCCTCCAGCGGGTCTGGAGTGGGCAGCCGGGGATACGTAGGAGATGGATGTTGAGGTTGTCGAAGGCGGCCCTCGACGGGAAGCCACACGGCGGGCCGAGTGAGAGTTGGAGCGGGAGTGGCCCTGCGAAGGAGATGGTCCGCTATAGGTCCTAACTATGACAGGCTTGGAATAAGTCTTGCTCTGGGCGCCGGTGGACCGCTCATATTTGTGGCGAGCAACGGGCGAAGGAAAGTTGCTGTTCAGCTCCCTCAGTGCCAGTGTCCGGTGGGCTGCGGTGCTGTCATCGAGGGGGATGGGCTTGCCCTCTGCGGTGGACGGCACCAGGGAGGCGATGGAGGTGTTGTTTGACTGAAAGAACAGAGGGAGTGAGAAGGGAAGGCCAGACCTCATGGGAGTAGGGGAGGGTTTTTGAGGGCCAGCTCGGGTATCATGAGAGTTGGAAGCAGCAGGGACATGGGTTGGGGAAGAAGAGGTGGCAGGGGCCGGGCCGGGGCATGGGGACAAGGAGGAGGCGGAGGAGGAGGAGGCGTTCTGGGAGCTGCCGAAGGAGTCGGAGGGTGTGGGTGGGTGATGACGGGAAGCAGGCTTGATGGAGGGGGAGAAGTGGGAGGAGGAAGCGTCGGTATTCATGTCTCCACTCTCGAGCGCGTGTTCGCCCTCCAGAGGCCGTTGACTATGTGGCTTATCATATATATACAGCGCGGTGAGGATGCGGGATGCGAAGTGCTGCCGTAGCACGTATGCAGGCGGATGCGAGTGTAGAGTCGTACTCCGGGCTGGGTTGTGGTGGTCCAGGCTTGGCCCCGTGTTCGAGCTTGTGTGCAGGTGGTGGTGGCAGCGACGGTGTGTGGGGGAGGAGTATGGACTTTTGGTTTGGATTTGGAGGCGGGAGGCGAGAGGCGAGAGGAGGCGAGAGGAGATCGCGTGCAGGACGACGACAGGCTGGAGTGGTCTCGAGTGGCCCCGGCAGACAATGGTCGGTGTAGGCAGGCGTCACAGAGAGTCTTGTCGCGGGCAGAGGGCGAGTTGAGGTATCATGGTGTGGCCCAAGCTGTATGTCTCAGATGAAGCAGGTGTTGAAGAACACCACCTCGGGAATGCGATTGCTGGATTGGCACCTGTCCGGCGCGCGTGTGACCTCGGGGCGTCGACTTTCGATTGAACAGACGCACCGTAATCTCGAGAGTGGTGGTTCGGCGGGGGGTGGGGTGGGAGGGCGGTGGCTGCTTGTCGCGGCGCGATGACGAGCAGCGGCAGCAGCAGCAGCAGCAAGAGGAAGAAAGAGGAGTATGTCGGCGACAGAATGCACGATCTTGTCGTATCGCGTGCCGTGTCGAGCCCCGGGAATAAACCAGTCGACCTAATCGACCCTGGGAAAAGAAAGAAAAGGGAAGGGATTGAAATTGAGAGAGGCGGGAGCGTGAATGCGTTGTCGGATTGGCATTCAATCAAACCGTTGCCGTGCGCCGTGCGCCGTGCGTTGTGCGTTGTCCCTGCTCGGGGGCCCTCTCACGGCAGCGGCAGCAGGAGCAGCAGCAGCAGCAGCAGCAGACGAAATGTGTCGAGAGAGGAGAGGAGTCGTTTTGTTTTAGGGTGAAGCTCCCTGGCCCGCCATTGGACCGGCCGCGATGCCTTTGCTGCAAGCTGCAGAGCAGTCGTGGCTGCCCTTCAAAGGCAGGACGGCGTCGTCACTAACTCCCGCCTTCCCTGCAGCGGCAGAGATATCCCGTGGCCTCGTGCGCGGTACATGCCTCTGCTGCTGTTGGTCCTAGCGTCGACAGGTACCGCGTAGTAGCGTCTATGGTAGGAGTAGTCCAGGCCAGCACACGTTGGAGACGTGGTGCGGGGGCACGAGGATAGCGGCAGGTACGTACTCGACGGCCGCCAGTGTGGCCCCCGGTTCCTTTCCCCGTGGGCCTAGAAAGGGCTAAGCACGGGCTTCTCCCTCCCCATACTTCAGGGCCTTGGAAAGTATGACGAGGGATCCTGGCTTATCTCTAACACACAGACCTCCTTAAACCCACACCTTTAGCCATAAACTTCCTACTTATTTTAGGTAGGAAGTTTATATTTAAAAATATTAATAACTATTAAGCTTTATATAAATATAATTAAAAAATAGAGGATAAAAAGTAAGTAATAGAAGTTTATAATTAAAATATAATTATAATTATAATAAAGAAAGGAGTTATATTTAAATAAACTTTAATTTATTTATATTATTATTAATTTAATTATTTATTATTATATATTATTATTTTTAAAATTATTTTAATATAATAATTTATTTAATATTATTTTTATTATATATATAATTATATATATAAAAATTATAATTAATTTATATTTTAATAATTATTAAAATAATTTAATTTATATTATATTTAATATAAATTAATAATAATTAATACTTTTTAATATAATTATATATAAAATAATATATTTAAGTAATTAAATTTTTAAATATATTAAATTTTTATATTTAATTAATTAATAAATTAAAATTATAATAATATTAAGTATAATATTAAAATATTATATAATTTAATTTTAAATATAAATTTATTATATATAATAATTATTTTTAAATTTTATTAAAAGTAATTTTAATAATAAAAAAGTTAAAAAAGAAAAATTATTTTAATATTATAATAATATTTTAAAAATATTATTTTAAATTAAAAACTATAAAAGAGTTATATTATAATATATATAAAATGAAAAAGAAATAAAATTAAATATATAATTTTAAAGCTTTTAATTAAATAAATATATAAATTATATTAAAAGTATATTTTTATTAATATATTAAGTAATTTAATTATTTATAATTTTTAAATTAATAAGTATTATTATTTATAAATTTAATATTAATATAATTAATAATTTAATTATAATAATAAGGAAAAAATAATTATTTTAAAAAGAAAGGTTTATTTTTAAAGTTTAATTTATTTAAAAATAATTAATTTTTTAATTATATAATAATATAATTTAATTATTAAAATTAACTATTAATATTAACTATTTATAATAAAATATTAATTATATATAAATAAATTTAAAAGAATATATTAATATTTATTATTTTTTATTATAATTTTTTAAAATTAAAGAATTAAATATTAAATTATTTAAAATTTAATTATTAATAAAAAAGGTATAAATAGTTATAATTATTTTTATTTAATATATAATTTTATATATAAAGATAGTTTATTTATTTAAAAATTAAAAAATTATATTTTATATTAAATAATATAAATATATAAGTTATTAATATTTTTATTAATAAGTTTTTATATAAATTTTTATTTTATATTAATAGAGAGTTTATTATTTTAGAGTTTAATTAATAGATATAAATATAAATATTTATTTTTTATTTTATATTAAAAATATTATTAAATTATAAATAAAGTAAAATATATTTTTAATTTATAATAGATTTTTATTTAATTTAGGTAGAAAGTTTATTATATTTAAATATAATATTTATTATTAATAAAATATTTAATTATTAATATTTTTAGGTTTTAATATTTATTTTTATTAAATTATATATAAAATATTAAATTATATTTAAAATAATTAAATATAATTTTTATTATTATATATATAATTTAAAAATAATTATTTAATATAATAATTTTAATTATTTTAATAGAATTTAAAATTTTATTAATAATAAATAAAATTATTTTATTAACTTTATAATTATTATTTATTTTAATATATTTAAATAGTAATAGTTATATTTAATAAATAAACTTTAATTTATAATATAAGTTTATTATAATTATAATTTAATAATATTTTTATAATATTTAATTAATTTTAATTAAATATTAATATAGTTTATTTTAAGTTTTATTTATAAGTTTTTAAATAAAGGGAAAACTTAATATTAAGGTTTTTATTATTAATTATATAAATATATATTTTTCTTATATATTATTCTTTAAATAGAAGTAATTTATAAAAATAAAAGTAAAATATTAAATATATATAATATTTATAATAAGTTATTTAAAAATATTTATATTTTAATAATAAATTTTATAAAATATATTTTTTTAATTTATAATAATTATAAGATTATTAATTATATATATTATATTAAAATAATTAATAAGAATTATAAAATATATATAAAAGTATTAATAAATAACTTTTTATTAACTTTTATATTAAATTTAATTATATTAAATTATTTTTTAAAATTATTATAATATTAGGATTTAATAGTTAAATTTAAAATTATAATATTTATAATATTTAAGCTTTAATTTAAATTAAATCTATTAATAAAAAAATATTAAATATTATAGTTATATTATTTTTTATTATAATTTAAATATTTAATTTATTATTTTAATTATTTATAGTTTATTTATATATAACTTAATAATTAAAAGGATAAATTTAAGTTTAATTATTATAAATTTTATAAAATTATAAAGAATATTTTTAATATTATTTTAAATAAAATTTTAAATAGAATTTAAAGTTTAATTTTAATATAAAAGGTAAATTAATAATTATAAAATAAAAATATTATTAATATTAAATTTTATAATTAATATTAATATATATAATATATTAAAATATTATTAATTTAATAAAATAAATTAATAACATAATTATAAATTAATTTATAATATTATAATTTAATTATTAATATTTTTTTAAAAATAAGTTATATAATTATAAACTAAAAATATTTAATATAATATAGTTTTTAAATAAAGAATTATATTTAAATAATAAATTTAAAATAATATTTTTAAAATTAATATAATTAAATATATTATTATTAAATATAAATTTAAATTTATTAATTAAATTAATAAATATATTAATTATAATTATATTAATAATATTAAATATAATAAAATTTAATATATAATATTTAATTAACTTTACTTAATTTATATAATATAGTTTATAATAATAATTATTTAAAAATTATTAAATAATTTTAATTAATATTATAAAAAGATTTATATATTAAATAATTTAATAAATAATATCTTTTAATATAATTAAAAGTTATTTTTAATAATATATTTAAATAAATATTAAATTATAAAGGTTTAACTTTTAAATATATAATTTAAAATAAAAATATTATTTAATTAATTAAATAAATAAAATAAAATATATTTAAAATTAAAGTTAAATAATATTATATTAAAGTATTTACTTTTAAAAAATTAAATAAAAGAGTTTTTAAGTATTATTAATAATAATAATTATTTATATATAATAAATTATAATAATATATAAAATATTTATATATATAATTTAATAATAAATAAATAAAATAGTTTTTATATTATAATATTTATATAAATCTTAATAAATTAAAGTATAAACTTTTATTAAAATTAAATAGAAAGTTTATTATTTAAAATAATTAACTATAAAAATAAATATATATTTAAAAGTTTTTATATTAAATTAAACTTAAGTTTTACCTTTTTTAAATATATAATAATATAATAATTTTTTTATTATAATATTATTAAATAAAGGTATATATTAAAAGCTATTAATATTATTAAAATATTTAATTTATATATTTTAAGTTAATTTATTAATTTAATAAATTAGAATAATATATTATTTTTTATATAAATTTTTAATTTTAATAAAATTTTTAATTTAAAATTATTAATTTAAGTACTTAAATTTTTATTTTTAAATATATATATAAACTTATATTTTTATTATTTATTAATATATAAATAAATAAAGATACTTTAAATTTTAAATTTAAATTTAAATTTAAACTTAAATTTAAATATAATTATAGCTTTAAATATTATATATAATATAAGTATAATATATATTAATATATAAATATAATATAAATTATTAAATAAAATTTTAAATAAGTATATTTTATTAAATAAAAATATTAATTTATTATATATTAAATATTTAAATATATTTAAATAGTATTATAATTAATTATTTTTTCTTTAATAATATAGGTATTATAATTATAAAATTTAATTAAAAATATTTAAAAATATAAACTAATAATTTAAATATTTATATAATAATAAATAATATATATATTTTTAACTTTATTAAATTAAACTATTAGTTAAAACTTTAATTATAAGGTTTTACTTTTAAAAATATAAAGTAGATTATTAACTAATTATATTATTTATTAATTATTAAATATAAATAATTAATATAATATAAATTTAAACTTTTATTAATTTATTTTATTATAATTTAAATTATAACTATTTTTATTTTATAATTATATAAATATAACTATAAGGAGGTATATATATATTAATTAGTAATTTTTATATATTTAATAAATTAAATATTATAATAACTATTATTATTTAATAGAGTTTTAATTAAATTTTTCTTTTAAATAATTATTATTACTTAATAGAGCTAAACTATCTATATATAATATTAAATACTTTAACTTTTAATATTAAAATAATAAAATAGTATATAAATATTTAATATAAAGATTAAAATATAAAATTTTAATATTTACTTAAAAGAAAGATAGTTTATTTATTAACTTAATACCTTCTTTTTTTAATTTTATAAAGTAATAAATTATTAATAATAT